ATAGTAATTTCCTTAATGCCGACCGTATGAACTCGTGCGGTGCCTCCGGATGCGGGTAGCACGGCGTATACCTATCCGATAAGCTAGACCGACGTTTCCGGGAAGCGAGAGATAAGGCTACGGAGGTGGGTAGAGGAGACGATATCAATCTTGTCCTAAGTCGCACCCTAGCGCTACTTATCTCCACTATTGAAGATGTCTATCCCTAAAGTACGTAGGGTATGTCTACCTAGTAGGACATCCGTATCTTAGAGATCTGTTCTATACGCAAGGATAGTACGCTCCCGTTTAACCCCTCGAGCATCCTTTATCTAAAGGGAAAACTTATATGCTCCGTAGCATAGGGTCCGCTGTTGGCCCAACTAGCGGAGATCTAGTAGATCAACCGTCTGTTTCACTAACTTATAGCGAACAGCGACTCGCTGGTTAATAAGAGTAACTTAGGCTCTAGTATCTAGGATACCCCGGACACTCTTAGATCCGTCCGAAAGGACGATAGAACTATTAAAATAGATTACTTGCGCTGCTTCAATCGAGCGTAGCCCTGCTTCCTTAGAAGTAGAGGCAACAAGGCCTACGCTTTTCCCTTTACTAGGATAGTATTAGGGTTCCAAGATCGTTTCGGCTTCGCTAGATTAGGGCAATTGGGCGATATATGCCCCTTCTTGCCGCAATTGTAGCATTCGAGATAGGAATAATCCGATCTCGTCTTGTCTAACGTCCTAGCCGAACTCGAGGTTAAGGTTATCGAGTGCGGAGCGCGTGCGGTATGCGTCGCGCCTCCGCTAGTCCTTCCTCTCGGCTATAACTTTACTCGCTTTTTGCGCACGACAGTCTTAGTTATAGTTCGTTTGCTATCTCGAATGTTCTTCTCGAGCCTAGTCGCCAGATTGCATAACTCCTCCCGGTCGGTAGGAACCTAGTTGTGATTAGTTACTGCGATCCTTAATTCGGGCCGTAGGCGAGAGTAGTAATAGTACAACTTCTGCTTCTCGGTATATGGATCTAGCTGCTGTTCTAGGGTCTCTATGTACGTTAGGAAAACCCGTGTAGACTAGCCTTCGCGCTGTTTGGCTGCCGTGTACAGCTTATAGGTATCTAACAAGCACGCGATAGGATTATCTAGCAAATCTAGAAGGAAAGTCGTAAACTAGCCCTAAGTAACGAGGGATTGCTAATCTAGATTCGATCGCTACTAGTTCACCTACCTGTCTCTAGCATTACCCTCTAGGTATTGTATAGCCTAGGTAACCTTCTAGAAACCCGCGTTGTATTGGCGAGAATCCTAAAGGAAAGCTAGCTCGCAGGCTAGAACGAAATCGGAATGCTCCTTAATGGACTTGCCCTTATAAAGGGATAGCTCCTTAATTGGCCGCTTGCTATACTATCGATAGCTATCCGGCGAACGGTTACGCTTCTAGCTAATAACCCCCTGCGGTGTAGATGCGGCATCTACAGCGACATCACCCCCTAGAGTCTCGGAATTAGCGCTAGCGAGGATAGCGTTACGGGCTTAAGTAGCGCGGATCTTCTCTCGAATTAATCGACGCTGCTCTTCCTGCACTTAGGCAAGCTAAGCTTCTATCTCTTCGATAGTCTGTTCTTCACCTAGAAGCGGCTGTTCCGCTGCGGGTGTAGGATAGTACGAGGTTCCGCCCTACGGCTCGTCGCTGTCTCTATCCTCGACGTCGCCTAGGTCTTCAATTCCTAAACGCACGTCTTCCGCTAGCGGCTCGATTCCCTACAAAGGCACTAAGCCTTGCCGAGGAACTCTCTTCGGTCCCATCCTCCGAGTCGCTACCCCGAAGACGGGAGTGAAGTTTACTTTATAAGGTTTCCGGCGTAGTTACGTAGGGGATACGGCTACGGCGAAGGGGTTGTAGCAAGGAAGAGGGTAGGGATAAGTCGAAGAGCGTACTCGCCGTACGTGCCCTAGCTACGCTAGCGGTACGCACGCGATATCTCGTACGATAGTAACGATAGTAAACTTAAGGAGTAGAAGAGAAGGAAGTCTCTACTTCCTTTTCCTCTATCTCCTCTCCTTAGCCCCCTCGCTTAATACGGGAGCTAATATGTTCTGTTAGGTGTCCGGATTGGACACCCTGCGGACCCCCTACGGGGGGCCGGAACATATTACGTAACTATAGTAGACTGCAGACAGCCTGCGGTCCCCCTGCGGTTACGTGCAGGATACTGTAGATGTGGTACGACACCTTACAAAACCTCTTTAAACTTAGCGGTATACTAGGATACGGAGGCCTTTTACGTAACGTATTAGATATTTCGGATAGCGACTTACTAGTTATTACTAAGTCTATAGATTCCCTTAACCTATTTAGCGAACTCTAAGAAGTCGGCAAAGATCCCGTCTAGGTCTCTATTCTCGAGTAGAACTATAGTTAATTTAGGACGTATCTAGCTTTAAGCTTCGCCTCGAAGGTAGGATACTATAATACGGTAGCGTCGTTATTCGCTTATAATACCTTTAAGGGAGAAGTATAGCATAATCTAGTTTAACTAGTTATCGAGCTTATTACGATCCCTATAGAAGAAGTCCGGTTTAGCGGAATACTTTGTCCTTTCTTTATTAGTAGAAGCACTAGCTCGAGCGGTCGAAGCTATACTAACGTCTCTTTCGTTATTAGGAGCTATTTGTTTACTTAGGGTACTTACCTACTATAAGGGTATTTAAAATATTATATACCTACGGTATAAGGGGGTTAGAGCTCGTTAGACGAGTAAGTTCTAAGCGATAGGTCGGGTAAGTAACTACTCTAAGGTTTAACCTTTCGGCGGGTTAGTAACTTAGGTTAAATACGAACTACCTATATAGGAAACGTCTATTCTATATATATAGGAGATTCGTATATAGTCGCGATTACTAACAGTAATTGCAACCCGATTATAGTTACCTATAGTAATTATAATCCGGATTACTCGATTACCTAGTAATAAAGTAATCCTATATCTAGCCCTAGAGTTAGTCTGCTAGCCTTAGGCCTTAGTTCCTAACTCGTCGCTAATAATTGAATTCTATGTCCGTAATAGTCCGATTAACTTTCTTATAGTTATTCGCGCTCTACTAGCTCTTTATCTAGCCTAGAAAACCTATATTAAGTATCTAGCTAGCTAGAGGCTTAAATAATAATTAGTTTTTTATTTAGTAAATTTTTAAAAATTCGATTTCGAACTCCTTCTTTCTTTAAGAGGATTAACTCGGCTAGCTATCGCTAGAGCGTCCGTTAGTAGGCGTTTATCGCTTTATAAAAGATAGTTAGGCGGAGATTTCGAAATTTCGTCTCAAGCCGGTATAACCTCGTTTTACCGAGGAGTGGTTTTATAGGATTTAGCGTAGCTAAGCTATATCGTCTGCTCGTACTTAAGCTCTATATCCGAGAGGGTTATATATGTCTGGTCGAGGGTAGCTGCATTTGGTATAAGCGCTGCGCTGTGACATCTAGCAGCCCTCGGCGATTCTTGCGCGACGAGGACGACCGTAGGTATTTTCTTAAGTCCTGAGTTACCCCTGGACTGATCTACGTCGATGCCAAGTCGTTCTTCTGAGCACATTGCGGCCACGGCGTCGAAAAGTTCGTCCTCCACACCTAGGAGCTGCCCCTTCCATGATTCGAACCCCACCGACTCCTGGTCGCTGCTGATTGGGGAAGGGGAGCCACATACGCTACTGCGGACGCTGTCGCTGTCGTTGACAAGTGAGGGTGGACCACATTCCGGGCCTGCGCGCTCGGGCCATCTGGAAGGCCTTAATGCGTTGGGCCACCAGCCTACTGCATTGTACAAAGCGCTGTCTAGACCTGGCAAGCCCATTGTCTCGAAACTCATATCGAGTGGCAGCTCGTGTGGGCTTATAAGTCGGTGCGGTAGGGCCTTGTCACTTACCGCAGCTTGTGACACCTGTGGTGCAAGGTCACACCCAGCAAAGTCGAACCTCGTGTTAGAAAGCAGTCTTCGTGGGATGTCGCCGTGGAGGTCCCTGGACTGAGACCGTTCTGAAGCTTCGAGCGGCTGATGCAGAGAGCCTTCGAGCTCTTCCTCAGTCCTTGTCGGCCCGGGTAGGTGGCCCTTTGCTTGGTTCATAGCAAGGATGGCGAGCAATTGGGTCGCTTTTGATTATCGAGCGCTTGATGGGAAGCCAGCTGGAATGGATGCAAGAAGCCGGAACGTGTATAGGCGTGGACTAGTCTGAGCCTATGTGCAGTGGACGCATAGAAAGTGTAAAGGGTTCAGGTATGCGGCGGGGCGTTTCTAGCGTAGTGACGAGCCTAGAAGAACAGAACAACGATATTGCAGTGCCATACCACTAGCCGCAATTGTTGATGTGGAGCATTCCTGACCGAGGACTTGACCCTTGACGCAGGGTCGTGTTCCGAGTGTCAAATCTAGAGTAGCACGACAGACTGCTACACGGACGATGGTGATGTTTTGCGACAAGACGGACCCGGACACGGTCTCGGAAACGGCGCCGAACGTTCCCACGCCTCACGACCGTAGCAGTAACTCGGGAGCCCGTCACACCCCCAGGCTTGTGCACCGTCCGTGTCGTTTTATTGAGCTCTATCTGAGCTCTAGCTGAGCTGACCTTTCCTGACAAGGGCATACTGTTGTGATCGACCGGCTTGGTGCAGTAACCCGGCGTATATCTCTCAGTCTCTGGGCCGCCGACTCGCGTCAGTAGTCTAATGCGTCAGGAACAAACTGAATTGTTTCGGTGCCATGTAAGTGTGGCAAACAAGGTGTCACGTATGAGGCTTCGTGAGGCAGAGACCTGCCTGATATTCGGCCTTGAACCAAGGTGGCGAATGCGTCCTCGATTGACCAAAACACTTCATCCAATAACGGCGTACACATTGTGAGATCTGGACCTCATTTCTTAAGCCAATAAGTACAGGGCACGACTGCATGGTACTACACATTGCTCCTCAAAGAACAGTAGTGTCGATAGATCGCAAATCTACCAGATGGGCTTTACGGCGGCTGACTTAGACTGCCTCTCCTGGCCCTACCTTCTTCTTCCCGATTCTGCTGCTCAGGTCACCGACTGGGAGAGTCAACGGGAACTCTACAGCGGCCAGGAGCTGAACGAACAACAGGTACAGGGCGAGGACGCAGAGAATCTTGACATAAGTGGTTAGCGTTTGGCTCGAATGCAAAAAGCGACCACATCTGCCCAGCGGGACACTTACAAAAGTGAAGGCACCAGCTGTAAACCCGAGGGTATGGAATAGTGCCAGTTCACCCACTGAAGCTTTCCAGTACGCTGCAGCCAGCAGGAACAGAGCGATATCCACCGTGAGGAAGATTAAAAAGAAGATAACGTTCGTCCGAAGCGAGCAGATCATGAACATGAAGACGATAACTCCCAGGAATGCAGGAAAAAAGGCTGGAGACGAAGATATCAGCGAGATGTCTACAACAAATGGTAGCACATATCTTACCGAAGCTCGTCTCGAATGCCGCAGCACCTGCAGCCTCAGATTTGGCTGTGGACGTGAAGGCTGTTTCGGCGTTGTAGTATGGCGTCAGCGTCGCGGCGAAGGACAGCCAAAAAGCGCCTGGGAGACGTTCGATATCAGTACTTTGCTCATCACCTCATCTGTCAAAACAGCGACACATACCAAAGGTACCCTGCAAATGAGACTCAGTATGGCCTGATCGTCTCTTTGCAAAGGGAGGAGATCGTTGCTTACGAAGACGATGTAGACGAATGTATTGCCTATGATCCATTCGAGGACGGCACCAATAATCTGCAGCATTCCGCCGAAGAAGTAGCAGACGCCAATCGTCGCCGCACCGCCTCCACTAGCGCCTCCCCACCCCATGAGGGCTGAAGGTACACATGCTGTCGTGACAATGAAACCCAGCAAAGGCCTACGGAGATCAGTATCTGAAATTGGGACTATGGCTCGAGCTGGGTGCTTACAAGGGGGTGGGATTGGCGAATCTTTGTCGCAGGTCGCCAGAAACTTTGTTGGCTGGCGAAAGGTACAGCTTCTCGAACATCTCCATTGTCAACACGACGCTTCCAGCGGTATCAGTTTTTCGAAGATCTCCGTCGTAATGTTCGTCTTGCCCCCTCTTCTCGGACATTTGAGTTGACATGTTTAGATGTTCGGGATGAGACAGCTGTGTGCTAAACAGAGTAGGACTTGTCAGGAGCAATGACAGAAACAGATGCAAATGGGCTCCCGCATGTTTATGTAGCTTGGACTCGCCTTGCTTTAAACGCCCCGCTTGTTGACCCCGAGTAAGATGGGTCAGCCCCCGTTTCTCCGGATCTTCAGTTGATCGTGTGAATCGGTCTAGTTTTATTGTTGCTATTGGGGCACTCTCAATCGAGTAGAGAGTGCGTAAGTTGGTACCTTTGGCCCCGGAAGCGGACCTGGAGACGGACACGGGGCACCTGTGACTCTGGGGAAACTGGGGAGGCTTCCGCATAAGGAAACTGGGGAACACCTGCGCGTGACGGGCATGACTTGGCGACGATACCCCGTTTGTGGATGGCTCGATAGGTTCCGGCCGGGCGTTGATCATATCAGAACTGCAGACCCCGCCCAAGTTATAGAGTATCTTGAGCGAGAAGGGAGCGGCTGATGAACAGATCCAAAGCTCCCACACAAAGAATGTCAGCCTGAACCCCCGGACCCAGCTCACGATGGCTTCTACTCTTGCTGCACACCCGGCAGATCGCTCTGTCACTCCAACCACCTGTCCAGACGAGTTCAACTTTGCCACAGATGTCGTCGATCAATGGGCCGAGCGATACCCTGGCCTGCCAGCGATGTACTGGACAACTGGTAATGGCGTGCCAGCACGAGAGCTCTCGTACGCTTACTTCAGTCAGCGATCTCAGCAGGCTGCGCATCTGTTGAAAAGCCTGGGAGCCCAGCAGGGCGAGCGAGTGATGATTCTGCTCTCTCGTGTACCCGCCTGGTGAGTAAACGCCTTTGGCAATACCACTCGAGCCATGCCAGAAGCTAATATTTCTCATCTGTCAGGTGGGAGCTCGCGACAGCTGTAATCAGGATGGGTCTCGTGCTGTGCCCTTGCACCACATTAGCAGTGGGTAAAGACATAGCATATCGTGCAGAAGCATCAGATGCAACGCTTTTCATCGGGGACGAACAATCGATTCGAACTCTGCTGAGCGTTCGAGGACAATGTCCTAGGATACGGACCGTGATACAAGCGGCAGGCACCGCGGTCAAAGCAGCGGGAGTAACACAGTATCAAGAAGCAATGTCATCGTTCGATGTCGAGGGTCCTTTCCACGGACCTAGGACTGCAAGCAAAGATCCAGCTTTGATCTACTTCACCTCCGGCACGACGGGAATGCCAAAGATGGTCCTTCATAATCAGGTTTCATGTCCACTTTGTACGTAGCCTCGCCGCCATGTGCCATTGGACTGACGGTTTGTAGCGTCCGCAATGACAGGAAAGTATTGGCTGGACTTACGGCCCGGAAAGGTGTACTGGAACTTATCAGAGCAAGGTAAATCTTCCGAACCCAAGACTGCTCCTTCGGCTGACTCGCGGTATAGGTTGGGGTAAGGCTGCCTGGGCCTGGTTTGGCGCGTGGAACATGGGCGCAGCACTATTTGTCGAAGACCTCTCGGGACCGTTCTCGGCGGCATCTTTGCTCGGGACTTTGCACCAATATTCTATAAGCACGCTGTGCGCCCCTCCCACTGTATACAGACAGCTCATAACGACAGCCATGCGCGAGCTGTGCAAAGCTAAACCACCAAAGTCCCTTGAGCACTGTGTGGGCGCAGGCGAGCCTCTCAACAGTGAAGTAATCAACCAGTGGCAAGATATGACTGGCTGCGAAATCAAAGACGGTGCGAGCTTACTTCATCCAGAAACGATGCAGCTAACCGAGCTGAAAATGAATACATTCTGACCCGTTTGTGTAGGATACGGACAGACTGAATCGACTCTGCTGTGTGGCAATCTTGTGGGCCACGTGGTCCGCCCTGGATCCATGGGCAAACCGATCCCAGGGCTGCCTTTCGAGATCATCGATCAGGATGGCGAGTCATGTCCGACCGGAGAAGAAGGAGATATTGCGATAGCAACAACGACAAAAGCCGGAGATATGGTGGCCTGCATCTTCGATGGCTACATATCCGCAACTGGAGATGTGAAGCGAGCCGTGCGGCACGAAGCACGCCCGGGTCGCAGCGTTCACCCAAGGCAATGGTTCCTGACTGGAGATCGAGCATACCGCGACGAGGATGGTTATATATGGTTCGTTGGCAGGGCGGACGATGTCATCAATGCCTCGGGGTACCGTATAGGTAGGTGGTTTTTGAGTGCAAGTGGAGCATGTTCTGCCGGCTGACGAACTGATACAGGCCCATTCGAAATCGAGTCGGTACTGAAGAGACATCCAGCAGTGCAGGAATCAGCAGTTGTAGCTTCGCCAGATGCAGCCCGCGGCGATGTCGTTAAAGCATTCATCGTGCGGAACAAGGAGTTTCTTTCGGCAGATGTGTCTCAGTTAGCGGCTGAGCTGCAAAGGTTCTGCAGGGAGATGGCAGCACCATACAAGTACCCGCGCAAGATTGAGTTCGTGTGCGAAAACTTCCTGCCAAAGACAATAAGCGGCAAGATCAGAAGAGTGGAACTCCGGCAGCTCGAAGTCCAAAGAGCCAGACAGATGTCGAAATTGTGAATGGAAGGGGTGTGTACTGCGTACATCATGCCAAGTTCGATTTATATAAGGTATTTGTTCCTCGCTACTGCTCCGTTGTAGGTTTGTGGACTGTATCAGGCAAAGTACGAATGCTGCTGTCGTGGTTCTATTGCCCAACGCGTAGTCGCGCTATTCTGTCCCGCCTTCTTCTCACCCATTCGTCTCCCGCAGCCCCGGTAGCGTTTCGTTATCCAGATAGCCTGCACTGTTGAACAGGTCAAACCACTGATTATTGTTGGAGACATCGAAGAGGTTCGTGGTAACGGGAGGCTTCGGGTGCGATATACTCGACATGGCTGAATAGTCTACGACAGACCACAACGTCTCCATTGCCTCCGCACTCAAAGCGAGCTCGGTGTGCGATACGTCGTTGAGAAAACAGTAGTCAAAACCGTGAGCGGAGAAAACCCGCAGTGCTTCTTGCTGTCACGAAGTATCAGCAGTCTGTCTTGAGCTCAGGACGTACTTGACTATCCGTACCATAGACCCCACATTGACCCAGTATGTCGAGACCGTATCGAGCAGGACTTCGCAAATGCTCAAGTTGAGACCAGCTTCCTCAGCAATGTGCGCTTGTTGATTGTGAGTGTTCAAGACATGTATGCCACCAGCCACGACCGCAGAGTATCCATAGAACGACGTCAGCACTATACATCCTGCACGAGAAGCTTCTGACATAAGCTGAGTAAGTTGAACAGCGTATGTGCGACACAAATCGAATGATCGCGAGAGAAACTTTGCGGGCGCAGTCACGTTACACGCCAGCAAGCGCCGACGTAGCAAGAACGGATGGTGCAGAAGACAACGGCCAAGGTAGACAAGTGCGCGCGCAAAGACCATGGGTCCCGCGCGGCTCTGGTCTATTGTTGAGGCGCCCTGGCAGATCTTCGTCATCATGTGTTCAGTCCCGCAATCCATATCGAAATGACTTTCCAGATAGGCAAGATCACCGGCGATAGACGTATGATCCGACTGAGGACTCCAAAGAAGCTCCTTGCTTCGTATATTATAGTCCTGGAGCATGTATTGAGCGCATCGGCTGAGAACGTAAGAAGCCAAAACCACTACAGCGAACGGCGTGACTTCTGCGGGCTCAAGGAGGTCTCTGGACGCAAGATTCTCGAGCCTTTGCGTCTTGATAGCTTGGCCGGCGGCCCAGAGTGCCTCGTCACAGGGCAGCTGCAACAGACAAGAGCCTTCCAAGATCGCAGGTGGTTTCGCACGGCTACAAGACACCAGGCGGTCCAGTAGGTAGAACGTCCAGAACGTCCTCCGGCATTCCTCGGCGTCGATTGTTGGGATCGTTGAATTTGGTTCCATCATGAGGCGCATTTCTTGCGCAAGCTTCACGGCCAATCCGATTTTCACCCATGCCGAGCCGTGTCGCTTCTTCCCGGCTAGTAGTCAATATCAGCAGATGTATAGAGCTCCACTAGGATGACAAACGTCACCTGTATAGTCGAATATGGAGAGTAAGCCGATGCTTTGGAGCGTGACCAGGCTCATAGTCTTGGTGCCAGAAAATATTTGCGAAACGATTGCATTCCAGGACCTGTTGGCAAACTTTTCGGCAAGCTCACGTTGGCGGCCTTGATAATAAGGCTCTATGGAGAAACGTGATGCATGTGCAAGTATGGCGAATAAGAGATGGTCTGGTACGACGTTTCCCGCTATCCTTTGCTGGAAGTGAGCAGGCTGGAAGAAGCAATATGGCTGGTTGTGGCAGTACAGAAAGAAGGTTTTGACAGTGCTCATAACGACAGCGGCTGGCGGATCGCCGCCACAAAAGGTGTAGCTGATATTATGATCGATCGGTGCGGCTGGGCCGGGTTCGTAAGGTAGACTGTCAGGTGTCGAGCCGAACTCGTCTTGAGCTATCGAGTGCGACCTTTGACTGCCATAAGACACTGGCGCTCGGTCGCCAATTTGCAGACCAGGATGTTGAAGGGTTCGGGAGATGCTGCATTAACTATGAATGTTGTGCTAGCCTAGTCCGTGATGATAACACTTACCTATACATCGTTTCCTGCATCTGGACGAGCTTGGCCTCCATCGCAGCGAACATTGCGTGAGTGACTGGCTGAAAAATGTAAGTCGTGTGTACCTTGTCCAATCGTAAGGCGACTAACAGCTTCGGCCTGCTGCGGAACGACAGCATTTGGCGCAGGCGAGGCGGCTATACTGGACCGTCTCTCCTGCGACTGTACCGGCTCGTGATCAGCGTAGATACATGCTTGGGATAGGCGGCGGCAGAGTCGACAGGTCGGCCTTTCGCTAGTACAACGAGCCTTCTTGCGACTGTTATCTCGGTCAGTTACTTGTTGGCGTCATTAGGTGGGCACAAAGTCGAACCGACAGTTGCCACAAGCCTGCGATGTGCGCCGTGACGGCCTTGTGGTGTAGGTGACATTGACCTTGCCCGGACTTGGACTGATGGTCTCGCTGCCCGGATGGGCAATCATGCTGTAGGATAGCTGACGGTAGAGCCTATCTGGGTGAGACGGGTCGACCTGGCCTTTCAAGTAATCAGTACAATGCCCGCGCAAGGCATGACGAGCCTCGGATAATAAAAGCGTACAATACCTAAGGTAAGGTGATTGACCACTCCCCATCCAGGCATTGCGATTTGCCACATCTGAGGCGGGCAACTTAAGCGCTCCCATTGTTTTGACAGCCTCCGCCATAGTAGTCAAATAGGTCTAGCGCAACGCTCCTCACTTAACTCTAACAGTTCTAGCCGTCCATTTCATATACCAACGGTACCTTACTTCATGGAGTAATAATAACTATGGCAGGTGGACGACATCTAGGTACGTACATTACTGCTACAACTTGCTACCCATCTTTCCTTTCACCTCGTCCTCAGTCCTGAAGCGCGCCACAGCCTCACGACACTCGGTTGATTTATGTCTCTCGGCATCGGTGAGGTCGCTCGCCCGATTGTCGGCACGAGGAAGTCCCGACGAAGCGTGTCTTTAAAAAGCTGCTCCATAGCTCGCGGGGATCCTGGTGGCAACCTTGCTGTTCTCCGTGCAATGATCATAGTCTTCAGGAGAATCCGTCATTCTTTGATGATTCCTGTCAGTAGGCCAAGACTGTCTGCTCCAGCTGCGGGATACGGTAGCCTGCCAGAAACCACCCGGCGGTCTTCTGGTGGCTCACGGTTTTATTGAAGTTCACACTTGAGGCACCTTACTGTGCCGTGCTCCGATTCACAAATGTAGTGAAGAAGTCCGCATCTGACACACCTTGTTCAAGATCGAACAAAGCCAAGTTGCTGCCTCCATATCCTGCTACCGGTCCATCCACCACTGCAATCGGCATTCTGCCAGATCTGAACAGCATCTCGTCAAAGCGATCGAAGTAGAGCCTCTCTTGAAGCTCATGGGCTTGTCTGGCGCCAAGTCCAGCAACTCCAGGCATGTACAAAGGCATTTTGGCTTGCCTGCCTGAACGATCACCTTGACTTCGCTCGATGGGTCCGCCTGAGTCATTGCCAACACCGTCTCAGCCAACAGTTGCGCATGAAATCCCGGAATCGAGGGCGCTTGTCCTTGACCACAGCAACATGACCTATGTGGCCGGTCGTGACATACTAGAACGACTTTGTCTCTATTTGCAGGACCCTCGTGGCCGTTTGACGTAAACACTAGACTATATGAAAACTCCCTTCCAGAGCGATGCTGATGAAACGCCAAATGTTCCGTCGCTTTCTCTGCCAATCATCCTGGGTTGGCGATGCCGGCGTTCTGAGGCCCGCTATCCTGCACCATGGGCGATCATGGATGGCGATGCACTTTGCTCGTACCAAATCACGACATTCACTGGGTAGATACACACTAGCGAGCCACAACGGCCAAGCAACCGTTTCTTAGAACAACTTCGACCGACGACCAGCCGATCTCCGCTTGCGGCTCCGTTTCTGTATCAAGTCAAAACCTTACCACTGCGCAGGGGATGACTGCCTTGCCTGGTTCTGCAAACTAATGTATCTTTATAAAGGGCCGAGGGGCCTCCACTGCGGGGTCTCCGCCTTGGCACTGGGACAGTAATCTAAATCGGCACTAGACTGCAGGATCTAAAGCAGAATTGTTACCATTATCGTAACGCGGCGGCCCTGGTCCACGAGGAACAAGGGAAACTGAGACGAACAATTAGTGTCACATGTGAGAATGTTCCCAGATGCAGAAATCGTCAACGCTAAGCACGACCTCAGGATCCCTTCGCTTTACGTTTTTTTGAAAAGGCAGCAATGAGCTCGATGAGACTCGCGCAGTGTAATATAATCCGCATCGACGGAATTGGATATCTTCGTTCACCAACCGCCTCGAGCCACAGCATCCAGAAATGAGATTGGCGCTATACCTGTGTATACCATTCAGAGGAAAACAACAATAGCAATGAGTTCATCGCTCGTGAACTTGATCAATTGGTCTGTTGATGGTACATGTAATAGGCTTCGCACAAACATGATTGCTCGCCCTTTGAATGGCTTTGTGCTTTTAGCAAGAGGCAATTCTCCGCGAGGCCATCGGCGGAGATGCCAGAGAACGCATCTTGCTTGCAATGAGAGCTGTGGAATACGGCATGCTCGGCAGCGTAGTTGACATATCCGTCTTTTATTAGACTGCCGATGGTGTGATGAGCCGAGCTCCATCTATTTACTCCTTTTGGGATATCTTACAAGATGCTGTAAGGAAGCTTGTATGGGTAGCAGTGGTCCCTTGCGACGTATCTGCATTCGTTTGAGAGTTCTTCGTTGCTGCCGTCCGCATGTATGACTTTGGGTTCTGCAAGCGTAGGAGTTGTCACCGCCGCAGAAAAGGTTATGTGTATAGCGTGTTAACTAGCTGTTCTATTATGGAATGAGTTGATAGTTGCTCACTTGACCACGAGCGAAGCTGATCTCCAAGTGGCAAGTGCCTCCAGTGGCGCCACGAGCCTGAAGGGCTGCGCCGGAGACACCAGCAGCCAGAATGGCAAGGTTGTGATGGATTAAAACTGCATATCGATTGATTCGGTGGAGTAAGTTAGAAGGATGGCAAAGCTTGTTGGTTGGCCGAGTTAGTGAATGAAACTGCATGTTGGAAAACTGTCTTCGTATATAGTGCACAGCTGTGGCGGTGTCGGACAGTCTGAATTGTACTTAGGACCCAACCAAGTGATCTGATTGATTACAGTGTGGATTGAATAGAGAACTAACTACAGAGCGGCGAGCTGCTTGGTGTTCAAGCCCTTCGTCCAGATCACTTGACTGACTAACTATTACCTGATCTGCGTTGTTTCCTGAGGCTATCACTGAGTTCACTGCTGGACTGCATATTCCAACACTGCACATAGTTTGACTATGGAATGCTCCCTCGATAACAATTCTCATGTACGGCAGTGCTACCTTTCAGCGACTTCTCCATGATATCCTCAGTCACGGCGTATTAGAGAAGTCCCAAACTGCCCATATCAACGTAGTCTAGCGTCTCAAAATTTGACCTCTTCCGGTACCCACGTGCTGAAGGCCATACCGTCCGGAGTTTTTCGCCACTGTCCAGTCCGGCTGTCGAGGAAGTCTGCCGCATCCTTTTCCACTGCTCGCCTGATGATCTTGTCTTTTTGTATGCTACGGATCTTGAAGTTGCACTTGTAGTGTCGTGGCTCAACAGTAATGCCACCGACAAGGTCGTCGCCGTCGTACTTGGCAGGTTCCCCGGTCTGGGGATCGGTCGCAGGACTGATGTCGAAGGACCACATGAGACGGGAGACTCCAAGAGCCAGGCTTCGCTCGGCGATATGAATACCCTGACATAGTCGGCGCCCCGCACCAAAGACGTAATTGTCTCTTTGAGAGGCCTCCCCAGTGGCGGATTCGTATAAGGATCTCGTGTCAGAGGCAAAACGCTCTGGCTTGTAGGTACGAGGATCAGGAGATCGTTTCGGATCCATGTGAATGCTCCAGACATTGTTGATAACTGTCGCTCCAGCGGGAATTCGCCAGCCCTTATAGGTGTCCTCGTTCACGGCGGCATGTGGTACACCCAGTATCACGGTCGGCATCCAGCGCATGGCCTCCTTAATGCAACACCTCACATACGGGAGATTCTCATAGTCCTCGATGGTGGGTAATCGTTCGGGTCCTACGACCTTATCGACTTCTGCCTTCACCTTGTTCTGGACATCAGGGTGTATGATCATGGCAAGAATAAAGCCATAGAGAATCGCAGCAGTAGTGTCAGAACCCGCTTCGAGAAGAGAGCCGCTGATGTATCCTGCTTGGGCGTCGTCGAAGCCTTCCGTCTCCTGTGCCCGAAAGAGATCATTGCAGAAGCAAGGCTGTTCGATTAGCGTCTGTCATTGTCTCGGGATTCAAAGGTATCCGTGATGCACGTACGTGTCCAGTCCCGTCTGAGACTCCCTTCTTTGCACGCATCCACAAGCGAACATATAAAAATTTTTCCTTCTCGTGTAGCCACCGAGCAGTACGCACGGGCGGAGAGAGAGCGGCGGGAATGGATTGGAGGATTGGGAATAAATCAGCTATCTGTGCGCTTGCACTACCCGCAAGTTTGCCCCATCGTTCAAAGCTCTGTATGAGATTTAGGAGGAGCGTTGCGGTGTAGCTGGTCTTGACTTACCCAGAATAGCTGCTGAAGATTGGGATCTTGGGTGGACGGAGCTCGATAGCCAAAGATGATTTGAGTAGATAGCGAAAACGTGTAACGTCGAATGTGGTCGAGAAATGCGTCAGGTTCGTCGATTATACCTTGAAGCATGATCTTATTTTCGAGATCCTGATACGGTACGTAGTTGACGGCAGCGCGAATGTTCAGGATGTTGTGGATAGTCTTATGGATCATGCGCCAGAATTTACCGTACCGCTGAGACAAAGCAAAGGAATGGTTAGATGGCCTTTTTCATAAGGAAATGCATAGGAAGCTCACCATCACGACCAACCGGAGTCCTCCACTGGCAATGGTCTGTCCAATATACATGTCTGGTCGGTCAGAATAATTTCCGCTGCGCTTATCCAGCAAATCTTTCACAGCCTCATCACTAGACAACACGATCATGGTAGTGGTACCCAGAATGATTGAGTATACAGGGCTGATACCGTCAGCTTCCATCTCCGCATTGCGCGTCCCTTCTGGCTTACCCATATTCCTGCGCCCATTTCTGCAATTGAAGATGAGGCTTGTCGATGGGCATCTGATGGAGATTGCCAAAGATTGGGATGGTGGGGGGCCCAGGTGGGATGTCGACAGGTCGACTCCCAATCTTCCATGCTTTTGTCAAGAGGAAAAGGGAAGAGACAGCGAAGAAGCCCAGTAGAAGCAGGACGTTGCTGGAGGAGAAGAGGACCATAATGGCTTGAGGTTGTATGATGCGAGTCCTACAGCACTCTCATGAAGGAGAACGCGCTCTGTGGGATACTGAACGCAGTCACTTTATCTTGATGAGTTGTCAGGACGCGCCAGAGTTCCCCCACCATGACCCTTTCCGAAGTACCTTTCCGAACAAATTGGGCGATCTGGCCTTGGGGTAAGCTGGGGTCACAAAACGGAGTTCTGGGGGGCTGATTTCTCCACGTGATGACCCTGGACTATCGGAATGATGGTAGAAAGCCACTTTATAATTGTCCAAACCGACAGTACCATTTGGTTCAGTAGCACAAAGACAAGACGTGACATTGGATCATGCGACTTAGTGGACTCTTCGATTAGCGACGCAAATTATGTTCTCTCCAGGGGACTGCTCCTAGAGAACGTGCCCCAATCTTCCAGGTCGAATTCACAGGTCATGCCAGTGTCTAGAGCCCAGAAATACGTCTCTGGACCCGTGGCCTCTCCAAAGTTGACACCAATTTGAGAAAAGCACGACAGTGTGCTGGCTGCCGGAATCTCGGCACAGTGAGCACTTGTCAGGCTCGACAGCGTACGTACAAACGGCACCGAGGTGAGCGAGTCTGTCGTGAGATGAAGCCTTCCGAACTAGCCCGTTCCAATGTCCATCATCGCTAGGTCGGTTGCATCGGTATGTGAATCAAGAGAGCAGACGAACAAAGATATGATGGCGAAAATGGGGCCGAAGAACGCGACTCTGTTTCAGTACGCCATGTCAGGTTTCTGGTCACTCTGATAAACGGATAGATTGGTGCATCTTACGGCGCCGGCGTTTGAGCTTCGAAGCGTATGCGCTCAGTAAGGAGAATAGCGTTGCGAGCAGCATCGACCGGGGCAGCTATTGAGTTTGCAACAACCTCCCGATACTGCTCATCAGGTACCAGGCGGATCAGAGAACGCAACCAGGGATATGCTAAGACCGTGTAGATGCTCATTTTGACCGTCAGATAGGCGACTTGTACACATAATTTCTGCTCCATGCTGAAACCAGGCGCGGATAGCGTAGATGACATTCTTTCACCCGCAGAGATGCCAGATGTGTTGTAAAGAGTCTTTTCCACGCTTGACCGCTCCACTGCCAACTCTCGAGCGGCGTCGAGTGCGCGTCCCGGTCCCATACGGGAACACTTAGAAGCGAGCGTACCATGTCATTTGGGGGACGCTGCTCCCTTAGCCTGCATCATCAAGCTGTGGGCGACATTCGACCCATCTGTTGCACAGGCTGTGATGTTATCATGATCAATCTGTGTCGGATCAACGCCAGAGTACAAAGCCGCCATGCGGGTAGAAGGTACGTAACGCTGCACGTCGATCTGACCAGAGGTCGATATCAGGGTCTTTGGCTGAACATTACGAGTCTCTTGAGATTGATTGTGAGCACCTGACATCACGCATTCAAGCCCGCGATCTATGCAGTTCGGACATGAACGGTCGGGGCCTTCGACATTGCCCAGGTGAGCGTGGTGGTGTTAACGATGTTTGACACCTAAATATTGCTTCTCTGGCCATGTTCTCAAGACGGTGGGAGTATCATCAGGTCTGTCGAGGCGTAAGAAGGCCCAGGGCCCGACGATTGGGCTCATCTCAGAGGGGCGATCGCGATTCCGACCCGACGTAGAAGGTGGCCCCGAGATGCGGGGTGTCGGTGTCAGGCAAAGAGTGTATCCTCTACACTCCACATACATGACTTGATCTACAAAGTGAACCGTCCCACCTACAAGATAGACCGTCAGCGTTGCGTATAACCACCATGATACCCAAAGAATCCCTACTTCCCGATGACGTGGTCGTCATCGCAGGAGGTGGGCCGATTGGACTGGCCCTGGCACGAATTCTCTCCCACCGCGGCGTTTCTTCGATATTGTTTGAGCGCAACCGAACAACCACCAGTTGGCCAAAGATGGACTTGACGAATGCACGTTCCATGGAGCTATTCCGCACTATTGGACTTGCAGCTGAGCTGCGAAAGCACGGCGTTGACCCGGATATTGATGCAGATGTCCTCATGTCCACAGGCATGGGAAAGGATTATTTATTGAGCAAGTGGGAACTTCCGGGCGTCCACAAATTTGAACAACAGATTAGGGAGTGTAACGACGGCACTCAGCCCCGTGAGGCCTGGCAGCGGATCTCGCAAGCCGTGTTCGAGAAGTGGCTGAAAGCTATATGTGATCGGGATCCACGGATCGATATACGCTTTGGCTGGACTGTGGAGAGTGTCTCGGAGGAAGAACAACGTGTATTGACAACGGTCAGGGACCCTGATGGCACCACACATGTGTTCGTTTCAAAATACTTGGCCGGTTGCGACGGTGGATCCAGCATTGTAAGACGATCGCTCGCAATACCCTTAGAAGGTGGACCGATGTACGTGTCACCCAGCATACCTTCTGCGTTCCTCATTCTCCTAATATTTGTAGTCCAGTAAGAGCCACCCTAGTTCACTTCAAGTCCCGAGACCTTCAACGACTGCACAAACACGGTCGATTCTGGCATATTTTTATTACCAACCCTGCAGGAGGTCTCGGGGGAGCTATAATTGCTCAAGACGAGGTCGATACATGGACTACCCATTTGTTTCTACCCGCGGACGTCGAGGACGAGACGGACAATATGAGTGCTGAAGATGTGGTGGCTCGAGTGCTGGGCGGCATGAACGACCCCTATCCCGTCAAGATTGACAGAGTTCTTGTCCGATCCACGTGGCGACCGGTCATAGCCGTCACTAAAAGCTGGTCTGGACCACACTGTCGCGTCCTACTGGCAGGAGATGCCGCACATCAAAACATTCCGACTGGAGGGTACGGCATGAATATGGGCATAGCGGACGCTTTCGACTTGGGATGGAAGTTGGCTGCTGTCGTGAACAAGTCAGGCGGCACTGACTTGCTCCGCTCTTATGAACTGGAAAGAAAACCTGTTGCGGAGCGCAACGTTGCTCGTTCTGGTGACCACTTCAAAACCCATGCGGATTTGCAAACCCTGCTCACTCGGGATGGATCGGACCCTAACCACGTTGATGAGGACACCGAGAAGGCGCGGGAGACACGGGTCAAGGTCGACGAGCACTATCAGGAGCATGATGGCGAGAACAAAGATTTCGGAATCGAAATGGGCTACCGCTACAAGTCTCACATCATCGTACCCGACAAAGACAGCCCTCCGCTGGCTGAACCTGAGTGGAAACCTTCTGCCTACACACCAACAACTTGGCCCGGCGGTCGCCCGCCCCACCTATTCCTCAGCCACGGAGGCGCACTGTTCGATGAGCTAGGCAAGGACTGGACTCTTCTGACATTTGACGATAACGCCCCTGGAGAAGAGCATTTGGTAACAGCAGCTTCCAAGCTGTCCATTCCCCTCAAAATCGTGTCCTTGTCCCACGAGGCGCTAGCGAAGAGACTGTATGAACGCAACCTTGTCCTTCTTCGACCCGATCAGCACGTTGCGTGGAGAGCCAATTCACTAGGTACAGAGGATGAAGCACAGAGCGTGTGGAACGTGGTGACTGGCCAGACGGAGCGCGCAGAAAGCAACGGTGTAGCTCACTGAAGTGCAGCGTTCTTATGGCATTTGGACATGTCTTGAATGGTATATCTATACAGTCGGACCTGGCTCATACGATATATGGCAACTCCGATCCCATAGCATTATAGATGTTATTTTCTGGGGCAGATAGGTGACTTAACAATTTGTAATTAAAAATGCTACCAAAAGGACTCTGGTGAAGGCTTCCTGTGCTCCTAGAGTTCATAAGGGTCTCATACGATTCAATCAGTGAAGGACCACCACCTTCAGACTAGCCTTGAAGCTGGTTTTGTGTACGGCCCTTGGCCTTCCGACCATGTGTTTGATCGTGTGACAAGAGCCCCCTGCCGAACATGACCCAAAACGTTCGGAAAGGAAATCACGGGGCTTCCGTGCGGGGATACATATCCACTACAGTACCCTCTGTCAGCAGTACCGCCAACGCCCAAGGCTGCATCCCACGGTTTACATCTGCAATTCCGGGACCTTTGGACGCCACTCCCTGCTCGATATCTATTCACAGTTCCAATCTTGAAGTACACTTGGTGATATCATGGGCGCTCCTTCAGCAACTACTGACTTCGACGCTTCGGCCGGGAAAGTCACAAGCCCCGCTGGTCTGGCTCACATCGTCCTTCGAACCGCCAATTTCGCCAGTATGGTGGACTTCTACACAAAATTTCTCGGCGGCACCATCACATATGGCAACGACTTTTTGTCATTCATCACATACGACGAAGAACATCACCGCATCGCAATCATCAGTGTGCCGGGAACCGCCCCGAAGCAACCCACCAGCAGCGGTCTAGAACATGTGTCATTCTCCTTCACCACCATGCACAATCTGCTCCTGGCCTATCGACAGCGCAAGCAGAAAGGCATAGAACCCGTGTGGAGTGTTAACCACGGGCCAACGACGAGTATTTATTACAAAGACCCAGATCGCAATATGATAGAAACCCAGGTCGATAACTTTGCTTCGGTCGAGGAGGCAACAGCCTTCATGAACTCTGAGCACTTCGTTGAGAACCCGATTGGCACCGACGTCGACCCAGAGGATCTCATTGCGAGGCTTCAAAATGGCGAATCTGACAAGTCGCTCATGAAACGTGTCGAGATTGGCGCACGTGCCGTGCCTGACTTGGTTGCCATGTAGATAAACACAGAGCGTAGCTTAGGACACTTCGCATAAATGCTTTTCTCCTGCTTGAATGCTTCTCTCCTGCTTGAATGCTTCTCTCCTGCTTGAATGCTTCTCTCCTGCTTGATCGAAATTATGCCAGGATACTAAACGATGACACCTGGGACCCTTCAAGAGATCGGAGTCTTCACACGATGCCAATGTGATCGGGGATGCCGGACGAATGCGGCCTAGATCATTAGGCATATGGATCATTGACCCTTCAAGGAAACAACGCATATCCTACAATTCATTTTCATCCCACGTCCATCGCGCCATATATTAGTGCTAACATGAAAACAGTGTTTAATCGTTTGATCCGGTTCCAGACCTCTGACGGCGGAATCTTGTTTGGAGAAGCACCCGAAAACTTCGACAGAATCGAGGGAAAAGATGTGGTGACATACGATGGAGATGAGCTCTCGAATCTGACAGGCAGCAACAAGACTGCGAGAGTGGTGAAGGTCAGTGTTCCAAACGTGTGTCTGTTGCATTGGAGTTACTGTCGTAACATGTGTAGTAGGTACTAAGCCCGCTTGCAACCACGCCTATAATCTACGGCATTGGATTGAATTACAAGAATCATCTGGCCGAGACCGGACTACCGACTCCGAAGTACCCAGTGTACTTCTCAAAGCCACCAGGTAACGATGCCGGGCTGTCTAGTAGCTTCGAAACATGTGCTGAAATTATCAAGATGCTCTCGCTGGACCATTCGAAGACATTCCGATCCCACCATGCGTGCGCAAGCTCGACTATGAAGGCGAGCTTACGTTCGTCATTGGGAGAGATTGCAAGGATCTGGAGGAAAATCATGACCCCGCTGATTATATCTTGGGTTACATGTGCGGAAATGACGTTAGCGGACGAGAATGGCAAACACAGGACGCAGCCGGAGGACAACATCATGTGGCCAAGTCTTTCGATAGCTTTGCGCCGGTAGGTCCAATTCTGGCGTCCTGTCAAGTGATTCCCGATGCCATGAATCTGCAGCTTGAAACCAGAGTGAATGGTGAAGTGCGACAGACGACCAACACAAACGATCTTTTGTTTTCTATCACTGATATCTTGGTCAACTTGACACGAGGAAAGACAGTCCGCAAAGGCACTGTTGTCATGACGGGAACGCCAGGCGGAGTGGCTGCTTTCATGAAACCACCTGCGTGGGTAGAAGATGGTGGTGTGGTGGAGGTCCGCATTGAAGGGTTGGGTACACTTCGAAACAAGCATGTCTTTGTGTAGCACGTTGCCCACCGACTGTATCAAAAATGCTGGAAATGGAAGGAGGCGTGAAGTCGTACACCTGTGGGTCCTAGAGGAGTACAGGTGGTTAGCGTCTGAGTCCCGCACGGTTGGTGCAATTATTGCCAAACATTGGGACTCAGACGCGAACCATCAGTTCTGTACACAAACTATCATACAAATCGTCAAGTGATGCCTCGGATTTTGCCCGAGAATGTGGTGTCGGCACTTAAAGAGATGTTGTCCGATAGTGTATCAGCGCTCGCAGCGTATTTATATGCGTTTGACTGGTTTCCGAAGGTTCTCGCAGTGGTTCTGATGCGTTGAAATCGTCTTGTTATTCATTCTACACGTTCGGGTCGTCTCCAAACCATCAAATAAGGTGTAATTCCCGTTCTCAGTTTCATACTAGTGCCAAGGATGCCGCTACCCAGTTGCTACCATCTTGACTGCTCAAACCGTGTCCTCTGGGCTCGATGCCTTGATAGTCAGCACATATCGTCTTCCTCTGATGTGATGAGCGATATAACGCCTTAGACGACGCCCCATCGCAAGGCGAGCGCTAAAACCCGTGTACAAACGTGGGGGCCACGGCTTTCAAGCTGGGGAGGGGTTAATCCTACCCCTCTTGCCATATTCGTTCGGACGCCTCGATGAACTGTACGTGCGGGGGACACGGAGCTTACCGTACTGAGCACGTGATCTACTAGTTGATCATGGATCAGCAGTAATCTGTACCTTACCAAATCTCACGGCCATCACCAATATCAACACCTTCAGCCGAACAGTAACCGTCAAATATGTCCTACATCACAGAAGGCGCAGAATGGATGAACCCTGTGCCCTCAGCTGTCAAGAACTTGATCACCAATTTCTTCCGCATTGGAGATAAGCCTGATCCAGATGCTGGAAATCTATGGGCTGATGAAGTCTTCGCTGCAGACGGGCGTCTGGTTGTCGGTGAAAATGAAATTGTAGGCGAGCAAGGTGGGTGCTTGGGCGTATCTTTCGCAGCAAACCCGTACTGATAACACGACAAGCAATTCGAAAGTCTCGAACAGGCGCATGGGCGGCGATCGAATCTCGACGACACGTGGTTCAGCGCGTGTATGCCGGGGGAAGTGACGCTGAGGATCTCATGCTTCACGGTGTGTTGACTCAAACTATTCGTGGCAATGGTCGTGAAGTTCAGATACCGTTTGCGGCCAGGATGGTCTTGCAGCCAGGATCCCGACAGACATCGAGTCCAAAAATCCAGTTGTATCAAGCCTGGGCGGTAAGAAACTCCGAACGACTGGATGAATAGGCTATGCTGACCATAAAACAGGATCAAAGCCCAGTCCACAGAGCGCTGGCAGGCGGCGGAGTTAGCAACAAGTGATTGACGCACGGCAGTCAATCCTAGCACCAGCACGATCCAGTTGCTACAAGGTCAGAGAAGAACGATGCAAACAGTGTTATTGGTTTACATATATGTCCAATCAATCTGCAAATTCGCTCTGACGAGGATGGCAGTCAAGAGAAATTAGAGGTTGTGATACATTAATGGCGCGGTGAATGTAATAATAGTAACGTGCTAAACGGCTTTTGGGACAGCTCTACTTTTGGGACACTTGCTAGTAAATTCAGATCAAAACCTCAAAACCTCGCGCATCATCATGAATGAAAGCACACAAAACGATGTCATCGGTGTTGGGGAAGGTGGTGGTCGACGTGGGGAAGATGTCGAAGCTGGAAGCTCGACGCCCGCCGTCGCTTTCGCCGCCAGCGTCACAGGCGATGCGGTGTCGGAGGGCGAAGGGGGTGCGGAGTGGCAAATGGTGACCACCGGAAAGGCGAAAGCCGGCGGGGCGAAGAGGGCGGTAGCGAAGAGTAGGCCTAGGGTTGCAGAGAATAACGAAGGTGCGCAACAGACTGCACACGTTTTTGTGGCGGTTTCCACTGCGGAACGCAAATGGAAGGCTGAGAAGAGCGTTAAGACAAGCTCGCGAAGATGGCGGCAGTCATCAAGCAACTTATGAGTGTCCCGATTCAGATGGCGGAGAGTCAAAAGCACTGGTGGAAAGCAACAAGACGATGATGGAAACGATTGAGACCCAAGCTGAAGAGATCAAGGCCATCAAGGCTATTATGCAACAAAGCGCGAGTCAACGCAGGTATAGCGAGGTCGCTACAAGCGGAAACATATTATCGAATACACTTGGGTCGCTAAGGGAATCTCCTTCTTCGAGCAGCGGACCAAGCCGACATGAAAGGCCTCAAAGACAGGACAAGCGGCCAGTATCTATTGACACCGGCAGGGTGAAAGGCGCAAGAAACGACTATAATGGCGTACGGAATGCCTCATGTGCCGGACTCAAGGTCAACAAAGTCACGGAACAGCTAACAATCGAATATTTGCGACCTGACCCCGGCGACAGGATCGACGTGATCTTCGCGGATAAGGACGGAGCCAACAAGGCGAAGCAGCATAGGCGCCAGCTGACCTCAAGCTTGTTAGGTGCGCGCATCAAAGTTGAGCAGTGGTATCCAGTGAAATCTGATAGTGTGGTAAAGCAATGTGTCTTGGATGGCGAGAAGAGCGACGGTAGGACGCTGAAGAAGGACTTTTTGAAGTATTTCAGGGAGCCGTTCTTTCCCACCTCTAAGTATAATTCCGTCTCAAGCACCTTACTATTATTATCCGCATCGTACCCTTACGTTATGTCCCCGCCGCTTACGCAAGATACTCCAGCTGAAACGTAAATCAACACGCAATGTCCTTCCCACAACGACTTCTGAAACGAACCACTTGGCGCGCCAACGGTCTCGGCGTTTCCGCCCTGTTCCTCGGCCTAGGAGTCTGGGCAATGATGAACCCCAGCTCGGCAGCCAGCTCACTCGGCGTTGTCCCCACCACTCCAGATGGCGAGCAGATATATGTGATGTCGATGCAATTTCTCGGTATCCGTAATGCAGCCGTTGGAATGGCGGTTCTGAAATTCTACCAAGACGAGAAGGACAAAGAGATGGGCGTGCTGCTTACCGCGTGGACTTGAGTCTGCGCAGTTGATACATATATCGCAGTAACAGGCCTTGGGGGCTTCGACGACGGTGTCTGGGGACTATGTGGAGCTACGGCTGTGGTCACGGTTGTATGCACTGCTCTGCTGCAATCTTAGTTCGGGTACTCGTCGTTGCTGCCGACCGGCTGTAGTATGATGGGTTGAGGACGGCAGGGACTTGACACTGCAAAGCAATGTGTCGTCTTGGAGGAGAGATCGTTATCTGTGGGTGGCATCGCGGCAGTGCGTAACCAAGAGAGAAAGCAAGGCTGGCGGAGCTCATAATAGCCCTATGTTCCAAGATCCTCTTACGCATCTATCCAGGTTTAGTTCCAATCGCTTTCGATTGGATGGGTCGCTCTTGAATAATTGTGTCCACGCTAGGGGTGTAATACAAACGCCTAATGTACGTTCAGCTCGTATTTTACATGCTCGCTAAGAACAAGATAAGGTATAACGGGTATGTCCGAAGTCATACATCAACCTAAAGGAAGGTTTCGAGGTGCGACGACTGGTCTGCCGGGCTGGTCCTTAGGAAAGTGCACCAATCTTCAACATCTAAAGTACTGTCGGCCCCACCGAGTCTTGAAAACTCATCGTCTATGCCCTGTTGATTTGAGGTAAGATCGTCTCGTGCGTGAAGCGGAGCACTTCGCTCCGCCACCAATGTCGTTAGCGTTCGAACAAAAGGGACGGATATGAGGGAATCGGTCGAAACATATATTCGACCGAAATAGCCTGTCCCAATTTCCATAATAGCCAGGTCAGATTGGGTAGTCTCACTACTCAAGCAGCAGACAAATAGACTGATCAGAGCATAGATTGGGCCAAAGAACGCCACCCTAGAGTTAATAGTGTTAGATATACGCTGTGATGAAGAGAAAGCAATCGGGTCTTACGGTACGGGCGTTTGTGCATTGAAGCGGATGTTTTCCGTCAAAAGCACAGCAGCTCGAGATGTCTTTGCCACGACCTGAACCGACTGCAAAACCGCGTCCGATTCCTGGCTGCATTCGCGAGCTCCAACCAAAGCGCGCAGCCATGGGTATGCAAGTACCGTGTGAATGCTTAACATTGCGGTGAAGTAAGCGTACTGGACGTGGAGATACTGTTCCAGATGTAGCCCACCAGTAGCGTCTGTTGTAGGTTTGTCTCCTAAAACTAGTCCAAAATTGTCGTGTAAGGACGCTTTGATGTTCGTCATCTCGAAGTCCAGTTGCTGCACTACTCGCATAGTAGATTCGAGGTTCAAGTGCCTGCACTGAGCTGTCGACAGTCGTTTCTCGATCTTTGACGACATTTGCGCCAGGCGGATCAAGCAGTGGCAGTACGGAACATTGAGTGCACTACCTGCATCCCCGCCTACTGGAAGCGGACACGTAACTTCATCATCATCAATTGCCTTTCCAAATGTCAGTAGAATAGACGAGATCAGCAAGATTACCTGGCAACACGTACCGATGGTCTGCCAGATTGTGAGGCAATCTGTTTTTCTAAACAGAATATAGCCCAAAAAATGGAATTGCACAAATCCATTTCTTGCAATGAAAGGCCTTGTGTCGAGGGTGGCGCTCGATGAAGACCTTTAGCGAATGCAAGGCGGACGGCATCAGCGGAAAGCATGTACTCAAGGCAAGGCGTACTAATGTTCTGCGTGTAGAAGGCCTAGATTGAACAGTAAGTTCACGGGTATTGACAGGTAGAGTGAGGGACATACCATTAGTGTTAATACCTGAACACCGGCGATAGACGTCTTAAAGAACAAAAGTCTTGCATACACAGAAAGCGCGTTCTCAAAGTAGTGCCAAGCATGCTGTGCGGCTTCATGAAATGGTCTCGTTTTGGACATCTCAATACGGCAGCCAGCTGCAAGGACAACGTTGCGAAGAGCATGCCAGGTTGGGCTGGAATCAAAGAGAATCCCAGCAAGATGAGCTGAAAGTTGCTGTTCGAACCAAGGCCGATGTAGGATACCAAGAGCCGCATCTAGCGAGTGATCGAAATAGGCTAGGACGCTATTAGTCATGTGATGTCGGTCAGCATGGAGGGTTGAGAACCTTTTGTGTATCGCCAGGCTGTTTCGGCGTCTGGCTCTGCTTGCCGCACAGTAGACAGATCGCCATCCATTTTCAAACGGCGCGTGATGTCTGAGGCGAAAGCACTAGCCGCCTCAGAGAATCTTGGGTTTCGTGTCTGTTGACTCACCCAAAGCACAGCGGGTTTGGAGCAAATTGACATGTAGGATCGAGGGCCTTGTTGCCATATCAGTTTCAAATTATGCGGTCATGTGATCGGGGCGCAGTCGCTCACCGTGATACTCCCAATTTGTCTTCGGTAGAAACGGGTGTTAGCATTTGAGCAGCCGACAGCATAATAAGGCGTCTTCGAGGAAAGGTATCTACCGCATGGTTGGACAGAATGCTGCTTCCTTCGCCGACATCATTGAGGCGAGCGTCTGAAACCACCTCTTCGCTTGCGACAAGTTCGATTTCGTCAGTTGGAGCGAGAAGACAGTCTGGTGAGACCAAACGGTTTATTCTTCCATCACCCTCTGCGCAGTCACTTGTTGGTGCATCACCCACCGCGCAGTGATCTGGTCTCAGCTCAGGTAGAAAATTCGGCGTTAGAGATTGGACGTTTCGCGATAGACCACGGGAAGAAGTTACGCAGGCCACGCCACGATCGAGGCAATTCGGACAAGATGGGTCGGTGCTTTCGCCATTACCTGGAAATGGTCAGAATTGCAATAAAGGCATGCGAGGTGAGAAGTAGCGAGCAATGCGCACATCGGATCTTCTTTTCCTTGCAGTGGTCACAGGCACGCCTTTCTCTTTTGCGCTTTTTCGACTGCTCCGGTATCTGCGAGCTGTGGACGGAATCCATCGTCTCATGCGCATTTTTGACCAGCCGATGGAAGTGAGGTCGGCATGACAAGGACCTGGAACCAGACGGGGTCATGGACGCTTCCGGGCCAAAGCAGCAACTTTGCCGAACCTTCCAATGCAAACTTATTGTTATGTTTTGATGCTCAAACTCAAATTTTGCCTTGCAGCGGTCGCCAGGAATCACAAATAACCGTGGACCCGTATAATGCGAATCTGCCCGAGTCCATGACATTTCTTCGAAATAACAAACCGGCCGGTGGACGCAACCCTACAGTAGATCACTTCAATTCTCGTGACAGGCGACCGACTCCATAAGCACGGACGGTTTTGGCACTCTTCTTCCACTGACCCTAGTTACCCTACTAGATATAGGTGGAGCGATCATTGCTCAAGACGAGATAGATACATGCGTAGCTCACTTTGTTCTCCTAGTGCACATGCACAAGGCCAATGCTGTCGACGAGCCCACCGGCGCGTGGTCACTAGGGCTATGGGTACACAACGCACGAAGCGGCTCGGCCCGCGCGACACGGCCCGGAAACAGACTATCCAGAAGCGTTCGGAGATCAGGAGAGCGGATACTTATGAGCACGGGCACGAGCCACTAGTAATCTATGAACAGATCTTCGTCAGAGTCTGATTACCTCAATGTCTCGTAGGTATCCTCCGTGTGGCATCGAACCTGACAGAAACTAACTATGAGCAACAAACCGCGAAAGCTCTGGGTGCACAAAGATGTTGCATCCACTCAAGTTGTTGCTTTTCGGCGCCAGGCCAATCTGAAGTATGGGTTGACTTTAGGTAATAGGAAATTCGAACAATGTAGCACGGCTTCAAAGGAAGTATCTGACTTGCGACAGAGAACTACCATGACCTTTGGAAATGGTCAACGGAACAGATCAATGATTTCTGGATGCATGTCTGGGAATACACTCAGGTCATTGCGTCAGTAAGGCCTCAATTTGCCATAACGGAAGCGGACTCGCATCATTTGATGCCGCGACCAACTTGGTTCCCGCAAGCACGCCTTAATTTTGCACAGAATATCCTGGAGAGTCCCTTCGCTGCAAGAAGTCCTGGCAGTATAGTACTGACCGGTATCCGCGAACTCGACGAAGTGGAACATTTAACGCTAGAGAGCCTACAGGTGCGGGTCGCGCAGCTTGCTAATGCCCTGACCGTCGGGGGTTTTAAGGCGGGAGACCGTATTGCCTGCATCGGATCAAACAGCATCAACACCTTCGTCATCTTTCTGGCGACGGCAACGATCGGAGGTATATTCACATCGTGCTCTCCAGAGACTGGTGAAACAGGAATTTTGAATCGTTTCATCCAAGTCCGTCCAATTGTGCTCTTTGCAGATGATGCGCAGGTGTACAATGGAAAACGAATCAACTTACTGGACAAAGTCAAGTCTGTAGCACGAACCCTCAGTGAAAAGGCTGGACTAAGCAGAGTCATCATCATACCTCGTTTCGATAATGTGGTGCAACTTGCCCCGCAGAATCCTCCGATGATCACACTTGCTCAGTTCACAAGAGGTGTTTCACACCGTCTCACTTTTGCAGCCCTACACTTTGACGACCCACTCATCATTGTATACTCTTCCGGGACGACAGGCGAACCAAAATGTCTCGTTCATAGCGTCGGCGGTGTACTTTTAAAGCAGAAACTCGAACAGATCGTATGCACCGATATGAGACCGGGTAGCGTGCATCTACAATACACAACGGTATGGTTCCCTCCTTCCTGCCATTCCGGTGAAGCTAACGACCAGATAGACCAATTGGATCATGTACATGTATGCAATCTCTGGGCTACTCAGTGGGGCAAGATCCATCTTGTATGATGGCTCGCCCATGGTGCCCACCATCACTGGATTCATGCAGCTACTCGCGCGTCACAACGTGACCCATTTTGGTACGAGCGCACATTACTTGAACCTTTTGCAGCAGCACGGCTTGAACAAAGACAACCTCCCACCCATGAAAAATCTCGAGGTGATTACAAGCACTGGGTCTGCTTTGGCCGAAGGTCAATACGATTGGGTGTATAGAACATTTCATGACGTGCAACTCAGTAGTATTGCAGGTGGAACGGACATAGCGGGTGCTTGTAAGTCGGCCACTATTCAATGATAAGATGTTGCTCTGATATTCTCCCAATAGTTGTTGGCGCTAGTCCTGATCTACCCGTTTACGCAGGATGGTGTCAAGCGAGAGTCCTAGGGATGCGAGTGCAGATATATTCCGAAACCGGAGAAGCTATAGAAGAATCCGGGCAGCCGGGGGAGCTTGTTTGTACTGCGCCGTTCCCGTCCCAGCCGGTATCCTTTTGGAACGATGAAGGGTGTCAAAAGTACCGAGCGGCATATTTCGAGATGTTCAAGGGTTCGTACGTACAGTAAGAGCAGCTGGGCATTGGGTGACAACGCAATAGGAACCTGGACGCAAGGCGACTTCATTCGCATGGACACAAAGACGCAAGGCATTCAATTCATGGGCCGCAGCGATGGCGTGTTGAATCCCTCAGGTCTGCTAATATCACCCTTTTGGCATCAATGAAATCCTGACTGAACATGATTAGGAGTGCGCTTTGGCAGCGCGGAAGTATACAACTGTCTAACAACATTTGCGGACTTGGAAGATTCACTATGCGTCGGGCGACGTCGACCTCAAGATTCTGACGAACTTGTTCTACTGTTCGTGAAGATGAAGTCCGGTCACCCATTCAGCAATGAGCTACGAGCTGCAATAAATGAACGCATAAGAACGCAGCTCAGTGCAAGGCATGTTCCAGCCTTCACTTGCGAGACTCCTGACATTCCGATGACGGTGAATGGCAAGAAAACAGAAGTAGTCGTCAAGAAGATCGTTTCTGGCCAAAAGATCATACCAAGCTCGACGATTGTCAATCCGGGGTCGCTGAGATGGTATGAGCAATTCGCTTCCATGGAAACGAAGTTGTTCCGAAACGATGAGCCGCGAAGAATCAAGCTGTAGGACCATTTGTATGAAGGGAGCGTAACCAACAAGGCGTGACCTACAAGGACATGACTTATTGGGAAGGTTGCCTAGGCTTCATCTCACTTCTAAGATGATTGGCGTAGTTGATAGCTTGACAAACCACCACCGTCAAAGATTGATCTTGGCGCCCCAACAATCTCCTTCGAAATCGCTTCCTGCAGGGCCGATGCTCGGCCTCTATGTGTTTTGGAAATGTCGGAATTGTTGAAATGAGTAGCTTGAGCAGTCCAACTCCAAGTTTCATCCTACCCGACCTTCGATAGCGGACATGTTCGACGAGCCCAAGTTTGTGCCAGAGCCTAAAGTCTCACAATCACCAAGACCCTCCAGCACAGATACCAAACCACATAATGTACGGGAAGCAGGAAGTCGTTAGGCCTTCCTTGCCACCTTCTCACAGGACGATGATCGTAGGATTATAAGAAAGGTCGACAGACGATTCTTACTGCTCATCGATGTTCTCTATCTGACCAGAAACCTGGACTATCAGAATGCCGCTACGGCCAAGGTCTTGCAGGTCGACGAGCCGTGTAATATACTAAAGGAGCTCAACATGACTTTAGATCAATATAGCTGGGCGCAGTCGAGATACTTTGTACGTCACCGGCATGACGTGCTCCTGAACATGCTTCCCATACTGATATGAAAGACACCAGATCACCTACATCATCTTCGAAGTCTCGTCCAACCTGCAACTGAAACGTATCGGACCACGAAAGTGGCAATCGCGCATGATCCTCTCCTGGGGAGTAGTCTTCGCTTGCCATGCTGCGATCCAGAACAAAGAGCCTTAGTATGCTGTGCGATTCCTGCTGGGTATCATGGAGGCCGGCATGTTCCCTGGTCTCGCAGCTCAGCTTTATAGCTGGTACCGGGGTGACGAGATGGCCAGACCCATTGTGTGAATTTTCGGATTCTAGAACTGTTCAGGTGTGGTGGACTCTCTGCTATCCTATGGTATCAGTTACCTGAATGGATTTTACGAACTGAGTGCGTGGAGATGGTGGGTGTTCTACGGCAAAGGACTGTTGAGTGGTAAGTTGACTGCCACGCAGGGTATATCTTCTAGAAGGTTAATATACCATCCTCCTAGCGCTCGTCGTCTACCTGGTTCTGCCGGACTATCCCAGGTCCCCTCGCTCTGCCAAGTGGCTCACGCCACGAGAGCAGGAGTACCTGCAAGTACGCCTCTCCGAGAACGCGTCAGTAACGCACGATGCAGCATTCACAAAATCTGAAGTCGTCGCCTCTCTCAAAAACCCTCGAACCTGGAGTTTTATGATCAACCAGCTCATGGTCAATCTAGCTGGGTATGGTCTGTCATGGTTCCTACCGACCATCACCACGAGCTTGGGCTTCGCGAATCTGCCAAGGAATCAGTTGTTGAATATCCCACCAGCTGCGGTGTCAGTTCTGGCGATCATCTTCTCAGGATGGTTCTTGAAGCGAGGTTGGCTGACACGACCCGCGTATACACAGCCCATGAATGCGGGCATGATGGTCTGCTTCATCCTTTTCTTCACTATCTCGAACAGGGTTGGGATCTACGTGGCTTGCATTTCTGGCACGATGTTCTATAGCGTCTACTTCATCCCTTTCTGGGCTTGTAGGCTACTCTGATCGCATTCACGCCGATCAGACCATTACTGATACGTGCTTAGGGCGTTCCTCGACCTTGACGGGCACAACAGGTACAGCCTTCACTCTTGTCTTCCAATTCAGCATCGGACAAGTCGGTGGTGTCGTAGGACTCCAGCTTTTCCGATCCAAGTTCGCGTACAATAGGTACAAGGTCCCATTTGCCGTCTGTGCTGGAGCGATTATCCTTGGCTGGGCTGCTAATCTCTGGACTTGGTGGTAGACGAGAAATGTTGAGTATGATGTTGTTCGTATCAGATGGCTGCGCATCCATGCGGAAAAGGAAGGTGCGGTGTACGGTGAGGATGATGTGAAGGTGTACGAGGAGAGGAAGTTCTATGGGGGCGTGATGCATAAGAACAAGGATGGGGAAGCTGTGTGAAGTCGTTAGAACGTTTAGAAGTCGGCAGGAGTCCATGGGTAGGGAGACATGGTGCCACATAGCTACAAAGACCCTGATTGCTGTCTGCCATGAGAAGATAGCCGATGAGAATTTCGTTAGACGGCAAGACAGCAAGAGATCGCCGCAGGCACTTCAAGCATCTTGCAGCATAAAACCTTGAGCAGGCGTGTTTCTCACACGCTTCTCAGACCATCTGAGGCCGTAAATCAATCGGCTTTTACCGCGTGCACGCTCGGGGGATGGGCAGGATGTATATTGATACAATTGATCTGATAACACGTTTGTCCCGTAGTCTCTACGAAGGTCTAGAATCTAGTCCATGTCCTCAAGGACTTATTGGTAATGAAGGATAGCTTATGCTAGATGTCTGCAGTCTACTCGGTGCAAGCGCCAAGCTGTTGCTGCTCGCACTTCCAACATTGGTATGCGGTGGGTGACTGGCCTGTGTAGCAGACGCAGGGGTGACGGCAACGACCTTGTACCCCCTCGCCAGGCGAGCCCTGAAGGCCTTCTCGATTCCTCCTGGAACTCGTATAAGTGCGTGAACAGGGAGCAGGGATCGTTGATAGACTTACGAATCATTAAGTGTATGTATTCAGCGAAGACTGGCGCCCAGACCGCGACTGCTATGATTTGACCAAGTGTCCACTGGCTTTGGCTGATGTTGAGCCAGCCGAAGAACTTGACAAGGAGGAATACGTTCGCATATACAAGCCAAGCCTCTGCAAAGTACGCGAAAATTATTCGTGTGAGCCTGAACATGCGACTCCGTAAGGGCTGATGGCCTTTCCGAGATAACCAATGGTCAATCATCACAAAGATGTTTACGCGTTCGGCGACTTGTGATACTGGGTGGACGGTCCCGAATACGTTCGCTCGGTCAACGAGCAAGCAGAACATAACGAGTATCGGGAGTACAAACGTAGCCCACATGAGCGATGATACTGGCAGGGAGGCCTTGGCGTAATTGTAGGCGCTCTGGCAGTACTTGCGTTGGTCAAGGAAACCAGCGCATTCCCAGATCTCTTGGCTCATGGGCGTAAAGTCGTTGATTCCCACGGGCTTGAAGTGCGTGGCAATCCACGTTGTTGCACTAACAACAACGCAGACGCCGGACCAACCAAGCGTCAGCCATTCGAGCGGTCCATCTTTGCGAAGGACCAGAAGGTTAGCCACGACAGTGCATCCTCCTGATGTGGCCAGGTCATTGAAGAATGAAAGCATTCTTATCAGGCCCTCCCAATCTTGCACTCCGAGGATCTTGCGGTCGTACAGCGCTACTAATGCGGCAGTCTGTAAGCTCAGCATGAAGAAGACCTGCGTCCGCTGAAACTCTACCAAGGCCGAGACCAGTGCCGCTCTCTGGACAGGATATTGGTACCTCTCACTGACGCGGTCCGCTTGAAGACGTGCGGCGTTAACAGTATATCCGCGCAGTATCCTGGCCATCGCATAGACTACTGCTCGTAATACGTTATCAGCCAATGACAGTAGGGACCAGGTGATCAGTAGCACGAGCAGTTGGATAATGAAGGACACAATGACCTGACGCCAACGTTAGTGAGAGTCAATACATCCCCACATGAAATGACCTGCACCGGTGCCTGCAATGTCAGCATTTGGAGGCTCATCAAACCCAAAGCACATGACTGGCCAATTGTCGTAGAGCTCGACCATGATCTGTGGTTTGTAAGCGTGTATGCAGCTCATAACTAGCACCAGAGCACACATACCAGCGCCGGATGGGCATCGCCTAAGCTATAGGTGGTGTTCATCATGTTCGCCTGGCAGCTCAGACCAATCTTCGCTCTACAGAAGGCTTGAAGACAATTGTCCATGACTGGCCAGTACGTGTTAGCATACTCCAGCACTACCTGTAGCTCTGCCACACCCGATGTCACTATGGCGTACTGATCGAGAAGTGCGACATTGCTGACCGGTTCGATCCCGTACTTTTCGACGATGCCCGGCGTGCTTTCCACCAGTCCACCGAAGGCCAAAGCTGCGGACAGAATAGGCAACAACATGCAGTTCTGTAGCGTCCAAGTAGAATTCGGTTGTCCCCACGTGATTAGTGGGCCGGTCAAGACATCAAGACAGGCCTGTGTGCAGTTGCGCTGGTCTTCAAGTCTCTCGAGCGATACCTGGCCAGGATAGAGCTCGATGGCGCCACAGCCGGCTTCCCACAGTATGATCACATTCTCTTCCCTGGCTGGCTGCCCTTCGTAGGCAGGCCCAGCAGGCGCGACACCGCCGTGCGCCCATCCGGGAGGCTCCTCAATCATCTCTCCATTAGGTAGGGGCGCCCAGCCAATCGCATCGGATTTCGCATTGAGGTACGAATAGGACTCGATGGGGATAGGAGGAATCCTGACTTCGGAAACTGTAAGGTATGTGTCGCGCATCGTCGCTCGCTGTAGCGGGACGATAAGCGCGTACCTCAAGACACCAACAGTGGTGTGCACTAAGAAGGGTAAACATGCAATACTTGGTCGTCGATCGGCGGATCGTTGAGGGAAGATAGTATCGCCGGTCCGGATAGTTCTAGACTTGTCTTCACGACGGCTAGCATCTTATAGCAAGACTAGTGGTCACTCAGCCTTCGAATGCTTCGAAGCGTACCCTTGGGCCCACCAGATCGTGCTTTCCGTACACAACTGCCCGTGATCGACACGTTTCATTGTGATGAACATTGATATCTATGAGCAGGCGGTCTTATTCTGCCGCAAGTACTAGCTTTAGGCAGCAAAGGGCCATAACACCGTCTGCTCCCGCACTGCCTCCAATCGCCAGCCGCTGCATAAAGTCCGCGACTACGCATTCTGCGATTTTTGCACCCTCTAGCGCCTGATCCGTTCGCGGAGCTTGTCAGCGACCATTCGTCCGCCGGTCGCCGACAGCGGGACGCATCTTCCCGAATACGGTCGTGTTGTGCGCCTGGATAGGCCACTTTCAACTACCACGTGTATGTGGGCTCCTTAGAGACAATGTCTTATACAGGCTGAGATTGAATCAAACCTGGTGTCGTTGGTGTGAAGAGCCTTCCCATCGGTTGCTATTCGAACGTGAGGGTAAGTAGTAACCTTCGGCGCCCTTCTTGGCAGTCTGAGAATATCAAGAGGTATTGTGGATAGAGCTGCTGGGGATGAATAGTGCAACAAACATTGGTCTCCGGTTTTTAGTCACCGTGCTCCGACTATATCCATCCAGCACGCCTAAGCATCCAACTACCGCCACCCACGAGCGCCGTACAACCCGAGAAGATGATGATCGGACTATACTCCGTCCCATACCCGAACTCTGCTCTCGAGTGCATGCGATCTCCAGCAATGAGCAGCAACTCGCTAAGCGGCCCAGAAGCCACAGCACCAATGCCTCTCCCCGCCGCCAGGAAGCCAAACAACATACTGGCGTCAATGCCTTCGTGCCTGCGCTGAATCTCCTTGACCATGCCGCCCCATGTCGACGAGTAGCCGCCGGCGGTCAGGCCGTATGTGATACAGAAGATGTAGATGGGTGCGACGGAGATCGAGAGACCCCAAGTCAAGAAGATCGTCGTGGCCGCTAGGAGGCTGATGCTGAATAAAATGGTAGTGATGTCAATGCGGTCGGCCAAGAAGCCGACGGTGATACAGCCGAAGATTGAGGAGAGATTGATCAGGATCAATGTGAGGGAGCCGAATGTTGAGCTAAGACCAAGCGATTCCACGTATGTAGGGAGGTAATTGCTGGGAAGGAAGTAGCCCGAAGCCTGTAAGACATTGAACGCCTCGAGGGTCCAGAATAGCGGAGTTCGAATAAAAGAGATGTCGAGTGGGCGGGGCGTGGCCGTGGCCGAGACGGGCACGCGGGGTTGTAGGAATACCAGCAGTGGCGCCATCAATAGCACGATAATGCCGGCGATTATGCGTAGAGTCTGCAGTAGAGTCAGCAAGGGTGTCATCAAATCGTACTGTAGGACCATGCAGACTTACCCATCTGAATCCGACCCTGGAAAGCAGAACTTGCATCAAAATGGGCATGATCACACCGCCAGCGCCATCACCAGCCCACATGATCCCGACCGCCAGCCCTTTCCTTCTCACAAACCACTCGTCCAGATACGTGATCGTTGGCGTCACCAAAGCATTTCCAGCAATGGCATAGAGTACACCTTGGAACACCAAAAGCTGAGGCACAGCATTCGCGAGACTCGCCCCGACCAAAGCGGCGACCAGAAGCGGCAGACTGGCAAAGCACGACCAACGTCTCCAGCGAGGATATCTCTGAAAGACCCAGAAGTAGATGGGCATGGTCAGGTAGCTCAGGCCTGTGGCCGTTGTGCCGATGGCGGGGATGCCGGAAGGGTGGGACTTGAAGGGTTCATGGGTGGTGTAGTATTCTTGGAGGACACCGAAGGAGAAGGCGAAGCCCCAGACGACGACGTTGCTCACGAAGCAGCCGGTTAGACAGAGCCAGGCGCGGAAGCCTTGGTCGGTGGGTGGGAGGGCGTGCTGGGCTCGGTTCGGGTTGACCTCGGTGTTGCTCCCGTTATGGTCGTCCGATGAGCTGCTTGATGTTGGTGATTCACCAGTCCTTGCGTTCAGCTCGATGGCGTCCATTGCTCGGGAGTAGTAGCCGGGATTTGTGCAGATCCTTTGTTGTTGTGCGAGCCAGATCAGCTTGGATATGTCTTCATTTCCGGGAGCACGCCAACTCACGCCCTACGAGCCTTGGCAGCAGCTACCGAACAAGGACAGCATCGGTGAGATGGTCGCTCCATGCTCCCTTCTAGTGAGTATGAGATCACGGTGAGAGCAGGGATACGAGCAGGAATCCAGTGCATCGAGGGAGGAAGTAAAGGAAGAGGGGGTAGAATGGCGTTGCCCGGGTGTGCTCGTTAGAGTGTTTGCCCCGCGTGATCCCTTGTAGCTTAATCTCATAAAGCGGGTATCACTCATACCGGATCAATGAAAGTACGCCCACACTCACTTGGAGGTCACAAGACCATCACTAGAACTAGCGCTCATGAATATGAGGGATACCACGCTGCCCATCGGCCTCCTTCCCTGATAGACGCGCAAAGTTCCATCACAGCCACGACATGAGGGCCAACGAAGAAGGCAACAACACACCGTCCAATGTCACGGCAGCACGGCCGATTCAGAAACGCAAACGAGAGAGTGGCGGATCACGCGTAGTGTCGAATAAATCGGCTCGGACCAGCACACCCAACGCCTACGCTCGCCGATCACCGCCACCAGCAAGACGTACTGATAAAGACGAGGATGACAAACGCCGAAGCAAAGCCCGCGAACCCTCCCACTCTCGCTCACGATCACCATCACCCGTCCGCCAGCTTAAACGACCAGGAGGTGGTGCCCGCATATCCCGCGATCAAGCCGAGGCTGCTCGGCGGCAACGAGAGGAAGCCGAGAGGAGCAACCTCGCCTCGCGGACGGCAACGGGAGCAGAGCTGGTGGCAGAACATTACAATGCTGTGCCCGAGCGAGGCCGAGAATGGCGGAAGACGGACTCACAGATCAAGGGTCTACGAAGCCTCAACAACTGGATCAAGAGCACACTCATCCAAAAGTTCTCGCGCCCCGACATACCACCTCAGGACGGACTAAAGGTGCTAGACATGGCGTGCGGGAAGGGAGGGGATCTGGGGAAGTGGGAGAAGGCGCCGACCGTGCCTGCCTTATACGTGGGGTGTGACATAGCAGAAGTCAGTATTGAGCAAGCACGAGGCAGATACAGCGAGAATATGCGCAAGGGTGGAGGACGAGGGGCCAGAGGCGGTGGTCGAGGCGGCTATGGACGGCCTCCACCCATGGACGCGCATTTCTTCGTGCAAGACACTTTCGGCCAACCCCTCTCTAACATACCCATCGTGCGCCAAGTCGGCTTCAATCCGAATGCTGGACCCGGACCTAGCATTATTCAAGGCGGCATGATGAGTGGTGGGTTTGATGTAGTGAGCATGATGTTCGCTCTCCATTACTCTTTCGAGAGCGAGACACTGGCACGTGGTATGCTGAAGAATGTGGCCGGGGCGTTGAAGAAGGGCGGGAGATTTATTGGTGTCATGCCTGACAGCGATGTGATTTCAGCAACCGTCAAGAGGCTATTGCAAGCAGAAGGGTTGGGTGCAACACCAGGAAACAAATCTGGATCGCAGAGTGTGAATCATGGGAACGGTGACGCAAATGGTGCGCAGGAGGCCGACCAGGAAGATGATTGGGACCCCGAGAAGCCTGCGGATGGGAATGGCGAGGCGGGGGACGAAGATTGGGACCCGGAGAAGCCTTCAGACGCTGTTACAGAGCCGGTATCGAACGGTCAGACCACGACTACAGATGGCGCTGGAGACGAGGAGTGGGATCCGGAGAAACCTGCAGAGCCTACTCCCACGATAAACGCGCACACCAATGGCGACAAGAGCACGAATGGATCTCATGAGCAGCCCAATTCCATCCCAATCCACGAAGGCTCAATAGAATGGGGCAACAGCATTTACGCCGTCCGCTTCCCGCGCCATCAACCCCTCACCTCCCGCCCCCTCCCGAAAGATGGCATATTCCGCCCCCCCTACGGCTGGAAATACCACTACAGTCTCGAAGAAGCCGTCAACGCACCAGAGTTTGTGGTACCGTGGGAAGGCTTCCGTGCTTTAGCCGAGGACTACGGACTCGAACTCCTGTACCGCAAAGGCTTTAGGGAGGTCTTTGAGGATGAGAGCGAGGATCGGGAACTAGGGCAGTTGGCGGAGAGGATGGGGGTGATGTCTAGGGATCGGAGCGAGGGGAGGGGTGGATTGTTGGTCAGGGAGGAGGAGATGGAGGCTGCTGCTTTCTATCATGCTTTTTGCTTTTACAAGACGTGATTGGCTTTTGCTCGGTCGGGCTGTGGATGCTACTCGGCCGTGCGAATTGGTGTTTATGTGCGCAGAAGAGGGTCGAGACGTCGGCGCCCGACACCAGAGACTCGGGGATGCTACAAGGGCTGTGCTAGGTAGTGCAGTGCAAGTAGGAAAGCCTCCACACAGGCAGGATCTCCAGCTCGTACCAGCTTGTCAAAATCGCGAGAGTCCCAATCATCATCTCTAATAAGTTTGTGTTCTTGTGCCGAAACGCCGTGCACACGCGCAAAGAGAATCCTTCGTGTATCATAAGCTCGGCGCCAATGGCACTAGGGTGGCGCAGCTTCGTCGATCGATCCTACTGTGCGACTCCTTCAGATCGTTCTCTATAAACAGCTTGATTCCTCTGTTGGCTTTATACCTACAGCCCATTGCACAGACGAAGGAAAGCTTTGCTGGTATTGTGATATCACGAAAGCTTGACGAAATCGACAGCCGCGCGGATCGTATTAAGCTCTTCGTCCTCACTTTTGCCGTTCCGCCGATATTGGGAGCGACGACAACTACTCGTCCGAAGGAACCCAAAAGCTCTATCGCCAACATGCTGTCTCATCGCCTCTGCATCCTAGCGCTGTCAATTCCAGCCATTCTCGCCCAAAACTTCAACTTCACCTTACCAGTCGCCCCCTCAACCTTGAACCTCTCGGCCTCGGCCATCGACATATCCTGGAACCGCGGTATCGATCCCTACACTGAAGCCGATCTCGCCTTCACCGGTCCAGGGTTCAGCTACCCGCTGGTCAAAAACCTTAGCATCTCGACCAACCACTACACCTGGGATCCGTACAACGTCTCTCAAGCCCTACAGCAGGGCAAGACGCAGTTGAATGATGCGACTATCTACCAATTCCAGGCGATGATGCATAATGCGAATACTACCGCCGGAGCCACGGTCGTGAGTGGAGAGTATAGTGTGGATGGGTATCCGTATCTCAGTAGTGCGGAGGCGGGAGCTGTAAGACCGTCGTGGGCGGGCTTGGGGATGGCGGCTTTAGGGATGATGATGGCTGCAGCGATGTCCTGTTGAGAATGTACCAATTGTGTTCTATGTCAGATGATCTTCCTTCCACCAGATCAAGCCTCCCTTCACTAGCCCAGCCAGAGGGTTACCTTCGCCGTCTTGAGCTGAGCCGCTGGCGATAGTGAAGCCCAGTTTGTTGTAGAACTTGTCCTTACCATAGGCACTAATCACGCTGATCGGAAGTTGTTCTCGCGTTGCCTGATCAATGCCCCACTGCATGAGTCTCTTTCCGTGACCTTCACCTTGGTGGTGTGGTGAGACGGCTAGCAGAGCGATATCCCAACACTGCTCTCTTGGCCCTGGCAACACAATCAGATAAAACAGCAAAGGTTTTTGATACTCGACAGATCGAGAATTCTAAGACGAACCACTCCATTGATGACTTATATAATCATAACTTCGCTCCAAGTAATGGATACGGTCAGGATGCGCAGCTCGATTAGGTGGCAGTGCAGGCCACTCCGCCTGCTTCTTCTTGGGATCCTCCACCTCATCTTTCCTTCCTTTACGTATCCATTCCGTCCACGCAGCAACAGTCTGACTATCGCCTTCGCCAACGGTAGATACCAGGAAATGGCTAGCCGGGTCGTTCCAAGCCTTTCGGATGAGTGCTCGCCAGTACAGCCGTACACCTTCCGGGTGTTCGTGCCGATATGGATGGATCAGCTCACCAAAAAGCTCGTCGTCCCAGAATGCCTGGGCGGCAATCTCTGACATGGGCTCGATGTCATCTTCGGTGGCTGGTCTTATTGGCATCGTGATGGTGGTGGCGGTCGATACTGCTTGGGAAAACTCATGTCTGTGTGTAGATCACCAATCTGTAGAAATTTGTGCTTTCACAGTCCGTGATTGATGCAGGGTCGCGGACCGTTTGCGGTTTTGCGGCACTTGCTCGGCATGCCCTTTTCACTAGAATACGCTCACCTTCATTCATCTACACCGTCCGTAAATTAAATCTTCTATGTTTCACTATATGTTTCGAGTCATATCTGTCGGGGGCGACAACACAGGCTTCGCTTCCTATCAGTCTGGCCTGTATGTCTCCAACCCCATCGCACCCAAACACAACCGCGGCTCTCCTTCTCAGGTATCGGTGGCGTGATCTCCCCTGAGACCCGAAGGCTTCAGCCACATCCATTAAGGGACGCATTTGGGCTCCAGCATCAGGCGATGCATCACACCGGTCTTATGTCCGGTGGTGTGACAATATTCGGATCCAAGAAAAGAGCCCTCTTGACTTTCTGCCTTCGCTTTTCTTGGCTATCCTGGGCAATGCTTGATCCAAATGTTGAGTATGCCTTACCTATCCTCGGGTCTCACCGAACAAGGAAGATAGGCTTAGACTGGCCGGCCTGCTATAAAGCCTTTCGCCATGACCGGCGATGCCTACGGGTTGCATCGCTGCTAGTTGGTTGTGCTCTGCTAGTGACATCCCCTCATAATTGCCCACAACTTTACTGAACAATCATCTCTTTCCATACGTGTTGACAGGCCGTCCAGCCATCTCGCATATCTTGTCATGGGCGATATACCTCAGTGGGGCTACCAGGCATGGCAAGGTGGCATTGGTGAACTCGGGGTGGAGTGGAACTACTGTAACCAGGAGTGGGCAATCTGTTCGCCGCAACCACAAGGTGAGACGAGATAATACCAGAAACAACAAGCTCGCGGCCATCTTTGCAAGAGAAGTCTGACGTGCGCTGACCATCTGCTTGTCCAGCCTGCGCCTTCACAGGAATCTGCAACAACTGTGCAGGATATCTTGCAAAGCCCTTCAAGTCGGCTTCCTGCTGCCAATCTGCCACTCCACAGCCGTGCTTCGAAAGCGTCCTAGCAGGCGCCAACAACAACGCGAACCTCGCCACGCCAAGCTCAGCCCCTGTAACCATCACAGACCCAAACCTATCAGTTTGCGCCACAGCACTGTCCGGTCTCTCCGCCTGCGAAGCAGCGACCTCTTCCTTCACAGACCTAGACGCTTCGGTGCAAGCAAGCTGTCTCTGCTATAACTCCGGTGGTAGCTTCGCTGCTTCGGTCTTCGATGGGCCATGGAGTTCCTGTGTAGCGTGGGCACAGACGGCAGACACGACCGACTATCCGGCCCTATCGAGTGCGATGGGCTTCTGCTCGAGCTTCGCAGGCCAAAATCAAGCACAGCAGAGTCCGGGCGCGACCGGCGGAAGTGGTGGCAGCGCGGGTACAGGCGGTGTCAGTCAGGCGAGCAAGACCTCAGCATCGCCAGGATCCACTCAGCAGACTTCTGCTCCCCAGACCTCAGCAGCTGGGTCTACAGCTTCGGCGTCACAGAAGGTAGCCACTAGCGGTGGGCGCAAGTTGAAGAGGTCCGGTTTCCAAGTTCTTGTCCTGGTATCTGTGGCTATGCTGTTCCGTGCTTAGCTCTCAAGTCGTTAACTTGACAAGCAATGTACATCACTGACGTGCTCGATAATGAGTACTGGAAATATGTAATCAGCATCAAAGAGTCGTGCAAACTTACAATATTGTGCGCAATGGCGCCACCTCTACCAATCATCCATAAGCAACAGAGCATCTTTGACGATATCGTATGTGATGTTCGTGAGTAGATGTTGCTGAAATTGCTATCACACTAGGCCACGATGACGCGAGAGATTGGTGAAGCGTGTCTAGTTGCTGCAATATGGAAATCTAATTAACCCAATATTTCCAAGCTCGCGTACTTTAGAGAATATAATAGTTCATAGCGCCAGGTCCACCGCAAAGATAGCTTGAGTCTCCGGCACAAGTCATGGAGCATTGAGTCGAAGTTGTAGCACCCGAGGCCGTTACATCGCTTTGTGCGCCGCAGCTGCAAAAATGTTAGTGTACACTCATACGCGTTGAGGAGGCCAAGAACTTACAAGCACTGGTTACCATACTCAAGGCCAGCGACAGAATAGCTCTGTACAGCACAAGCATTGAGACAAGTGGTGGCGTCATTGTTGGCGACGTTGATCTGAACAGGTAGGCTGCGAGAGTTGACGTTGTCGGACAAACACCCGGCATACTGCCACGTACTCGGGAGTCCGCTGGTCTGAGCAGCAGCCGCAGCCTGGGTAGTCAAAGTCCCAGTGTAGTAGAGATCCATCAGGCCTGGACCGCCACATGATTCAGTAGAGTCGCCGGAGCAGGCCATATTGCACTGGGAGGCCGCGACGCTATCAGAAGCAGGAGCGCCACCATTAACGATCGCATTGCCGCAGAAGCACTGGCTACTGTACTCAACCCCGGCGACGCTGTAGCCAGCAGCTGCGCAGGTGTTGATGCAAGATACTGGTGTCAAGCTCGAAGAGTCCGGTAGTTGCTGCGGCAGGATACGGCCGTTGGTCTGATCGACGTAGCAAGCGCTGTGTTGCCAGCTAGAGGGTAGGCTGGTGGTCACAGGCGAGGACTTTGTTGTCGTGGTAGGGCTGCTGGCTACTGGTGAGGTAGAGCTTGCTGGGGCTGTGCTCGAGACAGTCCCATCCGTGTTGATGTACTCGTACATGGAGAGCCGCTGACTGCCACCACAGATCTCGCTGCTATTGCCGGCGCAGGCGAAGGAGCAGCCGGCATTGCCATCGGATGCTACACCACCGCCATTGTCGAATGATGAGCCGCAATGACATTCGTCGCCATATTCAGTCCCGGCGTAAGGATACCCTGCTGCTTGGCAGGTGGACAGGCATGTGTCGGTCGTCAGCTGGCCAGCGTAGGATGCACTGTATGAAAGTGTACGGGAGTAAGGCTGGTCGCTATAGCAACCAAGCTGAACCCACTCGCCACCAACAGCATAGACATTGAGACGATTGGGACCGCCACAAGTCTCGCCAGCATTTCCTGAGCAAGCCATATTGCAGCCAGTGTTGCCATCTGCAGCGAGACCTTGGTTGTTCCTGATCACGGTATCACAGTAGCACTCTGTGGAGTACTCGACACCGGCAATAGTATATCCATTGGTTGAGCACAAATTGATGCAAGTCTCGGCTGTCATACCACCGGAAGGCTGGGTGAAGAATGTACCAAGAGCTCTTTTTGCAGGATTATCAGAGTCAGTGTAGCAGCCGAGCGTGGCCCATCCGGCAGGAATGTTTACCGGAACAGACGCAGCAGAACTGGTAGCGGCCGGAGCGGCTTGTCCTTGCACCGGAGTGGCACCATTGTAGCTGTAAAGATTCATGCGTCCAGCTCCGCCGCAGTACTCGGAAGCGTTGCCTTTGCAAGCCATGTTGCAGGTGGTCTGGTCAGTAGCTAGGACACCGTTTGTGTAGGAGTTGTCACTAATAGTGAGAAAAGCATGGGTCAGTAACGTCCTAGACAAGACTTCCACGTGGCATACCAGTAACATTGCCCAGCATACTCAGCTCCAGCCAAAGTATAGCCCGCCGCATCGCATGCATCAACGCATGTCTTGACAGTCATCGCTGCTCCATCGTTCGTATTGACCTGATGAGCGAGCGTCCGTGACCCGATGTCGTCAGTGTAGCATCCTTCGAATACCCAGTTGTCGACGCCCTGATTTTTAGACGCTATGGGCGTTGCAGCCGCAGTCTGACCATTCCAAAACAAGTTGATTCTATCAGGCCCACCACAAGGCTGATTCTGATCACCATTGCACGGCATGTAGCAGTCAGACATCGGCTCTTGGGTCGCTATGCTGTTGACTTGGTTGGCGCAGTAGCACTGGCCACTGTACTCGGTACCGGCATAGATATAGCCAAGCTGTGTACATTGGTATTGGCAGTTGTCGTCATCGACATGCTCGCCGAAGTGGGCTGCCACACTTAGGGTGCGGCTAGATTGCGAGTCGCTGTATATTCATCAGCTTCATGTTTGCCAGCCCTAATATGGTCGCTTCGTCGTGACTTGCCTCCAACAGCCCAAAGACTGCCATCCGTCTAACGTGTATGGTGTCAAGGTCGTGCTTGACTGTCGCTTTGCCGGTACCGTCAGTGCTTGGCCAAGTTGCCCGCAGGCCAGAGCGAGTGTGAGCTTCGAGAGCGGTGCCATTGATATGAAGAAAAAGTGGAAAGGACTGTCTTGCAAGGGGACGATGGAGATGGACTTCTCGCCTTCACGAACAGTGCAGCTGGCGAGCCGTTATGAAGGACAACGCTCGTCTGGCCCTTCGCGCCACGACTACCAGGCTCGACGGTTATTATTGTGGTCTAGATGAGCGCGACGGTAAACCTTCTGAGCCATGGCTGTAGAGGTGTAGTCTGTGCCTTGGTGATATTGGCTGTGCCGAGAACACATGGGCGCCACGCTCGCGAAACCCACGACCTCGTAGGCGAGCTCGTAGTCTGTGTGTATTACGAGCCGTAGCGAAAGGTTGGCACGAGGTTTGCACGTGTGGCTGCTATCCAAGACAAGCTTCGAGGTCGTGGAGATTGTCTTCGCGACTGCCGAAGGGTCCGTGTGTTGATGGTAGAAAGCCGGATGGAGACCGATGCGGAAGGGTCCAAGACAGAATCGCCCGATTGGCTACAGTTTCAACAGCCACGGCAGCAACAACTTCCTCCTCTGGCCGACGAAATCCAGATCGGTGTTGGGTGCGAGTCATCCCTTGCCAGTCCAGGCAGCGTCTGTTCTTTTTCTGTACATCTTGGCTGAGCAGGCATCCACGCCCAGGTATCCAGCACTCCTCTCAAAATGCTAGCAAAAGCAGCAGAAAATGTAGGCCCCAGGCTTTGCGTCGGATCACGCTCTATGCGCAGGGAGCAATAGTCTCTATACCGAACATTGCCGGGCGAGCATGAGCAGTGATTGAGGCCACAATGAGAGGCCAACAGACGCCATCGGAAGGAAAATGTGCAAGCTTGCGAGCGTACCAGATACCGCTCAAGATGACCTCAAGATGTTTCAAAACCGAGAGGTCATGAGCATCTGAGGTCGTGGTGAGGGGTCGTTAGTAGAGTTCATGTCCGAAATAGCGATCTCGGCGACCAGATATAAGCATGTTGTAGACCTATTGAATGATAAGATACGGACTGGTGCGGACGAACCACTGCATAAACTGATAGGCGATATGACAGCTACGTTCCCAACATATCCGGATCTCAAAGGAAAAGTAGCCTTGATTACCGGCATAGGTCAAGTCGGCATCCCGGACTCATCGACATGGGGCAATGGCGCGGCCACAGCTCGCGTACTGAGCTACAATGGAGTGAGAATATTCGGCTGCGATCTCCACCTTGAAGCAGCGGAGTACACAAGACAACGACTCCTGAAGGACAATCCGGCTGCCGAGGTAGAAGTTACGACGACAGATGTGACGGCTACTAAGGATGTCGAGCGTCTGATACAGGTGGTAGTCGAGAAATATGGCCAAATCGACATCCTCATCAACAACGTCGGGATGACTGCTCCTGGTGACCCTGGCAGTATGGAGGAAGGTGCCTGGATGAAGCAGATCGATCTCAATCTTAACAGTGTCTACCGCATGTGTCATGCCGTTCTTCCCATCATGGAGAAGCAGGGCGGTGGCATGGTGATCAATAATGCCTCGATAACCGCACTACGATTCATCGGAAAGCCCCAGATTGCGTGAGTATCCCAGTCATCAACCTGAACTGTCCACTGATCATGAACAGATACGCAAGTGCAAAGGCAGCAGTAATCCAATACACGAAAGCGTCTGGCGTAATGTACGCCAAACGAGGGATACGCTTCAATTGCGTCGTGCCAGGCCTGATGTTCACACCACTGGTCGAGAACCTAGGACAGAGCAACAGATCAGAGGATCAAGAAGTATATCGGAAGATCACAGAGCACAACGTTCCCATGGGCAAGATGGGCGAATCCATTGATGTCGCTAATGCCGCAGTGTTCTTGTGTAGTGATGCAGCGAAGTACATCACCTCGCATGCTCTAGTTGTGGATGGTGGGATCACTGCTTCCACGGGCACTGGAGGCTAGGCTGGAAGATGTCGAGTGTAGCGCAGCTTAGTAGGTCGCAGGTAGCTGCGCCAATCTTCCTCCATCGGTCACCATCGTTTCACCATTCAGATACGCACCGGCCTGACTCGCCATGAAGAGAATCAACCCCGCAAAATCTTGTTCACTGCCTGTCCGTTCTGAGGGAGATCTCTTCGGATCCATCACATGAGCGTCCGCGAACGCACCGTCATGACCTGGCACGCCGCCAAACTTGTCCATGTTCGAGGTGGAACTAGTTGTCATCTCACTCGGATACAGGCCAGGTGCCTGGCAAACAGATCAGCACTTCCCAATCGCAATCGACTTGTTCAACTCACCACAACATTAGCCCGTATATGAAACCCCTGCTGCGCAAAAGAAGTGCTCATCATCTTAACAAGATGGTTGACAGCCGCTTTGGAAGTGCTGTAAGCAAAGCTCGAGGCTAATGCACGACTGAAGCCTGCGATCGAGCTCGTAACCAAGATTTGGCTATCCTGAGGTACGTTGCGCTTCTTATTACCTGCGTCAAGGAGCTCCAAGAAAGCCAGAGAAGTGTAGTAGACGCCCGTACAGTTGACATGGTACGTTTGTGTATAGTTCTCGGGCTCGGCATTGCCCCACAGCGTGTCGCGGTACTCTTTGACGGTCATCTTCTCCGTCGAGCCGCCCAGTGACGAGGCATCTTTTGGTCCACCAATACCCGCGTTCGCGAACAAGAGGTTAATGAAGCCTTGCTCCTCCTGGACCTGCTTGACGATTTTCTGGAGTGACGCTTTATTACTTGCGTCGCCGACAATGGGCTTGATGTTACCATTGACAGCAGTCTTGGCAGCCTCGTTTAAGGTGGTCTCTCGACGACCAATAATATAGACAGCCTTCGCGCCATTCGCATCTAATGCACGAGCAGCGTAGAGACCTAGGCCCGATCCGCCTCCAGTAACAACAGCTACCAGGCCTGTGACGTTGAAGAGGTCGTTGATCTTGTTGTTGACCATGGTGGATAAGGTTTGTGAAGAGCTTCAAATATTTTATGTTGGAGCAGCAGAAGTAGAAGTCGGCAAGGTCACTTTCTGTCAGTCATTAGTAGTTCACCAAATGATGCTATGCTTATGAGTCTCCGATGACGGCAATGACGCAATGATGCTACAGTGCCCAATGTGGAAGGTCACGCTCGTGCACGACAATTGATGTCGTTCTCCTGACAACTCAATACTATAGCGTGTTTGAGCAGCAATCAGTATATCCAGCTGCAACAGCAGAAGCGCCAGCTGGAACTTCTTGCTCACTACTTGTTCCTCTTCTCCCAGTCCCGATCAAACAATCGTAGAGTCCTCTGACTGCTCGGGATCACATCTAGTGCCCTAATACTCACACGTTCTTCACTCTGTACCATCCACACCGCAGCCTTTGCCACATCTTCCGCGACAAGAGCCTCGATGCCATCTATGAATTCATCATACTGCCCCTGGTCATAACCGACACGTTGTTCATGGAAGTTCGTCTGGACAACACCAGGCCGTAGGGTCAAGATGCGTGCGTTGGTTCCCACCGTCTCGTTGCGAAGGACGTTCGAGAATGCCTCCTGGCAGGCTTTGCTGGAGTGATAGACCGCCTCGCCAGGAAGAGGTGGGACTTCAAGACCTGTTGTGCTGGTGGCGTTGATGATTGTACCATGTTTCGCTTTCGCCATACCACCTTCGTTGAGCATGGCGTTAGCAGCGACCCTGAAGCCGAAGATATTGGTCTGAATCATGGTACTGATGTCTTCAATGCTCTGTTCGTGGAACGTCGCAGGTGCGCCTAGGGCAAATCCTGCATAATTGATTAGGATATCAAAGGTAGCGCCACCAGAGATGTCTACGCTCAGGTCCTTCGCCGCTGCTGAGAATGCTCGCTGTATAGAGGCGGCGTCCCGCACATCGGCAGTCTACACACTGGTGGTGATTTCATATCCTTTCGGCTTCGCTATACTCGAAGCTTCCTTTGCCACGGCCTGTAGCTTGTCTGTAGATCGAGCATGTAAGGCCAGATGCGCACCTTGCGCAGCATATGCTAGTGCGATGGCGTGGCCAATGCCCTGATGACGGTCGGGGAATGCCATCGGAGGCCATCACATGATGCTACCTACCCATCGAGGCTCCCGTAATCAAGACTGTTCGTCCACGGAGAGCCATCTTTGCGATCCCTGACGTGCGTAGTTGATGGTGGTCCAAACCCCGCGCAGCGATATGCGGGTAGGAGTTCCTGGCGTACGGTGTCCATGGCGATGCCGCTAGAATGGAGAAGTCGCGAGATGTCTGAGCGGTGCTCTGTCTACGTGCGTGGGCTTGGAGGGGTGGGAGGAAATGTCAAAAGATTAATGGATGTGGTTTCCACAATGAAGTCATTTTCGAGCTTTTTCGGCCTCGCCTTACAGTATATCCGGGTATCACTATTCTCGCTGATATAACGATTGTTCGCAGCATATCGCGAATGAAGTCTGCTCCATCGCCTTCACATGACGACGAGTGTGATGGAACAAGACGAGTACAGATGTGATTGCGATTGTAAGATACGAAGCACCTCGAGCAAATGAAGAGCTCCGCGGAGAATGCAAGCGCCACTCCAGCGCTCAAACTTGTTGGAAGGATGTTAAATTACAGTGCTATACTACTTCGTCGGCACTGATATCAAGTTCTTCGTTGTCATCACTTCCCAGCCACATCATAGGCGCCAATCATCTTTCCACACGACCGCCTCCCACTCAGCTCCCAGCAACAGGATCCCCATAGTCCGCCCGGCTAGGTGCCTGCAGATTAACCTTTACAGTCTCACTATAGCTCGCTTTAGGCGCCGGCAACGTATCAATAACAACCGCCTGCCCAGTCAATGAGAACTTGAAGCTCAGCGAGGCATCGTTATCGAGCACGATCTCATAGTCACCAGGGAATATAGTAATATCGCCATTCGTGTTCGCGCGAGCAAGAGATCCGAGCGTGAGAGGTAGATTGAGAGTCTGCGAGCCACCAATAGCGAGGTTGTGGAGACGGGAGTAAGATACCAGGGTCTTGATCGGTCGTGGTGCTGGTCCGGCGTTAGAGCTGGAGAGGAAGAGGAGACCGACGTAATCGCTGATATGCTTCCCAGTGTTCTTGACAGAAGCGGAGATGGTGGTAAAGGGTGTGGCGTCGTTGATCACGGTGTTGCTGCCGGTGTTGCTGTTTCCCCAGCCTCCATGGCCATTGTTCCAGCCATGCGGCCAGCCCCATCCCCAGCCCCATCCACTGCCCCAACCGTTGTTGTTCTTGTTGCCCTGACCGCAGCTGTCAACCAGCTGTTGGATGTTGTAGGAACGTTGAAGTGGCTTGGTCCAGCTGAAGCCAAAGGTCGTGTACGACAGACCGAAGCCGAAAGGTCGGACAGCCTTGCCGGTGTACCATCGATAAGTCCTACCAGGGTACGTTCCATTAGAAGGCAGGTCGATATCATAGATGCTAACTTCGTCGGCATAGCTAGCTGGGTACTGTGTGATCGGCAGTCTACCGGCGGGTGCCTGCTTGCCCGTCAAGATATCAAGCAGCGCATCACCACCGTCTTGGCTAGGATAGCCTGCCCATACGACGGACTTGACATTTGCGTTGTTCAGAAGTGGAGTATCATCAATCTGCCCTCCGCCAAACTGGACGACGATAGTCGGCTTGATCGCGGCAAGTTCCGTGATGAGATCAAGTTGGTTACCAGGCCAGCTCAGAGCAAGACGATCCAGAGTCTCCTGCTCCTGTGAGTTGTCGAGACCACCGAGATAGATGACGACATCACTAGCGGCGGCCGCAGCCTTCGCAGCAGCAAATCCTGAGGTACTGTTCGAAGCAATTCCTGTGCCGTTGGAGTAGGTGACAGTCCACGAGCTATAACCCTGGAAAGCAGAAAGTGGGCTGTTGATATACTTTGGCGTACCGGAGTAGTCACCCTGCATCTGCGTGGTAGCATTGGCATAGGGGCCAATGACGGCCACCTTCTTCGACCCAGACAGCGGCAAGAACGAGTTGTCGTTCTTGAGGAGAGTCATGCCCTCCCAAGCTGCAGTGTAGGCCAGCTTTTGATCGGCCGAGGTCGCGACATCGGACCATCCGAGAGCAGTGTAGTTGCTACCGTCGAAGAAGGCAACGGTGAAGAGAGCATTATACAACCTCGTAAGAGCTTCGTCGAGTCGTCCGATAGTGGTCTGGCCATCGGCCAACGAAGCATTGAGCTTGACGTATGAGCTACCACACTCGAGATCGGTACCAGCATTCAGAGCCACAGACGCAGCGGCCTCCTCAGTGTCAGTGAAATTATGGTACTGGAAGATATCGGTGACAGCTCCGCAGTCGGACACGACGTAATTATAATCGTTGGTAAAGTTCCAGTGGTCGCGGAGGACGTCTTGAAGGAGGTATTGGCTCGCGCAAGATGGGTAGCCGTCGACCTATGAACACAAGTTAGTCGAAAACACTCTCCAAGTACTGTCTTCTGGGACTAACCGCATTGTAAGAGCACATAATGCTGCCCACACCAACATCTCTAACGCAAGTCTTGAAAGCCGCCATGTAGTAGTCGGCCATGTCCTGCTGCGTCGGGTTGTAATCATTGCCATAGCGGCCGGTCTCCAGATCGTACACGGCATAATGCTTGCAGGTAGCGATGATCTGCTTGTTGGTTGGATCGCCACCCTGCAAGCCCGGGACATAGGTTCGAACGTAGTTCTGGACACGGAGAACATCCTCACCCGGAGTCTCCTGGCCACGACCCCAGCGGGGGTCACCTGTGTCCTCGTCAGCAGTGTTCGTGAATTGTGATGATGATGCCAAGAACGTACGGAAGTTGTTCATGTTAGGCGCCCAGTAGTCGAAGCCAGCAAATCCATTATTACCGAACGCTCTGCCCTCCCTCCCAACCGTCTCACCAATCTGAAAGATAAGCTCGTCATCAAAAGCTGCAGATGAGAGGATGGGAGCAGGGAAGCTGGTGGCGTAGCTGAAGTTGTTGCCCATGTTAGCGAACTGCACACCAGGAGCCGAGCCAACACCGTGAGTGGCCTCGCTCCACCACTCATAAGGTGGTAGACCAATACGGGTCGAGCCTGCTGAGGCGTCGACGAGGTTCAAGATCTTTTCTTCCTCGGTGAGTTCCGAGATGAGAGAGGCGATGCGGTCGGATGTGCTGAGGCTGGTGTCACAGACTTTGTGGGAGCAGAGAGGACTTGTCTGGCAGGCTGGGGTGAAGTAGCTAGCCCCGGTGCTTGGTTGAGAGTTGGTGATTTGGTAGAGGGATGCGCTAGAAGACATCAGCTCTCGGTCAACGTTTCGGCATAGCTCTGTACTCACATGTATCCACCACCACATCGCTGGGACGGGTCGGTCGTGCAACGACTACTGCACTGAGTGTCGTTGACCTTCTGAGACATGCTGTAGTTCGGCTGGTGGTCACAGAAGCATTGTCTGTCAATCGTCAACGACAGTCTCTTCTCAATAACCGTTTACGGCGATGAACCTACGTTCCAAAGACAATGGCACCGTATTGGAAACCACGCTCACCACACCAGCTGGTACACAGCTGAGGTGTCATGGCGATAGTGCTGAGCTTGACGGCAGAGAGAATGCTGATTAGAGGGTCAGCGGGACAAGATCAATATTTAGATGGACACGCTGAAGTATTGCACTTACCTTGTGCCGCCAGTGTAGCAGCCCAGGTAGTTGGACGTAGCATTGTAGGCTGCGCTGGCGCTCGACTGGCAGGTAAATGCATAAGATGCTGCCGCTTGTGCCAACAGGCCACCAACGGTAGTGAGACGGGCCATGGTCGCGGTGTGCAGAAGGTGATCAGGCCAAAAAGCTCACCACGAGCTAGGGTGATCAAGCAAACTTATACATTTACAGTCTTTTCATCCGGGTCCCAAGACATTGAGCTCGTCCGTCAGCCTCAATGACGATCGATTGCTTCATTCGTTTACTCTAACATATCCTAGCTTCTCGATTAGGCTATCAAAGGCCATCTTCGAGGTTCGCTAGCCGCGAGTCGGAGCCTGTTATTCGCTCATCATGCAACCCGACATGAGGATGAAGCGGCAGGACATGCAAGGTACAGTGGGTACTCCGTGGTTGCATTGATGGTTCCCCACTGCATGGCAACGATGTGAGGGGAACTTCAGCCAAAATGCGAGTCGTGAGGTCGATGTGGAGATGGATGAAGGTGGAGTTGTCGAGTCGGGAAATGTTAGGCCTCAGGCATCAGCTTTTGCTCTCCGCAAAAACGATTGTGCCGAGGTGCTTCGTCACATGCCGACCGTCGAAGCCATGAGCTCTTCGCTTGGCACAGTCTCACTACGGTACTTCTCCCTATCTTGTACTTGTACTATACATACTCCTTGGACATCCCCAGGATATCCGTCGCCCGTGTCAATAGAGCGCAGTTGCAGTCGCCGCCAAGATGGTCGCCGATGCCCTTATCTACCACCCGGCCGTGAGCCACTACAATCGCTTCGTCGCGACAACGAGTATGTGAACATGAGCGGAATATATGTGATGAAAACCGCGATGCTGATACCTTGGCGCAGTCGGCCGCGACAAAACCCTCCGTACCATTCAATACTTCTCACGCTTCCTAGCATGGTACACCTACCGGACCAACCACCCGGCCAAGACGGTCGCGACCTACGAGGCGATTAAAAAGACCTTTGGTTCCGTCCGCAAAGCCATGCGCCTCGGTAAATTCGTGGAGCATTTCAAGGCCGCCGCCGTGGCCGCAGATGCCAAACCGGGCTCTATCGACCCGGTCCTCAAATACCTCGCCGTAGGTCGGCAGCTGGGGTATGCATTTTATATCTTGCTGGATAATATTGCATTCATCGATCAGAGCGGGATTAAAAAGTTCGAGGGGGCAGTGAGGGCGCAGCGGGAGGCGTACAGAGCGTGGTTGGCTGGTCTGCTATGTAATGTGGCCGCGGGTTTGTATACCACGTACCAATTGCAGGCGGCGCAGAAGAAGCAGAGAGATGGCCAAGATGCGGAGAAGGCGGTTGAGGTCAAGAAATTGCAGAAGTGCGTCACCTATACTGTGAAACGTGCAGTTGTACTGACACGCATAAACAGGGACCAAGCAGCAGCACGACTTCAGCTCATTTCGGACCTCAGCGACGTCACAGTACCTCTCAGTGCCCTGGGCCTGGCCAACTTGGACGACGGCATTGTAGGTTTGGCGGGGACTTTGAGCAGCGGTATCGGTCTATTGGCGGCGTGGCAAAAGACTGCTTGAGGCGGCGATGTTCTTGGATGAGATACCTATCACGTCCCAGTCCGAAACCTATGCATATTGACTGTATCTCGAACGAATGTGGATATTAGTGGATGCTGTGCTTCCTTGGTCACTGTAACGTTGGGCGAATATCACAGTGTCTGAAGGTTGCCGATGAGTTCCGCTGATGTGTGGTCTTTTCGGCAGCTTGAATACTAAGCCAAAGTCAGCTCGTGCAGTCCACAGACGATGACTTCCCACAGGGCCATATCACGACTATATTCGGAGGCTCATTACCACGAAATGGGTCAGTACTCTTAGCCCTCCACCTGGATGACAGAAAGAACATCGTTGTGCAGTGTAGTCACGCATACCACGCTCGTCAATAGAATACTCATCAGAGTGGGCACCAAGTAACCTGACAATGGCATCTGAAGTATCATGCCAAGTCCTCTGCGCTCCACAAACTCGTGTCTACCCAGATCATCACGACTATTGAGCGCACAAAAGGCAGAGGCACAGAGCTAAGGCTGGGGGCGATACCTCGCACTCTGTTCAGTTCAGAACCACGAATGTAAGGTAACAAAGAGACCGTGCCCTCCAAGATCGTCTTTGCCCAAGCAGGCGCTGATACGGGGAAGCAGTCCTGCTTTAGCGACCTAAGGAGAGGTTGTCCCTGAAGCAGCAGCATGTATCAAGCTGTTACGCAGGACTCGCCAAGACTGCACATGTCCGTTGTTGCATCGAGATAGGACGCCAATACTCGGGTGGGATCAAGCCGTCCTGTCTGAGAGCGAAATACGTCGTGGATCACGAGTCTTCGCATGATCGAGTCAGCTGCCATGATGGTCCCATTCACAACATCATCCCGGGCGAGACGGTCAATGGTGATCGCATTACCTCTACGGTGCAGCCATTCATCAATCAGGTTCTATACGAGCGAAGGCTAGCGTTTGCGAGACACTGCAGGACTCATGCCACTCGAATGCTTCTGCCTAGATTTTCATGTATCGAGCAGCATTTGGCATGGCAGAAAAGTGGAACGGACACGGCGTGATACAAAGTCCGACGCATTGGAAAGGTCCCGGCTCATCCTATGGGCCAATCATACGCAGTCTTCTGTAACGGGAGCGGAGCAGGATTTTGGCCTCCGCGTCCGTCTCCTTGCCAATCGACGACAACAGCTCAAACATCAATCTGTCCTTGACAACTAGCTTTCCAATGGCCACTTGCTTATGTATGCCACGGCGCCACCGTGTGACTCCTCGTCCGTTGCAACATGATGGAGGTTGATCGCAGTTTCGTCGGATCCGTTCCGGATGTCATGGAATCGCGGTCGGTGGTGAGATCCTGTACGAAATCCAACGCTGTAATGCCTGTGATACTCTCCAGGGCATTTGCTAATTGTTTTGTTTCTTGATATGTAGGCTTGACTTGCAGTAAGGCCAAAGCCAAGTGTGTTCGGACGTCTAAGCAGGACGTTTGTGATAGGTATGTCGAAGATCTCACTCTACCATGGTATAAGGAAGTATCGTGCTATGCAGGAGCAAAGCGTTGATACTACCGTCCCTAGGATAGAGAGTTGCTACAATGTCAACCCGGCACTGTCAAGGTCATTCCCATTCACTGATCATCTCATAGATGTGCGAGGCTCAAGAAAGAATGCAGCTCCAAGGAGCCTGTTGTCCGACGACGGAAGACATTGAAAAACTCGTATGTGCCGTCTCCATCGACCTGAATCACGACTCTGACCACTCACTATCTACTGTAGCCGCGCAGCACAACTGGCCAAACTTGAGAGCAAGATCGAGCATTTGGTTAACACGCTTTCCACACATCCGCATTCACTTGGGCCCATAGGTCATCCTTCGCCGCCTCTATCGCAAAAGGGCACAGATGGCAGTTTCCATCGACCATCGACATCAGAAGTCCTTGGCACCCTCTGCATAGATATGCGAGACGAGAGCCCAGACGACAGTACCAACACAAACGACATCTCACCTACAAGTAATCCTACCGCTATCAACAGAGGGCTCCCGACGTCGATGATGTCTCCTGAAGACCAGCGAGCATTCAGCACACTTGGAGTCACTCTTGGCGAAGCTGAAGTGCTGCTGGACAGATACAAGCGCCTGATGGCATCATCTTTACCTTTCGTATGTCTGGCGCCGGCAGTGACAGCACAGGAGCTGTGGAGCAAGCAGCCACTCTTACTCCATGCCATTGCCACGGTAACGTACTTTCACGACTTACCCAAGCAACAATCCTTGGTCAAAGGCTTGATGCGGGATGTGACGGAGCGCATACTCATAAATAACGAGAAACATGTCGGGATTGTGCAGGGACTGCTGGTGAGTAGAATCATTGTTTGATTATCGAGAATATAGACTAATGAATCGGTAGGTCTTCGTTGCATGGTACCACCCTCATATATTCTGGGGTCAACAAGTCACCAATCTGCTCCACCTCGCCATTGCCATGACGATTGACTTAGGCATCGATCGTGCCCCGGGCCAGTGCCAGACGGATTTTAAAGCAGCCACAACAAAAGCTTGGCATGGACCTGGAATGATCTCCCGTGTCATGACAATGGAAGAGTACAGGGCGACAGCTGGAGTCTACTACTTGACGTCCATGCTCGCTTCCTCCTTCAAAAAGATCGATGCCTTGCCATATACCAAGTTCATGGACGAGTCATTGCAGGTACTGGAAGAAACCCGAGAGTACGACAGTGACCTACTTCTCGTTCAGTTGGTCAGACTACAACACCTGGCCGAGGATACGCATACCGCCGAGACGCCCAACGCGCCAATGCAGATGTACGTGAAAGCGTTCGAGGCGGACCTGGCGCAGCTCCGCCAACGCGATCCCAGTCCAGATAGCACCAATATCCTACTCAAAATGCAGTATCTTACTGCTGAGATCTTGGTCTGGGAGTTAAGCTTGAATGAGCTGCAGGAAAGCTCAACTAAACCGTTACGATCACATATCGATGACTTATATCGCTGCATTGATGCGATTAAGCGCTTTGCGGACGTCTACTTTTCGATACCGTCGAACGACTATCTGATTCTCCCCTTCTCAGTCTTCGGTCAATTTGCCCATGCTTTCATCGTCCTTACAAAGATTGCTTCGCTGGAGATAGAGGGCTGGGACATCAAGACTCTCCATCTATCCTTGGATTTCGCCCAAGTGATCGAGCAGGCCGCTGTCCTTTTCGACGCTTCATGCAAGTCTGCTCCGGATGGCCAGCAAGTCAACAATGAGTGTTTCGGCAAATGGGCTCACCGCATCAGATGGATGAAGCAGGTATACGAGGCAAAGTTCAGTCCATCGAATAGCAACCTTGCTCTCGCTCTTCCGACTATGCAGTCTACCGACCACAGGCAGCTGTACAAAGACGTGACACAAGAGGCTACAACTGGACAGCATAATCCTCAAAGTCAGCCTACGCCACAGCAGCCTACACCCCCCGACGATATACTGTCTGCGGACTTCTTCAACTATCTTGACAACGACTTCTGGAACAGCTTTCCACCGGAGTATGATCTAGGCTTTCCGGACATGTCACAGAATGGTACAAGTCCAGGTTATGGTGCTGTGGGAGGATGAAAGCTGCAGGCTGCGGGTTGGAAAAACAACGACTGTATGATATGGGCGGTAGTGTTAGGCATCCTACACTCTTGTGTGCGAAAATAGTATAGTCATCTAACAGATGATAAGTGACTGTTCTGTCCTCACCTTTCCAGTCCTTAACTAACAACTTACTCGGTCCGGACGTACTTTACGCCTAGTGCGTCGTGCCAAGATGTTCGAGGGTCGTCGTTTCCTAGCAAGCTCAAAGATCTTGCGCACGGCAGACCAGCAGCGTCCAAACGCATCAGGTGTTCAACTGGATTGGCTGCTTCAAGAGGTCTGCTGCAAGATTCTAGATCACTCGCTGATTTCGCGCGTGCATGCCAAGCTTTCTAGGTTCATTGCAAGGTTCCGCGCTACAGAATGATACAATGCTTATCGTAGCCGAGTGACGCTATGTCGAATCTCTCAGAATCTGTATCCTAGTCTGGTGAACCTACACCGTCCTGCACGCTACGTAGAAACTGCGAGACTAGCCTTCGACGCGATGCGCGCTGATAAGACCAAGGAATGCAACTTGAGCCCTCGGATGAGCACCAAAATGCTGGAACATGCGAACACCTTCCTAATTGATATGGTACCTTCCATAGTGGCCGATAGTACGAGCGCTAGATGACGAAAGCCTACGACTAGACGATAGCACCCCTAGCCATCCACCGCCAGATAGACGGATCGTCTGAAGGCGGAGATGGAGTACATAATGCTGTCCGGGATCGTGTCGTCTTGCTGGGACAGATTCTCATTCTTCAAGCAACAACATTGCTTCCAGGCACGCTCTTGATCATGCTTCGACTTTTCGTTGCGTCATTGACGCTATCGGTAGCCATCGGGCTGCCCGTCCACGACTATGTGGTGCACGAAGAGAGGCCAGCTACGGCGAGGCAGGTCTTGAAGCGTCGAGCTGGTCTTAATCCTGATGCTGTACTACCGGTAAGTGATCGTGTTGCCACAGTCATGGAGAACAAGCTTGGATGGGCATGCTGTGCGACCTCAATACTGACAAAGGCAACAGATCAAGATTGGTCTTGTGCAAAGCGGACTGGATCAGGCTTATGATTGGGTCATGGATGTTTCGCACCCTGAGTCATCAGCCTATGCCAGCTATCTTACTGTCGCCGAGGTCAATGATCTGTTTAAGCCGGAGCCAGAGTCCATCGATGCTGTGCGCGAGTGGCTTTCGCAGGTAGCAGACATCGATCAGAAGGACATTCTTTGGTCGAAGAATGGCTGGCTCGCTGCTAATATCCCGGTCCACGCCGCAGAGAAAGCTTTCCGGACCAGCTACTTCGAACACGCGGATCGAGAAGGCCGTATCCGTGTTGGTTGCGATAGCTACTCTTTGCCATCTCACATACAGAGCCACGTCGATTACATCACACCGGGCGTGAAGTCCTCTCCACCTCTTCGCAAACGATCTGTCAGCCGCAACAAGCCGGTATGGGGACCTTCATGGGGTCCTGGAGGCCCAGGACGACGACCACCGCAGTGGGCGCCACCGAACCATGGGCCTTGGCAGATGCCACCAGGTGCTCACGGCTTACCACCAGATCTTCAGGACTGTGGTCGCAACATCACTCCGACCTGCATTAGAGCACTCTACGACATTCCAAAAGCGCATTTGAAGGATTCTGTCAATGCTCTGGGTCTCTTTGAAGATGGCGATTTCTATGCACAGTCGGATCTGAATGCATTTTTCACGCAATACGCACCGAATGTACCAAATGGCACGCATCCTATCCCAGCCTTTATCGACGGCGCAAAAGCTCCAGTGGCCGCTTCAGACCCGACCAATACTGGCGAGTCTGACATTGACATGGACATGTCGTACTCCCTCATCTACCCACAGGATGTGGTACTGTACCAAGTAGATGACAGCTTCTACTCAGCGGACTACAATCTCACTGGCTTCTTCAACACATTCCTGGTAAGTTGTGATTGTCAAGACCGATACATGTAGCAGCCGCGGATCTAGACTAACACCTTTGCCAAAGGACGCCCTCGACGGATCCTACTGCACCTACAACTATGATGGCCTGGCTGGTGACACCCCAGGCGTCGATCCCACATATCCCGATCCGAACCCGGGTAAGTACAGCAACCAGGTGTGCCCCACGATCTGAGGCTGACGATGAAGCAGGGGGCTACAAAGGCCAGCTACAATGTGGCGTGTATGCTCCCACTCGTGTCATCAGTGTCAGCTACGGCGAGGCAGAAGCTGACGTGAGCGCCCGTTACCAATACCGGCAGTGCAATGAGATCATGAAGCTTGTACTACAGGGCCACACCATACTTCTAGCGTCTGGAGACTACGGTGTAGCTTCTTTCCCTGGCGACGACAATCCTAATGGCTGCCTCAGCGGAGATGGCCAAAACGCCACAATCTATAATCCCGACTTCGTCAGCTCATGTCCATACATCCTTTCTGTGGGAGCGACGCAGTTATACTCCAATCAGACTGTCAATGACCCCGAGAGCGTGATGCAAGACAACCTAGGACCTGGCGCGGAACTGTTCGCTTCCCACGGTGGCTTCAGTAATCGCTACAAGGCGCCCGCATACCAGAAATCTGCCCTCGACACCTACTTCTCGAAGCACGACCCTGGACTACCATACTATATCGCTGGACCGAATGGCACGAACATTGGAGCGAACGGCGGCGTCTACAACCGCGCAGGGCGTGGCATACCAGATGTCAGCGCGAATGGAGCCAACTTCCGTGCGTACACCAATGGGACTGATTACCACTGGTACGGTACTAGTCTTGCCGCACCATTGTGGGCGTCTGTCCTCACCTTAATCAACGAGGAGCGTACCGCCGTTGGCAAGGGGCCAGTGGGCTTCGTCAATCCGGTGCTATACGAGAGTAAGTACACTGACTACTTCGTGCCTTATGACATATCATGCTGACTTCATGCTAGATCCGTGGACGCTGAAAGACATCACGAATGGATCTAACCCTAACTGTGGCTCCTCAGGCTTCGCCGCCGTGTCAGGCTGGGATCCTGCGACAGGACTAGGGACGCCAAACTATCCTAAGCTCTTGCAGCTGTTCATGAGCCTGCCGTAGGATTTACAATGGCGAGTATTATGTGACCAGGCATGGATATGGCACTCAAATGAGTCGCATTTGGATGTGTCAGTGTTGAATTGCTGGTTGTGACCCTAGATGTAGCTTAGCAGAAGACGTCCCGAGTCACCATTGACAGGATTGGTCGGCATCCTTCGGTATCTCATCTTTGTGATTATCTGAAATGTTATCTAATCTTACTAGGAAGACCGCGAACAGGGTCCCTCCAGGCAACATCCATACATGTCTCCTCCGACATACGAGGTGACGTACGAAGTAACATATCGAGCGTGAATAACGAGTGGGCGTGGAGGAACATCAAACCGCTGAGCGCAATCCAAATTTCAAGGCCCGTCTTTACGAAGCTATACGAATGCCCCGATTCGTAAACGAGGCCAGCGCAACGATTCGTGCGCTTATTCGATAAGCATGATCTTAGCGTCAGAACGGAAGATCGTAGTTGACCCGCCGCCGTTGTTCAGCGTCATGATCACACCAGGCTGCCAAAGCGCCCCCATGTCTTTTCATTCTGTTCCTCTCCAACATTGAAACATAAGTATTCATCGATCTTCTTGTTGTGAGGTAAGCGAAACCATCTGACAGATTTATAATCTCAATACTGACGATGGCTTTGCCTATAGCAAGTATGCCGCCGACGCTACAAATCCTCGCCACTTCAGGCGCTGGCGCCCTAGCCCTCACCAGATATGCTCCCCAAGCAGTGTTCGGCTTCACTTCGACATTTCTCGCCTTCTTTTTCCTGCAATACCTTACACTTCAAGCATGGAAGATAATATTGTACCCTCGCTTCTTCAGTCCGCTGCGACATCTACCAACGCCACCCAACAACAAGTTCTTCACTGGTCAGACAGGCCGCATTATGAAGGAAGCCTCTGGCGCACCGATGCGTGAATGGGTGGAGAAGGTTCCGAACGATGGTCTGATCAAGTATAGCGTCTGGTTCCAAGAACGAGTGCTGGTAACCAATCCCGCGGCCTTGGGCGAAGTACTCGTGACGAAGAACTACGAGTTCGTCAAACCTAGCCATTTCCGCAATGGTCTTGGGCGCATTCTCGGTATCGGCATCTTGCTTGCCGAAGGCGACGAGCACAAGCGCCAACGCAAAAACCTGATGCCTGCGTTCGCCTACCGACACATCAAAGACCTATACCCAGTGTTCTGGGGCAAATCACGAGAGATGGTCGACTGTGTCGCCAAAGACGCCAAGTCCGGCAAGATGTCGAAACAAGCCGGCGACACCCTTCCAGATCCAGAGAAGGCCGAGCAAGGTGAGGACTACCACAAACCCGGTGTCATCGACGTGAACAACTGGACCTCTCGCGCTACGCTCGACATCATTGGCGTCTCGGGTGTCGGGCAAGACTTTAATGCGCTTCAAGATCCCGAGAACAAGTTGAACAAGACATATCGCGATGTCTTCAATCCTGGTCGAACGGGTCGTATGCTTCAACTCATGGGGATCTTCCTTCCCTTCTGGTTCCTCTCACGCCTGCCAGTCAAACGGAACGAGGAGGTCATGGAGGCAAATAGATATATCAAGCAAATCTGCCGAGATCTTATTGCACAGAAGCGTCGCCTTATGCAGGAGAAGGAGCGAACAGATGTCGACATCGTCTCGGTCGCGCTCGAAAGTGGTGGTTTCAGCGACGAAGACTTGGTCAACCAGATGATGACTTTCCTGGTAGCCGGGCACGAAACCACGGCTACAGCAATGATTTGGGCCCTTTATCTAATGTGCAAACACCCCTCAATCCAACAAAAGCTACGAGACGAGATCCGCGCCAAGCTCCCTCCTCTTGATGGCGAAGACGCAACAGCAGCACAGGTAGACGACTGCCCCTATCTCCACGCCGTCTGCACCGAAGTCCTCCGTCTCTGGGCTCCAGTCTCCATGACGATGCGCTCTGCAGACTGCGACACAAGTATCGGCAACCAATTCATACCGAAAGGCACGACGGTGATCCTCGCTCCCTGGGCCATCAACACAAGCACTCACCTCTGGGGCGACGATGCATTGGAGTTCAAGCCCGAGCGCTGGCTCGATGCTGATGGGAAGGCGAACAACAAGGGTTCCGCCGCCTCGAACTTCAGCTTCCTGACCTTCTTGCACGGACCTCGCTCGTGCATTGGGCAGAAGTTCGCCATGGCGGAGTTCGAGTGTTTACTTGCCGCTTGGATTGGACGGTTTGAGACGAAGTTTGAGGCTGGTAGTGCTATCTCGAAGGGAGACTTTGAGATCAAGGGCGGCATCACCGCTAAGCCTAAGGGTGGGCTCTTTGTTGAGGTTGAGGAGGTGCCGGGTTGGTAGAACGAGTAATCCGGGGTTGTATATGCTTGTGCAATTGAACGATGCTTAGATATAGAGCATGATTGACAATAGCACTCAACGGCCTTTACGAACACGGTGACATTAATTCTTCGTCACCGTGCTCGCAGAAGGCAGAACAGTCTTCTGCCTAGGATACATCCACTTCATGAATCGTCCCACTACTGTCGTGTAAGCCTCATCAAGCACCTTGATTCCACCAGGCAAAGCTACATAAGTATCACCATCGTAGAACGACCTCATCGCCGTCGCGAAAGTAGGTTGGCCCAGCTCAAAAATATCCTCAAAAAAGCTCTCCTTGAAATCTCCGGCTGGGTTCGTCTTCTCCGTAAAGCTCGCCGCCTCTCCAGGAAAGAACTTGAAGCTATGGACGTGGAGTCGCGGGATATAAAGGCGCTCTGACAACGGCGTGAGGATGGTCTCCTTGCCGTCCATAGTAAAAGCAATACGGCCATGGAAGACTTGCATGTACTCGTCGTGATATTTGTGCCAGTGAGAGCCGATCACCGGGACCCAGGATTCCGGTTTGCCGTCGTAGGATGTAAGGGTGAAGTGGTGATCGATTGAGTCGGTGGGGATAGAGTCGTTCACCATGAAGCGCATGAGGCAGCCCTAGACGTATTCAGTCGCAGATTTTGATTGTGGAAGAGCGGGTGGGATACCTTGCCCATTGGCACTTGTCCAGATTCCCGCTCTGTAGACATTGCAGTGGCGATCTCGTTTGCGGCTTTCATACACTGGGTAACTCGATGTGTGCGTTGGAATGAGCACAAGAAAAGGAGGTATGAGAGGGCGATGGAAAGCCTTACCTAGTGCATGTTGGGGCTACAAATCACCCGTCATGGCCATTTGCGGCCGACCGTACCCCACCTCTTGCGTCGACCACGACCAGACTGAAGACGCACCTTGAGACTGCCTTTCTACGGTATGGTCGTGTCGATATGTTGCGAGAGCCCGTAGAACACCCTTCGCGGTGAGCATACGTTGATGATTCCCACAAGCACCCTCTCGATGATCTCGGAATTCATCGTCACATCATTGGCTGGACACTGTATCAGGCTAGTGCATAGCCAGAGTTTGAAGTGAATAGCGCTATGAGAACCCCCAGCTTCTGATTATTACTCACGAACACAAGCGACAGGACAAGGAGGGAAACATATCTTTTGGAATTTGTTCTAATTCAGCCACCTTTCCAAGGACTACGAAAGATAGCGTGGCTGCGTAATCGTCACTGTCTTCTTCTTCCTAGCAAAACAATCACGGGGTCACGAAGACACTACAGGTCAGGACCACTGTAAGAAATCAAGACTTTCGAATAACGCAACAGGTCTGTTCTCAGTTCTCCACATCATCCAGAAGATGGCTGCTTCGAGCGGGACAACATCACCCGCAGATCTACAAGTAGAAGAAGAAGACGATGACCACGGCGTCGATATGCCGCTTACCATGGCCGCCTCTGTCGTCCTCGAGCAGCTGCCAAAAGATGCACATAGAGCTCTCGAAACAGCGGGTGAGCTGGAACAAGCAAAAGGTATTTCTCTTCCAAGCCCTTTGGACGAGCCATCCATCTGCATGTCAACGAATTTTCAAGTAGTCACAGCCACTGATTGACCCCCCCTCACGTGCGCACATACATTCAGCTCATTCAACATCACTTCGAAGCCATCATCAGGCTCTAAACAGCCATAGTTTACCGTACTGACTGGGTGACTGGGTAGTCACAATCCGACTCTCCCCACTCCCCAACACCCCTTCTCTGCGCCAACCCAGATTCAAATGCTCTAGCAATCAACGCTTCGAATACGTGATTCGCTTCCTCCGACGAAAACTTGCTCTGCAAGATCATGAGAGCGTGTTCTGTTATGTCAATTCTGTTTTTGCACCCGGGTTGGACGAGGGGGTGGGAAACTTGTGGCGTGTGAGTCCACTCTATTATCTTGTCACGGGTCTGGTTCACCTTTCTCGCGCTGACATGTACCAACAGTGCTTTAAGGTGGGAGATGAGCTGGTGGTGAATTACAGTGTCACGCAGGCATTTGGATGAAGGATGGCAGTCGAGTCGGAGATCCAACTGGAACAGCTCTACGAACGTCTTACATACAGTACCTCCGCCCTTGAACCTGGGTAGCTCGTCTCGAGTCTCCATCACTGTTGGGTCGCAGGAGCCAAAACAAGCCCTCAGGCCGTATAGCAAATAAGCCTAACGACGATGAGAACAGCTACTGGAAGATCAAGGGCCTACTTCATCGTGTCCTCAACAGCTCTTCGAAACTCCTCAAACTCCTTCTCCGGCATGGCATACCCATGCTCGACCCCCGGATAGACGCCACCCTTAACCTCCTCCCGATAGCTCTCAATCGCTCTCTTCGCCTCGCCCCAAACATCACCATACTTCTTCACAAACTTAGGCAAGAAGCGGCCAGGAGGGAAGTTCCCGAGCATGTCGACCTGCACCAGGACCTGTCCCGAGCAACCAGCGCCTGCGCCAATCCCGATGGTAGGGATCCGAAGTTTGGATGTGATGAGGGTAGCAACGGGCGGCGGTACAGCTTCCAGTACGACTGCGAAAGCACCTGCTTGTTGGACGGTTAAAGCATCGGCAAGGACACGAAGGGCAGAAGCTGTGTTCTTGCCTTGTACCCTGAACCCACCGAGCGCGTTCTGCCGCTGCGGCGTGAGCCCTACATGTGCCAGTACCGGTATCCCAGCCTTGGTGACCTTTTCTATTATTGGAGCCATCTCTTCGCCGCCCTCCATCTTGACACCCTGCACCCTTCCCTCCTTTACCATACGAATAGCACTACTAAGCGCCTGCTCAGGAGAGATCTCGTAGCTCCCCATGGGCAGATCACCCACGATGAAAGCTGACTGTGCCCCTCGCGCTACGCTCCGGCAGTGAAGCAGCATATCCTCCAGTGTGACTTCGCTCGTATCCGCATAGCCTAGGGCTACCATTGCCAGGCTGTCGCCGACCAGGACAATGTCGATCCCGCTTGTGTCGGCTATGTGGGCGGAGGGAAAGTCGTGGGCTGTTAGCATCGTTATCTTCTCTTGGCGGGTATGCATGGCGGATATCGTGGGTAAGGTGACTTTCTTCCTCGTCGTTGTTGTTGTGCTGAGGGGTGAGTGGGAGGAGTGTCGCCTGGTGCTGGGATTTGAGTGGGCAGCATTGTTTCGTTTTGACGGTAGAATGGCTCCTAAGACTATGCCGCTGTTGAGGTGGTGTATGGTAGATCGGGCTGGTGTCTGTGGTAGTAGTCTGGTCAAGGCACGCGACATGTTGTTCTTCAACGCTGGTGAGGTTGTCGTCGTTCAGATGAGATGATACGAGAAGGGATGCTTATGAGAGCTTTTCTGTTCTGTCCTTACCACCGATGGAAGCCCTACAAAGTTTCGCTCGCTCGCGAGCTGGGAATGTGGATAGTTTTGTTTTGTTGCTGTACACAATTCTTCACGCGTGGTTGTCGTACTTGCATCCATCGGCTCAGAGTCAGCCGAGGTCAGCAACGGCTGAGAAACAATTGGAGCTCGTCGCACCGACATTACGATAGCGGCAGTAAGACAGGATAAGTACGGCGTTGATATTATTCTGACTTCGTGCAACATGCGACAATCACATCATGATTTTAAACGCCAGACAGGACCGTGCTGCAGACCATCTTCTTAATTCACTGACACTGGTCACGCGCTAGCCTTTTACTTGTTGCAGCCAATCAGACAGCTCGAATATGCTTGAGATTGAAAGTGCATGTGCCCGGACTGCAAACCATGGTACATAGCGACGCCTGAGGTATACTTACCGCCCCTTCAGTACAGCTAAAAAGTTCTGCCACCCACTAAGATCATAGACATTGACTACATCATCAAGATTCCACACCAGCTTCCACAGCGCTTCTTGACCTTGCGGTGGATTACCATCTGATGTTCGTACAATGATCTGATCACTAGTAACAGGCCACAAAACGTCGACCTCCTCCACCCCATCAAGTCCGTAATCCAGAGCAGGATTGTCAGTAGTCTGGCGCTTCCCATTGCTCTTCGTCGATGTATCGCCATGCTTCCTTGACTGATTGTGCGTCTGGAGCTGATCTCGGGAGGCGACGAAAGCATAGCCGTCCTTCATATCGTCTTGCCAGTCCGCCCACTTCTGACTTTCATTCGTCGTTGTGCCTGCCCAAATGAGGTAGCAGTGATAAGCGAGCAACCCGAGTGGTAGCAGAGCAGTGGAGGCCGCGAGTAAGCCGACTCCTGCTATTGACAGACCTCCTTTGTTGATTGCATTGACCATGCCCAAGCCAAGGTCGGACCAGTACGAGCTCCTGGTGGGCATGAAACCACGAGATCTGTACTTTAGCTCAGGCTGCAGAATGTAGTGTGCTAGATATGCACCATAGATCTGTAGTACGCCGAGCGAAAGTAAGAGGAGCAAGAAGTATCGATAGTTGGCGCGGCCGAGACAATTGTTGACCCATGGACAATGATGATCGCATCTCGCCACGCATACACCGCAGAGGCCACAGTGTTTCGAGCGAGCTGGCTTGGGTCGATTACATGTTGTACATGGGATCCCGGGATGGAAGAGGACATGGTCGTATGGATAGTCCCGAAGGCGTGCATCGATATTCTCAGCTGTGATGTGGTCGGCCTTCGACACGACGGTAGCATAGGTAGACCAGTATGGCAGTATCAAAAGGAGCGGAATAGGGACTAGGAAGCTGGTCGGAAGGAGGGACGAAGCATTCCAGATGAACAGTGTAGATGCGCCAGTGAGAAGGAAAAGGAAGAGGATCTGGGCATGGACTTAGCTGTGATATTGAAGATGAGGTCGTCATGACACAATTACCAGCACGACAGGGTTCTTCTCGAAGAACAGCCATGTAGCAAGACGCGTGCTTCCCGCAGTGAGTCGCCCATCCGTGAGCCTCCTGTCGACCTTCCGTAGGCCATTAGGTAGATGCAAACAGAGGAGTCGCTGTAGCCACCCAATTGGAGTCCTTCTCAGCGCCGGCAATTGGCCGAATAGTACCACAAAAGTGAGCCAGGACAGCACGAGAATGGCGATGAGGACGTTCTTGAGCGCCGTCATGATGTTCTGACCAGTTCTTGCATCGTTTGTTGTGGGTGCAAGTGTGAATACAGCCTTGGAGTGGCGGGCGAGATTTGCTTGTTGCTGCTGGTCTGTGCAGAAACGAGCACCGACTCCTACTGTAAGTTCGCGACTTCACTTATATACTCGACATAGCGATTCATATTACTATGAGACTGCGCTTGGCGGGCTTTTGGATTGGTGTGGCTCGGCACAATGCATATCAACACGGTAGTCGAAGTGCCCCCCGGGCTCTGTCGTACCTGAGCACTCGCGCGCACGTTGTACCACGGATCAGAGCAGCACCAAGATCAGATCGCATCCAGACCCGAAGCCAGAATCTTTCATACTGTGATCCTGGATGGCAGGTAGTGGGACTCTCTCACAGTACCACTCGAAGACTATCGATCACCCAGCGCCGTGCTCAAGTCTTTAAGCCAGATGGATCGTTCGCAGTCGGCGCGGAGCCAGGATTCGACCTCAACGGCAATGCTCAGGTCGAGGATGCTCAGGTCGAGGAGGCTGATGCACAGATCAAGATCATCGATTACTCTGCCGACCGCGTTGTGGACCAAGACGTAGGTGCGGACGACCTCAAACATTTCCTGAGTACTCAACCCAAGCCAGACTGGGCGACATGCCGTTGGGTATACGTCAATGGTATCAGCAGAAATGTTGTGCATACACTGGGTCAGGCCTACGATCTTCATCCACTGACCCTCGAGGATGTGATGAACACCGACAACCTTGCCAAAGTGGATTGGTACGACGACCATTTCTTCTTAGAGCTTACACTTCAGAAGCTCGTGGATGTTGTCGAGCACGACAACTCGCCACAGACCTCTGCCTTATCTCACGGTGCGCACCGCAAGCGTTTTACATATGCTGCAGATAGCTCCAACGACGCAGATGTAGTGCAGCAACTTGACAAGCCAGGACGACATCTGTACCAAAGGTTCAACATGTCCGTCGAGCAGGCAAGTGTCTATCTCACTGCAAGCGGGACCGTCATCACCATATTCGAGCGATCTGGAGAAGATGTGTTCAAACCTATCTATAACCGTCTACAATCACCACACACAGTACTTCGTTCTGGCGATGATCCATCTATGCTCGTACAGGGAGTGCTCGATGCTGTGGTAGACATGGCAGTGCCGGTCGGGAGAGCATTTGAGGATGCGTTTACCGAGTTAGAACTTGCCGTGCTTACGAAGCCATCGATCACACTTTCACGACAAGTCTACGTACTCCGGGCAGGTCTGGCATCCTTCTTGGATCTGCTCGTACCGATAGGCGGTCTTGTCAGGGCGCTGTACGATCATCGAAACGTAGCACAACAGCCACCTGGAGCCGGACCAATACCAACAGAGGCGGGAGCAAAGACACGCTCGCCAGACTTTGCCAGTCAGGCTGTTTCGCCATTGACCCAAGCCTACCTCAAGGACGTTCAAGATCACATCACTACACTTACAAGTAGTACGCACATGAGGATTCGTTCCGCTGAGAACCTGACTTCTTTGATATTCAACACAATTGCGGCTCGACAGAACGAGAGTGTGCGACAGCTCACGCTTGTGTCGATCTTCTTCCTACCTCTCACTTTTTTGACAGGATACTTCGGCATGGTAAGTGGCAGGAGCAGAGGATACACATGCACATCGCTGACGTCTGTACAGAACTTCGACCCGATGCCGGTTGTGCAAGAACATAGCGACGAGTTCTTCTGGTTCATCGCATCACCCGTCATGGGAGTCACGCTAGCAATACTAATGGTGAGGCCTGCAGCACGGAAGCTCAGCGAGTGGCGGCGCATGGCCTGGAGACGTCGGCGTCGATGACTTTGTGCAGCCGGGATCCAGAGCCTGTAAGATAGCTTCCAAGAAGACAGTATGCTCGAGTTGCCGTCTCGTGCGGCAGACCATGCACAGTGATCAGCTCGCCAATGCTCTCTTCCGTCTAGCTCGATACAGAGCTAGACCGTGGCTTGCGTACCGCACTTTGACATCTCGAGAATCTCAGAGTAGGCCACTGCCTACAATACGAGAGAACTATGCGTAACGGAAGACATAGCCAGCTGAACCCCAGTTCGAGATCGCCTGACCAATGGCTGTCACCTTCGGTGCACCGGTCCCATCAATCCATACTCTGTGACCATACCGGAAGGTTGAATTGCATGTTAGCCTGTTGAGCAAAGCTCAGAAAGGCCGACACCGATTTGGCAGAGCGACACCAGGAAGGCAACATATTCAACATCGCACTGTCATTTCTTGCATTTAGTCATTGGCTTCATATGTGCCCCTGCGGTGGCCGTGATCGCCTATGATGGACAAGCTTCGTACTGTAGCAATATATACACTCCCGCTCAAGCACGCTACAATGGATGTCCAAAGAATTGGCTGAGAGCAATCCGAGTAGCTCAAAAGCTTGCTTCTGTACACCACGAACGCCTTGCAGAATAATGATTCGTGGTTGAGAACAGACGCGTTCCCTTCCCTTCCTCCACAACCCAAATACAGCACGTCTCAGCAAGACCTAGCCACCTCATCGCCTAAACCCAGCCTTCACATCCTCCCGACTAAAGTCCACTTCCACGTTCTTCTCCCCCTCAGTAGGCGGATACACCGTCCCAATTAACCCCTCCATCCTCTGAAACGTCTTCTCATACACCCTCTCACACTCCTTACCCACCAGGCCCACCAGACTCCTAGAGATCGCCTCCTCATCTCCATCAGCAAAATGCTTCTCGATCCTCTTCCTGAGCGTATCGATCCCCCGACGGACTTCCTTGGCATCGTATTGCGAGAACGTATTGCGAGCTGCTTTCCGCGAGTACGAAGGTCGAGAGGCGATGGCAGAGGGGTTCGGATGCGTTGACAAGAGGGAGTCAGTGCTGTCAAGGAAGTCCTGGGAAGCATGTTAGCATGAAGTTTATCGACCATCCAGCACACATGACGACGCGAACACATACCAACAACTTCCCCAAAGGCCTCTTAACAACCCTCTGTACATAAGCCTCCAAGGCCTCGGCCCTCTCCATCAACGCCTTGCCCCTCCACTCCGCCAAAACGCCCTCTCTGCCACCATCGTCAACCTCCTCAACGTAATGATTCATATTCTCGATAAGCAAAACATGATAATTCAGTACCACCTTATCCTCGGGATCATCTCCTCCAGCAGCCCCACCCGCAGCCGCCGCCGTCCCACCCCTATGCTGAGAAGCCGCCGGCGCCGCACTCGGACTCTCCTTGGCGATGACCTTCAGGCTATCAAACATAGCCTTATTCAAACGCGAATACGTCGCATCGACCCACCTTCTCGTCTCCCCCACCACCTCCTTCTCACTCTCATAATCCGGCCCCGCCACAGCGGCGAAACAATTCTCCACCGCAGCAGCAAAATGCGGGAAAATCTTCATAAACCCGATAACGCCCTTCCGCTTGGAAATCTTGACCTTCGTATCCTCAATCGCCCGAACCTGCTCATCCACGAACTTGGTCCACAGACTCTGCAGCCTCGCGATCAAGCCCTCGAGTAAAGTGAGCAAGAACTCCTGATTCGTATCAGAAAGCCAATAGCTATGCCGCGATAAACAAGCCATGACACCAACACCCTGGATCGGATCACCAGCCAGACACCACTCCATTAAACCCTGGGCCTCCTGCGCAAAGAAGCCGAATTCCGCCTCCATCGCCCCGCGCACGATCCCCGCCATCTCCCTCTCCACCTCCACGCCTCGAGGCCGAACGAGATCAACACCCCCCGCTCTCGCCTCAGGCGGACCAAGCGCCTGTACGACTTCGACAAAATCGCGTGTCTCGCCTCCTTTGGCCCAGAAGAATTCGGAGATGAAGTTCTGTTCTTGAGAAATCATGGGAGCCATTTCGTCGATCCCCGCTGCAAATACCTCGGCAGGGGAAGACTGACCGGAGCGAGAAGCCGACAGATCCAGGGTGTGTTTGCTGCCGCTGCCAGCACTCCGTAAAGTTTTCGCTAGAGTCTGACTGCGCTTGATCGTGAGTTTCCTCGCGGCACCTATACCCGGTACCCCACCACCGCTGCCGGCACCACTCGGGTCCTCTCTCTCTGTAGCCGTGAACAAGAGTTCCGCTTCCTCAGCCCCCGGTTTGCGGGCCGATCGCTTCCAGCCAGAGATATTCTCCACAAAAGCCTCCGCGTAAACAGGCTGAGCTTTCGCGTGGTACAATCTTAGCGCCGTCGTCCAAGCAGGCCGATTGACCTCCTTCGTGAACAGGATCAAAGGACCGTACACCCACAACCCCATCTTAGCGTCCGCAAGAGCAATATTATTCAGCTTCTTGGTCCCCACTCCAGCACCAGCAGAAGCGGGCCTGAGAACTCCCCTCCTCGCCTCAGCCATAGCCTGTCCGAACGAAGCATCCAAATGCTGCAGGAACCGCTGCACGAACCCCGCCGCCTCCCGCTCATAAACCACCCTCTTCTCCCTCAACGCCAACATCCCGCTCAGCGCCTCCCCCGCATCCCCCCCACCAACCATCAGCCCCCTACTCTTAGGCCTCCCGCCCCCGGCACCCCTCAAACCCGGATCAACCACAACCATAGCCCCCCACAACCTCCCCGCCGCCAACTCCACGACCTCCAACCCCCTCGGGTCCCCAAACCCGCCATACCTCAAAGGCTCCAACACCCTCTCATCCAACCCAATAACCTCCACCAACCCCTCCAGTTCCCGGACAAGACCCTTCTGATTCGCACTCTGGACCTGCAATCCCTGACTCTGCGCCTCAATGAACGCGACGTCCTCGTTCAGACTGCCGAGTTCAACACTATACAACATGAGCAAACCCTCCAGATCATCACACTCCTGAATAGCCTTATCCAGCAGACTCTCCACGGCTTTGACTTTCGACTCGTTCAGCCCCGGCGTGTCTGCCGCACCACCAGGCGTGTTTGGGTCAGAGAGGGCGAGCCACGATCCAGCTTCCAGACGCCCTTGCTCGCGCTTCAGGTCCGATTCCAACGCAGCCATGGCTTTGAGATCCAAAGATCGATCTTTCCATCCAAACTCTTCCAATGCTGCCTCGAAATCTAGAGCCTTGCCGTCAAGTAATGTGGGATCAATCCCCAGCGCGGCCAGATTCCTCTGCTGAGTCTGACTCCTCCTCTTGACCTTAACAAGAGGTTTCCTCATCTCGCTTTGCGCAAACAGATCTCGTTCCGCCTGCTCTTCGGCCTCGAGATCCTCCTGCTTTTGTCGCATGACCTGCTGATCTGGTGTCTGAAGAAGGTCTTGCGAGTCTGTTGTTGGCGGCAAAGGCGAGTCCTTGAGCTGGACGCTCCTTGGCCTCTCCTCCTTCTCCTTTACCTTCTCCTTCTCCATCTCCGCAGACACGATCCCAAGACCATTAGGCTGCGTGATAGGAGTCGCAGGATCCACCTCGACCTTCGGCGGCATCGCCTCGTGCACCTCTCCATTCCCATCCATCATTCCTTTCCCATCCATCACTTCTTTCGGCACAGGAGCAGCGACCGGCCTCGGAACAAACCCACTCACACCTTCACTATCCCCAGCATCCGGTGAAATGCCTGCCTCCCTCTCCGCCTTAGCCCTCATAATCTTCTCCGCCGCACCACCAGGTCTAGGCTTGAACGCGGAGGCTGCCGTAGCTGCTTTTTTGAATCTGTCCCTGATCGCGTTCTTCTTGATCATAGGTCCCAGGCCAGGTCTGTAAGCATCGCCGGCGCCTTCTTGCTGTTCTTGCGGAGACTCGTTGGGGGTAGCTGTGGTGGTGGTAGTGGTAGGTGCAGAGGGCTGCACAGCTTCCTCGCCTCGTTCCTCCCGTGGAGTTTCTACCGGTGTGCCAGCGGGAGAAGGTCCAACGGGTGTGTTTGTAAAAGCACCTGGCATAGCAACTTTTGTCGGCTCGTCATTTCTTCTCGATGAAAGCGGTCGTTGTTGCTGCTGTTGATGTTGTTCGGAGGACTGTCTCTTATCCCTCACAGCCAAAGGTCTAATCTCCGGCGGAGGCGGATGTTCCGTCATAGGCGTATGCGCCGCGCTCGTAATCGCCGAGCGGTCTTGAGGAGTAGCATATCGACTTCCACTCTCATCACCACTGACTGCTCTTCCAGCAGCAGCGCCCGTCGATCGCAAGGGAGGAGGGCGTAAGTCATAGCTCGCTTCCGAGATCCCTCGTTCTTGCATTCCAGGCCTGCGCGAACTACGCTCGGGCGTGAGGGGCGAGTCGGGCGGTGCTTGGATAGTGGGTGTGGCGACGACTGGCGCAGATGTGGGCGTGGGCTCGGGACCCCAGTAAGATGTCAAGGCTGCTATGCCTGCCGCATCGCCTAGGTCCACCATACCTGCTGAAGAAGCTTCGCTGGCAGCCGTAAGTGGGTTGAAGGCGTCGCCTGAGCCTTTGCTGCGTTGTTGAGCCGCGAGCGCGGCAGCTTGCGATGTCTCGATGGGTGGTAATTGCGGTGGGCCAGGCGACAGTGGTCGTTGATTCTGATTTTGAGCCTGCCATCTTTGTCGCGTTGAAGCTAGTAGTGCCGCTCCAGCGGTTGCTCCATTCGCGTGGGAGGGTGGCGCCGGTGCCTTTTCAAGTTCATAACCTTGCGAAGGCATCGAGTCCATTGATCTGTCCTCAGGGACACTATTCACAGGTTGCTGATACTGTCTTTGCCGTCCCGGACTCACGTTCCGTACCTGTGGTCGACCAGGCCCTGCACTAGATGCCAGCGAACTAGCACTCGGACTTTCGGACCTCGCAGACGGTATACTAGGTGGTGGCAAAGGCTGGCCCTGCTGCTGCGAGCTCGGCGATCGTCCATAAGCCGGCGCAGGACTCGTCCCAGGTCTAGCACCGCCATACTCCTGCCGCGACCGCTCGCGACTCTGTGATCGCATATGCTCCTGACTGGCAAAGGGTCGTGGGACATTCATCGGTATTGGCTGTTGTTGGTTTTGCGGATGGCCGGGTCTCAAAGATGGAGGCGCAGGACTCTCGCTCTGCTGTCGATTCGGTACTGCGCTTCCGGGCCGTGCGTCGTGTATACTGGCTGGCGGTCCGGGACTGCCTCGATATCTGCTCTCTTCTCGGCTTTGCGGCCGTTGAGCGAAAGGTGGCTGTGGAGGCGCAACAGGCGACATGTCTCTACTCTCCGCTCTACTCTCAGCTCTCATACCAGGACTGACTCCAGATTGTGACTGTGGCGCGGGCGATCGTTCCTGCTGCTGCTGCTGCTGCTGTGGAGGTGCTGGCTGACCTAACATGGTCGCCTTCTCCCTCTCATCTAACCCCTTCAGCTCCGGCACCAGACCTTTCGTGTACTTCCGGTAGATCTTGACCGCACTGGCGATGAAAAAGTCCTTCTCCTTGCTCGTCCCAGCCTGCCAATAGTACGGCTTGGTGATGGTCACGGTGAACCCCACACTGCCCGCCCATTGCTTCTGCTGAGCCTCCTTTTCCGACTGCGCAGGTACATTCGCACTACCGTACGTCTCGATGGCCGACAGCTCTTCCAGATTCCACGTCTTGCCAATACTGAAGCTGCCATTGTTGTTCTCACGTGCCTTGTGCATCCGTACCCGTCCCGTACTCCGCACGGCGATGATAATCAGACGCGGCTTCTTGTTGTTCTCGGCGCTCTCGGGTGGAGGCGGAGAAGACGGGTGTTGCGCATCCTCTATAATGCGGATATGTGTGATGTAGCTCTCGGCAAGCTGGCCATTGGCATCCAGCTTACTAAAGCATGACTCTATTATGCGCCGCTTCTCATCCTCGAAGCGTTCGGCACGTGACATGGCGGCGGCGGTGGAGGCCGAGGGGATACGAGCCCCAGGCGACACGGATCGCTGATGGGGGGGTGGCGGTCGATGTTGGGTGGGTGTCGCGAGTCGTGGTTGCAATGCGACCGAGGATAGCATGGAGGGGTTGGAGTTGTTGCCGTTGCTCATGTTCCGGAAGCCATGATTATTATGCTTATTCGCCGATGGTCGAGACATCTCATCGTACGCTTCACCTTGTCCGATGTCACTGCTGGAGCTCCCGCGATGGGGTCGCAGGCACGTGGAGCGGCGGGTCGGAAAGGAGGTCACCTGCATGAATGTAATCCAATCTATTACTGAGCTCTTCACTTGACTGATGACCTTGACCTCCGTCCCTCCATCACCATTACCTCCCGAGTGACCTTTGCTCGAATAATGTCACTCAAGATATGACCATTGTCTTGTCTCATGAACACTACTGTATCTCCAAGCTAACTTCGTGGACGTGCTCACCTTACCCGTTACGCTAAACCTCCCGTCTCTTCCGTCTCCCGCTGCCTCGGGACGAACTGCCGATGCACCCTCCTCCCTGTGTCGCACTCAGAAGATACGCCGTTCTACCAGGCCATGCCCAATCCAACACATATCCAAAAAGGCTCAGATCCTATCGTTGCATGAACACGACCACCAGTGTGACCTTACCTCATGACGCAGTTTGCAAAGGCTGAGACCACGATATCGAGACTAAGATAGTTTGACATTCATCGAAGTGACCATCAGACATGAGACCGTCCATGAAGATCAAGATGAACATCGACACGTGCCCCTCAAGCTCTTATTGCCATCTACAGACAGGGACGAAAGCACCTCTAAACACTACCCTGGCCTTGATCAATCATTTGGTGGGACTCGAAACCAATGCGGAACCCGAATTCATGCTCTCCGGCTTCTGAATCCATTCCACTCGATGATTCTTCACACAAAACCCCTCACGCACCGATCCTCCCCATATCAACACCATCCTTCACCTCCTCAAACCCCACTCCCACCCGTACCGCTTTGCCCTGCCTGAGCTCCCTCGCCACCTCCCCCGGATGAACAAAACTCATAACCCCAACGGTCACCCACATCATCGCCGCATCAAATACATACAAAAACACCTCATGCGTCATAATAAACCCATCGAATCCCTGCACATATTCCACGACCCTGACAGTACTCCTGACAAAAATCAGAATACTGACGAGATAAAGCCCGAGCATATGCCTCCTCCACCACGGCACCTCCAGACTCTTCCTCGTAGGTACCTTCTCCATCCTAACATGAAACAGCGCCGCAGCCAACACGAAAAGCCCAAAGAAAACAACCTGCGTCAGCAATCCAGCCACCACAATAGTCTTGCCCGTGTTGATACTATCCCCATTCCCAGAAGCCATGAGTCCGGCACCAGAACTCTGCATAAGGAAACTCAGAACATCGCCTCCGACGAAAATCTTCGTCAACCATGTCCGGTGAATGAAGAGAGCGTGTTCGCCCTGCATAAGCAATACCACCCGGCCGAGTTGCATGTAGATGGATGCGGCGAATAGTGCGGGCGCGACAAGGATGACGAGGGATTGGATGATATACGGACCTAGAGTATAGGGGCCCGGGTTTTGGCCGGCGGAGAGTGCGCGGCCTATATAGCCTATCGTCTCGACTAATCTCACACGTCAGCTCGATCGCCCAATTTCCTCAATTTTCGAGACTTTGATGGGACTTGGAGACATACAGGTCCCACCGATGACAAAGGGAACCATGAACCATGTCCTTGCCCTCACCATCTGGACTCCATGTGCGAGTGTTGCGAGACCGAAGAGGATGATGAAGATGATTGCGGCTGGGAGGGACGGGTGGTAGTAGTAGAATTTGAAGGCGGAGAGGGCGTTGTCGCCCGAGGCCGAGTCGGCACTGTCGCGGAGTGATAGCATAATGGAGGAATGGGATCGGGACGGTGGTGTTGCTCAAGTCGGTGGTGTAATGATCGCCTCCTGATCGTGAGGGAAAGTCGTCGTGGTTTGTGCTCGTCAATGAAGAAAACCTTGAGCTGGTAGAGGGTGGTGGGAGTGGGCAAAATGATGATGTGATTTCGGAGCACAGTCAGAGAGGTGGTACCTACTTACTCTTATACTACAACGAAATGTTGCCTCTGCAAGAGCCATTGGCATGGTGGATACTTGCCGTGTGTAGCCTCCCTCGCGTTGAGCTCGCAAGACAACTCTGCCACGCTTCGGGTTCAGCTCGCATTGCGGGAGTGCCCCGCTAGCGCCAGCTTTGACCATGCCAAGCCTCGGGCTTCCTCGCGTTCTTCGAGTACGTGCGCGGCATTGAGTGCTTCGCTGATTGATTGTCCGAGCGAGATAGATTATGATGCTGTTGCCTGGCAGGTGCCAGTGGTTGGGATACAGTATCAGTATGGAGGGAAGATTGCGTCCCTGTTCTGTAGATGTAGCGTGGCCATGCTATCAGTCAAACGTAACCTTCTTGCCCTGAAACGCAGCAAGCGTCTGCTTCTTCTCCTTCGCCTTCTTCGCCGCCTCCCAACTAGGATGGATAGGTCCCTCGCTCTCTTTCGTCTTCATAACGGCGGCCACAGGCGCAGGTCCAGCACGAATACCATCATTACCTCTACCAGGTGCAGCAGCCCTGTGCCCATTACCACCACCACCACCACCACCACCACCACCACCGCGCTGCATCCTCCCCCCACGACCAAGCTGCGTAGCATTACTTCCCTCGACAGCCCCACGCTTAGGGTCCCACCCAGCGTTCCGATTAGGCTTCTGCATATGATTTGCCTTGACACCGAATTTCTTCTCCCAAATCGCCTGACGAGCGCGTTGACCTCTTCTGTTCTTCTTGGGTGCTTCGTCTATGTCGTCGATATCTGTTCCTGAGTCGGAGATGTAGCCGCCCATGAGCGAGGGTATGATGATCTGTTTCTTTGATGGCGGTGCTTTTCGTGGTTCTGGCGATGCTGAGGCAAAGAAGGAGTCTTCCTCTTCTTCCGATACGGAAAGGTCTGCTGCGTGGTCGTACGCTGGACGAGACTTCTTGCTGCCTTTTCGTGCTATACCTTCTGCTTCGAGTTGTCTTTCGATCGTTGCTATGTCCTCGTCGCCGCCCTCACCAGCTGCTCCACTGGTCTCGTCGTCCGAAGATGCCAGATGGCCTTCAGGTCTGTCCAGATCATCATGAGAGCGAACGTCACTCGCAAGCTGATCTGAGTGCTCTCGAGAAACATTTTCTTCCTCGTTCGTCTCTGCTTTTACCACGGCCGTCCGAGTACCGTCACTCCCAGCGTCTTTTGCAGCACTCTGCACAGCGGCCTCGTAGTCCTTCGCTCGTACCCTCTTCGTCTTCGGCACAGCCTCGCTACTGTACTTCAACCCAAGCGCTCGATGAATCTCCGCTAGTACATCCGGCAATGCCTCCTTCACAGGGTTCGACTTGCAGAGTCTCGCATGCACATTCAACACAGCGGCATCCGAAGAAAGCGTCGCAGGCTGTCTGACCTCGGACGGAAGATCCCCAGACTCATCGATAGCTTTGACCTTGATCAAAATCTTGCATAAATGTATGTGCGCGCATTTTGTGGTATCCAATGTCTTGATCGCGGCGACTTCTGCCTCTATTCTGTGTACATCCTTCTCGTTCTTCTCCGCGACCGCCTTTTTATGCCGTCGTCCAAGTTTCTGTCTTTCGAAGCCTTTTGCGACTTTGAAGGCATGTCCGAGTTTGACGGTACCATGCTTTATGTGATGCCGCACTCGTTGCTGCTTTGCGCTGCGGACGGCACCGCTTGGTGCGACTGCATCTTCATTGTCTCGTTTTCGTTTTGGCATCGTTAGACATCATTCGAGACAAGACTTGAGATCGTTATTTTCTGTCCGTTACCCCACATCTGCTTACTCATTGGCTCGGGAGCATGCGGCGCTAAGGATCGACGAGCGCGTGTCAGTGAATGTTTGATGTCCACATCCGTTGTTCTTCTACCCCTTCTCAACACCAAATCTCGAATCCAGTGTCATCCACCTATTGCAGTATCATTTGGTGAATGCTAACCCCATCCATGTGATCGAATGACGGGCATCTACAATTGAAGATTGAGGTTCGCCCCTTATCGCTGCAACCACGAGGAGGCCCGAACAAGTCAGGTCTTTTCTGAAGCTTAACCATCGTACAGGCAACGCATCTACTCGAGTCACCCGATAAGCACAGGTTCGAGGATGTAAGTGGTATAACGACGACGTCATCATCAGGATAAATGGTCTGATGCGACAAACATCTGATTCCTAGCGACTGCTAATGCAAACACGTCGAATTCTCCGTACAGCAATTCTGGTCACAATGGGACTATGCCGCTCTATGGCTACGATCAAGATGCCTTCGATCGCATCATTGGCGGCCAAGACTTTCTCGAGTACTTCCACAACCCAACACCAGCAAGGCAAGATTTCGTAACGAGCGTCTAGGACCTGGCTTGCGGTGAGCGCTAACTTCACTCTCACTCTCGTGGTCGGCGAGAAGCTTAGAGGAAGGGCAGATTGATCGTCTCCACGGTGATGATGGGAGTCGGAAATCTCCTTCAGCTTAATCGTAATGCCCGTAGCTCTGCCCCTGGCTTCGTACCCACCCCCGACCGCAAGACCCTGGATCCTTTACGTGGTGCCGACGACCACGAAGACATGGTTTGTTCGTTCGCTGTCGTTATAGACGAAAACTCGCACCTAGCTTTGTGACTCGTTGTAAATACCGTAGGCTGAGCGGATTTCCCGGCTGCGGTATGCGAAGGCACTATGGCTGGAAGACCCCTGGATTCGCCTCCCGCAGCTCTCTGTAGCTAATGCCCATCCGTTGGCAGTACACGCCGGCGTCAAGGCCTTGGCTTTGTGCTAACCGCTCGCCACTGATAATGCACGAATCACAATAGCCACGATCGAGGTCAATGGAGCTCCACGTTACTGGCGAGCATAGGTTTTTGGTCAGACCCGACTCCTCGCAACGCACCAGACGTGCCGTCTCGAGGGCTGTCCCATGCGCAGCATGTCCGCAAGTTGGACGCCTGGGCATTTGTCGGGAGCACATATGCTTTGTGCTGGATTTCTGCCCGTTGTTCAGCTCGCTGCTTCGATAAGATGCCCGAGTTGACATACTACGCTGCTGGATCGGACCATTGTGATCATGAAGACCAGGTGGGAGGATGTCGGTTGCCGAGCTTGCGGAGTTCGTCTACTTCGAAGCAGAAATCCATACTGCCGTACCCGTTTTGTACATACCGTCCGACGCATAGCCTACTAGTTCAACGCCTGATGCCGCGAACCACTTCGTCGCCATCGGAAAACGCAGGCACTCGGTCTCGCTAAACCACGTGGAAGTGCTCCAATTCCAGTCCAGCGGCGGTAGAGGGATATATACATCCTCAAGCTTTCCGTACAGGAGGCTTCCACCGTCTCGAAGACTAGTGTCGCCGCATCTGTGGCAGAAAACTGCAGCTATACGGTGTTGCGATGCAGGACCGGCTTCTGGCGTACTGCCATGAACGGCCAGATACACTCCTTGCTGGAAGGCAAGTCCACATCGGTATACTGCTTTCCATGCCGGCGCAACAAGATGTTCATGCGTTTGGCATCTTGCACATCGTGCTGATTTCGTAGCGTCCGCAGATACTGCAGGGTTGGCGCCCGTAAACTACTTCCGGATGTTCCTGACAATTGCAGCATTGCAGCTACCAGCCTTACCACCTCATCAGCAACGCCATCAGCGCCTAGCGTATAGTTACCGGCAAACTCTGATCTGACCACTTCGCGCCGTCGCCAAGATATTGATGTGACCCATGAAAGGAAACCCATGGCTTGGCGGCTCCCAAGCCTCACCCGAAGCCATAACCATGCCGCTGAGGCCTAGACTTTCCACTTTCCAACTTCACGCCTCACGCACCCAGATACGAGGCGACAGCGACGCAGTAGATGCTCAAAGAGTAGCTTGCTCAGCCGCACATTTTCAGAAGGTTGATCAATGCAACTCATCGATGTCTCGCGTCAGCCGTGGTGGTGAAGGCGTACGAACGACGAACGAGATACGACATGAGGTATTGACCGGCAATGCTCGGTTCGAGCCTCTGTATCATCAAGGACATCGACGCCAAGAATTGATGGGGAACAGCCATAGTCACGTTTTCCAAGTCGGTGTCCTGATCACGACGGCGCCAGGTGACAGATGGCCTACATCAATCAGCAAACCTGTGTGGCGCTGCTTGTTCCACGCAACTCCCTCTCACCATGCTTTGCAAGACCCGCCGCGCACCACTAGCGAATACATCTCCTAATCCCAGAGAGTCAGTCAGACGTATGATAATATAGCCTATGATTCTTACGATGTAGATATGCATTCGCTCCTTTCATCTCGGGATGGCTCATCCTCAACACGACATGATGGATCCACCACACCTTAAGAAACTCTTTCAACCCGATGCCCCGATGACAGTAGCGCGAGGCCGCGGATAGCCGACATTTCCAAAAAAAAAAAAGGAAAAAGACTCGCTGTCTCTATTTGTACTCACGCATTACCACGATCTCGCAGCGCCGCCCGGTAAGTCCTTACCCAGTATATGATAGTCCCGAGAACATCACGCGTGGCTGGGGCCGGGAGGATCACCAAAACGCAAACGATTGCAACAATGGTGTGGCCGACCGTCACGATGAAAGAATACAGTACAGCACAGGCAGACCGGGTCGAAAAGATCAGGCTCATTATCAATCGGACATCTCCCCATTGCAAGCAAAAACGACAGCATCCGCACCAAAACCAAGGGGGCAAGAAGTGAGAATCAGACCTTCTTCTAAAACATATACCCCATACAAGGCGAGGATCCCTTTCCCCCGCCCCCGCCGCCCAAAACACCTTCGCTAAAGCATCTACTCGTACAGTTTGCTATTGCGCGGGGAAAAATCCGCAGTCTCAGCGAGCCACGACATCATTCCGCCCGTCTCCTCACGAACCCCAGCACCCCTCCCACATAAGGCGCCAACCCCTTGCCACCCTTTGTAAGACCCGTCATCAGACCTTCCACCACCTCATGGTCGAAGACACGGTCCATCAAACTCCCACTCCCGTTCTTTTGATCCGTATGTCCACATCCGTTCGCACCAGCGGTAGCCGCAGACACAGCCCCCCCCCCATCCCTGCCCTCCAGCCCCAACTCAGCACCCGCAGAAGAAGCAGCGAAATTCGTAGTACCAGAGGACGAAGAGGCGGCAGAATCGCCCGGCAGAAACTTGGCCAAATTCCTCAGCACAAGCACCGCCCCCAACGGAACCCCAAAAGCATCACCCTTCTCGTCCACAAGCCCCTCATACCTCACCCTCCCCACTTTCCCCCCAGTAGCAGACCTCTCCCCCACAGTCGCATCAGGAGATAGGGAGATGTTATTTTTCCCGTGCCTGGAATCCGAATCCGGGAGGTGGGTGAAGATGTGTCGGGCGAAGAGTGAGGTTTTTAGGGCGGTGGTGCTCGCGTTGGAGGAGCCGAGAGAGGAGGAGGAGGAGGTGGAGAAGGTGGAGGGGGGTGAGAGGGGGTGATGGTGACAGGTGGCCCAGCGGCAGGTATAATCCATCGATAGCGGGGCATTGGCAAAGTCGAATTTAGTCGTCGCTGCAGCAGTCTTCGGTGGTCCCGTCCCGTTCGTCGTGGTACCATGGGAATCGATATCCATCTCACCGCCATTGCTCGCATCGGCTTTAACGGGAATTCCCAAATGCTCCTCCAGCACATGCACGCCCATCGCCTCACCCTCGCGAAAAAACTCGCCACACTCCACCATCCTAACCCCAGCCCCCTGCATCTGCTGTCCCATCACAGCCTCCCTAACACCCCACCGACACCTCCCCAACCCCCTCCCCTTCCTCTCCTTACCACACCCCACCAACCCGCCCGCCTCAACCGGCTCCTTCCGCGCACAAATCCCCTTAATAACATACTTATTCCCCAGCGCAACCTGCGCCGTAGCCCCCACAAAAGTAGCAGAAACATTCTTGATGAACTCCCCGGCCACAAGATGCGGGTGTGTGGCGCTGTGGGGCGCGAAGGTGGACTGGTAGGCTTGCCAGAGGGAGATCTGGGTCATATCCGAGGTGGGGGAGGCGAGGAACAACATGCGGAGCCATTCGGAGGAGCGGTCGGGTTCGTCTAGTTGGAGGAGGTCGAGGACGACGGAGCGGGAGAGGCGGGGGATAGGGTGGGTCTTGTTCGGGTTGTCTGAAGATGCGGGGCAGTCGTCTGTTTTTCTTTCGGGTTTGGGGTCGCGTTTCTCTTGGACGCCATATAAGAGGAGGCGGCTGAGGTGGTGGGTTAAGGCTGGAGCGTCGAGGGTGGAGAGGAGGGTAGCGACGTTGTTGGCGAAAGAGGTATATTGGAATAAAAAATCGAGGCAGGCGGTTTTGAGCTCTTCGTCTTCGACTAGGAGCCAGGCTTGTACTTTTCGGAGGATGGCGTCGGGGACTTCGTCGAGGCGTTTGGGTCCCGGGAGGTTCATGGCGATGCGGGCGATGGTGCGGAGGGCGGAGGTGATGGCGCCGCGGTCTTGACCGTAGAGTTGGGCGACGAGAGCTTGGTAGAGGCCGTCTTTTGGGCCGAGATCGCACCAGACTAGGAGTTGCTCTGCGGTGTCCAGGGCGTAGTGCTGTAGCTCGACGATGGCTGGATGTTGGGGTAGGTTGAGCGCTACTGTCAGGTAGTCGCGGACTGTCGGGATGCTAACCATGTACTTGGCATTCTCGTGCTGCAAGACCATGTTCCGGATGACCAGCGCAGCCTCCATGACACGATTGAGTTGAGATGAAAATGCAGGGTCCAGCATGCCATCTTCCGTCACTTTTAGTGTCATATTGTTCAGTCGCTGCACAATATCGCTCGTCCCACGTAGGCCATCCAGCGTCTCTTCGTCCTGATCCATCATCTCGTCCTCATAGCACACCTCCCACTCAACATCATAGAACAGTCCAGCCACACTAACACACTTCTTCACCAACGCCTCAGCCAGCCCAGGAAACTGATCAAAGCGATACTTGTCCCCTCGCTCATGACTAATCTTGACAAGATGATGGAGAGCATAAGTCTCTTCACTCTCGATACCACTTTGCAAAGCATACTGCGCTCGCAAGTAAATATTGGGCCCGATAAACCCAGTCCCCGGGAGCATGATATTCCGATACTTCTTCGGGGCTGGTCCGTTCATCGTCTCAGCTTTCCGCTTGGCAGCTTGGCGGTAGTGTTCGGGATTGTTGGCAGGGGTCGTGACTGGCTTGAGTGAGAGGGGATATGACTGGGCTGGTTCGTATGAGGCGAGTGTGGATGAGGCGGCGAGCGACATATTACCCGGTGGAAATCCATTCAGGCCGGGCGTGGGTGAGGTGGTCGTGTTCTGCCCTCCCCTCACCTGTCGGCCAGAGGTAAGGTCGGGTTGGAAGAGGACGCGCTGGGGTGGCGCCTGCCGTAATCGCGTCGTCCTACCTGTCGCGCTACCCGGGTCGTCCGCACCTTCAGTCGTTTCAATCTTGGGTGTCTTCTGCTGTTCAGGACTCTCCTCTTCCTCCTTATTCCCCAGATTCACCTCTTCCTTGCTCACGGGCTTGGCGAAGTTCTCCACCGTCCTCGTCATGACATTTCCACCTTTCGCCGTCACCTCCTCCAAGATCTCTTTCGGTGGCGGCTCTTTCTGCCAATGCTTCGTGATCTCGTATGCGACCAAGTTTTTGTAGTAGACGTTCTTGATCTGGAAGGCTTGCGCGGCAGTATATACGTTCTTGCCCACAAACTCCTCGGCAAAGCGCCGCCACATCAATGGCTTGGCTTTTGTATCCGAGCAGAGATCATATCCGCCTTCGTCTACCACGCGGGTGTATAGCTTGAAAAGGTCGATGTGTCGCACGCCGACTTTTGGCTCCGTCTCAAGGGTGGTGCTGCGGAAGGAGTAGAAGTCAGCTGACCATACAATATGCTGCTCGATGAGATATCATTCTCACCCTCTCTTCTCATGGTACTCGGCCAACTTCTTCACAAAGTCCTCATGCTCATCCGTCTTCTCGATCGATTCTCCCCGTTTGGGTGCCATCTTGGCCTCCTAAAGACCAGTCACACACTCGATACCGCGCGACTAGCCGCTTCCGTCGAACTATCCCAAGTGGTTACCGCAGCATCGACTATGCTTGAGATGTATGAAACATGCGACACGTCTCTTGACACCCACAAATGCACAACTCCACAACTCCACGCGCTTGAGAGATGGCCATGCAACATTCGGCTGCTCCCGGCGCCACGAAGCTTGTTTGACGGAGAGCTCTTTCCTCTGCTACCTGCTTCAATCAACCTTGCGACTTCACCTGATCAGACGTCAAGTCGTGCAAGGCAACCAGTGTTTCGATTTCGTAGCATCACAATGTAGGTAAACATCCTCATCGAATCATCTCTCCTGTGTCTGTGTCCCCACAACTACACCTCTCCCGACATGGCCACTGACCTCTGCCTTCGCGTGCTCAAATTCTCCCATGCTCTGGGCGTGCGCGCCGACAACACCATCCCCTGGACGCATCTGCAAGCCTCCGACATCTTCGCCGTTGTCAGAGGCAAAGATACGCAGATTGCTGATGGACAACTTTCCCTCGATGTCGTTCAAGGGACGACGGTATTGGTACGATCGAGCTACACAACCTAAGTTTAGTGGGAAATGGTATACTGATTTCATCTAGGAGACGCTCAATGTGGCCCAATACATCGACGCCGCCCAACAGGCACGACGCGGAGCTGAATCACACGGTGTGCGATTGGAGACAGAACAACTACCCATCTTCGGTATCACAAAGGATGCCCTGCTCGCGCTACGATACAGACACGAGCCAGATGGGAAGGTCCGCCAATTCGCAACCCTCGTGATCAAGCTCACTCATACTTACTTATCGCAGCAACGCCGGATCCAGCTACGGTTTGAAGACGCCACACAATGCCGCAAGCTCGTGACCGCTTTCATGCAGCGCGGCATGGAGTTCCAGGAGCAGCGTCCGGGCACGGCAAGGACGACACAAGCTCGACCGACTACTGGTCACGGTCCCGAACGCTTGCTGACTGCCACTTCGAGCTCGCCGTACTTCGATGCTGAACAGACGTCTCGGCATTTGAGTGCCACTCATCAGCAGGCAGATCCTCAGCATGATCGACAGCCCGACACTGTCACTCAATTGCACGGTGAACACATCTCCAATTCATCTACTACCAAGCAGAGCCAGGATATCGCTTCACAGGACATGGGACCTCCGCGATACTTCAGCCGTGACGAAGTCGCCGCTCCTCGGGAAGCTATACCTGAACGGCCGTCCACCGCACAAATCTACACATCGTTCACTACGCCTTCGCAGCAGACATTGATCAAGCCTCAAGAGACTGTTCAGCGGCCATCTGATCCGGCTAGGGAGAGGCCATCCTCTACCTCGCATGTCAGCCAACTCGCAGCGATCAGAGAAGCAGTGGAAGAAGCAGCAACGCCGCCCGCTGCTGCACACAATATATCGGATATGAGGATGACGACATCAATGGCTCATACAGAATGGTCCTCAGGCACTCCTGAGCTCACTACGTTGAGCTCTATCAGATCTGAGACAATCGGAGCGCCTTCATCCTCTGCTAGACCATCCACAGCCGCTACGACTCTTCCACCGGAGCACTACGAACTTCCACCGCCACGTGTGTTGCCTTTCAAGCGACCGTCAAGCAAAAGTAGCAGTGCTGGCTCAAAGACTGCAAAGTCAACAAAGCCGGCGATGGTCATGCCGAGACTGCCTGTTCCCGCTGCTGCTAAGTCCTCCGTCGCCGTCACGTCTGAGATTGCAGCGCCACAGTCGTCGTACAAACAAGTTGCCAGCACCCGGCCAGCGACATCGTCTCCGCTCAAACGTACCATGGATGCAGCGTCAAGCACAGAAACGGAGCTCACATCCTCACCATCGAAGAAGCCGCGAACCTCTCATCCCACCAACCCAAGCGATCAGATCCTACGCAAACCCTCCGGAATGCAACAACTCCTCACCAACCACAAACCCCTCCCCTCCAAATCCCCCAACAGCACAATCCCTCGTCTAAACAGTCTAGCAGACGCCCCCCACGAGATCGACGAGAACCCGCCACATCCCCCCTCCAAACACCGCATGACCCAAAACATGCCATCTAAACCCCCTGCTCAGCCCACTCGGCATGATACCGAGACATCACTAGAAGAATACGCGACACAAAGTCTGCCAGACCGACAAGCAGCACTGGAAGACTTCATGATGCGGAATCTGGAGAACCCGGCTTTCACCAAATTATGTGAGGATGTGGAGAATTGCTGGCGGAGGATTGCGCTGGGGCTGTGATGATGATAACCTTATATCGAATCCTATGCGTGTATATATGTGTATTTGACAGCCTCTGCTCTGGTCGGGTGAGCGAGAAGTACGTACACTAGAATAACTTCAGTCATATGGAAGGATGTTGTAGTAATACAGCTTTTATGCGATCCGCCGATGTGCCATTCAGTGTCAATCCGCATATACTTCGGCCATCAACCATCCACATGGGCGTCTCAACCGGACTCGGTTGATATATGCACAAGCGTACAGCGGTCAAATCATAAATTTCCAGAGTTCCACATTATCATTATATCTTCGCTACATACATACATACATACGTAAATCACATCCCTATCTCCAACCAACCCGCGGTACATCCCTTACTCCTCCCACCATCACGCATCCACACATCCACACATCCGCGCATCCACGCATCCATGCACCCACCACCAAACCTACAAACTAGCCAAATACTCCGCCGTAATCATCCCCGGCCCCACCACCACCCCACCGGTCATATTATTTACCGTCCCATCATAATCGTTTCCATTAGTGGGGTTGACGATAGTATAATTCGCAAAACAAGCAAACTGGTAATTCGCCAACTTCTCCGCCTGAAACTGACTCGCCAGGAACTTGGGCAGTGCACACAAGCCGTCTGTTCGGCCAAGGCATTCACCAGTCCGGATGGTGTCGAGGGGGACGATACCGTTGTTCAAGCGCATGCGGACGAATTTGTTCGTGGCGTTGGCGGGATCATAGCCGTATTCCGAGGGATAATATTGTGTTGCGTGAGTGTGCTCTGCGATGGGGTTAGGAGAATTACACCCGATGACTTCTGTTATCAGACGGCCACCAAAGGGCGTCATGTGCGATAGGATGAAATGGCGTTCCGGATCCGGGGGAAACTGGGTAAGGGAGGGATGTTCGCGGAAGTAATCTACGGACATGGAGGTCAAGACCGAAACGATGATGTCGTCGTGGGTGAAATCGGCGTAGAAGGGTCGGCCGAGGGGGAATTGGGCGGGGTTGTTCGTGAGGGAACTGTTCACCGAGCTGTTGGAGGAAGTGATGTATTGATTCGTCAGCCGGGCGAGGAGTTCCTGCTGGTATCCCAACCCCTGGGCGCGACCGGTGGGCGACCCGAAAGAGTAGTCGTAGTAATACTCTATATCCAGTGTCTGTTCGAAACCCTGCCATTCGGCTTCGGTGAAGAGGGAGCAGAAGTCGGATTGGCCGATATATCCATTCTCGTAGGCGCAGATGGATTGCATGGCGTAGGTATCATTGTTATTGAATTTGAACCCCGCGGGTACGTAGGCGTTCAGGCGGGCGGTGGCGGGGGTGATGTAGAGGGGCACGTATTGGAAGAGGAGGTCGAGGTCGCCGAGGTCGGAGCTCTGGAGGTCGTCTTCGAAGCAGCTGTCGTAGGAGGCGAGGGTATTGTTTTCGGTGCCGCCTTCCGGGATGATGACGACGTCGAAGAGGGAGGTGTTGGTGAAGGAGGCGAGGGTTGGGTCCGGGGTCGGGTAGAAGGAGGGGCCGAAGAAGCCGAGGGCCCAGGAGATTTGTGAGTTTTCGATTCGGGGTTGGCCTGTTGTGCGCAGGACAGGTTTGGGGCGCGCGGTGCCGTTGGGGTAGGAGGCGTTGTATTGGGTTTGGCCGACGGTGGCGTTGTAGAGGGTTCGGCCGTAGCGGTTCCAGAAGGTGGCGCCGGATTGGAACTCGGTGGTGGCGCCGATGTTGGTCAGGTAGCTTTCGCCCATGATGTAGCGGTAGGTGTTCAAGAAGGCTAGGGGACCGGTGAACTTGGCGTTGGGATTGGCGGAGGTGAAGTTCTTGACCTTGGCTGCGAAGTTCTCGTCGTTGATCCCATCGTCGAAGCTGCTGGTGGGGAAACGTTGGGCGTGGCGTTGGAGGGTGTGGGCTTGTTCGATCTGGCAGCCGTGTGGAAGACCGACATCCTGGACATCGAAGTAGTTGTCGTCGTTGTCACGGTAAGGGGAGATCTGACCCCAGTATTGCGAGATGACGTTGATGTCGGTCAAGAGGGTAGTGTTGATGGCCGCGAAGGCCTTGCCAACAAGGGCAGCAGCCACGACAGACTTGAGGCCGAACATGATGAGTGTATAGTAGTATACTGGAGATGGACAGGTCCCAAGCCTTCCTGCGTCTGGTACCAGAAGCTTGGGGGAGCTTGTCTGCTTTAACGCCTACCGTTGTACAGAGCTTACCTCACTAGCAAGAAGCATTGGCGTCGTACTAGACAGTTTGGGCCTGCCAGAGAGGCCAGATCGCGAATGGGACAGCAAAAGCGAGCCATTGGGGTGGAGCAGAGGCGTACACGTGGGCCTGGACCGGGTAGAGTGCAGGTAGTGCAGACGCTGACAGATTTATTTTGCTTTATTTTGCTTTATCTTGCTTTATTTTGCAGCTGGCAGGCTGGAGTGCAGGTGACGTACTGTAGACTGACACTCGGGGAGCACGTGTTTGCGGAGCTCGCGGGCAACGGCAGATATATCATCCGAACCTAACCACTCTGGGACACGCTTCTTTGCTCGGCGCTCGCGTCTCACAAAAATTTTGGTGGGTGGCTTTCTGATATCTGATATACACAACACTCACGCGCAGGCCGCATTACATTACAATAATCGTCCGGCAAGATGGATGAACAGGAGTTTGTGTCGTTGCTGCAGGCCCTCACCCAGCCCGACACCAACACCATCAAGCAGGCTACGAGTCAGCTCAACAAGAAATATTACACCTCGCCATCATCACTCGTAGCTCTCATCCACATCATCACGTCGGAACAGGCTGCAGACCTTCGACAACTTGCGGCTGTCGAGGCGAGGAAGCTTGTGCCCAAGCATTGGGAGAAGGTGGACGATGCTCAGAAGCAGCAGCTCCGCAATACTCTGCTCGAGTCCACCATCAACGAGGAGCGACAACTACCCCGACACAGCAAGGCCCGTGTGATAGCTGCCCTCGCCAAGATCGATCTGGAAGATGGCCAGTGGGGTGAGCTTCCGGGCATTCTCCAGAATGCTGCCACCAGCCAGAACGTGCGGCACCGCGAGGTCGGCATCTACATCATCTTCACCCTGCTGGAGACCATGCCAGATATGTTCCAGGAGAACATGGCACAGATGCTGACCCTCTTCAACCGCACCATCCAAGACCCGGAGTCTGTCGAGGTCCGCATCAACACCATGCTGGCACTCTCCGAGCTTGCCATGGTTCTCGACACCGACGAGGATACCAAGAGCTTGAAGAGCTTTCAGACTACCATCCCGCACATGATCAAGATCTTGCAAGGCTGCATCGAATCGGAGGATGAGGAGCACACCATGCAGGCCTTTGACGTGTTCAACAAGCTGCTGAGCTACGAGAGTGCTTTCTTGAGCATGCACTTTGGTGACCTCATTGCCTTCTTCATGCAAGTTGCTGCCAACACCAACATTGACGACGATGTCCGCAGCCAGGCCTTTAGCTTCCTTATGCAGTCCGTGAGATACCGTAAGCTCAAGGTTCAGAGTCTGAAGAAGGGTGAGGATATGACGAAGATGTGTTTGCAGGTCGCAACTGAGCTGGACGAGCTGCCTTCTGATGAGGACGAGATCTCGCCTGCACGATCTGCTCTCGGCCTGCTCGACATCCTAAGTGAGAGTCTACCACCTAGTCAAGTCGCTGTACCACTCCTCCAGGCCATTGGACCATATGTTCAGAGTCAGGACCCGAGTCACCGACGTGCTGGTATCCTTGCTCTTGGCATGTGTGTTGAGGGCGCACCCGACTTCATCGCCACTCAGCTGGCCGAAATCCTACCCCTTGTTCTCCACCTACTCGAGGACCCTGCCACGAGTGTTCGAAGCGCAGCTCTCAATGGCGTTGCACGATTGGCTGACGATCTTGCGGAGAACATGGGCAAAGAGCATGCACGTCTGATACCGGCTTTGGTAAAGAACTTCGACATGGCTCTGCAGGGCATGCAGAGCTCCCAGGCAGAGTCGAAAGAGCATGAGTTGAATGTACACATCTTGAAGGCATCGTGTATGGCCGTCGACTCCCTCATCGAAGGCTTCGATTCTGAGGATGCCGCCAAATACGTCAACGAGCTCGTACCACGATTCGCACGACTGTTTGGCCACGATGACCACAAGGTGCAGATGGCCGCAGTCAGTGCCGTGGGTGCCATCGCCAGTGCCTCAGAGTCTGCGTTCGAGCCTTACTTCAAGCCGACTATGCAGAGCCTTGGCCAGTATATCAGCATCAAGGACAGTGAATCGGAGCTTGAGCTCAGAAGCATTGTCATTGACTCATTAGGCAAGATCGCGAGTGCGGTGGGTGCCGAGGCTTTCCAGCCTTTTGTTCAACCACTCATGCAGAGCTCTGAGGAAGGTCTGAGGTTAGACAATCAGCGACTGAAGGAGACGAGTTATATCCTGTGGTCTACGCTCGCAAGAGTATACGAAGAGGATTTCGACCCATTTCTGCAAGGTGTGGTCAAGGCACTTATGGATTGCCTTGAGCAAGAGGAGACCGATGCTGAGGTGAACCTTGGCGAGGAGGCTTCCGATCTGATCGGCCAGGAAGTCACGATTGCAGGCAAGAAGATCAAGGTCGCTGGCGCCAACGGCAAGAACGAGGACGATGACGACGATGATGCTCTTGTGCGAGCACTGATGGAGGGTGCCGAGGATGATGATGACGACTGGGACGATCTCGGTGCCGTCACTGCTGTCGCTATGGAGAAGGAGATTGCTGCCGAAGTGCTCGGTGACGTCTTGACTCATAGCAAAGGCAAATACCTCCCTTACATGCAGAAGACAATCGAAGTCGTGCTACCTCTCCTGGACCACTCATACGACGGCGTACGCAAGAGCGCGGTGGGCACTACCTGGCGCGCGTATGCATGTCTATGGGGGTTGGCCGAGGACAATGGCATGCAGAAATGGCAGGCAGGTCTCCCGCTCAAGGTCAAGCCTACTGCGGATCTCGAGAAACTTGGCGATTTGATCATGAAGGGCACGTTGGCCTTGTGGGAGGAGGAGGTTGATCGGTAAGTGCTGCTATCCGCTCTTGTTCTTTTTCCCTTCTGGCACTTTCATGATGAGAACACTTTCGTTTACCCAGCTCACTCAGATGCCCAAGGGCAAATGCTGCGAAACCGTAGAGGCTGTTTCTGATATTCCTGCCCAACCATATCTCCTCCCACATGCAAACATTAGCGAGATTCGGGATTGCAAGCTAACACCAATTGCAGCGCTACTGTAACCGAGATCAATCGCAACCTCGCCGCCACCCTTAAGCTGTGTGGTCCGGCAGTGCTTGCTCCATCCGACACATCCGGCCAGTCTACGCCTCTCCAGCAGACGACCGCGATACTACTCTTGCTACTGCAAAAGCAACATCCATGCCAGAAAGACGATGACGACTTTGACGAAGGCGAGGTCCTGGCTGAGGAGTCAGCCGAGTACGACTGGCTCGTCGTCGAGACGGCCATGGAAGTCATCACCGCGCTCTCCTCCTGCCTCGGCGAGCAATTCGCCCAAATGTGGAAGATCTTCGAGACTCCCATCCTCAAGTACACCTCCAGCCAAGAACGCTTCGAGCGTTCTGCTGCTGTCGGCACGATCGGCGAATGTGTCGAAGGGATGGGTGGCGCGTGTACCCCATACACAGCCAAACTTATGAAGAACTTCCTTAAGCGCTTGGGTGACGAGGACCCGGAGACGAAGAGCAACGCCGCTTTCGCCACTGGAATGCTCTGCCTACACAGCACAGACGCGAAAGAAGTCCTAGGAAACTACAACACCATCCTCGCCACCCTCGAACCCCTCCTCTCCCGCCGCACAACCACCACCCCCTCCGAAAACGAAGCCCGCCTCCTCGACAACGCCGCGGGCTGCGTATCCCGCATGATCAAGAAGGCTCCTCAAAGTGTACCCTTGCAGGACGTCCTACCGCGTCTCGTCGAGCTTTTGCCGCTGAAGGAGGATTTTAGGGAGAATGAGCCAGTGTTTGAGATGATCATTGCGCTTTATCAGCAGGAGAATGAAGTCATCCGCGGTTTGACTGGCGAGTTGATGCCTGTGTTTGAGAAAATCTTGGGGCCGCCGGAGGAGCAGTTGAGTGAGGGGTTGAGGGGCAAGGTGGGGGAGTTGGTGGGTTACTTACGTCGGTGAGTAGATGCTGAAGGCGGTGGGAGCACGACTATTGCGTGAGAGGCAGCATAGGGACTCCAGGGTACGCGGCATGTTGGGGAATTTGGACAGGCATAGCGTGGTGTGTATGTGGACTCTGTTGAGCATATCCTTTACTTTGTTGTGATGATACCCGAGTCTTGCTTTGCTTCGCTTCGAGAGAGGAATGGCGAGATGAGACGAGGCGATGACGATGGGATGAGATGAGATGAGTGATGAGCTTTGATAGAGGTACACTAGATTTACATGTTGTATGCATCGCTGGCGCAACCCAGCATTGGCTTGATTCGCTGTCCGGATGATTCTTTACAGCCATTTGCGCGAAGTGGTTGCCAGCCGTTTTCGCAATTGCATGTATCCCTCCCTGTGAACAGCGGTCGAGGGCAAGGTCTCGATGTCGATGTAAAACTCATGGCGGCTATGCTTTCAAGTTCGCGGTAAGGCTGGTGGCTTGTGACATGACCACATTTGCGGTGTAGTTCTCTGACGTCTCAGGCTGGTGCCTGGCGTGACCTGAGGATTGCTAGCTCGCGGCTGAAGGTAGCCCCATCTGTTGCCCATCTGGCAGTCATCACATGCTATAGGCCTTTCTAGCACAAGTACTGTCTATCATCGCTGTCCGTAGCCCATGGCATGGGCCCGCTGCATTCCATCATCGCAAACCGACAGACCCCCATCATCGCAAGCCGACAGACTTCGCTACAGCCTCCATCACAGCATGAAAAGCCTGCGCCTGAGGTCCTTCGGGACTAGCGACAACACTTGGCTTACCAATATCCGCATCATGGCAGATCTGAGGATGTAGCGGGATATCACCCAGTAGAGTCACACCGAGCTCATCGCATTTCTTCCTCGCGCCGTCGAGGCCGAAGATGTCGTGTTTGTGGCCGCAATTTGTACAAGCGAACGTGCTCATGTTCTGCACCATGCCCAGGATAGGTACATTGACCTTTTTGAAGAGATCAATACCGCGGACTGCGTCTCGAAGGGCTAGATCTTGGGGTGTCGAGACGATCACGGCACCTATATATCCTTAATCAGCTGAGTGTCTCAATCTTGGCAGTTGGTCTATTCACCAGTAAGCTCGATACTCTGCGTAATTGTAAGTTGCACGTCGCCCGTTCCAGGCGGTAGGTCGAGAATGAGTAGATCAAGCTTGGGCCAGCTCACTTCAAACAAGAGCTGATTCATGGCTTTCTGGATCATCAGGCCTCGCCATGCGATGGGGCTATCTTGTGGTACGAGGAAGCCCATGGACATTGCTTTGATGCCATAGGCAGTCAATGGTAGAAGACGGTTATTCGTGTCGAGCTCTGGCTCTAGACCCTCTAGCTAAAGTAAATTCTCAGTAGAGTTGAGCGTGTATAAGGTGTAGTGACTGAACGAACATCAAGCAAAGTGGGTATGCTTGGACCATAGATATCTGTATCCAAAATACCAGTGGCGATGCCTTGTCGTGCTGCAGCTAAGGCGAGATTCACAGCAATTGTGCTCTTGCCCACGCCGCCTTTGGCACTACTGACGGCGACGACTTTCGCAACATTGGGTATTGATCGTTTCTCAGGTAGTCCTGTTGTTGTAAGCATTCGGCCTTCTGGGGGTCGTAGCTATGGAAGGCGAACATACCTCGCTTCATACGAGCGGCCAGATTCGGGGGCGTGCCAGACCGCGGTAGGCCCTGTTCAACATTGTGTCAATATCTCGATTGTGGGTTTTTGGTTAAAGTGCTTTCAATGACACGATGTCAGGAGGCGACCTACCAGTGGATTCTCATGGCCGGCCAAAACTCGAGATGTGGCGCAGAACCCCCTCAATATAAATAGATGCCTTGCAACTGCGCATCTCAAGGATTTTGGTAAGAGCAGTATACTATTGACGGGTGCCATATCACATTCATGTACTTTGATGCCCTGGAGATGACCAGACGTGCAGTGGAAGACGCAGAATCCACATGGTCCGTGCATGAACAAGCGACAAACGGCTTCATCGAGTATCTGCGAGATATGAGCGGACGAGAAGGAATGCTGCGGGTCAACAAAAGATCGTAGCCAAACTGTGGAATATAAAAGACAGGCGGTGTGAGAAGAAGAACATCTCAGCTACCCGTAGTCTTGACATGACATTAGCAACCGCTTGAAACAGCTGAAACTTCCGCCGTCTTCGCGGGATGTGTTGTAGGAACACTATATTTGAAGTATACAATTCGTCGCTAATCGTCTCAATATGCATATAACCTCACCATCCATCTATCTAAAACTCCGTAGCAAACAATAACGGCTCCTCGTCTTGATCCAGGTCGTCTGTATTCGGAACAGCCGCCTCCTCAGCAATACTTTGCGTACTCAACCGACTCCTCACATGTGGCACATGCTGCGGCGGTCGTGGTGAACTCGACGTTGACAAAGCGGGAACATTACTCAGTCTTCGACTCGGTGGCGTACTGCCGTGATTGAGCAGAGACGACGCACTGATCTCGTCTGCTAACTGCGCAGATGGGTCCCGCATACTACTATATTTGCTCAGATCGACCGTATGATTCCGTGTAGAGGGCAAGAGCTTAAGATCTTTCACTTCTCTCGATTCGACGAGTTTCAGGAAATCGGCAATGTCGTCGTCGTCGGAGCGGGTGCCAGAGGCTGCTTGGTCGGATGTCGAGCCCCGGGCTGAGCTACCGGCGCTGTTCTCGGCGTTGTTGGGTTGTGAGGTTGATGATGTGCGCTTCGTTCGGCCGGCGAAAGCTGAGCTGAAGCGTGGCATGCTTGGCGGTGCCATAGGGCTTGCTGAGCCAGACGATGCTATGGCTGTTTCGTTGGGTAGTGAGTTTGGTGGTGCACGAAGCGCTTGTTGTGGTAATGTATTGAGCGAGATTCGTTTCGCAGTGGGATGGTAGTTCGGTCTTCTGGGAACGCGGCCTTCGTCAATGCCTTCCGTGTAGGTGCCTGCGGCTGGTATGGTCGTGTTTCTGGAGCTTGAAGGACGTTTCTGATCAGGTGGCGAGTCGCCGATTGGTGTAGTCGATGCAAAAGCACCACGCGGAGACGATGATAGAGAGCCTGCTTTGAACGGCGATCTGACTCTGTAAAGATCTTAGTGACAGTACTATATGGCCTGATGGGGATGTTTCGCTTACTCAAGGCCAACGGAAGTATGACGTCCATATTGTGGGCGCTCTCGGTCTGTCTGCAAGCATTGTTAGCATGTTCGCCAAACACTCGCCACAGTGAGTGCACGAAGGGCAAAGCATACCATCGCTGCTTGCTCCAACTCCTCAGCTTCTTCCTGACTACTCCTAAGCTTCAACGCAGAAAGTGGCGACTCTCTTTTGTTTGTAGTATTATGATAAGTCCCTAAACTACCGTACGCGCCGAGCAATGCTCTGGGCTCGCGTGGCGCTGTTCGAGAAGGTGGCGCGGCAGTAAAAGAGCTCTTCTGCTTTGCTGATTGTGCTTGCTGTGGTAGTGATCGCCCGCTTTGCAATGCTGGTAGTCCTTGATCAAGACCGAGGAAGCGCGAGCTGAGTAGTGCTTCGGAGCTCGCGACCGTAAAGTCGACAGCAGGTCGGTATGAAAGGTGTATGCGCAAGCGACCAGCGGGTGTGCGGAGGTCGTCAAAGCGGTGATGGGAAGGACCTTCGGGCAGAGGAGGGGAGTGTGTGCTGTAGTCGCTGTCGTAGAGGTCGCTGTATCGCTGATCGTGTTTGCTGTTCTCCGAAGGAAACAGTGGCGTTGACAAAGAATCCTTGTCGGAAAGGGTCGAACTAGATCGATCACCGGCTCGTAGCCTATACTTGAGCTTCAGGCCTCCGCCATTGGCTGAATGACGCCCAAGCCTTCTGTACAGCCTCCACGTTGGGAGAAAGCGCAGGAAGGCATACAAGGAGCGGAAGAGTACGACACCCTTCTTGTACACATTCGGCAGTTGTTCAGTCTTGTCACCATTGGCAGCACTGCTGAGCCCATCAAGTTCGATGGTCCAGCGCTCGAGAACCACCTCGCAATACTTGCCACCATGCTTGTTGGTCGGGCGAGGACTAGAGCTCGCCGACCCTGCAAGAGCATCCGACACATCCCAGCGCTTCCCGAGCTCGTCTGTGATGACAAGAGCTTGGTTCTGGTTAAGGTTTGCTGTGTCGATATATACCTCGACGACCAGAGGCGGCGGCCGTTCGGTTGCAAGATCTAGCCGGCGCCACTCTTCAAGATCATCGAGGAGTGCATCCGTATCGTCCAACACGATATTGAACTAAGGGCAGAGTCAGCAAGGTAGCCTGGAAGCGTCGCCGGTTCTGTTCCGGCGACCACGCAGGCACCTGGAACACGCTGCCAGCTTGTATATCAAATCATTGGTCTCTAGTAGGCAGCGGAATGAGTAAGGGCCACGGCTCTACAATCCGACTGGATTGCACTCGAGTTCCCGGACGTCTGCACGGCTCGCCAGCGCTGTTGGCCACTATTTTATAGCGACCAGGGCGGCGCTGTATTCGGAGTAACAGCTGGTCACCTCACTGTCGCCGAACATGATTCACAACAGGGCGTGGCTTGGCCATATGGCGCCATAGGAGCTCACAGGGTTCCGGACCAGAATAACAGGATGAAAGTAGGAGTGGAGGGGAGACGCGCTTACCCATCGATCTTGTCTAATGCCACCATCCCTCATTCTAGCCTTAGGTAAGCTGGCCCTCGCACCGCATATCAGCAGCGCCGCCTTGGTATGAAAGTGCTGTAAGTTGAGTCAGCCTCCTCTCATTCTTCACGCCTCATCTCTTTCTCTCCACGCAACCTACCTGCAGTATCTGGTTCATACGCGTGTTCTCCTTCTCTCGGAGCTCGGCAGACGGCAGCTGGGTTTGCCGTGATGACTCGCTGCCTGTAGTCGAGGCTCTTTCGGTGTATGCGGCCAGGTCTACACTGGATCTTTGTCGAGGTGGCATTCCATCTCTTTGGTTGTTGCTAGGCTGCGGGTCTGTGGGAGTATTGTTTGCTGAGGTGGTAGCTCGAGGCGTTGAGCGAGGATGTTGATGCATTGTAGCGAGAGCAACGAAGGTTGGTGTCGATCAGGCAGAGGAACGCCGAGTCGATCAAGTGCAGTAGACAGTCCCTTGCCTGTTCTTTCGCTACGAGGGTCCCGTGACAGACGTGGAGCAGCTAATGCTATGCTCCATGTTGAGGGCTGTATGAGTGACTGAGTCGTACGGGCCGGGACCAGTGGCTCGGAAAGTCAAGATGACTGTCGCAGTGCACACGCTGCTAGTGGACAGTGTCTATGAGTCTCAACAGCACATGCTCGCTTGCGATCAGGCACCAGACGGAGTGAAGAGGCAGCTCGGGAAGTGCTTCGGATACTTAGCTGCCTCAGGTAATGGAGTGCTGGTCCGAAGACTGATAAGCCTAGCGCCAAGATGCAACAAAGCTCTCGAGCAGGACTGTGTCGTTGATACAGTTTCTGGAGGTCGCTCTTTGAATACAGCAGTACAAATACCAGTACCAAGCTCGACGCCAGGTGACGAGCGGCCGGTGCTAGATGATGGTGGTGTCGTGTGTCTGGTGGTCCGCTGAGCAAGCTGCTGACTCGAACCAATGACACAACACCGCCTCGAGCTTCCGTCTTTCAGTCACATTTACACCGGATTGATGAGTTTTCGGCTGATGGTATTTTTGCTTTGGCAGATCGACTCTCAGTGTTTTACAAGGCTCACGAACCAGACTAAATTGCAAGAAGACTACATTGGCGGTTGTATTGACGGACATTCACCGTCCCAGGCAATCGAGAAGCCATCGGATGCATGTGGATCTGTGTCCACTGCACCGGGACTTCTCCCGAGGACGTCCGAGGCCGACTGGTTTAGAATGTCGATTTCGATGTTCAATAATACTGCAAAGGTTTTACAATGAGCTCGGAGAGCTTACATGAAGGATACTCGATAAGTTCTCGTACAACGAAGTCCACTCGTCCTAACTCGAGACATTGCGTTCTTCCGGATCACATTTCTGGCTCCCACTGCAGCGTTACTCAATCGGTCTAGCCGTACGGACGACAAAGTGCACGATCAATTGTGGATTCTGGTGACTGCTGTATCGATCACACCACTCGCCAGACGAAGACGAGGGGTTCACGATGTCGAACATGTACTCCGTACTTCCAGAGACCCTGGTCGGACGACTAATTGTCCACCTACGCAGCTTCACCGGGTGAGGCCAAGCCTCCAGCCTACATGCTATATCCCAATGCTCAACTGATGCGGCTTGGGAAGAGTTTTGTCCAGCATGAGCAACGCACCTTGACCATTCCAGTGACTTCTCCAAAGTTTCGGGCGCATCAAGTAAGCTCCGGATGACTGAGACTCGTGCGCCATCTATCAGCTCCGTCAGCTCTGTTGGCCCACTGCCTAACGCATCGCAGAACGTGGCCTCCGTTTCGAGCAACCAGACAAATTGACGGGATGGGTTCTTTGGCCAGCTCACACACAAGTGTTCTATCGGATAGGTCTCTCAGAGACAAGCCGATCCTGCACGCGAAGCCAACCACCATCATTTTTGATATATATACTCACTTGACCTATTAATGACGCATTGATCGCTTATGCGGCTGCGACTTCAGGGCAATATCTATGTTTGGACTGAAAGCAGATTCAACAATTGGAAGCTCCCTCGAAAGTAAAATTGGCGCAGATGACCTGCTGCATCGCGATGGTATCAGATATTACATTGGTCTCCTGCTGTGGCTCACTCGCATATATAGTTATTTCGGCAAGTATGGGCACCTGGCTTAGGCGCGATTGACTGGTCCGTCCTCAAAACTGATGTCGACAGTATCGTCGCGCCGAATGATCATCTCTTGCGAACCAAAACTGTTCGAGTCTTCGTTTTCGACCTTGCCAGAAGCAGAGGCTCGGGCAATGTGCCGAAACTTGTCCATTCGCATTCGATATCTCAGGTTCTCGACGTCTCTCGTCACAGGTTCCTCTGTTTTCGTCGCGCCAGCTGTTCCTTCTCCAGTGCCATAATGATTCTTCGAGCTGCCTGTCATCGTCACGCCTACGAGCGGGCTCGTATCAAAGCTCTTCACGAATGACTTGCTGAATGGCCATGTCGCAGAGCCGATGGCATAGAACATGCCTGCTTGCTCCCATACGATCGTCAAAGTTCCGGGCAGGCCGCCGGATCCTTCGTGTATGGAATTTGCGAAAGAGCTGTAGTGCAGTGCGGCGAAAGCAATCAGGCTGCTTTGAAGTCAGCTGAACATGCAGGACGGGGAGGAATTGCTTCAACTCACCCTAGCCGCCAAGCAAAAGCGGTCATTACTGTGACCTTGTCCTGCAAGCGCATTTGTAATTGAAAGACCAAAATCGAAGCGAGTGCAATAATGGCAACCTCCGTGATACAGTCTGTGATTGTAATCGCGAGCCAGCGATTTGCCTGTCGATATGATTCAGCGTACTAGATCGATCTGACGACGAGGAATCATGAGTGAGACTCACAAGGCCAGGACAAGGTGAGGCACGATCTGTTGCAGGACCTATGTCAGGTTCGCAGACCGCGGTTGCTGCCGCCACAGAACCAGTAGCCGATACCAGAATCACACCCAGCACTGCCCAGCACAACATTGGTGCATGCATGGCTTGAGCTCGAAGGAAGATGCGTCTCAGTAGCATGACAAGAGCAATCTTACAGGCAGCCAGAGTTAAGATGTACAAAGCTCTGCTAGCTTGAGCGACCTAGGTCACGGTCAGGCTACAGATACAAGCTTGAGGAGATCTTGATGTCTGCTTACCTGCCACCAAGAAACGGCGCCGCCTTCCTCGGGTCTGTATAGCTCCACGCTGTCTGACTTACAGATTCTGTAAATGATGATGCCCTGTTCTGCATACGCCAACAGATGCGCAAGGCCCATCACCGCATCATCCACACCCAAGGTGGAGAGTTTCACCCATAATCGCAGTATCAAGGTCAGCGTTGAGTAACAGATCGATAGGAGTGTTGCGATCCAAAGAGAAGCGCGGTGGTCGGACGGAGTGTCTACTGCAAAACGAGCCATCGTCAGGTGGACAAGGACACTTCAAGACTATCACTAGGTAGAGCCCCCATTCACTTAACGAAGTAGCACGAGGTCCCATCTTGTGTCTGTTATCAGATCAGGTGCTGCCCAAGCGACGCTCGACCCCATCGATGATGCTGCATGTTGGCAGTGACAGGCATCGTATACACCTGACAGCTCGAAGAAAGACGGCACTATCACACCGCATGTCTCACACATAGTGTGCCAAAAGTAACAGCATGGCTACTGCCGAGGAGTCAGGTTCCGCAGTTCTCTACCGACGCTAACACTGCAATGCACTGGCTCTGCACGTGGGTGCCGTAGGCCCAGGAGTCGATGGGGTTGCATGTCTGTACATGGCACAGGCCAAGGCGGCGTGGGGTCCCATTGCTCTATCGTTCTCAGGGACGTTCGATCGACGTGGGTGGTTCGTCCCACGACTGCACCAACCTTGCGATCTTGCATTCGCCTAGTTGGGCCTTGTACCTGTAGAGTGGTCGATATGCAAGCCAGAGGCGCTTGGGTCGCTCTCCGAAGGGCCCTTTTCCTGATCAGGCATGTTGAGGATAGCTAACAGGTCGACCAACTTGCATATACAAGCGATCGTCGTTGCACTGACCATCACCATCAACAAAAGCCGGCTCGGCATGCATGCCGACAGCTAGCGAGACGGCAGTACCTCCCCACGGGTTCGCCGAACACTGTGCTCGACGTTTAATTGGACTTCTCCACCACGCTGGACGACTTTATCTCTCACGCCCACGCCGCCCACACCCCCACGCTGTGCTGTGCCTCGACCTCACCTGGACCCTTGCACCAGAATATGCAGACTACTCAAACAATGAGGGACAATGTGGAAAACCATCTACATGGATTCTATCAGGCTGGCGCACGCCATGGATGCAAAGCTAGCTGCCTCCCAGACATAATCTAGGCATGGGCTAGCTCTACCCTGCACAGTGGCACGATTGCCAAGTCCTGCATTGCAAGATGCCGTGTACTCCGTGTATCCCATCAGATCTGTAGCTGGATTGCTGAAATCGCAGCGGCCTCCTCTCCCGACGGACGAGCCTTGCATTTGTGACTCTTGATTATTGCTCCCCAGATCAATTGTATCTCCTTGACTTTCGTCCTCGTATTCGACAGCCACCATGGCGACATCATATGAGATGAAGTCCACTGGCGGCCATGGACGGGAGCAAGAAGTGGATAACGAGGTCGTCAAGAATGGCATGATAGACCACGAGGAAGGGCAGGATCACTACGATCGAGCGCCTGCCGACCGCGAGGACATGCATCGAATGAACAAGAAACAGGAGCTGCGACGAAACTTCCGATTCCTCTCCATCTTTGGCTACAGCTTGATCCTCGGCAATGGTTGGGTATACTCGTTGACAGGAGCCATCGCACCGCTTACGAATGGCGGTACTGCGGGCGGCATCTGGATGTATCTGATTGTCATCATCGGCATGTGCTTCTCCACGCTCTCCATGGCCGAGATGGCCAGCATGGCTCCAACAGCAGGTGGACAATATCACTGGGTCAGCGAGTTTGCCCCACGGGAGCATCAAAGGTTTCTGTCGTATCTCACCGGGTGGCTATGTGTAAGTGGGACATTGCAGCACTTCCGTCTACATCAGCTAATGGTAGCAGGTCCTCGGCTGGCAGACAGGTCTCTGCGCCACGGCGTACGGCGCTGCACTCGCGCTACAAGGCATGATTGCAATCAATCATGCTGATTATGCAGTACCTCAATGGCAAGGATGTGTACTGACAATTGCAGTTGTTCTGATCACGATCTTCTTCAGTAATGTCACAATGAGACACCCTGTAAGATCTGCGCTAATTATTGAGTAGATACCGTCTTCCTCCGTAGGCTTCCCCTTTTCGAAGGCGTCATGCTTGCGATCCACGTCATGGGATTCTTCGCCATATTCATTATCATGTGGGTCATGGGTGATAAGTCACCCACTAAGCAGGTCTGGACAGAGTTTGCCGATCCCTCGGGGTGGGGCAGCTATGGTGTTGCAACACTCGTGGGCTCGCTCGGAGCCAGTGGTGCTCTTCTTGGCAGTGACAGCGCAGCCCATCTTGCAGAAGAACTTAAAGATGCAGCTTGGGTGCCCCCAAGGAGTATGGTGGCGACTGCGGCGGTAAACTACTCGCTCACCTTCATCATGGTCGTTAGTAAGTGTCCAGTGCTTTTCGAGATGAAGCTGCTCCATACTCACCATAGATCCAGCCTTCATGACCGTCAACGGAGGTGACCTCGACCAGCTTCTGGGAACGAGCTACGCCCAGCCATACGTCCAGATCCTGTACAATGTCACGCAATCCAAAGCAGGAGGCACTGGGTATCAAGCCTTATCGTCCTGGTCACCAATTGCTCTTTGCTAACACTGCCCTCAGGTTGACCTTCATCATCTTCATCCTAACCATGTTTGGTACCGTCAATCAAGTCACTACCGCGTCGAGACAGCTTTGGTCATTTGCCAGAGACAGGGGTCAGTCCTATAACGCAACACCACAATAAGCAGTATGCTGACTATGTCGCCAGGCTTGCCATTCAGCTCGTATCTTAGCCATGTGCGACCCGGCTGGGATGTCCCTCTCAACGCGATCACGTTGACTCTTGTGTTCGCCTTAATCATCAGCTTCATCATCCTCGGCTCGCCAGTCGCAGTCTTCACGCTCTCGTCAATCTCAGTATCAGGTCTCTACTCTAGCTACATTATCTGCGTCGGTTGCGTGGCGTGGCGTCGCATCAAGGGACAGCCGCTTCTGCCATCCCGCTTCAGCCTAGGGAAGGCTGGTCTTGCCATCAATTTGATTGCTTTGGCATTTCTCAGCGTTCAATGGATCTTTCTTTTCTTTCCCACGGCACCACATCCTACGGCTCCCAACTTCAACTGGACTTGTCTGATATTTGGGGTTGCGGTCGTATGGTCCTTGGCCTACTATTATTTGTGGGGAAAGAAAGAGTATCAGGGACCGGTAGAGTATGTGAGGAAAGGCGAGTAGGGGCGACGGACGACCGTCCTCGATATTTACAGAGCTAGTCCTTGCACATTTCTGGCAGCATCAAGGCATAAAATAATGGGGACCGACCAACGACTGCGAGCACACTCTCCACTGCCTTCCGAGGCGTGGTTGATAAGTATCGAAGCAGGGTACAAATCTGGCATCTCACGATCAGATCACGCGGCCGACTGGTCTTGCAGCTGTAGCCATATGTCAATTTCAGACAACCAGCAATCAATGTAGAGTCATACGAAATAGCTGATGGCCCCAAGGCGCCTTGCCGCTCTCTTCAAAACCTCACGCCACCCTGTATTGCCGATAAGCTGTGAATCGAAGAAGTGACAGATCGTAATGCAGAGAATAAAGATGTTGTCGTAAGGAGTGCTGAAGTGACGTTGCTTGTAAGGTCGTAGCTACTCGCACTTGTCCTCATCGCAAGCGCCCCAACATACCAGGCGCATACACCCGACACTGTCAAAATTCTAGAAAATCGCTAGGCACATATCCTGTTCTCTCCAGTCAGCCAGAATGGACCAGGACCGCGACCCTCAGTCACGGCTATGAGCTGCTCCACCTCATCTGGGTTCGAGACAACATGAAAGCTTGCCCAGCAGTGCTAGGTATGTGCCGGATGGGTACTTACATATCCTGACGACCACTTCTTCGGTACTCTCTTGCTCTCTTCAGCCAATCAGTCGAAGTACTCTGACCAGTCTCCAGTGCGGAAGAGCTTGAAGTGGCATTTCGGCTCGAATTGGAAGGACCTGTTTCGTGAATCAACTCTTGATTTGAGAGTATAGATATGGGAACTCGAGCAGACTTACAGTTTCAGACAATCATCGTCTCTTGCCAGCACTGAAGAGGTTGCGGCGTGCTTTTCGGTTGAAGGCGTTGCGGCGTTCACCGGAGTAGACGAGCGCACAGGGATGGCGGCGGCGTTGGCAAGACCAGCCGCGATCACAAGCCCAGTGGTAAGAGTGCTGAAGAAGTACATGATCAATTCAGTGCCTTGGCGATGTTCGTGGTCTGAAGTTGTGTAAATCGAGATTCTGCGAGGGTGTAGGAAGACCGGAATGGGACAAAGGCTGCATTGCTATATATCAATCAACACAAAAATGCTTCTCGGCAGGTAAGACTGATAAGCAGAACCTTGGTGGAAGCCAACTCTGTCGTTGCTTGTAAGACTTGACCTTTTCTTGTTGCTCTATACCAAAGTATATTGCTCACAGTATTGATGGGACGCAATAAGGAGCGCGGGATAGGCAATGGTAAGCATAGTTTCACCAGCCTTCAGCTACTGCATACGACCACAGACCGAGAAGTCCCTCCCTGTATCCTCGTTAGACAGGGTGAAGCAGCTTTGAGGAGCTTAAAGAGAAAATTCGCCCGTGTTGAAATGGACCTTTCGGCGTACCACGTTTCTAAACCTCTCCCTTTGCCTGCTTTGGCAGCTTGTTGATCTCGTTCAGGACGACCTAGCAGTGCTCAAAGATTTACTGGGAGTAAGTCACGCTCCATTTTCATTAGCCCTCTTCTCCATTAGCAGCGAAAATGCTGACACCATAGCAGGTGACGAATTTGCTTCTTCGGAAGGCTTGGGAATGGCGATCGCGTTGGCAAGACCACCGGTGACGGCGAGACTGGTAAAAAAGTGCCAGAGAAGTGCATCTTATTTTATCCGAGTAAGAGCTCGGTGAAGGCGAGAAAAGACATGGACGAGATCTTATGTCTGTAGGTTGTGTGGAAGAAGCAGCGAGAGCCAATCGTAGTCGTCGCATATGTCTACTACTGAGCCGTATCCGAGCTGTACAGCAACGCTGATTAATGCTTGTAAAAGCATGATTTGTACGAAAGCACCGGCTCCGCAATATCGCTCCAGGCAGGAGTAATCGCAACGGGCTCCGTGGACAACGTATGAATTGACGCCATATGTATCTGCAGACACAAAACGGCGTAGAAGGCAAGCTCAGTCTTCGCGTCAAATTCTTGGGATGAGGACGACACGTCACTGAGCGATGCTTAAACTCACCAAGTGCCGACGCAAGGATGAGGACAACAACACTGCAACATATATATATCCCGACAGCCGTTGCATGGCATCCGCTGTCTACTGCCATCGAATTGTACCACGGTCACCGTATCTCGACAACCCATCAGCATGAACGCCCAAACCATCCAACTGCTCACCCAGCTCTACAAGGGCCGTCAAATGACAATGCCCGAACAACTCAATCTCTTCAACCTGATTGAGAGGGCCCTAGAGCGTCGAAGCTGGGGCATCTACCCAGAGAACAATGACAGCAAGTCTTCCTTAGACAACCTCACCATGACCATGCTAGGCCAAAATTTTCCTCATCTCACACACGCCGGCCGGAAACACTTCATTCAGACTTTCCTGCCCCGGATTAAGCGTCTCCAGTTCCGCTTCTATCACGCGAGCGATTTCGAGACATGGCATAAGTCGTTCGCGGAGAATTTTGGGGCGCAAAATGTTTGCTTTCCGCAGGTAGAAGAGGTACCCATGTACGAGGGCACTGAGCGCATCGATACGAAGGAGCCGTTGGTCGATGAGGAGCCGTCGCTCATGTGCTTCCATGACTCCTACTTGCTTTCGGAGGGCTATGAGCACAAGTCGGATGAGAGAGGATGCTGGGTACAGACTGCCGCCTGATCTCGGAATTTTGCAGCAGCAGGTGAAGAACGGTGAGGTCGGTCCGATGATACACTGCTGTTATGTGAAGCTTCTGGTTGGTCCAGGTGCTTTTGATTTGTAGCTTGCTGCATGTTTGACTATTTCGTACGGAAAATTAGCATCCATAGATTCATCACTTGATACTCATTGTTATTGTGAGAAATGAGATGGTCATCAGCTACTGCTTCAGCTGTCGTGTTGTGAGCTTGCGGCGCGGACAGAAGCTTGCGGGTGTCTCGTTTGCAGCGACCAGCTACAAGTCCGGACTTTTTTTAGTCCTCACGCCGAAATAGTGCTTGTCAATCTTGATACTGCCATAAGAGTCTGGCTTCTTCTATAGACCCTCGTTGATGGCACGACAGTTTCGTTGTCACCGGGGGTAGCTTTACAAGACGAAGTGAAGCAAAGCAAAGCGTGTGGCGATAGCATTGGTCATAGCGTTGCCAGGGCAATCAAGGATCTGGAGAGAGAAAGCTTCTAGACGGTGACCTGACAGACTCATACGTGACAGTGCCGACTACCGAAGTGGTATCGTGCTCCTTGTCCAGGCAGGATACTCGAGTCGAATGTCCAGCGTTTTCAGAAATTGCGGATACGTACACCCAGTTACACTACGTAGAAAGTGGTCGTGACTTGCTGCGTGTCTTACATTACTCGCTTCTCGAAGAAAGAGTGGCACGGCTGCTTGGCGGACCCGACGACATGTTGAGGCGAACCTCATGAGATCTGCGAATGCAGACTCACGGTCAAGATCAGATGCCGCCGTGTGCTTTCGGCGGTCTGATATGGTGTTGCAGAGATAGTATATGAGGTCGTCCGGTAGGTCGAGAAGCTCCATTATTGTTGGTTGTGTGAGAACGGTACTGTAGACCTGGGCCTGTCCACCTGGATATGTACGGCCGGCGCGAGAATGGACTCCCATGAACTCCTTGTAGCCCTGTTCCGGAATGCTCTGCTGGCCATCGCTCGTAGCCTCTATAGAAGAAGAACGTGTTTCTGAACTGCTTTGCAAATCATTTGGTGTGTGATATCGGGTGGCGAGTGGTCTTCAAGCACAACAGAGAGGATGGCACCGTCGCCAGGTCGAACACTCGCTCTCCCTTGACACGTGCCGGATGAGTGGTTCATGCGGCGGCAAGGGTGCCGCATGCACCCCATTGTGCTAATGCGAGTAATGGCATAGCTGGCAAGAAGAAGCTCGTCCCTCGTTCTTCGTTAGTGCATGCTGATAGGCCCTTATCGCGACCCGTTCGATTCCGTCACCAAGACGTTCACGAGTCCGTCTGTTCTACTATGAGGGGCACTCAATCACTCACAAAGACTCATCTACGCGCGAAATCAAGTCATCCGGACTGCGAACGTGTGACTCCGTCAAAAGAAATTTTCTGAGTCAGCTAGGCACAGGCAGCGGTACGCGACAAAGGACAGGAAGCTACTCCATTGACGCCACCATTGCGAACAGCCGCCGAAGAACATCAAACGAAGCCCACTACCACATTCGACTTCCCCTTCACACCACATATCTTCGATCACCCAACGCTTGAGTCGAAAAGGAAGTTGCACCGCCTTCTCCCTCCTCTTCCTCACCACTCCCTCAAGCTCCATCATCACACCTTTAAACAAGCCGTAACCCGTTCTTCGAGGTTACAGCGAGGTGTCGTGATCGAAGCACCGGGGAGCTCGTCCTTGGTGACCACTTCCACCTCCTCATATGAGCAGCCGGCTGTGGAAGGCCTACTACGAAGACGATGTCGATATCTTTCGGCAATTGCTCTTTCAAACCCCGGTCTACAACACCAGACCGGGCGCGGGAAGAGGTGGCAATGCGTCGGCCATCATAGGCAGTCCGGCTCAGTTTGGCACATCGCCTGTCATTATGAAGGGCCGGAGGAATGGTTCGACAACACCTGGCAGCGGAGCGCATCACGGCAGTGCTTTGACGAAAGCGGACATCAACTGGCGTGACTCGGCTGGGCTCACGTTGCTGCATCATGCTGCATCCTCAAGTGCTGAGCATGCATATGACTTTGCAGCCGCGTTGGTCGAGCATCCACATATCGATCTGTACATACAAGACGTGGAGAATGCTTGGACGGCCCTGCACCGTGCCTTCTACTTTGGCAACGTCAGTGTTGCTCGGCTCATGCTGGAGCGGGATGCTGCCGATGCGCTTGGCAAGACCACCGGACATGTGCATCAGACGATTGGTCTGATCAAGGTCAAGGACAAGGAAGGGCATGGTCCGCTCGACTCGTATGGCGCTACTATCAAGGATCGCACGTTGCGACCTGATATGGCTTCACGTCCACGCACCGGCTCAAACGGAAGCGACGACGATCGACCAGTCATGATTGGTGATGAAGAAGAAAGCAGCGACAAAGTACAGATCCACTACCATGATATCAATGGCGACCAGCTGTTCACCTTTGGCAGCAACCAAAATGTTACCTTGGGCTTCGGGGATGAGGACGATCGTCAATATCCTGAGCGCATCACACTACGACGACCTGGGCACTTGATTAGGCGCTTCTATCAAGAGCACTTGCAAGAGCACAATCGGAAGTGGTCATCCCACGAACCTTCCTTCCAGCCGAAATCAGCGCCGCCATCTGGTTGGCTGGACGATCTACCGTTCCTCGTGCGCAGCAAACCCTTGATTATACAGGAAGTTTTCATGTCCAAGCTGTCGACTGCGGTCCTCACCACCGATCCTGTGGCCAATCTGTATATGTGCGGACATGGTCAAGGCGGCCGACTCGGTCTCGGTGACGAGCAGACGCGCTTCAATCTTGTCTGCGTCGAGGGTGGCGCTCTTGCCGGCAAGCGCGCGGCAACTGTTGCTCTTGGTCAGAACCACACAATTGCACTGTCCGACGAAGGCGAAATCTTCAGCTGGGGCAATAATGGCTACGGTCAGCTTGGCTACAGCTTGCCGAAGAGCACGACTAGCGATGAAGATCCGATCAGTACCATACCAAGGCAGCTGTTCGGCATACTCAAACGTGAGATGGTAGTCGGCATCGCTGCCTCGCGTATACACTCTGTGGCTTACACATCATCTTCGCTATACACTTTCGGCAAGAACGATGGACAGCTCGGCATCATGGACTCCGATGCACGCTCACTTGAGATGCAAGATACGCCTCGCAAGGTCGCAGCGTCGCTGTTTGCTTCGCCCATCCAGAGCGTTTGTGCCATCGACAAAGCTACTGTCTGCTTGCTCGAAAGCCACGAGGTCTTCGTATTTGCAAACTACGGATACGCCAAGGTACAGTTTCCCCTCGAAGGCTTCAGTAACTATTTCCTCAAACAGAGCTTTCTCGTCACAACCTACGACAGTGCGCCGAACAGGATCGTCAAGCTTACTGGTGGTGGTGACACTATCTGCGCCTTGTCAAGTCGTGGCGATGTCTTCACCCTGGCCATCAACCAGCAGCTTAACAGCAAGTCCAGTGCCTCGACCACTAATCCTGCCAAGATACGTAGTGCGATCACGCACCCACAACGTATCTGGTCGCCCAAAAAGACGAACATGAACGCTCGCGACGTTGGCGTTGACGCAGATGGCTCGATCATTTTATCTACGGAAGAAGGCAGTGTCTGGCGACGAAGTAATCGAGCTAATGCCAAAAGCACAACTGCCTCCACCACAACCGAATACAAGCCCAAGGACTACAAATTCTCGCGGGTGCCCGGTCTCACTCGTGTTCTCGCCGTACGAGCGTCAGCATACGGTGCATACGCGGCCATCAGAAGGGATTGCGATGTACTCAAGACGCAGGTTGTGGTCGAGGATACGAAGCTACTAGCAGATCTGTTCCCGTTGCTCTCGCTCAAGCAGCTGCTTTACAAAGTCGCTGCAGTCGAGGACGAAACACGGCATCGGTTCTGGCAAGGCTCGACCAAGACAGATGGTGTACAAGCACTCAAGCGCGTCGTGCTTGGAAGCAAGGACATCGAGACGGATCTGGCGGAAGTATGCGACAATAGCCTGGCCGATAGTACGGCGAAGTATGATGCTCTTCTCGCCACCACTACCTCGGACATCACGATAACAGTCCATCGATTTGTCATTACTGGCAGGAGCAAGGTCTTGCGACGGGGCTTCCGGGATCTATGTCCCACGAGCACGTTCACGATACCCGATCTAGCAGTCGCCGAACTGGACAAGGACGGTCGCACGGTCGTCCTGTTTCAAAGTCTGGACATCTTGACTCTGGTCGATTTGGCACTCTACCTGTATACAGACACCATCATCGACTTCTGGCACCTGGCTCAACGCAATCCCAAGATGAGCTTTCGCTACCGCCAAGTACGGACTGAGCTCATGAAGGCTGCAGCGAAGCTGGAGCTCAGCAGACTAGAGCCTGCTGTACGGCAGATGGTCACGCCGAGACCGTGTCTGGATTGGGACTTCGAGGTCGCGTATGCCGACCCTGCCTTCTTCTATGATGGCGATGTAATGGTCCAGCTTGAGGATGATGAGATACGTGTACACAGTGCTATGCTTCGCGCACGTTGTCCATTCTTCGAGGGCATGTTCATGGGTCGTGCTGGCGGTCGATGGCTTGCGGGACGCGAGGCGGAAGAGGCGGTCAATGTCGACTTGACGCATATCAGCTCAAAAACGTTCATGTTGGTGCTACGCCACATATATGCTGATACCGGCTCGGAACTCTTCGACGATATTGTCAGTGTTGGACTGGACGACTTTCTGGATGCCGTGATGGATGTCATGAGCGCGGCCAATGAGCTCATGCTGGATAGACTGTCGCAGATCTGCCAGGCAGTCGTCGGACAGTATGTCAACGCACGCAATGTCAGCGAGCTACTCAATGCGATCTCGCCTAGCTCGGTGCGTGAATTCAAGGATGCCGCTCTGGAATACATGTGCTTGAACATGGAAGCTATGCTGCAGGGACATCATCTCAATGCACTAGACGAGGATTTGCTTATCGAGCTCGACGAGGTGGTCAAAGAGAATCAATTGGCTTGCATGCCCTTCGCAAAAAGTGGTCGGGCGGAGCTTATGCTGCATGAACGCCATCCTGGGCTTGCAGAAATAGTCGAACGCAACCGGCAGCGCAAAATCGACAATGTCACTGTACGCTCAAGACATTACGAGATCGACAGTTTCGTGCTTGGGTCGCTTGGTGATGAGATCCGAGCCTCGCCCATGGCACAAAAAGCACGCAGACGTTCATCGACCGCGCAGAGGATGGACACCGACAGGCCCTCTCTCAAAGCAAAGGCATCGACGAAAGATATGATGTTCGTTATGGACGAAGAGGGCTCATCTGATATTGGCACGCCCGAACAGTCTCCCGCTATACGACCGATGACTAGTCCTCGTGGTCTCGAACCTATTCCTTCGAGTCCGCCAGAGGATGTATGGTTCGATTCGAAGGGTAAAGTGCTGCCCTCCCCGAAGCTGGGTCCGCAGGTCTCGACATCTGGAGCAGCTACGCCTCGTACGCCTAAGTCACCCGCGTTTGGCGGCAAGACACCACCAAGCACTGGTGTGGCGCCTTGGACTCTTACACCCCTACCAGGTCCAAGAACAGATATGCGGGATATCATGGCGCAGACTTTTACCGGTCGGACATCTTCACTATCACAGGAGCTGGCTGCTTCGCGACCTCCGTTGCCTGCTACACCAAGCTCGTTCACACTCGGCGCAGCGAAGATATCACAGAAAGAGCGCAAGCGTATGCAGCAATCTGCACTCTCACCAGAGCCCGTACCTGCTCCCTCGGCACGAGGACCGATTACTAGCCAGTCTCCAGCAGCCAATCCATGGCAGACCATTTCTGCGCAGCGGTCTCCTGCTTTACGACCAGTCCCTAACGATCAAGTGCCGGGTCCAGGGTCGAGACCACCGACAACTCGGGCCACGGGCACGCCGCAGCTCACCATGCGCCAGACAGTCGCCAACACCAAGCCTGGCCAGCTGCCACAAAAGCCAGTCATTGGGCCATCAGGTCAGTGTGCTTTACAACCACGCAGCGTCTCCGGAAACAAGCCCAGCACCCTGCCAGAAACCAACAGACCCGCGCCCATAACACCAAACAACCAGCTAGACCCCCTCCCCTCAGCCTCCTCCGCAAATACCAAACCCATACCCCAGTCAATCCGCCACCAACCACCATCGGAACAAATTCTCGGCCTCTCTATGTCAGAGATCGTCGCCGCAGAACAAGCGGTCAAAGATGACATCAAAGCTGCGGTCGCCAAGCGCGATCTCCAGGAGATTCAGGCCGAGCAAGAATTTCAGGAATGGTGGGATAAGGAGGTCAAGAGGGTGCAAGAGGAGGAGCAGAAGGCCTCCGGTGTTGGTGGAGGAGTGAAAGGTGCTGATGGGAAGAGGAGACGTGGTGGTGGGGGTGGTGTTAAAGCTGTGAGAGGTGGGAGGGGTGGGAAGGGGAGAGGTGGTGGTAGTGCTGCGGGTGCTGAGCCAGGCGGTACGGAATAAGGGGTGTGGCCATCATGATGTCACGGATATGACGATGGAGGGTGCATGTTGTATAGTTCGTTGTACATACCATTTCAGGCCAGACACGGCTGTTGCATTCCACTGACTTGAGTTGGTGGCGTTCATGTACAGAAACTCTGCCGACGGCTCAATCGTGGCGAGCCCCACTTGCCCCATTACGGCGGCGAAGAGATGCCGAGGAGCACTACTGCAGCACCGGTTCACCCGTACTGTACATGAATGCTGAAACCGAGTACAGACCACGCGACCTTTACGCTGTGTTACATCCACTAACAACCACCAAAATAGCAACTCACGTTCTTGCCACGCTGGCGTCGCTGAGCTGGACGTGCATGGCGCGCGTGTGCTGAGCGATCGATCGCCATGCCGTCACCGGCTGCTGCACCTTCCACTCGTACTGCTTCACCGACACTGGCGCAATACAACACTGGCTCGAGTACGAATAACACTACCACTACCACTACCCCCAGCTCCGCCATGCCCGCCGCGATGCCCTCGGTGACGTCTGCCAGTACACCTTTAGGCGGTGGCTCAGGAAGCGGAGGAGCAATGGCCCGACCACCGATCATGAAACGACATAGCAGTCAGAGCTCCCATGGTGCTGTTCCACGTGGAGTCACTAGCCCAGGCTCGGCGAGCGAACACCACCCGCTACGACATACAGTCGGAGGAGCCAAAGGCCGGCACGCGAAGATTGTTCTACCGAGGAATCACAGCAGCGGGCGGAATCTGGCCAAAATGGGACGGCAGGCTGCGGCTGCTCAACAGCAGGCGGCGGCACAGTTTGCGCAGCAGCACCAGCAAGAGGATGGGAGGAAGCATCATCATGCGCGGCAGAGGAGTCATGAGGGGGATACGGAGATCAGGTTGCCGGGTTCGTTGGATGAGGACAGGCCGGCGATGAGGAGGAATATGACGGCTTCGGAGTTGCCAAGGAATCAGTCGAGGACGAAGCTGAAGAAGAACCTGTCGCATGGGCAGTTGACGCGCTTGTCGAGTGGGAAGAATTTGGCTGCGATGGGGTCCGGGAAGAATCTGGCTGGAATGGGGTTGAAGGGTGGGAAGAGGAGTCGGCCGCAGAGCGAGGAGATCCAACTGCACAAGGAGAAGGATCTGCATGAACAGGAGGTGGAGCTTTTGAGACAGCAGGAAGCGCGGAGAGCGAGCAGGGAGAATGGTGGGCCGAAGAGAGTGGGCTTCGCGGTGGGGAGTGTGGGCGGCGATACCAGTGCGGAGGATGATGAGACGACCAAGATGGAAGGGACGGAGCCGCAGGAGGATGAGTGGACGGAGGAGAGCGCGAGCGCGAGTCCGTACGGTACGAGGCAGAATACTGCCAATAATTCGCGAAGAACGAGTGTCGCGCAGGACAAGCCGCCCGATAGAGCAGCTGCGAGGTTGCAGCATCCGGCTGTAAATTTCAGTATGCAAGAAGCGAGGAGCTTGAAAGAAGTGCAGGTCCAGGAGCCTCGAAAAGAGTCACAAGCTGAAGCAGATGGTACACCTGCTGCAAGCGATGCATCGGACGAGAGTGCGACGAGTCCTAAAAGCATGCCACCTGCCCCGATCATACAAGCATCTCCATCTCCTGAAAAGGAGCCCTCCCCGCCGCCACCTTCACCACCGGCGATAGAGAAGCAAGCCGTGACTCCCGTACCGCATATTCGAAGTCCACTGCACGGTGCGAAAGAGCATCCCAATCCCACAGCCAAACGACTCACGAGCGCACAACTACCTGCTCCGGCATTGCTCAGCAGTATCAGCGCTCTCGACGATGGACACAGTGGACATGGTTCGCCAGCTCCATCTTTGCGCTCGGCACGGTCTGCACTCGGTAATGATGGAGCAGCGGACCAGGATGCGGACGAGCTCGTTTCTCGCTTTGTGCCTAGTGCTTCGCATCCTACGACAGGCAGTGGCAGCAATACTAACCCGATGAACACACCCAGAACAGGCAGCCTCCAGGGTCACACACCTGAGGATGAAAGCTCTATGCCTCGAGTCAGGACAAGGCCTACCACCTTCCGTGCTGGACCCGTCAGCCCCGACTCAACCCGATCTGGCTCTTCTGGCGTCACGACACCGGCAATGGGACGAAGTCGGATCGAGCTGAAAATGATGCAAGATAAAGCCCTCGCAGACCGAGAAGCTGCGGCGGAGAGACAGCCGTTGGTACCCCATCATATCTACGATCGACGAAACGAAACACTGAAGTCTTACCTCAACCTCGCCACACTAAATGCACACGACGGCAGGAACAACAGTCTCCCAGGCCCAACAAACACCTACTCCATGGGCCCCGAAATCTTCCAAGGCCGCTTCAAGGCCGTAAACACGGAACTGAAAGTCGTCCAGAAATTCCGCGACCCTATCGCCGACTCACTAGAGCGCTTACGAAAATGCCGGAATGCAAAGACCAGTACACGTCTCGGCACAGCAGCAAGGACAAACCCTGCCGCAGCCGCCGCCGCCGCAACAGAACTCAAGATGAGTAAATCCGCCGTCTCCCTCCCCGCACGACCACGACAGGGCCACGAGCCGAGTAAACTCTCGACTTCCGCTTCGCCTCCTAGCGGTGTTGTGCCAACTGGTGCGCACGCCAAGAGCGAGAGTCCGCAGAAATCTGCTTCGGCTTTGATAGGTGGGGGAAGTAAGAGTGCTGTGCAACTTCCCGAGCAGTCGCAGTTGCACTCGCAGTCCCAGTCGGAAAGACGACGGACTGGGTCAAGGCGGGGTGTTAGTTTTGCTGGGGCGGAGAGTACGTTGTCCAGTAGTCATGTTGAGAGGGAACGAGAGCGTGAGGGGGAGGGGGAGGAGAGGGAGATGAGGGTTGATGGGATTGCTAGGATGCTTTGGAATAGTGTTGGCTGAGTTGGAGGCTGCGTTCGTTTGGATGAGTACACTCGCTGCGGGTTCCTCGGTATGCGTTCTGAAGCCTAATATACGGCGAGGTTATTTCGTGCTTTGCTGGGTCGTTAGCGTGGCGTCTTTCATTTTTACGGATGTGTGCTGGGGCGGTTCTGGTTGCAATCATTCGCGCGGCAGATTGGCAGTATATCTCTCGGAAGACGACTCCTGTTGAACTCGTAATGCTGCTGGTGGCGAATGTAAATGACGTTGTAAGCTGTTGTAAGAGCGAGTCACCGTGGCTTCCCATCCGAACTTCACGCAGCTGGCTCGACCAGACGTTGTCGCTCACTCGTCGTCTGGGGAGACTGTGAGCCATGTATGCTATCCATGGCAGCATCAATCGTTGGTGGCCCAGACAAGTCCTCACAAAGGTCATCACGACAATGTTTGTTGACCACCCAACCAGTGGTCCATCGACCATCTCATCGCGTGTCTCGATCTTCCATCACTATTCCCACGCGTCACATTCGCGATCATTGTCACGCCTCGGGTCTTGCGCTAGCGAAAGTAACAATCAAGCTCGGTAGTTGGCCCGATTCCATGAGCCCAGACTGCCGTTCAGCGAAAAGACGTTTTTTTTTTCCTTCTCCTTCTCCATCCGTGCTCTGATCATTTCTCCGGACGATGGACGGCGCTAATGCAGGAACGATCGAACAATTGGGTGTGCTTTCGGTTAATGGGCTAGTGAGGCTTGGCGAATGAGATGAAAGCTTGTGCTTGCGTTGTTGGTGGGGGGCTACGATAGTGTGGTGTTATCATATGGATGCACGAGCCGTATAGATAGACCTGTCGTCGGGGGATGTCCACTCGATAGATCATTCTGTTGCCCTCATGTCGCTCCTGCGTAAAGACAACCTACAGTTCAGGCGTCCTGTCGCAAAGGTCGAAATCGGGCCTAGCGCCGCGCTTTCATGCAAGTCGGAAAAGGGTACATGCCAATTTCCACCCTACCCGCGCTACTGGAAACACTCTTCACTAACAGCTCACGACCATTGGCCGTACCACATCAAATTGTGTCATTCGGAACGTGGAATTGAATCGCTCGACAGGGGTGCCTGTGCTAAGAGTCTTCTGCAGTCGCCGTTCAAGCATATATTATACTCGGTAGGTGTCCGCGTGAAGAGTGTCTTTGAGCACAGCCCTGATCTCTTGTATACAACACAACTCACACACACACACACTCACTTGACAACAACGCTGCTGCGACTGCGACTCTACGACGGCTCGAGGCTCGTATCACGCTCATTTACCAGGACAAAGGAATCGATCAGATTGCTCTTTCAGCACGAATCATTATCAGCGCTTTGTGCGACAGACTCATTGAGGCTCCGTCTCAGACACTGTCACGGACTCGTTTCGTCTTGAGTACTTCGTCTACCTCGTCGTCGCACGATCGTTACTGGACACTTCTTGGTCTCCTCACACTCTTTTGACTGTACATACAGGTCGCTACTGCTTCGAACGACAATCCGTCAACACATTTCAACACACACTCGTTTGTCGCATTCCAGTGCAGCGTCACACTACCCGGTACCGCCACAACAGGTCCACCACATTCCTTCCAGAAACTCCACGATCTAGAACGACCATCGAACGATATGCGCTTCACTTCGCTTTTCGCAGCCGCCGCTGCATTGACATGCAGCACCGTCGGTGCCCAGGAGACTCTGGAGTCGACACAGAGGCAGGTCATCACCAGTGCCACTACCACGTACACAATCACGCGCACCGTCGAGCGTGTCGTACAGACGGCCTATGCCACTATGAGCGGTAACGGCACTTCACCTGCTTCGACGACTGTGGGTCCGAGCTCAACGATCTATGCGTACGGTAATGGCACCATCAGCTCCACAGGTGCCGCCCATCCGTCCGCAAGCGCAGGCAATCAAACCGCACGACCGCTACCCCAGACAGGCAGCGGCTCGACGATCAGCATGGACTTCGCCGCCATCGTCGCCGTCGCAGGCATGGCCGGCATGCTAGTACTATAACTTCCAGCTCAACCAAGCCCTTCACACTCTTTCTTGTGCTTTCAAAAAATTACTTTGGACGCGCTGCTTGGCAGTATAGCTCGACACCTTCTTTAACACTTGGCGGATCGGCAGGGACGACGATTTCATGCTCAAATGGATTTATGATGGAGTTGTCTTTATGCATTGCCTTTGTTGTGCCTACGGGCCCGGGCTTGCTTTCCTTGGACGACAGGGGAGGGTCCTTGTGGAATTGGGTTGGACGGGTTCCTTCCTGGGTGGGACGGAGAGCTTTTCATGGTACCGTGTACTGTTTTCGTTTATGTACATTGTACTGCCAATATTGGTTTGGTGAATTGTGACTTTGCTCAGTCCGTTTCTCAGCTTTTGTGATTCACACTTCTTCCTCCTTGTCCATACGCTGAGCCTCACGCCTCGTGATCTGTTACCTTTCCTGGTTATGATGATAATGTTGTCCGGTATATTCAAAGACGTTGTGAGTTTAGGTGGAGCACTTCTTGAGCCGAGACATATTAGTGACGTAGCCCTGAAGCTGTTTCACGTGCGTGAAGATCGGAAAGGCAAGAGCACACATGACTGTTTATTTTGTAACCTTTGTCAATCCAACACGTACACGTCGACCTCGATTGGGGCGTACCAGTACCCAACATGCAACGAGTCAAGAACATCGACTACGATGAGGACGAGCTGTACGATGACGGCGACTACGAGGAGCAAGACGAAGGATACACGGAAGAGGATCGCAACCAATTCGCGGTCTTGACACCTGTAGTGCGAGTGGAGCTAGAAGAGGCAGGACTTCAGGCTTCGGACAGAGAAATCGAGGACGCCCTATGGAATTACTATTGGGATGTTGGAAAGAGTGTCACGTTTCTCAAGAACAACCGCAAGCCAAAGACACAACCGCAGCAGTCTGCGAAGAAAGAGAAGCCGAAGAGCAAATTTGATGAGGCGGCTGAGAAGAGTGCACAAGAATCAGGTGAGTCAGTCGCTGTTTTGCGTATCCGTTCTTTCATGATGGCTGGCTGTGGGCCAGGGCATTTCTGGGAGCAGAAGCGAAGAGGTGGGTCACGTTCATCCTTGTGAGCTCAAGGAGACTGTGCTGATGCGCCGACGATAGACCTGGATCGTGCTGCAACAGCCTCCGACTGGTTTCGAGATGTGGCCTGGACCATGCCATTGCAGAAGCAGGCCTCGCTTGTTCCGAGCAATCACCTACCACGACAAATGATGCTCGGAGGCTCTTCAAAACTTGCCAAGCTGGCAGAAGAGCGGCGCAAGAAAGGCGCTGCTTCTTCTAGTGCCGCGAACAGTACAAGTTCCTTGAGCTCACTGGATAGGCTCTCGAAGGCGAAGACTACGATCGAGAACGAGAAGCCTGCTGCAGATGCGCCTCCTGAACTACGCAGGTATGCAATCAGAAGGAAGCGCGAGCCTACTCCCCCACCACGAGAGCCAACACCGCCGCTAGCTGAGCCCGAGGAGGAGAAGCCCGATATCAGAGCTTCGCCGACGGAATTTGCACGCACGTTGGCAACGAGCTTGCCTGGCGGACATAGACCAAATATGTCTCTATCCGAGGTTCTTGGTGCAGAGGCAGCGGACGATCCATTCAAAGTACCGTCACCGGACGACACTGTTCGCCAAGCACAGCAGACCAGCAAAGGATTGATGAGATGAGCAACACTGACAATGTATACGAATACAGGCAGCAACACATTATCAACGAAGCAGAAATCAAATGGTCTAGTGAAGAAAACTGAAGCTCTTAGGCTGGACAGCAACGCCACTGCTCCATCATCACAACCAAAGATCAAGAGCAAAGGCTTGGACGTGCCTAAGCTGTGGGAGGATGGGAAAGCACGACGGAAACCATCAGCAGCTTTTGTGGTCATTGGTCATGTCGATCATGGCAAGAGTACACTCATGGGTAGATTACTGCTCGATACGGGAGCTGTAGCGCAACGTGATATTGATAAGTACGCTGCTCTGTTTGTCTAATATCACGCTTTATGATACTAATCTATCTCAGGTATCAGAAACAAGCTACTGAGCTCGGCAAATCATCTTTCGCTCTGGCATGGGTAATGGACACCGGCACGGAAGAGCGCGAACGTGGTGTCACGTTCGACTTTGCGCAACATCACTTCAGCACTGAAAGCACAGACTTCACGATTCTCGACGCACCCGGACATCGAGACTTCGTTCCGAATATGATTGGTGGTGCCTCGATAGCTGATATGGCGGTGCTTGTGGTGGACGCGAATCAGCTCGAGTCGGGGATGAAGGGGCAGACGAAGGAGCATATACTTCTGGCGAAAGCTGTGGGCCTCGACAGGATCATCGTTGCTGTGAACAAGCTCGATTCGACAATGCCTACGTGGAGTCGGGAAGCGTTCGAGAAAGTACAGCTGGCTGTGACGAAGTTACTGCGGGAGTCCGGCTTCAGGGAGGAGAAGATCACTTTCGTGCCGTGCAGCGGCTTGAGTGGGCAGAACGTTGCGAATAGCCCGAGTGGTAGAGAAGTAAACTGGATTGCGCAAGCGAAGCTCCCTACGCTACTGCAGGCTCTCGAAACGTCGTCTGGGGCCGAGACGACACAGGACGATATGCGTAAACCTCTGCGCATGCAAGTCGTCGACTTGTTCCGAGGTAGCATCACGAACCCGCTTTCTGTCTCTGGCCGGATTTCATCAGGCAGCGTACAGATCGGAGATTCCGTCACTTTCCAGCCAGCCGGCGAGATCGCGACAGTCAAAGCGATAGAGGTATCCGACGAGCCGAATGACTACGCGGTTGCTGGTCAAATTTGTACACTACATCTCCAGGACATCGAGGCACAGCACATCAAGCCTGGCGACGTATTATGTAATATCTCGTTGCCCGTCACTGTGGTCAAAGACCTGACGATGCTTGTGGGCGTGGTCGACGCTCTGCTCCCACAACCAGTTGACGTTCATATCGGACGCCTTCACGTCCCAGGCGTCATCAGACAGTTCATTGAGACGGTGGATCAGAGAGGAGAACGGTTGAAGAAGAAGCCTAGGTTGCTGAAAGAAGGCCAACGAGCTCGGATCAAGGTGAAGCTGGAAAATGGCGCTCCCATCGAGTCAGGCGAGCGTGTCGTGTTGCGTAGCGGCGGAGTGACTGCTGCGTACGGAGTGGTAGTAGAGTGATTAGTCTTCACCATGACCACAGCGCCCGAAAACGATGCCGAATTGAAAAAGGCGATCGTGTTATCGGCGCAATCGCGGCAGTACCCGCTCTGAATCACGCCATTCACCTCGCCTCGACCGAAAGCGCATCCTACCACCGACTCCACTCGAACCAGCCAAGCCTGCCCTGTCCTTCCTCACCGCAGCTTGGTTAGCTTTCGCGACAAACCCCAAGAACGCGCTATTTAGTGTTCTTCTCGCGACCGTACCTCGCTTCGTACATGTGCGCTCACATAATCTATGACGCTGTTGTAGTGCGTTGCTATCGGTGCCTGGGCCGGAAGCTTCAGCCTCGCATCCGAGTGGCCGTTGGGTTTTGGGTAGAATAATTAATAGGTTCGAGAACGTTTTGGGGCGCTTTCTTGGTTCTGGTTGCGTCGTTAGTGTCGTTGAGGTCTATGTCATGGTCTTGATCTTTAGATCATTACTTTCTGATTGCACATTCACTTCTGGGATTATTCACGGCGGCGAGCAGCAGCTTTAGCTGTGACATGGATTCACCACGAGCGCCGAAGCGACGAAGACTCTCTTGCCCGGCCAAGGGATCGAAATCCGCGATGAGTAGCGTTGATTCCAACATGCTACGCATAGACGAGTTCAAGGACGATGGCAGCGATGTGGCCTCTTCAGCGGACATGGACGATCCGTTGAACACGCCGCCCGCTACCGAAAATGATCTTCCGCTGGCTCTCGAAGACTCGAAAATGGCGGCCCCATCTAGCAAGCTAAAAAGCTTCCTCGATCGCGCAGTCCAGATTCTGGCCACCGAGGCAGCAGCACTGGCGGCCGTCAAAGAACTATATAGGACCTCGACCATTGCCCAACAAGGACTCCGCATAGCAGTGGATGCTATCCTAGAAACCCAGCGAACGGCGAACAAGCTCGTCATCTGTGGCGTCGGCAAGTCTGCGTACATTGCCCAGAAGTTGACAGCGACCTGCAAGTCCCTGAGCATCCGAGCCAGCTTCCTGCATGCCTGCGAAGCTGTCCATGGGGACCTGGGCGATGTTCGAGCTGGGGATGTACTGCTGTTCGTCAGCTACAGTGGCAAGACACCGGAACTGCTGAATCTGCTACCGCATCTTCCCGCTGGCATCACGACGATGGCGTTATCTTCACATTTGCAGGTCGCAGACTGTCCGCTGCTATGTGATGCTGAAGTCGGCATCTTACTACCAGCACCTATACCGGAACGTGAGGAGACGACGTTCGGTGTCGCGGCCCCGACGACAAGCACAACCGTTGCACTTGCTGTGGCCGATATGCTCGCCTTGACAGTGGCGGACGAGATGCATCGGGATCGCAAGGATGCTGTTTTCAAACGGAATCATCCTGGCGGCGCGATTGGTATTAATGAGCGAGCAGCAGTGAAGCGGAAGCGAAGAGGGGAGGATGTGGTTGCGCTTGAGCTACCTAGTCCGAGTATTTCGGGCAACGACGATGGGTAGTAGTTGGATAGATTAGGGTAGCAATGCCACGACAGACAGAATGATGCATGAGTAATGATTATTATGGCCAAAACTCTGTGGATACTCGAATATTCTTGCAAGTCATGCTACTCTACACCATACGCTACACAACGCTAGATCGTGAAAATTCATATGCCTGCACGACCAGCGCCAAGCTTCATCAATTCATCCATCCAAAACATACAACTCTCAATAAACATCCCTCCTCCTCCCTCTCCTATCCAATCCCTCATCATAATCGTAATCCCTGGACGAATGATAACTCTTCGACCTCCCGTCCACATTACTATAACTCCGCCTCTGCTTCCCGTACTCGTGTCCACCAACCCCACCCAACACCGCACCACCTATCGTCCCCAGACCCGGGAAAATCAAATCGCCTATCAATGCGCCGCCGCCAGCTCCCAAGAAAGTGCTGACGGAGTTCTTGCCCTTCTTCTTCTGCTGCGTTGACTGATCGTGGTGGTGATGATGGTGGTGCCGGCCGCTGCTTCCACGATCTCGACTCACGCTCCGGCTGTCGTAGTCGTAGTCGCCTTGGTAGGGAGTCACGGCTGGTCTGTAGCCTGAGCTACCTGAGGCTCGGCGTTGTGTTTCGGTGGGTGGTGGTGGTGCGAGGCCATTTGGGAAAGGGTAGCCTGATTGGGGTTGGGGAACGGGTGGGCGATAAGGTGGTTGTTGAGGTTGGCCGTACTGCCCTGGTGACGCTTGGGCGTGGACTACATTGTGCATGGCGGAGGGCCGGTGGTTTTGTTTGTCGGGTGGGTAGGCGTGGGTTTCGGCTGGACCGTAGTTGTTGGTGGGTGCGAAATTCACGTGCGGTTGGGGTCGGTTTTGAGGTGGTGGCTGAGAGTGTGGACGCTGGTGGTCGGAGAATTGGGAGTAGGGTGGCGGTGCGTCGGAGACTGGGTAGGGTAAGGTGCTGTTGCTTTGCTGAGGCGGATATGGATATTGCTGCTGAGGTCTCGGTGCTTGGACTGCTGGCGCCTGAGGCATGTTGCCGCCGCCAGGATTATAGTAGTCTGCCGCCGCCATCGTGTGCTTCGTGCTTGCTCTCGCTGATCCTCTGTGTGGCGGAGATTTGAGTGGGATGGTGACTCTGATATTGGTGGATAATAGTGTCAAGTGAAGAGAGAATACTAGTACACTGTTTGTTGGAGTACGTGAAGGGAGGTGATACGAAGGGTTACACCAGGGCTGTGCTAATATGTGGTTGTCTGCTAAGCGTCGGAGGCTACCACACCCGATACGTACTGGAAGGTCATCGAATAAAATCAGCTGATGCACGACAAGGCTTGAGTCACTATTTCACCGGAGCCGGTCGCCTTGTGCTTCGGCCGGTGAGACAATAGTGACAGTCTTTACCAAGCAAGAAGTTTATGTCTCATGACACTACCGCTGGTGCTCGGCATTTTTGAACCGTTGTGTAATTCTACGTCATACGCTACTTTCTACGCCCCGCAATAGCCGGTGAATGCTGGAGATCGCACCACCTTACGACCATTGTCATCAAATATCATCTTCGCCCACGTTGCGACGACTCGCCCAAAGGCTCCTTGACCATACATACATGTACGCATGCAAGCTAGCCCGGGGTATCATACGACGTGGGGCGTGGCCGGAGATTGATCGTTTCTGTATGTCGCGGTCGACTAACTGCTGTGAGGCCGCCTCTGTGCTTCTGCTCAACTGTGGACCTCGCCCGACGAGCAAAAGGGCGCATTACAGCCTCCACATCTTGCGCTGGCAGATCGCTTATCGACGGCCCTCTGACAGTATCGAGGTCGCCACGTGTGCAGACCACTCACGCCCTCGCCTGTTATCGAGGCTGCCTGAAGTATCTTTCCTTTAGAAGCCCTTCCGCTAGCACAGCCTAGCAGAGCAGATGGCTGTCAATCTTTGCATCCAGACCTCCAGGAGTCGCAATTGATTCGATCTAGCCACGGCTATCAGTCGGCAAGAGATTTCGAAGTATGACGAACGAAGTATTGGTCCAGCTTGCGTGCGATGGTCCACGTCGATCTCTCATCGGGCCCATCCGCCTCAAGTAGCGTGTCGCTCTATCAAGCAGTATTCAGGGTCCTGGGTCGTTGAAGAATATATGTGAGCTGTGGGATGTCACTGGCCTCTGCAGCGCCATGGCAGTCGTGGCCGGCACCTCAGAAGCATTGCGGACGGTCCGTACAACGATCTTCCGCTCTTGTCGTTCAGCACGCCTCTGGATATTTGTTCTCATGTCCGTCGCTATAGATCCATTCTCAGCGGCCGACTCGATAGTACACCCCATAGCCGTGCCTGCAAAGACGTGAGGTGCGACTATTGGGCTGTGCTTTGCAGGAGACAGTTTTCCAGAATATTTCAGCAAGTCGGCAGCCACGCTTCCAGGTGTTGATTGGTCTTTCAGCGCCATCAGAAGCATAGCTTGAAGTGTGTACGCCGCATCGTTGCCGGCATTGTGTAGATTGTAAGCATCGACGTCCAGGCTCAAAAGCAGCCGTTGCAAGGCAATCGACTTCTTCTTCGTGCCACCTGCCAGCTTTTGCGTATCCATGGTCGCCTTGGTGCCACCGTCTACTGCTACATTAAAGCCCACTTGCTTGAGGAATGAAGTGTCGCTGCTGGCGTTGTGGCCAACAAAGATTACGTCTCGACCTGTCTTGCTCAATGGCTTGTCAAAGTCGGCAGCCTCATGCAAGCGAGTCGGGTCATCAAAGATGTTTTGTAGCACTCGCCTGGCATCTGCCAGCTTAATCCATGTACTAGTGCCGAAGTTGAAGGCTTCCGGGCAGCCTTTGACGAAGTTCTTGTTCTTCAGTAATCCGTACTCGATTGGCTTGAAGTGACCATACTTGATTTTCTCGATCCACTGTTTTGCTTCAGCACTTCTCTGATCTAGCTCTCTAGTGTCCAGAACAGCCACGCCTATCTCGGTGATCTTGTGGTGGGCATGCTCGAACGCTTCACAGTCGATGCAGACAAAGATGGGATGGACGGTGAGAGCAGCATCTCCATTGGCTGGTGTCAGTCCCAGCATCTGCCGCAGGGCATACAATGATGAGGCGACTGGAGTGCTGCCCCTCGCCATCATTGCTACCGCAGAGGCCACAGATATAGGAATCTCCACACTCTCTGATGATGGACGCCAAAGATGCTCAGCAGTCGTCCATTGATACACTCTCGTGATCACTTTCGTGAAGTAGGAGATCCGGCGGCACAAGCAAAGTGGTGGGCGGGCAACGAGATTCTTGCGTATCTGTGCCCCGAAGGATCTAGAGTCAAGGCGGCCTGCGCGATTGCATATACGGAGCGCATAGCTGGGCATATACCGGTGTAGCTTTGTTCTTTCGTGGTGGTGCTGACTGTTGGGCTTCTTCCGAGTTGGTACAGGGCGGTACTTGCAGCACCATGTGATTCGATGGGATGATGAGACCTTAGACTCACGTCTGATCGTCCAAGTCCGTTTTTAGATGCGACCTTGATTGGCATCCAGATCCGAGTTGATGTTCCTGGGATGCGCATGTCGGTCCCGCACATCTCTGCCCGAGAAATGGGACTATTTCGGGCTCGTAAATGTGTGCATCATGTACGGACGCCGCAAGAGAGTCTTCCACAATCCGGTGTGGTCTAGTGGCTAGGATTTCTCGCTCTCACGTGATCAGTAACATGATCTAGCATGGCCCGAGGAGGCAGGGGTTCAATTCCCCGCACCGGAAGATCTTTTTGCCGCGCCGGAACATCCTACGCCATAAATTTAGAGCTGTCCTTTTACCGCATAACCGGGAGCGAAGTCAAGAAGAGTTGAGGCGAACTTCCTTCGCGGACTCCATGAATCCTTGTAGCAACACGGCCATGGACTGCTATGCCGGTCCATGCAATCACTTCCTCCTGATAGAAGCAGTCAGGAGATTCCGCGCCAGACCTTCCTCCTCACGCTCCATCATTCGTCGCTTATGTTTCCACTCTTGGCGGGCGACTGTGACCCTTCTTGAGCTCCACAACATTGACCAACAGACAAGGAGAATTGATAAAGCAAATTCACAAGTGGTAGGTTTCATGTCTCTGCCCATCCTCGACCTTACACCACACATTCGTATAGCTTCTGGCGATCTCGTTTTCTCTTTTCTGCTCGGCGTGTAGCAGACAAGCCCGACTATCAGAACTTCACAAACATGGGTGACCGCGATACCCTGTCCTCGAGGCAGATACCGTTCATGAAACTGTCGGATGGCTCTCCAGGGTCTCTTACCGCTCCGCCAAAGCCGTTATCAAATGAATTGAAAGCTGGCGACCGAGCAACGGCTCGTTTCGCCGTGCAGGGCAATGTTGTGAGTACGTAGAGCGTAAGCGCGATCCCCTCGTCTCTGAATTGAAAATTTACATGATGCTGATTCAATGGCAGTCACCGGAGGAGCAGGTACTCTAGGTCTATCAGCCGCACGAGCACTTCTCGAACATGGAGCCAGTGGCTGCTGCTTATGGGATCTGGAGTCAACACTACGATCGTCTCAGGCGGATGTGCTGGCTTTGGCCAAAGATTTTCCAAAAGTCCGGGTCTTTGGTGTTGCAGTCGACGTGACCGACGCCGCAGAAGTAGCCGAAGGGGTCCAGTCCGTCGTACAGACTCTCGGCAGCATTGAGCACCTTTTCTGCTTCGCTGGAATTGTTGGTGTCGTGTCTGCCATCGACATGACTGATGCTCAGTGGCGTAAGACACTTGATGTCAACACTACTGGTGCTTTCCTGTGCGCCCAAGCAGCTGCCAAGCAAATGTCGAAGCAAGGCACCGGTGGATGCAGTGTTACATTGACAGCGTCCATCTCGGCACACCGCGTCAACTTCCCACAGCCGCAAGTTGCTTACAATGTTAGCAAAGCAGCGATTGTGGCATTGAAGTCGAGTCTGGCTGCTGAGTGGGCGAACTATGGCATCCGGGTCAACTCACTCTCTCCGGGCTACATGGACACTATCTTGAATGCTGGCGGTGGAGCACTGGAGGAAGCTAGGGGTGTGTGGGCAAGCCGCAATCCAATGGGAAGGATGGGTGCCGTTGGTGAGCTAGACGGGATGTGTGTGCTACTTGCAAGCAGAGCGGGCAGCTACATCAACGGTGCGGACATGGTCATCGATGGCGGAGCCGTGGTGTTTTAGTCAGTCGTCACGATGACGTCGAATGCTCCAGAAGACGGGTGCCAGAATATATACACAATACATCTTGACGAACACGCATGCTTATGCTACACCAAACCCCTCCATCCCATACTTCACCGCCATGGTCAACTTTGTGTTCAAGATATCCGCCGAGCTGTACACAGGCAGGTTCAGTGTTCCAAAGCATGTTGAGCTTGTAGGTAGACGCTCGTCGTCCGTGCCTGGACTATGCTGGATGACGAACGTAATGTCCTTTTCACCACCTATTGGAACCCGCTCAGCAGCTGTAACGAATTTGACTAGGCCCATCTGTTCTGCTTCGCTCCAGGTTGAGATGACTCGCCAGAAAGCCTGGATATACGGTTCATTCGCAACATACCCCTCGTACCGTGTCGCTCGCCGGAGCTCCTGAATGTCCAGATTCGACGTACCCTCGATGTGATGTTTCAGCTCAGCTGGTGTGAAAATTGATAGTGTGTGTGGATCTATGATCCTGTAGAAGCCCTTCATCAACGCCTCCCACTGTGGTACTACCGAATAGTAGGCCATCCATAGCATGTACTTTTCTGCGAACTTCTTCCAATCGGTTATTGGTGGTGCATTTTCCGGCACTTGTATCATTCTCCAACCAGGCCACTTGAGCTCCGAGACATCCATTCCCGCTGAAGAGCCATACATTGGGACTGCCTGGTACACATTCATCGTATGCGTGTACTCATCACCTGTGCGGAATCTACCACCATATGAAGCCGAGACCCGCAGACCGTTTGCTTCGAGTGAGAAGCCGTCATCTATGTCCTCCTCCGCGTGATCTAGCATGTACTCGAGGGAGCTGGACTCCACTGGCCAGTCAGATATGAACGAGGGGGGCCAGATGCTAGGCTTTCTTCCGACAGGTCCATCAAGCAGAATTCTGTAAAAAGTCTCGTGCATACTTATCGGCAACGTGATCCCGTTGTAGGCAGCCAATGCTAGCAACGTACCAAGCAGCTCGAATTTGTGCAATGGTTGGATACTTCCAGGTCTGAGATAATTCGTGCCCGTAGCGTCGTTTGTAGTGAACATGCCGGCGTCTTCGGCGTAGGCTTCTCGACAGACAAGGTTGAAGAACTCAATCTGAACGCCACCTAAGAGATCCGTTAGCTACTTGGCAGATGACGTTTCGCACCGCGCCACAACCTACCAAGATCTTGACCAAGCTCGAGATCATCTGCTTCCGCCATCCACACCCTCAACGGCCGGAAGAGCTCATTGTTCCTCCGCTGCCATAGTTGATCGTACGCGTCCTGTAAAACATGATCTCGGCGAATTTTGAGGACTAGAGCTTGCTCCTCATTATGTCTGAGCCTGCCGTCGGGCTGCTGGATTCGAAGCCTGGACGACTCTGTGCGCTGCCGATTACCTGATGCCTTCTCGGACACGGACCATGCTTGCAGCATCCTTTGCCAATTTATAGAGCGGAAATAGACAGCCCGTTGTGTGGTCGTAAACAAGAAGTCGAATTGCAAAAGGTGGCAGACGGCCGGACTGTAGGGCAGTACGACTTCGCGGTCCAGCTTAGAGCTTCGCTGCGTTTCGGATGCGTAAGATCCAATGTACCAAGGCATGTGACTGCAATCTGCTACGCCACATCGGCTCGCAAGCTCAGTCCAGCTTTGTGCGATTTCAAGGGAGGAGAGTCGAGTTGACACGCCTTCGATCAAATAGTAATCCAACATAGCAGGAGAAATTGTATCTGTTTTGTTTTTGATGGCATCGATCAAGAACAACGCGGCGAACTCGACATTGTCCCTCTGGACGACAGGCGTACCTCGCCAATGCGTGAGAAACAACTTCTTAAGCCAGAGAACGAAGCAGAGCAGAGTCGATTCACTCATTTCGGTGGTATGAGCTACAAGTCGCATTATCATGCTCCGGGTATGATAGCTGGAGCCAAGCTTGTGCGCAAGAGGATCCAGCTCGACATTCAGTTTGTTCGTAGGCCCGATGGTCGAGAATGCGCGATACAGCATCGCCGATTGTCCATTGGGATCGCGCATGCAATTTGTCATATCACTGGCCCGATCATCGAGTTGTGAACGGAACGCCACAACTTGCAAGATGTGCACAAGAAGTCGGCTCGTCGGCTTCTCGATTTCAACATGATCTAGTATTCGAAGCCAGATGTTCCACTTGGCATCGGCTGGAGTTCGCTGATCACAAGCTGGATATGCGTGGCCTGCGCTTATCAAGCGATTGGCGAAGACGTACTGCTGAGGTGATCCCGAAGGAGCGTCGGCCAGACAGGTTTGTAAAGCAGCGTTCATGATGGTCGCAGCAGTTTTGTTGCTGACTATATTCCCACCAGCGGACGAAAATGGCCTCAACAGAGTATTGACAGCCCGATGGTAATGCTCGAGGCCTGAAGGGTCCACCTTGATGCCATCGGCTTGTGGCGTGCATATCTTGCGTATCGAGAATGTGTCGCAGAACAATTGCTGGAAAGACGACGGATCGCGTTTCTCATCGGCTGAAGCCATGGCAACACTCGACTCGGGAACCACATTGTTGTCAGCGGGGCTGCTGTAGTGATTGCATAGATGCTTGCGTGGCGAAGGTCCACTGATTGTAGCCAACGCTATGGCGCGAGCTGATCGATTAGTCCATCTGCGAACTGGCCGGTCGAAATCGTTGTGTTTGCCAGTATCGCACAGAGGTTCGTGACAGTCCGAAGACCCACAGCCATTAATTAGCTGACCAACATATTGAGAAAGTAGGTCTTGGAGCTGCAATGCCATGCTATGTAGAAATGCTCTGGCAGTGCTGGGTGAACCAAGGTCGATGATGTTCGCGTTTGAGTCAGCAGTCCCATGGCTTCAGCACGGCGGCAGCATGTGTATGCTCTGCGGCACAAACGACAGCAAAGCAGGTGCAAGGATTATAGAAGCGAGAGGGGACCGCGCTAAGTTTAAGCTTATCCGCGCCACGACTGCGCCACAACAAATCTTCGTATGCCGAAATCTCAAGCAAAAATTACAGATAGCAGATAACTCAATCCAACCCAGCGCATGTGATGGCGGTGCAGACTGTAAGGAAGCGAAAGGCCGCAGCACCTAAGCAGGAGGTCACTCAACACAAAAAACAAAAGATCGACTTGGGACCGAAGCCCACGACTGATCGTGGCAAACTCATCGTCCCTGCCGGAGCATTGCAATGGAAGGACGCTACCCTACCGGACCGTCTTGATGACTACGAAGGATTCTTTGGGCTCGAGGAGATAGACGACGTCGATATTGTCAGAGACGGAACCAGTGGCAAGGTCTCATTCGTGTCTAAAGCACCACAGCGTGTTGAAATCCAGGCTCGGCACAATGGCACGACTGAGGATGAGTGGGCTGGCTTCAGCGATCACGAAGATTCTGCGAGCAGTGCGGTTTCGGCCAAAAAGCCGAAGAACACCAAGAAGACTGGCTCTGAAGTTAAAGCGGTTGCACTTGCGAAGTCAGCGAAGCCTAGCAGCACACTAGCAACCGCATTCACCGAACTTGGTGAGCACGAACAAGATGCTGCAGTCTCGAGAGATGTCGACGTTTCAGCCTGGCGTGATCTCAGATTATCTCCCGATACACTTGCCGCACTATCAAGACTTGGCTTCAGTAAGCCGAGTGCCATCCAGAAAGCCTCGATACCTGAAATCCTGTCCGGGCATGATGTGATTGGCAAAGCCTCGACTGGTTCAGGCAAGACCTTGGCTTTTGGTATACCGATCCTGGAGCGCTATCTGGAGCTACGCAATAAGCGCACGAAAGACAACAAAGTACCTCTAGCACTGATCCTTTCGCCTACTCGCGAACTGGCACATCAACTTGGTAAGCATCTCACAGCTCTGTGTCTCAATGATCTTTTCGAAAGCCCGGTCGTTGCCACTCTCACCGGAGGTCTGTCTCTGCAAAAACAGCAGAGAATCATGAAGCACGCGGATATTGTCATCGGCACTCCTGGGCGATTGTGGGAGATCATGAGTTCTGGACAAGGAACTATGGACGCCATGAAGCAGATTCAGTTCTTGGTAGTGGACGAAGCCGATCGACTTCTAAGTGAAGGCCATTACAAGGAGCTCGAGGAGATCCTCGATGCGCTGGATCGTGAGATTGAGGCTGCAGCAGACGATCAGGATGAAGACGGAGAACAGGTAGACAAGATCCACGACAGACAGAAGCATCTTCGCCAGACTCTCGTCTTTTCAGCTACCTTCGATCGAGGTCTACAGCGTAAGCTTGCTGGGAAAAGTAAGTCAGGCGGTGAGCTCATGAGCAATAAAGAGTCAATGGAGTATCTGCTGGCGAAGCTCAAATTCCGCGACGAAAGCCCCAAATTTATCGACGCGAATCCGGTCAGCCAGCTAGCTACTGGTCTTAAAGAGGGTCTGATCGAGTGCACTGGCACGGAGAAAGATCTTTATCTTTACGCTCTGCTGATGCTGCACTCTAATGCCCGGGCACTGGTTTTCACGAACTCCATTGATGCCGTGCGGCGGATCACACCACTACTGCAGAATCTTGGTCTGCCAGCTGTCGCCTTGCATTCAGGCATGGTGCAGAAAGCACGACTACGATCCGTGGAGCGACTCACAGAAGCTGCGGGTGGGAGGATATCATCTTCGTCCATTTTGGTAGCTACGGATGTGGCTGCCCGTGGTCTCGATATTCCGAATGTCCAGCTCGTCATTCACTATCATCTGCCACGGGCAGCAGATACATACGTGCACAGGTCTGGCCGAACGGCTCGTGCTGGACAGCAAGGATCAAGCATCTTAATCTGCGGACCAGAAGAAGTGGGTGGCGTACGCCGGCTAGTAGCTAAGGTGCACGCACGATCCGCTGCGAACCATGACCAGGAGGCGAGTGATGCCGCCAAGCAAGGCTATTACATCCGAACAATCGACATTGACCGTCGCATCGTCTCTCGCCTCCGCCCTAGAGCGACGCTTGCCAAGCAGATCGCAGACATGACCATCGCAAAGGAGAAACAACATAAGCAGGAGGATTTCTTCCGAAACGCTGCAGAGGAGCTAGGCATGGAGTATGACAGCGAGGAATTGGAGAAGCAGGATAGTGGAAAGCGTGGCCGTGGTAGCAAACGCAAATCGAAAGAGCGCGAAGCGCGTGAAGTTACGAAAGCTGAGGCGGCATCAATGCGGGCAGAGCTGAAGGCTCTGCTGCAACAGAGAGTCAATGTCGGGGTGAGTGAGAAATATCTTACGAGCGGTGGCATCGATATCGAGGAGCTTCTGCGGCAGCAGGACAAAGGGAATGCGAGCACTGACTTTCTTGGTAAGACTGGGGGGCTTGGGATGGAGTAGATGTAATTGCAGAACGTAAGGTCTAGTCTAGCAGTGGGATCTAATTTCGCAGGTTACAAATATCTCTAATAGCTAGTCCATGCTACACATATGCACAACCTCTGTGACTAACGGGATCGTCATGAGCCACCGAAAAGTGATCACATGTACAGTCCAGGTAGCTTCTGTCTCCAAAAGAACAGCAGTACCGCATGTTGCTTCTTCAAGAAGCAACCGGTCTCCCTTATTGTCTCCGAATCACACCACGGTTCCGGAGCCTCACGAGATTGAGTTCCGAGTTGCAGGCTTTCGGAAGCGGCTAGGCAGACAGCCGCTCCGAACAACCAATCGATGAAAGTCACAGCTCCAATGAGATCCTTCCAGTATATAGAATCTTGTACCGGCTGCCGCAAACACTACGACCACGAAGAACGGCCGGATCGCGTGCACAATCAACGTAGTCATATCAGAAAAGTGACGATCATGCGATCATTCGTGGTCGACGTTTCATGCTCATGTTGAGGTATATATATCTCATCCAATGCACTCTCCCAAAGCCTGCCATAATTCTGCAAACCGTCCAAAGTAGAGATCTCTCTGGCTGTTCTCATCATAGACACCACATCTTCGCGAAATCAGATCATCAACCATGGCTACCACAACGACATCGCCTGCAGCAAATTGGTCATACCACAGTATCCCATATGCTTTTGCGCTTGGCCTCGCGCCGCACCTGTACTACACAAGCCGCATGATGGTGGCGAGCAAGGGCAAGATGTCCATGGCCGAGTACGTTCTCCAGCCTATGCGTCCTCATCGATACTGACACTGGCTTTAGTCCGCGAACCAATCTTCAAGCATGGAAGGGCAAGATGCCCGAGATACTCTGGCACCATCTGTCCCGTGCGCGAGGCGCTCACTTGAACTCGATGGAGATATTCCCGCTTTACGCTGCGGCAGTCGTAAGTGCGCTCCATCTGATGTTGAAAGCTGGCGCTGATAGTAAAGTGAAGCTCGCTGGCAATGCCGCCGGTCTACCGGCGCAGGACCTTAACACCATGGCTTACTCCTTCCTCGGTGCCCGGACGCTGTATTGCGCATTGTACATGACAGTTACCAACGACATAGCTGCTTTCGCCCGGACTGGCGTCTATGCGTGGAGCATCGGCATTCCGCTTGTGGCGTTGTGGAAGGCCGGGAACCAAACCGTGATCTGAGGTGGGACGGCGAGTTCATCGAGGGATGACACTCAGCCAGTCATGCGGAGTGTGTTACTCCATGTATTATACCGCGATCTTATCGCCAATCGTCTCTCTTCCATATCGAGTTCGTTTGATTCCTCTTCCCATTGATCCTTTGTCAACAGCACGGTATATGCAACCCCAACCTCGTGGCCACTGAAGAGCCATGAGTGTTTTGGCGCTGCCTGTTTTTGTAAGTCTAAAATGAGATGCGCCAGGGCTTGTGTCTCGATCTCGAGCGATCTTCTTTCGTGCTCGCAGAGGGTACTGAGTAGCCGCTTGACGATGACGAGGCACTCCATAGCGGCACCAAATAGTTCTCGACGTAAAGCCAACTCGGTGGCCGGAGGCTGGACCAGAGATAAGCGCACACAATGAGCTTTGTATTGCTCTAGCCAGTCCAGAAGACTCCTATGTGCCAAGCGGCAGCGAATTTCGAGCGAGGCAAGCGTTGCATCGCTACAGAAGTCTTCACCGTTGACCGCTTCTCCTACATCGTGCCACAGCCCAGGTACGGAGAACATGGTGACCCGCATCTGGATAGTCAGTGGACTCCGCTCGGAAAGGAAGGTCGTTTCATGTGTCATTGATGAATACAGACTAGTCCACTCTGAGGCCTCGAGATAGCAGCTTGTGTTATTTATGAGACATTCCGACACAATTCCACCGACGTGCGCTGCAAACAGGGCCTTGTCGAACTCGGTGATGAATCGGGAAGCAGATCTGTGGCGTACTAGGCGGGCGGAGCCTTGTACATGTTGTGACCATGCCGTATCCCTCGATGGATCCAAGAGCTAAAGTTTCCGAGCCGTCAACGACAGGTTTGAGTGCACAAGAAGGGTCAATAAAAGACTTACTTCGTGGAGACTGAGCAGTTGTGTGGCGCAGAGTACGTCTGCATCCATGGCAGACGAATCAGAGGCGATGGCTTCTTGGAGCGTGCGCAGAGCTTTGCCATATAGTCGACTACATACTGCATAACATTCCTCTTTGGGTGCTAGGACGGTATGCACCTTCGCCAACAGGCAGTCAGTGGCGGCAGTCAAGCACTTGCTGGTCCCATACCGAGCCGGTATATACTCGAGATAGGACCACTGCTGTAGATTCAGTAGCGAGGCCAAACGTGTCGGATCTGCCGATAGTATAGCTATAGTGCTTTTGCCAACATTGAAATTGGTCAATATTGATAGACTTGACAGGTCGATGCCAAACTTTGACCGAGCACGCTCATATTCAGGATATAGAGCCATGTCGGCGAGGACGAGCTCGCATGAAAGGTACTGATCTGCATCGTACCGGGTAATTGCAGAATCCATATCTGTACTATCTTCCTGGATCTCGACAACTTCATCGGCCCAATCAAGAGTGTCTGAAGTGTCCAGACTGGGCGTGGAGGTGCCGGAAGCCCTAGAATCGCTCCGGATCCTGAGCATACTGCTGCCGTTTGTGCTGACGTTTGCCACTGTTGACCGGATTGGGATGCTGGGGCGCTCCGTCGTTCCTGCATATTGTGGAAGCTGTCTGAGATTGACGCGTCCATAATTGCCCTTCTTCTTTCTTGCGAAGCCGACATCCTTCATAGCCTGCTTTCGGATCATTGTGCGAGCTTCTTTGGGCACCTTTGGCCCATTCGAGACCACAAATGGGAAACTGCCTGTTGTTTTCCTTGTTGTAGTCATGGTCATAGATGGCAAGCTGTATGCTTTTGTGGCGCACTGTGCCCCGGCGGAGAGATACTGCAAGGCCACGTTGAAAATGATAGAGGGCAACGACAGACTACATAAGGCAGTAGGTCTTTTACCCAAGAGATAGATGCTGGTCCCCTTTTTACTCATCCAGGCGACTCATGGTCGGCAGCGAAAAACTGATATTCTCTGGCCTGCATGGCGGTCCCGATACTCCAGAGCGTACTCAGCTGCTTGCCATACCAGCAACACGGGCGGTGTTGATGTCTTCTGAGCTCTTTCAGCGTCCGGCGACTTCTCGTGCATTGCGACAGGGGTACTGAGACCCATTTATGGTATAGCTCGAGCAAAAGAAGTGGACTTTCGGATGGACCGTGCATCAGTACACCTTACCTCATCCATTTTATTTTGAGATGCCTTGGTCATCAAGAGCTGATTAGATTGTAAAACACCCATCGTCCACGATATCCCCAGTTGTTTTGCACGCATGGCAGACGTCTCCAGAGCGCTACGGGGTGTTCGGACGTTCGCGTGCGACGATGCCGATAGGAGTCCATCGCACACATACAAACACAAATGTGGCTCTAGCGAGACCTACCATCAAGCGGCGCAGGCACAGGCTACAGCTGCACGGTAAGCCCTCGTAACGCTCACGGGATAGTGATACTCGATACGGGGAAGACCGATCGTCTATACCAGACGATGACGTTGGTGATCATCCAGATGATCACCATTTAGCTCACCCACTTCATCTGAAGGATAAAGAAACACGAACGCACTGCTACATAAGCTAATCAAGCTTTCCCAACGACGTGGTTCCAACAAGATGGTGCTGAGCACTTGCCGAGAGACCTGACTTGATGACTCCGCGATCATCCCTCCGCTCCAGAATCTTACACATGCACGGTCCGCAACTCCTAGCTCGAGGCATTTGAGCAAGATGCGACGATCTCTTCTCAGCTTTGAGACTCGGGACATTCACATGCCAGGTAATACCACCGCCAACATCATGAATCGCTCTCGGATGGTGATCTTGCTCCTTGATCTGGCCGGCCTGTTTCAGTAGACGAGGACGGAATCTCCATCGCAGACACTCAATAGCTGACTGATGAGTGGTACGAAGTGGCAGGAATAGATAGAAGCACAGCCAGACAACATTTAGAACCTGTTGGGCGCATCTTTGTCATCCTCTAGGATCGCCAGCGAGATTGATGCCCAGGTCCGATGCTTGGTTCATCACCGACACTCTCGCTAGCGTAAGCTTTACAAGATATTACAGACCCTACAAGAGACACGGTATGCCAGCATTTCGAGGCAGCCTGACACCGCAACCCGAATGAATTCGTGTCCCCGGTGGTCGCCAGTCGAAGGCTTCGGATCGTCCAACAAGAGTGTGCCCGTCCGATCATTCTCACTATGGGGGATCTGCATGCCGTTCTATTCTTCGAGACCCTGGCCATTATGGCCTGTCGCCTTATCGGGGCCTGTAACATCATCCGACTTTCAGTTTCCAGTCACGTGACAAGAATGCTTGTAGACAAGGCATAGTGCTGGTTTTATGCGCAACAGTCGCGACCGAGATGTCGATCTAGTATGATGAAAGGTGTACTTACCGACGGATTTGGCAAGGCACCAGAGATCCAGACAATGTTGTAGAGCCTCTCATGCAGGCTGCCTCAATCTGCAAGGCAGCAACCTATGATAACACGATCGAGTCACTGTTCAGGAAGATGCCTGCCCCCTTTCTACATCCCTCGAGATCTAGAAAGCAATTTTAGGTACTCTCACTATTCCGCAACACGCAATGAGCAGGCTGCTGCAGCTCCCTGCCGAAATCCGAAATGCCATTTACGAGTACGCACTGGCAGTTGAGACGGGCGCGCAAGCTCGGGCAGCCTCATATCAGTACTTTCTCGATGGCCCAGCACCTGGACACTTACAACTTGCTCACGCGAGAGCGCCACCTCTGCTCAGAACAAACCGCCAAATCCGATACGAGGCTACGCCTATCATCTTCCGAGCAAGTGCCTTGGCGGTGACTAGCATCAGTGGCCAACTGGCTCGTATGGACTGCCGTAGTATGCAGTGGTTGGAGACGATTGAGGACTGCGATTGTACGATCCGACTCCAATTTGATGGGTATGGGCGGTCAAAGCCTTTGCTTGTTGCTACTCTGCAATTGAGAGATGGCGAGCTGGCGTTGATCGATGTTCGAGAGACATACGATGCGTGCGAGAGGCAGGCCAGAGAACGGATCCGGGCTCTGAACGAGGTGATGGGAAGTTGCAGAGGGAACGTTACAATGGCGGATATGGTCGTTGTTGCGTACTGCTTCTTTCATGCTAAGCACGTCGAATGTATGTGCAAGCACCTGCCAAGCGACGAAAGATGTAGCAGAAATGTTGGAGCTTCAATGTTGATGCACCCACAGACCTGGCGATTCCCTTGGTAGCAGCAGAAGACATCGTCTGGGATCGTCCTCGGACGAGGACCTGTACAGGAATATAGTGTTGGTAGTTCGCAACATGGGTATCTCCAAAGCACAAAACAAGCTCAGGTCAGTACGCCGCTTCGTGGGCTGCACCGCAATTCTGTATTGCTATCCTTGTTAAGGACGAGCAGACTCGTCCTGGCGAAGCTGATCAATGTCCATGATAAGTGTGCCGCTGTTCAGGCCTTTCACTTGCATCTTTTGGCCGAGTCCATCTGCCTCGAGGCTCCGTAGCCACGCTTCTTCGTCGGCGGTTTCTGCTGCGCTGGTGGAGGACTCGTCCGCGTTGTTCTCACTGTGGTAGCTGTACTCTCCCACCACAGGGTGGGAGGCATCGATCATGTCACTATTCGTGTCAATTGGCCGGTCCAACCCGCCTCAGCAGCGTATCAAGACATACTCTGTAGCTCTCGCAGTAATCTCTTCCAAAGCCTCCCTCTCCCTTCTCATCGCTTCCTCGTCTGGTTGCACATCTTCTTCCGCGCGAATGACACAGTATTGCACCTGATCGTGATGACTCAAGAGGGCATCTGTCTCGTCAACCTGCTGATATCTGGGTTAGGAGGGGTCAGTAATGCGGTGTGACTAGACTCACTTCTTGTGAGGCATGCCGATTCAGGCCAAGACAGGAAGCACAAATGCCCATGAAAGAATGTGGTTCTCAAGCTAGTTTCATCCGACAGCACCTAGTCACTCTCCTCTCCGAAAACGCAAGCAACCTTTGCTAGCTCACGGCAGACGTATGAATACATGGCAGTAGGAGAATCTTGCTCTCGAGTCATCTCACCTGCCCATTGGAGTGGCTGGGAGCCCTTAAGCTTCACTTACCTCAGCACGGGCTGTCCCGTGGTGTCCCGTGTCTTCATAGAGTTCACCTTCCTCTCAAGTCCTCTCATACTCCCCGTCAAAGATGTTTAGGTCTCGAAGAGCATGCCCGAATACGAGGGCAGATTAAGTCACGCATCCTCGGCGCTGCCGATGGATTGAGACGGCGAGTAAGTGTCATCACCGTTCCGTATCGACACACATTCTTATGCGAGCACTTTCGGAAGATCAAGAATGAGGAAGAAGTGGGTCTTTCCATCCACCATGGTAAGGGACTCTTGACATGTTCGCGACTTCACATACCTAGCCACTACTTCGGAATGTCGACTTTCTCAAGTCCCACCATGGAGTGCTTTACTGTAGCGAAGTCTGCTCTGGGCGGGCTGGGAAGTCACTGCTTTGCGCAAGGCCACTCTTGTCGAGGAAGAGGAGTGTCGCACATTTCGTATCCAGCCCACCCGCTCTATACATCGCTGGACCAGACAATCGTCAATTCGATCGCAAGGCAGGCTGGCGTATGGTCGTGAGTGGCAAGGTCAACCACGCATGATGGAGCTGGACAACCTTGTATAAAGAAGCAACCCTTTCCAGTCCGTATGTCGATCATCAAGCTCCTGCATCAGGAACTATAAGGCAACGAGCACGACCACTTCTCGAGATTTTGTCTGACAGCTATCTTTGAACTGCTTGTCACTCGTTCGCAGCTGCAGGCTCCCGCCATGCACCAGTCATTCTTTGCTGCGGCTTTGTGCCTTACACTCTTTACCATCTGCGCCAATGCCAGAGCCCATGAGCGGCTACCCGAGGTCGGGCTACAAATGCAGAATGATCATGCCATACAGGAACGATCCTTAGAGATGTCCGGAGTGCTAGATTGGGTTGCTCGCGTGTTTCGGAAGGATGTCATAAGACGAGAAGATCCGTGCCCTGCAATCCCCGAGGATCAGGACTCGTACTATAATTTCACATTGGCGCAACCGGACGAACCAGATTTCTGTCGCCTCTACATGGACTACCCGAACCAGACTGCAACTGTTGACCACACGCCGACAAGGTATATACACTGCAACCAGCACCTCGGCCAGGGTTGATGCTAATGACCTGCAGTACCTACTACAGCTTGACGACCAGAACGGTCACGACAACTAGGAACATCTATACAACTCCCCACACGACTACAACGGTGACGGAGACCGAGACAAACGGCATGAAGGCCAAACGTGAAGCACATGCTCAAATCACTGCTCGTTCGGATGCAAAACAAGTGCTGATCGATTACACTTTCGACATGTTCCGACGGCAGCATGGCATGCCGAGTAGCGACAACAGCAGCAGTACTAATGACACTAAGTCATCTTTGTCGTCTATGTCCTCCGCCTTCAGCAGTGCTTGTAGTTGTATGTACTACGTTGGTCCGACTGTTGCAACAGAGACTTTTACGGATCAAGCAGTTGTAGGCACTTTTGAAAGGCACATTAACCAGCCAGCCAGCCGCTAATTGTGAGATAGGTCGTGACCAAGCAAGGCGTCATTCAACCGACAACGACCACCACAATTGTACATACTGCACAACCAGTAGTTGCCACTGACACTGTAGTCACGCTGGCTGCCAGTCCGGCAAGCATCACGAACAGCGCAAGTGCATCATCCACGACCAGCAACTCTGTAGATCTTGCCACGCCAACCTCGCCTGCCTTTATTTGTCCGGACGACGATGGTCAAGTTATCAGCCAGATGATGGATGCTCAACGTTTCGACTACCAGGTCGACTGCTCGACAGATCTTACCTCTTCGGTATTTTATGGCGCCTTATCTTATGGTTCTTTCGGCCAATGCGTTGGTGCTTGCTCGTCCGCTGATGCATATTTTCTGTCACCTGTGTGCCAGGGTGCTTCTTACTACAATTCGCCAAACCAGGATGGCTACAATTGTTTCCTGAAGACTTCCGGCAATGGTAGTGAACCCATGATAGGTGTCGACTCCGCTGTGCTACTGAGGATCGTCCGAGGTAAGTACTGTGAACTTCATACAGAGATGCTCTTGCTGACCATGTCGAAGGTGTGTCATCTGAAAACAAAGCCGGCACAACAACCGATGCGGCCTTCGCTACGGAGACCCCTACCCAGGACCCCAGTCAACTCAGCTCTTCCTTCTCGTCGCTGTTGGGCAGCAGCACATCAAGCATGCCCGTAATCACGCCTGGACCTCAGATGCCAGTCAGTGGCCTTCTCGTCAACGGACCTACCATTTATTCCACGTACGTGACCAACGGTAGCACCTTCTCAAGTGGCACGGCCTACTCTACCTACTATACGAGTAACGGCGTGTGGTATTCGTCTTACTATACTTCCTACACAGTCGAGTGGGCCTCAGCCACGACCGAGTATGCCATAACGCCAGAGCAGACAGGCGTCTCTCAAGTCAACAGCAGCTCTTCGTCGCAGCAAGATTCTGGCAATGGTGGCTATACAACTGTCACTACTCACAATACCACGTCGTACAATTCTACTGGCGACTATACCATGTCTGTCACCACTACACAGAGTTACGCAGACAATGGCACCGAGACCTACTCCTCCGCAACCACGGCTTACTACAGCCATGTCACGGGTACAGCTGAGGCAGCTAGCGGCTCTGCATCAAACGGTACCATCAGCTCAAAATCTGCTGAGACCACCTCGATATTCGTCACTTCGACCCAGACAATCATCTCTAATTCCGCTGGTTCGGGTGCTGCATCTGGAGGAGCAGCCTCTGGGGCAATTCCGACTGCTGCACCATCAACTTCTGCGACTGTGATAATCAATAGCTCTGGCTTTGCAGTGAGCTCGGGCTATCTAATATCCGGTCAAGCCAGTGGCGCAAGTGGAGCTGCCAACGGCTCCGCCTACACGATTCCGGCAAGCACAACTGTAGTCGGTACAGCCATCAAATCCAGCGGCTTCGGCTCAGCTTCTGGCTCTGTGGCGTCGGGATCCATCACCAGTACTCCGGCAAGTACCTCGGCGGTAACGATCATTATTGATTCTTCTGGCTCCGGCTTTGTGTCTGGAGTCGTCGCTTCTGGGTCGATCACGAGCTCGCCTGCTTCTAGCTCGACCGAGATCATCGTTATCACAAATTCCACAGGTTATGGTTCCGCGTCTGGCATTGCGGCTTCTGGTTCAATCACAGCTTCGCCTGCTAGTTCGTCGGAAGTAACAGTCATGGTCAATTCGACGAGTTTCGGCTCAGCATCTGGATTTGTGGCCTCCGGCTCTATCGCGAGTCTTCCTGTCAGTACTTCGGAAGTCTTGACCGTTGTCAACTCGACTGGTTATGGCTTAGCATCAGGCTTTGTGGCATCTGGCGCCGTCACTAGTTTGTCGGTCAGCACTTCGGAGGTGACTATGATTGTGAGTTCCACAAATTTCGGCTCAGCTTCTGGCTTCGTCGCTTCTGGTTCTGTCACGAGCATTCCAGCCAGCACATCCATCACAGTCATATTGAGCACTGGCGGAACAGGTTACGTCTCTGGTGCTGTAGCGTCTGGTTCAGTCACTGGTACAGGGGCAATGTCTGGTACTGCGGCATCCGGCTCGAATTTAGGTTCCAGCTCACCAGTATCAAGCACTAACGCTCCTCGGTTTGGTTCTGCTTCGCCAAGCCCATCTTCAAATATCACCACTCCAGGTGGCACGTCTCCATCCTCTACCTCTGGAGCGCCACGGTCTGGTACTGCTCCACCACCAGAGTCAGGAAACAGCACTGTCCCGGCCGGCACATCTCCAGTATCTACCACCAAGGCACCACGATCTGGCACCGCCTCACCATCAACGTCAGAGAATAGTACGGCGCTGACAGGCACGTCACCCGTATCAAGCACTAATGCGCCACGCCTAGGCACCGCTGTCCCACCAACAGCACCACTCGGTACAGCACCGCTTGCGACTGGTCCAAGTCCATACAGCACACCAGCCGGCAATCGTAACGGGACTCTTGCTCCTCCAATAGCGACAGCTCCATCACAATACCTGCCGAGCAACGACACTGTGCCCGCGCCAACTGGTACTGCACCACCTGAGGCGCCGCTTGGCATTCCACCTCACTATCACGGACCGCCGATCTACTTGTCGGCTGCCAGCAGCGGCGCGCCTTCTTTCACAACAAACGACACAACGTCGCCCAGTACAGGCAGTCCGCTTCCGAGCACTTCTGGTGACCTGCGCAGTGGAAGTCAATCTCCCAGCGTGCCATTGCAGACAGCGCCGGCAAGCAGTGGAGCTCCAATGCCCTCCTACAACGGTACTACTGCTCCCATACCGACAGCTCCAGCAAGCTACAGCTTCCCAACAGCACCTCCGTCCTGCACAAACGCAACACTCGCCACAACAACCATGTTCGTCACTACAACGGAGTTTGGCTGCTATGCCTCCTGTCCAGTATTACCCAACTACGGCGGCCCTCAGTCCTTTGGGGCCCCGGTCTTCAACCACCCACCTCTGCAAACAGGAACATGGTCGGGATGAAATTGTGAGGTGGCAGTAACGAATAATGGATGACCGTGGGCATTTTCATGGGACAATTGAGTATGGGCTTGTTTGGCAGAGTGCAGGCGCTTATACATTGGTAGCAAAAACCACGATAGACTAAACCTGAATGAGAGTACTTCTAACTCCACGACTTATCCCGATATCTGCTGCCGCTGTGAAGTATCATAGTACCGCCAGGAACGCCGCAGCCTCATGCGGATTGGTCAACTCCACAACTCAAAGAGCGGCGTTTCTGCACCTTAATTGCATGTTTCCGTTGAGCGATGACTGGTAAGATGAGAACGACGCATGTTCATTGATAGCTAACATGAGACAACCGAAAGTAACACTAGTCTGGGTTTACATGAAAGTTCGTCATCATGAGCGATCGTTGCAAGGCCACAAACAAGAAGCGGATCTTGTTTGACAGTCTTCAAGCACGACGTGGATTCCCAACCGCCATGTAGCGCGCTTGCTTCTCACTCACCAAGCGTTTGATCTCCTCGGCAAGCACCTTCATCTCCTCGACCGCCTTCTCGATGGAGAACTTGTACTTTGTCGGGTTCTCTTGCACCCAGCGTCCATAGTCGGCTCTGTGCTTCTCGTAGCGCCGTTGCTTGCGCTCGATCTTCTGGCACATCTGACATTTCTCGGCGACGGCAAGTGTCTGGTAGACCATCTTCATGCCGCATGTTTCGCCTGTGCGGTACTCCGCGTGACAGTGTTGGCGGAAGTTGCCCCATTTCCAGTCGTTGCAGGCGAAGCGGTGGTTGTCGTAGAAACACATATTGATTGTCTTGGCTGAAGTTAGGTCATGTCCTTCGTTGATCTCTGGGACGATCTTACCTTGTACGTATAGGTCTGTATATGGGAGGCCGCTGATGATTGGCTGTGGTTGACCTTCGCTGCGTCAGCAATGTCATGATCAGATGGCTGGGCAGTACAGCATGCTCTGAGACAAGCAATGCCAGCCACAGAAGCAGTGGAAAGGGTGATGGAGGATAATGGTGGAGGAGAAGCGGAGTTGCCACGTACAGGCGTTCTTAATGTATTGGGAAGCTGACACTGTTCGTAGAGTCGATGGATGAGGGTGCTGAAAGAGGACGAGAGGACGGAGGGCGAATGCTGCCCAGTATTTATGCTTTCCCGTCCATGAACAGCAAGCTAGCCATGGTCATTGTGCACATGCCGTCCTCACACCCTCGAGCGAGTGGTCCCACCCTCCGACGGCGAGCGAGACCGTAATGTCGCCTGAATCGGACCAACGATCGATGTCGGGGAGGCCGGAAGCCCTCCCTATCGAGCTACATCGCCGTGAAAGGCAGCTACAGCATTGCAGTAGCGTCGTCGATTGTGACGAGAATGCAGCCAATATTGCTCTGTACTTGATCGACGGCGTCGTGGGCTCGTCTCCGCCTGTAGGCGCTGGCCCGTGTGCCTCCTGCCATGTCACCCTCGGTCCGTGTGTCCATCACAGCAAGGATTGAAGCTTCAGCGAAGCGTACTAGCCTACCGCCGGCGACATGGCGTTGAGGTATAAGTGAATCTTTCTCCCTGATCACGTGCCTGATATACTCCAAACGCGCGAGTCAGGCAATATATAACTTGGCCCGCGCACGGCAGCCATTGGCTCATGCTTGACAGTTGCAACAGTAGGCCAGTGTGCTACTCATGTTGCACACACTTCCGCTTTGGGTAACGTCGAAAAGGCACTGTCCGATACCTTGGGGCAGAGGCCTGAGGCATACTGACAATGGACGACATCGTATCCGCGGACAGAGGAGCTTCTGCCATCCCAGCGTTGTGCATGCCACTGCTGCAGCAGAGCACAGTCCTCTGGACGGATCAGTGCACGAGCACTTGGTTTGCCGATCTCATAGGTTCGATCGATGCAGTACCTCGTTCACCCGTACGACGACCCTAACGGATGTAACAGGGTGGCTAGGTTGCCTTGGCTGCAGGCTTCCTGTTCGCCTAGATACTGGTGTGTCCGGAGCCAGCCAGTCACCTTATCGAGGGGTCCTGCAAGATGGTAAGGTCGCCACTGGTGCTGACAGCCTTGGCCATCATTGGTATGCCAACCATGCCCGGACTGCATGCACTATGCATGGGAAATCCCGTCGACCTTCACTCAGCTGATCATTTCCCGCTCTTTCCTGCCGCAATCGTCCGTGCTAGTAGCGATCAGGCGAGTCGTTCGTCAGCGGGCAGGCATGTCTTGCGTAGGTACGGCTAGCCAGGAAGTCAATGCGTGAGGTCCCTCTCATGGCTCCCACACCTACCACTTCAGGCCCCGGTCAGACGAGCTAGGTTCAACCAAGCCTATCTCCGCTCTGTGACGTGGCAGTCTGAGTATGGTGGACCGGAAAGGCTATCTGTGGGCTCAAAATTATAATCACCAGCTTGAGTTCATTCTTCGCGTACGTTGGCTTTGCAAGGTATTTTCCGCTGCACGAAAACGACCATTGTACCCGAGCCAGCCTTCCTCCGAATTCTCAGGTGTTTCAAAACACTTTTAGAAGCAGGCAGCGTCAGTACAGTGTGGTGAAACCACTGTTCAAACATTTCTCATCTGAACCTGGAGCCAGCACCGGTCGATAGAGACCAGTATACGGCACTGCGAAGCGGCCGAGCGACGAAACGCTGCCGCAACACGATTGATGCTCGAGCCGCTAACTTCTCTTGCTCAGCCACTCCTTCTACCGAGGACGATGAGCGACCAACGAGGGTTCGAGCCGATATTGTGCTGCATATTCGTGCGAGAGGGAGGCTGGGGCAAGGAACTGACGTCGCTGCATGCAGCAGAAGACGTCTCTGCAGCTGAGATGGTCCTAGCTCACGATATCTCTGATGAAAAAAGGAGTGGCATCTGCCGCGAAGTAACGGCTGCCACTAGCAGCACCAAGTTTCGCCATTGGACAGTTGAGCATGATTTATCGAACAATCAGGTGAGGTTGCGGAAGATGAGACGAGGAGGCTGACGTCCGAATTGGCTCCGGCTGTGCCTGCAAGTCGGGCACCCGCGTCCGGTCACGGGGTTGAAACGTAACGCTGCTGTGTGGGACTGGTAGCCACACAGCCAGCAGAGTTCTACGGCCAGTCGCAGCAATTGTTTTCCACCTGATGTGCTCGGAGGTGCGGGTTTGCTTGGCTAGCTAGTTTGTGCTGCCGCCAGGTCATTGGATGAGCTGTCAACATCTAGCCGGACCAATGGGCGAAAGTGATACATGGCGGCGGAGCTTGACATTGGCCGCAGACTGCTGTACCTTCGCCAGACGAGCATGTATGCTCGTGCTGCAATCCTACCCTCAGTGCATTCGTTGGCAGTGCATGAGTCGTAGGCAGACGGAATTACACTGCGGCAGCTCACTTTCAATTTTGCAAGACTAATTTGTGATTGGCGGTCGTACGGTCGGCTACCAAGTACGGAGATGCTCTTGGTAGCAATTCCAGCTCCTTAAGCTCCAGTGAAATTGATTAGACAGTCCTGTTACATAAGGCCGATGCAGGAGGATAGCGGCCGGGGAAGTGGAGGTCCTCGTACGCGCGCGCAGTTCAAATGTTCGCTCTCACTGTCTCGGTAGAATGGATTATGGTGTTTGGTCATATCGCTTCCCCAAGCACATGCCGTGGACTTGGGTTGTTGCCGGGCGGCTACAGCAGTGAAGACAACACAAAGTGCGGGAGGTCTGAGACAGTAGGTGGAATTGGCCCGTGCCTGATGGCGCATACCAGTACCAAGAAGGTCACCATCTGGCATCCTGAGCTTCATCTGCCTACATGTATTCGCTACAGGATAGCAAGGCAAGGTGATGACGGAAGTATCGCTCCTGCCACCCAGGCAGTTACTTGACTTACCAGATGAATTGCTGCTTCGCATACTATACTTTCTTGACGTACCGGAACTGCTGTATACGTCCAGAGTATGCTGCCATGTACACGTTCGTATGGCAAGGGGACTGATACTGATATGGGCAGACCTCACATCAGCTACGAACGCTGTCATTCGATCCCTTGCTGCATAGATTGAGACTGCAATACTACCATACCCGTGTCAACCATCTTCTGAACAGAAGGCCGCCATTGCAGACCTTGCAACCACCCAGCTCAACGATCTACCTGAGCAGGACTCACGTAGCTGCTCGCCGACTTCATTGGTCGCTAGTCTGTATTCGCTTGAATCGCTCTCTGACCAGACGGCCAAAGCTTTCTACCCTGATATCGGCGAATATCCTACCAAAAGAGTGCTGCAGGTACGATCGACGGTCTGGCGAGGTTATCTGGGGACAAGGCGTGGCAGGGGCGCTTGTGGAGCGGAAGAGGCGGGTAGAGCGAGAGTATCTGAGAGAAGGGCTCCGCGTATGGCTGGAACGCAAAGCAGATCAGATCAAGGCTAGACAGAAAGATGCGGTAGGTGGTGTGGGCGTGCTTGTGTGGCGATTCTCCAGAAAGATGAAAATGAGTGAGGCCAAACGCACTGCTGAGTCGTGGCGGGAGAGGCCAAGGAAGGAAAAGGTCACGGGACTAAAGAGGTTCTGGGAGGAAATGAATGGTACACCAGACATTTTGTAGGATGAACCGTCTGGACTCCCTTGGTGTCAGCAGGCATTTGCGTTACCCTCCAGTCTATCTATCCTGAATGTTCTAGCTCGAGACATCAGAGGCTCAGGCACCCGACTTCCTCTCTACGACAGATGAAGTCGACATGTCATGCTTCGTTCTCAATTGCATGCCTAATTCACTGGAGGTCTTGCAGCGAGAAAATACGACAACCGCGCGACACAGGTCAGACCTCCTGATAACGAGAACGGGCCTCGTCAGCCTATTGTGCACCTTGCAAGTAGTGCAATGTGAAGGACAATTTTGCGTGGAGGGAATGGTGTGGGAAGTCAATCGCATTCAGGTTGGTCTGTGTCAAAGATGGCAGTTCGCAGGACTACATTCTTGATAATGCTCGGACGTGATCTGTCTACTGCAATGATGGTTTCACAGTTGTCTCTGGAGGAAGGGTGGGATAGAGTTCAGCAACAGCTCAAGAACGGTAGAGAAATAGCCCTGTGCAAGGTCCACGACTGTCGCATGCCGATCGACTTGCATCGCTTGAACATATTCATGATGCAGATGGATCACTAATGCGACCATCCATCCTCCGCCATCGAACGACGTCAGAGCAACAACCCCTCCTGCGGCTCCACATGCTGATCTTCTGCGAGAAGCTATGAGGCTATTACAGACTTTCGGACAATCTCTGTCCTCCAATACAGTATTACACCTTCGCTCGTACAAGACGCCTCCCGCCGCCATGTACTCGCCATTGTCACAGCTTCACCATGGCTGCCACTATAATCCTCCAGATTGCTGCCGGCGCCGCACTGGTGCAAGCACGTCCAAGCCAGACACTAGATAGGAGAGTGAACAATGGTCTTGCCCTCCGGCCACCCATGGGCTGGGATAGCTACAATCACTATGCTTGTATACCGAACTCATCAATCGTCGAATCGAATGCCCAAGCGCTAGTAGACCTCGGACTGGCTGATCTTGGGTATCATTATGTAGGTGTTGGCACAAAGGCCTGCCATGAGATCCTTTAGACAAGCTAATCATGCTACCGACAGGTTATCACGGATTGTGGCTGGACGGTACCAGATCGTACGGCTAATGGCACATTGACCTGGAATGAGACTTCCTTTCCCGATGGCTTTCCTGCCATGGGTGAGTACATCCACAGCCTAGGCCTTGGCTTTGGTGCATATTCCGATGCTGGAATACAGATGTGCATGAATGGCCTACCTAATCAGACAGGGAGTCTGTACCACGAGGATATGGACGCGCTGACGTTCACGTCATGGGGTGTGGACTTACTGAAATACGACAACTGCTACAGCGACAAGGATGCTGGCTACCCCGATGCAGACTACAACCCGAGCTCACCACTGGCATTCCGGTTTGAGACAATGAGGGACGCCCTCGAGAAGACTGGACGTGACGTACTATACCAAGTCTGCGAATGGGGTCTAGACTTTCCGAGTGCATGGGCGCCAGCAGTAGGCAATACCTGGCGTATCACCAACGACATCATACCAGCTTGGCGGACGATCTGGAGACAAATCAATCAATTTGTACCATCTGCTTCGTATGCTGGGCCCGGTCAATGGCCAGATTTGGATATGCTCGAGGTCGGCAACGACATCTTTACTGAGGCTGAAGAGCAGACGCACTTCACTTTCTGGGCTATGGCGAAAAGTCCTCTGGTCATAGGATGCGCGTTGAACGATACCATGACACATGTCAATCCTTCGTCTCTTGCCATCTTGAAGAACGCGGACGTGATAGCGTACAACCAGGACGAGCTTGGCGTAGCCGCAAACCTATCTAGACGATATTCGGACGCAGGTCTTGACGTCTGGTCAGGTCCATTGAGTGGTGGTCGGACAGTCGCGGCGCTGGTGAATTGGAACAATAATACCGTCGATGCTGCCCTGACACTGCCAGACATTGGCTTGCAAAGTGCCGGGAGAGTCAAGAATATCTGGTCAAACACTTCTGCGGCAGATGTGGTCACATCATATCCCGCTCAGATAGCGCCCCACGGCACACTTTTGCTGGAACTGGGCGACACGACTCCATCTGGCGTGTACAAGGCAGATCGCTGTGCTCGTATGCACGATTTAGGCGTAACATTCCCCAATGTTTCCGGCATTACCGATAGTGCAGCATACACACTCACCATATATGCGCAGAGTCGTCCTGGTTACTGTGAGCTGGAGGTCAGCACCTCTGCCTCCTCTATAAAGACAAAGGTTCTACTCCAGGGAGGATCGGCGACTGTCCATATTAGTCTTCTAGCGGGCATCAAAAACACCATCACCATCGGCGGTAGTCACGAAATCTCCTCGGTCCACGTTTCACCACCACATGACACTTTCTACCCCAGCATTGCCTTTACGACCTCCGGCATAGCTTCGCACTACAATTGTACTCCTGGCTTGTGTGCACCTGTTGGCTCCAAGATCACAAATCTGGCTCAAAACGGGTCTGCTAGCCTTAGCATTCCACGGGCAAGCCACGCCGTTCCTGGCTCTCGCTACGTTGAGATCACATACATCAACAATGATGTAGCAACAGCTACATCGTGGGGCTATGGCACGAACACACGCAACATCACGATCGCAGTCAATGGCGCTGCACCAGTCCGCCTTGAAGCACCACTGTCTGGTCGTAGTAGCGAGCTCTTCTCACCCATGAAAGGCTGGGGTGATCCTGCCACCTTGGGTGTCCTTGTCAGTGGCTTTGGTGACGGCAAAGGGGAAGATGCGATTGTTGTTGGAAACGCCAATGGCGATGCTGGATATCAGGCTTATGGTGCCGACTTTGTTGGGCTAAGGATATTCTAGACCTCGACTGTCATCTGCAACGGAGGAGATTGTGGTCCCTGAGCGACCTATTCCGCTGAACCTGCCAATAGCTCTGGGCTGTAGCCTCGTCTCGTGAATAAGACAAGACGTAAAGATGCCATGAGCATAACGCAGCAGGTAGCTTGCCGCCTGGAACTCCCACTTTTGCACCCCAACTCTTGCATCGGTGCACCTCTTCACTCTGCATTCGCTATTAACACTCTCATCATCACGAAAGTAACCCAGCGCTTTCGCTCGGAATCTGTACTTGGACGCCATCGCTTGGTAGCGCCCAGTCGGACACCTTCACTTTCACGCGTCACTTCCACTCATTCACCTGCACAACCCTCACTGACTTCACCCTGAAGCTAAAACTGCGGCACTGCAGACGATATAAGACTGCCTTCCCATTCAGCCACGCACCACGTACCTCCCCAACACTGAACAGCCGCGAAGAAGATACCCATACTTTCCAGATTACAAAACACTGTTGATATACACCTCCATATCAATATGCCGCCAACGCCCCCTCCTTACGAAGCCAAAGTCATCGAGGCTGCAGATGAATGCCCTACAACGGCCAAATCCAGCAGAGACGTGTCCAAGGACCATCTCCTCGCCCGCGTGAAGAAATGCCTGAACACCGCGAAGGACACAGGCGCCACAGAGAACGAGGCCAAGGTCGCACTACATCTGGCCTCCAAGCTTGTGACGCAGCTCAATATGACGCACGCAGAGGTGCTCGCGCTCGAGAAGCCAGAGGACCAGCAACATGCCGGACAGAGCGTGGTCGCGCTGACTCGCCGCGATGGCGACCCTACGAAGTCAGTCCAGCAAGCCTACAGGCTGAATGAGCTCACCCACGCCATGCGGCTTTTCTTTGACTGCAAATGCTTCACCGAATCTGGAATGCGGGCCTTCAAGATCTCCTTTTATGGCATCGCGGAGAACACAGTTGCTGCGGCCAACGCCTTTTGTATGGTATACAATCTCGTGCAGATGTGGTCCCGTGAGCACAAAGGCAGGACCGCCCAGAATAGTTACTGCCATGGCGTTTCCGTTGGGTTGCAGCGCACGGGGAAGCTAGAGAGAAAGCAAGAGGAAGCTTATGCTGAAAAAGCCGAGCAGGAGAGAGCACGGTGGATGTTCGAGGCCAAGCACGCTGGAGATGCAGTCTCTGTAGACGAGAGTCTGGGCGAACGCAATGGGTTTGGCGAAGAGGACTTTGTTTCAGAGTCGGAGATCGCGGACTTCCACGAAGTAGATGGCCAGAGCTACGACGAAGCCGCAAATCTCAACGATGCCGGGTTCGATTCTCATATGAAGAGTCTGGTGGCAGATCTGGACAAGAAGCCTGCCTCTGCGCAACTCAAGCAGCGCCAGAATCGTGGGACGAAGACGGAGGACCTCTGCATTTGGGCATCGCACAAGCAGCTTGTGGTCTTTCGCAAGACAGCCAGTGACATCGCAGACAAGTACCTGGAGAGCCGGGACATGAAGCTGGGCAAAGCACAAAAGCGCAAGGCTGCCAGTCTTGATCAGAGGGCTTTTGCTCAGGGCAGGATGGATAGCAAGAAGATCGATGTGCGTCAGAGGAAGATGCTTGGTGAGTAGGATGAGGGCTGGCCGGTGCTGGGCTGCAGGTCTCCAGACACGAGGTACTAGTGCGGCCGATGCGACGTGGTCCGCATGCCTCAATCTTGGTGCGGCAGCAGAGCACATTTGGGAATAGAGATCTTTGCTTGTAGCTGGACGGCAACTTGGCGAGGTGATAGCTATGCATCCGTGAGCAGCCCAGCAGAGAGATGTACGCGTTGAGATCTTGGGTATATAGATTGACGCTATATAGCCTAAATGACTAAACACACTGATTGTACTTTTCGTGATGAGCTAAGCACGGCTCCATGTTGTTGCCGATATTGGCCGTCTTCAGCCTTACATTCATACCGTGTTGAGTCACTGTTTCATGATCTGTAGGAATCTGCAGGCGTGCGGAGATACCCCCATGCATGGAGGATACATGTTGTAAGCTGGCAATGTGCCGTTGTGACATTTGGGTGCTACTGCTGTCCTGTGCTAATCGGATCGAGACCGCGGACCAATCTTACCAAGTCCATCTCGTGGCTGTTTGTCAGTAACAGAACAATATGCCTAGCCCGGAGACGATTGATCCTCAAGCACACAAAGCTTGTGCCCATTGTCGCTCCCAGAAAGTACGATGCATACCAGACGAGGCGAATCCTGATGCCTGTTCGAGATGTACGAAGGTTGGACGGCCATGTATCTTCACACCCTTGCAGAAGCGCAAGCAGCGTAAGCGCACAGATACACGGGTGGCAGAGCTCGAAAGAGAAATGCGTACGATGAGGTCTATGCTGAAGGAGAAAGAGAACGGTGCCAAGACCAGCCCAGCAGGATCAGGACAAGAAGGCACGCCTGGACTGTGGTTCACGCAGAATATAGCCTCTGCTCGGCCTTTGCAACAGTCGGTATTTGCAGAGCACCAGCCCTGCGAGCAGATCAGGCACCCTGCCGCCTCCAAATTGTGGCCGGATCGTCTTGCAGATTATCCAGAATTGAGCAAGCGCGATGTCATAGACCGAGGGCTTCTGTCTATGGCGACAGCGAGACAACTCTACGAAACGTACGAGACCGACCTGTTTCCGCACTGGCCTCCTGTACCCGTACCTGCAAACATGTCCGCGGACGATATGCGTGTAGCTCGTCCTGCGCTGTTTCTGGCTACCCTCGCCGCGGCGGCTGGGAAGGAGAACAGTGAGCTTGCGGCCACGCTTGACAAAGAGGTGCTGGATATGTATGCTACCCGCAGTCTAATGCGGTCGGAGAAGAGCCTCGACCTGATTCAGGCTCTTTTGCTCTCGGCTGTCTGGTATCATCCGCCTTCAAAGTTTGGACAACTAAAATACTACGAGTACATCCACATGGCGGCGACAATGGCTATGGATATTGGCATCGGTACAAGGCCTACTGTGACTCGAAGTCGCTTTGGGAATGCTGATCGAGGGCGTGAGCCAGCCAAGCAGGCAATGGTCCACGCCGTGCACCCTGCCGAGGACACCTCGAATCCAGATCTGAGTATGACACCACGATCACGGAACCAAAGCCCTCACACTGGAAGCTTAGAGAGCAGACGAACATTCGTGGCCACGTACATGATCTGTGCCGGCGTATCGTTATCGCTCCGCAGACCGAACATGCTCCGCATAAGCAGCTATGTTCGAGAATGCATCACCTTCTTGGCACGCAGTCCGGATGCGTTACCCACCGATCGGCTACTGGTTCACTGGGCCAGATTAGTCGTTATAGCAGAAGAGATATCTGTAGCCTTCAGTTATGACGACCTAGGCGGTGTAGCTTCTATCACCGAGCTTCGCGTACAGCTGATGTTGAAAGACTTTGGGCACAAGCTGAACGTGTGGGCGGCAAGCGTGCCTGTAGATGAAAGCAACGGGGACATGATGATCATGTACTGGTTTGTCCGGCTGTGCCTGCACGAAGTTGCACTGCATGTTGACCACTCTCCGGAGGACTTCATTGCACCATATCAGATGGGGCCCATCCAGGAATGGGAAGGTGTCGGAGAAATACCGACGCAGATCCTGGCTGAATGTATCTCGGGGTGCATATCCAGTTCACATGCTTTGCTGGAATGCTTCTTCACTATGCCGCCAGAGTCTCTTCGCGCGATGCCGGTCTTCAGCTATGTCCGCGTGTCCTTTGCGGCATTTGTCCTGGCTAAGCTATGTCTTTCAGCGTCGCATCCAAGGAGTCGCATCGGTCGAGTGCTTGACAAGTCTGCGCTGAAGGCAGATAGCTACATGGATCGTGCGGTACTGCACGTACGGAATATCGTTGGTACGAAGAGATCTCGAGTTCCGGCCATCTTTCTTGCGTTGCTGTTCAAGCTAAGACAATGGTGTCTGAATCCTGAAATGCTCGAGCAAACAGAAGGGTCTGGTCCCGATGCCATGGAGCCGTACAACAATCTTCGCAATGGCGGCGCACTGCCCGAACCTACCACTGACGCGTTGGAGCAAGATGGCCACAAACAAATAACAGAGCTGTATGGAGGCAGCGTCAGTGGAAGTGTTAGTAGCGAGGCCAGCCCAGGCTCAGGAGACCTTCCCTCGCCTCAGCAAGCATTAGGCGGGCCCGGTAGAATGGCTGTCTCGGAACAGCAGCCTACTCCCATGTCTCAATCGCATGGAGGTTTATACCAACCAGGCACATATGACACACAGCATAGCCAAGCAGGCATACCTAGCAATGGTTCTGAACAAGAGCCCAACGAGATCGACCTTATGCAGCTCGATCTTGACTTTGCAAACTACATCGATGAGCTCAATGGCAGCATTGGAGACGGCGATCTGGCAGGTCTCGACGCCTGGATGCCTACTAATATTGCTGGAATAACCATCCCTGAAGACCATGAGGCGATGCACACGAACACTTCCGGCCAGTCACATACTGATACCCTGGGCTATGGCTGGACATGGGATGATACAAGTGCAGGTGCTGGCTGAGGGGTACGGTACTATAGGAGCGACTTCATCATACGATGAACGGATTTCGGCCTCATGCAGTGCTGTAAGAAAGCTATTTTGCTACAATCGTTTACAGAAATATCTACTCTCTGTCACCAGGAAGAATCATCTGGTCTCACAAATGTCCACCATGCAAGCAAAAATGCAAGTCCATCAAGACACACCACGCTTTCTCTGTCTCGGGGGCCTTACCAAGCCGCATGTCGTTGTTGAAATAGCTGTGCAACAACTTGGCAGTCATCCGATTGTCGTCTGGTCTTGCGTACGCCTCGTCTATCTTCAAGCCGGCATCGTCGAGTGCCTGGTCTGTCAACGAGCAGATATCTTTGCCGGCGTCATCTTTGGTGAACAGATGGTCAACGATCTCGCGCAGGAATTCAGCGAGCTCGCTGCAGAAGAGACGAAACTGCTCGTTCTTCTCCATGGCTTCTCATGTGTCCTCCGAGTCGTCTTCATAGTCCGGCATCATCTTAAAGTCGGCCATCATGGGATCGTACCAGGCCTGTAGCTGCTTCATCTTGTCTGCGATCGATCGATCGATATCTACGTCCGTCTGGACGGCCGGGAAAGCGCTTTCTGAAGCCGTAGCAGAAGCTGTATCTTCTTCAAGACAAAGAGCGGCTTGCGTTTGAGCTGTGGGAACCAGACTGACGCCATATCAGGCTGAGAAAGCCGTTCATGTGAGCTTGATAAATATTGGGCAACTTCGACCAGTCAGGAGTACCAGGAGTCCCATCAACCGAAGATAAGACGGCGATCTGTTGTAAAGTCATCGCCGCAGATCTCGCCCAGTCCATAACCTCGTCCCGACCGAAGATGGCTGCGATAACAGCCTCAAAGCTCTCACCAGTAGTCTCCAGACGGCGTGCGTAGGCCAGAATCATGTCCAGACGAGCATATACGAGCACCAAAGCATTGTAGGCCGTCTCAAGCGGATTGACGGGATGATCAGGAGCAGTAGAAAATTTCTCTGGCTGAGCTTGTGTGTCAATCGCTGTCGTGTCGGCCTCTGATATGGTTTCAGCAACCACAGCAGTAAGGATAGCCTGATCGGATGGCAAAACAGCTCTGCGAAGTCGAAACTTGCTTACGCTCGTCTTGCTGCAAGCCAGAAGAAGACGACGACCCTCCTCGTCGAATTTAAGTTTCCGCTGTGTTTCCTCAGCCCTGATCTGTCGTCTCAGCCCAAGCCAGCGCTGGTATCGACTCTCACTCATCTGATCCCGATCCTCCTGCTCCGCAATGTCATCCTGATCAGCCACTTCTCCGGGATTCTTATCAACAGCAACGAATCTACCATCACCAAGCGCTTCCTCGCCGCCGCCTCTTCCACCACCGAACACCCCAGCCAGACGACCCAAAAGCAGTCCAGGAATACCAGTAACCGAGACAATCAACCCAGTCAAAACAATCCCACTGAAGAACCACCCCAGGAACGAACGCTCATTCCTCCAGTCCAAAGCCAGACTGATCCACCACGCGATCCAAGACCAGACTGGCGCCTGCCGGTGTAAGATCCCCGATTGCGAGATGTGTGACATCTTAGTGGCGGCCATTACGATACCGGCACGAGACCAGCTCGTTTGCTGAGATATCGTAGTGATGAACGGTAGGATCTCTGCTGTATGTGATATGATAGCGGTACTGATGGCGAGTATGCTAACTTGGGAATGCTGTCGTTGCTTCGAGATCCTTCTGTGCTGATGATTGTAACTGTACGAGAAAAAAAGATATTCGCGAAAGAGAAGGAGAAAAGTATTTGTCCAGATATAGGGACAGACGATGAGAAACGAGTGACAATAAGAAGAAGTATGTGTTATACAGCAGCCTACCCACTTCTCAATGAGATGGATAGGACAGTATCATTGTTCCATTATATACAAGATAAAGTGAAGCGAAGTGAATGCTCTCCACATCATATATGTAGCTCCGCCAAGCCTCGCCAGCCCAAGCCAAGCCAAGCCAGGGCAGGAGTGAAGTGAATGTGAGAGGACGACCCGCACGGCAAAATGTCTCACGCAACGCACATCAAAGAAAGGTCCGTGTATGCATGATCTACCTCCCCAACTTCATCATGATGGCCAGAGTCATGCAGAACGTGATGCACTGCAGCGCAAGAGACTCGCAGGCATGCACGCAGGCAGCGGGAGACCCAATAGAACACAGAATGGGACCGGACAGAGGTTAAAGAAGTAGAACAAAGACGAGCAAGTAGCAGGATATATCTAAACCTCCCCACTAGCAGCACGCAGGCAGAGACCAAATTCGACCCAGTCTAGCAAGCAAGCAAGCAAGCAAGCTAAGCAAGTATACATCTCGAAAACATACACTGCACACCTACCAACCACCTCCCTCGCATCTCCACAGCACACACCCTCCTCACAACCTCTGCCTCCCTCCTCAGACCTAGAGCTCATCATGCCCACTCGGCTCATCATCCCCATAATCGGGCATCCCCCCGGCGCCCCCAGGACCGCCCTCATAAAGCTTACTCGTAATGGGATAAGCGACATCACTCAGCTTCTGCTTCTGCTCCTCAAACTCCTCCGCCTCGGCCGTCTGCGCGAACTCCTCCAACCAATCCTGCGCCTCCTTCACCGCCTCCATAAGCGTCTCCTTATCGTCCTCGTCGATTTTCCCTCCAAGCCCCTCGTCATCATTGACCTGGTTTTTGAGGGAGAAAGCGTAGTTCTCTAGTCCATTGCGGGCTTCGATGCGCTCACGGGTGGCTTTGTCCTCGTCGGCGTATTTTTCGGCTTCGGCGACCATACGTTCGATTTCCTCCGCACTCAAGCGGCCCTTGTCGTTTGTGATGGTGATGGATTCACTCTTACCCGTGCCCTTGTCGCCGGCGCTAACACGCAAAATCCCGTTCGCGTCGAGCTCGAATGTGACTTCGATTTGAGGCTGGCCGCGTGGGGCGGCGGGGATACCGTTAAGTTCGAATTTACCGAGAAGATTGTTGTCCTTCGTCATCGAGCGCTCGCCTTCGAAGACCTGGATCAAGACTGTCGGCTGGTTGTCGGCGGCTGTGCTGAAGATTTGGGATTTCTTGGTTGGGATCGTGGTGCCGCGCTTGATGAGGTGGGTCATGACGCCGCCGGTAGTCTCGATGCCGAGGGTGAGGGGGTTGACGTCCATAAGGACGACGTCTTTGGCCTGAGAAAAATGAAAGTCAGTACAAGATCATGCATGCAGGGACGAATTTGTCTCACCTCCTCCTCGCCAGAGAGCACACCACCCTGAACAGCCGCACCATACGCGACAGCCTCATCAGGGTTGATACCCTTGCTAGCCTTCTTGCCGAAATACTCCTCAAGCATGGCCTGCACCTTGGGAATACGAGTAGAGCCACCGACAAGTACAATATCATCGATATCGCTCTTCTTGAGCTTGGCGTCCTTCAACACCTGCTCAACGGGCTTAAGAGTCTTCTTGAACAGGTCATTGTTCAGCTCCTCGAACTTGGCGCGGGTCAGGGTCTCGGAGAAGTCCTCGCCCTCGTGGAAAGCCTCGATTTCAATCTTGGTGCTCATCTGGCTGGAAAGCGTACGCTTGGCCTTCTCGACCTCACGCTTGAGCTTACCCATCGTCTTGGCGTTCTTGGCAATGTCGGTGTCGTGCTTCTTGTTGTAGGACTTGACGAAGAAATCCATGACGCGCTGGTCAAAGTCCTCACCTCCCAAGTGGGTGTCACCGGCGGTAGCCTGGACCTCGAAGACACCTTGGTCGACAGTTAGGATGGAGACATCAAAGGTACCTCCACCAAGATCGTAGACGATGATTTGGCGTTCCTGGTCGGTCTTGTCGAGGCCGTAGGCGAGGGCGGCGGCAGTGGGCTCGTTGACCACACGGAGGACGTTGAGACCGGCGATGGTACCGGCATCCTTGGTAGCGGCACGTTGAGCGTCGTTGAAGTAGGCGGGGACAGTGACGACCGCGTTAACGACCTTCTCGCCTAAGTAAGACTCGGCGACCTCCTTCATCTTGCCGAGGATCATGGAGGAGACCTCTTCGGGGGTGAATGTCTTCTGCTCGCTGTGGTGGTGTCAGTAGGTAGCCTTGCAATCCCCAAATCATGCTCCGAACTCACCCCTTGACCTCAACCTGAACACGTGGCTGACCATTCTTGTCCACGACCTTGAAGGGAAAGTGCTTGATGTCCTTCTGCGTGTCCCGATCCGAAGTCTTGCGCCCAATCAATCGCTTGATGTCGAAGACGGTTCGGTGCGGGTTCGAGGCAAACTGATTCTTGGCGGCGTCACCGACTAATCGCTCGTCGTCATTCCAGGCGACCCAGGATGGTGTGATACGGTTACCCTGGTCGTTGACCAAGATTTCGACCTTGCCGCCTCTCATGATACCAACACAGGAGTATGTCGTTCCGAGATCGATGCCGATGACTGGGGAGAAATCACATGTTAGCCTGTGGTTGGGCTTAGGGGTTCATAGGAGATACTGACCAGGTCCAGAAACAGCATTGCTGTCCTTGAGAGGCTGCTCAGTGTCCTGGGCATGTGCGGAAGGAATCATGCCCATGAAGAGCATGGGAGCGAGGAGGATGGCGCCGATGTAGAAGAGGGTCATCCATGGGGAGACGCTGGGTGGGGATGCCCGCTTATTCCGTGAGAACCTCGCCATCGTGACGGTGTCTCTGGTGTGTGTGTGTGTGTTAGTATGTGAGAAGCTCAATCAAGTCAGTCGATGGACTCGGTAGTGGAGCTGGTCCAACTGTGGTGGTAAAAGGAAGCTCAGTCAATGAGCTTTGGAAGGGAAGAGGAGGGATTAGGTGGTTGGGTGGGTTGTGTGGAGGTATGATTGAGTCTCGCTCAATTGCACCCTCGGAAATGTTTATAAAGAAGCGTTGCTCGAGGCTAAATGTGGCCTCTTGTAGCAAACTCCAGCTGGCACTTTTTTGCCCGCTGAATGGACAACTTTCACATTTGTCGCCGAACCTCATGCGGTAATCTGCTTTCTTGGCAGGGTCCCTTTCACAAGCCGAGCACTGTCACGTGCCACTCTATCTGATGCATCCTCGTGACGTCGCCTCAACTTCGACTACAGCTGTGGTGTGGTGAACGTATACTGTATCTGCACTTCCTAGCACCACGTTCATGATGGCCGCTGCTATCACTGCCAGGCTTTTAGACTGACTGGATCGTGATGTCACGTGGTGTCCGATATGCCGCCATCATCCACCTCATGGAACTGGGACTCCACGCCAGTTCACTGAAGCCACTGTGAACGCTTCGCGAGCCACCACGAGCAGCAGGAAGATGAGCAGCACTTCCCATCTGCTGTTCCGAGGCTCCTGCCTAGGATAGTCGTCGCGAATGTCTCATTTGACATGCTGGAGCACATGGGAGCGGATGGCCAAGGCACTCGTGAGATGTCAGAGAGGCAGCTCATGCAGCTTGTGAAGGCGATCCCTTCGAGTCTGGAGGGCTGGTCCGTTGGGCTGCATCATGTGCTGCTTTTGATGGTGCAGCAGAGATCATGCCGCAAGCTCCATGTAACCGGTAGGGTGGGTAAAACAAGGTCATGTATCAGAATTCCATACTGTCCGAAGTGATGGCATTCAGCTATCGATTGACCATCCATCTACTCCGTACGATCTTTCCCCTACACCCGAGACGTGAAGAATGAGTGTAATGTGCACATGCTTCAAGACAGCTTCCAATATGCGGCTCGAGACTTGCAAGCATGTATATCCATCGACCGGCGCTCACGACATGCTCATATCCCGCCCCTTTCAACCGCAGACTCCTCCTATTAGGTCACCCTTCAAACTCTACTGAACGGTGGGACATATCAGTATCACCAATCCGGCCCTCTCCTGGATCTCTCCCAGTGTGAATGGATCCCACCCACCAAGACGCAGCCCACCCCGTGACCGTCTCAACGTCACCTCACGAAACCACGCTAGCCACTCCTCGGCCCGCAGCGCTGCAACAATAGCAGCCGCAACAACAATAATTCATAGCTATTGATCGATCATCATACAAGAACCTCGAAACTCTCAAGCATCTTTTCCACAAACTTACACACTTGCACACACAAACAGCGACCACATCGCTACGCCACCACACAAACAAACAGCAAGCATACTCGCCGCCAGCACCATCACACCACACATCACCGCCAGGGAACGGCACAGCGCAGGGTGTACTACAGCTAGTATCCCACCGGCATCATACCAGAAAGTAGAAGGTACCTTCACCGCCATCTATACCACACCACAACCAGCTAATAGAGATAATAGCCCCTCGAGCTCAGCTATCCCAGCGGCAGGGACCATACCAAGAGCTAGTATGGCGGTCGCCACCATGACGACCACCGACTCCTTCTGCGAGAAGCACTTCCTCGGCATCGTCATCTTCATCACTTCTTTCTCTCTCTTCTTCTTCTCCTCCATCGCCGACGACAGGAATATCCTCGTTCGTCAAATCGCTCCGGTCGTCTCGCTTGTGGACCTCTACTTGATCTTCTTCAGCAGGCAGGCAGTGACGAAAGTCACCAGCACCGTCACCTCCCCGTCTCCGCCTCCGCCTCCACCGAAGCAAGATGATCCCGCTCCGTTCTGGCAGCTCTCACCATTGACGAAGACTGTGCTTTCAAAACCCTCTGGTGAGTTCCAAAAGAACAGGAAGAAGGTCGAGGCTAGTCAGCGGCAGCGTCTGGTCGAGGAAGGAGAAGGCGTCCCAGCTAAGCAGACGACTTTCCGCACGCCACCGAATCTTCGTCGGGCTGCTGTGCTGAGAGCAACGTATGCAGAAGCAGGATGGCATAAGTCTACTGCTCCCATTCAGGCAACTCCTCCACCAGTGCAGACGACTTCCACGGCTACAGCAGCAACCACACCCGCTCCAGCTCCAACCACTTTCCCAGCGGTAACGACCCCCGTTGTACCACCAAAGGCCGCTCACATCAGTTTTGAGAGCAATAAGGCGCCTGAGAAGATCACCAGTGGAGTGTTCGGCAAAACCAAGGCTTTCCCATATGGCACGAGACTTTATGCCGTTCACACGAATATGCATGAGCAGATGGACGCCCAGTATCCTCGCTACCTCGAGACGGCGGAGTCGTTCAGCGGTTTTGGCGACTCTTTGCCTGGCAAATGCAACTATTGCGACTACGAGATCCCTCTCCAGACCGAACGCAAGTACATCTCCAATATCATGGCTCGCATCCACTTCTGGAAAGATACCACCACAGCAGAGCTCCAGGCAGGAAAGATCAAGGCCACCAGTCTCCAGATCGGCCAAGACTTGGCTACCTATCAGCCACTCAATTGTATGGCAGAGGAGATCACCGCCTTTTGCTTCTTCATTGTCCTCTGGTGCACCAAAGTCGACCCTACAAACACCCCAAAGCGCATCCCAGATCTTCTGAAGCTGCAGATCCGCGATCTGGAAGCTTTTGGCCTAGACGGCCCTAAGCTGACTGCTCTCACACACCTGTTCTTCCAGATCTGCCAGGACTATACCAATTATGCTGTCAAGGAGTACACGGACGCTTTGCAGACTTTACAGAAGACGAAGGCTTTCTTTGGCGGTTGGCCCGATACTGCACGACGTTCTGTCTCCGGCATGAAGCCTGTAATTGCCTCTCTTCTAGTGCAGAGTGAATTCTGCCAGATCCAGAATTTTGGCGATGTCCGTACGACCGTGCTGCTGGCTGCTGCCGCTGCTGTTGAGAGCGGTATGGGCAAGGATTATGGAACTTCACAGCAGAACGGGGTCGCGCATCCAGTATTGCCTGTTCCAGGCAGTGCCTATGCATGCGACATTTCGTCTTCGAGCTCGCACGTCTGGCCACGGACTCAGTATGACGCTGCATCAGCCACGCCTGCACCGGGCCGCACTTTGAAGAGCAGTATTCAATCTTCGAAGCCTTACGCCGCGTCACAAGCTGAGTATGCCGCTACACCAGCCGTGCCTGCATCGAGCGTCACTTTGAGAGATAATGGTCCGTCCTCGAACCGATTCGCCTTACCATTGACTCACCACGATGCTGCACCAGCTGTGCCTACACAGGGCAGCGTCTTGACGAGCACCAACTATGGTCAAGCCTCGATAGCGTCCGACACTTCCGTCGCTACCAACCAGTATCAGGAAAATGGTCGGAGCAAGAAGAGTAGAACTGGAGACCCCGCAGCTAGCACTGGTACTAGTAACTCGGGCAACACTTTGCCAAGTCAGCACTTTCGTACCCAGTCGAGCGCTGGTCCGCTGGCTGCTGCTGTGCCATCGCGTACTCCTCAGCCAGCCACAACGCCCGCAAACACGGCCAAAACAGCCAGTGGTTCTAGTCTGCCTGGCAATAGTGAAGGCTTGACGAGCGGCTACAGTCAGGGTCGTCTAAACATCCTGGCACCACCATCTGGGACCAGATCTCCGCAGCAACCGAATACGATCGAATACTCTGAAAAGAAGCTCAACGACTGTGATGGCCTGGGCCAGACTTACGACGAACTGCGGTATATACTCAAGACCAACATCAACGACCTGGGTAAGAAGAGATTCTCGGGCGTCAATCTCCAGGATGACGCTGAGCTGAAGAGATTGATCGTTAGCTTCCGGAATTGGTGGGCCGTGTTCGCGAAGTGGTTGAACTATGATCACCCTGATGCGCCGAGTAGCATGGCGCGGCTACCCAAGGACATTCATTCTCGCGGTCTGGTCTTTCCCGATGAATTGCGGAGCAATTACGACGATGTATGGCAGAAAGTGAACGCTGCTGCGCCCTACAATGAGAGGTGTAAACAGTTGCTGCTGGCTTGGGCTCCTATCCATCAGTTATGGAATTCCTAGATATGGCTGCGAAGCAAGGAAAGGAGTCGGGCGAGTGATAAGATTTTACCATGCTATGATGGTCTACGATACCTCGAGTCCAGGCATTACGTGAGAAAGCAAGCTTGAGTGGCGTCGAACACTCTTGGTGGCCTCCGCCTCCATGAGCATCCCAACCAGTAAGCACCGGCTGGATTCAGCACATCAAAGAACGCACTTTCCAGACGATAGAGGCTGGAGCCTTCAAGACTGCTTGAAAAGAGAGTCACAGAGACTACGGCGCTACCAAGAAGGAAGGAACTAGGAAGGGAAGCGAGGAGATGGTGTCGACTTCACAGCAGATGGAGACTGAGCCCCACAAGACTGCTTGAACAGAGCTTTCCAGGGGTTGCAGCACTACCAAGGCAGCAAAGATGGAGGGGTGTGGAGACCCAGTGAACTGAGCGTGTGCATAAGGAAGGTAACACACGGCGCATGCATCCAGGACAGCTACGATACGGCTGTTGTCTGCGCAGACTGCTCGTGCTGAAGATATAAGGGGTAATGTGGTGACCTGCTCGGGCAAGACACGATACGGAGCATGCATTCAGGACAGCTAGAATACAGCTGTTTTCTGCGCAGAGTGCTCGTACGGGAGGACCCTGAGGGAAATTGGCCAGACACTGGAGTTGACGTGGTGAGATGGAGCGAAGAGCAGGCTGGAGATTGAATATGAATGTGTGGATCGCGGCTGGTGTAGGGTGAGATAAGGTTAAGGCATGGTGCTCTGCTTATGGGTTGGCATTCATCGTGACTGTTTTAGTCTCGCACTACTTTTCTGTTTCGAGGGCCTCCCCGTCCATTCGCTGGGCTGAGATTGGCAGCATTGGTTTGAAGCTGTGTATGTCTCTCATGGTCGTATCGTATGCAGCTTTCGGTGGACAGATAATGAGATGAAGGGATCCTCGCGCTCCGTATTGGTACCCACCAACTTCAGGAACTAGATCATGATATTTCATTCCCACTCTGTACAATGAGCTGACGATGTATGAGCATCTCAATTGCGCTACTCGTTCATCTACGAGACTGCTCCAACCGCGCTCATCAGTAGCATAAGTATACCATACATTGCAGTGATTGCACAGCTTTACCTCGCAAGTGCGCACCCAAAATTGCACCATATTCCCGTCCACGTCGCCGTCCTCACAGCAGCATGGCTCTCAGATTAAGGCGATGTTCTTGTCTGGTGTCATCCAGATCAGACCACGATACACCCACCTACAGCTGCAACCATGACGGCTAGATACATCGCTATAGTGCGATCACTACAAGCCTCACCCGTGACACGATTTTCGATGGGCCCTCCCAGCATCAGACCACGGGTAGTGTATGCGAAAGCCGGCTCCAACGGTAGCGTGATTGTGCTCACGGGCCTTGCTATAGTGATATGCTCGCTCTTTGTGACGGCAACTCCGGGTGGCAGTTGACAGCCACTGATAATCGGGGTGCCATCTGGTCGCACAAAGACTACTGGCTTGCCTAGGACAGTCAGAAATGTCATGATCTCAGTGCTGCTTTACTTACATGTAATTCCTGCCGGATGTATGTTACGGCGTGGCGCGAGTGGCTCGTAAGAGAAGGTGGTAGGTGTGTAAGGAAGCAGCGGTTCGTATTGGAAGAATGTCGGAGTGAAGTCGGGCGTAGTTGACTCTGTCACCTAGACAGTTGACATCTCGACCACGACCTCCTCAACCTGTCGCGGCACTATATTGCCAATTTGGATTGGCAAGCTAGTTTCCACTGGCGTTGACTCGTCAAGAGCACGAAAACAAGCTGATCCGGCCACACCACAGAAGTTGATGCCGCCTCCTGTCATCGGCTGAGAGGTTTTGGCGCGTTGCAGCGGAAGGGAGCCCACGACGGTAACGGTCTGATATACCACAACAACCGCCGTCGTAGCAGGTATTGAAGCGCCACTCGCTTTCGAGACACTCGATGTTGATGGCCAAGATAGCGTACCACCAACGAGTGAAGCTGTGACAGTTGAAGGTGTACCGCTTGGAGTAGTCGACCGGCCCTGTGCTGCGCTCAGAGCGGTACTGACGGAGCTTGTCCTTATAGCAGGCGTGACAGAGCTGACACTGCTCATCGTTGAAGATCCAGCAGCCATCTGATAAACGTTGAGGTAGTTGACCTGCCAGTAGGCCTCGGTGAAGGCTTGAGGGTTGCCAGCCACATAGTCGTTACATGATTGCCAGCCCTGGCATGCGAATCAGCAAAAGTACATACGGCGATCGTTCCAACACGTAAAAAGATAAGGTGATGCTCGAGACACTTACATTGGCAGGATCCAGTGCAGGACAAGATTGCTCTTGCCATGTACCACCAGCATACGACCCGCAGAAATCAATGTCGAAAACAAGCTTGTGGTTCATAAAGTGCGCATCAATATCACAGCTTCCCTGGAAGTTCGCCATTGGTACGCCGAATGTAGTTGGATCGGGAGTGCCGGCGGCGATACCAGCTGGAACGGCGTTCCGAGGAAAGAACCAGATCTTGATGGCTGCGGAGGTCCATTCCATAGCATAAACACCGCCACGATTGGCTGAGAACTCGTAGCCGATATTGTTGGGCTTGGTCGCAGAGACACCGCATCCTGTAAACCCGTTTGCAGCCTATAGATTGGATCAGCGATGAGTAAATTCAGCATGTAGAGTCGTACGCACGCTGCAGTCGTCTGTAAGTAGTGTCCCGGTCTGATCAGAGCCAGCTATTGTACAGTTTGGCGTATTGCCGGTGTGCAAAGCCATAAGATTATTCTGCAGGACGTTGCTGTACTCGATGATGTCGATCTCGCCTTGGATGGGTCAGCTTAGCTAAGCCGGGATGGAAGGTGGACTTGCCGCCATATGGCCATGTGCCACTGCCGAGAGACCAGAATGCAGGCCATGTTCCGCACTGATTGGCAGGCATGTGCTCCAGATCAAGGATGAACAGACCATGAGTCCAGCTTTGTCGGCTCGTAAGTCTAATGCTGAGTCGTCCCAGATTGGCGTACGGGTCGAGAACTTGAGTAGTATCCACGCCCCAGCGGGTAGAATTAGCAGTAATATCGATCATACCATGTTGTTGAGCTGTAGCTTGGTCGACGTAGTGGACGTAGCCGATGGTTGGGTCTGCAGAAGTCCAAAAGTCGAAGCCATCAAAGAAGTTTGAGCCTGGAAAGGACGTTTGGAGGTTGTATGGCTGGGACAAGCAAAGAGGAATGAGAAGGAGAGCGAATAGCAGAGACATGTTCGCGAACTGCTGGTGGGCAAAACGAGAGGACAGGGTGGGTGGCGGCGAGTGTTGTAGCTTTCAGGAAAAGCGTGAAAGAACTTTCCTGGTCCGAAAAGCGAATATGATGCTATCCTGCTCGGAGGCAGGCACGTCGCGTGGCCTCGGAAGAGGCATAGTAAGTCCAGGAAAGAGCTCCCGGGCCAGTTGTACCTGTCATCGTGGCAGCTCGAAGATCTCAACACTACCCGTAAGGCCGAGTGGTCGACGGTCACAATCGATCGTAGACCCGTACAACGCGTATGCCTGTGTAGCAATCTCTCACATCGCATACAAACACGAACACAGGAAAGGGCTCACCCTGTCACATCCGCGGTCGTGGCAGGCACGGCAATTGGAACATGTCGGCACCAATATGACGAAAGCTGACGATGTGTATATCGGCATCCTGGCACTGATACGTGATAATGTACGCGGTGGAGACGACAAGAGAAGAAAGGGCGGGTATGATGCGGAGGCGAAGTAGGCGTGATGATCTGCGTGGGTGTGTCAATTTGCAAGGGCAGGACCGATGCTAGCCTTCGATTGTCCAGGACAAACATCCTCTCATTTCATAACCATAGTTTCTAATCATTGCTGGTCTGCAGTATAGCTGTGTATACAGTATAGACTTTTCTTGCACCATGCCAACACGTTAGGCTCGGGTGCAGGCAACCACTCCATCAACTCTCCATCCAGAAACTCCTTGAACTCAAATCGCGTGAGCTTGATCAAAAGTCTCCGGCAGCCACAATCTTATACGTACATAAAGCCACAGACATCTATCGAACCAGCAGATACTATCCTGTTCCTCTCGAGCTATTGATACAAACCTGAACAAGGACAACACAGTCCATCGCAGCGCTACTCAACAGGACTTGTCTCAACATACAATCCAAATCACGATGTCCCCGAGAGAATACCAAGGAAATTGCCACTGCGGCCTGATCAAATACTCCGCGACCCTCCCTGAAGCCCTAGCCCCTGAAGGAACAGGCCAAATAACCCGCTGCAACTGCTCCATCTGCGTAAAGAACGGTAAAGCCACCACTAGTCCCACCACCTCGTCCCTCTCCATACATCCGGGACCCAGTCACGGCATGGCATGGCATGGCATGGCATAGCCTCGAAAGGAACGCTGATCGTGATGCGATGTACAGGCTACTATTTAGTCTACCCCCAACAATCAGACGTCAAATGGGCAGACGGGAGTTTCGACAAAATGAAATCCTACCGCATGGGCAAAGGGAACAAACCCCACCGTTTCTGCCCGGAATGCTCCTCCTCCGTCCTGATAGATTTCAGTCAAGGCGATGATTTGCCAGCAGAGTGGAGGGAACTGTACGCTATAAATGTACATTGTCAAGCCAAGTTCACCATGTGCTCCTCCGGGAAGTGGTCTACCTACGGATTCGTACTAACATGTCGTGGCAACAGGCAGCATTATTCAAGGATATCGATCTGACGAAAGCGAGTATCAAGACGACGGATGGGAAAGGGAAGTTAGAGCCCGCTTATCGGGATCCGTAGATTTAACAATCATGAGACGTGAGCTCCCCGGCATCATGAATTTGCCCGTGAAGTTTACGCTTGATGCTTGATGCTTGATATCCGATGCTTGGTGCTGAGCTATACTAGTTATACTTGTACCGTCCAAAGCAGGCACAGCGGCGGCCCAAGTATGGAAAGTTCGACACAGACACGATCATTGTATCGTCCGTGTGCAGAGCATACCATCCGTGGCGCTGCCCATGTCTTGCAGACGACGACCAGCTGACCGAAGCTTGGTGTCGTTGGGGTGATCCTGCAAGGCAAGGGCAGTCGGCAACGTACCATGAAACGAGTCTTTGACCTCGATCTTTCGTCAAGTGCTGCAGAACCATGCTTGATCCCAGGCTCACTTCCGCCCAATTCATGCTCGACTAGCTCCTCTCACTGCCCCTCAACCTCACAACCTGCCCATACTTCTGCAACTTAGTGATAAGCTGATCGCCCTGTCTGACAACATCATGATACCTGCAACAACCACATTAGCACACTTCAAAAGCCACTCAAACACTCCAAAAGGACAAGACTTACTGTCCGCCCTTCCCCTGTACCCTCTCCATCTCCACCACCCCCTTTACCCGATCAATACTCGCCTGCAACCTCTTCCCGGCAATAAAAGGCGCCAGATCCCGATCCAACCACTCCACGCCCACCCCAAACGACTTGGCCATACTCTCCAAACTCACCACCTTATAACTCTGCAACAACTGCTGATAAGCCCTAAGCCGCATCTCCCTTACGAACCAGCTGCGGTGCTCGTACAGATACCTATCCTTGGAGAGAAAGCTCTCCTCAACAGCGGCGAGCGAGCGGAAGAAAGAGGCGTAGTTCCCGTTGTACAAGCTTGAGATCATGGTGGCGAGGGGCGTGAAATCGAGTTTGGGTTCGGCGGCTGCTTGTGCATCTGCTGAGGCGGAGCCAGAGGCTAGGGTGGTGAGGTTGACAGCGGTCGGGTTCGGTGTGGCCGTGGCGTCTTTTTTCTTCTTCTGTGAGGTCTCGTCGACTGCCATTTCCTCGCCGTCTGCTGCAGTGCCTGAGAGAGCGGCGAGGCGTTCTTCTTCCGATCCGGCGCCGAAGATGGCGCGAATTTCTGGTGCGTCTACGACCTTGGATTTGAAGTCCCGACGTGGGAGACTTACTGCACCGGCTAGAGTGGCGTAGACGACGAGTTCGGAGTAGGAGCACAGTTCCGAAGAAGTGAATGTCGATAGCGAATCCAGAAGACCAGAAGCTCCAAGGTTGTAGGCGCGGATAGTAAGGAGGTGCAGACCCGAGTAAGCCTTGAGCCGATTCCGTCTGTCCCAATCACCACCGCTCTCTACAAGCTGCTGCGCGCGATCCACATTCTTCTTCACAAGCAACTTGTCATCGAAGAAAAGTCCTATCCGGATAATAGCAAGCACAATATCAATCTTCGTAGCCAGAATCCCCGTCTTCTCCATCAGTGCCTCGAAAGCCTCGAGTGCTTTATCCTTATCACCGACTCGTGCGTAGAATTCCGCTCGCTTGGCTCGACTGCCCTGTACCTCCGTCTCGCCCTGTGTCTCGGCCGCATCCTCTTCTTCCTTGGCGATGGTAGCTAGTTCCTTCTCATTCTCCTCCTTCAACTGCTCGTACAGCTTCTCGTCCCACGCCAGCGTCGCCGATGGGTCCAGCTTCCCACCTAGCACACCAACGATACTCGGTGCATTGATCGAACTCGTTCTTCGCAAGAGATGTGCTGGTGGAGCCTCGGATCGGGTGTTCGTTCTCGAGATCACGGGACTCAGTGCACCGCTCCCTCCTTCACCACTGATGTTGAGTTTGCCCGTTTGTGGATGTGCGAGGTAGGCGTATAGAGGCGCCATTTTGTGTTCGCGGATGGCATCTTGAAGGGCGGTGCGGGAAGTCTCCTTCGCTGCGTGATCTGTTGATGGGGATGCGAGGGTAAAGACGGATTGAGCGAGGGCGAGTTTGGGGAAAGAGAGATATTGAGGGTCACCCATGTTGAGTGGTTGATGATGGAGTGTGAATTCGAGGTGGATCTGGGTGGGGTCGTTGCCTGTCTCTTTCGCTTGTATGGGGATGTGGTGATCAATGTCAACTGTACTCAGTCGTGTCTGTTCTGTCCCGTCGTGGTCGGCGGCGATGATGATTGAGTTGTTCCGATATGATAATTGCTTGACATGTGAGCACACGATGCGCGGTCGTACCTGCCTTGAAGCTCCATGCAAGGAAGGTCCAGCGAGCACTCCCGCAAGCCGCAGAGCCTCCATCCACCTTACGATCATTGCCGAAAGCAAGCACTCGGGATACTACGACAGGTTTACACTATTGCAGCCGGCTTCCTCTTATCATATCAACAATGGCGAAGAAAGGTATAACGGCGCTCTCACATTCACACAAACCTTCAAAGCTGATATGACTGTCCTCCAGCAAAATCCCGCACGATCCCCGTCCGCCTCATCTCCATGGCTCTGACAGGCTACTACAAGACCTTCTCGCGGCCTCGGACCCATCGACCACTGAGCATGCTGAAATATGACCCCGTCGGTATGCAACACTCACCCCCGTAACAGAATAATCAGCGGTGTAAAGCTAACATGCCATCATCACAGTGAAGAAGAAAGTCCTATTCCTCGAGCAGAAGCGCGGAGGAGGGAAGTGAAAGGCCAGGCCATCAGATTATTTCCATGACTGAGAAGGACATGGGATGGTTCCAACATATGAGTGCCGGCTCGCGGAGGCGTCGGAAAGGCTTCTAGCCAGGGCTTGACTGGACGAAACAAGATGACAAGCAGCACCGACAGAACAGCACCCGGGCCAGGAGATCCGCTTCATCCTTCTCCACGCCAAATAGCAGCCCAACGGGTTGGTAGGAATACAACTCTGCTCCCGACCGCCTGGTCCACACGAGATGTATCCATAGAAGGCTCGGATCTGGCGCGCGAACCGCGTGGTGCACGGGGATGCGGACATACGAGCACTGGGAAGAACGGATCGGCTGTACTGCTCAAAGCAAGAGGTCATGCGCGGTGCCAAGATGTATTGCAGAAGCTACAGAGATGCTGACAGATGTATACTACTCTTGACCACCGCCACCATTCATCATTTTGACCGAGCAGAGGTCCATCTTCCAAATCATTCGTGACGCTTTGCGCATCAGTCAGTCATTATTAAGATACTAGTCTTATAGATGCCATCGTCCAAACATGATCGTAACACCACTCGGCCTCAAAACGGAAGTCGCACAGCATGTGCGCGGCAGCAACAATGTGCGGCGTGCCGTCGTGTAGGCCCGTGGAAGTTGTGCGCTTCAACGTAGTTCCTGGGAGAAGCGCGCATTGAACTGGTCACCTACAGTCCAGTCAATACGGCTTGCCTTCACACTTCTACCTGAAGCAACTTACTCTTGGACGCCTTCTTGTTTCCACGAGCAGCGCGGGAAGTGCTCCCACCAAGTGTACGCATACGCGAAGAAGACTGCGCAGGCCCACCACGAGACGAACTCGAGTGCGGCATCTGAGGCAGGTCGTTGATGGAAGATTGAGAACTGGTGCGGAGAGAGGAGCGGCCTGACGGGTTCTGCGGCTTCGAAGCTGCAGCATTCTTACGCTTCTTGCGCTCGTGCTCGTAGCCTTCTGCGATGTGAGGTGCTTCCGCTTTACGTTTGCTTGCTGCAAGCGGAGCAGCTGTATTACGTGGGAGCAAGCGCGGATCGGGATTAGCTTTGGTCTGGGAGTCGGTACGAGATATGCGGCGCTTCGAGACAGAGTCGTATCCACCAGAATCGATGTTCACCTGCTGATGGTTCGTGCCAGCGGCATTGATGTAGTCGGGCGTGCTGCTGTGGTTGCTACTGGCTCTGTCGCTAACATTACGGAAAGGTGGTGTGCGAAAAGCAGGATTGTTAGAGCGAGACTCGGTACGGTGTTGTACATCGTGATCGTCGTTGCGAGGAGCCATCTTGGAGGCACTGTTTGGTTTGGGGAAAGATTTGCGAAAAGTGTACTTCTCCTTTTCGGCGTCCGACCATGTCAAGCTGTTCTGCAGCTGCGATTGCGAAGGCAGTGAGGTCTGAGACATCTGATCCTCGTAGATCGAGAAGCTTTCGGAAGTGCCAGGCGGGCCGTGGAGCGACCCTTCTCTGCGAGCTGCTGCCCTTCCGCCCTGGCTGTGGGCATCAGCGGCTGAGGGCACTGTAAATACCGATACGATCTTGTGCCTGGGTGCAGCCGTTGATGTATTGCTGTTGAATGCGGCGAAAGATGGAAGGTTGTCATCGAACTGTGTCTCCTCCACAACATGGCTTGGATGCTGTGCGCCAAGCGAAGCATTGTCGATCATATCGTCGCTGACATTCGGAATAACATCGAGTGGACCCCGGCCGTCGGTACTGAAGCCTCCCTCATTATCATCCTGCGTTGCTGGAACATGCACAGTTGTGTCTTGAAGCTGCGACTCTTCTACAACCGGCCCACGTACAGTAGCATCTGCACTCCTCTGCCGCGAGTCCGGACGGAGCACTTCGAGGATTGGGATAGGAGTTGTCTCGATCACCGTCAGCGATTGACGATCCACCTTCTTGCGCGGACGTGGCGGGTCGTTCTCCTTATTGCTGACAGCTGGTGTGATGTCGTCAACTAGAGGACGAGCATCGGGTGGAGCAGCCACATCACGCGTGTCATCACTCGCTACGACTTCCAGACCCTGCTGATGTTGGGTTGCAATGTCTTGGATCTGATTGCGGAAGCGCTCATTCTCTGCGATCATCTGGTCGCGCTGGGTTGCCACTTGAGTGAGCTCCCGTGAGAGAGCTTTGAATCTGCCATCGTACTCCTCCGTATCTGCCTTCCATGCTCGCTCAATTTCAACACGGAAATCTTCACCATTCTTTTTCTCCTGCTGTAATTCATCTTGGGCTTGTGTTAGCCGGTCTTGCTGAGCCTTGAGATTGATGGCACTTTTTTGCTTTTCGACCTCCATGGCACGCTCAAACTCATCGGTCAGATGCTTTAGCCCAGCGTTATGACGCTCAATAGTTGCATTCGCGGTGGCCAACTCTTCGGTGACGTCGCTAAGGGAGGCGGCGTGCTGGTGCTGCTGTTCCTTGAGTTGCTTGTCGCTGTCGTCGTGTGCCTTCTGGGCCTGCTGCATGGCCATCTGCAAACCTTCGATATGTTTGGTAAGAGCAGCCTTCTGTTCGATCGTCCTCTCATAGTCCGTCTGCGCCGCGGCGAGCTTGTGCGAAACACCACCGAGACTCTGCTTTGTCGACTCCTCTGCCATGCTTCCGTTCGCTTCGGCCTTCTGCTTCCAACTCTGCGCTTCTCCTGTTGCTCTCAGAAGGGCTTCTTCGTGTTTGGCTTGCGTTGACGCGGCAGCCTGGTGTGCCTCAGCGATCACAGCTTGACTGGCCAAGAGCTCGAGCTGTAAAGGCTGTACTCTGTTGCTGTACAGCTCACTTTCGCTCATCAATTCACGCATGCGGTTCTTGTACTCGGCCATCCTCTCATCGAGGACCTTATCGGAATGTCGTCTCATCTCGGAACGAACTCGATCAAGCTGCGTCTCGAGGTCGTCCTGCAGTCGCTCTCGCTGGGTCGCAGCCTTGGTAGACCGACGATGAGCTTCTTGAACTTGGATGCGGAGTGACTGCAGCTGTTCATGCGCATCATTGAGCTCGCTACGTATAGCTTGCAACTCTTCCGTCTTGCTGTGTAAGTCGAGCTTGGCAGCGCTCAAGGCATCCTCGTCGCCATCCGTGACATTGCCCGGAGTCATTTCAGGCTGCGACACATTCTCTAGTGCAGTGAGCTTGGCTCTTAAAGACGTGTTGGAATTCTGGAGCTGAAGCTCATCCTGACGAAGGCTGTTCAATTGAGCCTGCAGATCCCTACACTGATCGCTCGTTGTCTGGTGCCTGTCTTGTAGGATAGCGAAGCTCTCCTGCTGTGCAGCATCCTGCTGCATAAGCTGCTCACGCTGCTCGAGATCAGACTTCAGTTCTGTGAAGGCGTCTCGGAGGCTAGCTCGTATTTGTGGCAGTATTGCATCATTGGCGTCAGCCTCGCCCTCACGCTTCTTGGCCGTCATCAATCTGCAGTGCAGTGCGTCAGTATGTATACATGTATGTAGCAGATACGACACTCACTCTTCTGACAAGGTCTTTAAGAGTTCTATCACCGAGACCACGTCGTTAGCTGTATCAGTCTGCTGGCCGTCTAGTCCTCTGAGCGCGGCTGACACTTTCTCCACAAATCCAGTGAGCTGCTCACGAGCTGTAGACGCGCTGAGTACAATGTCGATCTCTTCCAGCTTCTCCAGGACGGCCTCATGATGATGATGAGTGGTGCTCAGTGTTTCCGCCATGGCAGCAAGCTGTGCCTCCACTTGAGATCTACGGTCGCGTTCCTCGATCAAGGAGCCTTTGGTATCACTAAGGTAGCTTTCGAGGTACTCGTTGCGAACCCGGGCAGCATCGAGCTCCGTCTTGAGCTCACGAGAGGCTTCAAGTCCCTGTTCCCTGTCGTTGGCGACCCGAGTGGCCATCTGCTGCAGGCGCTTGTAGAGATCTTCATGCTCAAGCTCACGTTCTTGACAGGTGTGGATAAGGCGCTCCTTGGCTTTAGACATTTCCTTATGAGTCCGCTTCAGGTCGGCCAGGTCCGTCTTCATGGTATCCATGAAAGTCTGGAAAGACTTCAACTTGACCTTGTAAGCTGAGACTTTGCCTTCCTGCTGCTTCAGCATTGTCGCGATCTTGTCGTTCTGCTGCAGCGTATGGTTGAGTTTTACCTGCAAAGCCTCTCTGGCTTCGACAGTTTGCTCAAGCTCTGCGTTAAGCTTCTGCACATCAGCACGAGCTTTGCTTTTCTCACGTTGATGCTTGTCATGGATGTCTTCCAAGGCTTCTTCCATAGTCTGACTAACAGCATCGCTCTCAGGCTCCCGTTCACGGTGATAAGTTGAATGGCGGCTGCGTCTTCTGGAATTGCGGCTCAGCATACCGTGCCAGTCTGCGTGGCCAGCATCTCGAGTTGATGAAGGGAGCACGTCTGTCAAGTGAGGCTGCTTCGGTAATTCTGCGAAAGCCTCCTCAGTACGCTCCGCGTCGATTGCCGTAACATATGGGCCACCGACGTGTGGCCTAGCATCAACGACCATACCAAGATCATCTAGGTTTGTTTGAGCAGAAGCGATTGGGTGATGAAGGATCATGCCCTTCTGTTGTGCCACGCCCGCGTAGTGACCACTCCCTCCAGTATTTTGCTCGCGGTACTGAGTAGCAGTGTCGAGTTCGGCCGCTCTGCCAACGTATGCGAATGTCTGCACCTGGTCCTTCGTATGGGGCTCGGCACTGTTCAGGAGGACAGGAACTGCTCCTTGTTCTTTGTTTGGTCCTGCCAGATTCGAGCTCTGGAGAACACGCTTCTTGCGTTTCTTCCTGATCAGGACCGATGCTGCGGTCTGCATTGGAGTTGAGACTGCTGTGTCAATGTTTGGTGCCAGAGGTATATGAGCATTGCCCAAACCTTCGATAAGTTGCCGATCGGCCGCTCCATTCGCATAGTCGGTGTTTGCTGGTGCGATAGATGCATCTCCTAGCACGATGTCAGTGAATTTTGATGTGCTAACTCAACAAGACTACATACCGTCGAAACCCTGCTCTTGATTCTGACCTTCTATGGCTGTTGTGGGCTCAAGCGATGCAGCTGCTGTGCCTCCTTTGCGTATGCCTCTCATGTCGAGAGGCGGCTTGCTCGCTTTGCCGTACGTGAAACCCTGTCCAGTACCGATTTCTTCATCCATTGGGCGCGAGAAGAGCGTGACAGTGGTCAGTAGCGGCGTGTGGAAAGTGGCTGGAGTATCGACAGCAAGCCCAGCAGACCCATCTTGATCTTGGCTTTGTTTGTGTACTCGTAGCACGTTCTGGATGTTGGAGCTTTCGCCATGTGGCGCGACGAGGTCGTTGTCGAACTGTGTCTCAGACACAGCCAGTTCGCGTCCAGGGTCCCCGATCGCCTCCTCGCCAAGGCCGTTGGTGACTTGTGCCGCTCGTACATCTTCGTGAGAGGTCACTAAGTTGTCATCGTTGTGCTCGAGGCTGTCGTGCGTGGCCGCAATGTCGGTATCGTATAGGGGGTCTGGCATGGGTGCGTGCGGCTGATTCGCCGTGGCAGTCTTCAAGACTGCTCTGTTCTGAGGCGCTTGTTCTTGTGATATGATATGAACCGCAACGTCATATATGATAAAGGGGATGATGTGACGATAGAGAAAAGACTGTAGAGGTTGGGTAAAAACCGAAGTGAAGAGATGAGATGAGGTGAGATGGGGTGCGGTCAGAACTTCACGTCAGGCAGTCGCGACAACGCGCCTTCCGCCATCAAGCTGAGATCGGCGTATAAATGACCAGACGGGCCACAATCGATGTTTTGTTTGTGGTCAGGTCGACATGGCCTTGGACCCTCTCGAGCCATGGACCGTAGCATTGTTCAAGCCCACTCCGAATTCGCAGCCGTTTTGGATGCTCTCATGATTGCCTGACACATCGACCCAGCGTCTCAAGACTACCCATACTGCATCTCGTCCGAAGTGAGCTCGCACAGGGCGAGAGGAATGTGCAGTGCAAGAACCTGCCTCAAGGCGCCGCCAGTAGGGGCCACAGATGATGGCGCAACACATCTCTAATAGGCATAAGGTCGAGTCTATCACTGTTCTTCACGTTGCGAGCACATGATTGAGAGTGGGTAGTCCGATCTTCTGTTAAACATCCGGATGAAGTGATTCGGCGATCCTGAACCCAAGTACGCTTGCTGGGCTCGGCACAGCCATGGCACGACAACCCTGTTCGCAGAGACGAGCCTGGAGACTTCGAAGATCGTGTCCCATGATATACAGCTCTTTTGCGGACTTTGTTGAACGCACATCGATCACATCTTCTCCGCACCTCTTACGAATCGATCCATCGAGATTTGCTATGGTATAAGCACATCTCGTCTAGCCATTCGATCAAGCAAGCAAGCCGACCACCCATGTCCGGTCATGCGCGGCAAGACAGAAGCAACTGGTGTACCAAGGATGAAGTGTTCTGATGTTAGCAGTTATGACAACAATGCAGCCTGTGTTAAAGGTCACGGTTGAGGTAGTAAGAAGCTGACATATGAGCACCCATCACCTCGAGACGAGGCACATGAGGCTCTGCGTGTGCAGGGTTGCGTTTGTCTATTGCAAGCTTCCACGAATTGCGCATCGTCGTTTTCCACTCAAAGACGACAACATTCGGCATTCGCCCTTTGCACTTCGAAGCCGAATATGCCATGCCATCTCCAAATCTCGCACTCGAGATTCCACTACGCCAGACTGTGGCGTTTGCTCTCTTCTCGAACAATGCGCCACCTTATTTTAGCCGATCGCCAGTGCAGCCGAAAGCTACGGCGAGGACAGCGCCATGACGGCGGACAAGGCGTGGGGGTCCCGCACGTGTGAAAAATAGACCGACCACACAAAACCTTTCGCTGAACCACGACAGTCCCACTTTCATCTTCCTACCGTTTCGCGGACTCTACGGCCCAGCGCGCTGACTATCGCAAGCGCAATGATGAGAAGTCGTGATTCAAGGCTAGCAAGGAACGTAAAGGGTGAAGAGCGGGTCTGTCTCGCGTTGACTGAACGGACTTCGCGGTCATCAGGGTGCGAATGGGATTTCTTCAAAAGATCTTGCGAGGCCCATCTTTCAGCGACTTAAGGTAGGTCTGTATCGTGTCCATGATTGCTTCGTCCTGATCACCATCACATCTTTGGGCAATTCGAGAGGCTTTCAGGGCACAACTACATCGCCATTTCCTCACTTGATTTGTATATCCAGCACCATCTCAACTGCACCTTCCTCATCTGCTTCTTCACCAGCGCCTTCCTCTCCTATCGACGCACGAGACTACCTCGTGACCGCGCAAGCCATTACTCTCAGCAGTTCCAGCGGCTTCTGACTTTTACACACCACCCATACAAATCACATTCGCTGCTCAAACACCACCACCACACTCGCTCAACGAGCACAACAATCTAGGACTATTGAATTAGCACCTTGGGCTTGCTATTGAAGTCGCACAAGCAAACACACCTCTGCGAACAGTAACAACATGTTCGCTCGCAGCATCGTCAAGGCTGTGGCTAAACCTGGTTTCCGCCCAGCAGCTGCCTTCGTCGCCCCTCTCACCCGCGCCACATTCTCGACCTCCGTCAGGCGGAGCGAACCGGAGGTCCCGGTCGTCAGCTATGAGAGCGGCCAGCGCGTCGAGGAACGCATCAATTTCCCCGCTGGCCAGTCTGGACCTGTGAACCCACCAGGTGGCGACCAGACGAAGTCCGCACGTCCGTTGGGCGCAGACGCAGCCAAGCATCTCACACCAACGCTAAGCAAGTTCACTCTGCCTGGCAAGGTCGCCGTTATTACTGGGTATGTCCATCTGATCAGTAGCATATGATCTGGCAGAAGCTAATTTGACCTGGTAGCGGTGGTCGTGGTCTCGGCTTCAACATGGCTCAAGCTCTCTCGGAGGTCGGCGTGCGTGGTATTGCCATTCTCGATGTGCAGGAGGATCTCGGGGACAATGCTGCTCGTGAGCTTAGCGAGCAGACTGGTGTGGACGTCCGCTTCTACAAGGTCGACGTCCGCGACGGCCTGGGTATCAATCAGACGGTGCAGGACATCGTTGATCACTACGGCGCTCTCGACGTCCTCATCAACGCCGCCGGTATTGCTGAGTGAGTGCCTCCGTCGACCCTAATACAGCGAGATGCATGACTGACACTTCGTGCCACAGCTCCAACATCAAAGCCGAGACCTACCCGCACGACAAGTTCCGCCGCCTGATCGATATCAATATCACTGGTACCTTCTTGGTGGCGCAGGCTGTTGGCAATCAGATGATTGCCAGCGGCAAGGGCGGCAGCATCATCAACATCGCATCCATGTCAGGCTCGATCGTCAACTACCCGCAAGAGCAGTCATGTTACAACGCCAGCAAGGCCGCGGTCGTGCAGCTGACCAAGTCGCTGGCCGCTGAATGGGCTCGCTTTGGCATCCGTGTCAACTCCATCAGTCCTGGCTACATGGACACAGCCCTCAACCGTGTTCCGGCTCTTGAGGCGCAGAAGAGAATCTGGGTGGATCACACCCCTCAGAAGCGTCTGGGCGATGCGGACGACCTCAACAACCTTGCTGTCTATCTTGCTAGCGAGGGCTCGGCTTTCATGACCGGCAACAACTGCATCATCGACGGTGGCTACTGTCTTTGGTAAGCCACATTATTCTAGCGTCGACCAATGAAAGAGTATGCATGTTTTACAGCCCAACGCTATCGGCTAGCAGCCATGAGCCGGTAATGGAGTTCAGAGGGTGTGGCGTTCGGGATCTGAGATCAACACTGGTCGGCGGACTGGTTAATACAGCAGTGCGGCTTGGTGATGCTGGCTCATCATCATTACTAGAACCTATTAGAAATAGATGGAGACCTGTATCATAGCGGACACTTCTCCGGTAGTCCTAGAAGAAGAAAACAGTTGACAGAAACGTGGCTCACAGCCACATTCCTCAGATTCTGGCCCGATGCGCGACATTCCACAATCAACAATATCGAAAGCCTTCTCTGCCAAGAATACTCGCTGACATGCTCTCATCGCAGCACTATACAACTGGCGGACTATTTCTGATCTGCACACTCACCAAAGATGAAATGCTGAGCCTCGAAGCCGCACGCAGACGCCTAGTGCTCCTAGCAGCCACGTACCTTCGCGCAGCCGGCGTTCCCAGTGTAATATCTGTGGCCCACGACTTGAAGTCGCAAGCATGGCAAGAGGACTCCTCGCGTTATTGTTTGCTGGCGTGACAGTAGCGTTGAAAGCGGTGCGCGACGATCTGGGCTACAGTGTATGGCTTCAATCAAGCTGACTGTGGTTGAAAGGGCGTCCCTCTACCCGATACTGGAAACGACGTCTTGTACACACTGGACAGGCTTGCGCCATCGAACCGCGAGCAGCCATTGACCGAGCTGAAAGTCACGGACAATGTTGGTCAGTCTCTCATCATGAAGGTGCACTATGACTTGGCTTTGTTACTGATTGGCTTCGTCGCAGTCGATCTTCGTCGCGAGATTGGATGGTCGATAAGTGGCAAGTACGTTCAGGCGTTACAAAGACAAGCGGCCGCAGCGGCGCCGACAGTATGTTGTCCTGTACGAACACCAAATCCTGAAGAAGCTAACAAGATCCTAAAGAGTGGCTCCGTGAATTTAGTATCAGCGAGAGCCGGGTCAGTCTTCATGGCACCTGTCATAGTCGGTGGTCAGGACTTCTACCTCGTAGTCGATAGTGGAAGCAGTGACCCCTGGTTGGTGACATCGGATTTTGCGTGCATAGATAGCGACGACGGGACATCACTAGATCAGGCGGACTGCAATTTTGGCCCGGCCTACAACTCGAGTCGATCGTCCACATACCGAGTACTACCAAATGAGAACTTCAACATCAGCTACTCCGATGGCGAGACCTTGACCGGCAGTATGGGTTACGAGTCATTCACCATGGGAGGCATCAATGTGCCTTCGCAGGAATTCGCAGTCGTGGACTACGCGGGCTGGTCCGGCGACACTATCTCTTCAGGTCTCGTGGGCTTCGCGTATATGAGTCTGACCTCGGCGTATCCCGGTTCAGATCCTCACCAGGACGGGGAAGAATCGGCACTGACGTACAATCCTCTTTTCTACAACATGTTCCAGAACGAAAGCGTGGCACCAGTCTTTACTCTCGCCATCAACAGAGATTACAACAACGGTGGCGTGCTGGCCCTTGGCGGAGTTCCGAATATCCCATATTCGCCGGGCTTTGCGAGTACGCCGATCATACCATGGATGCTCAATGCAAGCTCCGGCGCATGGGTGTACCAGTTCTATACAATAGTGATAGAAGGATTCGCCTTCTCGGCAAAGCAAAACGCTCAGTTCAACGTCCTTGGCCTGCCAAATTCCCGGAAGACAGGTCTGCTTGGTAATGGCACTCAAGCGATAGTGGACTCAGGGACGTCTCTGGTCTACGTCGACAATGCTACGATCGCCACCCCCGTGAACCTGGCCTTCACGCCGCCCGCATGGTACGATAGCCATTACAACACCTGGATGGTGCAGTGTAACGCAATCCCACCCCTCTTCGGCGTGGCGATAAGTAACAAAATCTTCTACGCGAACCCAGTAGATATGATACTGTATCAGAACGAGACAACGTGCTACAGTGGCATTCAAGGAAGCGAGTCGAAGCTCACTATTCTGGGCGATGTGTGGATGAAGAGTGTGCTGTGCGTCTTCGATATAGGCGCTGAGATGATGCGGTTCGCGGCTCGGGAATTCAGCGGTTTGACGCCAGTGGCGACCAAGAAGCCAAACACATGAAGGTGTATGGTATGACAGGCTGGCGACAGGTCTAGCAAGCGTATTCGGCGTACATACTTCGGCCTTGGCTGCATTCATTCATCGTCATAAGATGTTGACTGCTCTCAGACATTCATCAGAATCTTGCACCAGCGTGCCTGCCGTCGAATTTGGCAATCCTACTGCGGCAGTTGCAGAACGATGTAGATACCGTGAGTGCAGACAGGGATGTAGATATATGGCAGAGCCGTGGGGTTCCCATTCGCCTGCCTTTTGACTACATGTAGCAAGGATTCTCGTTCTAGTAGGCCCATGTCATGATCTATATGCTGCCACAATGCGGTGATGCATGTCTTGGTGACTCTATTGATCGGCACTGAGATTTCTTGACTCCCATAAGCACCGCTCACGTACGGCATTGTCAGATGCGGTTTGCATCGGTACATGCAGCAAACACACATGAAAATGTATTCACGACCTGCGAAACGCACGTTTGTCCTGGTAAGTAGCGGCACATGACTCCAATGTATTTAAATCGATTGCGAGTCCGTTCTCAAACTTATTCTGTTGATACAACTTTTCAAAACTGTATAGTCGTACATGCAGAAGCCCGCATACACAGACAGCATTGTCTCCACCATCGACATCTTGGTAGGAACGCCACACCACTTCAGCCGTAGATCGAGCTTTGATTTTCCGTCGCTTCAGATCAAACGACCGCACAGAGATCACAGGAACAGGCTATCGTCATGTCATCGCCCGCAACAGAATCCAAGAACGCATCGGATACAGAATGGCCAGTCCAAAAGGCGAAGAACGGCCACAACGACTGGGTCGTGAACGGAAGGATCAAGACCGCGAAGTGCGATACATGTGACGAACGTGTTAAACATCACAGCTGGATCTGCAGCAGGTGTAACAAGCACATCTGCTCCGAGTGCGCAGACGAGTCCGGCAGGAGCAAGCCCATTCACAAATACACCGCGAAACACCAGCTCAGTGCCAAGTGCTTCTGTGCCTGGCCGAGTAACCAGGCACCAGGTTTCGCGCGCAAGCTTCGGGACCTTGGACTCCTGCCAGCTATTGGCTCGGCTGCGTCAGTCCAGGCATCAAATATATTGAGCCCCCGGCTAGATGGTTCTGTGGGTAAGCCGAAGCGTCCTTTGAGTACTTCTGACGATGTGGCCTTGGTGAAGAAGCAGAAAACTGGCTTGGATGCGACACAAGCATTCGCGCCGACGAGGGCGTCGGTCAAGCCAAATCGCAACACCGCCAGACCAGTCAGGTACAACGAGGAGAGCGATGACGACGAGAGGAGAGCACCACCCGCCAAGATAAGTCGTCTTCCTCGGTTGAAGCGCAATTCGCTAGTCCGAGCAGCGCCTTTGGTAGAGGATGATGAAGCTATCAGCTCGTCGGAAGCAGACGAGCCTGAGGAGCACATCGAGAACGCCGCACCTCTTCCATGTGCCCACCTCAATGAGTGCAGCACGGTCATCGTTGGTGGTGGCATAGTCGGTCTCTGTGTCGCTTTCGAGCTTTCCCGGAAGTGTCGTGCTACAAAGACAAGACACAACATCACGATCGTCGAGATCCGAAGCGACTGCTGCAGCCTCTCGACGGCATCCGGCAGCTGTGCAGGCATCCTGAGCGGATTACACCTGGACAGGAAATTTGAGCCATTGGTAGCTCAGGCGGAAGAAGCTTGGGAGGATCTAGAGGAGATCTTCAAGCTGATTGGCGATACTGCTTCTGTGAACTTCAAGCGCGACAATGTCCTTGGTGTATACACACATAAAGGGCAAGGCCACAAAAAGAAGCCGACTTGGTATCATGGCCACGAGATGGACATCTTCGATGCTGAGGAGAGCCACACCGGCAAGATTGATACGCAGGAGTTCGCACGTTGGCTTGAAGCGCAATGCAAGAAGCTTGGGGTCCGTTTCGTCCACAATCACCATGTTGTAAGTGTCTCATCAAGCGCCAAAAACACCATCAAGAAGGTGTGCTTGATGTCAGTCACGCCACCAGAAGCGGCTTCAGCTAGCGGTTTGGCTGCTGCGAGGACGGAAGATGGAGAAATCCAATACCTCGACTGCCAAAGCCTAGTACTGGCGGCAGGCCCATGGACTACAGGTATCCTGCAAAACGTACTCTTCGAGGACGACGTGGCCTTGTCAAACAACGTGCAGACTGCATATGCGTACTTGATCGACACGGAGATGGCTTCCAAGGCTGACAAGGACGATGTCGGCCTCCTCTTACCTTTCATCGCCCAGGACGACAAGTACATCGAGCCTAGGGTAGGCCTGGCTGCTCATGTGCCAAAGAAGCAGGTCACCGTCTTTGGGACGGCCAAGCAAATAGAAGATGTGCATCTCTCCATGCAAGATGCTCTCGATCCCAGCCTCGACGATGCGAAACCTTTCGGTCGCATCCGTGAGTATGCTGGTAAACGCCTTGGTCCTACAGATGGTAATGGGCAGTATCAGTTCGAGGCGAAGAATGTGAGAACTCGGTATGCTAAGGTCTCAACGTCAGCTGGAGGGCTTCCTTTTGACGCCAACTTGCCTGCATCTGGCCCTGGCACTGCTGCTTTTACTGACCAGATGGAGAGACCAGATGGCATTTGGCTGTGCTTTGGCTTTGGTATGCACGGCACTCTTCTTGGGCCTGGTGCAGCGCATGCTCTTGTCTCAAAAATGTTCAGCCAGCCAGCTGCAAACAGCGATGCGATCCCAACTCGGCCCAAGCGGGTGTGATTCAGTTGAGATGATGTCCAATACAAGCTGCAGCGCTTCAGAAGGCGAGCTTGCGGTGCAGATACGCTTGGTAGATGGCCATCGTGGCTCTTGGTACGAGTCGAGAATCAGATAGCAAGCATCAACATACCCTATCCCCAGTCTGTGTGCCTCGCCCAGTGATCACCCGCTAGAGCAAAGCAGCCACCGCCTTTCAGCTCGCGAGCCATGTAGCATAAGCCTTCTGTTTCCACACCTATCCACCCCGGCTTACTCCAGGTTGTTCCCACGATATTGAAGTATGGGAACATCAGTCCTTGGCGTACAAGGTCAGCCCGGATGTACAAGATGGTACCGCCCACACTGTCAAGTGGCACGACATCATCATCTGAGGAGGCCTTCATTGCTTCAGGCAGGAACAGTCGTTCTTTCACAAGCTGGTTGACAGCGTTCTCTCGGCCATCGTCGTTGATCGGTCCCATCAGGCTGGGAGAGTCGACTCTCCAGGCATTCTTGTCATAATTGTCCATCTGGTTTTGATGGCACATGGCCGTAATGATCCCGACACTGTCATTCTTGGCGGACTGCTGCAATATGGTCTGTATGATTTGTGTAGATAGCTCGACAACATCGGCATCTAGCCACAATAGATGCTGTTCATCGTCTAGTGCTGAGATCATCAGGCGGTTGCGCAACTTTGCTAGTGACGCTCTGCGTGCGAGCTGAATCAACGGGTTATGTCTCTGCTCGTAAGGCACTTCATCAGGCTCATTCTGCAGCCAGAGCGTCGTTCTCGCAGTGACTATGCGACTGGTGGCTGCCTGCATGCTTGCGTATTCGCCTACATCCTTTGTGGCCATTGCGAGGGACACAGTTGAGAAGTCCAGATCAGTGGCCGCAAGCAGGTCTATGAAATCGTATACTGAGCGTTGGGTCGACCGGAAGTCGCGACTCCATGAGTTCGCATCCCGTGCAAGGACAAGTATCAGGAGCTCAGGCTTTGCGCTCTTAGATTGTCGAGTAAAGCGCAGATTTCCATTCTGCACCTCGTCTTCCGCTTCCCATATGGATGGCTGCGTTGGCTGTTGTGGGTATCGATGACGGTCGCCAAAGCCTATGCATGACGAGAACGTACGACAGGAATATGCGGTCCTCCTAGGTTCCAAAGTGTACGTGAGTAGCCAAAAGGCGAGAACTAAGGCGGCCGCGATGGCGATCCTGAGTACAAGACGACGCATCGCTTCTTTGCTTCCCAGCGATACCGAGCCTTACTCATGCATGATGAGCATCGGCTGAAGCCGGACTTCCGCCATGCAAAGGGGGCAGTCAAGTGAGGTCCCAGGTGCACAGACCGCGTTGGACGGCGACAAGGTTTGACCGGTTGCCGCTCGTCTCCGAAATCTTGGAAGCAACGGTGAGGTCAAAATCAGGCCAACAATGTAAGATAAATCGCGTGGGACACTATGGCTTGTCTACTTAGTGAGTGACCATGCTGGAAAGGTAGTATCTACTCCTCCCTTGTATTTATTTCATGACCATCAGGGTGTCGGACCCCAACTACAGTTGGAAGCAGTATGGCAAGCAACACTTCTGTTCTGTCCATCGTTGGCGGTGCCACATTTGCTCTGCTTGTGACCGTGTCTCTAGTGCTGGCCTACACATATCTCACGACACTGTTCAAATACGAGCTTGATGTTCGGAAGCATCCAGATCATGGTAGCAAGATACAGGTTGCACAGCACCCTCCTTTGGTTCCGTACGCCATCCCAGGTCTGGGCTCCACAATCAGCTTCAGCAATCAGAACATTGGAGTATTCTGGAGATGGCTTCGAACGCAGGCCGAGCGATATCAGCAAGATGCCTTTTCGATCATGCTCAGCGGCACAAGGACTCACTTTATATTCTCCGAGGCCGGTATCTCCGCTGCCTTCCGAAGCAGACAATTATCCAGAGCAAGATTGGACCAGCAGCTGGGCACGAATGTCCTTGGAATGTCCAAGGCGGACTCACTAAAAGCATTTCCGTACGACATCGATGAGAAGGAGAAGTCGACAACAGCAAGAATCCATTCTGAGCATCTGCTCACACCGAACGCTGTCAATTCGTTGACCAGCAAGTTCATGGAGGTCTTCTTGCAAAGGCTGGACAGCGATCGATCGCTCGATAAAGGCGTGGAGATTGATCTGTACGATTGGCTATGGCAGAACATCTTCCGGTCATCAACGACAGCGCTCTGCGGTGCGAAGCTACTCGAGATGCATCCCGACTTTGACAAGGACTACCAGACGTGGGAGGACGGCATGCTAGGTATGCTGTTTGGTACACCACGATTGTTTGCCAGTGAATCGTATGCAGCGCGCGACTCCGCGGTCTCGAAGCTAGAGAAATGGCTAGAAGCAGGATATGCAAGCTCAACAGGAAACCAAGAAGATCTTGACTGGGAACCAAACTTCGGCGCCAAAGTAGTACGAAAGCGTCATGCCTTCTACAAGCAACAGGGTCTAAGTGTCCACGCCCAAGCAGGTTTCGACCTCATCTTCCTAGCAGGCATCCTTTCCAACGCCACACCTGCAACAGGCTGGCTACTCCTACATATCCTATCTCCAACCTCGGACCCCAAGTTCCACCCGACGATAATGAACGAGCTACGCTCCTGCCAGCGCCCAGATGGCTCGGTAGACATATCCGTACTGACCCGTCTGCCTCTCCTCAACTCGGCCTTCCACGAGATACTTCGCCTCTACGTCGATCTACTGGTCGTTCGCCAAGTCGACAGCTCTGTAGCTATCGGGCACCACTACGTCAAACAAGGCGAGCAAGTCATGGCACCCAGCTGGATGACCCACCGAAATCCGGCTTTCTTCGCAGATCCAGAAGTCTTCGATCCGGAAAGATTTTTGAAACGGGATGAAGAGACAGGTAAACTGGGTTATAGCGCGACTGGACTGGGCGGCAAGTACTTCCCTTTTGGAGGAGGACATTATATGTGCCCTGGGCGTACTTTTGCGAAGCAAGAGGTTCTTGGCTCTGTTGCAGTGCTTCTACTCAACTTCGATATTGAATTCGTGGAGTTTGCTAAGCGGGATGGCAAACAGCCTGTTGGAATCGATAAAGATGCGACTGGCTTTCCCGGACTCAAGAAGGGCTATGCTGGCAATCAAGTGGTGGGTATCGAAGGTGATATGAGGGTACGGATCAAGCGGAAAAATCATATCCGATAGCGAGTGCTGCAGCACGCAGATCAGGCCTTCACAGATCATGAGCGCTGTTATAGATCGTAAATAGCTTGCTACATATACACATGCAATGCATTCACACCATATCTTTGGGATCAACCACGACTAGTATTCCATAGCGTTCTCAAACAGCGTACGTAGCTGTTCTCTCTCTTCCTCCCCACCATTCGTGTCCAAACTTGGAGCTAACATCAGCACTCGTGCCTGTGGAATAGTGCCCTCCACGAGCCCCTCGATGTGCTCGTTCTTGAAGCCGAGATGCTTAAGGCCGCGTGGCTGATCACCAAGTTTGGTCAAGAACTCAGCCAATGCCTCACTCAACACTTCACCAGCAGATGCGGCTTTGACATTGGAAATATCAATACCGAAAGCCTCTGCTGCTTGCAAATGCCTTTCCGGGTTCGAATGACCGGTGAATTTGAAGACTGCCGGGGCTGTAACGGCCACGGAGACGCCGTGAGGGATGATAGGGAATGTGACGTCGTAGCCATGATGTTGATAGCCTGGGTTCTGCGATGAGATGGGGTAACTCATACCGTGACAGAGATGCACGCCTGCGTTTCCAAAGCCCACACCTGCTAGTGTAGCGGCTAGGAGCATGTTCGATTGTGCTTCCCAGTCATCTGGATCCTTGACGGCGCGAGGTAGGTACTTGACCGTGCTGCGGAGGGCTTGGAGGGAGAAGATGTCGGAGATGGGATTCGCGCCCTGGTAAGCAGGTCGATTGATTGGGTTCGTGGGACGTGGTGTGCGCTCATAGTACGGGATGGCTGTCCATGATTCGAGAGCGTGACATAGTACATCCAGACCAGACGAGGCGTGCACCGCTGAAGGCATGGTGCGGGTGTTGATGGGGTCACATATGCCTAGTGTGGGCTTCAGGTTGCGATGTGCGATACCAGTCTTTGCTTTCTTCTCGACGAGATCGAAGATAGCGGTGCCTGTGGTCTCGCTACCTGTACCTGCTGTTGTAGGGATGGCGATAAGCGGCTTCAGCTTCGACGTGATCGGCTTGCCTTTGCCGAGAGGGGCGTTGACAAAGTCCAGGAAGTCTGCTTCTGGAAATGAGGTATACAGATTCATTAGCTTGGCTGTGTCAATCACACTACCTCCGCCGACAGCCAAGAAAGCCTCTGGGTTGTGCGGTTTCGCAAAGTCGATAGCCTCTCGTATCCTAGGAATTGTTAGCTCTTCAACGTTACCAACAACATCGATAGACATACGAGTAGTCCTTTGGCTCAACCCTGACCTTTGAGTATATCTCATATTGTACCCCTTCCCTCTCCAATCCCTCAATAGTCTGCTTCATAGCATCCAACTTCCGCACCGTCTCATCCGTCACGACTATGACCTTCTTCGCTCCAAGATTCTTCACATCCATGCCCACTTCCTTCGTACACCCAGGTCCGAAGCGGATACTGCTAGCTGCCATCTCGAACGCATACTCCTTCTGTTGCGAGCTGTCTACTGGCGTAGCCAAACTACGTTTGTGGCCTGCGAATGGGTTGAGATTTGGTCGAGCATTGTGGTGGTGGGACGGGTTCGAATGGCATGGGCAGGAGCTTGTTCCAGAGTTGACGGCTCGTAAGAGATTCAGTGCCTTCGTTGCACGAGACGGTGCTATACGTATTGCTGCCATGATGTCCGCTGTTGCTCGTTCGTGTCGGTAGTTTGTCGTACAAGGTCAAGGTGGCTTGAATATCAACCAGATCATTGATCGACCGACAGTCGAGCTAGCTTCTGCCGGCCATTCCCACGAGACCTACATCATCGTGCCGCGGTTGTCATGCAAAGGTGGAGTCGATCTGTTTGCGGGGTGAGCAATCGTCGTCTGGTCTTGCGGAAGCGGACAGATTGACGGTTATTGCGGCGTTGTGCGGTATAATTCTGTAGAAACGTCGCGTCCTTCTGGCCTCGCGTCTCACAACAGCGCAGGAAGCGAGATCCGATTTTGGTCTCTCAAGCATCGCATACACACATTATTGCATGTAGTGGCTACTAGATTGCGTGGTGATGCGATTTGACAAGTAAGTATGCCTACACGTGGGCCTCACGCGTCATGGACTCTGGTCCCGATGGCTTCAAATCCTGATGCGATAGGCCCACATGCAAGAAACTTTGACAATATGGTTTTTGTGGTGGTCACTGATGCACAGATATCAGAAGGGGATATCGGATGTCCATCGAACGGAACCAGGCCAGGGAGATGACAACGAAGAGGAGTTCCTACTGGCCTTTATATTGCTGCTTTTTGACATCCGAGGCATCCACATCGGTGGCAGCCACCTCTGCAGAGTAGGCCAGCCAATCCACGAGAGCATGACCTTAGCAGCACCCATCCACTCGGATTATCGCCTCGACAATGCGACCCTATACTCAGCTCTAAGACAAGACCCAGCAAGATGGCCGGAGATCAACGACTTTGTACGCAGCTCCATCTGGAACGATAACCCCGAGTGCCTGCTATTTGACGAGCAGTCGGCCAATAGCTTTACTTAGAGCGAAGTTATCAAATGGGGCGTCAAGTACCTGGCGGCTCAGTATGCTGGTCAAGCACTCGAGAGCGGCAACATCATAGGACGATCACATCTAGGAGACCTGCAGTTCCTACATGCCATGGCCTCTAGAAAGGGCGAAGCACCGGAAGAAACGAAAGCGAAAATGCTGACATGGCTTGAGATTATGTATCAGGTTGCTACCGGCGAGGACTATGACGCCGCGAATGGCGTGGCTTTCGATGACATTGCGTCTTTGACCTGCAGGCTGCAGGCTGCAGGAAGACCCGTCCTTCGGTCAATGTCTGGCACCTTTTGCTATGGGCATGGTTCGACAGATGCTTACTTGTGGCCATCCAAACCCAGCAGATCTTCGCCATAGAGCATTGGATAGTGCCAGGCATGTCATTAGCGATTCATTTGCTAGGGGCCATAATCGTCGAGTGCTCCTCAATCCAGAAGATCTGGCCGAACCGAAGCTCAGTAAGCAAGGGGACCGCTCTATGTCCCGAGGAGTGACGCTGAGAGACCTTATTAGATGACTTTACAATGCAGCTGGGCAGCTTCGGCCGATGGGATTCGATCCTCAACTTCCACACCTACCTGGGCCAAGACAGCGCAGCTCATGCTCGGGACGATGGACCGCATACTGATGAGGACTTTTACGAGCTTTAGCTAGCTAATCTTGACTCGTTCAACGAGCTCATTGGCGTGCGATCTGGTATCGAGGCCTGCAATACACTTTGCGAATATGTGGCATGCACGCACAAAGTGAAATGATGGCGTAAGACAGTGGCTCGAAGAAGACGACTTTTTCGCCATCGACGAGCACACCACTGGAAGTGATACCACAGTAGAGTGATGCATCACACCATAAACCTCCATTCGCAATGCGATCGTGACATCTATCTCTATCCGGAGAACGCAGTCATGATCTACTGGCGCTCGAAAACCGGCATACTTTCGATCGGACAGTCGACCTCAATTTCGTGGCCTCCATCATATATCTTGCCGCCATCCCATGCTTTCCAGCTGGCTCCACTTGGAAGATAGACCGTCATCTTCCTCTGCTTCGCCTCCAATACTGGCGCAACAAGATACTTGTGGCCATACATATACTGCTGCTCGATCTGCCAAGACTTCTTGTCTTTCGGGAATTCAAAGAACAGTGGTCGTATGACAGGGGTACCCTTCTCGTGTGCCTCTGTCATGAGGTCCCTAGTGTACTCACGTAGCCGCTCGCGGATCTTGATATAGTTCTTACAAATCTCGTAGATCTCATCGCCGTATGACCAGATCTCGTTCGGAGCTCCAGGCGCGGTACCTGAGCCATTGACAGGTTTCGGCTCGCGATCACCATGAAGACGCATGACGGGGCAGAAAGTACCCCATTGAAACCAGCGTGTGAAAAGCTCGCGGAACTCTGGCTCGTCAGGATTGCCGCCATGGAAGCCGCCAATATCTGTCGTCCACCAGGGTATACCTGCCATCCCCATGTTTAGTCCTGCGGCAAGCTGATTGCGGAAAGATGACCAGCTGGAGGCAATGTCGCCACTCCAGACGAGTGCACCGTACTTCTGCGACCCAGCCCATGCGCATCTCAGGAGGTTGACGATGTTCTTCTGACCCTCAGCTTCCATACCTTCGTAGAATGCGCGTGCATACTCCTTCGGGAATATGTTCCCGATCTGCATATTGGGTCCAGCATGGTATCGATAGAGATCGAAGTCATAAACGCTATACTCTGGCTCCGCCTCGTCTAGCCAGAAGACCTTTATACCGAGGTCATAGTAATGCTGCTTTGCTTTGCTCCAGACAAATTTACGAGATTCAGGGTTCGTGGCATCAAAGTGCGTGATATCGCCTTCGCATTGCATGGCGACCCTGACACCACGATCGTGGCGAATCAGTAGACCCTTTTCTAGCATTTCCTGGTAGTTTTCTGAAGCTGTCTCGACGGTTGGCCAGACGGAAACCATAAGCTCGACTTTCATCTCCTTGAGCTCTTTTACCATTGCCGCGGGATCTGGCCAGTATTCTGGATCGAAGCTCCATTCGCCTTGCCGTTTCCAGTGGAAGAAGTCGATGACGATGAGGTCGAGTGGGACCTCACGCTTTTTGTACTCCCTCGCGATTCCGAGTAGCTCTTCCTGATTCCAGTAGCGTAGCTTGCATTGCCAGAACCCTAGACCATAGTCTGGCATCATGGGTACATGGCCGCTTACATCTGCGTACGCCTGGACGATCTCGGCTGGCGTTGATCCAGCGACGATCCAGTAATCGATTACTTTCGAAGAGAAGCTCTCAAAGCTCATCACGTTGCGACCCAGCACTGCTCTGCCAATCCCTGGGTTGTTCCACAGCAAGCCGTAGCCCAGAGATGACACGGCGAATGGTACACTGGCTTGACTGTTGCGGTGTGCGAGCTCGAGATCCGTGCCCTTGAGGTTGAGATACGGTTGCTGATATTGGCCCATACCATAAATCTTCTCGTCCGGATCGACAGACTCCAGGCGGAGAGTAGTATGGAAGTCAGTCGAGCCAGGGATGCCACGGAGCTCGCGAGCTTCGATCTCTAGAGCACTAGTCTTCGGGTCCGAGACATCTTTACGATGCCGTGCGTATTCTTCCAGTAGCTTCTGACCACTCTCAATATTGTAGATGATGATTTTGCCACGATGGGAGACGGTGGCTTTGATGTTGCCGTTTGTGATGGTTGCGCCGCCTTTGGCTTCCTTCGAATCTGTAGAGGGAAGCTCGGTCGAGATCTGGCTACTGACGTCTTTTGGTGCCTCACTTAACGCCCAGTCGTCTGTTGGCATTGTCGAGAGCTTGGTAGCTCGTACACGGAACGCATTGTGATTCCAGGGTTCGATCCAGAGTGTGTGGTCATCGTAGCGGAAGACGAGCTTATTGCCTTCGGAATACAGCATGGTGGCAAAGAATGATTGTTGATGCTACAGACGTCCTTGTAGAACAGACTCAAACGAAGCCAATGTACTTACTTACACAAACCGATCAATGATGCTGCTGCCGCGCTCCTTCCATAGAACTGTGTATGTCGTCACATCTTTGACCCGATGTCCCGAAAGAGCTTCCTCGTTTTCACCCACCGGAGTCTCCAGCAGTTATAGCTTTACGGAGCAGCACAACGATGGCTCGATTGGTCATATGCAGCCGGCGGAGCTGTTCGTGATGTCGCCAGTGGAGGTGACAGTCAGCCGGAAGCATGCGAAATAGCCAGACTTCGGGCGTACATATACGATCGGGAGCTTCTTCTGATAGGCGGATTATCTTCCTGTTCTCCACGTCCCGTGAGTAGCTGCGAGGCAGTCTCTCGTGTTATTAATTCTTTACCCCATGGGCATGCTGACTGCTGACTCGAGCAGTAGCCCCGGACCACATCTTCCGGTGTCAGATTGCTCGAGCAGGCGTCCTGGCAGCTACACGCTACCAGAACTCTCGGCGGACTGTGTCGACCGCAGGTGTGCGAGACTTCAAATCTTGTCTTGGCTGGTCCGAGCATCTGCAGGACCTTGGCCATGAATTATGCTACATAGTTGGAGCTCTGCCCTCACGTCTCGTGCTTCTGGAACGTCCTACTGCTGACAGTATCGTTCACCATGGCCGACTCTCTGGAGAAGATGCCAGCTCAGCACTTCGAAGGCGCTGACGATATGTCGGAGTCGAAGGCAGCAAGGCTTGCAGCCGTTGCTGAACACGAGACGACACTATGGCAGGCCCTCAAGAGCAACAAGAAGGCCGCCATGTGGTCGATTTTGCTGTCAACGACGATCGTGATGGAAGGGTATGATGTTGGTGAGTAAGGACTGGAGTAAAACGCAGCTGGTATAAGCAGCTAACAGCTCGAAGGGCTCATCTATCAGTTCTTCGGCTACCCTAGCTTCGCCCGTACCTTTGGCAACTTTGACCCAGCGACCGCGACCTACCAGATTTCGGGACCATGGCAAGCAGGTTTTGCCAACGGAGCGAACTGTGGTATCATCATCGGAGGCTTCGCTAATGGCTTTCTGTCACAACGCTATGGCTACAAACGTGTATGCCTTGGAGCACTTTTTTTCATGAACTGGTTCTTGTTCCTGTTATTCTTCGCCAAATCCAGCGCTGTACTACTTGTTGGTCAAGTACTATGCGGTCTGACTTGGGGTGTATTTGCAACAACAGCACCAGCTTATGCATCTGAGGTCACACCTTTAGCCCTTCGTGGTTATATGACCTGTGAGCGCCGTGTGAAAGTCACACCAGAAAGCTCCCTACTAATTACCTCTAGGCTATGTCAACCTATGTTGGGCCATCGGTCAGCTCATCGCGGCTGGCGTCCTGTACGGATGCCTCGATCTCAACGGTGCCTGGAGCTGGAGAATTTGCTACGCGGTACAATGGGCTTGGCCTCTTCCACTATTCTGCCTCATCTTCTTCGCGCCGGAGAGTCAGTATCAATACGTTAGATCCCTCATGGCTGCACTCGCTGACGATGATAGGTCCTTGGTGGCTCGTTCGCAACGATCGTATCGAGGATGCCCAGAAAGCACTTGCTAAGCTTGACAACAAAGGCTCGGATTCTCACCGACAAACACTTGCCCAGATCTCACGGACACTGAAATTCGAAGCAGAAGTCGGTAAGTTATAGCAGTGTGAACCCTGTGCTGGGCATGATGGTCCTCGACTAACAACTCTGGCAGAGAGCGGGTCCAGCTATTTCGACTGCTTCAAGGGCACCGATCTGCGACGTACCGAGATCGTCTGCATGACTTTCGCAGGACAAGTGCTGTCCGGATCGGCTTTCGCATACGGCCCAACTTACTTCTTCGAGCAGGCAGGAATCTCTGTCAACAATGCCTACCAGATCGCTGTAGGAGGAACAGGCATTGCGTTCATCGGTACAGTACTCTCCTGGTTCTTGCTCTCTCGATTTGGCCGTCGAACACTCTACCTGAACGGTATGATTGCCTTGGCCTGTCTCCTACTTATCGTTGGTATCATCGCCAGCGCATCTTCTTCCCCAGGAGCGAAGTGGGGCCAAGCTGCGCTCTGTCTGCTCTGGCTGTTCACGTACTCCAGCACGGTGGGACCTATCTGCTACACCATTATCTCTGAGACCTCTAGTCTGCGCCTTCGAGCCAAATCTGTCTGCCTGTCCCGGAACGTCTACAACATGACACAGATCGTGGCCAACGTGATCGAGCCGTACCTTATCAACCCGACGGAGGGCAACCTCAAGGGCAAGACAGCTTACTTCTGGTTTGCCACCGCTTGTCTTACAGTAGTCTGGGCATACTTCCGGCTCCCAGAATGTCGCGGTCGCACATACGAGGAGTTGGATTTGATGTTCCACAACAAAGTGTCCGCTCGAAAGTTCGCCAGCTACGAGGTCGATCCCTACGAGAATGAGCATAGCAGGGAGTAACAACATAGTTTGAGCATGATATTGTGGAAACCATCAGCATGTGAAAGCAGACTAGATAACAGCTCACTGAACACAGTCCCAGCTGAAAGAAGTGTCGTTATTCTCATAGCTCATCACTCGTCTCGGCTCATAACACACGGCCACGAGTACTGTAGATCTCCATCGCTGGACTGCTCTGCAATTCTCACCATCCAGGATCATCGCTCTCCAGATCTAGAAATGCACTCCACCTCTCCAGACGTCCGATAACTTGCTTCGCCTGGTCTAATAACGTCTTGCTGCCCTCCCAAGCCTTCGCTTTCTCTTCCTTCGCCGCAATTACCTCACCAGCCTTGCCACTCTCTTCAAGATCCGCGATGTTGACATCCCACTCGCTAGTGGTCCTGCTCAACCAGCCAACCTTGTCTCGACGCTGCTGGGACTCTTCTTGAAATTTCTGGTACTTCGCCTTGTGCTGGACGAAGCGCCGCACCTTCTCTGCGTCGACAGCCGATTGAGAACCGAAGCGTTGCAGTGGTGTAAGGGCAGAGTTGGCACGATATACTGCGAGCTGGTCAGCTACTGGTGAATACTCGTGAGCAGATGAATAGTAGTGAGCACGTACTGCTGGCCATCACCTCTGCAGCAGCAGCTGCGACCTTGAGACGAGGCGTAGCTTTGCTCAAGTCGGAAATGTTCGGAGTTAAAATTGCGACGCTCATTGATGCTGGTAAGGTGTTGGTGGGTGATGAAGTTGTTATTGATATTATTTGTTCAATAATTGGTAGTTTTATTGTGCTTGTAATGTATAAGTGCTGTGGTCGAGAAGGAGAAATCTCTTATACTAAGCATGCACAGCAGTGCGATGAATGAATGTAGGCCTCGTATTGGCCAGGGAGGCTAAGGAAGGGTCACGCATTGTCGTGCCTTCCCGTGAAGGACTAGCGTGACCTAAGATGAAGTTGAAGCACAAGCAAAGCCTGATGAAATTGTGAAAGTATGGCAGTAGGATGAGTGTAGATGAGCGAGATGATCTTGCTGTTCATATCGTTCGTAGCCAAACTACTTGCAAAGGATGTAGTCAATGCTCAAAAACCGGCCTGCTTGCTAGCACAATGTCGGCGTGACCAGATATCTTCATTCATACCTTCCACCTAGCAAGCGAATGCCATCTCTCACAGCTCGGCCCGTACGCTCAACCGAGCCCCAGTAAGCGCCTATTCCGCTTGATCATCTTCCTCAACCTCCCCTCGCCCTCCTCAGCAAACCTCCTGGCCTCTTGAACCTGTCGCTCCACGACCTCCAGATCCACATTGACATACCCCTGCACAGCCCTGGCAGTCTGGCCCTCAGCACCACCACCAGCACCACCAGCATTCGCACCAGCATTAGCTTGACCCTGGTTCTGCCCATTACCTCTGTTACCACCAGCCGAAGGAGGTGGGGTAACAGGCGGCATAACAAACTCATCCACATACCTGCCCGCCTCGTCGACAAGAAAGGCACCTTTCTTGAGAGAGTTGCCATCTTGAACCATTTGCTCCATGACACTCGGGCCTCTGTCTCCCCGACCACCACCTTGCCCACCTCCTGCACCAGCACCATATGCGCCATCGGCTGCAAAGCCACGCTTCAGGCTCTCGAGGTCGATTCCAGGGAAGCGGATCTCATTCTGAGGTTTGCTGTACTTGAATCGAAGCTCGTCGGGCATCTCCTTGAGCGCTTTCTCCAGATCCAGAAATCGCTGCTCTAGCTCCTCGGTCAACGCGCGAAGGTGCGCACCAGTCTGCGTAACCAGTCCTCGATCCCAGACTCGTCCGGTCTGTCCTCCATAACTGATCGATGGAATAGCACCTTTGAGAAGAGCATCAACCTCGTCCTTAGTCAGATTGATTTTGAAGTCAGATTTCCAGAAAGCCGGGTTCTGTAAGTCCTTAGGCGAGATCGGCTGCGAGGCCTTGTATGTCGTGTTCGTCGGGGCGCGAAAGAGCGACTCGAGGCACTTCTGTATTTCCGGGGCCTGGTTCTTGAGGTCTGCCAGCAACGAGGCGGCTGTCAAGGTAGGCGTAGGTGGCGGCGAAGGCTCATGTGGTGCTGGAACCATAGGCGGCGGTGCCGGACCATGGAACACCGGTGTCTTAGTAGGTGTGGGAGGCTTTGGCGCAACTTGCTCGACAACAGGGGCAGTTTTGGCAGGCTCAGCAGCCACCACTTTCTGCGCAGGCGAAACAGGCTGACTGGCGGCTGCGTCTTTCGGACTCGATGCGGTGGCAGTCGTCGTCTCCTTCACAGTCGGCGCAGCCTTGATAGGCTTTGGCGGCTTGACCTCCTTCTCCTTCTTAGCCTTCTTCTTCCTACCCTGAATCGCCTCTTGCGCCGGCTCGTCAGCCACAGGCGTCACAGCCCCACTGCCCTCTCCAGAAGCAAAAGCCGCACTAGCACTCCTTGCCTTCTCCTCCTCGATAGCCTTAGCACGTTCCTGCCTCTCCTTCTTCATCTGACTCTTGGTTTTCGCTCGTACCGGTGCACTGCCGACCACATTCCCCCCCGCGCTAGCGCCCGGAGGAGGCGAGTTGGCGCGAGACATAGATGTGGAGGTCATGCTGAGGTTGTCTGAGATTGAGACCTGCTCGCTAGATGGTGTACCGGGTGGGTTGATGGAGGCAACGCTTGGCTGCCGAGAGGGTTGTCTGACACCAGGAAATGATCCAGGCAAGTTTGGCATAGCTGCGATGGGTATCTGTGATGGTGGTGTTTCTGTCTTGGGCGTCTGCATCACACGTAGTGTCCTTGGTGCATTCTTGACGAGTGGCGAAGAGACGATGGGGCTTTCAGGCTTTGAAGCAATAGACGCGGTCTGTGAGACATTACGTTGCGGCTGGGCTGGTGTAACGGTCTCAACAGGTGTCGCTTTGATCGCTGCTGCGGTGGCCTCGTCTCGCTCGTTGACAGCGGCAGTGATGTCGAGCTTACCAGGATGCTTGCGCTTCTCGTATTTCTTGTCTTGCTTACTCGGCGTCACAGGCGTGGCTTTCATGTCGCTCGTCTGCACTGTAGCAGCACCTTTCGACGCTGGCTGCATTGACAGGGGTCCCGAGGATTTCCTCTCGGGCTTCGAGGCTTCAACGGGCGGTGCGACAATCGGCTCTGTCGTCTTTGTGGGTGCCTGCTTTGCTGGCGTGGCAGAGGCAGGCACAGCGTTTTCAACATTCGTCTTGTCCTGCTTGACTGGCTTAGATGCCGTGGCCTGAAAAGGTTGTGCAACACCAGCGGACTTCGGAGGCGTAGCTTGCACACTTTTCTCGACCACAGCAGATCTTGCAGGCGTGGCCGGCACGACCTTGTCCTCCGCTTTCTCAATCACATCATTCTTCTTGGCTTCGGTCTGTGCAGCTGGAACTTCCACCTTCTTGCCAATCGCAGCCCTCGACCCTTTGGTCGGCGTCTCCTCAACGTCCCTCCTACCCATCTCACTAACCACCCTCGTCGGACTCCCAGCTCGGCTCCCAGAGCCCGCAGCACCAAGCCCAGAAACCAACCTAGGCGTCCCGGGCCTCAAGGGCAACGCAGGCAAAACCTGCTGACTTACCTGCCTCTTCAAACTCCCTACAACGGTCTTACTCGAACCCGAAGGCGTAGCAGGCCGACTGCCCACCACACCCACAATACCAATCAAGCTCCCACGTCGACTGCCAGGTCGGGAAATGACGGTGCCGTCTTCGTTCAGATGCGGTATAGCACTCGGCGCTTTGCCAGAGAAACCCGGGGGGATAGTGGGAGTAGATCTCCGACTTTGTGCCTCGGATGCGAGGGTGGACTCGAAGCCCGGTGGTACTGGTGGAGTGCCATGGCGGGAGCTGGTGGTTGGGAGAAGGTCTTCGACTAGAGAGGAGGGGAGGTGGACACTTGATTGTCGTGACGGACTTGCATTGGAGTTGTTGGGGTCATCTGGAAGGGTTTGTTAGCTTTGGTTTCTCTTACAAGATGTAAGTTGTGATGCGTAGATTGATTAGACTGTGGGTGCGCGGCGGGCTGTCGCTGGCTCTGTTTCCTCCTCTTTTATGCATGGTCTGGGCTGTTGCCGGTGGCGCAGGTGGTGCTATGGACAAAAAGCAGAGACTACCTGAGCGCTTCTACACTAGACATTAATGCGCTACGGAACCAAGCTACAGAAGAGTCGCATCGCAGTCGTTGTCATTACGGACGTAAGCAAGTGAAGTTTGTTTGGAGCAGGCAGTAAGTTGACAAGGCTGAAATATCTATTTCCTTATCTATCAGCCGCTGTCACTATAGGAGGAAGAAAGATGCCGTAAGCATACGTACAGAGTCTTCGGGGGGCGGTAACAGGATGTGATGAACGCCTTGCCTTATTTGGGAATCCAGGTACCAATGCCCAAGAACCCACACTTTGCTGTCGTTCTAATGTGCAAGGCACAAAGTCCCAAGCACGTGCACGCCCATGCCAGCCCACGCGCGCAAGCAAGTTCAACGCTTGAACTCGCTTGAGAGCTGGCCTGAAATTCCACCAACACCTTGCAGTAGATCAACAAAGAAAGCGCGCACAGGAAATAGCACCACGCTGACTCCAGCCACATCACCACCTCGCACCATAACCCGCACCTGCACCACCAGTACCATGTATGTACCCAGCACCAGAACCATTGTAAGCACCCGCCGCACTCATCCCCGCAGCAGCAGCCTGAAAGCGTCCTTGCAGCGTATGTTGATCCACGGTGGAAGCGCCATCAAAGCCCGAAGAAGCCGAAGATCCAGTGTTACCATGACCCTGTCGTGCATGCTTCTTCGACTTCTTCTTTCCCAAACGGCCGTTGTTGCTCTTCTCGCCGTCCGAGAAGACTGACGATGCGTAGTTCGGATTGTTCTGCTGACTCGCCGATGGAAATGCCTGCTGCGACTGCTGCTGCTGCGGGAACCCAGACGCTACCGAAGAGGCGGAGCTGTAGTGATTAGGAGGGGACTGAAGAAAACCGTTAGACTCACGCTGTGCACTGCCCTCTCGATTCCCTCGCAAGAGATTCCTCATCATCTCCTCGCTCGCATTTCTTCCCGCTGCTGTACCACTTCCATACTGTAGTCCTCCAGTAGCGAAACCGTGCCCTTGGCCAAAAGTCATGGTACCACTCACAGGCGGCGTGCCTGCGGTTTTGAGTCCGGGAGGCGGGCCCTGGACATTACTGGTGAAGAATTGTTGTTGTTGAGTTGCGTTCCCGAAACCACCTGCTTGAGGCATGATGGAGGTTTGTTGGTTCATCAGCTTCTGGTTCGCTACTGGCTTGACATTTGTGGAGGGAGATGTGTCGTTGGCGAAGGAGAAGCGAGATACTCCCCGGACGTGACCAGGGAGATGCGAAGGCTGGCTGAAAGTGGCTTGCTGGTTCATGAAGCTACCTGGGAGCTGTGGTTGTGGTGAAGACGTGCTTGGGCTTGAGACATCGCCGAATTGGAATCGGGGGTCGAGTCCACCGTCTTGACCCGGCGGTCTCATGGTATTGCTTTGGCCGAGTGCCTGTCGCTCCTCGGGCTCACCTCCTAATTGCAAACTACCACTCATTTCAGGGTTGTCGTCTTCGTCTGCGGGAGGAGGTTGCTGGAATGCTTGCGCCTCCAGTTCCATTCGTCTCTGCTCCTCTTCTCGTTGCCTTCGCTGCCGTCTCTTGGCGCCGCCATTATTGTCGAACAGCGGAGGATAGTTGTTCACTATCGCTACATCGGCTTCTGGAAGACCGGCCATGGAGAAAGTGAACTTGAAATTGTCAATCGAAAGGTTCCTCACAAGTTCCTCAAAGGGTGAAATTGTTTTCGGTTTCCGAGGCCGTGGTTGTCGTGGCGCAGCAGTGATAGTCGAGGTGGTAGTTTGAAGTTCGGTGACGAGAGGTTCGGGCTCTTCTGCAACAGGCGCTGGTGTAGCTTTCGACGGTGCCGGACTGTCCATGGTTCCACTGGTAGATCTACTCTCATTGCGGCTCGGCTGCTGAAGTGGTTTCGAAGCCCAGGAAGCGGTAGAAGGCAACCCAGGTCTGTCAGTCGTCGGACTACGAGACTGATCACTGGCTTGCCTCTCCATCGGCTGCGCTGCTGAGGCCACAGGCTGTTGTGATTGAGGAGGTGGTGGCCGGCTCCCGCCCTGTTGTGAAGATCCAGCGTTGAGTGCAGAAAGATCGGCTCGTGAGAAACTTTCGCCAGCCTCGCCAGGTTCGTGTAGGAACATGCATTGTTTGTTCGTGCATGTCTCGCCTCGCAGATATGCCGAACAGTACTTCGTGGTGCCAAATTGTGCGCGGAGTGTCCTCTCGCCATTCTTGGAACCGTTAACAGCAGTGATACATTGAGCGGCGTCCTCTTTCTGCTCGTAGGTGACGTATACACCAACAGATTGTAACTGTGATGGATCCTTGGCCTTGCTCACAACAATCTTCACAATCTTGCCGTATTGGCCAAAGTACTGATCGCCTCGGAGTGTCTGCAGTAGTTGATCCTCCTGCGCGGTGGGATTGAGACCGGTCACATAAACCAGGTTCTTTTGCACCACTCGCATGCCAGAAAGATGTTTTCGACTGAGATGATCTGCTTCAGCTTTTTGCTTTTCCTTGAGCTGCACTGCTTGATTCCTTCGTGTCTTCTGAGCTTGTCTTGCCTTGTAAGCAGCGATCTCGTCAGCGGTTAGTGCCTTGTACTGGATGTTCTCGTCATTGTACGGTCTTCGGCAGGCAGGACACAGGCCGTTCATCGTGCTCTTGATGTTGTTCCAGCAGAAATGACATATCTATAGCAGTGTCAGTGACCACCATACTCTCGTAGTACTCAAAGTCACGCTTACCTGATATCCACAGGGACAAGGCTTGAAATTCTTGTCATCAAAGGAGAGCTCCTCCACGCACAACGGGCACGTCTCCTCCTCCTCATCGTCGATGAACTGATCCTGCTGTGTTCGCGACATATCGGTGGTATGGAGTGTAATGCCCTGGTGGATGTGGGCCGCGGTGATGTGACGCGTAGAAGTGAAAGGCGGCGCAGATATGAAAGCGCACCGGAAGCTCTGACGTGCGACGAGGAAGCCAGCTTGATGGTCGCTACGAGCTGCGTCTGTGGTAGGTGTATTGCGAGGGTCGGATGTGAGAGCGGTAATATAGTCGATGAGATGGATGGAAGGGGTGTGTGAATAGAGATGTCGATGCGAGTGCTTCACAAGTTCACAGCAGGTCAGGTCAGGTCGCATCTTCCCGCGCTTTGACCTGGAACTAACAGCGGGCCCTCCCGCACATGATGGTGATGCTTCGATCAGGTAGATTCACGACCAGGAGCCTCGTTACACCCTCTACATAACCTTCACAATGGCCTCACGATCACTGAGCAGGCCCTTACGGTCTGCTGTCCGCGCAGCAGGCATCCAGGATGGCGTCAATGCCACGGTGGCGCGGAGGGCATTTGCGACAACAGCAGGACGAAGGGCAGAGATGACAGAGGCGAAGCCTTCGAAGCTGCCCAAGGCCGATACTAGCGACCTACCGAACCTGCGACACGCACAGCGAGGGCCAGAGGGACGAATTCATGCTCCAATTGTGAACCCAGCAGGTATGGCAGAGCTGTAGCCACTCCCACGGCAAGCCAATGCTAACAATGGATAGACAAGTTCCAGGAGATGGGCCAGTCACTCCACCAATATGGACAATATCTGCTCTCTTGCTTGCCTAAATATATCCAGCAGTATGACATCTCACAAAGTCATGCTCTAAGCTAGTACTGATGAGTGTACAGATTCTCCGTCTGGAAAGACGAACTGACAATCTACATCACCCCCACCGGCGTCATCCCAGTCTTCACCTTCCTCAAATACCACACCGCCGCCGAGTTCACCGCCGTAATGGACATCACCGCCGTCGACTTCCCGACCCGCGACCAACGCTTCGAAGTAGTCTACAATATGCTCTCCGTGCGCCACAACTCCCGTATCCGAGTCAAGACCTACGCCGATGAAGCGAGCCCCGTGCCCAGTATCTGCGATCTATACGATGGAGCAAATTGGTATGAGCGCGAAGTCTACGATCTCTTCGGTGTATTCTTCAGTGGTCACCCTGATCTGAGGAGAATAATGACGGATTATGGATTTGATGGACATCCTCTCAGGAAAGACTTCCCACTCACGGGGTACACGGAGATCAGGTACGACGAGGAGAAGAAGCGGATTGTGGTCGAGCCGCTCGAATTGACACAGGCGTTCCGGAATTTCGAGGGAGGCACGGCGGCTTGGGAGCAGGTTGGGCCGGGGCAGGATAGGAAGCCGGAAACATTCAAGCTGCCGACACCCAAGCCTGAGCCTAAGAAAGAAGAAGAGAAGAAGAAGTAGAGGATTAGATGGCATTGTGCAGGCTGGACCGGGATGTATAGTTATATTGTACATACAGAGTTTCAAGAACAATATATCAGCGCACCACTGGTCTCAGCATAATTTACTGCTACCGCGAAAGTCGTTGTTCTACGTTGGCACGTAAGGTCTGGCAGCAATTCAACGCCAATGGCTTCTAGTCTGCGATCATGTCCGACACACATGACCGTAATCTATGCTTAAGCTCGGCAACTCTAAAAAGCGGAAGGAACGTCAGCCAGACGAATCAAAATCCATCTGCTTTGACTCACTTCTTCTCACGCATACAGTATGTAGTCTTGTAGCAGAAATCTGATTCTCATATCTATTGAACGAGATCATCAGTCTCTTTACTCTTCCGCAATCATGGCGACCAACCACAAAGGTCTGCAAGAAGTAGAACCCCAACCCATCTCCGACGAGCAAACTCCTCTTTTATCAAACAGCAATGGCCACAGCAACGGCAAGCCCTCAGGAGTACCCGAGCCACATCGACGGGAGAGTGTCCCAGCCGAAGCAGCATCTTTCCATGCCTCTCTCGAGGCACAAGTAGAACGGGAGCGCCGCGAACACGAAGCCGGAACCATCCCGGTAGCGGACGAGCCCTCGACTGGGAAACTACTGGCTACGATGTCTAGTCTCTGGCTCAGTACCATCTTTGCTGCTCTGGACTCTACCATAGTGGCTACACTGTCAGGTCCGATAACCGCGAATTTCGAGTCCGGACGACTCTTTTCTTGGATAGCATCAGGATATCTGATCGCGAATGCTGCATGTCAGCCTCTGTCCGGAAAGCTCACGGATATCTACGGCCGAAGAGCTGGCCTGGTGTTCGCCAGCACGTTCTTTGCAATAGGGACTACGATCTGTGGATTTGCTCCCTCCGGATGGGTGATTATCGTAGGCCGTATCATCGCAGGCATGGGCGGCGGATGTCTGAACACTATTTCCACCTTCGTAGCCTCCGATCTCGTCCCACTACGGAAACGAGGTGTTTGGCAGGGCTTCTCGAACATTGTCTACGGGACTGGAATGGGTCTGGGTGGTGTTTTCGGAGGCGGGATTAACGACTGGATTGGATGGCGCTGGGCTTTCTATATCCAGGTCCCCTTTATTGTCGTTGCTGGAATTGCTGGGTTCTTGACTGTGAAGGTGCCTATTAAGGAGACGGATACGTCGAAAGCGGCGCGGGTGGACTACCTCGGTGCTTTGACACTCGTAGCTGCTTTGGTCCTGTGCCTACTTGGTCTCAACAGTGGCGGCAACATCGTCCCATGGAATCATCCTCTGGTCTATATTTCGCTCCCACTGAGTCTGGTCTTCCTGCTCTTATTCATATACATCGAGGACAAGGTTGCGCCGGAGCCTATCATTCCTGTTCGACTTTTGCTGGACCGCTCTGTGATGGCTGCTTGTCTTACACTATGGTTCATGACCATGGCCGTGTATGCACTGATCTACTACGGACCCATCTACTTCCAAGTCGTACGCGGCGTCACACCCACCCGAGCAGGAACGCTCTTCATACCTCAAGCTGCCGGCACAGCCGTAGGCTCGTTCGGCGCTGGCCTCATCATGCGCGCAACCGGGAAATACTATCTGCTGAACGTCTTCATGCAAATCCTTAACCTCACCGCCTGCATCTTGATTCTCACGACTTTCAATCTTACCGTCCCGGACGCTCCACCCTTCATCTACCTCTTCATGGAGGGGACCGCTCACGGCGCAGTCTTGACCATCACCCTGATCTCGTTGATCTCAGCGGTAGAGCATAAATACCAAGCCGTCATCACCTCAGCCTCTTACGCCTTCCGATCCACAGGGTCCAGTATCGGGATCACGATCTCGAGCGCCGTTTTCCAAAACATCCTGAGAAGGAGGCTGGAGGCGAGATTCGAGGGCTTGCCGGGTGCGGCAGATGAGATTGAGAGAATTAGAGACAGTGTTGAGAGGATCCACCATATGCCTGAGGGGTGGTATGAAGGGGTGTTGGAGGCTTATGTGGAGAGTTTGAGGGGCGTCTGGGCTGTTATCTTGATCTTCAGTCTACTTGCGGCATTTGCGTCTTTGTTCATGAGACAAAATGTTTTGCATAAGACTCTGGAGAGGAGATGAGGGCAGCGGTAGGGCGGATTCTACAATATTGTCTGTTCTAATAACGGACCATACTTCCTAAAGGTGCCTTACTGTGGAAGACTCTGTGCGGCCTATTACAGTCTTGGTGGTTGGAGGACGTCTTCTTACATCGTGTTGCCATTCACATCACACCGGCCTCTCTTCGGCCCACTCCTACACGATACATGAGCAATTCACCAGCTTCTAGTCCTTAGGGAAGTAGCTACGATATCAAACAGTAGGTCGTAAGACCGACACAACCTCGACAATTGCACATCTCATTTCCGACTTGAAGTTGGGTCCTTCCCTTTTGCTTTCGAAGCTTTGCATAGACTTTACTTTCGCTCTCCGACATTTGGCACATAATTCTTACTTACGGAAGAAGCTGTTTTCGCATCACACTTATTAAGCCGTCCAGCTTCACATCAAAAACATGACCTTGGCTTTGTTCGAGCCTGCTACAGCTTGGGTAGAGGGTCCACTATGGACCGCAACAAAGACAGTATGTTCTGGGCGCGACGAACAAAGAACTACGACGCTGCGTCCATTGGGCCGGCATGGCTGCTACCGCCATCGAATTATCCGGCCACCACAACATCATTCCATACGTGTTCAGGTGGAAGACCGCGAAAGCAGTCATTGCCGTGATTGGCCATGGCGCTAATGGAAAGGCATGAGCATGCCGACGCATCCTCCGAAGATGCTGATGGCAAGAACAGACCTGGAACTCTCATGCCTGTCCTCGAGAAGAACTTGACCTGGCTTGTACTTGTCATTTGGTCAACGATCGGGGCTTGGTTGGCGATCAGTCTCTTGCAACTATGCTTACGCTTTATTACAATATTGAACAGCTCGAGCATATCAACTAAACCCGCATTCGACGTCTACGACACTGCCTTCTTCGTAGCACTCCTGGTACTGGCCTGCCGGATCAAACTACCGAGCCTCTTCCATAGGCAGCCAGTATTATAATGGATCTTGCGGGCGGCAATCCTTATGGTTAGTATGGCAGAATCAAACGCAGGAGCCTCCACTAATGCTCAACAGATATTGGCATACTCGCTACCTAGTGTTATATAGACGTATCACGAGCTGTCGTATCTCCTCAACTATCCTTTGGGCCTGAGAAGCCTTGCGCAGCATGCAGCAAGATTATACTTGAGACTAGGTCTCAGCGTTGTTGTGGGCGACTCAACCGTACACCTGGTACTTGCCGTAAGCCTCCTACTCTTGCTGGTTGGAATCGCTGCCACGACCGTAAGTCCTAGCGATGATAGTCTCGGCCGGCAATACGTGTTACAGCTGAACGGTGAGCTGAGCCGCCAGAAATTCAATCCAATTATTTTCGCGGCCGGATCACCAGTCATGACGATTCGCCGCGAAGAGCGTAATCATGCACCGAATCGCCGTCCCTCGATACTGAAGAAGAAGACTAGCCCACCTTATATTCGCATAGGATACTTGCCTAGAGTAGTGGAGATCTTGACGCCCAAATCCGGGGTCTTGGACGGCATTTTTGCCACGATATGGCGGAAAACGAACGGCAGATTCGGACCAAGGTCTCATGCGCCAGCACATCTGCCACAATTTGACTTGGTGGAAGATGCTTCAGCTGGCGCTACTTCCGCTGCTGCGCACGAGCATGCCACAACTCATCCATCGAAGATCGAAAGTAGCGACACTATTGCGGCAAGAGAGCGACTAGCTCAGCTCCGCCGAGCCTTGAACGAGTTCAGACTTCAATACGACTTACTGATATCAGACAAGTCATTGAGCGAAGACTATCGTAAGCAGAAATCTGACTATTTATCATCCGCTATCGAGAAAGTGGTTCTGCGACTTAGCACTGATCGGATCGTTCTTCATCTTGAAGCGGACGACAGTCTGCGTGATGAGAAGCAGCAATTCTCTCGAGATGCTCATGTGCTACTTTCCAGACTAATGGTGGTTGCGATACCTACGATCTCAACGAAGAACGTCGAGGCTCGGTCTGCTGCTCCTCCGCAGCAGTCAGCTTTGCGGTCGTCACATTCGATTCCAGGCCGATATCCTGTACTCCCTCATCAGGACGATCAGGACTTGTACACATCTTCCGTCCCGCAGTCGCCTGCACATGTTCCAGTCAATGAACTTCATTCGAATCCTCTGGGACTCAGAGGGTATGAGACTTTAGACAGGTATAGGACTGATACAACCACTGGCTGGCGCACAACTCTTCGTAACCTTGTGACTCAAAGAGCGAAGGTACTGAATGAGGGTGAAAGGAAGAAGCCGAAACAAATACTGCCGCCTAGCTATCAGATGCATACAGCAGTAGTCGCAAATACACCTGGAGCCTGGCCATCATGGACGGAATTGCAACCCGCGACTCCTATGCAAGTCACTCCTACTGGCCTTTCTGCCGATGCTAGGCTGGTATTTAGTCCGCTAGTCCACCAAGTTCGAATCATCCTGCAGAATGCGTTGGGTATGAGCTGGGAGGCGATACCTGAGCATGCAGACCTCGCAGACCTTGGGCTCACACTACGAGACAAGGTGCAGGTTCTCGAGCACTTGCGTGCTGCAACTAAGCCAAGTCTGCCAGATACTCTATTGATCATGCAACGCACTCGAGCTTCCATCGAAGCAGCCGTGGAGAAAAGTGCCGAAGTCCAGGCCCTGCCCGAAGTCACCACTGAGATGATCAGGCCAGCAAGCCAGACTGTGATGGAGTTCCTGCAATCTCTTGTGGAGCAACACGAAGTCTTGATGAGTTCGAACGATACGAAACTCGAGACTTTCAAGCACGATCACGTCTATCTCCTTCAGGCTTCAATGACGAAGTTGCCTGTACCCTGGACACCTACCAGGCCCTTCCAGACATTCAAGTGCAAGACAAACTGGCCAGCATCAACGATAGCTATATCACCCGCCTGCACAGCCATCTCCAAGCTCTGGATCTTGAGGGCCTGCAAGCTAGTCTCTCCACCCGCAAAGCCCTCGAGTCGCTTGAAGACACCATGCAGTACTTTCATCAATTCAAGATGGCGCATGAGACCCGTGCAAAAGCTTCAGCAGGCTTGTCACTGTCGCTCAGATGTAGTCGGGATCTGGCATTCGAAGAGATTCGTCGCACAGTATGGGAGTCGGTAAGAGCCATGTCGCAGACGCACACAGATATCAGGATCCGTGAATTGGCGGGGATGAGCCTCGAGCAGGTAGATGTCTATGTGTATAACGAGCGTCAGAATCTGGAAGCGGAGACGAAGAGATTAGAAGGCCTAGCTCTTAATGCGAGAGGGAGAGGCGAACGAGCAAGACGAAGCGACGAGCAAGATACAGATGAGGAACACTTAGAGACTGCACGACGTGCGAGACAAGCAGCGCGACAACAGCGTAGTGGTCGAGGCGGCGCTCGAGAAAATGGCAACACTCAGGGAGTTTCTCGGTCTGCACCAGAGCAAGCACAGTCGAGAGTACGATCAGTGCTGGAATACCGTGATCGTCCTGCCAGCAGTCGGAGCTCACCTATCAACTTCGGGTCTGATGACGAAGACCATGACCGAAACCAACCGGATTCGGATGGTGAGCAGACGGAAGAGCCCACGATCCACCCGGACAGACAAGCACTTCTTGCGTCCTCATCAGCACAGAATACACTTACATTCCGATCATGGCAGCAAAACATTATCACGGCGGACGAGAAAGAGCAAGAACGTCGTCGTGCAGAGCAAGCAGGGAGTGAGGCTTTTGACGAGGCACGACAACGTGGTAATGGCGCTAGCACCCGTGGAGGACGCGGAAGAGGAGCACGAGCACGTGCTGAGCCGAGTGGCCGTGGTCGCGGTCGTGGTCGTGGCCGTGGCAGCGGGGATGGAGTGATGCCGTAAGAACGAGGTTTCGTCGAAGAGGCTGATAGTGGTCAACATTATAATACGCAGCCTGCCTCAGCACATGGCAATGGCAGGGGCGCCAGGGCTCCCGGTTCTGCGAACGATGGGCACACAGCATCTACATGCGGCGGTCGTGGTGCAAGACGTGGCGGAGGGAACAACGTTGAAGCCGATCAGACTGCGTCAGGGACAGATCGCGGTGGGGGCAAAGGTACTAGGGGTGAAGGACGAGGTAGAGGCCTCAGTCGTGGTCGTAGGCGCGGCGTCTTGATCAGAGGTCGTGGTACTACTGCCGAAAGAGGTCGAGGACGAGGTCGAGGACGAGGTCGAGGTGAAGTCGCGAGCGAGTAGCCATATGGTAGTGGAAAAGCTGCTGGTTCTAGTGCATGAAGATAGTGGCAGCATGGGCCACGACAGCGAGACAGCAAGATAGTGCAGCGTACTGAACAACATAGGAGTGTTTGATCGATATCTGTGCTACTCGATACTATGTAAACACACGTCCCTTGTAACGAAGCACATGTATGTCTACTTCCTTGGTCTGTTCACCGCAGCCACATCGCTACAACACCGTTCTACTCGTCCCTCCCACTAGAGCTACTAAGCAGTGGTGGCGGCGGCAAGCTGAAATCAGCCAGACTCTCCATTCCCATCTCCCTACTCAACCCCTGCGTACCTGCCGCAGCGAACCTCACACGATCAGGGGAGCTCCAAGGCGGAAGCGGCAAAGGCGAACTTGTAGCATATGTCTCTGGCCAGGATCTCAAGGTTTTCTGCGGTGTTGTGCCTACATACGGAGAGGAGACAAGGAGGATTGGTTGAGCTTGGGTCTCCTTCTCGCGTTTGATGTAAGCTAGAGATGCCTGATCCACTTCTCCGGGGCGTGATACAGGTTGTCGTGGTGAGGTTTGGGTAGGCACGACTGTGCTCACTTGACTTGGTCGAAGAGGTGGCGGAGAGGAGGGAATGCGCGGTTCTGCATGCTGTAGAAGCTGGAATGGCTGATGTGGAGGAGGCGAGGATGGTACTCGCTCGTCGTCATCATCATCGATCCCTGCGCATCTATCCTGAGTGACCGTCTGCGTTTCGGCATTCTTGGGAGGAGCAGGCACGACGCAGTCTCCAGAAGCCAACCCTTTATTATTGCGCTCGGAAGGCTGAGAAGACGGTACAGCCTCAGCTGCTTGCATGAGCTCGTTGGACAACTGCTCAGATGCCGACGACTCCGGCTCATGGTCGATCGTCTTGAAAGGCACGAGCGTCTCATCCTCAAGCATGTCTTCGTCATCACTGTGTGTACTATTGCTGATATGTGGCTGGAGCGATGTAGCCTGTGTCTGCGCCTGTGTTTGTATCTGATCGGCAAACCGAGCAGCATCGCGATCCAATGCTGAGTATGCTGGATCGTATGTGTTGTCTTCTTGTTGGTATTCGCTGTAAGTAGCCCCTTCACCTTGAAAGTCCATGTTTTCGTTTATTTCTTGGATATGCTGCGTAGGTTCTGGCCAATCCAGCTCCAGATCCGAGTCCTCGTGTTGCGAGTCTTGAATAGTGTTCGTCCGCTGGAACTTCCTTCGAGCTCGTTGTTCCGGCACAGGTAGAATTTGTGTCTCCATTTCGGTCTCTACCAGATCGAGATTGTCAGCATCATGGTCAAATTGTGTTTCGGGCACAGTACTGGTTCGCCTCAATGTCCGCACTGCTCGCGGAGCGGCGTCACGAGTTTTGGCCGGTGCCAAATTGATTTTGTCGATAATCCACAGACCAGGGTCAGGGTCTCCAGCTGTAACGGCCGCAGAACCTTTGCTCGGCAGAGGCGAGGCCACCTTGAGGGAAGATTTCGCTGGTGATCGAACATTGACGCTTCTCTCTTTCAAAGGACTTCTGAACATATCGCTATGGCGGTCTCTCTCCTGAGTGGAGAGCTTGACGCTCGCCGGACTCTGCGAGGAAGGAATCTCCTTGAAGCGTACCTTCTGCGGTGTGGCGAACGGCTTAGTGGACGTGCCATCATCGTGAGCTCGCAAATTCTGCACGGAGGTCGCATGGTCGTGGAGCTCGCTTTCAGGTATTTCCAAGGAAAGCCTGGCACCAATATCGTTTTCGTCATCACTTTCAACTATCTCTAGACGTTCCAGTGGCTGCATCGATTCGGCCGCTCTAGCTCTGCGCTCCCGCACGACAGCTTGCATGGGCGTATGAACAGCCTCTTCAGAATTCTGCCACATCTCAAATTCTTCCTCATCCAGCCTCGGCCTTCGTTTTTGCCTTGCTGTGGCAGAGTGGACAGCCTGAGTATATGTGGGTTGGCTTTCGGGCTTCTCCAGCTTCCTAGTTATTCTTCGCCTCTTTGGCTGTGGCTCCATGAACTCCTCCTCGCTGTCCATGATTCTGCTGCTGCTACTGGGTGGGTCGATCCAGCCGACCTGTGTCAATGTAGACTGGCTTTTGGTCAGACGTGGCAAGGCATCTTTCTGCCTGACGACCTTTCGCCGCTGTGGGAAACGAGCTTGTCGAGGAGCTGCGGTGAGCGCTTGGTACTCTGCGTCATCCTCAACAGCACGGAGAGGCATTTCCAGGCTTCTGTCAAGCATTGAGGGTTCAGACGTTGCTCGTGTACAGTAGAACGCGTCCTTGCACCGGAAGACGCGCCGTGGTCTTGGCGCTCGTCATAAACTGCACCATTTGAGCATCAGAACTTGAAGAACAACTCCATAACATCTTGTCTGGGCGCCATGCATTGATCATCGATTTCACCACGAGTCCATGTTGGTCTCGAAGCCAGTATATCGTACTCTTGCCGCGATCTGGGCGGCCGTGTTCACGAGCTATGCCTGAGCGACCAGACGCACGCGAAAGACCGCCGGAAGCACTCAGGACGTTGTATAAACAATGGCAGAAGGCAACCTTAAGCGAGCTAGAAACTACTCTAGTTGATGGAAACAATGGCGACTCCTTCCACTTGACCGAGCAGGATAAGCTGTTCCCTGAGACAATAGACATGACCTTCGAGGATTTTACTGGCGAAGCAGACAGCAGATATAGTACAGAAGCACCCCGCGTGTACAGTGTAAAGAGCGTGCCTGGTAAGTAATGAATAGCAGCCCTTGAGCTGATAGCCAACAAGAACAATCTGAGAATAGGGTAGGTCTCTTTTACTATCCCAAACTCCTACCAGAGCACGTCCAGATGTCCTTGCTAGACAAGCTTCTACACCGTGATCTCTCCAATCCTGACCACAAGACCAATGTCCACTTGCACTACGATGTTTCTTATCCATCCGATACTGCTTCAATTTTCGATGTCTCCTCCCAGTCACTCCAACACAACCCAAAGGCTGGCCATGCGCTTATGAGCACACAGAAAATGCTGGATAAGAAGCTCCGATGGATGACATTAGGAGGTCAGTACGACTGGACGAACAAAGTCTACCCTGTCGGACCGCCTCCGCCATTTCCCAAGGACATTAAGGACTTACTGGAGGGCATCTTCCCCATAAAGGCCGAAGCCGCGATCGTCAATCTCTACAGTCCAGGAGACACACTAAGCGTCCATCGTGATGTAAGCGAGGAGTGTGCACAACCACTGGTCTCGATAAGTATTGGCTGTGATGCTCTCTTTGTCATCGGGTTTGAAGCTAAGCAGGTACCGGGTGACCCCCTGCGATCAGCGGTCCTTCGCCTTAGGTCGGGCGATGCAGTACTCATGAGTGGCGCAAGTCGATACGCATGGCATGGTGTGCCGAAAGTCCTCGCTGGGACCTGTCCGGACTGGTTACGGGACTGGCCTACTGTGGGTGGCGAGGAGAACCCAAAGAGGTTTGAGGGCTACAAGGGCTGGATGGAGGGTAAGAGGGTCAACTTGAACGCCAGGCAGATGTTCGCGCAAGCCGATGAAAGTCAGAGAGCCCGTGACAGACACGATCATGGGATGCCATCTGTGTAAGAGATGCAATGGTGGTCGCAATCTATACTGGACATCAAGTTACACCGACCTTCATATCAAAAGGACGGCAGAGAACCGTACTACTGACAATAACACGTTCGAGCACCATACTTTCGGCGTAAAATCCACAAGCGCCGAAGCGGATGTTCGGCATCGACATTTCTGCACGATCTATGCAGACTACGGACTAGGCGGTATATACTCCGACCATATGTTTGTGATAAGGATGCTACTGTCATCCTACTACCAGTCTTCACTAAACATCATTCTGCTGTGAGGCCGTAAAATCTGAAGCACGAAAGGCAGGAATCATTGAGAAGCCGACATCGCTTTGCATCCCACTTTCACCCCACACGGACTTTCCGCTTCGGTGCCGAAACGAATAGACCTACCAGGACTGGATGAATGGTCAGAACCATGATAAAGACTCGACTTCACAACACGATGTAGAAGGAGTAGATTCTACGGCGACGACCTTGCTTGGTAGTCCAGCCTCTGCGGTGGTAGGAACTGCTACTACATCGATCGACTATGCAGCTGGAGAGTACACCAGGCACCGACAGGATGACAAGAAAGAGCATGATCTTGAATATGATACTTCGGAGGATGAGGATGGCTTTACGGGAGAGGGCGAGCATCTACTCGCTGGCGACATAACAGCCACCATAGACACAAACATCACACACTCAGCCAACGTAGACGACCTCGACCCACAACCACCTTCACAACCCAAAGCAGACTCTAAGTCTAACCCAGTATCCTGGTCCTCACTACCACAAAAGCGTCAACTCGCCATCCTTACCCTCAGCCGCCTTTCCGAGCCTCTAGCCTCAACAAGCCTGCAATCATACATCTTCTACCAACTGAAGACTTTCCATGCTCCAGGCGCATCTCCACCAACAGACGCAACAGTAGCAACACAAGCCGGTATCCTCGCTGCCGCGTTCACAGGAGCCCAGATGTGTACGGCTGTGCTATGGGGCAGGGCGGCTGATAGTGAGAGGATGGGAAGGAAGAAAGTCATTCTTGTTGGGCTTCTGGGTACATCGATTGGAGTACTGGGCTTCGGATTCTCCTCGTCTTTCGCGCAAGCGGTGGTCTGGAGAGCAATAGGTGGAGCGTTGAACGGGAATATTGGTGTCATGAGGACAATGATTTCCGAGATTGTGAGGGAGAAGAGGTTTCAGTCCCGAGCTTTCTTGCTCTTGCCGATGACGTTCAATGTTGGTGTTATCATTGGACCGCTATTAGGTGGTCTGCTGGCGGATCCGGTGGGAAGCTATCCATGGTTGTTTGGGAAAGAGTACGGTGGATGGTTGAGGATGTGGCCTTACGCGCTACCAAGTGTTGTTTGTGCTGCGTTTCTGTCATTCAGTGCACTGGGTGTAATTCTCGGACTCGAGGAGACGCTAGAGGGTCTGCAGGGCAAGCCGGACTATGGGTTGAGATTCAGTAGTTGGGTCGCAAGAACATTCGGCTGGTCGAAGAGGAGGAGCCAGGAGTATCAAAGTCTGGCCGCTCATGAGCATGCTGTTCAAGACTTCGAAATGTCCGCCCCTCACCACTCACGTCAACCTTCAGCAATCAAGAAGCAGAAGTTACCACTCTCCCGTATCTGGACACCTAACGTTGTCCTGACTCTCCTAGCCCATGGCTGCCTCGCCGCCCACGTGGGCTGCTTCAACAATCTCTGGTTCGTCTTCCTCTCCACGCCTCGCTATACTGCCAGGAGCAAGAACAATGATGGCGATAGCACTACAATCCATCTTCCCAAAGGTTATACGCCGCACGCGCCGTTCACCTTCACGGGTGGTCTTGCGCTCCCACCACCAAGTATTGGTACCGCATTAGCTATCTTGGGCGTGATTGGCATCAGTATGCAATTACTTCTCTATCCGAGGGTGAGTTGGAGATTGGGTACGGTGAGAAGTTATCGATACTCGCTTCTCCTGTTCCCGATATCGTACACGCTTGCGCCGTATTTGGCTGTCATACCCTCTTCCTCCCCGGCTCCTCATCCAGCCAGTGGAGGATGGATCTGGACGGCCATTACCTTCCTCCTACTCATCCAGGTCACGGCCCGGACGTTCTCGCTACCGGCTACGGCTATACTGGTCAATAATTCTTGTCCGCATCCCAGCGTGCTCGGGACGGTGCATGGGATCGCACAGACGGTCTCGAGTGCTGCGAGAACTGTTGGCCCGGTGCTTGTGGGCTGGGGATACGGAAGGGGGCTGGAAAAGGGCGTGGTTGGTGCTGCTTGGTGGGGTCTTGCAATCTGGGCTGTGCTTGGTGTGGTGGTTGGGCGATGGGTCAGAGAGGGAAGCGGGCATGAGATCTTCCTTGAGGGAGAGGTTGAGGAGGGAAAGGGCTGAGCTACATTGAGTGGGATTCTGCTCACTTGCTGAGAGCTCATGGCATTACTCACTACCATTCGAGCACAAGGCGGACTAAGTGGCATTGAATACGCCAGGACCTCACTCAGCACTAATGCTTGGGCTCACAGGCTGCCATCAGCTTCTTATCAACAAAGCTCAGCAGTATACATATGGCCATCTATCGTTCTATGCAGGCACTCGATCTACACAAACCAACACTTTAATCATCATGCCCACCATCGACTCCCCCGCCATGGAAGATAAACACTCCGACCTCATGGGACTGCCAGTCGAGCTTCGAGAGGAAATCTACGGACTCGCATTCTCCGCTCCCTATATTTCCGACCATGATCTGCTGAATAAGCCCGGTCCGCCCCTCGACCTACGTCTCACCTCAACGTTCGTCCACGCCGAGACGATGAGAGCGTACATCAAAGCACAAGCTGGCTTTGAGGACACAAGGAAGGACTTTATTGAGTCTCTCCAAGACACACGCAGGGCTCGCCACTCCCACAACGACCGCAACTCCCTTGATGCCGCCTCTGACCCTGGTAGACTCGCATTCCTTGCCACAGTGATGGCGATACGCTGGCCTTTATGCGAGCACGTTTGTGCTGAGCGTGGATGCTACATGTGCTCTTCGCCGTTCCACCGGGCCTGCTTCGGCTGTGGGATGTGGCGGGCTCTCGCATTCTACTACTCCTCCCGTCCGGACAAGACACCCCTGCTTGTCGAACTGGTAGGAACTTCGGTCGTGCATACTGCTCTCGGATTCAAGGTACGGGAGGGCACAGCGCTGTACAAGATGGATCGAGAGGACCTGTATCGCCCGGCCTCACGGTCAAACGAACATCTGCCGTCGCCTGCGCGGTCGAGGTATTGGTGGGCGGTGGAGTTGGACAAGCAGTTGCATGTTGCCATCAGGTGCAAGATTCGACGGAGAGCCGTGGATCGATACTGGGCTGTTCAGCCTTTCCAGAGAGAGTCATTTGACGAGGAGACAATAGCTGAGCTGGAAGACGAAGATATGGATAGCTTGAGTATGCATAGATGGACGTCCTATATGGAGGGTTCCGGCTGGGCGAGGGAATTTGACTGGCAGAGCGCGTATGCTCGCTTCGTGGCCGAGGAGCAGAGGCAGTTGGAGCTGGCTGGGAGTGACAAGAAGCTGGTGCCTTCGGAGTAAGTGGTCACGCTAACGCCTCCACAAAGTGCTCCACCAGCATGTAGTGCTTCGGAGTCCAGTTTTTGCCTATTACAAGTCAACGATGGATCATTTCCACCAAAGCATCTGAGTTCGGGGAAGAATGAGGACATATGTTGAGTACAAAAGCTGTGCAACTGTGTACCAAAAGATATCTATTTGATCTTCTTCGCCTTCAACCGGATAGTCTCATCGTTGACGAAAATGCCCTTGCCCTTATACGGCTCTGGAACCCTCCACTCTCTGATCTTGGCCGCAAACTGCATCACCACTTCCTTCTCGACGCCCTCGAGCAGAATCCTCGTCGGCTGCGGTGTACTCGCCGTGACACCTTCGGGTATACCGAGTTCGATGGGATGCGAATATCCGACTTTCAGTGAGACGAACTTCTGACCGGGATATGTTGCCGTTGTCGTCGTGGCCGAGGCCTCGATGGTAGCGCGGTAGCCTACGCCGACGAGGCGCAGGATGGCGGTGTGGCCTTCGCTGCAGCCTAGGATGTGATTTTGAAGGTAGGCTCGAGCTGTACCTGTGTATATATGTAGCATTAGCCATTGAATCCGATTTATCTGATGGATCATTTTACTACTCACCCCACATCTCCCTCTGCTTCCTATCCTCGGCATCGAGGATACTCAGCGTCTTCGTCTTCGCCGCCTCGTCTTGCTCTATACTCATGTACGCAGGGATACTGTATGACATCTTCCCCCATGGGCCAGAAATCTCAATCGTGGATCCTTGCTGTGATCGCATGATTTGTTTGCTGCTGGTTGATGAGCCACGTGTTGGCGCCTGTGGTGTGACTGTGAACGTGACATCTGGCGGTAGCGAGAGAGGAGCGCGGCCAATCTTGGAATGGCATCGTGAGGTGGTCGAGAAGGAGTTCGAGGGTAGACTGAAGGCTGGAAGCAGGAAAGCTGGGGGTGTTGTTGAGGTCGGTCGATGTGTATGGAAGACTGTTTGGAGAGCGATCGATGAGCTTCTCTCACATCTTGATGCTGCCATTGTTGTAGACAGCATATGTCGTCTGTATCGAAAGTCCTACTTATGGTCAGACGAGTCGCAAGTCACGAGCTTTCGCGCGCAGTTCGCCCGATCAGGAACACTCCCGAAAGTTTCCCTGACCACGTCTCCGCGTCCCACTTCGACTCCATGCTGATTCCAGCAGTCCCACAGCATAGCGAGTGGCCTCTATCACATGTCTTCCAAACCTCACTTGCTCAATCTCACTCAACGTTTCGCATATCACGTGCAACAATTGTCGCCGCCATACCACATCCGGTAGCTGTGACCTTCAATCAAGGCATCCACGGTCCTAGCGCGGCGGCGACGTGGTTTCCTCCGTCGTCTCTCCGCCGGCTGTGGGAGGTATAAGGAGGCAGCCATCCCCGTTCAACAATCTTCTTCCGTTTGCCACTCACATCGACACTTCTTCCATCGGTGTGTGGTCGACGATCATCCTTCGACTTGAGTATCACTCCTTCACAGCATAATATCATACTTCCTTCAACACAACGCCTAGAGTTCCAACAACTCTGGTCGTCTCTTCTTCATACTAACTCAGGGAAGGACAAACATCACGATGTGGTCACTTCTGCTCCTCTGTCTATCTGTCTTCTGCAACATCTCTTCTGCTTCAATCGACAATCAAGGTAGACTACCCTTTCCCTGCTGATTGTCAACAGTATCACTGACTATTTCACAGTCATCTCTCTTGGTCATGGCAACGGCAACATCATCGACGCACCCTCTCTTCCCGACTACGCATTCTCAAATGCAGCAAAGACCGAGCTGGCCGCAATCAAGAAATACCAATCGCTTCCAACCTGTGAGAGGCTAGCGACTGGTGCCCTCCTGACCAGCTGTGCCTCCTTGGAGCGTCCAGTCTCCGTCAACCCCGATGACCCTGCGCCTGGTGCTGATGCACTAGTTCGAGACCAGCAACAGCTCTACGCGGCACGACTCTCGGTCTGCAGGCTCAACCATACCGGCAACCCAATTCCGAAAGCCTGCCTCCCACTTCTCCCGACTGAGCGCAATACAAAGCGGAAGTGGTTGACAGGCATCTTAGGCAAGGCCACCAGCCACGAGACCTCTTATCCGGACTATGAGCGTGACTCGGAAGCTCATGCTGGAGCGTGCATCAAAGCGCTCTACCATGAAGGCAATGGGCAGGCATGGACGACCTACGAGACCAGCGGCCATAGCATGATAGTGACGTGCCGATCTCTCCGTGACGATGTCGAGCGTGACGAGAAGATCGCTTACATGGGTGGGCTCACCAGTGCTTACGAAAACATCTTCTCGTCGGCTACCGAGAGCATGGAAAGGCTTGTCCAACGTGAATCCGAGCAGGAGCGCTTGTTCCTGGAGCACTATCAGACTACCTTGGCGAGAATCAAAGATCTGGACATGAGGTCTGCCGTGTCGACAGACGAACTCCTAGCTCGCCTCTCAAGCCTCGGAGACCAGATGGCGATTATGCTTGACCAGGCGGCTGACGCCCAACGCCAGGCCCAAACCCAGTCAAGCCAGCATGCTGATCGCATGCAGGAGCTCTCCGTCTCAAGCCTGAGTGAGCAACAACAGGCACACAGCGTCTCCTTGACCCTCTTCGAGCAGCAACGTGCATACTATGGAGAGATGTACGCTCAAGATATCCAACAATACTTCGGGCAGGTCAAGCAAGACATAACAAACACCGTTGCCCAGGCTATCGAGGGTATCAAGACCGTCAAGAACGATGCTGCTGAACTTCGCGCTGAGCTCTCAGGTGCTATAGAGGATGCCAAAACTCTCAATGGCAGCCTTGGCCCGATCCTGTCACTCGTGAGCATACTTGAGACTGTCTTGCCCGAGGCACCCGGCTTCAGCAAGACCCTTGGTGGCATCGTCTTCTTCGCACTCCCGAGCTTCGCCTTCTGGCAGAGGGTCGTCGCATGTCCGACTTCTGGTCACATTACTCTCTCGCTCGCTAGTGGATGGGGTAAGCAGGCCCCTCTACACATACTACCAGAACATAAGCTGACATGATATAGTCCTCTCCAAGATCTGGACTTTACTCTACCAGAACATCGACCTCGACCGCCCGGCCGCCGCTCTCCAAGACTACAACACCCTGACCACGATCCCGAACGCAGCCTTCTGCGCCGTACTTGTTGTGCTGGCTCTGGCTGTCATCTACGGCGTCGTGACACTGGTCGAGAGGTGCATCGGACGTTGCACGACCAGCGACGCCCAGGCCTCAACGCTCCCAATCACTGAGAAAGGCGGGGGGCTCCAAACCCAATTGACCTTCCGCTTGCCCATCAACGACCCCAAGGCCTTCACCAACAGGCAGGAGAAGCATGTTGCGGAGATGGCTTGAAAGGATGCGGGTGGATGTGATGGGCTGGGCTGAGCTGAGGCAGTGAGGGGGCGGGGACGGGAGTCTTGGGCGGAGCATACACAGCCATACATCTACAAGAGGAGGCTAACCTGCATTACTTGGCTTGCATTACAGAAGCGATGTTCTGCTTTCTTGGGTCTGATTCTGCTATTATCTAGCGAGGGGGCATGAGACTAGGGAGGATGAGCATATGCAATATGAGAACATGCGACATGAAGTATCCGTCAAAGTCCTGCATTGTACACAAATCACAATCTCCTCCACTCCACTCCCATCCACTCGAAGCCACGGAGCTGGCGCTTCCCAAACGCCACGTCAGCATCACATCATAGCTCTCCAAAAGCTCCACCTCCCAGCCCCCACCCTTTTCCAAGCCCTTTGTCCTCATAGCCATCCACGTAAGAACATGCGAAAGGACTTCCATTCCATACCATCGAGGGCAACACAGAACAGCCTGTATGATCTTTTCCTCGAATCAACATACTGAACAAAGCTCCCCCGCCGGCTCCATTCGCGTGGTCTCTCGCGACGTATACCGCAAGCGAGCGAGTTGGCAAGCGAGGGAGAGAGAGAGGGAAAGGTGGACGTCTACGGGGAGTTCTCACCAGTCGGAATCAACAAGCACGGCGACCAGCGGGTTTTCCCAATTTCAGTTTCACGACCTTTAAGACTTCGCTGCCACTTGTGGAGGGACCGGAAGTGGTCTACCATATCAATAGTCGTTGATTTTCCCTCAGTATACATCTCCCATGCAAGCTTCTCGAGGTCCTGACTCCAGCTAGTAGTGCAAGTTAAAAAGAAACCAAAGCAGCGAAGCGGGCGAGCACTGAGCTCGCGCTGCCTCGCAGTCCACGGAACAATACAATGCTTTGGGGGGAAACACCGTTTCGGCGCACATATCGTGACACATCCAAGCCCCCTCGCGGTTCCCTTCTCCTTTCTTCCCCCTTGGTCCACTAGGACGCTTTTGCGAGAGCTCGGCATCGAGAGGTAGTGTGTCTGTCGGGCTGCACATCTCCTTCGCCTTCCAGTCTTGGGAGTGTCGTCTTTGTCTCCTCCTTCTCCTTCGTCTCACTCATCGCCGTCCGGTCGGGTAAAGACCCTACGAAAGAGCGTGGTAAGTCGGACTGTCGACGAGAAAGACTAGTCGGCCGAGAATCTCCTGTGGTAAAAAGAAAAAGCTTGGTCTCAGCAAAGAGACGTCTTAATGATTCGCGAAGATGGAAGCGAAATCAAGGGGTAGCAGTGGAGGAGGAGGGAGGGGAGTGAAGGAGGGAAGGTGGGGGGGAAGGGAGAATGGGGGACTCACAAATGCTGCTCATAATAATCCAATAACCGCTGCGGCACCTTTTGCCGTAGAACCTTCATCTTATGCTGCGTCTTGGGTCCCTGATCCCGCCACTCCAACAAACCAATCAACTCCTTCTTCTGCGGTCCCGCCTTCCCGCCTCCGACTCTCATCGGTGTTTCTTCCTCCACGATCGAGGACACGGCCAGAACATGGTCGTCCCAGGTTCCGGGCGGGAGGGTGCGTTTTTGTTCTGCTGGTGGTTGTTGAGATGTGGAGGTGAGGCCGTTGGATTTGCGGCCGCGTTTCTGGGAGGAAGTTGAGGTTGAGGTGGGCAGAGGCGAGTCGAGTGCGTCGAGGGCTTCGGAGGCGGTGCGTTTACCTTTTGCTTTGGTGGAGGGTTTTTTCGAGCTGCCTTTGGAGGGTTTGGGTTCGGGGGGGCCGCCGACTGTGGCGTGGTAGGCTGCTAGGACATCGGGGGCGGTTTCACTATGGCATACGTTTGTCAGTGAACGTTCTTTTGTATGTCTGTGTTCTGTAGGATGTTTCAAGGACACACAGATTATCCACGGGCTCCCAGGTCAAATCCGCCTTGTCGTCGTAACCCAACCACTTGATCTGATACAGGATGGTGCCATCAACGGCATAATCGTGTTTCAGGATCTTCTCGACTTGGTAGGCGTCTTCGTCTCCCTCTTCTTCTTCTTCTTCTTCCTCATCATCGTCGTCTGCCTCCATCGGTTCCGGGTCGATGGCTTTGGCTTTGGCTTTGCCCTTGGCGGGGATCATGTCGGGGATGTCGAGGTCGTCGGATTCGTCGTCGGAGATGGCGGCTGTAGCCTTGTTAGTAACTGGTCGCGTCTGGCCTTGGACTTTGTCGGTTGGTACTTACGAGGCATGGCTGCGAGTGCGGCGCGTTGGCGTTTGGTGGTGGATGTGGTGGATGTCAGTATGTGAGATGTGAAGTGAGTGTGAATGCGCGCCAATGGTTGTCGAGAGAGATCGGTCTCGCTGCGGGACAGAAACGCGGTCGCGGTCGCGTGGAAAGAGAGAAAGCTTGGGCCATCAAAAAGTTCGCGATTGCAAACAGATCACACCATGAGAAGAGGGAATAATTGATTTGATTAATCACAACCCACCACTTACCCACCACTTACCTTGGGGAATTTGATTGAAGGAAGGAAGAAAGGAAGAAGGATTGAAAGGCAGAACAAGAGCAGTACATATACCAACGCCCAAGCCAGCGGATAGCAGCAGTAGTGAGGGAGCCTGGTGAGGGAACAGTGAACGAGTCGCCAACATGGCGGGAATGAGTGAGTGGTATATCATATCACATGACAGATCGCATTATGGCTGACAGTGATATGCAGACATCGACCTGAGCAACGGTATACCACAAACCCTCCACACACCCTACCCCACCACTACCACCACCTACTAACACCCCCCTCCTCCCAGCCCAAATAGCCAAAGACGAGTCCGGCCGCCCCTTCATCATCGTCCGCGACCAAGGCAAGAAAAAGCGCTCCCACGGCACCGAAGCGGTCAAAAACCACATCCTCGCCGCCCGCACCATCGCCAACATCGTGAAAACCTCCCTGGGCCCCCGAGGCCTCGACAAAATCCTCATCTCCCCCGATGGCGACATCACCGTCACAAACGACGGCGCGACCATCATGGGCCAGATGGAGATAAGCAACCACATCGCCAAACTCCTCGTCTCCCTCTCCCAATCCCAAGACGCCGAGATAGGCGATGGAACGACGGGAGTCGTGGTCTTAGCAGGAGCACTCCTCGAGCAAGCCGCCGAACTAATAGACAAGGGCATCCACCCGATCCGCATCGCCGACGGCTACGACGCAGCGTGTGAAGTCGCGGTGGCCGAGTTGGATAAAATCTCCGACGAAATCACCTTCTCCCGCACCGATACGGAGAACCTGCTCCGCGTGGCCAAAACCTCGCTCGGCTCCAAGATCGTGTCGAAAGCCCACGACCAATTCGCCACCATGGCCGTAGAAGCCGTGCTCTCCGTCGCCGACCTCGAGCGCAAAGACGTCGATTTCGAATTGATCAAAGTCGACGGCAAAGTCGGTGGATCGCTCGAAGACTCCCTCCTCGTGAATGGGGTAATAGTCGACAAAGACTTCTCGCACCCGCAAATGCCGTCCGAGGTGAAAGATGCGAAGCTAGCAATTCTGACCTGCGCCTTCGAACCCCCGAAACCGAAAACGAAACACAAGCTTGATATCACCAGCGTGGCCGAATTCCGCGAACTGCAGAAATACGAACAAACGAAATTCGCGGAAATGATTCAGCAGATCAAGGACACGGGCGCCAACGTCGTCATCTGCCAATGGGGTTTCGACGACGAAGCGAATCATTTACTCCTGACCAACAACCTCCCCGCCGTGCGATGGGTAGGCGGGCCCGAGATCGAATTAATCGCCATCGCGACGAATGGACGCATCGTCCCTCGATTTGAGGACCTGAGTGCGGCGAAATTGGGCAAAGCGGGCATTGTCCGCGAAATGTCCTTTGGCACCACGAGGGAGAAGATGCTAGTAATCGAGGAGTGCGCCAATAGTCGCGCCGTGACGTGTTTCCTCCGCGGCTCAAACAAAATGATCATCGATGAGGCCAAGCGCTCCCTCCACGACGCCTTGTGCGTGGTCAGGAATCTGGTGAAAGATAATAGGATCGTGTACGGTGGCGGAGCGGCGGAGATCGCGTGTTCGCTTGCGGTGGAGGAGGCGGCGTTGAGGGAGAAGGGGGTGGAACAGTATTGTATGAGGGGGTTTGCGGAGGCGTTGGAGGCTGTGCCGATGGCGTTGGCGGAGAATTCGGGGTTGAGGGGGTTGGAGACGCTGGCGGAGATTAAGGCTCTGCAGGCGAAGGGGGGAGAGGGGAGTGGGAGGGGGAGGTTGGGGGTGGATTGTTTGCAGACGGGGAGTCTTGGTGAGTCTTCCCACCCTTTTATCCATTCTTTTCTTTGTTCTTTTTTTTTCGGTGGTGTGCTGGTTATGTGGAATGATATGGTTTTTTTGCTGACGACGATCTTGTGATCTGTGTCACAGACATGAAGAAGAATTTCGTCATTGATCCGTTGATTTCGAAAAGGCAGCAGTTGTTGCTTGCCACGCAGTTGTGTCGGATGGTGCTCAAGGTCAATAATGTTATTATTGCGGGCAGTGATGAGAATGATTTTTAAGGATGGCAAGGCGCCTTTTTGGCTGGCTGGCTGGCTGACTTGGTCGGGGGCGGGAGTGGGGGTGAAGTGGAATGGGGTGGACTGCACTGGACTGCGTTGTGTGGTATGCATAGTATGAGGAAAGAATCGCATGGCCTCGACAATTCTTTCACGCCTTCCAGCTTTCGGTGCGGCCGCTTCGCACTCTGTCCGTCTTCTCGCTTCCTACACATGATGGAGTGGACAGGGGATAGGAGGCCGGCTAGATGGAGGGGGAAGTACAGAGTACATAGATACAGATAGTAGCTCATGCATGATGAAGAAGATTCTGTATGATACATGTCCACGGCCTCCTCCTCATACGTCCGGGGGGGTGGCTCGCATCGCCTCCTCAAAAAAGCGCTACGGGTCATGTAGCTGTTATGCCTGGCAGCCCTCTCATACATAGGGCAGGCAGCAGACTATCAATGATACGGGGTCACGAAATCAGCAAAGCACTACGTCTCGGGCTTCGTGCCCGGCCGACGTTTATACTTCCTCGGATCTGGGAAAGCCGCGGTCAGTCACTTTCTCGTTTCCCAAACAAACCCACTGTATGCCTTGTTGTTTGTCGTTTGATTGTTGTGCTGAAGCAATGGTCCCCAAAACGATGAGTAACGGAGGGGCGACAAAGAACTTGGAACATACCTTTCCTCGACATCCTAGCCGGATCCCTCGTCCCTTTCCCACCTTCCCAGAAGCCACGACCGCGTTTGCCGATCAGGACGGCGTGGCAGATGCCGCAGTCTTCGGGTCTGTAGTTTTGTTCTCGGGAGCCTGTGTAGCGAGGGGAGATGTGATGTCAGTGATGCCTCTCCATCTCACGTACACACCCATGTGGCTTGCTGAAACCGCTTGCCGGGCGGCCTCGAGACGAAGCATGGATGTTGATCTTGAGTCAGATGAGGTAATGGGGCAGTCCAAGCTCATGAGCACCGCCACAGTAGGGTAGAGTACCCAGGTACGGTATTTTGATCTTTGGCTTGGCACATACGTCGTTGGCCAATTCGTTTCCGAACTGGGAAAGCCGCTGCAGGCAGGGAAGAAGAGATAGGAAGAGGCCGCTAAACTCACAAAAGCCACTAGCGGAGAGAAAACGAACGGTTAGCATGAACACTATTCCCATCACATGTGGTGCTGAGAGCCGATGAAAACCGGACGCCGTTGACGACGTTCCGAAAACGTCTGATCAGCAGGCCGGATATGCGACGAAACCTTCGCCCTTCGCTTGCTTTCGGCGAGCGTTCGCATCGCGTTCAGGGGGTATGACGGTATAATGTATGATCGCCAGCTGGTCAAGAAACCGTTTCTCTCGTGCAGCGGAGCCATGACCGCATATCGTGGTTTGACCATGCCGTCATGCATAGAGGATGCTTGCAAGAACAAATCCGGGGTCTGGGGTCGAGGGAAAGAAAGTCTCGTTCGGAGATTTGCGGGGTGGGGGAAAGACGGGAATGTCTTGAAGAGGAAAGTAGATCAGGTTTGATGCTTACCAGAGCATTCGGTTGGCATGTTCGTTCGGGTGGTCGCTTCCTTCGTCGTGGCAGCGGTCTGTGAGGGGCGGGGATGCTGTCAGCTCATTGTCATATTGTGTGAATAGCCGAGGCTTGAGCGAGCATTATTGCCAGAGAAATTGATGTGCTTACCGCATGCGAAGACCTTCGAGCAGCAGGAGAACCTGATTGAGTTGTCCGAGTCAGTATTGCCAGCCCACCCAGGGCGCAGCTGGAACATTGATGCCGAGCTGTCGTGGGAACGAAAATCCTTCTTGCGTCGAACATACCTGAACCAGCGGTAACTCTAAGATGTGCGGTCAGTCGTGCACAGTGATGATTTCGCGGCGTTGGACATCATGACAATACCTTTGCGTAATGTTTACACCTCCCCTTCCGGGCCAGTTCCGTGCCGGCAGTGATACCCAAATTCTCCTTAACCTAGAGGCGGAGAATTGCATCGTCAGCTAGGTGTTTGCTACTCTCAAGTACGTAGCGAGCAGAGTGGCACAATGAATTGCCATTGGTTTTAGGGCCATACCTTGCGACGACCAGGAGCTCTGCTTGCTCGGACTGTAGAAATGCGGTCAGCCTCAAGCATTGTGGAAAGTGGACCTGGTCGATGATCCGACTTACTTGCAGATGCGCTGACGTGGAGGAACTTCACTTCAGGAAGACGGAAAGCTAGGCCTGTCAGCAGGAGCCTGGCTTTCATGCTCACCACTGTACATACTCAGCTTGCGGTGACACTCTCGGCACACCGCAAAAGACGAGTCGCCTCGTACAGCAACCACGCCAGGTGCAGGGTAAGCAGCTGAGCACTCTGAACAAGTCGGGACAAAGTTGCTAGCAGCATTCTTAGCACGATCTCAGGCAGGTTGTACTCAAAATTCTTACCTTGGCAACATATCAACTACAGTGCAGCCTTCCAGATCAAGATAGCCAGCTCTAGCAGCGTTGACGTGCATGAGCTCCATTCTGAAGCCGACGGCGAGCACATTGGCGCACTTCTTGCAAGTGACCTGCTGCATCTCAGTGGCTTTACCAGAATAGTTTCGCAGCTTCTGAACATCGGTGATGTCTTTGCAGCGTTCGCACTTGACGCTGATATTCAGCGACGTCAGCTCTAGCAATTCGATACCATGGAGCTCGATGTGAGGGAAGGACAGTAAGACGCCACGTTCTTGGGTGGTAGAGGGTGTGTCGAGTGCCTTGCTTTCGTCTGCTTGATTCTCATCTTGGTCATCATCCTCGCTATCAGAGGCCTCCGAGTAGGTGTCGTCAGCACTTTCGGCACTGTCTTCGCCATCGTTGTGTACCTGCGACCATTCCGGTGGTCGTGGTATTACGTGAAGGTGCGGCTTGTCTGCTGAGCGGGATAATATAGCGTGGTTTAAAGTAGTTGTTGGCTCTGATGAGACCGATACTGCCGGTGTGGCTTCGACAGACGCTGGAGGAGCACTTGGCGGAGTGACGTGGCTGGCAGGTTTGGCCTCCTTTACAGCCATGTCTGCGATATGCTGAGCCACATGGTTGGCAAGTTGTGTCAGCGTTCGCTCCCTCATTGACTGCGGCAGTTGTTCGAAGGCCTCCTCCACATTCCTCGCCTCTTGTGCATCACTATCAAGCTTGATCGTGGCTGGCTCGAGAGGATATGCTTCTGGCACAAGCAGCCTGAACGATCGCAGAATCTGCAGAGACGACGGCCACTTCGTTCTTCGAGGCGAGTCTAATGGCAGAGTGTATGTACGACCATCCGAGGATGCAGAGAAAGCTTGCAGTCGACCGAAGCGTGCTGCAAGTTGGCGAGTATGTGCACCGCGATTTGACTTGGCTGCAGCACGCTCCTTATCAGTGAAGCTGGGAGGAGACTTTACGACAGGAGCTGGAGCCACTACAGCAGGAACAGCTGGTACTGGTGGTAGCCTGTCTGCTACGACCGCTCCTCGGTTTGGCACAATTTTGATAGTGTCTGCCATCTTCCCGGCCAGAATTGTCTCCAGCTCCCTATCAAGTCTATTCATCAGACCAAGCAGGGTGGCACTAGCATTAGCGGACGTTATCATGTCGAAGCCACGTTCAATATTGAGTTGAAACCCCCGCGGGATATCCTGGTTCGTGATCTTGAGACTTGCCTTGACATCTGGGTAAGCCTTCGGCACGGTTAAGATACATTGCAGCTCCTCGATCTCGTACGGGAAGTCAGGATCCGACGGCTTCAAGCCGAGTTCTAGAATGCTGCTATCATTCTTTTCAGAGGAACTTGGTCGGAATCGCCTTCGGACCTGCCCAATCTGGAAGGCACGCGGATCTTCTTGTTGAGCCTGGGGGGTAGGTCTTAGGACGACATTAGACCGCCTCACAGGAACAGTACTCGGAATTCTTGACTGTGAGTCAGCCTGCAAGGCGGGCTGTACATTATGGACGTTGCTGGCGACCTTCCCAGTGGGCTCAGGCGCGGTGGATGTTGTCTCGGCGGTGCCCTTAAACTCTGACGGATGCAAGAAGCGGCATTCTTCACCTGCCCTACAGCCTGGTAGTGTTCAAACGTGTCAACAATGCTACGCTACGCTGTCGCCTGTAGTGAGACGAAAGTGACAGTATGAAAGATGGCGGAGACGGTGGTATAGAGGTGGCAAGACATCAACCTACCATTCTTGGTATTGAAGAAGCGACACACTTGCTGCTTCTTGCCCTGGCCTTGCTGCTTCGCTTCAGGAGCGCCGGCGCCCATGGTTACGTTGGCGCCAGTAGAACACAGGTGCTAGTCGTGACTGGTCGTAGGGTCGTACTGGTCTCGCATGCCAGCCTTTCGTATCGTACCGGCCGTCGCCACTGTAATGGTGTATCGTCTCGTGCCTTCCCGAAAGGATATCGCAAATAGGACAGACGTCATACCACGAGGCAAAAGTGGCGCAGCGTCTGTGAATAGCACGCGATGTGGCGTCCGGGGAGTTCCGCACAAACAGTCGCCTCGGCGCCAGCGGCCACATTACGCAGCATTGCGACTCTAGGCCCTTGACTTAACCATTTTCACATACCAGCATTCGGTGGTATTGTGGGATCTACGTCACATGTCAAGGTTCCCACGACCGACAAAACAGACGAGCGTATTGCAAATGCAAATCTCCTTCCGAAAGTGCCCGATCACGACATTCTAGCGTCCTTCGAAAACTTCCTTTCGTCTGGTGGAGAACGTGGAGAACGAAGGTGGGAATCAAAGCTTGCAACGCCAAACTCTCCTCGTCCTACAGGAAAGCCTCGCCGTGTATTGGCCGAACAGGGAACTGGACGGTCCCGTGGCGCTGTCACATGTACACAAGATCACGAGCAGGAAACGCGTGATTAGCCATGTAGTCGCGCGGAGGGAGCGACGAGGCGACGAGGTGGAGATGGGTTTCGTGTGAGCACATTCAGCCTATAGCTGGCGCGACACTACTCCTCATACCAAGGCCACAATAATCCCGACCGCGTAAGCAGTAGTAATTCGTTGGACACAATGTCAGAACCAAGCAAAGCTCAAGCTCGACAGTCCAGATGATCATACGAAAACATGTGCATCAGAGCCGCATAGCTCTCACTCACACCGGACCCAGGCTGGCGAATAAAGCTCTAACGGTTAAGGTAGTTGTATGCATACTACCCAGCTCCTGCATGAGCTCGGCTTGCAGCACGCATGCTACATACAGCTGCAGCTGACGAATCTGGGTCCGTAGATCACTGCTGCGGCGTATGACTCGAAAGTAGCGGTCTGAGGTGTCGTTGCGCTGTTGATCTCTGGCCAACGACTCAACAAGACGAAGATCGATGGAGATGAAGAGTCTAGAAGCCATGTAGATGTTTGAGAATGCGACGCCCGTCTTTCAACAAGACGTCTTGTGAGTACCATTACGCGACTACCATCTACTCTGCCAGCTCGCTCATCCCTGTGAGCACTTGCATAATCATCCCACGCCACCACCTCAACCACCCTCCTCTCTGCCACTTCTCCTCGAGTAGCAGCTGGTAGCTAAAAGTACATGCGTATATTCAATGTAGTAATACAGTGCCGCCGGACCAGCCGAGCAGCAAACAAGTCGTCGTTCTCTAGACGCTCCTTGCGCTCGGTTGGGCGCCCTCGCTCGTGTCGTCGGTCGTGATGTGACTGATCTCTGTCAATTGCCTATGCTGGTATCATAAAATTCAATTTTGCCCCTTCCCGATAGTAATGCCCGTGATCATTAGGCTATGGTGTCCTTTCGACACCGCCGGATTACGCAGCCGTCGTCCGTGAGGACAGTCCGTCCTCGATGCATGTGATATTCATGCGTGTCGCTTGAACGCAGTAAAGAAGTGATCATTGTAGTGGGCCGATTGCGACGCCCGTGGATGTCTTCCCTCACCAGCCTTTGGCGTGGTACTCCTGGAGACCAGCGTGGAAGTATTCGTTGGTGAAGTTCTTGGTGTGCTCGCCTTGCGACATCGCCACCGCCTCGGGTTGTTGCCTGAGTTTGGTCATGTCTTGGGCTGTGTGTCGTCGTTGAAGCGCAGCCAGATTGCCAGTACTCCTGTGTTGTCGTTCCCAGAGTAGGTTCTTTCGTAGAGACTCGGTGAGCTCAGTGGACAACATGTTCCTGCGGGTAGTTCGTGGCGACAGCGCAAGCTGTTGTGGATGAGTGTTGGAGGTCGTCATGATTATTGGTTGTGTGCGATCATTCTGGGTTTGAGGAGGTCCTTGTCCCGGTAGCATCAGGTGCCCATTTGGTTCCGGTGAGGTGGCAACAGAAGGTCCATTCGGTGTAGATGTGCGTGATCGGCGCAACGCTGGTGTGGATCTCGAGGCGGCGTTCTGCAGCGCTTTTGCACGATCTGGCTCGGTCATGAGAGTAGTGAGCATAGATCGTCGCGATGTCAGGTTCGGCCGCGAGTCCACGCGATGGAAGACCAGTTCCTTTTCATTCACTGAAGACGGACCACTCTGGTCATCCGAGTCTTCCCAATCGGAGGAGTCGTCGTCATCATCGATCGCGCTCTCGCTGACTTCGTCGTCTTCATCGTCAGACTCGAACACCGGACTGTGCTCGGCAGCTCTGCCAATGGCCACCTCTTCTTTGAATGTCGTCTGCTTCTTGCTGCCCGCACTGCCATCGCTACCATCGGGTCGTCGTAAGCTCTCAGACAGCGAGCTTCTGTATCGAGTCTCGAGTGAGCTTTCATCCTCTCCAGATGATGTGCCGATCGTGAACATTGGACCTTTCTTCTTCTTAGGCACTTCGGAATGTCGGTAGGACGGTGAGTTCTTGAGGATGGGAGTGGGTTGCACATGAACAGGAAGATGCGTCTGCGATCGATAGGATGAGGGTGCTCCGCCAGGTACGAAACCACGGACGATGCTGTGTGTGCTCATTTCAGTGTTTGAGCTGCTTTCTGAGCCGACGATCTGCATCTCGGTAGAGCTGCTGGCGTTCGAGTCCACGGTCGAAGTGGACGATTCAATGGTAAGCTGCGACTCCTCAATCTTTGGTAGAGGCGGTTCACTCTTCTCGCAGCGGGGACGTGAAGCTATTATTGTTGGTTGTGGTGGTGGAGCCTTCTGGGCCGCGTGCGCAGCTAGTGGGGCACTTGGTTTCGATGCGGGTTTGGCAATAGGCAAATCGATCGGTGATAGCTGTCTCGCCTCTTTTATCGAGAGAACAATCTTCTCCAGGTCGACGGGTGTGATATGCTTTTCGCGGCCTCTGCTGGTGCTGCATGCCGAGTCGTTCCTCCTCAAATCTGGTCGAGCGGTTGGTATGCATGTGGCGGGTGCTGATGACGTTTCCGCGTCTTCCAGTTCGTCGGACATAGCGCTGTCGAGACTGCTGGAGAGCGCTGGCATTGGAATGCTCGTCGCGGCTGCTTTCGTCGGCTTGAATGAGCATCGTGTCGATCGGGCTTGCACTTCTGGAGCGCAACAAAAGGTCTCGCGGTTCCATAATCGCCAACTCAAGTTCTCTAACCGCTTGCCATGTTCCATTGCGTGAGATGTCTTCGAGAATAGCGACCACTGTTGAACGTGCCATGTCAGCAGCTGGTAAGTTATCTCGTCAGTAAAGCGATGGGGAACGAACCATGCCGAACAGATTCTCAACGGAGCCAGTGTCGATTGTTTGCAGCGCTGGCACTTCCACCCGCAGTAACGAGTGTTCAGGTCTGAAAGGCATGGTATATGGTGGTGTCCTGCGCGCGCGAGAGGCGAGCAACAGTGGTGGTTAAAGAGCCAGCAGATGGCAAGGCGCGCGTGGCTCTCACAGTAGTTTTGCCGTTTGCATGTGCGTCAGGTGGGCGCTGGCGGTACCTATTCCTTTGTACTGGCTGCGATCGGTAGCGCCGGGCTTGCGGCTAAACAAAAACACAATCGTGAATAGTTTGTCGATTGAGTGATGTTGGTGTCACCCAGTGTCTCGTCGTAATACAGTGGTGTCTCGTTGTTTGTGAATTAGCAGCGGTAGGGTAAAGTGATTCCGGATGAATCTTGCTATGTTGCGGTGGGGATACAGGCCGTGTATACTACTCCTCGGCTGACCGACAGTGTACATAAAAACGCCGACTACGTTACGGTCTGACATGCACCGCGCATTACTCCGGTCCAAGAAAGCTTCGTGGATCCGCCGCCCGCGACATGGCTCCGTGGCTCCACTACTGCAGGGATAGAGTCCACAACACCCGCGAAAGCACGGGAGGCGGCATTACAATTCACATCACGACAACACGGGGGGGGGGTGGCCAAGCACGAAAATTCACGACCAACGATCAGAGTCAGCATCACCGATAGACCTTCCATTCGTCGCGCACTAGCGACCTATTCAAACACTTTCCGTGATCCCCAGCTGTAGCGCGTGTCTAAACCGTGCCACCCCCGTTTGGCCAAAAACAATCGTCAACGCTTGAGCGCCATCCGACGGGCTATCGGATCGGTACATGAGATCGGTAAGTCAGGTACGACAAGCCTCGGCTGGACAGAAAATAACAAACGACGACGATTCCATTGCAACACAGCATCTTCGTTCCCAACAGCAAAGCGTGAAGAGGTCGAGGTGGTCACTACGCACCTGTCTGCGCCGTCAATCAAAGCGCGCTTCAAGGACTGCAATACCGACTCTAGTCAGAGGCCTTATTTTCCAGAAGGCTCGGCTGCATTAGCTTCATCTCACAGAGAGCGCCGCCAAGGTCGTCGACCAGAAGGCGGTCACAAATGATCGCAACCAAACAATCTCGCATGTAGGTCACTGACTTGAAGGAGACTGATAGCGTCGGGTCGGTCGTCGCAGAGCTGCGCAGAGTGTAACGTTGGTGTTCGCCGTCAGCGTGGTGCAGTACCAATACATTGACGTATTGCTCCGCCGGCATCAGCTGAACGGAGTCTGCAAACGCTGGTCAGAGTAGTCATTTGCTCTCCAATCCTTCTCGCAACTGGGCTGCAGTAAGCGTGGGTGGATGCATCGGGTGCCAGGAAGAGCTTGTCAGTACAAAGATACGTCTTCTGCATGGCCGGACGGCACCGGAGCGCCACCGGACGGTCATTGATACGGCTCCTTCCCGGTGCTTCTGGAGAAGTGCGCAGGTGACTGTGGCTGAGGTAGGGCCATGATAAAGTTCGAGAACTTCTCTCCTGTTTCGGTCTTGACTCGAGACGAGGTTGCGAGTCGAGATACTTTCATGGAATTTTATATCCCGCGCACGGATGAGAGGTGACTTGTCCTTTCACAACAAACCGGTCCTCCGCCGAGCAAAATTGTCGCTAACATCACGCGCATTCGCAGTCGAAGATAGGGATGCGACGGGTTGCTGAAGGAGTACCAGGCCTAGCCACCTGCTGCATTGGGAAGGCCTCATGGCGGACTGATAGGCCACACAGGCGCTGGCACATGGCACGCGAAAAGCCCACGCTTTCGCATTGGCGGACTTCACGCAGGAACAGAACTGCTATGTGGCCAACGAACAGCGCATAAGACATGTCTCTGATCTCATGATTACATTGCTGTGCAAGGCCGCGCAATCATCACACAAAGGACGAGTCGCGCGCAACGCTTTAGATTTGGTTCGTCTGTTGTATGGAAAATGTCAATTCTCGCCAACGTGTGACACAAGATCAGAGGGGCGCAGTCGCTTCGCCAATTGTTGGAGAAACATGGAGAAGTGGCTTCTCAGCTCTCGTGGTTTTCGTCCCTCAGCGCAAGGAGCGGTGGCAGATGACTTGACCAGTGCCAGCGCATCGATCATACGTCCACTTTCTTGCAGCACAGCGTCGCTAATCTTGTACAGGTACAGTATCGCCGACTGCTGCCTGAGGTGCAATAGCGCCGGACAGGCATGACTCAAATGAAGTCCAGGCCATGACTCTTGCGACGTCGTTGTCATGCGGCCTTGTTGATCAGCACTAATAACGATTTTATGGCCATCCTGGCAAGGCAAATCTCACTCCTACATTTCTCCAACACTCTCGGAGAATATTGTCCGAAAATGGTCACGACTTCATCTCCTTGCCGCCATAGTAATTACACGATGACATAGATCAATCTATAGGCGCTTGCAGTCCTCGTGCTATAGAGTGCTCCTATGCACGAAAACCAAGATACAGAGGAAGTCTCCTTTATTGGAATATCAATAATAGCCAGTTTCAATCCAGACCAGATTTGCATTGCAGCTGATCATCCAAACCAAACTTTTCGACTCGAGTCACGCGCATATCGTCACGGTTCGAAACAGCAGCGATCGTCTTTTTCTCCCTCCACTCCGCACCCGTCGCTATGTTCCCCACGCGTCACCAGCCGTGACACCACATCCCGCTCCCTGCATTCCTGCAAGCGAAGCTGCAACCTTTTCCACAAGGCGGGAGTTGGAAACGCCTTCCGTCCCTTCCCCGGATGTCTGTGTCCCACCCTAGGCCGCTCATCATCTCGTTTCCCGAGAATGTGTTTCTTTGTTGAGCAGATGCCGTAGCCGAGCCTCTAAGATCAGGTCTGTGGTCGCACGGCATACTGGAGATGGTGGAGAGGGCTCCCACGAGACTGGACAGGCTTCTTGAGAGCGTGGCACCGCTGTCACAACAACAGCTAGAAAGCTGCAGGTCGTGCTTTTTGCAGCGTCCATCCTCGTGACACAAAGTCGCTGAGTGATAGGCGAGAAGCGAGATGTTGGTCACCATGGTCATCTGCCACCACCCCCCGCGCCATCTTTCGGCATCTGTACTAGGGGGAGAAGGCAATCTGGGGGCGCGTGGAAAGGCGCTTCTAGTGTAAACGTCTCTGGTCATGATCCCGACACCGCGGTCCTGGTCGTCGCTTTTACGGAGGAGGTCAGAAATGTTCCGGTTTAGCCTGAATACCGAAGTCGTGGGAGAGTCGGTTTCGGTCTGCGAACAGCCTACCGCGGTTGTCTTGGATTGTTTACTGGTCTTGACGGAACATGCAGGTTGGCGCAAATTGGATTTTTTCAGAGTGCCACTGCAGGTGTGTAATAAGTCTGCATGACGATGTCGAAACCGGTTGATGGGAGCGTCGTATATCGGGTGCGATACATCCACAGCGTTGTGCGACAATGTCAACCACGGTCCGGCTTCGAAACTACAGACGTAAGGGCTTCTGAATCGCGATCACATCTGCTGTAGGGACAGCCAGTAGGGTGAATCCGCGGCTCCATATTCTATCAACACAGCATGTACACATATCCATCACACCGGCAAATATCCCCACGCCAACGAGAACGGGGAGATCTCCTCGGCCAGCCGATGCAAGACGTGGGAGAAAACAAGTCCTCCTTCTCGAGACAGTACCTCAGTAGCCGACGAAGCCGCTGTCCGCGCCCGGCACTTTTCTCATCACGCCCACCGCCTCAAACAAACAAGAACCTGGCGCCTGCAGTCACAAACACTGTTGTAAAGCTATTTCCACAACCGTTGTCGTCGGCCCGGGTGGGTAGATGCAGCGGGGGTGGGAGCCGTCGCGGAGAGAGTTCAAGACATGCAAGTCTTCTGCACTACATGAGACACGTTTCTCGATCGATAGAGATTCCGCGGTGCCTACTCGTCAACGCGATGATATCTCGTTATGCAGTCTGGATGTGATGGGTGAGAAGCCACAGCCTCAACCACTCCTGAGGATCGAGCAGCTGTGGTAAGCGCTGTAAGCAACTATGCTACCTCTAGGTCCAGATGGTGAGGGCACTGCATAAAAAGCTGTAGAGTAAGCACAACGCACACAAGAAGATCCTCAACGATCGAAGAGAGGATGAGGTCGACGATCACGTCGTGCAGTAGCTGTGCCATACCATCAGACATGTTCCTGCGTAAAGCTGCGACGAGTACGAAGTGCAACGAAGAATTGACTTTCGGAGACTTCGCGTTGAGATAGGCAGCATGATGTTGGCTCGGAGTACCACCACACGTCTTATTGCTCTTGACACCTATGCCGCCTATAGCTGACAACGATATCGTCATACCCACCATCCCGCTCCAACACCCACGAGATCTGTTCCATCCAAGCCAGCGACCTACCCTACCACCTCCTCCCAAAAACATCATGCTCCACCCCCCTCCCACCTCTCTGCCCACCCTGACTCCCCATAACCCTCCCCATACCCTGAACATCCAACCTCCCACTCTCCACCGCCTCCCGCCCCCCTGCCTTCAATACCCCACTATCCCCACCAAACTTCTCCCACATAGCACGATCCTGCTCATCATGCTCAGCAGAACTATGTTGCGCATCGTGCTTGAACAAGCCCAGAATCTCTTGCATCGAGAGTTTATTCACCGTATTGCCGGCGCCCTCGATAGCGGCTTTGGCCAATTCACGTTTCCGGTCTTGGAGCGCAATGATGCGTTCTTCCACGCTTTGAGCGACGGTCAAGCGGTAGACTTTGACGTCGACGGTTTGGTTGAGGCGGTGGACGCGGTCGATGGCTTGTTCTTCAACGAACGGGTTCCAGAAGGGTTCGACGATTATTACTCGGCTTGCTGCTGTTAGGTTCAGACCGAGACTTCCGCATTTAAGCGAACAGAGTAGGACGCGGGTCTTTCTGTCGTTTCGGAGGGAATGGAGCGAGGCTTCGCGCGCGTCGTTACGCATGCTGCCATCGTACCGGACGTGGCGTAGGCCGGCGGAGCGGAGGTGTGGTTCGATAAGGTCAAGCATAGTGGTGAATTGGGAGAAGACAATGACTTTGTGGTCTGGGCACTCGATGTGCAGTATACGAAGCAGACGGCGAATCTTGGTCGATGGTGGTTGGGCGTTGCCAGAGGTGCTGCTGCCGGAGTAACGTGAGATACCTGGAGGTGAGTCGTCGGAGTCGTTGTCGCTGTCGTCCGTGCTATCGTCATTGTCATCGTCCTCATCTTTGACCACAGGGCGGCGCCTAGTACGTGCGCGAGGCGGAGAGTCGTCTTCATCCTCGTCTTCGTCGGCACTACGATCGGAGTCGATGGAGTTCAGCGTCTCGCCACCACCATCAGCATCCTCGTCGTCCGTTCCACCGGCCTTACCAAGCTCGATATGCCTCTCGGCCCCCTCACCAATCCATTCTCCTTCATCCTCATCGCCACCTTGAGCCGGGCGCCGATGTTGAACTCGAACCGCGCCCTTCTTCTTCTTGGGTTTCGTCTTCTTACTCTTCTTCAGCATAAGGATATCAGCCGTACAATCTCCACAACGCACACTCCCATTCTTAGCTTCAGCACCACCCAACTTGACTTGACAGACGTCGCACTTCTTGGTCTCGACACTAACGCCACCCATCAGTCGTGTAAGATCGTCCATTTCATCCTCGCCGTGACTAGCAGGCTTGCTGCCCATGAGACTCATACTATCCTTATCCTTGTTGGCGGCCATCTCGATCAGGTGAATGTGGTTACACGCCTGCCTCAGCCTCAACAGCAGCACAAGAGCGCCGATATAGTCTGTGTTCTTGCCATTCTTCATCATCTCCTGCAGTCTCAGATCGGCTCGACTCTGTAGCCTGTCGTAAAACTCACGCTCAGTGGCATCGAACTCGCACTCAACATTGACCACCTCACGTTTCACGATCTGCATCCCACCTTTTTTCTCATCTTGCGTGCCACCTTCAGCAGGCTTGCCACCGAAATTGAGAGCACCAGACTGTTTGAGGATATCCTTAGTCCTGCGCTTCATAATCGCGCGCAAGAAGATCTGTAAACGCCTCATCGCCAGACCACCACGACCATTCTTCATAGGCTGTGTGATGTCTGCCTTCCATTTAGAGAGCTCGGAGTAAGGTTTGATCCTCAGGAACCTGATCAGACTCTGCAGCTCGTCGAGATTGTTCTGCATAGGCGTGCCGCTCAAACACCATCGGTACCAGCTCGGTAGCGCATAGCAGGCCTGGGTCGACTTGGCGTTGCGATTCTTGATGCTGTGGGCTTCGTCGAGCACGACGCGGTACCAATGCACGCCGAAACAGCCTATACGTGCGCCGCCTTCGACATTCATTGAGGAGCCGGCATGCTCGGACGTCAAGGTTTGGTAAGTGGTGATCACGACGTCGTACTTCTTCAGCTCGACGGCGGATTTCGTGCGGTTGGCGCCATGGTGCACCAGTACGCGCAGAGCGTGCGACTTGGAAACCTTTGTTTTGATTTCATCCTCCCACTGCTTGATGAGCGCGAGTGGTGCCACGACAAGTGTAGATTTGCTGACGTCCTTGCCAGGTAGCTTCTGCTTGGGATGCTCAGGCTTAGCATCCGGTGGTGGCCTCGAGTTGGTCAAGATCAGAGCCACAGACTGGACCGTCTTTCCCAAGCCCATGTCATCTGCCAAGATACCTCCATGAGGCAGCACGCCCTTGACTTTGCCCTTGCCAATCTCCTTGTCAATCATCCACGATACACCTTCCACCTGATGCGGTAGAAGCTTGACCGCGAGACCCTCAACTGTGCCGTCCTCCTCTTCTTCCTCCTCAGCATCTTCAGCCGACTCTGGAGCAGCTTTGTCCTCGACTTTCAATGCTGCAAGCTTGTCCGCCAGGCCCTTAGCCTCCTTCTTCTTGCCCTCATCAAGCGCCTTCTTAGCGCGCTTTCTGAGTCGCGTCCTCGACTTGTCTTCATTATCGTCAAAAGCACCTTCGAGTAAGTTCTTGATGTTGTCGTTTGCGGCATTCGAGTCGACGTACATGTAAGGGTCTGGTTCGCCGAATCTTTGGCCATCCCTGATGGCTGCGTCAGGGTCGAACTCTTCCTCGTCGTCGTTCCTCGTCAGGTCGACGATAGGCTTGGGTGGTGGAGGTGGTCTGTATGGTGCGGCATATCCGGATCCTGATCCTGCCGAGGAGAATGTCGGCTGTTGTGGTTGGTATTGTGTTCGCTGGGGTACGTTTAAAGGCTGCCAGACGGGCGTTGGCCGCACGTTCGATGGAGGAGGTGGCGGACGCGAAGATGCTGGTGCTTGGCCAGGGAGGTAGAAGGTGCTCTGGGACGGTGGCTGAGGCATAGCCTGCTGTGCGGCAGATGACAGATACTGACTGTGCAGTTGTGGTCGATACAGCGGCTTCTTGGGTATGAACAGATTCGACGTGGGTGACTGCTTCTTAAGCGGGTTCCTCAAAGGACTTGCTTCACCGAACTTCGCCTGCGGTTCGAGAGGTTTGAGGACGCTGAAGTCGACCTCGTCGCTGGTATTGCTTTTGGTCGAGGGGGACTGCATCTTTGCGGTGATGTTGGCTAAAGGTAGCCTCTTGGTTGGCGATGTAATTTGTGACTCTCTCTCCTTCACCATGATTGTGCCTTTGCTGTCCCAATCCCAATCAATTGCTCTGCCTGTGTCCCGGAGCTCGCTGTGGGTTGCGAAACTTGGTTTGTGGGGCGACGACAGAGTGTTGATGGGCTGGAATGCCTTTCCGCGTTGAGGCGACTCTTGAGGTGCCGTGTTGGCGATCAGGAGTGTGTGTCAAATCGTGCTGGACGGTTGGCGTACAAATAATTCATGTGCTCGATCCACGACGCCCAAAGATTCACTTGTCACGTGTCGATCAAAACATGACAGTTTGGCGGAGCAACGTGGTGGACGCTAAGCCCGATCCGCTACGAATCCTCCAGCTGAGGCGACATCATGCAAATGCGCGTCTAGATTATTATACGTGTGTACGTCTGTGGTGCCATGGCACCGATCGATCGTGTAAATTCTATTGTGCGACATCGGCGGAAGTTGGCGGATCGTGAGAGTCGATAGCGATACCAGCCACGATCCCGCCATTCATTCGGCATGAGCTTGACCCGCTGGACAAGTCCATATACCACTTCTACGGGAAGCGGCAGCACGAGCGAGTTCAGATATGGTCCGCTGAAGAGCTCTAAAACAGGCATCCGCCTCGCTCAAATCCTACCAGGCATCGGCAACAAGGGTCTGGCCATAAATCTCATCGACAGCTTCGTTACCGGTCCTAATAAGACCCCATACAATGCCCTGTCCTATACGTGGGGTGACGGAGCTCGCAACAAGAGTATCGCCTGCAATGGCAAACGTCTAGCTGTTACTCAGGCTCTGCTCGAAGCCTTACATCGCTTCCGCGACCCCACGCGTACCTTGACACTCTGGATTGACCAGATATGTATTTGTCAGGAGCGAGTCAAAGAGCGCAATCAACAAGTCTCCATTATGGGTGATATCTTCAAAGCCGCACGTAAAGTTATCGTCTGGCTTGGTGAGGACTACGACGACAGTAAAGCTGGTATGCAGCTAGCTGGACATCTACGAAGTATTGGACGACGTTCCGAGAGCGCTGGACTCGGCCCTGAACACATCGATCTATATGGCCTGCCCAAAAGAGGTCACAAGAAGTGGAAAGCCTTGTCGGGTATCCTTCGCAGACCCTGGTTCTGGAGATCATGGGTTGTCCAGGAAGTGGTTCTGAACCCGCAGGTAGAACTAGTGCTGGGTGCTAATATGCTTACTTGGGATGAGCTTGAAAGCATCGTTGCCCTGCTCGAAGGACCGCTCCCAAGAGCATGGCAAATCGACCAAGCCATATCCTTCTCCGAGCTACCTTTCTCGCGAATCAATCGTATCAGGTTGCGACACCGTCAGCAGCTTGGTACTACAGCTGGTGCACCACGTGACTCGCTGGAGGGAAGTCTCGGAAGTGTAGTACTGGTCGACGAGCCTGAATCTATGATTGATGGGTCCCACGCCAACGATCCTGAGCTCCTTGATCTGCTTCTGGTATCCCGCGAGCTTGGCGCATCGGATCCCAGAGACAAAGTCTACGCATTACTTGGGCTAGGCCGGCACGATATCACTCCTGACTACGAGGCCTCACCTGAAGATATCTACATCGAGTTCGCACAACACCAAATTGGTGCCGTGACCAATCTTCTGTCGGAAGCTGAAGCCAATGACGAAGAGCTGGATGTCAACCGAACAGAAGTCCGCAGAGCAATGGTCATGCTTTCCTGCGCTGGTCGACAGAACCAGAAGCGCAAGCTACCCAGTTGGGTACCAGATTGGACTACGAATCTGGCTTCGCGCCCACTGATCTTTGGACTCGGTGGAAACTATCGTGCGGGCGGTAGTACGTTAGGAATGGTTGACTACGACTGGGAACGAGGTCTCCAGCTTGGTGGTATCCTCCTTGACACCGTTCAAACAGTCGGAGAAACCCTGCTGCAGCTCGATAGCGACCTCGACCCTCACGAGATGATAACGCAATGGTGGCGTGAAGCCCAACAGATTGCACTAGAGCGTATTGTCCGCTCACCAGGCAGCACAATCTACACCGATGCCTTCGAAGCCTTACGGAGACGACTCATGCTCTGTAAACACGGCTACTATGTTGGCGAAGGTAGCAATTCCCGCAGAGACAGTCTGCTCGACGACCAAGACAATGGTGAGAATAGCCGCCATAGCGCTACCCAGACTCTCACGCTTGGCCCGACAAGGGGGCGGGTCATGTTTGCATCTTCTACAGGGTTCCTGGGTTTAGTACCGCATGGGACGCAAGAGGGCGATGTAGTCTTTGTGATTAGAGGCGCGGATGTACCGTATGTTCTTCAACATGTCCATGGTGATGCTTATGTTCTGATTGGTGAGGCGTATGTGCAGGGTGTCATGGATGGGGAGGCGTTAGGCATGGGGTTGAAGCAGACGATTGTGCTGCGATGATATTGGTATCGTGACCAATTATGGCATTCGTAACGACTATACATGCCACAGGAATACATGCCGTGGTATTTGTAGCAAAATCTATATACATGATCAAACAGGTCTTGGCGCCGAGTACGCCCCCACGGCTAGACCCCTCCCTAGCGCACTCCATCATGGCCCCCAGATGCAGCCTTCCGGCGCCATCTTCGTAACTTCGCTCAAGTGTTGCCGCCTGTGCGGCTGGTCTACTGTACGTTTCCAGCCCTTCTCATCGTGGCGTGACCGGGCGAAGCGAGTTCACCGGTCGAGAAAGCAAGATGTCTCTTTCAACATCACAACCTCATGAAGCCTCATTCGCTCAAATGCACTGTGGATTGCGATCTGGGAAACAGCAACAATGTCTTCTTCGGGATCTGATGATAGTAGGAGGTCGAGGATACGACCCAGCAGGCGCAAAGTCAATAACAATGATTTCGAGCGTGTCCGCATAGGAACGCCGCCACCGAGGCCGAAACCGAAGAAGCCTCCGCAGGCGGTAATAGACGACTACTGGTCCAGCTTCGACTCCAAGCATCCGGGCAAGATATCTACAGTGCTACCGAACAACTACCATGCCAAAAAGCTCGCCCAGCGTCCAGATGCCGACGAAGGAAGCCATAACGCCGTCGCTAGCTACGAAGAAGCGGCGCAGATCTGTCGACAGAAAGTCGACAAGATCGTTGGCGAGTGTAGGCGTGTGAATCAGAAGTACCGTGATCCGCATTTCGACATCGAGCATGATTTCTTCGTCAATGGCTATCAGGAATGTCTCCGTGGCCTCATGGAGAAGAAGAATGATCCCAAGCTTTCGCCGAAGAGCGTCAAACGAGTCGGTGCGATCTTCGAGAAGCCAAAATTCTTCATCAAAGGTGCCACGGCAAACGATGTCCGACAAGGCCGCAATGGCGATTGCTGGCTCATGTCCGCTCTGGGAACCATAACCAACTCCCCCGGCCTGATCGAGAAGATCTGCGTGGCTCGTGATGAGGTAGTCGGGGTCTATGGGTTCGTGTTCTGCAGAGACGGGGCATGGATTTCGGAGGTGGTGGATGATAAGTTGTACTTGATGAACGAGGATTTCCATGATCGCAAGGACAGGGATGATCCCGACGGCGGGATGAAGCATTGGAGTCAGGTGCAGGAGAGGCGGGACGTGGAAAGGGAGTATAGGAGGAGGTGGCAGACGGGGAGCAAGGCGCTTTATTTTGCCCAGTGTAGTGATGCTAATGAGACTTGGTTGCCGCTGTTGGAGAAGTGGTAGGTTAGAGCTGCTTTTAGAGATGTTGATTGTGCTAATGGTCCGATTCAATAGTTTCGCTAAAGCCCATGGGGATTATCTCGCGGTCGAAGGAGGCTTCGTGGGCGAGGCGATTGAGGATCTTACTGGTGGCGTTACCAGCGAGCTGCATGGTACGGATATTTTGGACCGTGATGCTTTCTGGACGAATGAGTTGCTTCAGGTCAACAAGCAGTTCCTCTTTGGCTGTGGTCAGAGCCGTGGCTTCGACGAGGACAGATCTGGTATTCAGCATAGACATGCTTACTCGATCATGGAAGCCAGAGAAGTTGATGGGCTGAAGTTGGTGAAGTTGAGGAATCCTTGGGTAAGGACAACATCTCGTTCGTGCCGGAACGGTAACTGGACTAATATCTTGCAATGTAGGGTAATACTGAATGGACTGGAGCCTGGGCGGATGGCAGCGAAGAATGGACTGGCGAGTGGTTAGACAAACTAAATCACAAATTCGGCAACGACGGTCTGTTCTGGATTCTCTTCGATGATCTTTTGGATGTGTACCAGCACTTCGACCGCACGAGGCTTTTCGATGACAGCTGGAAAATCACCCAACAATGGATTAGCTTGCAAGTTCCATGGTCGATAGATTACCACGACACCAGCTTCCTCGTCACTGTGTCACAACCAGGCGACGTAGTCATTGTTCTAAGCCAACTGGATGACAGATACTTTCGTGGCCTCGAAGGGACTTACAACTTCACCCTCCACTTTCGCGTGCACAAAGAAGGTGAGGCGGATTACCTGGTCCGCAGTCCAAGCTCGTACAACATGCGGAGATCGATCAGCACGGAAGTCTTTCTCGAGCCCGGATCGTATACAATCATGATCAAGATTGTGGCCACGCATAACCAGTACAAGATCTCAACAGAGGACGTTGTTAGGCTGGCCACGAAAGTGAACAGGAGGGAGAAACTTCTTGCAGTTGGATTGAGCCGCGATCTTGCTTATGGAAAAGCACAGGTACGGGAGCACGACGAGAGGGTCAAGGAGCATCACAAACACGAGAGGAGAGCGAAGCGGAAAGAGCAGGCCAAGGCTGCTAAAGCATTTCAACAACATCGATGGTCGAAGGATAAGATTTGGAATAGCAAGCAGCGAGAACGATTCGATGCGAAGAGGCGTAGCATGTATCCTGCTGAGCCCGCACGTATGAGCGGAGATCCTGCTCCTGGTCTACTGACTCTCCCTGTCATGGAGATTGTGCCAGCGAAAGAGGTTGCACCAGCCATCGCAGTAGAAGACACTGGTGAACCGAACACTGCTGATATGGAGCATGTTGGTGACGGTGCTCCTGCGGATCTCCATCAGAGAATCGTGGGAGACTTGCCTGCCGAGGATGCAGAGGTAGTTGCGAAGGCAGAGAACGGCCTAGATCCTACCTCTGCAGAGACAGGCACAGACGCTGCGAACGTGGGACCCGGGATATCAAGCGATGAAGCAGCCGAGCTCTCTCCTGAAGACGTAGACAGACATCCAGCATCACGTCGACAACGCACAATCAAGACTGCGCAAACCTTCGCTTCTGACTCCACCATACCGAGTCAAGAAGAGCAAGACAATGCTGAAACTCTCAATTCGCGGGACACCCAGACTTTCGCCTCTGACACAACCAACAAGCCTGCCAAAAAGTCCAAGAAGAAGTCAAGATCGCCTCGCGCAAGCTTCCAGCCACCGTCACGACAGAACACGAATCAGTCTGATAACCCAGATTACGACCGCTACGACGATCCCGCCCAGTTCTCCCGCGGCCCAACCCGCCAAACCACTTTCGCCACGATAAACACAGCAGGCGGCGCATACAGCGCCAACGGTCCACAAGACCAAGTAGTCGAAGCCGATCTGAGCTGGGACTCCGACCTCGACGCACCATCGGACAGCGACGCGGATGAAGCTATCCGCGGAAACCCCTTCGTACCGCCCCGACCCCCTCCGCCACCGCCACCGCCTGGTAACGCGGATCCTCTGGCCGGATTCGATCTTGGTGGTGACGGGAAGGCGGAGGATTCACAGTTCGCGACTGAGCCGTGGAACGCCGTTGTGGTTGTTGGGTTGAGGGTTTATGCTAAGGTTGATAATGAGGTTGGGGTTGAGGTGAGATGGCCTGGGAGGCGGGTGAAGGGGCGAGAAGGCGAGGGTAATGCTAAAGCTGAAGGGTTGGGGGGCGAAGAGGGTGTCGGCAGTGAGCAGAAAGATGAGCAGGAGGTGAAACTCTCCAAGAGCGCAGAGCACGACATCAGGTCCGAAGGCGGCGTGGTCGGCGATGGCGATGTTGATGCTTCTGGAAGATCACCCAGTCCATGTTAGTCTGTGTTCTTTCATGCAAAGCCGTCTGAGGCGGCAGCTTGCGGAGCGGTTGAGCCACTGAACATTAATCCTGATTCTTGACAGTCTCTTTCATTCTTGATGAGTAGTGGATCGGGGGAAATGAGTCGGAGGATTAAACTGGATATATCGCGGGTCATGCATCTTGCGATCGTTTAGTCCCTGATCTAACTATATCCCTCTAATATATCTAAGTCCTCCTCTACCACTCCAGTAGGCAGGACATCCACAACACAAACCTCCGCTGCAATGCAACCTCTACTCCATCATCTCCGGCACCTCGAAAATACTCTTCCCCGTCGGCTTGCCCCGTCCAGCAAACCCCCACCGAATCTGATTAGGCATCTGCACCTGCTGCCCCAACTCATCGCCCCACGCAAACACGAGTCCGGGATTCTTCTGGAAACCCCGACCTACAGTAACCAAATCCAACCCGTCCTTCTCCAACAACTCATTCGCTAGGGTCGCGTTCTCAATAGCACCGACGGAGCCCACGGCGAGTTTATCGCCCACGGCTTTCTTGATCGCGATGGCGTATTCGGCTTGGTATGCAGGTTTGACGTGAGGATGCTGGAGAGGGTGGTTGCCGCCTCCACTGACATCGAGGAGATCTACGCCTGCTTCAGCGAGGAGAGGAGCAAGTTTGATCGTGTCCTCGTTCGTCCAGCTCGCGGAGATCTGATCCTTAGGCGCTTCTTCCAGAAAATCCGTCGCGCTGATGCGGAGGAAAAGCGGCATATCCTTTGGTATCGTCTCCCTGGTCTCACTTACAATCTCAAGTGTAAGACGGGTACGATTCTCAAAGCTCCCGCCGTACTTGTCTTTCCGCTGGTTGGCTACGGGACTGAGGAATTCGTGGAGGAGGTAGCCGTGTGCATTGTGGATTTCGATGGCGTCGAAGCCGGCCTTTAAGGAGCGCTTGACGGAGTCGTTGAAGGCTTTCTTTAGACTCTGGATCTGATCGAGGGTGAGTTCCTTGGGATCGGCATGTTTGTCGTTCCAGGCGATGGCGGAAGGGGCGAGGACGTTATCGGGCCAGCCGTTTAGGTCCTTTCCTGCTACTTCGCCGCCGCTGAGCCAGGGTGCGACGGTTGTGGCTTTGCGCCCTGCGTGGCCGAGTTGGATCATGATGTTTTGGTTCTGCGAGTGGGCAAATTCGACTGCTTTGGCCAGGGGCTCGATCTGGCTATCTTTCCACAGGCCGACGTCCTCGGGTGTGATCCTGCCTTCGGGTGTGATGGCTGTGGCTTCTACGCAGCTGATACCGGGACCTCGCTGGATGATGCCTCCCATGTGCGTTAAGTGCCACATTGTGTAGTGGCCGTCTTGAGCCGAATACTGGCAGAGAGGCGAGAGCATGATGCGATTCTGGAGGGTCAAGCCTCGGAGCTTCAGAGGCTTGAAGAGCTTAGGCACGCTCTTCTGGCCATCGACGATAAGGGCCGTACCCGCTGGTGGTTGCTGCTTGGGTGTGAAGTATGAAATACCTGGGGCGGCGCGGTTGACGTTGTGGGATTCCTCCTCTTGACCCGAGATGGCGTGGTGAGACATGGTTGCTGTAGGAGTAGGACGATAGTGGTTGATGATGAGGGTTGGTGTGATAGATGATAGGAATAAGGGATCGCTAAGGGTATATACTTCCTTCCTCACATACATTATAGCCTCAGACTCGACGCATCTAGATTACAAATGCATCGGTGGCTATGAGAATTCGGTTCGTTCCAATGGCAAAAGTTTTGGTGGGCTGTTCATCATGGCGTCAGAGATGCAGCGCCGAAAGCGGCAGCTGCGGATGCAGGGTTGTTATTGCCGGCATACATTGCATCTCAAGCATGTGAACGGTCCATATTCATGGCTGATAGCATTTCGATGATAGTGTCTAGCTGGAGTGCAGTGGCTGGGTCATGCCGCCTTCGCCCGTGGATCACCGTGCAACGAACCACAGAGCAATGCATTGGTCATTTGTGACTGCGTATTGCCTGACATGCATAAGATATGTTACAACCTGGCCCAAACATGAAGTCGGTCGTATCACGGAGCCCAAGGTCCCAAGAGATGAGCCAGTCTCGCTTGTAGAAATCGTCCTCGAAAGACAGCCTTGCACATCCAATCCTTCACGCCATGACTCCCCAAAAGGCCCTGCCGCGTAGTATCTTGACAACATCTCTCTCCCTCACACCTTCGAAGGCTCCTCGTTGTGCCCACCGTGATATTGGGTATCGTACCCGAACTGCGCCTCCGGCACCGCATACCCCTGCCGACTATTCCCCATATCGCCCAAATCGCTGAACCCCTGCTGTTCGGCCTGATGTCCCTGCTCGGAGTAAGGACCCATGCTCGGCCTCGGCTCCTCCCAGGCCAAAGACTCGCGCGGCTCATTTGCATGATCGACTTCGCGCTCGCCGTTGTTGTCGGTGTATGGGCCGCGACTGGCTTCGGGCTGCTTGGTGTCGAGGTCTTGGAGGCGGTAGATGCCGCGTTTGGTTTGTCGGCGGCGGACGTAGATGTCGAGGACTAGGGCTGCTGCTGTTGAGAGGCTGTGGAAATCGCTTTTGTTAGCTTCGTACATCAAACGTTCTGTGCTGTTGGTCATGTACTTACAATCCGAATAGAGTGAAGCTGAAGAGAGCCTTGTAGATGTTGCAGACCATGATACCGGTGTCCTCGTGCCAATGCGCCTTATCGCACGCGCCGGCCAGAGTTCCACTCATGTAGTAGGTCAAGAGCGCCCAGCTGAGGGTCCATAGTAAGAGGAGAAAGCTATTGATCGCGATATTGAGGCGTGGGTTCAAGCCGATGAAGCAGTGGAGCACAATCGTGAAGATAAGTGCGGCAATGGAGAAGAGGGAGGCGGCTGTCAGCTGCAGCGTCACGGTATAAATTAGCAAACCATTTCATCGAACCATCTCGTGTTCACCCGTGTGTTCCAGTCACGAAATGGGATGGCGATCGCATACCCAGATAAAAGTCCACGGCGTACTCCAATGATCATGCGTCAAATGCCAGATGAAATAACTCATAATCCCACCCACGACAATACTCGATATGAGCTGCGCGGAGCGAATACCATGGAAGACCACGAGTGGGTAGCTCGAGGGTGCCGTTTTGGCGCTGCGGTCGAAGGGGTTGAACTTCATCGTGGCGGTTATTGAGTTGTGTCGTCGCTGAGGAATTGCTGCTTCGTTCGGCCTGATTTGCAGTGTAGTCGATCCAGTCGACTATCGCAAGGTGCCTGTATATGTATGTGGGCTGAACGAGTGACTGGCAGAGGTATGCTGGATGTTGGATGGTTGATGACAGGAGAAGCTGAACCGGCAGCTCTCGTTCGCGAAACGATAAGGCAAGCAAGCCAATGCAGCTACTTTGGGATTGGCTTCTTTCAGGTTTTGGTTGGGTTTCGCCCCCAAACCTTGGTGTTTCGAATCGGAATCCCCGATAATTGCCGAGCGAGCACGTGTGGAGGAGGTCGTTGGAGAGGTATGGCGCGCCGTAGGATGGAATGGGCTGCATATGAAATATCGACTTCTCTTCTCTTCTTCCTCTCACACCACAATCTGCTACCCAGCAATACCAAATCTATCACAGCACCAATGGACCTGCTCGCTGACGGATTGCCTGCTCGTGGTGACTTTGAGCTTTATGTCAGATCCGATGATCGCGACATCGATATCGCCGGCATCCTTCAGCTTCTAGGTGGATGCCCAGACCGGCCTTGTTCGCACATGGGCACCTCATCAGTCACTGCAGTCTGGCACGATGTTAGCAATGACGCCTACAGCAGGTCCGAGGAGCTCCTTATAGCTGTCGGCATACCAGTAAAGGATTATATCCATCTGGCCATTTGCCTCCCCTGTGAACATTGTTTGTACAGCAGCGAGCATATACCTTCCCACTTCTACTCTTTTCACCTCATATCTCTTATCTAGTCACATACTCCCCTCTCCTGTGCCCGCTGTCAGGAACATGGCTACCGTGAATCGCAGGTTCTCCAAAACGGACCATCCTTAGTCAGGTAGCAATGCTGCTCAAAACTCTCATTCACCTCATTCCTTCCTAATCGGGCTGTGCCCCGCCTGACTTTGCACCGGAATGGCCCTCCCTTCCCGCCACCGCAGCTTCATGATGTTTCTGCCTCCTCAGCTGCCGCAAGATTTCCTCGAATCTGCTCCACCCACACCACCGGCAGCGACAGCAGAAGCAACACACAAGAAGACAACCAATACATTACAACATCCGTATAGTTGAGCAGATACATCGTCTACACATCTGCCACAAGCATTCGGAGTGATTTGTGGTCACTACACACCCTTTTCGGCAAATCTCCGCCACTTCTTAAGCAGTTTCCGACCTGCACGGCGGACGAAAACGTGAATATACCCAGCTGTAGCTACAGCGCAACAGTCTGGAAACTTCCCACCACTACACCAACGGCGATACACTTTTCGCGCCTTTACGACTAGAATCGCACATCCTTCCGACACGATTCCCGGCTTGACGTCACCGCTTCGGCCATTCACTACACATACTCGTCTTCTGCCGCGTCTTCACGATGAGGTCGCGGGTCAACCCCACGCAGCCGGCTACGCAGTCCAAGCTCTTCCTCAGCAAGGCCAAAGCTTTCGTGGTGTCAATTGTGAGAAGGAAGACGGTGGCGAGGGCAGAGGCGTTGGCGAATGCGAGAGGCCATAGCCAAGGACTTGACCATGAAACCAAGACCTCGTATACGAACACCGTTGAGCGAGCGATTAGTGAGCAGAGCGAGAAGCTGCAGCGCAAGGCGCTTTCAGGCGGCGTGGTGAAGAAGGTTTCATCGAGACGGAGCTTGAACAGGCAAGATCTAAAGCAAGCTACCGTCACACGCGCTTATCCCCAGGTGGAATTGGACCGATCACTTCGCAAGCCTGCGGTCTCAAAACCGGTGGGTGAATCCGATGATCTCGACATCGATAACCAAGGGCCAGACTCGTTTGCGTCGAGCTTCAGGGCCAGGGTGGATGAATTCGTCGCTGAAATTGGTCATCTTGATGTAGCGAATGCGATGGAGCTTGACCGAACCTGGAACAACAACGGGCCTAAGCATCGGTCTGGGTCGTCGTTGAAACATCTGCCTCGCGACCGGCTGGAGCCTGACGCTAGGGCCAGATCCACCAGCTTCATCAGCGTCGTCCTTCAAAGACAGTGGCTATGCTTCATCCGACAACAGTTCGGAGGATAGCCACATGAGTGATGCGGATGACGAGAGCTTCTCGCCGCAACGCGATGGCGCAGCAGCTCGTGGTTCTCGCGGCAGCAAGTTCCACGGCGTCTTCAGCGGTGAGAGGCAGCAGTATCGCGATAGCGATGTCGACGTTGACGAGCTGGCTGAGGACGAGGCTATCTCGATGGACTTCAAGTGGTTCAAGACACGTCGGGCTTTCAGGTTTCGTTGGGTTGAGGCTACTCCTAACCGGACGTTTGTACCTCGTCCTACGGATCACTACGAGACTCCGCCGCCGGCTCAGGACGCCAGTCCTCCACCATCTGTTCCTCATCCTACCGCTCAGTTTTTCACTCCTCCACCAGCTCAACCTTTCACTGCGCCGCCAGCTTTCGATTTCCCGACGGCGGCTACTGCGACTCCGTTCCAACCTCCTCAGGTCGCCAGCCCATCTCCACCACAACCAGCAATGCTCAATATCGCGGCTGAGTTTACCGTTCGCTGCAAATGGCACTACTAAAAAGCCAGTATCGCCGACGACGGCGTCGGTGAGGACTCCCGTTGCGCCGGTTAGGCAGACGAGCTTCAGCAGCAGCACTACCAAGCCTGCTGAGACGATTCTATCCAAGGCCTCGCCGAAGATGCAGCCGGTGCTGGCACAGATGAGCAACCCCAGCGATGACGAGATCGTAGCTCTATCTGGTGGCTTCTCAGCACCAGCAGCGACGTCGTCGCTTCCACCACAGCCCATCAATCTTCCACGGATGTTTCAGGCGACGGTGAGGGTGACGATTCTGAGGACATGCAGCCCACGAGACCGCGATTCACGGATACTTCATCCCAAGCAAGCGCGGTGTCTGCGCAGAGCTCACAGTCAGCGTCAGCTAAGACAGCCACCAAGGACCAGACGCCTCTCTTTCCTCCACACAACGTACCACGCGCAAGTGCTACGTCTCTTGTGTCCACAGAGGGTGCCACTGGTGAGAAGGCCAGAAGCTTGACGACGACATCGGCTACTACAGCCTCACCAGTGGCAGCGTCGACTGTGGACGTGAAGCCGAGCGGTAACAAGCGTGCTAGTAACCACCCAGGCGACAAGGTCAGTGTCTCTACAAAAACCAGTGGCTTCGCTAAGCTTCCTGTGGAGCGGAAGAAGAAACGTCTTAAGAGCCGCACATCTAGCGCTCCCTCAAACTCTGCGACTAAGCCATCGTTCACTATTCGCTCAGGTCTCGAACTCGCCCAGGAGGACCTCAATCAGCCCACGCCAGACCTTCTCAAGATGGTGGTGTTCACCCTCTTCGCTGCCTGCTTTGCATCCTTGGCCCAATATGCAAACTATTCCGTCAGTGTTCTGGAGCTCAAGCTCGGAAAGGGCAAAGCGAACGCCGAGCTGTCGATCATGGAAGCCAGTATGAAGGTCTTGTTCAACTATCTGACCACCATGAGTGAGGACGGTGTGAAGCATGCTCGGTGGTGGCCAGAGAGTAAGCTCCCGGGCAAAGACAGCGTTGTTTGTATCCAGAAGGCCCAGGACGCCCATGAAGCAGCCAAGCCGCTCATGGAGATTGAAGCAGCTCAGAGCCATGCTGCGTTGATGAGTGTCATTTCGATGCTGAAGGATATGAAGAATGGCAAGGTTCTTAATGACCTACCCCATAACCAAGACACGACGATGGCTGGTGGCAAGGCTGTCAAGGAGGACGTTCCGATGGTGCAGGGCAACGGTGGCAATACTGCGGCCGGCGTTGATGTCTCTGGTGTCCCGTCTGGGGCTGGCTACCACACTCCAAGCACTCATATCGGCAGTGATCTTGCTGCGGGTCTGCTGCCTGGTTCGACACTTGCTTTGATCTTGGGCCAAGGTAAAAGCTCTTCGACTCCTCGGGATGCCTCGCGCAATAGCACAAGCAGCAAGTCCCCTGTCACTAAGCCTACACAACCTGAGAACCATGATACTGCTATGGCGGTTGATGGTCATGATGATTCCGCGAAGCCACAGAACTTTGCCGTCCTGAAGCAGAAGAATTCGAGTTGCGTCAAGCAAATGGTCCAGCACCTAAGACCGCCAAGGCTGAGAGTATTATGCAGTCTGAAGGCAACAAGATGGACGTCGACGTTGCTGGCACAGGGATCCAGATCTCTAGTCGCACCCTTACTACAATTAGCCCTGCATTCGCAAGCACACCTAGCAACAGCGATGACGCTCCCACCGAATCATTCCAGCCTCTGAAGAGCGCAACAGTCGACGAGGGCATGCCTCGTATGAAGTCATGGATGGTACGCAGCGAAGGCGTCGTTGAAACCCTGATGAAGTCGCCGAAGGGCACCACCACCTCGTCCTTGCTCACAGACACCAAATTCCTCAAAGAGCTCGATTATGTGGGCGAACGAATCGAGCAGACCAAGACCCTCACCTGCAGTCTCAAGCGCGCAATCCATAGCAAGAAATACCGCGCGCTCTTCAGGATGCGACGCAAGAAGGTATCAGATATGCATGATGTTCTCGAGAAGCTCAGGATTCGCTACGACAGATCGGCACCGCAGGCTTTGCAGATGGCGGCGCTCTACAGTGAGGAGTTTCTAGATGTCATGGATGCTATGGAGAACGAGCGCGGCATGACTAGAGCTCAGCAGAAGGCCTATGACGCGGAGAAGTGGGCGGAGATTGCTTGAACTGTGGCGTGTCTGAGTTGAAAAGGGGGTCGGGAGATGGACTCTGCCCTGCTAGGCTAGTACATTACGGTATATCCTGCAACACTTCATCGAAGACACCACAACGAAAAGCCTGGGTCGAGGTTATCGCTTGAAGGATGGCATATCTGAGATACAAGGGGGTCGAAGATAGACTTAGGCCTGCTAGGCTAGTACACTACGACCTTCTCTGCAGGATAGCGTTAGAGGCACGACAACACGACCAAGGTGAACGGCTGCCGTGATAGGTGCAGAAGAGTCGACGAAGGAATGAAGAGCAAAGAAGCTCATGATACGACACGATCGAGCTTTTACTACGGGCATTTGAGGATATCATGTTTGGTCTCTGGAAGAGATACTGGAGACATCGGTTTACGACAGGGCATCTCAGGCCGCACTGATATATGGAGCGTTCCAGAGCATTTCGGGCGGTGTTAGGTTGATGAAGCATTTCAGAGGGTTTCGGGCATGTGCTAGGTGCATTGAAGCAAGCGAGGCGTTCATGAGTCTTGCAATAACAAGCAGATTGTTTCCAGCGCGAGGGTTGGTCGTCTGGACGTCTTGGAGGACATAGCACCAGCGCGTGGCGCACAGTATTCAGGCGTTTGGATACGCTTTCGACGGAGCATTGAAGCCAGCGAGGCCTCCATGGGTTGTTGAACCCTAAGCAGATTGTTTCCAGCGCCGGCGTTGGTGGTCTGGACGTCTTGGGTGACACAGAACCAACAGGAGCAGCGCGCGGCGCACAGCATTGATGCGTTTGGACACGCTTTCGAAGGACCATATCAGTAGCGCGATAGCATTGATTGAAAGTGATTGCGTAAGAAGGCCAGCATAGCGTTGCGAAGTAGTTGATTCGAGCGTCAGCCACCACCTATTTCGAGTTAGTAGTGGGACATTGCTTCATCGTATTTCATGAGATCCTGTTCCGAAGAAGGCTGAAGTGAGAAGGAAGATCTTGACAACTATGGTCTATGGATTACTGCAATACATTTTGTATGCTTTACACATGTATCCGTCGTGAGATACGAAACCACTCTCTACTCCACATCAACTCGTCCTCCACACCCAAAATCTAATTGAAGCTGCCGTCCACGTTGCAGAGACGCGGGTGAGCACCAACAGCACACTGCTGCCAGTCATCAATGAACTTGCAGCTCCAATTCGATGGGTCGGTGGAATCGCCGTTACCGTTGTAGGTAGTCCTGTATGGGAAGCGGCAGTGGGCACGCTGGAACTCAATACCTAGGTTGGCCTGGTCCCACCAGAACTTGGTACCGGTGATGGTCTCAGGGGCGTTGTTGCTCTCGACCCAGTCAACGAGATCCCAGACGACGTTGCCGGAGACACCTGGCACAGCAGCGAGGCCGCTCTGGCCGAACATCCATGCACCGGCACCAGAAATACCGCCGACACCGCAATGAGCCATACCGGAGATACGGAAGTAGCGGAGGAAAGCATCCATGCCGTTGTTGTCAAGTCCAAGCTGCTTGGCGACCTTGAGGTAGTAGCGCTGGCTGTTACCACCAGAGACGAGAGGATCAGCCATACCGTGGTACATGATCATCTTCTTGCCCGCGTTTTTGAAAGCGCTGAGGTCGCCGCTGAAGCCAGAAACGTGGCCGTGAAGCTCGTCCTCAGCATCGGCCTGAGCGTAGTCGGTCTGGTTCATGTTGAGGGCATCGTAGTAGCTGTTGTTCCAGACTCCACCGCCGTACCAGGACTTGGAGATACCCTGGACAGAGCCGGAGAGCTGGCCAAGACGGAAAGCATCGACCTGGGATCCGTAGAGGAGGGATGGGTAGAGGAGCTCTCCGGCATCGTTGTAAAGCTCGGTGAAGACCTGGTAGACGGTGCTAACCTGGTCAGCAGTCAAGCAGTTGGTGGTGGAGCCGCTGGCGCAGATTGGAATGGCAGAGACGTCGAAGTCGCAGATCGTAGGGTCCTCGAGGATACCGTCGTTGACACCATCAAGAGCCTCGTCACACTGGGCGAAGATGTAGCTTTGCACGAAGATCCACTGGTCGGAAGTCAAGAAGCGAGGGTCGGAGCTGTTCTGGCCAGTGAGCTGAACGAAGCGACCAGACCACGCCTGGAGATGGTTGAAGTCAGCAGCAGCAGAACCGGCGATAATACCGTCGAAGTCGTTAGGGTAGTACTGAGCAGAGTGAAGACCTTGTTGACCACCGGTAGAGCAGCCCATGTAGTAAGAGTAGCTGTGTTTCTGGCCGTAGAACTGATCGGTGACTTGCTTGCCGGCCTCAACAGAGGCGTGGCGTGCGCGGTAGACCCAGTCGAGGATCTCCTCGTTCTCGAAGTACATCCATCCACCGTCGAACGCGGAGCCGTTGTGCCCACCGTTGTCACCGATCGCGGCGAACCCAAGGCTGGTCACGTAACTCATGTCGACGTAATGGACACATCCGTTGGCACCTCCATTGTCGGTGCTCAAGGTGCGGCCGTTCCATGCCTCAGTGCCGTTGTTGGGGAGCCAGACCTCCATGTATGTGGACGATGAGCCGCTAGTGGTGATGCTGAGGGTGACACGGCAAATATCAACCTTAGGGGTGAAGGTGGTACCGCACTGAGCGGTAGCCTGGCCAGCGGGTAGAGGTGTCGACTGGTTGGAGGGAATGGCATTGCAAGAGATAACATTGGTGTTGTATTCGGTGCTGAGAGAAAGGGTCGAGCAAAGGTTGGAGCAGTATGCGGAGGATGTGACCTCCGAAGACACGCTGACTGCGGCGGTAGGTGCCATCTTATTGTTGCGGGCGGTGCCGGTCAAGAAAGCTGAGGAAGCGCTGTTGGCCGGAGAGAATTGTGAATTACAGTCGTATAGTTGACCACTGGGTAAGGCGCGATTGAGGCAGGGCTGTAAGTCGAGACGATGGTGTTGATCGTCGACCGAGTAGAAATTAACAACGACGTGCGAGGGTCGTAATAGTGAGCGTGACGGTCGCGTTGACCAAAGGTACAGAAGGAAGGACCCTCGAAAGCGAAGCAGCAATACTTGAGAGTGATTGAAGAACAGCAGTAATAATATTGGCAGCAGAAGTGAAGTAGGAGGCTGTTCCAACGGCCGTTCCAGCGCTAGCGGAGCTCGTCAAAGTGCCTGACACGCTAAAGGCGGAAGGGCTGGTGCTTGCAGATGAGATGACAGGGGTTAAGCACGAGATACGAGTCGATGAGTCGCTGACCGAAGAGGCACCCGAATTTTCCGCTGAAGCAGACGATGGATAATAAGATCTTCTCCAAAGGTAGCATCGTCTTGGTTGACTATGCTGATGTCCGTAGTTGATATCCTTAGGGCATCCTTGAATTCGTCCCTCCAGATCATGAATGTTTTCTTGCGCCTCGATCAGAAACAGCCCTTGCAAATCGATGATCCGTGTCCCATCCCCTGTACGTGTTGCCCGAACGGGATGAATGCGCTATGAGCGACCCTAAGCAGGGCGGCACAGATGAGCGGAACGCTAATCACCCTCCCTGATGCACGAAAGGAACGAAACGAAGGTGGAGAGGTTGAAGTCGTACAACGCACCAAGAAAGCATCCCCACGGCGTCCCCATGGTCATCCATCTCTATAATGTGGAGAGCCTTTTGAGTATCCACCTTGTGGGTATCGACATTGTCGGCGCCACTTCTTCTCAACGTGGTTGCGGAGTTGCGAAAAATCGCTCGCAGCGTGGCGTCCGGGTTCCTGCATAAGGTCTACGCTAAGGATTTGACACCATCATCCCGTTGTGAACTTACGCAGGTACGAGCCAAATCACGAATGGCTTACTCCCTCATTTGATTTATTCCTCGTGCGACTTAGCGATGTCCCTACCTGGGCAGCATTCTGCATATCGGGGAGTCTACAACCAAAGCAGTGCGAGCAACGCGATATCGTAATTCGCCGGACACGGGATGTGGCCGTCCCCTACTGTCGAGATTACTTGAGGCTAGCTCCGTTCATTCGAAGCCGAATCAGACGGTCGAATAATCGATGCAATCTCTACTATAGGCCTTTGCTCCTATAACCGTCCTATAATACTTCATATGCACAGAGGTCAACTAATAATACGATTGGTTGCATGGTCAGGGACTCAAGGAGTGGTGGTCGTCTTGTGTAACATCAACCAACTGAACACAAGATCCTAGGTGGTGCTACAACATACATGCCAGTCTGACATGACATCGAAGATAGAGGCACCGCACATCACGCTGCTTGAAAGACGACCTCGAGAATCACGAGGCTGGCTGATGCGGCATGTGGGATCAAATCATGATCTACTACGTGAGCCCACCATTAGTTACAGTACTCGTGCCACTGTCATGGTGACACTTGCTCTGCTCCAAGAAGAACGATGGCAGCACCCTGCACGTCTGCCGGATCACCGATATCATGGAAGTAAAAATGCTCAGTACAATGAGACATGTTTCCTGGTCTAGACAACGATATGCCAAGACAATGATCTGCAGAATACATCAGATATCGCCTTCATGCATGACCATTCGTTCCGTTGCTGCTCCATTGATCTTTCATGAAGCCACCGAAGAAGTTCTCCAGCGGCGCATGCGCTTCCTCACCAAGCGGCAGCACGGACGAGATATACTGGTCTGGCCGTACGACCAACAGACATCCCTTCTCTTTGCTTACACCCCTACTCTCGTAGATCTTGCCAAATCCAGAGCCATAACTCTCTTCGTCAGTGAATACTTTCTCATAGTCTTGGATACCGAAAACGCCCTTATGTGGCAGCAAAATCTGCGGCAGATCTGAGATTGAGATCGTGATTCGGCTCTGCTGCAGGACTGCTCGTACGTCGATAACACTGTCGATATCTGCTTTTGCTGGTGTAAACTTGGGCAAGAGCTTCTTGTACAAAAGTTCACACGTCTTGGCAAGTGGCGATGCTGAAGAAGTAGGCTCAGACTTGTCGCCGAAAAGCACGATTCGCCATCGACCATCAGCATCCATTACATGACCAAGCTGGACCGGCTTTGCATCCGCTAGTCGAAGGACTTGACATGAGTGGAAGCGGGTGCCGATCTCGAACCCAGTGGCCAGGTCTTGATGTGTTGTATCGCCTGAAGTCAACAGACCAGGTGAGTACTTTGTTTCGACTCCGGCCATGAAGCGTCCCTGTCGCTGAAAATACTCCTGAAACACAGCCGGATCAATGGCATCTTTGTCGTCCTCCCCAGCCTTGTTCTTCGGTTTAGCAGCGAACAATTTGCTTATCTTGCCGTCGAACTCGATGAGGAGCTTGGCAATACCTTGTCGCTCGTCCGTATAGGTGAAGAGTAGCTTGGGTTCTGCCAAGCCATGGAGGACTGCTGCGAGCTTCCAGCCAAGGTTATATCCATCGTTCATGGACACATTCATGCCTTGGCCTGCTTTTGCAGAATGAGTATGGCAAGCGTCTCCAGCAATGAAGACACGTGCATTTCGCTGCTCACGTTCTGCTTCGGGTACGTCGTCGAAGTGGTCTGTGAGACGCTGCCCGACCTCGTAGACAGACCAGTATGCAATGTGCCGTACTTCAAACTTGAATGGCTTGAATATACGTTGCGCTCGGTCAATCAAGACCTCTGCTGTCACGTTCTTGCTCGCTATCCGCTCGTCCTGCTTCAGCTTATCGAGTTCGATATAAAATCGTGCCAGATACCCGCCTTCTCGTGGGATGATCAGGACACTGCCTTCGTCTGCCGAATGGATGGCGGTCTTGAGTCTAACATCTGGAAAGTCCGTTACGACCAGTGCATCCATTACACCCCATGCTTGATTGGCAAAGTCTCCCTTCATCTCATAGCCCATAGCTCGCCGAACACCACTTCGCGCGCCGTCACAGCCAACGACATACTTGGCTCGTATCTTCTCCTTCTGGCCCTTGTGTGCATCATCCAGCCTCTCAACTTCCACTTCTACAGGTCCAGATTCCGGTATAGTCATGCGGAACATCTGCCTGCTGTAGCTCGGCTCTAATCTCGTCGCACTGCCTTTCATCGAATCCAGCCATAGATCATGTAGTCTTGCTTGGTTCAAGATGACATGCGGGAATTCACTGAGCCCCTCCTCTGTATCTCGTATCCTCCCGGTCCGCCTCAAGCCCATACCATCCTCGGTAGGTGACCAGAAAGTGGTCTCGTTGACCCAATACGCCTCCTTCAATACCCTTTCGCTGAATCCAAATGCTTCGAAGATCTCGATCGTACGGCATTGTAGACCGTCTGCCTGTCCTTGTACAAGGCGACCAGGTTTCGTCTCGATGATGCGGGTTGTGATGTTGGGAAAGCGTGATAGTTGGGTCCCGAGAAGTTGTCCTGCCGGTCCAGCACCGACAATGAGGACATCAACTTCTTGCGGAAGAGATGCTTGGAAGTCTGGTTCTTGGTCGCCTTCGTAAAGGTCCTGTAAAGGATCGCCGGAGCTCTTGAAACCATTAAGGTGGAATTGCATGTTGTCGTTGGTATCAATATCAAGGTGGAGCAGACGCAGAAGGTTGAAAGCTGCCAGATGAAGGGAAGGAGAAACGTTCGAGCTCTTACTATGCTTGACAACGATCACAATACCATGCTTGACGATTCCGCACTTCTGGCCGCAGTAAGATACTACGTGGAGCTGTAGATAGCTCTGTACCCAAGGACTAGCTGGCAGTATATGCTCCTGACTGAAGGGTGCTGCAGAGCTGAAAGTTGATGACGGGGAGCTCGGGGACTTCGGGGTGCCGAAGCCGTCGTGAGAAGACGAATTCACCAACAAACCTTCCAAACTCCTTGTTAGAAGAACGGGCATTTGTATCGTTTATGATTGCCACCACTTCTGCCGATAGCATGTATCCACTGCTGAAGATAGACGCACAAACCACTTCCTCTTACCCACCAAAGCCAAGAAGCATTGCTGCAAGACTGATGAGCCTCTGAAGTGACGCTGGTGCTCGCTAACAGACCTCACGAAGCTCGCTTTGCGCCTCTCATACCAGAGGCGAACAAAGTCGCTAAGATTACTGACTTCCAAGGGCGTCCGCGTATGACTGGTGAACATTGGAGGCCGATCCAACCCTTGTGAAGGAAGACCATCATGGTCCACCCTTTGTCGATATTGCTCATTCCAGCAACGGCCTTCATAGCCAACAGAGCATCGACTATCTACTCACGACTCAACATCCCTTACCCTATAACGTTGAACCGCGATGTGCCTACAACGTTGAGCAATCATCGGACAGTCACATCCATCATCAACCCGAGCAAACTTCCTGCATTAAGCGATACCCACGAGATCGTGATACCCTGGCCACGAACACCCGAGGGTGGCACAATGCCTAATGAACAGGTTCTTGCTCGGCTATGCTATGGCTTTTTCGGGGGAATCGTCCTGACCCCGGAGAGAACGTTACTTGGTTTCCTCAGGAAGAATCTGATAGGCATCTCTGCACTCGATGCTGTCGCGGTCCCGCAAGAGATCTGGAGCCGTGGCGACTTGCCTCCTGAGAAGGCTCTTGAAGTCGGGTCGAAACTGTATGGCACATTTCAGGTGGTTGATCAACATATTGCTCCATCGCCAACAGCTGCGGCGGACTCCAAAGCTCTGTTTGACGAAGAGAGCTTCGTCACATTTGCATATGGTTACGATGAAGGGCTGTTCAAGGGTGCACATCGCTTCTACGTCTCCCAGGCCCAGCCGCCAGCATCAAGCAGTACGCAGAACAGGGAAAAGAAGTGGGTTCGTCTGCGGATGAGCTCTACCAATGTTGTCACAAGCGACAGTCCTTATATGCAAAAAGCGATGGACTGGTCAGGCAGTTTTCACCTAACCTACGCCAACCTCCTCTTTCGAGACGCCGTGGCCGAGGTTCTGAGTCCTTACGAACAATGATAACGATGTGGCAAAGATCGTGAAGCATCGAACGGACCGCAATATTTGCTCATTTTCATGTCTATCATGACATGCGCTAGGACGCTCATAATGAGTGTGTACAAACTCATGCCCGTTTCGGTAATATATCATCGATGCTCCGTCTCCCCTCAGCCGTGCTTCCATTGCGGCGGCCAGTCAGGCCCGCAATCATAGCAGCCGCTGGATTCTGCAGACCCGTGCTCACTCCTTCAGGCAACAAGTGCTCGAGCCCTGTGCCCTTGGCAAAGAGCCTCTTGCCTTCATCCTTGGCCTTCCGCTCATCCCTGAAGCCGGTCGCGTCAGTGTCAGTAATCGAGACGCTGTATGTTGGGTTGGCAGGGTCTCCGAATGCTGGTCCACCACCACCTGGTGGGTCGATTGGGATGCGTCGAGTCACAGCTAGAAGCTCGACCATGAATTTGTTGCGGCGCGCGTTGCGGAGTTGGTCGTTTGCGAAGTTTGACTGTTCGGTATTAGCTTCTATCAGAATGAGAGTAAATTCAGCTCTGCTCACCTTGTGCCTAATCTCGACCCTCAATTCGAGCTTGCCAAGATCGTTGAGGTTCCTGAGCTCAATATCAAGCTCCGGCTGGAAGTCCCTCTTGTTCTCCGGTGCAGTCACGAACTTCTCCAGCTCGGCACGTAGAGCGAGGACATCCTCCATACTAGTCGTAGGACTGACGCACAAGCTGATGCGCTCCTTCATGCTCCTGCTTCGAGTGACGTTCTCGATCCACAGAGCGTTGGCGACGTTGTGTGGAATCTGCACAGTCTTGCCACTGTCGACACGGCGGAAGACGGAGTACATGAGACTCATGTGTTCAACGATGAGTTCGACTTCGTTGATGTCGACACGGTCGCCGACGTCGTACGGGTGCTTGATGAAGAGGAAAATACAGCAAGCGAGGAATTCGGTTACTGTTCCACCAATAGCGAAAGCCAGACCGGTGAAGGTCGTCCAGAGTTGAGTCGTCTTGGCCTGGAAAGTCTTACTGAAGAAGCTGGCGTAGATGAAGGCGATGGCGAACAGTACAACGAGGCTGAGAAGGCGATCGAGGACAGCGATGGCTTGACTTATATCGTGCATGCTCGCTGCCCGACTTTTCCTCTCCGTGCCGACATCGATGATAAGCCATGTCATCTCTTCCAAGCTAACATCGCCATTGCCATCGCGGTCGAGGATATGGAAGACTTCTTCTACCATTTCTGAACGGCTCCGGCCGAGGACTTGCTCCAGATCGTGCTTGTAAAGTACATCCTTGCCCTCGCCGACAAATGATAGCCATAGACGGCGTGCTAGAGCCTTGGATTGTGTCTCGGTCTCGAGAGCTTCAATGACGATCGAGTGAGCTGATGTAGCACCAAAGACCTGCTTCCCCGTAATGTCGCTGGCCATAGCGCCGAAAGCAGCCGTCACCTTGTCCCTGACCCTGCCCATGTCATTGAAAACCTTGGTTTTGATCCCGGCTTGAGCCAGTTGCTTCCTCACATCGGTAAGGGTGTTTCCCTGTATTTCGGCATCTTCCTCTTGAAACTCCCTGCAGTACTCTGGGAAGATGGCGCGCGACGCATCGTATAGGAGATCCAGCATTCGAATCAATTGCTTGCTCTCTTTAATTTTGGCATCGTATTGTTTGCGGTGGTAATTGATGCTGACGAGCTGTACGAACGTCTTCTCGGCCAGGAAGATGGCAGCAACAATGATAAGCGCTTTGAACACCGTGTTGAGTGTCTGCAGCCATGTATTGTTGTATACGTTGGGGTTGAAGACATTGATGATATTCGAGGTGGCCCAGGCTAGAATCGACCAGAAGAATAGAGACATGGGGATCTCAAGCGCCTGCAGTACTAGTGAGTATTTCCTGATCCCAGTACTGACCACGCCGCAGACTGCTTGGAAGACGATGGGTACAATGGTAGCCACGAGCTTGCATATCCATAGTCCAACCCAAATGACTTCGAACCATATGAACAGGCCTAGCAGTCTGATCCCACCTGCCGCACTCCCTGAGTAGACAGTAGCAGTCAAGACAAGGGGGATAGCGAGTAGCGCTGCGACAGGCAGGATGTAAAGAGCATATCGTGTGAGGATGGATGCGTTGTGTATCTTCCACAAGAAGTTGCCGACTTTAGTCAGGGCGTCCTCCTCGCCATCGTAGCCCAGCTTGACATCAGGGATAATCTCGCCGTCGATACCAGTACTCGTCTTGCGTCGGCCGAGGACAGGGCGTGTGGGTGAGTCGATGGAGGTGATGGTGACGTTCGGGTTGCCTTTCTTGCCGAGCTCGAGGTCTGCCATGGCCATGCTGGAGTCGTTGCTGCCAGAGGTGTTGGGTGCTGAGAGCATGGTCGAGTAGATCTAAGTACCGAGACGAGCCAGCTCGACCGAAAGCACTACTGCAGTATGTGTATTGAAGGCTTAAACAATAATGACAGGCCACGTGAAGGTGCCCACGCCAGCAATGTTAGTAGCCGTTAATGTAATAGCAGTGTCTGAAAGAAGAGAGTGTGAAGAGTGGAAGAAGTTAACGTGTTTCTCTACCAGATGGCCATCAGGGACAGTGAGACACGATGGCGCTGCTAGCCATGCTCCAGATCGCTTCCACGCTGTGGTCAATGAGTGTGGCGTTGGTATGCTCAGGATAGTGCCCCTTGCAAAGGAGACAACTACCGAGCGTTACGGCACGTCGATAGAGCCGGACCTACTGAACATTGTGCTCTTTTCCAATACGCTCAGGTGTGCCCGCCACCCGTAGCACATGTCCCGGACCCATAAGTAGAGCCGTGGTCCTCACAAAGCAATTCACGAGCTGAGGAACAGGATGAGTGTGATGTTTGAGGATGGTTTCAGGATACTTTTAGGCTAGCGAATCACAGCGCTGCCAAGACGAGCGTCTCAACCGAATTGTTGCCATATGTCGTGGATCTAGAACTGCGGTAGTGTACCAGATCAGTGAGATCACAGACAAAAGAGCAGAAAATAGCTGAGCCATGGTAATAGTTCACGAATTCTCGCTTATCTAGCCGAGCACAGCGTCCTCAATTTCAAGATCAGAGACATACTCTTCGGCAGAGCCGTATGTGTCCTGCCCGCGAACGCCGTTTGCGAGCCTCTCCTCCAGCAATGGTATGGTATCAGATCTCAGCGTCTTTGCGGTCTCGGCGTCGCCTGCTTCGCGAGTCATCACCAGCTCCGCTTGTGCATCGATCAACTGCTCCCTCACATCGTCCATGGCCCTCAAGCTCAAGCCCTCCGCTCTCCCGCAATGCAAAGCAAACTCCTCCATGACCTGCGGTAACAAGAACTCTGGCGGTGGACGATACTGTCCAGGAAACACCATCTGCTCTACAATACTTCTCAAGACTGGCGAGTAAGTGAAAGGTAGTGCCTGCTGCAGGGTCGTACAACCCGCAGGAAGATCCGGTCGACACATGGCCGCCAGTCGGTTGAAACGCTCCGTCGGTACAACAGTACGCCAGTCCTCATCACGACGAGATATCATGTCGGAAGTGATGTCCTGTCTCATCACTAGTTCCCAAATTGGTCGGCTGGTCATCATTGCTACTGCGCAAGCTCCTATGGACCAGACATCGCCCAGACCACCTGGTGCGATTTCAGCTTGAGGCCAGTAACTGCTGAGTTCTGGTGCCTCGTAACCAGTATACTCACCCTCCAGATCTTGGTCCCATAGCTGGATGACGTCGCGTTTATCGTTCCAATTCTTGAAGACAGTACATTTTTCGAAGTTGCCTAGCTTACATGTGCCGTATGTAAGATTCTTGAAACCGGCGACTGGCTTAGGATGGCAATAGAAGACGTTGGCAGGATGAATGAAGTTGTGCGAGATTGGCTTCCAGCCTCGTATGGGTTCGAGATCATCCGCGAGTTGGCAGTCTGTGGCTGTGAGAGCTTGACGGCCGGTCACGAGGTAGGTGCTAGCGCGCAGAAGTGAGATAATGGTATGCCAAATGAAAGACTCTGGAAGTCCTTCGCCGTCTTGCACGAGGATGAGCTGATTGAGTGTTCCAGCATTACAGTACTCCCACTTCGTCCGCTTGCTCGTCCTAGTCCCATCGGTGTCATCATACTCGAGAAGCTGGACTAGATTAGGATGATTCAGCAGGTCACCCACATCCATGGCGACTTCAGTATCAAGCTCGGTGTCATCATCAACGACCTCTCGGCACGGAAATCTTTCAACGTACGGCGGGCCAGTGACTAGAGCTCTGTAATACATCCACACCGCACCATCGGTCCAGTTCACTTTCTTGGATCCATTTGCGGTCCGATCGACTGCGAATATAGGCTCTTCTCCAGGTTGCTCACGGCTGGTTGGAAGCGAGAGTGTACCTTGGGACAAATCGACTCGGGTGCGAGGTCTGACTATGCGATGCCGAGTAGGAAGCTGCTTCTGCACACGTATAGGACGAACCCTATGCGGACTGACTGCATGCCGCTGACGTATTGTTGGCATAACTTCAAGTGGCCAAGCTCCCGGTGCATAGTTGCCTCGTGGCGTCTGTTTCACGTTGGGACTGGTCCGCCTAGGTCGTATCCTTGGACTGCTCGATTTCCTTCGATTTTTCCTAGGATTGCCATTACTGCGGAATGATGAAGGGCTGATCGAACCAGATGATAATTTGAACACTCGAGGACTCGCCGGTAGCGTGCGCGATCCTCGCCTTGCAGTCTGCGGTTCGCTCGAGCTGCGGGAGGGTGATGATGATAATGATGGTGAGGCAGAAGGGACCCTGAACCCACGCGGACTTCCCTTGGCCAAAGGACTAGATTCTGACGAAGCTGAAGGTACTCTGAATACTGCCATGGCTGAGTTTGGGATTGCTTGTGCGGCATCGTGGAGTGATCATCACAACGAGACACGGAGAGCATAGTAGACAAATGACAAAGGAATCCATCCAGCATCTTGGTCACTTACCGCTTCCGGCGTTCGACAATGAGGAGCATACTATGTCGCTGTCCCGTTGGCTTCATTGCGTGGTATGCTGCTCACTGTGATGTGCTGGCGTGAAATGGCGCGCAGCGAGCCTCATCTTACCACTCGTAATCTCAACCCAAAGGGCAAGGAAGGCATATGGTACCGCGTACCTCACTCCAGCCTACACCTAATGGCAGAACCGCACCCTGGCCAGTTGGTTGAAGTCTCATGGCGCCCTCGAGCTCGGAAGAGGAAAAGTGAACAATGCACTCCCCTCGGCTCAATCTCGGCAAGTGACGGAGCTTGATGATGACCAAGCGACAGAGGTGGGTCTACGTCCCGATAAACACTTCTTCTCCACACAGCATGACCTGGCTGCACACACGACACGAGCTGACGAGTACCGCTCGAAGAAGTTGCAGAGGTGGAAAGAAGAAGAAGGTAATCCAAGATGACCAAAGCATTCAGCATGTCATTGCCAGATTCTCGACCGTCATTCGACGACCAAACCTCTTTTGACAACGCAAATCGTGGTTTCATCGCGGCTCTTGAACCCTGCATCATCAAGAACAAAGACGGCAAAGATGTCTGGAATGACGAGGATTACGCTTTCCTGAGTGAAAGCTGTCCGTCTTCCGCAAACCCCAGTCTATGGCGACAGGGCCAGCTTACCAGCAAACAGGGGCTTTTCGAAGTCACGGCCGGAATTTACCAGATCCGTGGTTTTGACATCTCCAACATGACCCTGGCCGAAGGCAAGACCGGAGTTGTTGTTCTAGACTGTCTACAGTCTGTCGAATGCGCTGCCAAGGCATTGGAGTTCTACCGACTTCATCGAGGAGAGCGGCCGGTGATGGGGCTTGTATATTCACACTGCCACTATGATCACTTTAGTGGTGCGCTCGGGATACTTCCCAACTACTCCTCAGATGCGGAAAGTGTGCCAATCATTGCTCCTGCCGGCTTTTTAGAGGAAGTTCTGAAAGAAAAGGTGGTGGTAGGGCCTGCTATGCTGAATCGCGCTGTGTACATGTTTGGCGAGTCTCTGCCCAAAGGACCAACAGGGCATATGTAAGTCTAATCGCTCCAACTTCTCCTCCCTGCTTCATCATATTTATGATGACGTTCCACATCCAATAGTGGCTGCGGACTAGGCATAGCTAGCTCCTCAGGTACTCGCTCGTTGATACCTCCAAACGACATAATCACTACGACTGGCCAGTCACGGACTATAGACGATGTCCAGCTCGTGTTCCAAATGGTTCCGGACACTGAGGCACCAAGCGAATTCAACGTATTCTTCCCAGCCCATCGCGCCCTTTGCATCGCAGAATGCGCCACAAACACCATGCACAATATTGCCACCCTGCGTGGTGCCGCTGTACGGGATGCGAAGAAGTGGTCCAAGCACTTGGACGAGACCATCGACCTATACGGTAAAGAAAGCGACGTCTTGTTCTCGAGCCACCACTGGCCAACCTGGGGTCGCAAGCAGCTCATAAAGTTCATCTCCGATCAGCGTGATCTGTACGGTTACATGCATGATCAGACGGTAAGGATGATGAACACCGGTCTCACCGGGGTCGAAATCGCAGAGACGCTACGGCTCCCGCCTGCATTGCAGCGAGAATGGCATACGCGGGAGTATTATGGAGCTTTGAACCAGAATATCAAAGGTATCTATCAGCGTTATATGACCTGGTTTGACGGCAATGCTGCGAACTTGTGGAAGCATGTGCCTGTCGAGGAGGGCAAGCGGTATGTGGCTTGTATGGGTGGCGTGGATGCCGTTATGAAGAAGGCGCAAGAGTATGCCCGATGGAAACGACTTACGATTTGCTGTCACATTGCTTGATCATGTCGTTGCGGCTGAGCCTCAGAATAGGAGCGCCCGTCAGCAGCTTGCGCAGGTGTACGAGACTCTAGCATTCGGCTCGGAGAATGCGGTCTGGCGTAACTATTATCTCACGACAGCACACACGCTCAGAAGCGCAGATGATCCCGGCATGATGTCGAGAGGCGCTGCGTCTGGGCCTTTGGCCATCAGTCCTTACTCTTCCGTAGAGGACTGGCTCGATGCACTGTCATTAAGGATCGATGGGCCGGAAGCCTCCAACTTACACAACGAGATTGTTGTTTCGCTCACGATGTTAGATGATCAAGTAACATGGATACTGCGGCTGCGGCATGGCACGTTGACATATCGTAGTCGAGCCAGCAACGAACGCCGAGATGGTAGCTTCGTCGACCTCGAGGTTACGCTGAGCAAAGCGGACTTATACAAGGTCATATCGACTGGTACAGTCAATGCAATCGAAGGGAACCAGGCGGGAGATCTTGTTGTTCTGAAGACACTTCTGAGCGTTTGTGGCTTCTGATAGATGGTCGAGTAAACCTGCGCAAGAGGCACCTCAACGTAATAGCATACAGCTTCACTGAGAAGCACGGGACTGTGTTCGCTTCATCCTGTAAATAAGACAAGCAGTTTGCATTGCTGTACTGTTTGCTTCGTTGCGTAACGTGATATTGCGGTGCTTTTCAATTGCAGGTCGTTCTTGCTTGGAGTATTGTTTGCTGGTCGGGGAGTCTGAAGACCTGTAGCAGACATACGTGCTTATTGGGCTGCTAGAGGAGGTCTTCATTACTCTCTAATAGATCACGCGTGTCGTGGACTCGCACTCCTATTGTCATCATGTGAAGTATAGGCGTTGGCCGGGTCAGCCCTGCATGTTTTGAGACAAAACCCAACGCCACCTGATGATGTAACGCTGGTCATGTCTCGCTCTCCCACTCCCAACCCGTGGTTGGCGTGACTCGGCTTTGCCGACCAGCCACAAACCAAGGCCTGACTTTCATCCTTAACAATCTTATGTCACTGCCAAGTCACAAGCTTCACTCGCCGACCTAGAACAGAGCTTCACCTTCACGCGTCCTTTTAATCGAGGCCAACAGCACTCGCAGGCAATGTCGCAGTACCCTGACGACGATTATCGACCCCGCCGCGGCCGTGGCCATGACGACGGCGGTGGCTACCCACCTCCACCAGCTTACCCTACTGCCACCGGCGGTGGTGACGATTACGGCTCGAACAGTGGGAGACGCGACCAGCGATATCCTCCCGACCAGGGCAATCGGCCACCACCACCACCTGGAGGTCCACCCGGAGAAACACTTCCACCACCACCCATGGGTGACGCCTTGAATGATGGTAAGCGTAGTGCTATGAAGCGCGAGGGTAGTAGATCTCGTGTGCCGCAGCATTTGCGGCCGGAGTTTCCTGACGAAGCCTCCTACCTAGGCTCGACTGCGCCTGATCTCGAGAGGAAGAATAGGCGCAAGGATAAGGAGTTTCGGGATAGGCGTGATGGCTACGAAAGTGAGGAAGGAGAGTCCTTAAGGCGGGCCAAGCCACCGAGGCGTGACGAAGATGATCGCGAAGATCGAGATCGCCGTGCTAGGAGGTTCAGAGACGATAGGGATGCTTATCAAGACAACGGACCATCAAAACGATCCAAGGACAGACGCGATGACCCACCACCGTACGCCGATCGTGACCGGGACCGTGACTACGACGACAGAGCTCCACCGCGGCGCCGTCGAGACAAGGAGCGCGACCGGTATGACGACGATTACGATGATGACCATCCGCCTCGCAGAAGAGGCGGCGGAGACAAATCAGTAGAGTACGGCTCAGACCCTGTCCCAGTCCGTCGCAGGAACACAGATGCCGGCCGCTCTCGAGCAGAAAAGGACAAGCCTCGCCGACGCAAGGATTATGATGACTATTCGAGTGATGATGACGACCGCCGACAGCCTTCAAGGAGACACCGTAGTGAGGAAGACCCCGACAGAAGACGCCGACCACGCGACAAATACGATGATGACGGACGCTCATATGACCCCGATCCGCGCGACCGCGACCAACGCCGTAGACGTCAAGATATCTACGATCGGGACCAGGAAGATCGCCGGCGCGACAAGAGCCGCAGAAGGTACTCAGATGACGATTATGATGACTACGACAGGCGCGATAGGCGCGGAGGTCGGGATGGCAGAGATGGAGGCCGCCAAAAGCCACCACGGGAGATGAAGATTGGAAACTACGACATCGGTCCTCTGATTGATACTGGCAAGAAACACTATGGCACGGTAGCTCCAATCGTGACACCATTCTTGATCAATGCTGCGAAGAAGTACATGACGAAATGAGTGCGATGGATGGGCAGAATAATGATTAGGCAGGGAAGGACATCACGACTCCGGTCTCATAAGCGGTATGACTTCCGCTGATCTGCTTATAAAAGTCCAGCAGGCAGAGGAAGTAATGATTGAGGCTGCTACAGTTGAGACTTCGGGCGTTGCGCTGCGACAGACTGGATTGATGGTATACCCTTTGTAACATACGGACCGGACAAGGTAGCGTTTTTGCACATGAACATGACTTCACGACATACACTTTCATCTGCACGTTCATCTTTCACCCCACCTGCCTCCCTTCTCGCTTCATCATCTCAACTCTCGGAATACCGAATCTGATCCGCCATGGGATCCTGTGACGGTTGCCGCGCCGGTGAATTTAACAACATCGCCATCCAACTCCGTGCGTAGTTCGTTCGCGCGCTAATCCAAGCCATTTTAGACCCCACCTGCCGCTTCCAACCTAGACTTGAGCTATCAATGGCCAACATTGCAGCACGTCCACATCATTTGCATGTAGCTGAAAGAACCATGGCGTCGATGGCACGCCTAATGCACAGTTTTGCTGTAGGAGAGACGATAAGTATATTCCCGTTGCTGAGATGTCGTTCTGTAAGTATATCCTCTTCTGGGACACGGAAAGACAACAACGGCGGCTTGGGTCGCTGGACGTCACCGAGTGCTCGTCGTCGGAGATCTCTGGAGCCCTTGGGTAGGGATTAAAGAGAAGCAAAAATGGCCTTTGACATCTCAGAATCGACTGGGACCTACGACTATGGCGAATGGCAAGACTTCTACTCCGCCGTCTCCCTCGACCCGAACAGCTACGGCTCCGTCAACACCACAAACGGCTACCTCCGCCTCTCACCCTCCGGCTGCGTAGTCCCTGGCTCCAAACCACAAACTTGGGACTGCAATGCCGCCTGCCTGAACACCACCACTGGACCGGAATTAGTCTGGGGCAACAAGGACTACAACAGCATGTACACGCTCCAAAACTGCGTCGTCCTCCCCGCCATCATGGCCCTGCTCGCCGGCGGGAACCTGACAGCTAATGGGGTGAAAGTGGCGACGAAGTACGGGATCGTGGGAAATGCGAGTTTGATCCAGACCCCGGTGCTGGCGTGGCCGGTGATCAGTGGATGTATTGATGCTTACTGCAAGTCCGGTGGCGAAGGTGGACCGCCTACGCCTGGTTGTGCGCGCGGAAATTCGGACGATTATGCAAAGTATGTCATTCTGCCGAGCGAAGGGTATTATGATGGGAAGGGGGCATGGGATGCGGCGGGGGAGGACTATTGGTGGCCGGAGAATTATACGTTCAGTGGTGTATGTCCTCTGTACATCCCTTCCCTCCTTCTGCTGCTGCTGGCTGCGTGGCCGCCGTAGTCGGAATGGGACGAATCGCTGACTTGTTTCCTTCCTCCACCAGGTCGACGCCTTCAACAGCGGCCTCTGCCACAACCTCACCGCCTTCATAAATTCGGATATTGGTGGCATAGGCGTAAGTCCCACTCCCCAACAAGCATCAAAGCCGCACGAGCCCGTGCTGAATGAAGACAAACTACCCAGATGTTCGTCTCCTACCTCATGCAAACCTTCATCGTCCTCTCCGCCTGGCTCCTCTTCCACATCTACAGCAATTGGTCCACCTACCCCATTTTCCTGGCCCTAGCCGCTCGCCACGGCCCCCGCCGCGCCTCCACCCTCGCCCAAGAGAAACAGGCTAAAATCGCCAAGGGCTACTCAGACGCGCTAGTCAGCGCCCTGGTCGAGTTCCAAAAGGCCCAAGTTTTCTTCATGCTGAGCGTGCAGATTGCCATCTTAGTGGCGCTGCATAACCCCTCCTATATTGAGGCGAAGAACTGGCAGGCTTTGTGGAACAATTTCGGGATTCTGTATAGTCTGGCGTTTGGAGGGTGTTTGCCTGTCCTGTTCGTCTTGCTCATGCTGAGGATAGCAGGGAAGAAGGAGTTCTATACCCTGCTCGTTACACTGTGTAAGTGCCGACGCTTGCCTTCGTGATCGCTTACTTCTGACCAGGCTTCGTTGGCGGGAGATGGAAAGTTGAACTAATATGGAGAACAAACGAATTCTAGGCAGCGTAGCCCTCTCATCAGCAACCTGGTTCGTCGCCTGGTTCCGCGCCCCGGACCCCAACACATCTATCGCCGAACCCGAATCCCCCATGCCCGACCAATGCGCCGGCGTGGCCCCGATCAAATACTGTTACTCCGGCAACATCTACTACAACGCGACTGAAAATGCGGTCAAAGCCGTCCCTATGCTAGTTTTCTGCTTCGTGGTACTACTATGTCTGATGCTGGATCAAGTCACCATTTTCACCGTCCGCGCGTCGAGCGGGGAGTCGTATAAGGGGACTTGCTTTCAGTGGTTACGCGATGCTATTCTACGCCTTCCGCTTTGCGAGAGCTATGATCGCGGAGCGGAGGGGAGGTCCAAGTGGATGAGGGTGTTCAAGTTGGATACTTCCGGGAGGATTTTACGGGTTGTACATGGGTTTCTGTTGTTTGCGACCGAGTGTGCGTTTGTGGCGCTGAATATGGTGCTGATCAGTGATTATGCGCATCTATTGACCAAGGGAAATGATTTTCGATCGCTGGATACGAGTTCGTGGTCCCTAGGCCAGATCATCGCGGTTACAATTTGGGTGCCCGTGTTGATCGAGTATGTGTGGCAGGCTTATGGTGAGTTTTTGATGGACTACCTATTTTTGGATGAAGAGTGGACAATGGTACTGATAGTCTTCTTCTGCAGTCGGTGTCGAGGCGGGACAGAAGTTCCGACTTCCGCCTGGTTGGCGACTGGTGAAGATGGATGATGGGAGGGATGTGGACGACTCGGATAAGATTGATCCGGTGAACGAGATGTCGTCGTCGATCGACCTGGCCCGGCTACCGGCTATCGGACGGCCGGGATATGAGAGGGTGGACTCGAATAACTGGTAGAAGGGTAGGAAGCAACTCCGGTGCATACGTCTAGTGTTTATACATACATACTCGATACATTAGCAGTGCTGCGCAACGTCGTTCCTCATCGGGTGACGCTTTGGGATTCTACACAATGCCTTGGGAGCAATGCTCAGACCACTGTGGATTATGTTGTCGTCAGGTTCGAGCGAATCCGTAACGTGTTTGACATTGAGAGGAGGCGCAGTTCTATGCTTAGGACGCGGCTTAGGCAATGCAAAGCACCCACCTTTCACATCATGAGAGCAGGCGAGTAGTAAGCACTACCTTACATTTGAATTTGCTCTCGTCCGGCGTTGCAAGTGGACGGCGTTGCAAGTGGACGGCGGTGCCGTATATGTCACCCAAGTAATGATCCCATAGGCAGTGTGCCCGTCATTGAACAGAACGGGCGTGGTGAAGAGAAATGGCTTGTTCCAAATCTGGCAACAGCAGAATCGGAGGCGGGCCGTCCCTTTGCTGTCGTTCGCCGCAGTCGCGTGGCTTTCGTCAGCTGCTGCATGGATTACTGGTGAGGGCAACGAAAGATGAATCCACAGCCTCGTACATCCATCGACTGTAAGCATGCGCAATCGAATACCTTCGACCTTGCAGCCTCTACTGTAGATACATATCCAGCCTAAGTACTCATACCTCTTCCTCTCTATCTTTGACCATCTCCACCAATCCTTGACCATCACATGCCTCAGGCTATACCACAATCATGCTAGACGACAACCTTCCGACCTTCTTTCTCAAGCCCAGCACCACCGGCCTGAAGCACCACCAGAACTTCCTCCTCTCACATCATGGCTCCGACCAGGCACCCGCCTATACCCTCCAGCACGCCGACCCAGCCTCCCCATCAACAACACACAAGAACTGCTATGCGGCGGGTCTCTTTGATGCATACAACCCAGACATCTGCTACGGAGAAGTTCTCGCTCGTCCAGGCTGGACGCAACCCTCATTATCACAAGAAGAGATCAAGCGCCATGGCGGCATCCCTCCACCGCCTCAGCCAATCCTCCCCAGCGAGTTCACCGTCCAGCTCTATGACCCGGACCAGCAGATCCGAGTCGAGCTGAAGGAAGGCAAGTGGGGTGCCAGCGACACTTACGAGTTCAGCCTGCCCATCAGCACGTTCCGCACACCCTCAGCATCGAATCTCGATCGTGGCCAGTCTGACCCGGCGAGTTTGGCCATTACACCGAAAGTGCACTTCGCGTGGCGGAAGGAGAGCAAGCTTGGCAAGGATCTCACGTGTTTCATGACGGGCAAGAGTACGGACGCCAAGGAGAAGAAGAAGAGTCGACGCGATCCAGACATCGCCATTGCCTTATGGAGGAGTTTGCGAGAGCTCACCATCTACGAGCCGAACCTGAGTAGAGTGGATATCGAGGACCCGAAAGGGCTGGAGCTGGTATTGCTACTCAGCGCAGTCGTGATCAAGGATCTCTACTTCGGCAACAAGGACAACATTAGAGAGACATTCAACATAGCCGGCCTGCCTTCCGAGCGAAAGCTGAGTGGCGGTGGCCGAAAGCTCTCAAACCCGCAACAGACACATAGCATAGTCGGCGCACCAAACCCACTCCAGTCTCATCCCGTCCAATCGCCCCAACCACTCCAAACTACAAACGACGAGAAACGGAACTCCCTACCACGACTCCAAACTACACCACCGAATACTCGACAACCACGAAACGCCCAACCACCACCTCTAGCCGACCCCCGAGCACAATGGGAACTAGACGCCGAGACCGCGCGCCTCAAAGCTCAAGCCGACGCCGAAGCGCGACAAGAGCAGCGACGACGGCGCGAGCGAGAGAAGGCCGACGAGGCGGAAGCCAAGCGTCTGCAACGACAGATGGAGGAAGAGGATCGTCAGGCTCGGCGCAAACAAGCTGAGGTCGATAAAGAGACTGAGCGGCTGAGGAAGATGTATGGGGTGCAACCTATACCGCAGCGTCCTGGCCCAGGCCCTCAAGCCAACAGTTCCTCCGGCCGCCAGCATCACTACCCCGGCCCAAGTCCATACATGCAGCCCATCCCGCAAGGCAGCCAGATGCACTACCCTCCTCCTCAGCAACAACGGCAGCAGGGACGACTAGGCGATAACGGCCTTTATACTCAGCCTTCGGCAAGTAGTTCAGAAGTGATGATGAGCGGCGGGGCGGGGAATGCTAGTTTGTTGAGTGTGAATCAGGCGGGGAAGCCGGCGAGGCAGAAGAAGTCGTTTTTTGGACTGAGGGGTTTGAGTGAGGAGCATGCGCAAGGTGGTGGGGGTGGGAGTGGGGAGGGGGCGAAGTTGAGGAAGAAGGGAAGTGCGATGTGGTGAGCACATTTCTCAGCAGCAGGTGGTGTTTTATGACGAGGAGTCTCTGTGGGTTTAGCGAGGCGTTTATGGAGCTGGGCAACCCTGACAGCAGATTTATCAGAATTTTACTCAAGCTCCTAGCGGCATGTGTCCTCAAGATACAATCTTTGCATTCAGACCATGCTGGTAGCTAGCATGGCGTGGCCTGGCGCTGCGTTGCGGAGCTTCTTTGTTGCGGCCGCATAGCTTCGCGTCGATTCCTGGCTATCAGATTGGATAGCACTGGTGGTTCATTACTTCGATGTATCGCAAAACCAGGGGCATTGTAGGCGGTAGGAGACGTGCCAATTCATGTCACGTATGCCACTGTCGCGTAGCGGTAGTGATCGCTGAAGATCTTCGTCTCAGCTTCAGATTTCCGAGGTAGTAGTGTGAACGTTCCCAGATTTCTTTGTTGAAAATCCTGTTGACCACCCCATCAAGCCAAGCACAACCACCATTGTACTCAATCTCAAGTCGCACGACGGCTTCACATGTGTGACAAACTCGCCCATCTGGTGGCCACCTCAACCCATCTCCACTCAACAACAATGGCCGAACCACTCTCGCCGAAGCAGATACCCTTCTGGCTACTCCGGCCAGAAACCGCCACCTACCACAACGTAGCCGCCGCCGACGAAGAAGGTCCCAGTCCAGCCGAAGAGATAGCCAAACTCCGACCCTCACAGCAAAAGATCCGCCTCTGGTTCATAGTCTTGAGCATCTCTTGCGCTTTCGCCCTCCTCATCCTAGCATGAAGCTCAAAATACCACCTCAAGCTCTCGAAACCCTTCCAAAAACATCCTTACCCGTACCAACCTTCCCTACGGTCTTCCAAACCCTCGACCAGGATGACCGCTTCGCCGTCTCCTCCTCCCCCGACTCACATAAAGCCTGGCACTCTTTGGTCCCTAAAGCAGGCACAGGCTTCGTCGAGATCGATAACCCCCGGCAACACCCGTCCCTCGAACCCGGAATGATAGGTCGAGACTTCAACCACGAGGTCTTCGGCGTTTCCATCTTCCACCAATTGCACTGTCTAATCCATATCCGACATCATTTCTGGGCGCTTGATGGCCTCGCCTCCTCCACAACCACAACCACACCCACATCCACATCCACGGCGAACCAAACCCAGACCCAACAGCTGCAGAAACTCCACCGCATGAACGGGCATATAAACCCCAGTTTCGATTTCGTCCGCCAAGCCCTAATGTGTAATGCCGACCTAGCCCTCGAATGGCCCCGAACGGTCGAAGATTCCGGCGGTCCAGAGGGTTCAGGGGTCCATGGGATAGTAGATGGCAATCATACTCCTCATCAGTGTAAGGATTGGGATGCGATTTATGAGGAGGCGGGAAAGAATGCTTGGGCGCAGGATCAGCGGGTCTAAACTAGTGATCCCGAGCTCGAGGGGGAAAGGTAAGGAGAGAAGGAGTGGAAGGAGCGGAACGAGAGATTGACGGGCCAGAAGATTGTACGTACGTACGTACGCCCTTTACGCCACGCTACCCTACGCTCAACCAAACCGATCGTACATTCTTGTTTCCCAAGGAATTTCATCCATCCGCATCATTCGGCCTCACAGCTCAATTAAACTCTCCTCCTTAACAGGAACAGGGGCGTGCTGTGGTGCCTGCGGGAAAGCTTCCTGACCATATCCAGCACTTGCGGCGGGAGCTTGCGGCCACTGCTGTTGCTGCGGTGGTGCTTGCTGTTGGTAGTACTGATGACTCGATTGTCTTTGCAGAGGCGGTTGCTGTTGAGGATGCTGTTGGTGAGGAGGATATGGCTGTTGCTGTTGATACTGCTGGGGTGGGGCCTGAGCGGAAGGAGGAGCTTGATGGTAGATTTCCGGGCTCGGCGGCTGCTGCTGCTGTTGCTGAGGCGGAAGTTGTTGGGATGTTGACATCGAGGGTGGTGCTTGCTGCTGTTGTTGTTCGCCGTAGTAGAACGCTGCGTTGGCATCTGCAGGTGGCGATGTGACGGCGGGAACAGATGATTGCGATGTATGTGAGGGCGCATATTGTGATGAGTTTTGTGAGTATGCTTGTTGTGACGGTCTGCGGCGCATGGGCGGATGTTGTGCTTCTACCGGAGGGCCTGAAGGCTGTGTCGGGTACGGTACAGACTGTTGTGGTAATGTTGGGTAGGGCGATTGCTGCGGTGCAGCTTGCTGTTGATAATAGTTTGCATCTGCAGATGGTGCGCCATACTGGGACATGCGTTGCTTGTCGTATGAGGGATATGGTGCTGAAGTTGGCTGTGCTTGTTGGTAGCCACTGTATCCAGCAGACTGCGGTGCATAGGCGTCCATCTGGGATCCACCAGCTGCGTAGTAGTTCTCGACGCCACTCGGATCTTGATGGCCAGCTGCAGAAGGTATGCTTGGGTACATACTCGTCCTTTGTGGTTGACCATATCGATTCGAGGTGTATGCACTCGCCATCCGCTCTTCTAGCATGCGGTCGTAGTATCGCACGACGGTCGACAGCTTCGAGTGCAGATCGAGAAGTGTGTCATGCTTACTCATAGTCTCGCCGTACGTTCGCGCCAGCTTTGGTCGCAAAGTGCCTATTCCCTCATAAAGCTCCTGTATTTGTGGTTCTCGCAGGATAGTGCCAGGTGCTTGGTGTTGCAGTCTGTCTACCAATGTCGAGAATAAGTTGATGTTCTCGGCCTCTACTGGCGTCAGCTCGAATTGATTGTTCGGCCTATACTGCGACGCAGCTGGTGCTGTAGGTGCGGATGACTGCTGCTTCAGCTCTTGTGCGTGCCTGCTCTTTTGAGCCTCCATATCCTTCAAGCTCGCTGCTATCGCGGCTTCCAGGTCCGCATCCAGTTCCACCTCCTCCTTCTTAGGTGCCGCCTTAGCACCGCCGTTCGTCTGTGGTTTGCTCTGCTGAACTTGACTCTGCGGCACGTATCCAGCACCAGAATGACCTTTGCTCTCCTCTAAGCTCATCTCAAGCGCTTTCTTCAGATCCGCATCGAAGGTATCATCCGTCACTCGTGCACCTCGCGGTTGCATCCTCGACTCTCCTCGGTTCATGCTGCTATCCTGCCATAATGTCCTCTTCGTACTAGTCGGACTCTGCGGACCAGGCGTACCGCCACTACCAGTTTTCGCAGCTAGCTTCGCGTAACATCCATCGTCCACTCTCACCGGCGTCAAGATACCTAGATGTGGTAAAGCTATGCTCTTGCTCGAACACTGCTGATCAAACACATTCCCGCAGTTCCGACAGTGGTGTTTCCGATTTGTGAAGGAGAACTTCTCTCTGCATCGCATGCACACATCGCTATCGGTCCACTCCGGTGGTGCTGTGCTGTCGAACATACTACTCGCTATCTCCTCCTTGGGTGGAAAGGTGAACCGCTCCATCCGTAAGGTCCGATATGTCTCACTCAAATAGCTTAGGCTGTCCTTCCCTTCCGCAGCTCCGGCCCAATTCTGTATCAGCTCAAGCAGCTTCTGCCTGACCTCCCGCTCCCCCATGGCACCACCATCCTTACGTAATAGACCGACACACTCATCCATGAACTCCTTACTGGCGATCTCTTGCATGAAGTGGGAGCCTCCATTCTTCACGCACGTGTCTGTGAGATGGAGCGTCGAGAGCTGCACGTTAGGATTCGTATTGCCAATACGCTTCTTGAGGCTCTGCATGGCAGCCTTGGGCGGCACAGTCTTGGAGCGGATCGTGTCTGAGATCTCGAGATTCAAGGCTATGTCTTCCAGAGAAGATGATGTGGCCTTCTCGATCTGTGCGTCCAGCTCAATCGTGGCAGCACTGCCACCCCACCACGAGCTCATGTTGGCGGTGTTGTGCTGGAGCTTGTTGAAGGTGGAGGAGGGGTTACAACTCGGCTGCGTTTCCTTTGTATGCTGTCGAGATGGAGATGGAAGGAAGTAGTGTCGATAGGGCAAGACGGACGAACGTGGTGCTGTTGTTATCACTCAATAGTTCATCTTGACAGGGTAGATGGAGTAGCGCCTAGCTGTCAGAGCTTCATCATCAGGTAGCTTATATAACAATCCTTATGCCTCAGGGTCTGGGGTCGGCCCGCGAGTGGCTGTGCATGGTCACGCCACAACGAGGGACGTCATTGGACTAAAGACCTCGCAATGATGAATCGATTCGTTGAATTCGACAATAATGCTGCTCACGTGGGCTTGGGTATTTGATGCATAGCGGTGCTTAGTGAAAGGCGAGTAGAATACTCGGGCCAAACAAAAGCCTGATATCTGGAGGGCTTCGTCGCTGAGGACCGATAGAAGTCATTCAAGCACTATATCACGAACGGAGACGCGTGGTGCCTCAATATAATCTCTCCACGCCTGCATCCACCACGACAAGAACCGTCAGTGTGCCTACGATATGAGCCGAAGCACGATAACATCACGACCATCACGATGAGCGCAGCAGCCGCGGCATCCCCACCACCTCACACAAATGGAGGACCGCCGATGCCAGGACCATATCATGCAACCCCAACTGCAGGCAGCGACAGAGTCTTCGAGCACATCGACGACCTCAAGGCGAAAGCCACGCAGGGATACAACCCAGCGAGCTCGATCGGTGAGCTGCTGAAGACGGCGACCGTTGGTGTAGAGCAGGCTAGCAACCTGCTGTCCTTTCGAAGACCCGACCTCGCCTTCGTCGAATATGTACGAGCCTCTGAGATTGTGCTGAACGTCATCCCACGGCACAAGGACTACACCCACTTTACCATCGACCAGCAGGAGCCGGCGAAGAAGTTGACCTTGACGCAGAAGCGGGTCAGTGCTTTGAGCGAGCAGTTTGCTGCAATCAAGCAGATCATCCTCAATAATAACACGCGGTATAATGTGCGGTCGAGGCAGAGTGCGAATGGACATGCAAGGACGGAGAGTGCGCCGGCTGCGCAGTTGAATGGTAGCAGACCTAGCTCGCAAGACGGTGGCATACCCAGGACACGGCCTACGCCTAGCCCGAAGCCCGACAACCTCCATGGCAAGGCCATACCTCATGGACTTCCAAATGGCCATGCTACTTCGAACGGTGGCGATGCTCTGAGCGAGCGCTTCGCGAAGCTACGGACGAACGCCGAGCAAAGAGAAGATCAGGGAAGTGGCAATCTGCAAAACTCGACGCTGTACATGCCGTCCGCATCCGACTATTCTGGACGAGCCTCTTTCGACCAGCTCGCACGAACGAACAGCATGCCTTCAAAGCCGCAAGGTCCGCGAGGGATGTCACATGGCCCAGGACCTGTCCCGCCACCAATAACGATACCGAACTTTCCTCAAGCACCACCTGCAGCGTACAGTCCAGCCCGTAATATGGAGACCACAGGAAACATTGCGCCACCAAGACACTCCGCAAGAAGTCTTGCGAGCTCCGACAAACGAAGATCTTCCCTTGTGCCAAGCTCGGCAGCTTCAGCGCATGCCCCTAATGGCTATGCCCAGAGCGGCGACTACTTCCCAAACGGAGCTGGAGCAAACGGAGCTGGAGCAAACGGAGCTGGAGCAAACGGAGCTGGAGCGGTCAGACCATCGGTCGGGTCTCAACGAAGAAGGTCGTCCAACATGCCTACAGAAACGGAGGTCTCGTCCGATAGGCTCTATGACTATATTAGACGGTATCATGTTCTCCTCATCGACTTTCGGTCACGAGAGGAGTTCGACCAAGGGCATATATATTCGAGAGCTATCATGTGCGTAGACCCGCTATCGACCAGACAAGGCATGAGTGCAGAGCAATTACTGGACACGTTAGTGTTGTCGCCTGAGAATGAGTACAATATGTTCAGAAGTCGGGACGACTTCGACTTTGTGGTGTACTATGACGCGAATACTGCTTCGGAGAGCTTTCGACGACAGCCTGTCGGTCAAAAGCAGTTGGGCTTGAAGTGCCTGCACGAGGCGTTATGTGACTTCAACGTGGAGAAACCGCTACGGCGGCCACCGATATTGCTGAAAGGCGGTTTAGATGCTTGGGTGGACATGATTGGCAAGCAGGCTTTGCTTGCATCTGACACTGCATCGCGCGTGAAGCAGGGTCAAGCAGCCTCGAGAGTCCCTCCTACGCCACCAGCAAATGGTAGTAGCGAACTCAGATTGCCGAAGCGAAGGATACGAGATTACAACCCACTGGATGCAGATGAAGAGCAGTACTGGAGAGAAAAGGCGCGAGCAGAAAGTGTGGTCCTCCAGCAGCCTCCAGAACTGTCCGAGGAGGGAGTACTCGAGACGGCGGCAGAGGAGGATGCGGGGCCTGAACCCTTCAGCGCGATTCGCGAGTTCAATGAACGCTTTCCGGACGCTGGAGATCTGGACAAGCATGCTTTCGCCAGCCAACGTCCTTCACGAGCGCCTCCTGAGGTGCCTGCCAAAGTGCCCATGTACCCTTCGGCACCACATCCATCACAATATCCACAAGTGCCTGCTCGGCCCGCACCGATAGCACCGCGCATGAGCTATCAAGGTGTATCCGATCGATCTGTCTCAGCTAGTCAGCCTACGAGCAGACAAGCTTCTGGTAGTCTGGTGCCATACGTGCCCCCTCGGCTCCTGGCTAAGAACATACGACTGCCTCGAACAGGACTGGTCAACTTTAGCAACACGTGCTACATGAACAGCTGTATACAAGCAATGTCCGCTACTACCCCACTTTCGATGTTCTTACTCGATGACGGATACAAGTCACAGCTGCAGGAAAAGAACTGGAAAGGCACGGCAGAATATGGGCACATCACCAATCACTACGCCAACTTGCTCCGCAATCTTTGGAAGGGCGATGTCGAAGTAGTCAAGCCGAGTACTTTCCGGAATCTGTGCCGGCGTGCTGCGATACAATTTGATAACAATGACCAGCAGGATGCAAAGGAGTTTCTGGAGGTTCTGATTGAGAACATGCATCAAGACATGAACATTAATTGGGCGCATACACCACTGCGAGAATTGACGGAGGGCGAGGAGGCCAAGCGAGAACGGATGCCGAAGCTCATAGTAGCCAAAACAGAATGGGGCCGTCTCACCCACCGCGAAATCTCCTTTATCTACGGCCTCTTCGCCGGCCAGTACGCTAGCAAACTGACCTGCTTGACCTGCGGTTTCACATCCACAACCTACGAGATCTTCACCTCCCTCTCCGTGGAAATCCCCTCCGACCCTCTAGACTGGACCAATGGTCGCACCTGTACGATAGACGACTGCCTCCGCGCCTTCTGCTCCGAAGAGAAACTGACCGGCGATGAGAAATGGAAGTGTCCGCACTGCCGTACCGTCCGCGAAGCAAAGAAACGCATCACACTCTCCCGCGCACCCCAATTCCTAATCGTGCACTTCAAACGCTTCGCCTCTCGCGCCGGCCAAAGGTCCCAGAAGATCCGCACCACAGTCGAATTCCCACTCACGAACTTCAGTCTAGACCCTTACATGCTGCCCTCCCCCACCCAGCTCGAATCAGCAGCTATAACAACAACCTACGGCCCCAAAGGTCTAGAAACGGATCTCGCCATGACCGGGCCCTTCACGTATGATGCATATGCCGTGATCCAGCATCTGGGAAACACGTTGCAGAGCGGGCATTATATTACGGCGGCCAAGGATCAGGGGAGGAAGTGCTGGCATGTTTATGATGATACGCGGGTTTCGGATTTTCAGCCTGGGGTGGAAGGGAGGGCGTTGCAGAATGAGAGGGCTTATATTGTTTTCTATCAGAGGGTGGAGATGGGGGGTGGGGGGGTGGGTTATGGGAAGATGTGATGATGGGTGTTTGGAATTCGAATTTGATAGCGTTCTAGCGTGCGCTGTGTTTGCATATACGAGGCGTTCTTCCTGAGGTTGTGGGCGGTAGGATGATCTCGCTACGTCTATCACGCAATATCAGAGGCCAGATGATGTGCTCCCTTGGATACGCAATCCGAGCACGTATGCACGTCACCAGATTTTACAACCGTGAAGGCCCTCTAGCTCGTGCCTGGCAGTGAACAAAAGGATCCACCATTCAACCAACGAACGATTCAATCAATTTCTCCCACGCGATCTCAATCAATATCTCAAAGCCACGTTCAAATACAATTGACTAAAGAGCCCCGCTTCCCTTTGGCAAAGCCTGTATCGCCGAAAGAGGCCGTTATCTAATCGCAGGCTAGACGCGGGCAAGCTCGTGACGTGCGACCCAGTGCTTGTGCTGCTGTCATATGCACCCTCCAACCACCACGACTACCTGGTTTCCTTCACCACTGCTGCTGACCTGCTCCCGCAACTCTGAAACTTCCCTTGTTAAAGCTCTAAACGAACGTGAGACCAGTGATCTTCTCCCTACTCCATCGAGCTACCTGACCTTACGAGATCTGCACTTGAGGCCATCACGATACGACGATCTGAACGGGAAAGCGAGAGTCATATCATCTTTGCCTACCGCCGTGGTCACGCTCCAGAGCTGACGCACCTGACCTATTGATCGACTAGGACAACTGTCTTTGTTCCGAACCACCCACCCATCCTTCACTCTACGGACCTCAGCAACTACAACTGCCTAGACTTCCACCTTCACCACACGACAGACGATTCTCGCGCTGATCTACAACACGCATCTGGCCCACAGCGGCACTTCCAGCCCCAGCGAAGAGGACTTCGAGGAAGAGCATCCGCAGCACTGAGTGGGTGGCGGAGGACGAGCCGGCAAGATGAGTAGTCCTAAGCGCAGGATCGAGACGGATGTGAGTTATCGGATCGTTTGGATATACTATAAACGTTTGGTGTTGGCAGTAAGCTGACTTTTGTGGGCGTGGGTTAGGTCATGAAGATGTGAGATACTTGAGGATCACAGTACCGGCGACGTGGGAGGGTGCTGACTGTGATGTAGGATGATGAGCGACTACGAGGTCACTTTGGTCAACGACAATAGTATGTGCGCACCTTAGCTGCCTCGATATTGTTCAGAGTGCTAATAGCTTGAATAGTGTTCGTAATCCTGCTCGTTGGCGATCGTTGATGCTCGAATGTTGGCTGACATTGGAGGTGAGCAGGCAAGAGTTCTACGTCCGTTTCAAGGGACCCACAGAGAGTATGTTCACGCAGTCTCCACGAGGTCAGGCTTCGACCTAACAAACCCTCAGCACCCTTCGAAGGCGGCCTATGGAAGATTCACGTCGAACTACCAGATCAGTATCCCTACAAGAGCCCGAGCATAGGCTTTGTGAACCGGATCTTCCACCCCAACATAGATGAGTTGTACGCTCTCCTTGCTCTCCAAAGACTTGCTGCTATGAGCAGATCAAAATCTGCAGACTTGTGCTTGGCGGCGCAACGAAGCATGAGGACACTGTAAGCTGACTTGAATCATGCACGCAGGTCGGGCAGCGTTTGCCTCGATGTCATCAACCAGACATGGTCGCCTATGTACGATATGGTCAACATTTTCGAAGTCTTCCTACCACAACTACTCCGGTACCCAAATCCGACAGATCCGCTCAATGGCGAAGCGGCGGCGTTGATGATGAGGGAGCAGAAGGCTTATGATGCGAAAGTCAAAGGTACTATCCGCCATTACATCCGCTGGAGCTGCATTAATTAATGCGTGGTGGCAGAATACGTCGCAAAGTATGCCACACGAGAAAATGTCGACGACGCCGGCGACGACTCCAACGATAGCGACGAAATGAGCAGCGTCGGCAGCCTCGACGATGATGAAGACGACGACGAGCCAGCCGGGCAGATGGATGAGGTGTAGTCTGCCTCCAACTCATCTGCATCTATTTCCATGAACACCAAGATCTGCTCATGAGTCGTGGATGCTGCGGCAATGGATCTGGCGTACGCTAATCATACCAAGGCCGTGGTCGAGCCTTGAGGCGCGTGACGAGGATGACTTTCGGGAATGGGAAGGAGGTTTCGTCGGGCTTACTCTCGATGTTTCTTGACTCGTGCTCTCTCGTGGCGTTTGTGAAGGATTCGGGTGTGTGAACTTTGCTCGGCGTTGGCTTTTTGCATATTTGGGTACGATCATCCATGAACTCCTCATCTTCAATTCAGACAGATGGCCGGGTTTGTTGTCATTTGATGCACTTCCCATCTGCGTATATGTATGCTGTCAGGATCAAATTAGTAACACAGTCGTACTGGCTTGAAGTCCAGCCCTCAAGTTCTCCACATAGCACCAATCGCCTGATCAGCCGCATCCGCACCAAAGCAGGTTAAAGCAGGATCCATCAAGCAGGGCACACGGGCTCGAAGCATGGAACATTCTGAAGCAGACGGCTTAATGCAAGTAGACGAGCGATCCCTGCAGGAAGCGAGTCTCTGTGCTCCGTGCTCGACACTCCCGCAGCGTGATTCGTCGGCGGTGGAGGAAGTGACAAAGGTTAAGGTTTCGAAAACCACGTGTTCGAGGTGCTCTGCATGAATGCCGGAAGTATGTGATTGTCAGATTTCCGATCACGAAGTATATTGTACGTGCGGAGAGATTGGGTGGCGATCTGCGTGTGACTTTGACGGGTGATGGGCTTGTTGCCACCTACGGAGTGGCCAAACCATTACTTCTTGAGGCAGCTCGATTCACCTCGATCACCAGTGCATGGGGTCGATCGTGGGCGGCGAGGCGGAACCGGCACTCGTGTTTCGGAGTTCCCTCGCTGGACATGACCTGCCGATCGTAGCTAAGTTCAGACGTAAAGCGGAATCGTGGCCGAGATTGTTCGAGTGCATTGATAGGACAATCGTGGCCCATGACAATGTCATTACACGCACCAGAAGTGAAATGTGGATCGTGTTTGTCCTTCCCGTGTGGCGCTGAGCGCGGCATGGCGAACGGGACATCTTGGACAACTATAGTTCCACTGAATGCCAATTTTATGTCAGAGAAGAATTAAGCTCTGAGCTGCAGCCCTGTCGGTGTAGGCAATTTAAGCGACAGTCGGTCGTTCGTAGCGTGGCTCGCACGTCTGTGTTGTGCGTTGTGTCTCTACATCTTATTACGCACAGAGTATCTCTTGCCTCGTATTCGACCACTCAGCAAGATAGATGAAAGAGAGGCTCAGCGCTGATCTCCAGACGTACCTATCATCACCCTTCGAATCATCTGTTGGCCGCCCTCCCGTGCAGAGATCGTCTGCTCCGGCGTCACCTCATTGACTTGGGCTTGGCCCCCGCTTGATACTGCTGCTCATTGCCTTACTGGAGACTTGGTGTAACGACGAAAGCCCGGCCTGGTCACCTATCATCTACTAATTACGAACTGCTGCGGGTGAGGCGGAATTACAGCCAGACACACATTCTCATACAAGCTCGTGCTCCTGGTCCCGACCCTCCCACCAACCCGACTCTACGGCTCCGTACTACTCGACTCCCCTACACCCACGTTGACGCACCTGGCACAAGTCGCACGATCTGCTGTGTTCAGAACAGGGATCCAGGTGCTGGGAAAGACAGGTCTCGGCAGGAAAGGAAGGTAGTTCGGGCGGGCTACGATTGTCAAGGGAAAACGCTAGCATCCTCAGCATGATCGCGCTGCGATAGCTAGCCAGGTCAGCCCCCCCATTCGCAAACCACCTCGATTCGGATCAAACACTGTCTCTACCGACCTCGTCAACCTGCAGCGATGGGCAATTCCAACGGCAAGCCTGTCGTGCTTACGGACGAGGTGAACCTTAACCACTTTCGGCTACTACGGGTGGTCGGCAAAGGAGCCTTTGGCAAGGTGCGGATAGTGGAAAGGAAAGATACGGGCTTGACTTTTGCTCTGAAGTATATACGCAAGGATGAGGTGGTACGGTCGGAGAGCGTGCGCAACATCATACGGGAGCGGAGGATGTTGGAGCATCTGAATCACCCGTTCTTGTGCAATCTACGGTATAGCTTCCAGGACATGGAGTATCTGTGAGTTGAACGTTGATCTGTGTGAGTGTAGTATGTGGCTGACGTGGATATTAGGTACATTGTCCTGGATTTGATGAACGGAGGAGACCTACGATTTCACATCACACGAAAGACGCTCACAGAGGAGGCCGTAAGATTCTGGATCGCCGAGCTTGGATGTGCACTACGATATGTGCATCAACAAGGGATTGTGCATCGTGATGTCAAGCCAGACAACGTCCTCCTAGACTCCGAGGGTCACGTGCATCTTACAGATTTCAATGTTGCATCAGACTATGTCCCAGGCAAGTCGTTATCTAGTAAGTCCGGTACACTGGCATATCTGGCACCCGAAGTCTATGGCGGAAGAGGATATGGCACTGAAGTGGACTGGTGGTCATTGGGTGTGCTATTCTACGAGTGCATCTACAATAAGAGGCCGTTCGAGGCGCATCACCACGATCAGCTGGCGCAGGCAATCATGAAAGGCGACCCGGCATTTCCAGTCACGAATCCACCCGTATCGATGCCTTGCTTGCACGCAATCAGCTCGCTGCTGGAGAAGGACAAGACACTGCGGATAGGAGCTTCAACCTGGATATCTTTCACCGACAACCCATTTTTTCGCGAGATTGACTTTGAGGCGCTCGAGCGTAAGGAGATCGAGCCGATTTTCTGTCCGTCGAGCGAGAAGACCAATTTTGACGCAACGTACGATCTGGAGGAGTTGCTGCTGGAGGAGGCGCCACTGGAAGCTCGGGCACGAAAGCAGAAACCGCGACCGGAGCTGAGAACTGATGCAACACCGCAAGAGGTGAGGGCCGACGAGCTCCACAGGATGATAGAGACATTGTTTGAGCCGTTCAATTACACACTAGCACCAGATGACAGGAGCCCAGTGTCAGCTACGGGCTCGCCAATCGTAGGAGTGGCCACTTCACCTAAGCGCTACGCGCGAAGCGAGAAAGAGGTCACTAGTGATCCGTCAAGCCACAGACCACGACCCGAGAAAACACGATCAATACCCACGCCACGTTCACAAACACCAGGAAGTGGCTCGCGAACAAGATCTTCGGCGCACTCGGGTGAGGGCTCGCCACCTCTACCCGCCACAGCACTCTCCACGAACTACGCTGTCCCAGCTCCAGAGTACTTCCCACCCCCATCAGATCCTTCATCGACGGCACGACCATCGGCAGCACAGCAGCAGGAACAACTACGACTGGGCAAATCACGCACAATACGGTACGAAGATACATCAGCACGAGAAGTGCCCGTCTCTGCTACTTCTTCCTCGCGCTCGCATAGACCGCGAGGTAGTACGAGAAGCACCTCCATGGGCGGCGGAGTGCAAGTCGTGCTCAATGAGCAAGGCAGCTGGAGTGAAATGGCGAACTCGAGTCAAGGCATGGTTACACCCACAGAGGAGCAGGGCGGTGGCAAGCCATCGGGTATGTTGGGATTTCTACGGACGAAGAAAGGACGGGATCGGAGTCCGAAGGCGAAGCAGAGAGAACGCGGAGTGCTCGGTAAGGAGGGTGCGAGGGTAGTCATTTCGCACGGCTGAGAAGGCATGAGCGAGGGACATAGGTAACAGGGATCGCGGTTCGCACGGACGAAGACGCCACAGGAAAAGGGCAGCTCATCGGAAGCTGGAATCGTCCACCACAGACAGACAGAGTTCACGGCTGCTATACAGAGGTGCCATCTTCAAGACGCAGCAGCACCCCCAGAAGGCCACAGAAGCCGAGGTGCCAGTAGCCCGGCTTGCGATAAAGCCGCTGGGCTGGGTTTCTCCTATTCCGAGCGGATATCATGCCAAAGGGTCTTGTAAGAGACGGGGTCTGTACACGACAGTATTTGACGAGCGCACGGGATCTACGGGAATACACTTGACTCACTGGGCATGGTGGGATCGAATCTTGAGTTTTGGCATTGCGTTGCATTGGGCTGCATTGGTTTCGGCTTGTACTATAGTCTGCATCACTATCATCCTCATCATTAATTGGTCCAGCAGGTATGACCTGCGAGGAGCTGTTCTCGTCATTCCGTTTCTCATATACACTCCGCGCCGTCTTCCTCTGCAGATAATCTATCCTGACTGTGGCAAGGCAATAATACTCGCACGACCTATGGTACTTCCACCTTCCCAACAATCGGCTCCAGCAACTTCGGCACCAGCTCTGCCGCATCCCCACGGAAGAACCAGTCGCCTGCCTCCCAGCCGCCAGGCGGTGCATCATTCTCGTCCATATTCACCACACAAACCCTCGCTCCTTGATCACGAGCTTCGTCAATGTAGCCAGCCGCCGGGAAAACCTTTGCGCTCGTCCCGATCACGATGATCAGGTCGATGTCACTAGCTGCAATATAGTCGTCCACGGTACGAAGGACGGATCTAGGCAGTGCTTCGCCGAACCAGACTACACCGGGACGAAGGATGTGCTTTTTGCAGGACGGGCAGGCGGGGAGGTCTTGGGCCGAGAGGGTGGCTAGGGGTGTGCTGATGTTGGAGACATCTGCTTCCTGGCGCGCGACGTCGGTCGTTGGATCGTGACCCGAGAGGGGTATGGCGAGAGCGGGGACGATGGGATCGGTGTAATTGATTTCCTTGTAGCCGCAGCCGTCTTGGTCGGAGCACTTGACGTCGAAGAGCGAGCCGTGGAGTAGTTGCAGTTGTCCGGCCGGGTGATGAGCACGAGGAGACAGACCATCGACGTTTTGGCTCAGACACTGGCACTGCGGCATCTTTTGTGCCAGGGCTGCGAGGGCGTAGTGTGCTGCGTTTGGTGTCGCGTTAAGGGACATATGGCGGCGGTAGGAGTAGAATTGCCAGACCAGCCCTGGGTTGGCTGCGAATGCTTGGGGAGTCGCGAGATGGGTAGCTTGATGAGTTCTCCACAGTCCGCCTGCGCCTCTGAAGGTTGGAAGACCGCTCGAGGCTGAGAGACCGGCACCTAGGAGGGCGAGGACTCGGGTGGATTGTTTGAGGTGGGCGTGGAAGCTTTCCATGTCGGATTGGTAGACTGTTGTCTTTGGGGCTGCGGAAGTGGAAGCCATTTTCGTCCCTGAACCTCGTGATATTCTAGTTGTTATGAAGTGCCTTGGAGGTGATGGTAGTCTAAACGTGCGCAGGAGGGAAGTAGATGTGACCTGGGAGGGTCGAGTCATAAGCAATTAACGCACAGTGTTTGCTCACCCGCTCGTGAAACAACAGGCAGCAAGGCAGTCACCTTTTGAGTCATCTCTGTAGCCTGAACGAGAAGCGAATGCACAGCGTATGCAAGATCTCGAGCTTGCTGCAAGTGTGGGCTTGAGTTCGCTAGCGTGGGTCTGGGGAGATCTGTAAATGAAGATGAATGCTTCGTGTGGCCTTCTTCCCTTACATCATGAAGCGAAGGGTCGTATCCTCATTACGAACGGCATCGCGTCCCAGACCGACCTTTAGGACTAGACCTGGCTGCGGTCATGTGACCGCGATACAACGTAGGAGCGTGACATCGGCATCAGAACTACACTTTGGCCAAGCACTCCATGAAACCCACCCTCATCTGATCAAAGCCGGCGACCTCACACCGGGCATCTCAGCCCTTGAGTACCATCACCGACGAGCAGCGCTCGCTCGAAAGCTTCCGCGCAACAGTGTTGCCATCCTCGCCGCTGCAGACCTCAAATATCGCTCCGGTGCAGTCTTTTACGAATTTCACCAGGAACCCAACTTCTTCTACCTTACCGGCTTTACGGAGCCTGAGGCAGTCGCTGTGATCGAGAAAGGGACGTCAGACGTCGAGTACACTTTTCACCTCTTCGTCCGACCCAAGGACGAGAAAGCAGAGCTATGGGACGGCGCACGATCAGGTGTGCAAGCGGCGCAAGATGTCTTCAACGCGGATGAAGCTGCGAGCATTGAGGAGGTGTCGAGAAAGATACCAGATATCGTTGGTGGTGCAAGGACGATCTTCACAGATATTGGCTATGGGAGTCGTAAAAGCGCCTTCAAGCGCTTCATATCTGGCTCGGACCCGAAGGTCGACGGGCTAGCTAAGACTCTGCAGGCGGCGAATGTCAAGCCTTTACGACCTATACTGAACGAGCTTCGGGTCAACAAGTCCGAGGCTGAGTTGGATTGTATGCGCCATGCTGGAAGTGTATCTGGTGCCGTCATCACGGAGGCAATGAAGACTGGCTATCGTACTGAGAAGCAACTTTGGGCAGATCTGGCTTATGGCTTCCGAACTCAAGGACTAGATGGTGAAGCATATGTCCCAGTCATAGCAGGAGGTGAAAACGCTCTCAGCATACACTACGTGCGCAACGACCAGCAGCTGAAACAAGGAGAGGTGGTGCTCGTCGATGCGGGTGGCGAGTACGGTGGCTACATCACAGACATCACACGAACGTGGCCTGTCAACGGCAAGTTTACCGCAGCACAACGAGAGATGTACGATATGATTCTCAAAGTCCAAGAGTCGTGCATCAGTCTCTGTCGCGAAGACGCCGAGATGTCTTTAGACCGATTACATCGGGTAGCCGAAGATGGTCTAAAGAACGGGTTGAGAGACCTGGGGTTCGACACAAGCGGCGATGCGCTACAGGTCCTCTTCCCACATCACGTGGGCCATTTTATCGGCCTTGATGTACATGACGCCCCGGGCTACCCGCGAACCGACTGTTTGAAGGAGAACCAGTGTATCACCATCGAGCCGGGGATATATGTGCCGAACCACGACCGCTGGCCAGAGCATTTCCGTGGCTTGGGGATAAGAATAGAAGATTCTTTAAGAATAGGCAAGGAGAAAGTGGAAGTCTTTACGAGCTCGGCCGTGAAAGACGTACATGATATAGAAGCACTTCGGAGCTAGTAATAGCATGATTCCACTACTGTACAACATAATCGTTTTCACTCGCCGAGATGATTCGACCCGAGACCCATTGCCTGCTGGTAGATCCATTGTTTGGCATCCACCCCTTGTGGTTCGTTCTCGTCTGGTGCTGGGATACTGTGCCCCTTCAACGTTGTCATCATGCTGTGGTCTGTTGGTCGCACGAAGTAGACGATGCTGTAGCGCGGGAAGGTGCCTTGCTCGCGAGGAGAGGGCACTACGCGGTGGCGGCCGGAGCATAGGACACCGTTTGTGAACTTCACCGCCGCGTCTCCTATAACGGAGTGTTGTTAGCATGTATATTTCAGGTGACTTCCATCACTTTGACCTACCAAGGTTTACGATAGCACATCCACGCTTCGGCTTCACCCACAACCACTCGCCAGGAACGTCGGGCTCCAGCGCTCCAATCTTCCTCGAGCTTTCCGACCACACCTGCAACCCACCAAGCCAGTTCATCAGTATCGTGATGGTGCCAAAATCGGTATGGGATGGTGTCTGAATCTCGGGCATCTCCAATGACTTCCGTGGCGGACCGCGCGTGAAACGAATGTGGTCGCCGGCGTGGTCTTCGAGGACATGTCGTGATCTGATCTCCTCTCGTGGTACACCGAGCTTGTCGGCCAGGATATCAAGAATCATCAGGCCTGTGGCGTGCGAGGCACGAGAGTATTTCGCGAAGAGAGGCTTGTTCTGCATCACAACTGGTGGCCATGCACGTCGCATCTTGTCGTCGGCGACGATCATGTCATTCTTGCTCACGTTGAAAAACTCGGCTGTGTCTGGTGTTCCGGTCGTGTCGGCTTTGGTTGCGCCTACGTTCTTGTAGCTAGACGATGTCAGTCAATTCTGGTGGCGTCCGCAAAAGATGCCCAACATACCCGAAAAGCTCCTTGTTAGTAGGTTTATACTTCACCTTCTCCTCGAGCGGCATGGCAAAGGTCTTCTCGGCGGCTCTCGCCACCTCGTCTGCGCCATGGAGGATGGTATCGCCATTTTCTGTTCCTGCAAGCTCGAGATAGACGAAGCCTCTGCCCTTGAATGCTTCGAAGGCGCGATTGATCTCTACTTCGTCGTGGTCTTCTAGCTTCTTGAGTGAGATGGTCTGAAGCTCGACTGTAGGGAATTGAGGCTCATCGGGGAATGGAGGGTATCGGTCTGGAGTGAACTCTGTACTTTCTTCTTTGTGCGGCATTATGGCAGCGAGGTGTGGGTGTGGTGTATTCGGGTCAAAGTCTCACAGGTCAGGGTGATCTTGAGACTCGAACATACCGTACTTGTTACATATCGTGCGAGTCACATCGATAGACGCGGTTTGTGACCGCAGTAGTGGAACAAACTCCGCCCCGCATCAAGCATCAAGCATCAAGCTTTCAACCTCTTCATGGCACAAGCACAAGCTCGGGAAACGGGCGCCAGCCCTGCTGAGCGTGCGGAGGCATTGCCCTGTCCACCAACGACGACCGAAGTTGTCTGGCGGCACATGTGTCGCAAAGGCTCGGCATTGATACACGGTGTTCACAGCCATACATGAGCTGCTTGCCAGCCTTGAATCATCCATCGAAACACTTCGGGCCGCTGGGCACCGATCGGCAGTACTCCTGCGGAACCACGAGCGAAGGTGGGTATTATGACGAAGACCTGTAGGAGCCGTAGGAGGGGAGCGCGGCGAGCTTCCGCAGAAGACTGGAAACGATTGGCGACAGCAGGCCCTCAGGCTTGCTTCGACTCGCAGGCCCAGTCGCACAGGCAAGTTAAGATAGTCTTCTTGAGAGACGTACGCAAGAGTACATGTAGTTTGGCATAATGTGAGACTACTGTACGAAACGGACCAGCTGCACCAACTTGCCCGGTAATGCTGGAGGGTTTCGCACCACCTCACCCGCTCTCATACTCGACCATACCCATGCCACCCTGCACATATTCCCTAGCCCGGACAGCACTACCTCTACTTCCCGCTACGATATGACTGCGACCCCGACCAGCCTCACCAGCCACTGCCTCCTTTGAGTCTCCTCCACTCCCAGCGGTGCCCAATTCCCGAACCTCAACTCCCCATGGAAGCAATCTTCTCCGCTCCACTCGTTACCCCCCCAAGACCAGCCCCGCTCTGATCGTTTTCTCGTCGCGTCTGCCTACGACCCGCTCCTTGAGACCTGCTCCCTCCAGAGTTCCTCTGCTTCAACCATCACCTAATGTTGGTGGCGCCATTCTTCTTCGCTCCATCATCCTTTCCCTTGTCCTCCTTTTCATTGGCTCACTTCGCACGATCGTGCTTCTTCACGGCAACCCCGCCGCTTCGGCCTCCAATAGGCCTGGACGGCAAGACAAGCACCCTAGGTGAAGTGTTGACATTGGTGGATGGGGTATCAGTCAGTTCTGTACCGCACAAAGTGTTCATGCTTGACGCTATACTCTGCACAATACAACTGGCCTTAAGAAGTGGCTAATGTACCGTTACGCTGTCAAACCAGCAGGCGATGCCTTCGCGCACCGCTTCTGCTTCGTTCCTGTCATTTGCTAATTTCATCGTCGATCCGAACTTGCAATTGTCTATCAGCTTCGGCTTACCAGCTTTCGGCATCTGCCACTGTTACAAGCAGATCCAGAAACATAGACTGCTCTGCCTTGTAAATCGCCATACACAGTTGCGAGGCGCAGCTATTGCACAGAACCTCAGCGACTACATGCAGGACGTGAATTCTCATCACATCGGTGCACTGTCGCAGCTCCTTGCCTCAGCCTGGATCAAGCTCAATGGCAGTGTCGCAAGGTATATACATTAAGATGCTATCCAGAGACAGATGTGGGCATAAAACGTTTGATTCATGTACAAGCTGCAAATCTCCGTTTCAACGACGATTCTCATCCATCGTAAGATCGTATATCTACCCCAGCTTTCTGTCACTTTAGCTCAGCCTCTCCAGCCGTAAGTGCATTAGCGCTTCGCGAGACCACCCGGAAGAGGGAATAGATCGACGCACATGGCAGAGTGCAGGATATCCACTATATACCTTAGACATACACTGCCTAGCGAACACTTCGCTGCAGCCCACTAGATAGGGGATTCATGCGACTCCTCTCGCAATGTCGCTCTTGATGTCGGGAGTGCTATCCGTGGTATGCACGAAACAGATAAGTACAGTGTCTGCCTCTAGCAATGGTGTCTGCTATCTTCATCAACCATCGCCCCAATAACAGACCATACACGCAAAGTATCCCCAGCACCCCAGTCACAGAGCACTCGGTGCAACGCCCTCCCATCCTCTTCCAGAATACAACGACCAGCAACCCTCAATATGTCGACTACCGCTCAGGCCGTCTTGTTGTTCTCGATCTTCGTTATCTGCACCGGCTTCACACTTGGTCTGACGTGGGCACCATGCTACGCATCATTATGCACTGAGGAGTTCTTTCCTGCTGCAACACGCTATCATGTCGCGACCTACTATGGCCTGATCGCCAGCATTGCCGCTGGACTCTTCTTACGAGCATACAGTCCACTCTGCTACCGGATCAGTACAACCTACTTCGGACGACGCGAGATCCCGGTCTTCAAGAAGCGCTTCAGCATTGGAGGGCTGTTTCTGGTCTTCTGGATACTCACAATCACGGTCGTAACGACGGTCTTCTGGGTCAATCCTGAGGTCAACTTTTACACTGCAAGAACAGAGGCTTTAGGTTGGAGCAGTGCAAAAGTTGATGCTGTTGTGACAGCCATCATCGGACACCACATCGACATCCTCCTCGGACTCACCCTGATACCTGTTGGACGCAATAGTCTCCTGGTCCGAGTCTTCAGACTTTCTTACGGCACTCTACTGTATACGCACAAACTCCTTGCGTACGTGACAATCGTCGGAGTGGCCGCACACGCGATCGCATACTTCAACTTCTGGGCGGCTTGGGTTGCGGAACCACATGGCAGTCCAAGAAGGGCGGCAGTAGATGTCAACAATCCTACCTTGTCGATTGTCGAGACCAACGCTCGTGGCGCGTGGAGTAAAGCTGTCCTAGGCACGGGGTTGGCAAGCTTCCTGGCCATGATTATTGTGCTCATCACCGCCCTGCCAATGATTCGCAGAAAAGCATACAACATATTCTACTATGCGCACATCGTCTTTGGCATCGTCATCATGGTCGGAGCATGCTGCCATGCCACTACCAACTTCTACTTCCTCCTACCTGGGGTACTACTGTGGGTCATCGACTGGTCATGGCGATTGTTCAATGGAGATAGTGGTCTGGCCAAGGAGGTCACCGCGACAATATCATCAGCCAGTGGTGAATGGTACAGGATCACAATCCCCAATATACCAAGACTGTCCCAGGATGAGTCGGGTTCGGACAGTGAAGCAGAGCTTGAAAAGCTACCAGCTGTACAGCCATTGCAGACATATTATATCAACATTCCAAGCATCAGCAAGCTGGAGAACCATGCTTTCACCGCCGCCAAAGTCGCATCGAACGGCTCCGATACAGTCTTGCTATTCCAGAAGACACCGATATCAGCCATCAAGCGGAAGGACAAAGCACAAAATGGAGAATGGACATGGAAGCTGAGCCGAACGATCGAGGAAGTGATGCCCAAGACGAGACGGCACGAGATTCAAGTCAGAGTGGAAGGTCCATACATGCCGGTCACGAAAGGCTACGAGACTGCCGACAAGGTCGTTTGTGTCGTCGGTGGCACTGGTCTGACTGGCGCATACTCCCTAGCACGGTGGTGGTATCAGCATCGCCGTGGTGAGCCAAATGCTCACTTCACGCTCATCTGGACTGCCAGGGCACGCGGATCATTCGATCTAGAAGAATGGACCGAGCTCGTTGAGATGTGTGCCTCGTCGCCGGATATGTCGTTGCAAGCACATTGCACTGCTAAAAGTGGGCGTCTCGACATCTCCACCGAGTTGCGGAAGATCTTCGCGCGCGGTTCTGAGAAGGAGACCAACATCGAGGCCAGTGCTTGGGTATATGCGTCCGGGCCGAATGGCCTGTTGACTGCTGCATCGGATGCTTGTGTCGATCTTGAAGCAGAGTTGAGAGTCAGCAAGAAAGGTGGAAGCGACAGCGTGCTTGCCATTTCTGCTTTAAGTCACTACACTGCTGACTGGGAAGTGTAATGGGTGTCTGTCTATAGAGTCATTTAGCGAGGCGTACATGTCGGTATTCAAGCAGTTCGACCACTTTCAGCCTGCCGCACCATCCCTGCTCTCCTCCACGCCTCTTTGCGGGGAGCCCAGCATATATTTCGAAGATCGCTTCCATTTTGAACGGGTCCATCGAGATCATCCACATGCCGCGCACGTTTCGACGCATCACTCGCCTGTCGGCCACGGAACAGTCGGCTATAGACTGGATGGAGCGAAGGACAATGTCCTGTAGTGCTGACGGGCGATAGGCCTTGATGGTCTACCCCTCAAGTCTCGTCCTTTCTCGTCGAGATCTTGATTGATCTTGGCTTTGTTGTATCTGCTACATGATAGCCTTTGCAGACAGCCATGGCTTCAGCTTCTCCCTCAGCCATTGAGCGGCTACCGCCAGGACAGCATCGCTATCCTGACTATGGCGGCAACCCTCTCGCTCACATCTTATCCAATGTCGAGTCAGAGCGGCTACCAGCCTTCGGTGGTGCTTTCCAGCCAGGTCTATACAAGTAAATATCAGATCTTTCTAGCCAATGGTTGATAACTGCTAATCATGAACGAAACAGACCACCGGCCTTCAAGTTTGGCAACCCAGTCCCCCTCGGATTGAGCGGCTTCGCCTTGACAACATTCGTCCTCAATTTGATCAATCTAGGTGTCCGAGATATCACCTCGCCAGCTCTCGTCATCGCTCCGGCTCTAGTCTATGGCGGTTTCATACAATTGCTAGCTGGTATGTGGGATATAGCTCTCGGTAATGGTACGTAGACGTTCCACACCATTGAAATAGTCAATTTGTGACAGCTGACGTCTTCCAGTCTTCGGCGGCACCGCACTGTCTACCTACGGTGGCTTCTGGATCAGTCTAGCCATCCTTCTCATCCCAGGCGGTTTCGGCATCGAGAAATCCTACGCTTCCCAGGGTGATTTCTATGCCGCCTTCGGACTCTACATTTTCGGTTGGATGATTGTGACGATCATGTTCTGGCTCTGTACACTACGCAGCACAATATTCTTCTCCTCTTTGTTCTGCACGGTCTGGCTTTCCTTCCTGTGTCTCGGTATAAGCTACCTAGACGCCCAGAATAATGCCGAAGGACTTCCAAATCTGGCGTGGCAGAAGGCCGGTGGTGGGCTAGGCATTATAGCGGCCTTTTTGGCGTGGTATAACATGCTGGCGGGATTGTTGGATCCAGGGAACTCGTTCTTTCTCGTGCCGGTGTTTCACTTTCCTTGGAGCGAGAAGGGGCGCAGTGATAGGATGAAAGCTAAGCAGGATGGCAATGGAGAGAGCGTGTAGTATTAGACAATTCGCGGACATGTAAGCTTCTCTATCTGGAGGTGTGATGCTGCAAATCTGGCTCTCATTGGCTTCTACACTCCTACTGTGTTGTTGCACACGCTCCGCAAGTACCGCCTATCTCCGGTGCTTATCGGACCTGGTCACTCCACTGCTCCCTATAGATCTTAGGACCTTCGACTCTCCCGCCTTGCGAAGCAGATATATGCGGCCGCTTGCCATTTGCGTTCATGACTCTATCCCCGGTAGCGCGACTCTGTAGCACGAGAGCAGCATTACAATCATTATAACCTGTGATACTCCCACCGTTGGCCCTTTCCAAAGATTCTTGCTGGCTATGCTCAGCGGCGGTATCGTCTTCGGCTTCCATGATAGCGCCAGGTTGAGGAGGTGTCTCATAGTCGTAGGTAGTTGGGGCGCGGACTGTAGCATGCATGTCAGGCCCTCTAGGCATTGCACCATTGACGCCGAACACGGACCCTTGCATGATGAAGTCTGATCGCATAGTCTTTGTATTTTGGCCATGCGAGTCTTTCAGTCCCGGCAGTTCTGCATGAGGCTGCCGATGACTACGGGCGTGCGCCCGTATCGTGGCTCGCCACTTGTCTAACAGCGAATCGACATCGTACTCAGCTTCAGCAGCAGCGGTTCTGTTTTCCGGCCTACTCAATTCTCGCATGACCGCTTCGGGCGCTGGCATAGTCTTTGTAGGCTGTGTCAAGAGCTCGCGTGGTAGTTGACACCTCGACAGACGATCGTACTCGGCTTCAAGATGTCGTATCCGAATCTGTGCAGCCTCAAGCTCATCTTTCGACTGCTGGCTCCTCTGCTCGGCAGTCACGTACGCGCGCATTACCTCGAGCGTCCACGTTCCCGCCTTTTCTTCCTCTGACATCGTTTGCCAGTGCTCATAGGCTCCAGAAGCGTGCGCCAAGTGCCTGAAAGCAGTGGACTCATTGTGGTCATTGGGGCGTTGCTGCTTCTGCTCGCGCATGCGGACGTTCACAAGGCGGTTTAGCGTCTCGTATTGTCTTTGGCCAGGTGGAGTTAGAGCCCATGCGTCGCCACTAGGAAATGGCAAAGGGCTGAACAAGGTGCCCGGCGAAGGCAGTATAGCAAGCACAAGCCCGGGAAATGTAAGCGAGAAGAAGTCGACATCGTCGAACAAGTGTGGCGACTCAGATTTCCGCTTCGCAGCTTCCAGACTTCCGAGCACTTCACGCAGTGCCAACTCGGCAGCTCGTCCCACTTCGGCATCCTCGTGGAGCTTCCAATTCTCATCCTCGGGATGCGGACGCGGCGTCTTGATCCCGGCCGCATCGTGGCGCATATCATAAATACGCTGTGCCTGACCAGAAGATGCGTGCTCTCGCGAAGCAGCCCGTGGAGGCAGATTGTTGATGACGCCGGTAGCTTGCCAGTTCGCTGTATTGACAGATGTCTTCATTCCTTCGCGCCCTTTCAAAGGGATAGGTGACTCGACAGGACTCTCGTCCGTGACCCTGCTCTCTCCCGCATGGGGTTGGTGTGATGCAGACGCGCTCGTGGGCGTACTGTCAACGCTCTCCCCTCTCCACCCACCCACGTCCACATTCGCGCCCGTCTTGAGACTCGTCTTAGCCTGCCGTCGCGTAATCCCTGACCGCATCTTCTTGATCTCGACCACATCGTGCACTCCGTCGGCGGGCTTCGGGTTCCGTGGTTTGATATACAGGTCAAGGTGTCGCCCTAGACTAGACGAGGTGAAGGCTTGCGCACAGAATGGACACTGCCGGTCTTTGCTTGATCTATTGCCATTTGCCGTACCATCCTGCGATGCTGGCGAGGACATACTCGTCTCCGCCTGCTGCTCTTTGACCTCGCTGTCTGCCATCCTCCTTGCGCCAACGATTACACAAGGCGATATATCTCAGATGGCACCCATCCACTGTGATCAAGCCATACCCATTGCCATTGCGCCCAAGGTCAGGCCTGTCAAGAACCTATTCGTCAACATAGAAGTGTGTTGAAGCCACGGTTGATCATCACGAAACTCAAATGCCCCCGCCTCCGAGCCGGCGCTTGATCAAGATGAATGCAACATGAGCACTTGTATGGCAACAGGCAAGAGATCAAATTCTGACTAGACGACAGGAATGCATTTCCTGACGTGCGAAAGCACTAAAGATACATTGAACATCATACCCCAATCGTAAGCCAATCTATTATGTACCACCACCCTTTAAAGAGCAGAGAACAATAGCCAAACCAACGCCACGCAATGCTCGCAAGCATCCGCCTTCATACCCAAAGAACGCTAAGCCCACCCAAACCATCCGACCAGTACCCAACCTAGCAGATCGTCAACCGCTCCGTCCACTCCGAAGGCAAACGACGCCGCACACTCCTCCCAAAGCCCTTCTAAGTCCTCGATCGCAACATGCGTAGTCGCGCCTCCTCGCTTTCATGCACACTATCCCTATGTACCCTCGGCGGCGTCGCCATAGCAAGACTCGCCAGACTTCTCGAGATATTCGCCTCGCTGATGGTGCTCATGGTAGGCGAATCGGTACCATTGTACCGCACATGCGCCGGACCTGGTCGCTGCAAACCCGGACTAGGAGGTCTACTTGTCGCATCCACGTAGCTTGGTGGGCCATCTGTAAAGGGGGTGATGGAGCCAGGTGCTCTTAGTGCTGCACCATATGAGGGAACGCGAGAGAGGGTACTGATATCGTAGTCGGCTTCGTGAACATTGTCTGTGTCGTGTTCGTCTGATGTCCGTCGTGATAGGGGCACACTTGTAGGAGCGGAGTCGCCTGCTGATGCAAAATAGGAGCCTCGACCTGAATGGTCTCGTTCAGGTGAACGATCGCGAGCGAAGCCTGGCGCGGGTGAGCCGCCTCCTGATGTGCTGTGCGCGAATCGTACGCCTGGCGTTTGCGCTGTCACGCTGTGTCCATTTTCTTGTAGATCCGCGAGTCGAGAATGAAGTATTGATGGTGTTGCACTGCCGTGCTGACCGGGAGGAGTGGCATCGCCGTTCGACATACCATTAGCCAATCCGTTCAGTGACGCCAAGTTCTCGTGCGATCCTCTTCGACTTTGCGCGTAGAGTCCGTGGGGTGTGCCGGGCGCACTACCGGCTCTGCTCATGTATCCAGCAGGATCGATATCACTGTACATCTGGTCCAGTTGATGTCGGCCATACTCGGGAGGCGCAGTGAGCGTCGTCTCGTTGTCATTGAGCTCCGCATCCGACACACGATTCATCGTACCACAAACCGCGTTGCTCTCGTCAACAGGCAGATTTGGCGAAATGAACAGCTTGACAGGTAGTCGGCACACTAGTTGTGAAACATGGCCTTCCGGGTTGTGTATGTTGACCATGAGCTTGAATCGATGGGTGACATTGATTTGATGGGAGTCCACATCTTGCCGGCAGTTGTGCAGAGATTTGGGTAATGGCAGCGTCGCCTTGAATCGATACATCTCGTCCGCCATCGAAGGGTTCTCTGTGGTCTCGTCCTCGTAAATCACCCGCGAATGCTCTGGAAACTCCATGTCCTGCTTCGCGACCTCACTTTCTTCTGATTTTGTCCTATCGCCTCGAATGTCCGGTACTTCACTAGCCTGGATCCTCTTGACGACAGTCTCCACCAACCGCAATTCAATCTTCCCTAATCTTATACCCTTCTTGATGGGTGTGAGCTCTACGTCCGCAGTGATCGATGTTCCAAACACAATCGCGTCCGTAGGTATCGAGATGCTGTACGAGATTTTGTTGGACCAGATATCAGCATTGACTCTCGACCTCGTCATCTCCATGGAATCTTGGCCCAGTGTCCTCACGATCCTCAAATGCGATTGCGCCAGGACGTCCTTGGAGTTCCACCCCGGTCGTGCCACACTCGCGTGCAAATGATAGACGATATAAGTCTCACTCAACCCTTCTACACTCTCCGGCATTGATGGCGTCAGCTCGAACTCGAAAGGCCACTCTATAGGTCCCGCCTTGACTTTGTGCGACGTCTCAATTCCCAGTTTCTGTTCCTGATTCCAGAAGATCCTCTTATCCGTCACCTCACCCGCGGACAGCCCACCCATGAACCACCAGCTGATCTTTCGCTTGCCTTCTAATCGAACCTTGGGCTTCAGTATACTCATGGCTTCTGGCGCGGTGAATCGCACGACGCCGGTGAGCTTGACGTTCTGAGCTTCATGCTCGCCGCCATTGAATACTATGAAGCGAGTGTCCGGAATGATCTCGAGGGTGGGTTTGTTGCGGCCGCTGCTAGAGGTGTAGGTGCCTCGCGGCGTAGGTACCATGGCTGGTGTTCGCAGGCCAGGTTGTGGCCAACTCAGGACGGAATTGCTAGCCAGTTTGGACGAAGTGTCGCAGGGTGAGTAGCTACGGCAAGCGAACGCGGTCGACGGTCAAGTCCCTACTGGTGATCGATGTGGTTGTGGTCGTTATGGTAAGAAGGGTACAGAGGTACCTGCACATGAACTTTTACCATATGATGCTTCGCCTCTGAAACAAGCATCCGCAGTACTTCAAACGCTATCTTGCTGCAGAGTAGTAAAGCCGCCAAAGCAACGAGGAGCAGGGCACAAGGTTTTGGTCCGGCGCTGCTGCGCTAGGACTAGTGTCTCGTTGAATATCGGAAGTTGAATCTCATGAGGCGATAACGATAACAACGATATATGGGTCCAGTGGGTAGGATGTGGTGTTTCGGTGCGGGTGAGAGCTGATGTGGACGACTGGCTGACTGGCTGACAGTACGGTGGCGGTCACGATTGCTTGCTACAGGACTAGTTGCGATAGGACAGGTTTGGAATGTCGTCAGATATACCGAATGTTTATCACAATGTCTCGCAGTCACAAAAGGCAGGCGACATCGGCATTGTTGCTTCATCCCTTCAACGCTGCCACTTGCTAATAATTATGGATCGCGAAGAATCATGTGAATAATGACGGCAGATGCGACGGGAGGAGCCTTCTTTGCATACAGCCTCGAGATACCGACAAGACCGACATTGGGCCGGGCTGCAACCGAATCCCTCGTTGTCGGCAAGATCGGGTTGAGACATGGAAGCGACCGGTGTGCAATGCAGCCAACTCCTGGGTCGAAACATGTGTCTGGAATCGAGAAGGCCAGAGATGTGGCGCCACAAGCATATACATCGACAGCTAATCAGTGCTATTACATCCCACCACTGTTGGTCTTACTGATCTGGACATCCTCGCCATCCTTTGGTCGATCCCACTCTCGTATATGCCCTGTAGAAGGCACAGTCAGCATACGATATCTCGATCATGAACGACAACGCAGTCAAAGTTAAGCTCACCATCTTTGCACGAAGTAATGATGCAATGCTCCTCAAACCCTACCCAACTGAGTGGATGTCCATCCGCCGACTTCGACATGACGGGTGGCAGAACAGCGGTACTTCGCATCGAGTCCACAGCGTGCACTGAATCCTGCCCATCAATATTCTGCACATCCGTCTGTGTCCGGCTCGAGTTACTTCGGATTCGGCCTACACTGTTGTGCGATATCGTGCGATCCATGGGTATATGACTAGCCACGCTCGTCCCTCGGTTTCGCATTGACACAGCTTTCGGCCGCCCGAGCATTCCGACTGAGAAGTCCCAGAGCAGGAGCCTGCAGTCTTCACCCACACTTCCGAAGCGGTAGTTGCGCTCATCGCAACGCCAAGGGTCGAACTGGACATCTGTGACCCAGGAATCGTGGCCGACGCAGCGAGCGACAAGTGCTTGATCGGCTAACGACCATATGCTGACCAGGTCGTCTTGACCACCCGTGAGGACATAGCGGCCGTCTGGAGACCATGTGACGCAGAGCAGACCGCCGTAGTATGATCGGTAGACATCCAAGACACGCTCGTTGATGTAATCCAGGATAGTCAGACAGCCGTCGTCGCAGACTATGGCGAGCAGCGAACCATCAGGTGAGAAAGCGGTCTGGTTGATCTTCATGTTTGACACACTATACGCCGCCACAGGATTCGTCTTCTGGTTCTTTGACTGCACAGACTTCTTGACCTGGAACTTGTTCTTCGGGTGGCCGTTCTCGGATCCGTTGTCGCCGGGCGAGGCATCTTCGGGTACGAATTCGGCGTCTTCCTTCTCCTTGTCATATACGACCAGTGTCCCATCCATATGCGCAGCCAGGAATAGATTCTCCTTGTTCGGCAGCCAATGGATCGATTCTATCGGCATGGGGTTGATCATACCGTTCTTGTTCAGACGTGCATACTTTTGCGATATGGGTTCGTACCAGATGATGTCGCTTGTGTTGAAGCCGATGACCACATCTAAGTGCGTTTGTGACTTGGTAAATTGGTTGACATCGTGACATAATGCGAAAGCTTTTGTGAAGAGCACTTTCGTCAATGCTTCGGTCTTCAGGTCTGATGTGAGATCCAACCACAGCAGTGCTCGGTTCACGTTCGCAAAGACCATCAGTCCGTCACTTGGTCGTTCTGATAGCCGTTTCTGCAAAGCCTCATGTGGGATGACGCGGCTGACGAACGACGAGTTGGACTTGACGATGTTGTTCTTGGGCTTGGCGCGAAGATCTCCCTTCTTACTGCCCTTCGTGGGCACTGGTCGCAAAGCATCGTTGTTGTCGCCGTATCCTACTGTATGACCATAGTATGAGGTAGAGCCGAAGCCATTCGCTGTTGAGCCTGCATCGCTTCTCGGGCTCTGCGCTTCCTCTTGTATGATTGGTGGGACATTTGATCTTGTGCTTTGGCTGGTCGCAATGCGGAAAAGACTCTGGTTCGGTGGCTTTCGAGGTGCTATCACGGCGACTGAAAGCTTTGTGCCAGCAGACTGAGGGGCTACCGTGGTTGCAAGTGGGTTATTGTTCGGCTGTGGCGCATCACTGGGATGGGGTGGAGGTGTCGCAAGGTGGAGGTCGTCACGAAGTACATATGTGCCCTCGCCCACCACCAATTGGTACTCCTGGCCTGTTGGGTGTTCTAATGTGTTGTTGGTTTCCAGCAGCGGCGCACCTCCTGGCATGCCAGTGTAGAGGTTGCCATTTGGGTAACGGGGTGGTGGTGGAAGTACACTATGTAATGATATGTTAGCATCTAGCAGTAGATTGCCAGTATGGACAACCGCAAGTTCCATATCCTTGGAGTGTCCTTCCTCCGTCGTGGTACTGCGGAAGCTCAATAGCTGTGCAACCGACCATACTTACAACATTATATTGTGCTATAGGCCGTCTCGACCATATATTATCCGTGCTTATGAGCGACGAAATGAAAAAGAAGTAACCATTGTTTCCTTGGCAGATCTCGTGCACGCAAGATGGAGTTGCGTGGTTCGCTGAATGGGGGAAACAAGATCACAGGACCGGCACGTCGAAAGTGATGTACTGCGCAGCGCGACTCGAATACGGAACGGATGTCAAACCCCGCGAAGTGGCTTGAGATCGCTCGCCGGCTAATATTGGCATAGAGAGTGGTGGAGGAGGCGGAGAGACGGGCGTCGTCGACGTCGTCAACCTCGATCCCGATCCCCTACAAGAGGGTAGGAGTACAGAGTTTCATCTCAGGTCTCATAAGATAAGGCCCACGACACCATCTGAGTGACAAAGATGCTGCACTTGCAGCTATATGGACTTCCACGCTCCACTGACCGCGCTAGCCACGTGAGAGGACTGTGTTGGGCGTGGGCTTGGACCCATCTTTTTTCACATGCAGGTGTAGCGATGCTTCAACTTGGTACCTATGGCTACTGGTGAGCACAGCTTCGAGGACACGCATAGACAGCCCTCGAGACACTGACACAGCGTCCCTATAGTCCGCATTTGCATTTGTGGGGATGAGCAGACTGGGAAATCTAGCCTGCTCACGTCTTTGGTACAAACCATGCCCTGGGAAGACGACTACTAAGCCTTGCACTAATTCAATTGTAGATCAAGGACACCTTCGTCACTGCACGTATCCAATCAGTCCTACCCCCAATCACACTCCCACCAACCCTAGGCACACCCGAGAATGTCACAACTACGATCGTCGACACTTCAGCACTACCGCAGGAGCGTGAGCACCTGCGGAAAGAGATCCGGAAATGTAACGTGATACTACTGGTATACAGTGATCATTATAGCTATGAGCGGGTCGCTCTGTTCTGGATGCCGTACTTTCGGTCGCTAGGAGTCAACGTCCCGGTCGTGCTATGTGCGAACAAAAGCGATCTCAGTCCTGCAGGCACAAGTACGGCTCAGATCGTGACGGACGAGATGCTGCCAGTCATGGCAGAGTTCAAGGAGATCGATAGCTGTATCCGGACGAGCGCGAGAGAACATCACAACATCAACGAGGTGTTCTTCTTGTGTCAGAAGGCCGTCACGCATCCGATAGCGCCGATTTATGACTCGAAGGAGAGTAACCTGAAGCCTGCAGCTATGCAAGCACTAAAGCGGGTGTTCTACTTGTGTGATAAGGACCGAGATGGGCTGCTCAATGACAAGGAGATTCACGACTTTCAGTTCAGATGCTTCGATAAGCAATTATCGGAAGCAGATCTTACGAACATCAAGCGGTCGATTGTGAGTACTTCTGAGGATGGGATTGATGTTGATGGTTTCCTTCAGCTTAATAGGATGTTTGCGGAGAAAGGTCGACATGAGACGATTTGGATCATCCTGCGGAAGTTTCAGTATTCGGACAGTCTGAGCTTGAAGGACACATTTCTGCATCCCAAGTTTGATGTGCCAGCCTTTGCGTCCGCAGAGCTCAGTCCGTCAGGATATCGCTTCTTTGTCGATCTCTTTTTACTACACGACCAGGACAATGATGGTGGTTTGAATGACACTGAGCTGGCGGCACTGTTCGCACCTACACCAGGATTGCCATCATCCTGGGTGGACTCGGCATTCCCGAGCTGTGCTGTGCGCAATGAGGCTGGCTACATCACGCTGCAAGGATGGCTCGCGCAATGGAGTATGACGACGTTTGAGGAACCAAAGACAGCCTTGGAGTATTTGGCATATCTCGGGTATGAGTCACCAGACGGCAAGGGCACCACTTCTGCGTTGAAAGTGACAAAAGCTCGTAAGCGGCGTAACAGGCTTGCACGAGTGGAGCGCAACGTCTTTCTCTGCTATGTCCTAGGAGCGCCGCATAGTGGCAAGTCAACGCTACTGAATGCGTTCTTGAACAGACCATTCAGCAGCACATATCATCCAACGATCAAACCACAAACCGCGGTCAACAGCGTTGAACTGCAGGGTGGCAAGCAGTGCTATCTTATCCTCGAGGAGCTTGGGGAGCTCGAGCCAGCAATTCTGGAGAATCAAGCGAAGCTCGACGCCTGCGACCTACTCTGCTATGCCTACGACTCTAGCGATCCGGACTCCTTTGGACACATCCTCGAGCTGCGGCAGAAATATCCAGCATTAGACGTCCTACCATCAGTCTATACAGCTTTGAAAGCCGATCAAGATCGTGCCGTCCAGCGAACCGAGACACAGCCGGACGCCCACTGCGAAGCGTTGAAGATGGCAAAACCGATGCACGTCTCAGTCAATTGGACCTCAATCAACGACTTCTTTGTGCACTTGGCCGAGTGTGCCACATATCCTGCTCAAGCATTCCCGAAAAGCGAAGAGGAACCCGTGGATCGCACCGCGCTGTACATCGCTTTGGGTGCGACAATTTGCGCAGGGGTGGCATTTGCGTGGGTGTGGAAGCGAAATGTTATGGGTAGTAATGGCTGATGAGCTTCCTTATACCCGCTTGCCCTACTCCGGGTAATTGTATGATATCGACGATAATGTGTGCATGGCGTGGCAGGCTTGCAGGTTATGCATATGATACCCATCTCTGTTGTAGACTAGCATGCATAGATAATACCTCTCACAGCATCTGCCTTGCAGTGGTGCATCTCACGAAGGCACTTTCAAATGAAGTTTCCACTAATAATACTCATGTGCTAAGATCGGCGGAGCCTAAACGTTATCGGATGTGTTTCAGGGGGATGGTCGGGGTTAAGTAAAGTAGGCAAGAATGGGGCATGGTTGGCTTTTGGCTGTCCGAGCAGTAGCAGTAGTTCAGGTCTAGCCTCAGGCTGTATGTTCTGGATGATGTTTAATTGCTTCGACCAATGCACACACACTTCCTTCACAACCCTTCCCTTTCACGAATTGTTCGGATGTGTACCGCTTACATTCTTTCCACGAGCTGGGCTGTTGCGTGTCGGATGTCGCACGGGTTGAATTATTGAGCAGGAGTCGAAGAGTTTCCGGAGGAAGTTGTTCACGTGCGCGTGTGGAAGTGCTGCTACAGCGGGACAGGGAGTGGCCTGGGATTGGCACTGGTGGTGACAGGGTAGCTGCGTGTGAGTGGAGTGGGGACATGAAGGATGCAGGTAGGTTTTCGCTATACTCCTCCGGACAAAGACACATCATCATTGCACCCCCGGGACGGCAGGGAGGGTAGATTGAAGTGCTGATTGACTGTGATTGGCCCGCAATATCGTGTCAGGTTGAGAGCAATCGCGGTATAGACACGACAATATGTCATGAATCCAAGGCTGACTTAGTTCTCTTTATATCCATACAGCCCTCGGTGAGGCAATCAGAGCTGGAGCGGCTATACCAAAGCCGTAAGACGTCACGAGGGCATGTGCCGCACATTTCCATCAGCGACGACAGCCACCACATCACCGAAGCGATCGGCAGCTACTACGGCGACGAGCAACCACCGCCGCCCGGGGGAGGGCCTGCTAAGCGCGAAGTACGTCCACTGAGCTTCATGCCGTCGCCGAATGAAGTCTACGAGAGCCGTGGGAATAAGAGGGGTGGTGGGTATTTCGACGTGAACAAAGGGACGAGTGGGAGTAAGAATCCACTGGAACGGACACGGTCGAATGAGAGCGGGTCAGGGGCGGTGGAGACCGGCAGTCTGTCGCCCAAGTCGCTGAGGAGGATGGGGTCAGGTGCGGCCGATGACGCTGGCGGCGGACAGCACTCGCCGCCATCACTCACACGGCACAGCTCTGCAGAAACGGCAGTCTCGCAGTTTCCACTGAACGACATTGACTATGAATCTAGTCCGGCAGCAGTGGCGCAAGAGCTCAGCAATCTGCAGGCTATACGGCGCATGTCTATGAACGTGGATGCTGGAGATCCGGATCTGGCAGGCTTCGGCGGCGTGGTACCTACGGTAGCGCCTTCACGAAACGATGATGATGATGAGAATGATGCGGCGCGGCTGTTCTGGGTGCCTGCGCGGTTACATCCGGAACTGGCCCCCAAAGAGTTCAAGACGTTCTTGGAGGACAGGGTGGACAAGATACGGCGGCGATCAGGTGACAGTGATAACTTGTCTGTGGAAGGGCCGGAGCGGTCGGCTTCGAGTAGTAGTAGCCTACGGCGGAAGAAGAGTATGCTTTCGCGGCAGATTGATACGAAAGGAGAGTACGAGGATGGTGCAGACCGTCTAGATAGAAAGAGATCGATGCGCATGCAAGTGGAAGGTCAAGCGACTGTCACGAATCTCGAGGACCTGGAGGCGCTGGTCAACGATCCTCAGCAACTGATCCGTCGCATGAGTATGAGTGCTGCGCGGCGGTCATCTGAGGATAGCAACGGCGAGGTCCCAGCGAGCGAAGATATGCCTATTCTGCCGCCCGGCGGTCAAACGCTCAAACGCTCCACGCGGACGACCTACCGGAAGGGCAGCTTAAAACGTGGGGAACGTGTACCGTTCTCGAAGCGAGTGCAGCAACGACAAAGTGGTCTGGAAGATCACGACGATGCACGTGCGCAATCGCCAACTCAGGTCGCAGCTGATGATCGAGAGCCAATTCTTGGATTGACCAGGGTCCAGACTGAACCTACGCCGCCAGCTGGTAACCTTGAGTTTCACTCCGCACCGACGAACCATAGTTCCTCAAGTAGGAGAGCTCCGCTTGTTTCGAGCTATTCGAGCGAGGATCTTGCGTCCGAACCTTTGCGCCAGGCTCAGAACCAAGAAGCTCGGAGGGCACCTCCACTGTCTGCACCTCCACCCCAGGAAGAGGAGCACGATCTTCGAGGACCGCAGGCGCGACAGTTTCACTCGAGACTCGCTAGTGGGCCTGGTCGGACGACTGCACATTTGCCTGGCTATACCAACAACAATCCGCTACCACATATCATCGAGACTCTGCCAGATGGCACGAAAGTACCTGTAGGACCACTTGCGCAACAGCAACAGTTTCCGGAACGAAAGTCCTCCCATGAACTACCTCGGCAGAATCACCGGGGTGGTGCGCACATGCGACCAGCACCTGGTGCAAGTCACTCCCATCACTCCCGGACATCGACATTAGACGACATCTCTTCAAATCCATCGCCTCTACCAGGAAGCGGCAGCACACGGACCGATGCGCTCACGATGGTGCCAACTTTCGAGGACAAGAAAGTCGATCGGAAAGACAGCACAAGGAAAAGCAGCTGGAAATGGATTCTTGGCAATGATGACGATGAGAAGGAGAAAGAGAAAAAAGCCGCTCGCGAGGAGAATGCGCTTGGTGGTGGACTGTCAAAGACGAAGTCTAAGCTTACCAAGACTCCGGGTGACAAAGCACGGATGGACGTCTTGCAAAATACTATTGATGGTACTACTCCCTCCCGAGGTCGCGAGAGCGTTGTGCTCAATCGCGCGGATGTCCAGCTCGATGATGAGCGGAAGAAGGAAAGCAAGCGATCAGAGACCAAGAAGGAGAAAGACAAGGAATCTAGTCTGCTTTCAGCTATCTTTGGTGGCAAGAAGAAATCTTCGGAGGGTGATCTCAAGGACAAGAAACGCAAACATGACCGCGCGCATTCAATCGAACCTGTGCAAAGAGTGCTGAAACCCGATATTGACTACAACTGGACCCGCTTTAGTATACTGGAAGAACGTGCGATATATCGGATGGCTCATATCAAGCTGGCAAATCCACGCCGCGCTCTGTACAGCCAGGTCCTGCTGAGCAACTTCATGTACTCGTACTTGGCTAAGGTACAAGCGCTGCACCCTCAAATGCAAATTCCTGCTTCCCAGCAGCAGAAGGCGCAGCAACAGCAGCAGCAGAAGGACCAGCCCGCTGAGTACTCACAATATCAGCGATGGCAAGAGGTGAGTCTTTTCGACTAAAAGAGAATGACTTTCAAGCTAATATATGGCAGCAGCAGCAACGCCAGGAGCAGTCAAGCGGTGGTCAGCAATCAGGCCGAACGAGCGAAGAGATGATCTCCGCCGGTGCTACAGGAGCAGCAGGACAGCAACAACAACGATCAAACTACGATCAGCATTACCGAAGCAGTTACGATAATAACGACCAACAACACTCATCCGGCGGTTACGACCACGGCCGGGAGTCGGATGAATATGAGAACAGTCAGTATGTGCGTCCGAATCAATACTCGCACGAGACCGCGCAGGAGAGAGTCAACGGCATTATGGGCCAGCCTGCTACCAATTCGGGAGGACAGCAGAGTTATAGTGTGGCGAGCACGCATGATTATTTGGGATATCCCAAGGATCAGCAGCCCTTTGATGCTAGGGGTGGAGATCTTTGGGATGATGATCGGAAGTCTGAGGAGCTTTGGTGAGCTAGCCAAGGAGGTATGGATGATATTCTTCACTTATTAGTTGTGAGCGTGGTGGACGACTTTTTCTTGGGCGGATCGATGAGGTGTACATCATGCTGCTGTTTTTCAAGCCTTGTGTACTACATCCGACGTTCGCTCTGTGGCCATGATATGCGCTATACACATTCATACTCTCGTCCCACTCGTGTCACCGACTCGTGTCACCGACTCGTGTTACTTTCCCATACCCACCTCTCGTCCCTCCAATGCTGTCGATCGTCCTCAACCACAGCACGGTTGCTTTACGACATTGCAGTATGACCTTGTAGGGTTTGCATATCGAATGTCACCATCCTCAAAGTGATGCCCCTGCTTGACGAGTCTAGATCTTTGGCCGGTGTGGCAGTGCAAGATCTGTGCAGGCCGAAGCATCCGCCAAGAGTTCTGTGCACATACACATGACGTAGCTCGATCGCGCTTGCTCACTCGCACGAGCAAGCATAAAGCATAAAGGTCGTTGGCTTGTTTGTGATGAAGGAGTTTCTGTCTCAATATTGAAAATCCATCAGAACCTCACCATACACACAGCATCCAGATACCAACCAACGAACCGACCTGAAACAGGTGAGCCGAACCATCATTCCCAAATATTAACAGGCATTTGCGTAATGACAGTGCCTTGTTTGATCTCCTTGCCACGTGCGTAGCAATATGCAAATGCTGACCAAGATACATCAGAAGAAGCTGAAATGTCTGTCCATTCGCCTCAAAGCACACTCCCGACTCGTTCGACCACAAACAACAGCAATGAGGACGATGCCATCCCGGATGAGGACAGCAGTGAAGTCACAAAACTCTTCAACGAGCGTCTGCAGGCATACAAACATGCTTGTGGATACCTTGAGGACTATGTACAGCAGACGGAGAAGATGCAGCATGCTCATGGCAAAGAGTATGAGAAGGTTCTGAAGACTGTCTCTCACCCGTTGAAGGAGGGCCACCATTTCGAACAGAACCTCGGTGGCATCGCTGGCATGTTTGACAACATTCGAAGCAACACCCAGGGCATCTCCAACAGCCACTACGAGACTGCTAAAACACTGAAGGGCAGCGTCCTACCCATCTTCGAGCGTCTGCACAATGAGATCAAGAACAAGACCAAGGAGTTGACCAAGGGGGCTGGGAAGGGTGCCAAGGCTTGTCGACAAGGCCCGAGCGACTTCGCAGAAGCACATCGAGCTCCTCGGTCAGCACACGGCTAGCTTCGACTCTACTGGTGGTCACCTCGCAGGCAAGGAGGACCCGTACATCCTCCAACGACAAGTCTACCATAGGCTCAACAAGCAGGTCATTGAGGAGAACAGCAACCGTGATGACCTTCTCTCCGTCCAGAACAGCTTCGCTCAGTTCGAGGCTCACGTTGTGCAGATAATCCAGAACGGTCTGAACCAATTCAACCAATGCCTCGGCCACCAAGCCGAGCAGACCCGCTTCATGTATAATGACATTGTCGGCACTACTCAACGTATGACACCCGACTTTGAATGGAATGGCTTCATCAAGCGCAACAACAATGTCCTCATCGACCCGAGCGCGCCAAAGCGAAGTGTAGAGAACATCGCCTTCCCGAACCAGGACCATCGCTCTACCCAGCCTCTGATCGCTGGCTCCCTCGAGAAGAAGGGCAAGCTACTGAAGAAGTATGAGACCTCCTTCTACGTCGTCACGCCCGCTCGCTTCCTCCACGAATTTAAGACGGACGATGATTTCTCTAAGGATCCTACGCCTGAGAACAGTCTGTACCTACCTGACTGCATGATCGGCTCTGTCAGTGGCAACGATTTCACAGTCAAGGGTAAGGACGCAAGCAAGGGTGGCATTGGTGGCAAGCTGGCCATGAGCAAGGAATTCGCACTTCGCGCGCACACGCCTCAAGACGCGATGAAGTGGCATCAGGTTATTGCTTCCGTGGCGGGCGGCTCGAACGACGAGAAGCCTGAGACTTCTGCCCCTAGCTCGCCGGCTATGGCTAGGAATGAGGCAGGGTATGCTAGTTCGGCTGGTTCGCCGAGCACGTACTCCGGTAGCACAGCTGCGCCGGCTTACGAGCAAGGTGCTGGGGCTGGCTCTCACATGACGACTGCTGGGAAGGAGGCTGCTGGGTATGGTAGCCATGGTGCCGGGCCAGGTACACAGGGCGCTGGTTTCGGGCACACCGATGCTGGGCTTGGTCAATCAAGCGCTGGTGTGGGACAACAGGGCTCTGGATACCACGGAGCTCCGCTGGGCGACAAGACCATGTAAATGCACACGTCTTCCGATACTGCCGTGAGTACAGGGTGGAGGAGGTAATAAGTGGAAGGGGAGGTAATGTCTGGTTGTTGTCCCAGCGAGCAGGTTCTATTGAGTATACAGCATAACACCAACCAACGTTTGTTCTTGACCTCTTAGCACTTCAAGAGACGGCTCAGTAATGCTGGTTCTGTCTACGTGCGTGGCATGTAACCATGCACATTCATGCTCACTTGCAACATGTACGTCATAGCACTGCTACTTTAATGAGCTCGAGGTACAACAATCAACACGGCATTTTTATGTCTGAGAGCATTACTTTAGTATTCATCCTCAAACAGCCATAAGCTATTACACTCTAGTAAGCACAGGAGCTTTTCAACGTTGCGACCACATCAATCACACAACATTGACCTCTCATAGCGACTTGGAAGCTCCACCATCTACGACAATGGCACACTTCCTCCGCCTGACACCTAGGCGCATCACAACGTCTCTCATCAGCATCAGACAACCACTCGTCGCCCGATCATTCAGCATCGCGCCACAACTCCGACTCAAAGAAGATGGCGATCGCTCGGCTGAAGAGCTAGAGAAGAAAAAGCAACAGCAGCTTCAGAAGCAGAGAGATGGCAAAGCCGAGTGGCACGAATCGTTGGCCTCGGCAGGCGAGTCGAATATTGCGGCCGACAAGGAGAAGGTCAATGATCATGGTAAACATATGGAGGATTTGCAGAAGGAGACGGCGAGCCAGAGTGAGAAGGAGCATCCAGATGGGAAGAAGTAGGTGGACTGGATGCGAATGATTGTATTGTGTAACCGTGTATAGCCATTTTGTGCTTATTTCATCGACTCTACCAGTCATGCTGGCCTCGAGGACTTCTAATGGAAGAGGACCTCTCTCACGTCTATACCACTACGTTTGTGCTGATCTATTCTGATCCATTACCACAGAGCTATACCGCTACGGCGGGTGCCACACGACTCTACTTATCAGTCGCCGAAGAACGACATCATCTACGAACCACGCGGGCCGCCTCTGAGCAACTCCGAGAGGGCGGCTCATCTTGTAATCCTGCTCACGTGGTGGAGCTCGCTGCTAGTCGAAGGACGAGTTGCTTCATTTTTGCTCGACCTGTCGTCTGGTACTGCTGAGCGATCCTACCCAGACCTGTCGTTACTTGGTCGAAGGTACCATGTATTGTACTTCAAGAGGACAGATGCCTTATAACGTACAATGCACATGGTAGAGGGCATTGAAAGGCATGATTGCCAGCCTTCGCCTGTTCTTCCGCCCGTCATACTAGTTGGCAACTCGATGGCTATGTGTTCCACTCGACTTGGTCCCACGTTTTGAGTCACTTTTAGCAAGCAGTTGTGTTTAATCAGCCGATTTTGCTGGGCCACCACGGGATCGTGCCGTGGATAGGCCATACCATATTTCTCTTGGCTCAAGTCAACACATGCTCAGTACTCTAGGACATTCTTGATAGTGTCGTATATCCTTACGACGTCAGGGATGTTGAACTTTTCGTATGCCAGTCCAGAATGTGTCGACCAGCCAGCCACTCGCTGCACAGGTGCTTCGAGCCTCAAAAAGCACTTTTCCTGAATCGTGGCCGCAACTTCTGCTCCAACGCCGGCATTGACCATGCTTTCATGCACAACAATGCACCTTCCTGTCTTGTTGACAGAAGCCATTACAGCTTCTCTATCCCAAGGATAAACAGTCCGTAGATCGATAAGCTCAACCGAACATTTGAGCTCCTTCTCTGCCGCAGCCAAAGCATTCTGGCAGAGATAAAGTGGCGTTCCGTAAGAAATAACCGTGACATCCTTGCCCTCTTTTAACACCTCTGCCGTACTCAAGGGCAGCGTAAAGGCCTCCGCAGGAACATGCTCAATAGCAGCCCTGTACAGAATCTTCGGCTCCATGAATATGACAGGATCATCACAAGCGATCGCCGCAAGCAACAACCCTTTCGCCTGCGTCGGTGATCTGGGCACTACGACCCTCAAACCAGGAACATGCGTAAATAACGACTCGGGACTCTGCGTATGGTAGAGCCCTCCGTGTCCCACGCCACCAGCGGGCATCCTAATGACAAGCCCACCACAATTCATTCCCTCATTCGCACCAGCTCGATATCTCGCCTTTGCCACTTCATTGACGATTTGGTCGAAAGCGGGATACACGTAATCAGCAAACTGGATCTCAGCGATAGGTCGCATACCCTCCATTGCTGCTCCGGCGGCGAAACCGACGAGTCCTTGTTCACTCAAGGGAGTGTTGAAGACGCGATGGTCCCCGAACTCAGTTGCGAGATTCATTGAGCAGCGGAAGACGCCACCGAAGGCTACGTCTTCGCCGAAGAGTAATGTTCGTTGGTCTGTCCGAAGGGCATGCGAGAGTGCGGCGTTGACGGCTTGGAAGAGATTGATGCGGCTTGTCGTGCCATTTCGTGCTTCCTCTGGAAGTTCTCTATTTGCCAGAGCTGCCTTCGCGTTATGGTGGAGTAGTGGTGTGCTTCCATAATCTGTTGGTATGTTTAGACGCGCTTTGGCTGGATGTGAAGCATATGTTCGAACAAAGCCTCTACTCCAGCTACTCGAGGTGAGTAGTCTTGGTCGAAACATCACTGTGAAAACGTCTTGTCCTGTAGACAAGATGTGTATAGTATCACAGCATGTAGTGTGGTTGTAAGAAGTGAAGTCGCTTACATGCGGGCCAGTCATAAGCCGAGGCATGCGGCAAAGTCGATGCGTTCGGGCTATCGTGACAAGATGATCGTCAGGCACGGCACGAATGAGATATGGATGAGAATAAGCTGAAGTGTATAGTACTGCGCTCTGCGGCAGGCAGATGTAATAGTTTCTATCTAGCGCACGGACTTCTGGTGGCGAGTGTCGCTCGGAAAAGTACCGTTACAACAACGCATTGTGCTCTCACGAGCATTGCAAGCACAACATTCTGTCAAGCCCAGAACACGCTTGCAGGCCGCTCACGGTCTCGCCGTTGCTCTCGCCTTTCCGGTTCGCGGTACTCGACTCGGTAGGCTTCCTTTCGTTGCTTTTGCTTGTCTTCATAGTAGAGCGACCCTCGTCGATCATCGTCGACGACTGCTGTTCGTCGTCGCGAAGTTGCTGCTTCGACATCTTCTTCCAAAACGAATGCTTCATAGCGTGTAGATTTGCGGTGTGGTTTCCAATCCGATCTACGCTCTGATCGAGGCGGCTCGAGTACGAGTGTTTTCTTGACTGCGTAGTCGTCTTTCTCCTTGGGTACTGTCCTTCGAGAAGCCTTTGATGATGGTTCGTCGTATGATATTATTGGGACAGTCCGCGCAGCTGATCGTGGCGCTCGTTCCGTCGATCGCAGCAGCTGGTTGACGTGAGTGTAGCCAGCGGGCATCTCGACCTGCACTAGCTTGTGGTCGTCCCTGGTCCGGCTGTAGACAGCGCCGTCCAACCGGTAAACGTAGCCAGCGACATCACGAGCCAGGCTCATCCCGGCTTCGCATAGTCGTCGACCTGCTCGTTGGCCATCTAGTGGGTTGTTGCATGCACGGCAGCCGTGAGCATGCTTCTCGAAGTGGTACAGTGACCAAGCTTCTGCCTGCGTCAATGGCCGCGACTCTGCTGGGGCGAATCGGACAGCTTTTGGTGAGCCAGGCGACGCAGGTGCAAGGTTGGACCGCGAAGGTACGCCATCAGGCTTGACCTCGACAGTCGCGAAGTTGTTGCCGCGAGCGGACGGCATTGTGGCGGTAGTGGCAGTCCGGCGATATGTATGAGTTGATTGGTCAAGCAGCGAGTAGTCCTCCAATGTGATGACAGTAATGGTAGAGTAGAGAGGTAAGTTGGGCAGCGACCTGTCCTTGATATACAAGGCGGCGAATAGGCAGTGAGACAGTGGTGAACTATTGGATGGAAGAAAAGATGAGGCAATGGGAGATGGGAAGCAAGGCAGATATAACCAAACCTATTTGCCTTCCTGCGAACCAACAACTAGGCAACGAAGCGAGCCAGACGCACCACCAGTCCGGTGTCTGTGTGGACTCGAGGCCGCAGCTCTGACTTTGGTAAGGCGACAATGGGTGGCATGTCTCAGGAATCTTTGGAGTCATCCACTGTTGAAGGTGGGGTGGTATGACTGGTGCCTTGCAAGGTTCGTAGCGATTCGAACGGCTGCCTTGCCTTGCCTTGCCTTGCCGCAGACGGCAGAGCTGCGCGATTGCCAAAGATCACAACGCAGTGATCTCGTGAAGAGGTTTGCGCGCCGCTTGGTCGAGCAGTGCACCGGTAGCGTGTTCGAGTCTGTCATGGGAGGGACGAGAGAAGCGCTGTAGGGCGGAAGGCGCAGCATTGAGGCATGAGGCCGCACGGATGGCGCGCAGCGGAGCCAAGGCTGTGAGAGGCCGCACTGTGGGCTCGGGCATTTCTAACCACTAGCGTCAACCGCTCTATATTCTGTGGTGGCTCAGGCATGTCAGGCAAGCAAACATATTCATCCGAGCGATGATTACGAAACAACAGACGACGATAACCCAGTCGCTCCGCGCTCCGATGCTTCCCACCAGACGGTCTTGACAGTGGCCGGCGGCTCTGGGCAGGTCATCAATCAAGGCGCTCTTACGGAGCTGCAAGGACTCTCGTGGCGCAGTCGGCAGTCTACTTGCATGTTGCCGCTGTCTCCACCTGGGGCCAGAAAAGAGTCAAGCGATGTATCATCATGTACAGTGCAACAAGAGACACCAGGAACACGTGGTCTGTGTAAGAGGATAGAATCGCGGATGAGAGCTGCATTCACTGCGTTTAGCTCAATTGACAGCTAGCTCTCGCCAGGGTGAGTCAAGGCTGCAGCCATTGGCTTGTCATGGATGACTCGAAAATCTGGCCAATGTCTCACGACATCCATTACATGTAGTGTCGTGACTGTCATACGTATCCACTACACACTATACGTGTCTACAACCCTGTCCAGCTGACTATCTGTATCCTCAGGTTTACATCATCAATGAGCATCAGGTAATAAGCAAGTGCTACAAGGGGGCTTATTTGGTGGCTAGCTCGCATCTCCATCAACGGCAACAGCACCAACTATCCTCACTTCGTCTTAAACATGCCCTGTCCAAGCGCAGTCAAATATCCGTACCTCGTCAACCAAGTTGGATCCAACCTTTCGGCGTTCCCACCACCTCCCACCGCAGCATTAGCAAGCCCATGCAATCCTCCAGCAACAGCATCACCTTCCACACCTTGACCCGGCCCATCACCGCCAGTCAGCCGCCGCTTCTTAGCAGTGACCAATTCCCGAATAGCCTCATCCCAACCCTCGCCCTTCTCCTTCCCAGCCAGTCCACGTCCTTCAGTAAGCGCCTCGATCATGACATCCAGCCCTTTCAGCGCTTCGTCGCGGGTCTTGGGGACGTCGCAGAGCTCGCAGAGGGTCATGGCTGAGAGTGCGGCGAAGTGATGGTTTAGTGGTGTGACGGGTGTGAGGCGGCTGTTGAGTACTGTTGCCACTTTGACCGCATGACCCACGAGCTCACTCGGCTCTGTGGTTGGGTTGAGACGCTTTATTAGCAGGTGGCAGTGGTGGTAGGAGAGATGCACGAGGTTCAAACTACCCCAGACACTTTCTACAGATTCGCGGAAGCGATCGATCTCACCTGCTAATGTCAGGCCGAGTAGGCTTGAGGCAGGATTGGATGGCGCCATCACATCTGTACTTGGTGTCTTCGTAGTCGTCAGGATGGCTGCCAGATGTCCGATGATGAAGCTGAGTCGTGCTAGATGATATGTACTTTCGCCGAGCAGGATCTGGTCTTCTGGTAGCAAAACCACGCTGTTCTCGGGTAGCTTCAGCAGGTCCGCTGTGGATGAGGCGTGCCAGCGATCTAGGATGAAAAGGACCCACCATACTCGTCTTGCGAGTCGTTCCTCGCTGTCACGGTCACCTTCCATGAACGATTGGCTGCCTGTCCTGATCATATTGATCTCAAGCTGACCTGCCACACCTGCCGCACGACCTAGCCATTCGGCACGAGACGGTCCAGCTTGGCCTCGAATAGTGGCAGGACCGTGATTATCGCTTTCCAGTGCCATGAGCAATAGCGTCTGCAAGTAGACCAGATTCGTCGAGACCGTGTGACTGCTTGGGTGGTCGAAAGGGTATCGTGCAAGCAGTTCTGCCGCCTTCTTCAGCGCTGTGTGGTACGCTGGATTTGGTCCTAGAGTAGTGGTTGGGAACGTCCTCATGAGACAATCCAGCGCAGCCAGACAAGCTTCGCGCAAGCTCGCCGGACACTCTGCCAGACTTTGCCGTAAACGATGCTTGCTGCTAGGGAGGAGCGGGAATGTCTGGTGGATGATTCGATAATACTCATCAATCACATCCTCGTCCCAATCAAAGGACATCACACTCGCGTTGTCGTCAGTCTCATAAGGAGGGCCGACCGGCTCCTGACGAATGTTACTCGCACCAGGACGCCAGAAAGGCTGCGGCTGATTCGTATTATGAGACTGCTGTAGCGGTGCTGGTGGAGCCGTATATGGGTTGAGCGGCATTGTCCTTTGCGGTGCCTGCATCTGCGCAATAGCTGCGGCAGCGCCACTGTGAGCTTGCCCATTGTGCATGTTCTCAGCGACGTCCCATGCTCGCTTGTCGCCCACACGCGGGTCGATAAGCTGGTCGCGTCCAAAGCCTTCGGCTGCCATGGCTTGCTGGACTTGCTGCAGCTCATAACGCGCATGTGGTGATACGCCAGGCGCGTGGACTTGACTCTCCAGACTGTTCAGTCTTTCGGCCAATTCCTTGATATAGCCTTTGCTCGGCCCACGTTTCATGGGTTGTCGGCTGAAGGCGCACCTTGCATTCGTCCTGTTGCAGTTGGAGCAAGCCGTCTGTCCCGACTCGTCTATGGCATCGCATCGGATCTTCTTCCGCCTGCACTCGTCACATGCTCGGCTGACCTTTGTACGCTCTTTCTTAGAGGCTCCGGCGTCAGGTGAGTCGGTCATTTGCACGGGCCCGGGTCCTTGCTGTTGCTGCTGCTGTTGTTGTTGTTGTTGCTGGTGTTGCTGCTGCTGCATCATCGCTGGCGGCGGATATGGCGGCGGCACAGGCGCGTTATAACCAGGAAACCCACCCAGCGCGTTTCCAAGGCTCGCGCGTAATTGTGCATCGTCCTGCGCGCCATTGTTGCGCTCTTGCTCTAGAGCTGTCCGTGGAGCCTCCTCTTGCTGTCGCTCATCGCGTCCGTATTCATGTGACGCGTTGTTGTCCTGATAGAAAGGTAAGCCGCTCTGCTGTTGCGGTGGGGACGGGTATCGTTCTGGCAAGCCACCGGCTGGGTCCATATTGGCCATTCTGATTCGGTGGTGGTGGAAGTGGTTGGGAGGCTATTGCGTCGTATTCATCCGTGGCACGAAGTCGCTGCGTGGTCGCGTATGTGTATCGCGAGCGTCGTATGGACACAATGTAGCTTTTACTCTCGATGTATGCTGTGTAGTGAGTAGAAACAGGTAGATTTGGTGGGTGCTAGCTCGGCTTTCCATGTGAGCTGCCAAGGAAAACGCGCTAGTGAGAGGGAATACCTTAGCCATTGTGAATCGCCTTACCGTTCATCAATGCCTACATCCCAAGACCTAGGAGATGGATGCTCTGCTAGTCTGAAGCGTGGTCATGGTCAGATGGGAGGAGGTGATGTCGAGATTGATTGAGCTGTCGGTGAAGGGTTTGTCCGGGCAATGACCTCTGATGAGCGAGCATGAATCAATACTACTTCGCCAACATCGACTAAGTCGAGGCAAGACAGTCGCTGTCGTATTCCGCGGGCCTGATATCAACTGCGCTGGGGTATAGCACTTCGGCGTGCCTGATGGAGGGTGTGCAAGCACGGATTAATGGCCTTTCATCTTAAGTGCCGTCTATATTACACTTTCAATCGACACCACGCGCGAGTCCTCCACCTGCTCTAGTCATACAGATTGTGAATGTGTTGCCATAGCAGGCCACGATGACTATCGCCACATCCCTCACGACGCACCCGCAACAGCCCTCGCCTGTGGCTGCGTAGCTGGACCAAGCAACATCTGAATATCAGCCAACCGACTGGTCTTCGTCTTCTCCCTCTTCCCAGCCTTCTCACTGAACGCAAGCTGCATCAACTCCCTAACGAAGAGTTCACGAGTCAGCATTGTTCTTTCATGAACATCGAAAATAGACTTACCTCTTCTGGGCTTGCACGGCCAAAGTCTTCTTCTCAATCGTGCCTTCGACCACAAGACGCCATACTCTCGTCTCCTTGCGCTGCCCTAATCTATGTACACGGTCAACAGCTTGATCTTCGATGGCTGGAGCCCACCAGGTATCTGATAAGATGACCTGGTTGGCAGCGGTGAGGTTGAGGCCAACAGCGCAGACACCAAGAGAAGCGAGCATGACAGTGCAGTCATCGTCCTTCTCCAGGGCCTGAAGAGCAGCGTCACGCTTCTGAGCGGACATTGTTCCGTCGATGCGGCAGTATTTGTAGCCGTCACGGTTGAAACGGCTCTGAACGATATCTAAGAAGCGAGTCCACTGCATGTCTGTTAGCACATGATCGATCCCGCCAATGCTTACTGCCAGACTCACCTGCGAGAATATGATCGTCTTGTCGTGTTTGGCTTTCGTAGCACCAAGGATCTCTACCAGAGCTTCAAGCTTACTACTCGATTGAGTGAGATCCATCTCATCATCGGCCTCCTCGTCACCTTCGTGAGCAGGTGACACCAACACAGAGTCGTCCTTGAGATCGGCACGACACATAGGACACTTGTGCTGCGTCTCAATGGCCTTGCTGATACATTCCCGGCCGAAAAAATGGCCGCAAGTCGTGATGACAGGATCGTGCAAGATTTCCAAGCATACAGCGCAGTCTTCTTGCGATTCTATCTGCACCTGCAAGATGTCCTGCAATGCTTTCTGATTCTCGGGTGTCAAGTTAACAGTCTTCTGATCGTGCAGCTGGGCAAGGAGGCTTGTAACACGCTCGCCGCACAGTTGCCAGTGGTTGCAGCATTGACGCATTCTTAGCAAGATCTCCAGCAGATGGTTATAAGCTGAGCTGACATTCCCAGGCTTCTTTTTTTGAACGTCCTTGAGCAGACCTTGGGCTTCAGTCTCGAGCGCACTGTATCGCTCGCGTTCTTTTGGTGTGAACCGGACAGGGTGCATGAACTCTTCGAGCTGAGGGAGGCGAAGATCAATAAAAGCCATGTCCTTGCGACGGCGAAGAGTGAGGGCCTTCATGATAGCTTGCAGCAGGTACACAGCGCTTGGATCGCCACTCTTCAGTGGTCGAGTGAGAACACTGTTCCATACTGGCAACTGTTCTAAGCCACCAGTGACGCCAAGAAATCGTAGGGCACTGTAGAGATCTTTAAGTGAATTGACGATTGGTGTACCAGTCAAGACCCAGCGCGAACGTGAGGTGAGTGCTGTCACAGCAGCTGCACCCTTTGAGGCTGGATTTCGCACGATGTGGCCTTCGTCCAGAATGATGCGACGCCACTCCATGCTGTAGAGACCAGTAGACCTCAGCTGTTGCTCCGGCTGCTTGCTGCCACCGCTGCCTCGAGGCATATAGTCGCCAGCTAGGGTTTGGTAGGTTGTGATAACGACGTCGTACTGCTGGAAGTCCGCGGCCTTTATTTTGACGCGGCCAGAGCCGTGATAGGTATACACTTTCAGTGCTTGGTCCGCGCGGATGTGATGAGCGATTTGCCCACTCCAGTTGGACATGACTGACAGTGGCGCGACAACTAGAGTAGTGCCCCGGCCATTCTTCTCAGCATCAGCAATCAGCAAAGATATGACTTCTAGCGTTTTGCCTAAGTAAGTGATCAGTATTCGTGTATATTACAATTGAGATTGAGTCTATACCCACCCAAGCCCATATCATCTGCGAGGATACCACCGCTTATCAGGGTCGGCGCCGTTGCGGTGGGATGATTGGTAGCGATGTTGACAAAAGCATTTGCTTGACGGTCATGAGGCTTCCATAATTGCACAGAATCCTTGGAGCCTTGCTGTGGTAGCGTCGGATCTTCTTGGTCCAGCATCCACCGCAGTGCTTGCAGCTGGTACGGCAGCATATCTGTCTTAATCGCAGCTGGCTGTTGGGTCGTAGGCATATTCGCCAGCGCTTCCTCTTGCATACCGTATTGGTCGGTGGCGCCGCCCGCAGCACGAGGATTGAATCGTTGGGACACCTCCATGAGATCCTCCATGACGGGTTGACCACTTGGTCCAGCCATAGTCTGATTGGTGTACTGCGAGTTAGGGTTGAGAGAAACTTGAGCGCCACCTCTGCCACCGGCAGCAGCAGCACGTCGAGCTTCAACGAGACGCTTCTTCTCTTCCTTCTCCTTTTCCTTGCGCTGCCGTTCATGTTCCTTCTGCCATTCCTTCTCGCGTTTCTCAGCTTCCTGGAGTGCTCTAGTCGGTAGCTTATCAGCAGCCATCTTCGTTCGCAGATCAAGTCCAGCAGGGGAGTTGGGGTCAGGGCCTAGCAAATTGACCTCAAGTGGACAGTCGTAAGTACCAATGCTACCTGCAAGGCGACCGTCGATACACAGCCAGCCGCGATCCAGATACTTGGCCAGCTTCTCGGCAATGCGTTTCGGAATGTGGCCGATTTGCTGATGTGCAATGTTGTCGACGCGGATGGCATTCTTGTCGTATGGGTTGCCGGGTTCGCGAAGCAGCAATACATACTCGCCAGGGGAAGCCAGCCCGCGATAGTACTGCACGCCTACGATTTTGGTAGGGAGGTCTCCATAGCGGTGAAGCTCGTCATGATCCGCAGCATTTTGCGTCGAAGATACTATTTCATCGACATCCACTGTATCCTCGTCATCTGGAACAAGCCAGGCCTCACGCTCGGCCTGGTTATGCGCGTTGGAGATAGCGGAACTTGAATAAGGTTCATAGACAGACTGATGACCACTCGGAGTACTACTGCTGGGAATTTGCCCATTGATAAATGACGGCGTCCTGTTCGACGTAGCCGCATCAGACTGCTGAGCTGCTGGCTGGTTTCCAACGCGTCGCGAGTTGACTGCCGCAGCGCCTTTCTGGATCTTGGCTGGCGCTTCGTCCTCAGAGCTGTCGAGAGTCAAGTCGATAATACGCTTGCGCTTCTGATTTGTATTGGCGGTGTCCAATCTAGCATTGGCGTCTCGCTTCGACAGTGCCGTGGGTGCCATGATAGGCCCGTTACTAGAGAGTCTTGAAGAAGGAAGGCGTGTCAAACCGAACAGCTCACCTTTTCCCCACAATAATGCAGTAGCTAGCGCGAGACATTCACGACGACACGTGATCTGCGAGCTGTTGGTGGGCTTTCCTTATCAGTCCTTTGATAACCTTCACATGGTCCATGGACAGGCCAGAAGTGAGTTATGGTGAGGAGTCCAAAATGGTGAAGGTGTTCGTACATAGCGAGCATAATGGTATGGATAGCGTCTAAGCCGTTGACATCATCACTCGAAGGTTCACTATGCTGGGTACTTGTTGGTAAGAGCAGACCAGTCTCAACTTTTCCTTTTGTTCCCTCGATTCATAGTATCCCCAAAGAGAGACTGAGTCGCAATAATGCCCCGCAAGAAGAGCACAGTGAAAGCAACGGCGGATGGTCCAAAGCAGAAACCTGAGGTTAAAGAGGAAGCGAAGACCACGCCGAAGGACTACCCAAAGCAGGAGCAGGAGCAGGGTGCTGAGGACAAGCACGCAGGCCAGTCCGATTCCAAGGCCAAGGCAACAAATAAGCGCAAGAAGCAGGCCAGCAATGACGAACCACAAAAAGCAGCTCGTCGCTCAGGTCGTGGTGCACCAAAAGCCACACCTTCAAAGCTGCAGCTGCTGAAGTACATGTTATCGAAGGACGCCGAAGCACTATGTCGACCTGATGACGAAACGCAACATATGAAGACGCGAGGCAATATCAAAACATACTCTTCCAGTGTGATGAATCCATACGAAGAGCTGATGTGCGCGATTGTCCTATCACGACCTATCTCTCATCGACTAGGACTCCGAACAATACGCACCATTCTCAATGACCCGTACAACTTCACGTCTGCCCGCGCGACCAAAGATTCAGGCTCCGAAAAGCAGCATCAAGCACTCTGGGATGCGCGAACGCAGCACAAGGATAAGACAGCCGCACAGATTGGAGAACTCGCAGAAGTCGTTCTGCAAAAGTTCACAACTTCAAACGACAAGGAAGGCACAGAGATGCAAAAGGTCCGCGATGACTGTAATCGAGATGTCGACAAAGAGCGGCAGTATCTCAAGGACAACATCAAAGGGCTCGGTAATACAGGCCTCGATATCTTCTTTCGTCGTGTTCAGTGGTTGTGGGATGCTGGATATCCCTTTGTTGACAACAGAACCATGCAGAGCTTGCACAAGCTGGGTCTGCCAGACGAAGGCGAGGAGTTGCACGAACTCATAGTACAGCACTGGAGTGAGCTCGACACTAAGGTAGTCACTGGAAGTGATGAGGATATGAAGAAGCGCAGAGCTCTGGTGACGGTGTTGGAGAGAGCTACGGGCAGTGATCTGGAAGGGAAGCACGAGGCATTGCTTGCGGCAGCAGCAGCGTGATTCAGCATGGCTGATAGCCTTTGCCTGATATGGGAATGGTGGTAGACGAACTAGATCTATTGTTTTCATGCTTCAAGAGACTGGACGTGGCCTCTACTGCTCCGCGTAGAGCCGAATGCTGTCTACGAGCAGCCCTCGACTTCACGTAGACCTAGAAGATCCCTGCCTAGCTCAATCGAAAGGGACTAACCCAAGTTGCTTGTTATAAGTCACCTCGCACCTCGCATTCGTGTAGTGAATATTGTCGTCTGGTTGGCTTATAGGGTCACGCGTCGTGAACACCACGAACGCCGGGGTGTGATAAAGCCGATCTCCGTGCAACGCCTCCAATCGAGATCGACGGAGATCTAGACTTGGCAACGCCATCGCATCATTACGACATTTGTATGCAGAGGAGATGGTCGGACTATGATTAGGGCTGCTACAACCACACGTAGGCTCTAAAGCACGCGTGGCGCCCCAGTTCGAGCAACAGCCGTAGCCGGTACATTCTCTATCTGGTGAATATGTAGGGCAGGTGCTGCTGCAAACCTTGTGATCCCATAAAGTGCTCGAGTGAGCAGTATTCACGCCCGTGTCTGTATTTGAATCGTGCCTGGTCGCTGTGCTACTGGGGAGGACCATTCCGCAGCAGACATGGCTTCTGACGACAGGTCTACGCCGCTCGATAGCAACATACCTGGTGGCTGGCCAGCAACCCCATCTACACGACAGCAGTCATATTCAAGCTACATTGGCCGGCCGTCTGTCCCTTCGCGTCTTGCCAGCCATGTCGAGGAACAACGAAGGCCGCAGCCACTGACGCAAGACGTTGAAGTGGGTAAGCAAGAACATCACATCGTCGAGGATGAGACCGTGTCACAATCTTATGGAATTGCAAATGATGCACCCATCCTCGGTTATGGCGCGACGTCTTATAGGGACTCCACGGCAACTGGACTGAGCGATGACACGGCTGTAGCTTCTTCAATGTACCCTTCCTCCATGCCTTCGCCTCCGCCCGCGCAAGCTCATCCAACGGAAGAAGTGGAAGTGCTTCATCATGACTCCACCCCGAGTATCAAGGACGATGAGAAGCCACAACGGCCAACTCTGGAGACCACTCCCAGCAGACGTGCCATGACCGAGGACGATGTGAGGCGCCACCTTTCGCGCCGCAATACAAGTAAAAGTGGCGAGCTACTGAGCCGCGCTCAAACGCAGGACGATGTCGATGACATGGCGGAGATCAACAAGCTCATGTCTCGCATGTTCGGTCGAACTCGTCAGGAACACTCGGAGGAAGAGAAGACGAGGCATGTCGGAGTCGTCTTCAAAAATCTCACAGTCAAAGGCATGGGTCTTGGAGCTGCTCTGCAACCCACCTTCGGTGACGTCTTCCTTGGCTTGCCTCGCTTCTTTGGCAATTTGTTTACGAAGGGCCCGCGGAAAGCCGCAGGTAAACCACCTGTCAAGACCATCATTGACGACTTCTCCGGCTGCGTGCGTCCGGGTGAAATGTTATTGGTTTTAGGACGACCTGGTTCCGGATGCTCAACTTTCTTGAAGGTACTTGGTAATCAGCGATTCGGCTACGAGAGTGTGGATGGCGAGGTCGCCTACGGAGGAACAAACTGGCACGAGATGCTGAAGAAATACCGTGGGGAGGTACTTTACAATGGCGAAGATGACTTACATTATGCCACTATCTCTGTCAAGAACACACTGGAGTTCGCACTGAAGTGTAAGACACCGGGCAAGGAGAGCCGGAACGAAGAGGAGACCGCCAAGGAATATGTGGCCAGCTTCCTCAAGGCTTGCACATCCTTACTTTGGATTTCTCACACATTAGGTACCAAGGTGGGCAACGAGTACGTCAGGGGAGTAAGTGGTGGCGAAAAGAAGAGAGTCAGTATCGCTGAGGCCATGATCACTAAGGCCTCTACGCAAATGTGGGACAACAGCAGCCGTGGCTTGGATGCAAGTACCGCGTTGGAGTACGTCGAATCGCTCAGATCACTAACCAATATGGCCCACATATCCACAGGTGTCGCGCTCTATCAATGTGGAGAGGGCCTGTATGCATGCTTCGATAAGGTCATGCTCATCGACCAGGGCAGATGCGCATATTTTGGCCACACAGAAGATGCTGCCAGATATTTCGAAGATCTTGGATTCCAACGCCCGGATAGGTGGACCACAGCCGACTTTCTGACCTCTGTTACCGACAAGCACGAGAGGAGGATCAAGGAGGGCTGGGAGGACCGAGTCCCTCGTACCGCAGACGAATTTGGCGACCTCTTCGTTAAAAGCGAACAACACCAACGCAACTTGAAAGAGATCGAGGATTTCAAGCAGGAGGCTGAGCTTCAAGCTGAGGAACGCAAGAAGGCCCAGGGCAAGGCCACCAAGCGGAAGAATTACACCATACCTTTCTACAAGCAAGTGATTGCTTGCACTCACAGACAGTTCCTTGTCATGTTCGGTGACAGACAGTCGCTCGGAGGCAAATGGGGTGGCATTCTCTTCCAGGCGCTGATCGTGGGTTCGCTATTTTACAACCTGCCAGGTACTGCTCTTGGAGTTTTCCCGCGTGGAGGTGTGATCTTCTTCATGCTGCTTTTCAACGCTCTGTTGGCCTTGGCGGAGCTTACGGTAGGTCACTTGATGACCCTATCGACCAGAAGACGTTACTGATGTCGATGTAGGCTGCTTTTGAGTCCCGACCCATCCTTCTGAAGCATAAATCATACCAGTTCTATCGTCCTGCCGCATACGCTATCGCTCAAACAACGGTGGATGTGCCATTGGTCTTCGTTCAGGTCTTCATCTTCGACATCGTCGTGTACTTCATGGCTGGCCTCTCGCGCACTGCTTCACAATTCTTTATCAGCTTATTGTTCCTCTTTATGCTGACCATGACGATGTATGCACTGTTCCGAGCCGTGGGCGCGTTGGTGGGATCCTTGGATGACGCCACCAAGATCACAGGTGTGCTCATACAGGCACTCGGTAAGACTTGACCCAAATTTTGTAAGACGAACGGTTATGCTGACATGGTCTCTCTTAGTTGTGTACACCGGGTATCTCATTCCGCCTTCGAAGATGCACCCATGGTTCTCATGGATCCGATGGATCAACCCAGTAAGTTCTGTCTGTCTGGAATTGACTGAGATTTTCACTAATCAGTCCTCTTTTTCTGCAGGTCCAGTACGGCTTCGAAGCGCTGATGGCGAACGAGTTCGCAACACTGCAAATCCAGTGTGAGCCTCCATTCTTGGTTCCTTCTGGTCCAGGGTCGAGCGCGCAGCACCAAGGATGTACCCTGCAGGGCAGCGCTCCAGACAGCAGTGTTGTCAGTGGTGCAGCGTACATCGAAACTGCGTATACTTATTCAAGATCACACCTGTGGAGAAACTTTGGCTTCATATGCGCTTTCTTCGCTGCTTTCGTCTTCCTCACTGCCCTAGGCATGGAAATACAGAAGCCAAACAAAGGTGGTGGAGCCGTCACGATCTACAAGCGTGGCCAGGTGCCCAAGTCTGTTGAGAAAGCACTGGAGACTGGTGACAACTCTACTGATCTTGAAAAGACCAAGAGCGGGACTCACGATCCGACAGCCATTCAGGAAGCTGAGAAGAAGCAATCTGATTCTAGTGAATCAGAAGGCGATTCTGCCGTCGAAGGTGTGGCGAAGAATGATACCATCTTTACCTTCCAGAACGTGAACTACACTATCCCATATGAAGGTGGCGAGCGACAGCTGCTCCAAAACGTACAAGGGTTCGTACGTCCTGGCAAGCTCACAGCACTGATGGGTGCTTCCGGTGCTGGAAAGACGACACTTCTTAACACTGTCGCACAACGCATCAACTTCGGCGTTGTTAGTGGTGACTTCTTCGTCGACGGTCGTCCTTTACCAAGATCTTTCCAACGATCTACTGGCTTCGCAGAGCAGCAAGACGTCCACGAGCCTACCGCTACAGTGCGAGAGGCACTCCGATTCAGCGCCAAGCTTCGCCAGCCTCGTGAGGTACCTCTGCACGAGAAGTACGAATATGTGGAGACCATCTTGAAGTTACTGGAAATGCAGGATATCGCCGGTGCGACCATTGGCAAGATCGGTTCTGGTTTGAACCAAGAACAACGTAAGCGTTTGACTATAGGCGTCGAGCTGGCAAGTAAGCCAGAGCTTCTGATGTTTCTGGACGAGCCGACTTCTGGACTGGACTCTGGAGCAGCTTTCAATATTGTTCGCTTCCTGAGGAAACTCGCCGACGCTGGACAAGCAATCTTATGCACTATTCATCAACCGTCAGCTGTTCTATTCGAGGAGTTTGATGAGCTTATTCTGCTGAAGTCTGGAGGTCGTCTGGTCTACCAGGGAGAGCTCGGGCATGATTCCAGAAAGCTCATTGACTACTTTGAGGCTAATGGAGGCAAGAAGTGTCCGCCCACGACTAACCCTGTAAGCAAACTATGACGAAAGCTGATAGTACCAATTGACAACCTGCTAATTTCATACCTACAGGCTGAATATATGCTCGATGTGATCGGAGCTGGCAATCCTGAGTACAAGGGTCAAGACTGGGGTGATGTCTGGCAGGACTCTCGCGAGAACAACACTCTTGGTGAAGAAATTCAGAAGATCGCTGCTGACCGCCGAAACAATGTAGACGGCGGCGAGACGACGGACCAGCGAGAGTTTGCAATGCCACTCGGAACACAGGTCTACACTGTCGTCCACCGGAACTTCGTCGCCTACTGGCGCTCCAAGGATTATCTCCTCGGAAAGTTCGCACTACACATCATCACAGGTCTCTTCAACGCCTTTACTTTCTGGAACCTCGGCCATTCGCAGGTCGATATGCAATCGCGGCTGTTCAGTATCTTCATGACACTGACCATCAGTCCGCCACTGATCCAACAGCTTCAGCCAAAATACCTCGAGCTACGCCAGATCTACGAGTCTCGAGAACGGAATTCGAAGATCTACAGCTGGTTCGCCTTCACCTGTGCAGCTATCTTGCCTGAGCTGCCATGGAGTTTCTTGGCTGGTACCATCTACTGGTAAGCACACCTCAGTCTCTAAATCATGATATAGTGCAGTACTGACCAAGAGTGACAGGGCTGCGTGGTATTGGCCACCACACTTCAGCTACGACAGCTTCACAAGCGCTTCTGTCTGGCTCTTTGTGACCTTGTTCGAAGTGTTCTATGTATCCTGTAGGTCGTCATCTACGTCTCTGAGCATTTAGGGTACCTCTCAGCGTCTTGATGAAGAACCTGCGCTGACAGTCCTTCTCAAAACCTAGTCGGCCAAGCGATTGCATCTTTCGCACCCAACGAATTGCTCGCCAGCTTACTCGTACCGCTGTTCTTCCTTTTCGTGGTATCATTCTGTGGTGTCGTGGTCCCATACGCCAGCTTGCCATAGTAAGTTGATCTCGAGAACTGAGAGAAAGCGAATGCTGACGTCTCATAGCTTCTGGCGTGCATGGATGTATTGGCTTTCACCTTTCAAGTACTTGCTCGAAGGACTGCTTGGCTTGGTCACCCATGGCCAGGTCGTTCAGTGCGATGAGTCGGAGTTGGCACGTTTCAGTGCTCCCCCTGGACAGACTTGTCAGAGCTATGCCGGCCCGTACGTTGCTCAGGCTGGCGGCTACGTTACAACACTCGAGTCAGGCCTTTGTGGGGTCTGTCAGTACAGCAGTGGTGATGAGTTCGCTGCGAGCTTCAATGTCTATTACCGAGTAAGTTTATGTCTCCCACCTGTCGTGTGGGAACGATCTAGCTGACAGACTGCACAGTATGTGTGGCGAGACTACGGCATCTTTTGGGCATTCTGCATCTTCAACATCGTGGTGATCTTCTTCTGTTCATGGCTTTACTTGCAGGGTGGCAGGAAGGTAAAAGCCGCTCTGAGTCCGAAGGCTAGGAAAGAAAGGAAAGCCTCAAAGTCGAGACGGCAGGAAGCAGCTGGCGACAAGGCTTGAGCGGCATTTGTTGCAGAGGTAGGACATGCATCCCATTGTTGTGTACTATGGAGCCAAAGTACGGTACAGTAGCTCAAATGCAATACTGATCGTCCGGACGCGATGTATATGGGGGACTGCTGTCATTTACAATAGACTGTGCCGCTTGGCAACCAAACACGATTTCATCGACATCCGGAATAATGAGATTTTGACACGGCATCAGCTCGTCTGGTCGTGTTTACGCTAGAGCTCGACTCGTGCCTCGCTCGCGTATGAGGTGAAGTGACAGCCTCTCCCCGCAGCTGTGCCTGCAAAAGTGACGACATCACACCTAATGGATTCATCAAAGCCTAGGTATATTGCAAATCTTACTCCTATTTCCATTGCTCCGTCTGATAGTAACATATCTGCTCGTGTTGTCCAAGCCAGACAGGTGACGCGGGTCTAGGCTTTTCATTCTCCAAGACCAAGGAAAGAAGCCTGCCGGGAATACTCGGAGCCCACCTTGACATTTGGCAACCATAACCCCGAAGTTACCCGCAAACTACTCAAGTCGCCAATAGCGTGGCTCAGCTCCAGAGCTTTCGGAAGAGCCATTCTCCACTATCAGTTTGCCGAAGGGTCGCCCGCAAGAGGGTTTCATACTTCAGAGTACAAGAATGTCGGAGCATCCGCGTCCTACGATAACAAGAACCTATACACCAGGTTTGCCGGACGCCTCAAATCACTTCCTGAAGGAACAGATCTCGAAGCAGCAGAAGAACAACTTTCACTCTACATCCTTGACCAAATCTATTCCAATGGCCACCAGCAGCGTCAATAAAACGGCCTTACATCCTTCGGGAGTTAAGTTCGTCTACCTCATTGCCGTTGGCCTGCAAGCGTTATCATGCTAACACGAAGACAAGACCGCAAGCTGAACACACCGAGCTTGAAGAGGAGCTCCACGAGCGAGCACACATTGACTACGATCGCGTGGCCATCATCGCTAACCCTTCTGTGCCTGCGTTGTGTAAGTCGATCGCAACTTCGAAAAGGCTTCCCTTGTGCTAGCGACAACAGTCGACGGCTGCATGTCGCTTTGTGGGATCAGAAGTCAAGGTCACAATTGCTGACAGTCTTTTTCTTCTGACTATAGATGAGGATGCCCTTGTCTACGAAACAGGCTCAGCGATAACATCGTCTGGAGCCCTATCAGGTACGAATGCCACTCCCGCTCGCGGCCTTGCATCTTGGCTGGAAGATTTGCTAACGTATGCACCCGTTGACGCTCAGCATACTCTGGCGCCAAGACTGGACGATCGCCTTCAGACAAGAGAATTGTTAAAGAACCGGATAGTGAGAAAGAGGTATGGTGGGGCCCGGTCAACAAGCCAATGTCAACAGATGTGAGTAGATCATCGTTATGAGGCTGCCAGACCTAGCCATCGTGCTCGAAAAACATCTTGATGCACAAACGCGTCTTTGGTGGGGTGCATACACGCACGTCATGCGGGGCAGATAGAAGTCTCGGCTCGGATTTGGTACCGACGCTTCGGCTCTAGTCGGCTCTACGGAAGTTTTGTCTATAATGCATCAGAGCATTCACTGACAGCATCTTTACCTCAGGTTTGGCGCATCAACCGCGAACGTGCTGTCGACTACCTCAACACACGAAACCGCATCTACGTCGTCGATGGGTTCGCAGGATGGGACGAGCGTTACAGGATCAACGTACGAGTTGTCTGCGCTCGTGCCTACCATGCCCTCTTCATGCGGAATATGCTTATTCGACCATCGCGAAAAGAGCTTGAGCACTTCCATCCCGATTATGTGATCTACAATGCCGGTGCCTTCCCGGCCAACAGGTTCACCACTGGTATGACTTCGTCGACTTCAGTGGCTATCAATTTTGCCGAGAAGGAGATGGTCATCCTTGGTACCGAGTACGCTGGAGAGATGAAAAAGGTATGCAGTCAGTCAAGTGTCGTCTCACTTTGATTACTGACACATTACTTAGGGTAAGCGATTACTTTTCTTTGCGTGTATTGTTGATCTGTAGATTTTGTCAATGTTCCGACGCGATCCAAGTACTCCTTTCTTCTGGAACTGGAAGCAACCTCCATCCGTCTGGAAATGGATGTCAGGCCGAACACCATAACCCGACTCTAAACGCCACGCCATCTTGTCGTCAGTCGAGATACGGTGAATCACGGCCAAGAACAACGGCTTCGGAAGGGCATATCATAAGCAACAATGTACGGATGCCACTCCATATCTCCAAGCAGCTCAAGGCAAAGCCAACAAGATGACACAGCCCGGGACTCCGCAGCTGCCACGCGAGGCTCGTGAGAAAATAACCTTGCACGGCGACGTGCGCCACCACGCCGGCGGTGATGCTGGCAAGCTTAAGGACCACAAGGACACCAAACAGCACAAGTGCCGGATCCAGAAAAGTTCAGATATTTAATTTTACTACCTATACTAACAATCAACCAGGTATCTTCACCGTGCTCTTCTACGAGATGCCCGTTAAGCACAATGTGTTGACTTTACACTCTTCCGCGAATGAGGGTCAAAATGGCGATGTGACCGTGTTCTTCGGTCTCTCAGGCACAGGCAAGACCACACTTTCAGCCGATCCCAAGCGTGCACTTATCGGTGACGACGAGCACTGCTGGAGCGACAAAGGTGTCTTCAACATCGAAGGCGGATGCTACGCCAAAACCATTGGCTTGTCGGCCGAGAAGGAACCTGATATCTTCGGCGCTATCAAGTTTGGTTCCATTCTCGAGAATGTGGTTTTCGACCCAACAACCCGTGATGTCGATTACGACGACTCTACCCTTACTGAGAACACACGCTGCGCATACCCTATCGAGTACATCGAGAATACCAAGATTCCTTGCGTATCGACCAATCACCCGTCGAATATCATCCTACTTACTTGCGACGCTCGTGGTGTCCTACCACCTATCTCAAAACTCAACAGCGCACAAACCATGTTCCACTTCATCAGCGGTTACACCTCGAAAATGGCAGGTACCGAGCAGGGTGTCACCGAACCACAGGCCACTTTCTCGTCATGCTTCGCCCAGCCCTTCCTGGCACTGCACCCAATGCGCTATGCCAAGATGTTAGCCGAGAAGATCGAGCATCACAAGGCTAATGCCTGGTTACTCAACACCGGCTGGGTTGGTGCGGGCGCTACCACTGGTAAGCTCGAACAAAGTTTGTACACAGACCAGAAGCTAAGAAATATCAATAGGTGGCAAGCGCTGCCCACTCAAGTACACCCGCGCTATCCTCGACTCTATCCACGCCGGCGAGCTCGCAAACGTGGAGTACGAGACCTACGATGTCTTCAACCTCAGCGTGCCGAAGACGTGCGTCGGTGTACCCGACGAGCTGCTCAACCCCAAGAAGAGCTGGACCGGCACCGCCGACTTCAAGGATGAGGTAACGAAGCTGGGCGAACTGTTCAACGAGGTAGGTTTTATTATGTGAATAGCTGCGTCACTTTCAACCACTGACATTCTGCAGAACTTCAAGAAATATGCGGACGAGGCCACGAAGGAGGTCATCGAGGCGGGTCCAGCGACTGCGTCGAAGGCCGAGACCTCATAGATACAGGAATATTGTGCAAGCGACCGTAACGCAAATTCTTCAATATACCACTGGGCGTTCAATAGTCTTGCAAAGTCTGCGTGTACAAACACTACAGCCAGTCATACCTGTGACAATTGATCTTTCTTAGTCTACTTTAGGGGCAACGGATTACCAGATTCCAACCTCCCAGGCGTCGTCCTCGCCATCGTCGCCGGAGTCCTACTCGGCGTACCAGGCGCACTCGACCTCGGCGTCTCTGGTCCCATCGGTAAACGTCTTCCATCCTTCTCCATCGAAGCCGGGACTTGGAAGCCCAGCGGTCTCCCTTTCCGCCATATGTCATCTATCACATCTTCAAGCATATCCTCGCCCACGTATTCCAGGTATTTCCTCCACAGTTTGTAAGCCGTGCGTGCGTCTTCTATGCTGTCGTGACCTGCTATGGCGTTCTGCTGTATGTCCTCGTGTAGCAGCAGCCAGGCTAGGAAGCGTAGGGACAGCTTGCGCTGGCTGCGGTAGCCTAAGGAGAAGAGGTCTTGAGTGTCTATGACTTGTTCTTCAGGAACGTGAATATTGATCGTGCGGAAGTCGCTCGTCAGGCCGTGCCCGATGAATGTGCAGCCCAAGTTCAGCAGGACCCAGAGCTTCTTGTAGACTTCTTTCAATGGTACCAAGGTGTACTGGCTGACGCCGGCTGTCAGGTCGCCAGCATGTAGGCCGGAGTATTGCGTGAGGTAGTCATCTACCGGCTCCTCGACGGCGATGTAGTCGTCCACGAACGGCACTCCTGCGTTCGGCTCATTCCCACGGAGGACTGAAACTCTAGCTAAACCGGAGCGAGCCGGTCGCGTAATCGTGCGTGATCCATCCGCACCCATATCTATCTCCTCTCGCAACAAGCGGACGAATTCTGCATCAATAGCACAATGTGTTTGTACTCCAGGCAGTGGATCGGCATCCGACAACGTCTTGAACTCGTATGACGGGTCGAAAGCCGGCTGCGCAAGACTGCGGTATAAGATACTCTTGTCGATACTGCCCTTCCAAAGGTTATCGATTTCGTGCGATCGGTGTTTCGTCTGATATGCGAGGACAGAGGGTAGTTTCCATCGGGGGTCGAAGACGAGCGCTTCTTCCTGCGCGATTGGTCGGACGAGAAAGTCGTTGACTAGATGCCAGTCCCCTGTGCGAGAAGGATCTGGGCTACTTATACCAGCATCCACGATCGACACAAGATGCGGCTTTTGCGCTTCGCCTGCAGCCACATCTGCGACGAAGCCGACAAGCTCGTATACTGTTATGGGATGGTTGCGGCGTTGTAGATGATGCTGCAGATCCGGACCCTCATAGCAGTAGAACTGGCTGTTCGCATTGATAATGCCGACCTCTTGAGGCAGGAATCCTGGTGTTGCCCACAGTTGGCGTGCTTCTGGCGTATGGATAGCAGCATTGATCATCAGCACTGCCGGCATAGCATGCACCACCCTTCGAGACGTGATGGCCTTGTAGCCCTGACAGCGATTGCAATATCCTCGTTGCTGATCATAACGGTGAACAGAGTCTTGCAATAGCCGTGTAAAGGCATATCTCACTGGGCGTGGGCTGTGCTTGGTCGGCTTTGGTGGGTACATCAAGTCATGGCTGTACCATGACTGTTCCTTCGCGTCTTCGTACCCACAGTGTGTGCAGCGACTGAATGCGCTACCTCTTGTGCCAAGCGCTGCTTGCAATTCACTGGTACTGAACGTGACCTTGCGGACGCAGTCTTCGAGCCGTTCAAGCAAGAACCGATTCAAGTTCTGTAACATGATGGTCAGAGGCGTATTTATGGTATGGTCCTCGAGAATAGCCAAAGTAGCAGCACCCGGCTGCTTGCTGAGCGCTTTGAGCAGATTTGTAGCTTGGCAATTCTGCCCTTCGGCCTTCTCCAGCATGTCGATCAAGAAGCCAAGTTCACATAGTAGGCAGCTTTCGTATCTACAATCTTTTGCTGTATGTCGGAGAGCAAGATTTCGCACTGTGCTGGTGAAGCGGAACAGCTGCAGCAGCGGGTTTGCGTAAGAATTGACGATGTGCGTCTCGAGTCCAGAATACTTGGTCTTGTTGAAGTACCGGAAGTCGAAATCGTCAACTCCAAATTTACTGTACTTGATCTCCACTGGACGATAGTAAGCAAGCATATCTGCTTTCGAGCTTCCATTCATCGACAGGTTACTAAGCACTTTGCCTATATCCTCGCTCAAACGTCGCTCTGGCTCGCCATCACCATTATCACCCCTCGGCTTTTCGCTCAAGAACCTGGGTGCTGCCAACGCATCCTGGACTCTTTGCGAGGCACGCGTGTCTTCGACTTCGTATCTTTTCGTCTTTCGTGGGTTCGGCCCCACCATCCCATAATCGCTCTTCCGAAGCGCCGTGAGTATCGCTTGATCAAGCCGCACAGGAGGCGCTCCAACTTCATGGACCAGACTGTTAGGCCATCCAGAGAGAAGGGCCTCTCGATAGTACGGCATGCCGATGAGATTGGAGGGTAGATCGGCTGCCCAGTCAAGATGTTTCGATTGCATGACGGGATCCGGAAACTCTGTTGGCCGACTGTACTCTGTGTACTGTACTTTGGACTGCGAGCCCCACAGCACGATTTGACAGTGAGTATCGCTCATAGCGAAGCCCTTGCCAGAAGGCATGATTTGTAACCCAGTCAATTGTGCTTCGAAAGTATTGGCGAAGCGCATAACAGGTACGTCCTGATTTAAAACATCGATCGAGTTGATAGCGCCATGCTCAGAGAGTACTATACAGGTGGAAGACAACTTCGGATGCATTCGAACATATGCCGCTCCCTGTTGAAATGAGATAGGTGCCGCTGGTCGCAAACGCTTGAGATCAAATACACGAACTAGTCGCTCGAGCCCGAGACCACCGTACTGTTGATGTGCCCAGCCGCAGGTCAATAGATGGTCACCTCTAGCATCCATATCGTTGACCGTACCAGCGTAAGCTTGCCACTTTTGGACGACTGCCAGAGTATTAGGATCCAGTAAGTGAATAGAGCCATCGTGAGATGCAGCACAGATGTAGTTATTCGCTCTTCGCATCATCGTATAGGGTACCATGGCAGCCGGTTTCATGGTTTCAGTGACAGTCCCCTTCTCCACGTCGATCCGGTACATCTGCTGCTGACAGCCGGCCACAACAATCTCACTGGTAGAAGAGAGCTTTCCCGTGAAGCTCATACACCGCAAGTCCACCATGTCCGGGAGTACTATGTGCCATTGCGCCAAGCCTCGTCTGGCCGAGCAATGAACACTTCGGGTTGACAGCGAGATGACACCTTTGTCGTAAAGCAAGAATTGCTTGACCGGAGCATTCCCAGGCGCACCGCGCGGCGATGAACTGATATGTGCTCGCCAGGAAGTATACCTTTGCAATTCAAGGCCGTAGAAGGACGTGACCCGGCCCTGGCCATATTGTGAGCCATATTGCTCATAGTTCCCATCTCACCATTATTCCAGCCGTACGTACTTCCAAACAGTGAAAGAATTGAGTTACAGACTTACATATTCGTTCCCTGTCCACAACAATTCCTGGTCAGTGTCGAAGGCAAAGGTAGTGACTGGGCTTGATGGGCTGTTTGGCGAAGGGCCTGGAGGATTGATGCGAGCGATTTCATTCCAATCAGCCTCCATGACATCTAATAATACGCCGAAGCAGCATGTCTGATATGAATCGAGCCTAGACAAGCAGAACAGAGGGAATTAATGTTAGCACATCTTTAGACCCTTGAGGTTGAGAGAAGACGCATTTGCGCGCACCTGAGGAAGTGGCTTAGGCTCAGGCAAGACGGAAAACTTCCGCTCTTGAGTTGATGTCACGTGGCTACATCTATGAGCAATTGGCCTTAACCCCGCCAGCCAATCTAGCAAGCGATTGATGATTGCTATTCGTCTACACAATCACACGACTTGACCATGCAAAACCTACGAATAGCAAATTCGTTGTCATTGACACGAAACATCTACCATGTCGACTTCGCGCCGTGAACGTGAGCCAACAGCTGGACCAGACGCTGGACCACAGCCACCATATCCCCTACGATTAGACGGGAAAGTGATCAAAGGGTTTGGGAGAGGGAGCAGCGAGGTAAGTCTGACACCTGACACATGGTTTGCTCTGTTGGAAAGGATATACGGAACGACGCAAGCAAGGGGATGTACCAACATGCGGCTTCCCGCTGTCAAAGCAGCTCCTGCATCGCACCGCATACGAAACGTGTTCGTGACAACATCAACAGAGATTCCGGTACCATGGAACAGCAGCACACCCTCAGCCTCGGGGGCTGCAAGGCATGGCCCTGTTTGCTGATTGTCAGCCCTCGTACACCAGTGATATCCGAGCAACCTCGTATTCCGTCCGCAATCCGATGACCACGAGTCGCGACGAAAACGCACAATCAAGCACGCAGCTGACACGACAACTCTGTTCATAGCTCGGCATCCCAACCGCAAACATCCCCATCTCCGGCCTCTCTGTTGGAGGCCACTCAGACGTCGAGTCGGGAGTCTACTACGGCTGGGCCGGCCTCTCACCTAGCGAGACTCTGACACGGAGTCCGCCGCACGAGCGATCGAGGTACACGCACTTGCCGACCTCGCTACACGAACCTCTGCTCCACGTCTCAGGGTCCAAAGCTGCAATAACAGAAAGCGGAGCAGTCTATCCCATGGTTATGTCCATAGGCTGGAACCCATACTATAAGAATACCGTCCGGAGTGTAGAAGTCCATGTGATGCACGATTTCGCTCAGGACTTCTACGGGAGTCATATGAATCTTGCTATCTTGGGTTACATTCGACCAGAGCTGGATTATGTGAGCAAGGAGAAATTGATTGAGGATATTGTGACGGATATTGAGGTTGCGGGACGGAGTCTTGCCAGGGACAAGTATATGGAGTTTCGAAACGATCCATACCTGCTGCAATTCGAGGGCAAGGGAGAAGTTGGCAGCTGAGATCAAATAAGAAGAAGATATTGGATTCGTGCTGCTATCCAGTCCTTATAGACCATCGACCGTTAGACGAGAATACCACGAGTCGCCATTCTTCAAGCACCGCCTTCCCGCTTAGCGTACTCATCCTCCATACGCTCTTCATACTTCTTATCGCGCTCTGCTTGCTTCCCGTCGCTGGGATCCTTGACCTGTTGTTGCTGTTGCTGAGTGGAATTGTCAATACCAGGCGGTAGCTCACGGCCCTGCTTGTCGTAACGATGAGTCTCCCTGACTTCTGGCTCTCTGAGATCTTGAGTAGTCTTAGTTTCTGTTCTACCAGAGTCATCAGTTTGGCGTTCTTTTGTTATTGACTTTCCGGTCCTTTGGCCATCGGCTGTTGAATCACTGGTCGAGTAGCTGATTGACATCGAGGACTTAGAGAATTTGGAGGACTTCGAGAATTTGGAGGAGCTGGAGAACTTGGAAGGCCTGGAGAACTTGGAGGACTTGGAGGACTCGGACTGGGACATGTTGCTGGTTTCCTCTTGCCAAATGCGTCGAGAGGTTGCTGGGCGGTACCTTTGCTTCCCAAGCTTGGTTTCATACATTCACATTTCACATGTTCGACATACGTCACTGTGGCGCTGGGCTGTGGCTATGCTTGACATGTGCCATTCACTGCATCAGCGACCCCGCCGTCGATCTCGTACTTGGCTTGGAGGACTTGAGAGGACTATTTACTTTAGTAGAAAAGTTTCTTAGCTATTGGAAGACGTGGTTATATGTAGTTACAAACAATGACATAGAGATACACTACGGAGACACATTGCATTGACACCATGAACGAATCAATGTGGGCTCCCAAGCTTGCAGAAGAGACACAAGAAGACAAGAACGAATCACGACCAACGACTTCTCTCTCAGCACACGCTCCTAGCTTCTCGCCCGCACCGCCGCCACCTGATGTCTCTACCGACGATGCTTTTGGCCAGACGGGAGCTGCTCAAGATGACTTGTTCGACGACATTGTGCCGGTAGACGAGTCGATGCGAATACGGTCCGAAGATGATCTGTTCAGTGACGACTTCACTCCAGCTCCCCAGCCAGTAGTCGAGCAAGCACCTACACCAGCGAGTAGAGGGAGAGGGGATGGTCAAAGAGCGAGGGGGGATCGAGGGCGAGGAGGGCGTGGGAGAGGCCGAGGTGGAAATTCTGCTCCTGCTCGGACAGTGTCGAATGGAGCTGCCGCAGCACAACCGGCCGCTCCAACACAAACCATCGAGCAGCAGTCTCAACCAGAGTCGACGCCACCAGCCAATGCACCTACCGGGCCACGCGAACAACAACAACAAGAACCCAAGCCCACACCTGCTGTCCGCGGCTCCCGCCATGCAACCGGCGGTTCCCACAAACCCAAACTCACCGAAGCCGAACTCACGGAGAAAATGGCAAAGATCAACCTCAACAACGCCAATCGAGCAGCAGCTCACGAACGTGCCGAGGCGGACGCCGCATCCTTCGCCGAGCGAGAAGCAGCTGCCAAACAACAAGCGGTTGAAAAGGCGAAAGTGGAATCGAACGAGAAGAGGCAGCTAGCTACGGAGAGGGAGAAGAACCGGATTAGGAAGCTGAAAGCGCAGGGTGGGAGGGAATGGGATGAGCACAAGGAGGGAGGGGACTTTGAGAAGGGTGGACGGTTTGATGGGAAAGGGTTTGGGAGGGATCAGGAGGGGTGGAGTGATGGGAGGGAGTACTTGTTGAGAGATGAGCCGGTGAGAGGTGGTGGCAGAGGGAGGGGTGGTCGGGCTGGAGGGCAGGAGCGTGCGCCGATGAGGGAGGACTTCCCTGCTTTGCCTGATAGCGGTGTTGCGCAACCGCGGCGGGAAGACAAAGATGTCGTGGGCGGTGCGCAGGCTGCGCCCCCGGAACCTAACTTGTCGAGCTCGACCGCAAAGGATGTCCGATCTTGGGCCGATCAGGTGGAAAGTGCAAACGCTAACGCTTAGGATGTACATGATGTATGAGAACACGCACACTCACACCTCCATTCTACCATCCAAAATCATCAATGGGATCATCAAGATCCTCACTGCGTGATATCCGCGTCACGAGACTCGATGGCGAGGTATGTCCTTTAATTCCCGCATTAGCATCAAGACGACATGTCGAAATTTTAGCACTGACATGGCATAGATTCGTGTCAGTAGCTCTACATGATACGCCATGCGATATGGCGACAGCTCGTAGGACGGTGGAAGTTAGAAGGCTCTTCTGCTTCGCCAATGCTTCAATGATCGTGGCAGGGACTTTGCGATACTGACAACAGCGACATCACGGTTTCGCAGCAGAGATGGCAGTCAGAGCGCGAGGGCAAGGAAGGTAGCGGGCAACGGTATCATCGCATCATTTCACTTATCGTAGCTGAAGAATAACCCCCACATCAAATAACACCAGCATTGCTGCCTCGCCGTGAAGCGCAACGTATATAGCCACTCCACACGCCTTAAGCCACAGGGCTCTGCTGGCGACTGCTTGACACTTTGCAAAAGCGTATTTCGGACCCGCCGGTATGTCGGGTGTCGAGCATGCAAGCCACCAATGCTTTGTAGATAAAGCTCGTGATCCTGCCCTCTGGGCTTCTGGTGCGGCGGAAGCTGTGCTCCATCGTGGGCGTCTATATGACAGGCAAGAACTACGACCAAGTCAGCCACAGGCTCGTCACACACGATTATATAGATCATCACTCACATTCATCACAATCAACATTGGGATATCAAAGACATCCCTCTTGACAGTCCAGCACATCGAACATTCCACCATACCATTCTTCAGACCCAGCTGCCTCGACCCAGCCTCCCCACGCATCAAAGACTCGGGCTTCGCATCCTCCATCTTCTTGACACGCGTGCCGTCTTCCGCGACCACACCACTGTCGTCAGGACCCCAGCCAGGATCCTCCTTAGTCCTGTACTTCAGCAACGAGCAAGCGGCGCCAATAATAGCCGTATTCGACGCGCCGAAAGCCAGCTCGGCGAAGTCCTCGTAGAATTGAACCACGCTGTCCTCATCCATCAATTCTGCCAAGAAGACGGCTTGAGGACGGCCTGGATCCGGCGCCTGGTTCGGCACGCGTGGTGTAGCGGCTCCCCTAGAACTAGTACCCGTTTGCGTGCCGGAGGCGTTGTTGCCCGTGCTGCCGCCAGTGTTGACGTTGAGGTTTGCTTCTTTGCCGAGCAGGACGTCTCGTTTCCAGCCGGTGATGAGGGAAAATTCCTTGCTTACTGCTGCTATTTCACCAGTACGTCGGCAGATGATTGTGGGGGTGCCATAGTGATTGACGAAGTCCTCGTACTCGCACAACGTCCGCTGGAAACACTTCTCCATGAAGATGAGGTCGTCGTGGTTGAGGTGCTGATTGCAGGAGATGAAGGAAGGGCGGATCTCTGCTAGTGCCTTGGCTATGCGCAGCACCTTTTTGGTGTGGAAGCGCTTCTCAAGGAATTTGGTCAGGGCGTGGAAACCTGCAGTGTAGGAGTATGGTGCTGTGACAGCATTGTATATTTCAGCGGTATCGCGGCGGCGTTTCCGGAACATAGGATCAGTGCCCGCAGTCCCAGTAGGGAACACGCCTTGTTTGCGCTGTTGTTGTGCGGCTTGGGAGATGCTTTGCCGAAGATATTCTTGCGTATTAGTCTGCTCAGATTGAACGTACTGAGTTTCCGGCGATGTGCTGTAGCCTTGGGAGTGAGGACTCTGGCCGATAGAGCCTTGCTCTCCTATCGCAAAGGCGTCGGCGTTACCAGAATTGTTCCAGAAATTTGTGGCGCTACTCTGTCTCGAGCCAGCATTAGGTACGGTCTGCCACGACGGGAAGGTCTGGGTGTAACCGAATTTATTTGGGAAGCCTGCAGAGGCGTCGTAGGAGACGCTACCTTGTTGTGTCTGTCCCATAGGATTCATGATGTCGACTTCTGGTGTGCCGACTGCACCCGACATGTGTCCAAGCATCCCAAATTCCAGAGCACCGTAGTGATTGCCAAAGTTCAGGTCTGATATGTTGAAGTTGAACATGGACGTATCATTGGGGTCGAAGAATGCGGAGTCGAATGAGCCTGAGCCCATGTTCAAGGTATTGCTTGAGTCAACATTGCTGGTGAGATCCTGGACGGGTGATGTTTGCTGGCTTGGTGTTGATTGATACTGTGTAGGTGTTTCGACAGTAGGCTGGGCTGCGAACTCGTTGACCATGTTGTGATTGTCTGGTAATGACGGCCCCATTTGTGCTGACTGGGAGACATGAGGATACTGTTGGTAGTTCTGAGCTGGTTGTTGGAAGTATGCCGGCTGGCTAACAGGCATTCCATTGTCGACCAGCGCACCTGGGACCGTGGGCATCTGAGAGCCATGGACGTGGTAATTACCGGCGAAACCTGGTACGAGTACTTCTGGTGGTGCATCGTGAAGATATTTGGCCTTCTTTCTCACACCATCGTGGCACTGATCTTGTAGACCACGCTTAATACATCGTCCACATGGTCGTTCATCTCCTACAATTCAGTCAGCCCACTGCCAGACTTCACTTGAGCCATTGGTGGCGTCAGCCGCATGTTTCATACCGCAAGTCAAATGAGCTCGTTGGCATGCAAAGCATGCACGTCTCGCCTTCTTTCGCCGAGGCCGTCCTGGGTCCTTTGCGTTAGGCTTCGAAGACTGCCCTGTCCCATTATTGCCCTCAGAAGGAGACTTCTCCTCATCACTAGAAGCACGTTCGATCTTTTCTTCAGCCATCATACCTGACTCGTCCAAATCACCAATGTCAGGATCTGGAGAATGGAACCCATCTTCGGCGTCGTCGGGCGACATATCAACTGTCCCGCGGTTTCGCAGAGTCGACGATAGGGCGGTCCTGAGGCACAAGGGGCGGATCCCAGCGCACAGGCCGTCGGACTCGAGCGACCCACTTTGCTACTGCAGTGTGGCTGCACGTAGCCGTTCAATACTGTGCGCTGCTCGATTACTCGATAGGGCACGCACCCGCCACACTGGAATAGCAGCGTGGAACCAACGGCTTGGCGAGGCTGCGTGGGAGTCTCTGAAGCAAAGAGAAACGCTCTGATTGGCGTGGCCGCACGTTGCAAAGGCGATGTCGTGCCACGACTACTCAGCTGAGCGATTTGTCCGCTGGACCAGTACCTGAGACACTTTCTGCAACAGCTTCGTCTCTTGTGTGTCCTCTCACTCGCTAAGCCCGGCCGCCGCTGTGCGTGCGACTGCCTCCCGTACAACGTCCGCCGCGCCAATGGATAGCTGTAGCGTACACAGACGGGTCGATCGGAGAAAGAAGTCTGGGACGCTTAGGTTGTGCGCTATGCGATGGCGCATGCGATTGGGACATTGGAGGCTCCAGCAGATGCAGGCCTTGTGAAACACTCGCTAGATAGCATGCCACTGCGCCGGAGGCGACTCGCACGTTTTCTTCCCAGCGATGAGGCACCTGACGCCTTGCACTCGCTGGGGCCGAAAGTGTGGTGCAAGCTGCACAGGAGATATGTCGTGGGACCGCACTCGTATTGTGTGCGCGACGAGCCGCAGGCTGGAGTGGGCGAGCTCTGTAGGCACTATATGCCAGACTGCTAGTATAGTATTCGTGCTTATAGCTCTGCAACCCAAGCCAGTGAAGATCTCCGCTCTAAATCTGGAGTTGGTGGATGGGACGCACGTTTGCTCTCCCCGCCGCCAACTACGGCCCGACGCCGCAGCGGCATCTCCCCTTAGACCAAGCCACCGACCCAACTGGCTGGTCGTCTACTTCTGTTTCGAGCTGACTGCTGACTTCCATCCTCAATTCTGATGGTGAACGTAACACCAATTTCCGCATCTATCGCCCGAAGTGGCGAGTCACAGCGATCGAAGCTGTCTGCCACGTTTTTGCCATGGCGGCAGCCGCTGTCAAACCTTCACCGCTCTCATGGAATCACACGACGCCGAGGCAAGGGCTGCGCCACGCGCGCGATCTATTGGATTCCTGGGACGTCGCACAGAGATCAAGTGCATTACCTGTGCATTGCATGCAAGCTTTTATATTGAGGTTGCGAAGCTGCAGGCACAGACGACCAACAAGTGACATGGATCGTAAAGTTGGCATCGATGGGTCGATACTGGTATCACGACTATTCCTGGGCTTCCTATTCTAGCTACAACAGCGATCAGGATTGCGCGAAACGGCTGCGTCCTCTCAGACGTTTGCCGAATCTGAAGAATAGGTACGCTGTACGACTGGATCAGTGACGCGTACTCGAAGATTCGTGTAACTCAGGACTCACGAAAAGGTGTCATTGCAAGGGCAATAAAGGCCAGGGTGCTGCTCGCCCACTGATATCCTAGATCTTCGATATTGTTACTCCACAGTCCCGTCCCGTTAGGGGACACAATAAACTTACTGTTGAACATCTGCACGCCGAAGAGTCTGTACCTTTGGATTAGCAGAAAGAGGTAAGTCCTCCGTGTAGCAGCTGCACATACGGAAATGCTGCTGCAAAGCTAGATCTTGCAAAGCTGTTCGCTGCCAGGGCACTTGCTGCGTATAGTGGATCTATAAGCAGCATCAGCATGTCCGAACCAGGCAACAGCTGTGGTGATGTGCCGGCAGCGGTTCCAGCGGCAACACTTACAACATTCGACAAGGAACGTCTTGAAGAGTCTATCAGCACGTGCGTAGTCGCAATACGAAGCGAAGGGTTCATGAGAACTCACGAATATGCCGCCGAAGCAGAAGATGTTACCCAAGCCGAACAGTGCGCTAAAGATGATGGGCACTACCGCCGTTGTCAGTTGCCACGAACAGAGAACTCGCAAAGAAATGCTCCAAATCAGAACCAACCTATCCAATGGACCCTGCATGAGAAGATGCGGTCAGCAATCTGCTCGCACGAGTACCAAACTTCTGATTTCAGGTACACGATCATGTGCATATCATTTACCATGGAAAAGTAGACCACCCGAAACCTGCGGCACGACATCAGTAAATCATGATCGACAGAATCCCAACACATTCCGTGCTCGAGGCAATCTATCGTGCACTCACCGAACAGAGATACTGGCACGATCAAAGCTCCCCTGTTGCATGCAGGTCAGCACCTCTTCTTCTCGAACGATGGACTCCACCCTGATCATGGCCGTGGCCATAAACAGTGATTCAAACAACTCACAGGATCGTGGGAGGCAGACGGAACTCGGGCTCTGACACTCCGTTGTTGTTTCGTACAAGCCTGACATCTACAGCCTTGTCGTCAGCATGTGCCGCGCCCCCGTTGTAACCCATAAGCAATGGGCTCGTCCTACAGTTTCGTCTCCAGATAGGATCGCAGCTGACACCAATCACCATCCCCACGAAGATACCCAGAAAGGTGAGACCCGTCTGCCACTGGTTGAAGTGGTGGTTGTTTTCGAATACGACGGCGAAAGCCTAGCCACAGTGTTAGCACGTAGTCTAGAGTATGTCGTGACGGCTTGTGCTCAGCACGCCACGCTTTGTGCTTGTACTCACTCCGAAAAACAGGTATAGGATACCGAGCAAGATAGCGGAAAGCAGGCACAGATTTAGCACCATCTGCTCGAAGAATAGTAGCTGGAAAGGCCTAATGCAGCTCCAGAGCACTGTTTTGGCAACAGACTTGTTCATCTTTTCGATTGGCGCCTGCCATCGTTCGTCTCCCGTCTCCTTCCGCAGCTGGACTGCTTTACGTCTTAGCAGCACCGGTGCGTATGTCTCTGGCACGAAGATAAGGATCAGCACCCATTGAACGCCCGCCCATATGACCAGTACCCAGAAACTCCAGCGCCAGTTTGCGAACTGGTTGATGAAGCCGCCTATCAATGGTCCCACCTCTGGTCCGACAAACGGAGAAGCGGTATAGATCATCATGGGCGCCGACAGCTTCTCCTTTGGAAACATGTCGCCGACTGTCCCGCCAGCCACACTAAGAAACGCACTCCCTGCCAGTCCATCGAGAAACCGTACAACCAGCATCGTCTGGATATTTTGCGCGACAGCACAGGGTATGAGCCAGATGAAGTACATCCCAAAGGCACAGATGTATACTATGCGTCGCCCATAAAACTCTGATAGCGGCGAAAGGAACATCGGACCGCAACCGAGACCAACAACGTAGGTTGTAAGGCCGAGCGTCGCTACCTCTCGACTTATGTGAAACTCTTTTTCCATCTGCTGGTAAGTGCTGGTGTACAGTGCGGATGCGCAGGTCACGCAAAGCGAAGACGCCGAGATGATGATCACGATCAGCCATTTGCGAAATGTGCTCTTGTTTCTCGGGCTCAGAGGGTCGGCATCGCCGTCGAACTGGACCTCGTATTGCTTCTCTGGGTCCACATCGTCGCCGGCAGGAACCGCGCTTCTATCACGCTTCTCTTCATCCTCGTGGCCAAAGTGTGTATAGCCGTCCGTATAAGAATGGTGCGAGCGTGTTGATCGTGCGGTGGAATGGGTGCGTTGGGCTTGTAGGTGATGTTCGGATTGTGCCTTTCCTACTGCTTCTATTGACCTTGCCGACCTCTCTTCCTCTACTTCTTCTTGCCCAAGTCTCCTTCCATTCCGAAGTATGCTGACATCCTCATAGTCCTCCTTCTTCAGTTGTGAAGTAGTCGAGTCGACGGGAGAAAGATCATCTGTAGACATGGTCGTCTGCGGCATTGCCTGTAACGATACACAGAGCCTTCCTTCTCACTTGACCTTGACGTGGCCTGGCGGGATGTGAAGAGGAAATAGACATTTCGCAATTGCTACCTAATCGTTGCCATATAGCCGGACGAGTCGCAACAAACGCACTTTCCGCAATGCCCGCACGTCATAAGTTGTTGCCGCCCTGTAGAGTTTCTTAGCTCCACTCTATCTCCGCATCTCGTTTGATGTGACAAAGCGGGACGCCGAAGCGGCACTTGGCGAGAGGGCTTTTATTATTATGCTATCCTCTCCCTGCTTCATCCGCGACAACGATCTTGCCGACGTCGACGACAACTAGAATGCCAACATGGTCAAGACTACCGCTTGCCGCAAATTGGCCCAGAGCGAACATCACCAGCAACAAGTGGCATCGCCACAGGGCGAAAGAGGGTAATATCAGGAGCTGTAACAGATCAAATATCCCCATATCGGTCTGCTATCAAGGCGTCCCCGCCCAAAGACGCTCAAGTGGCTATATCAATAGCTGGCCAAAAAAAGGGGCCTTCACTATCCCAAACGAGCTCACCAGCAGATTCTGCTCGTCCCAGAACACCATGCGATCCTACGCCCAAGAATCGTTCCTGCTCACACTCCCGCCATCCTGGCGCGAGATATAGTAGCTTTGACCCCGGCGCTCAAACAATCATGCTCCCTTCACTCATCTTCGTTTCGACGTTAACGTACATTCCTTCATCTCTCTACTCCACACCCTCTTGTGCCTTAGCCTGAGCTGAACACAAGCCTTGTCCACTTCGCCATCGGGTGCAATCAACTTTTCAACTTACTCGCTTGCTCCTCCACCAAAAACCCGGCGATCCTCAACTCCAGGAGTAATAGCCCCCAGGCTCTCCTGCTACGGCGCCCGCCTAATCGTGACCTCGCTCTCCTGCACACTCCCGCTCACACTCCCAGGCCTTTCGTCCCCACCTCGTCCACCGTTTCGCTTGTATTTTATACTCCCCAGCTCAGGCAGACTAGATGCTTTCATAGCCGCCTCCTCCTGCTTCGCCCCCTGCTCCGCATCCAGACGCTCCTGTTCGCGCGTCTGCTCACTGTCCTCTTCTTCTTTCGTCATGGGATCGTCCGAAGCGGCCGCCAGCTCCACCGCATCCGAGTCGGCTTTCAATATCGGCCCTCCCGTCGGCGGTTTCTGGCTGGGCTTGGTATTGGCGGCGAAAACATCATCCTGGGCTTCCGAGAACCAGCCTCCCTTTTCCCACCGACCATTGGCGTATAAATTCTCCTTCCGCACTTTCCGCTCCACGATACCCTTCATGATCTCGCTGAGGCGTGGGAAAGAAATGGGCTTGAGGATCCAGCCGTCGAAGCCGCCGTCGATGTACGTTTGACGCTCCCTCTCGATAAGGGAGGCCGAGACGGCAATGATCGGTAATCGTCCGTTAAGCGAAGCACGTGTAGATAGTAGATGCGTAGGGTGGGATTTCTCATAAGAGCGAATCATCTTGGTAGACGTCAGACCATCCACAATGGGCATCTAGTCGATGGTCAGTACACACTCCGGAGGACAAGAATTCTTGGTGATGAGACTTACTTGCATGTCCATGAGGATGATATCGAAATACCCAGACTTCTCCCCGTACAGGCTCGAGCACTCCTCGCCATTAACAGTCAACACGACCTCATGTCCCAGCTTCTCAAGCCGCTTCTTGATGATCCTACTATTCACCGGATCGTCTTCTGCAACGAGCACACGCATATGATCAGCTGTAGCCGGTTCGTCGACCTTCTCCGGCAGAGCAGAGCGGTCGGCATAGCGGCTAGCATCCGCATTGGACGATTCCGCAGACTGTGCAGTCCCACCTGAAGACAAAACGACGCCGTCCGGTATCCTGATCGATCGAATCGGCTGGCCCTGGCCCTCGACTGCGGATGTGCCCGGTCTCGGTGCTGGCCGCTGCCGTTGGGGGCCCACCTCTCCAGAAGCAGGTCGTTGTTTCAGCGGACTTCCCGCAGCATCAACGCCAGTCGTGTGTCTCTTCTCTAATCTAGGCTTGGTAGAGCTACCACCTTTTCCCTTGTTGCCACGAGTAACGGACCTCTCCACGCCGTCATGGTGCCAGCCTTCCACCCGATGAGGCTCGGAGATGGCGTCGATGAGCCGATCCGCCTCGCTTCGATTGCTGCGATTCGACGTGTAGCTCAGGTTGCTGTTTGCGGAGTTCATCGATCCCATGCTTTTGCGGCTCAAGTTGCTCCCACCGCTATTCTTTCGCGACATGTGTCCTCTGTCCGCACTCGAGGGTCGACGAGCACTGCTGTTACGGTCGATCAGCGTCACCTCACCCTCTAGTGGTGGCGTTGCTGGAGTATCGGCGTGTGGCGTAACGGTTCCAGCACTGCTATCAGGCGCCCTTGGTGCTTTCTGTTCCCCCTCGGTGTCTGGCAGGTCGAAAGGAAATTGTATGACAAAGCGTGAGCCTTTCCCTTCCTCTGACTTCAGCCGCAGCTGTCCGTTCATGTTCCGGATGATGCGTGCCACGAGTGCAAGGCCGAGCCCGAGAGTGCGCTCTTTGTCGGCCGCGGCAGAACCGTCAGTTAGCTGCTTGGTGTCTGGCAGTACAGCCGCGAATTCTGTCTGGTTGCCCTCGCTTTGCACCTGCTCGAGCTCTCTGAAGAGGGCATCGAGCTTCTTGGCATTCATGCCCACACCAGTGTCGGAGATGCTGATCTCGACATCGACATGTCTCTCTTCTCTACTGACAAGACACATCTCCACCTTCACTCCACCTTCGGTCGTGTTCTGGATTGCATTAGCAGTGACGTTGCTGATGGCTTGTCTGACCCGTCGGCCATCGCCAATGACCTCCTTCGGCAGGCCAGGTAGATCCACGACCTCGTACGAGATGCTCTTGCGAACGGCGTCCCCCTTAAACATATCGGTCGCTTCCAGTAGCATCGGCTTCAATTCGAAAATCTCGTCTCGGGTCAAGTCGCCCCCCTCTTCCGTCTTGGTGAGATCAAGCAGGTCGTTGATAACATAGATGAGGGACTTCGACGCCGAATGTGACTTGGCGAGATTCTCCCGCGTCTCCTGATCGAGCGCGCCCTCGAGTGCGATCTCGAGGTAATTGATGATAGCATTGAGTGGTGTTCGCACCTCGTGTGCCGAGTTCGCAAGTAGCAATTTCGTAAGCTGTGAGCTCTGCAACGCCGCCTCCTTCTGCCGCCAGACTTCTATAAATTTACCGTAGACCAAGCAAAGCACGGCAGCAGTTTCTATCTCTTCCTCCGTCCAATCTCGACATTTGCCGACCACGGTCTCGGACCATGTCTTAAACGACTTCCGAGGCTCGAGATATCCCTCCGTGCCTTCCTTGATGAACTTCTCGTAAGGGTTGCCGGCCCATTTGACCTCTCTCGTCTGGCCTCTCCGGAAGAACACAATAAAGTCTTGTCCACCAGCAGAAAGTGGAACCAATAGCATGCCAGCGATAACGGTGAAGCCTGGTCCGTAGCGCAGATCAGGGAAGTCCGCCTTGATATCCTGTGAGGTCACGACGTTGGAAATGCTTCGCATCCTAAGGTACTCCAACATCGCCAGCGCCTCGTGAGACTCGTCCAGCTGGCCAAGAATCTTCGTCTCGCCGCGGATATTCAGCAGGCCGAAATCAGCATCGAAGAGCTTCAGCAGGTCTTCCGAGCTCGCGATGATGTAGCCAGAAGGATTGCTTTGAGTTGGCGCAGTGTTAATGAGTTTCCGGGCTTGCAGCCGTGATGCATATGACAGACGCTCTATGTTTCTCGATGCACTATCGCCAACCAACCGGCACATCTTACGGATCGGAAAGGAAACCCGCATGCCCTTTGCACCATATCCGTGGCACGAGACCAAACCCCAGAGCTCTTCGAAAGCATTGATAGAGATGGACATACTGCTTCGCACTGCCATGTTGGCCAAGTACTTTACGTGAATGGGTGACATGGCTCGTAGATAGCTGTACGTCAGATCGAGTGGTGTATCAAGGTCCTCTACTGTCCGGCATACCAATCGAGCCGTCTCCTGATCTCGGTCATAGAGCATACGGACCTTATTGATCTTGTACAGATCACGAGCCTGTTTCGGGATATCAGACGCCGGGAAGTTCAAGCCTTTGTACAGATCCTTGGTTGCTCGTGGGTCGACAAGCTCGGTCACGACGCGTCCACTCCACGATTGGTCGAACTGGTAGATCATAACACGGTGAAAGCCTGTCAGCTCCTTCACGACTCCGACTAATATCCGGAGGAAGCGTTCGAGATTCGGGGCAGCAGCAAGCTGTTCTTGCACTTGAGACATGATGTTGAAGACTTCCATGACGGCGGCCTCGCCCTTTCTTTTCCGAGCCGACTTGAGTACGCGCAAAGGTTTGCTGATATTCAACGTGCTCTCGGCCAACTCTTCTTGGGAAGGTTCAGAACTGAGTGTGTCCTCTGGCGGCTCGGGGGTGGCTTCATTGGGTGGTACGAGAGGGTTGACGGGATCGTCCTCTAGCTCAAATTCGCAAATTATCAGATCCGGATTCTGTTGATTAATATGCATGGCGCACCAAAACTTCTGGTTCTTCCTCTGGGGTGACCGGATAGAAATGGTGAAGACTTCCGGGCCGGTGCTGATAATATCCGCGTCCTCATCACGTATGAAGTCGACATGATCGAGCAGGTTGTCCGATTGCTCCTCCGATAGGATGTCGGTCAAGCTGTTGAGCGAGAAGAGTTGCTTAGGCGTATATCCGATCATGCGTTTGGAGTTCTCGCTGACCACTCGAACCAGCAGTCGACCTTCAGACCGTTCTTCCAGTGCTATCAAAAGCCCAAATCCTTGCACAGCGCCTGGTATGTGGATGGGTTCGTCTTCACAGCGCTGTAAGGTCTCGCCGTCTCGTCCCGTGATGATCGCATGTCCACCTTCGGTGACCACGTGCTTGAACCTCGCTGTGATTAATGGACCAATTTCGTCAAGGCTACCACTTCTGCCACTCATCCTTGAATGTGATCGTTCAGATGTCGGCCGCTCACTACAATGCGTGCCGCGCTCACTGTCAGCGTGGTTACCTTGTCCCATGAGGTCGCCCAGCGATTGCTGTTGATCCGCACCAGAATTGCCTGGCTGTGGTGTAGGTCTATCAGAAGACGCAGACTCAGTAGTTGCAGTCGACGTCGAACCTTCCCTAACTTTTCGACCCGCTTGCTGAGCGGCACGTGGCGACCGTGCTCTGCTGCGCTCGCTGTCAGATCCTTGACTTTGTGCCGCCCCACTCCCATATCTTCGATCTTGAGTCCTTTGTGAGCTGGCCGTGTTCATGGACCGGCGGCGTTGCTTGGCCACGGATCCAAAATATTCGTCACGTTGCTTGCCGTTACGATGAGTTGGGGTCGGCGTGGGATCCACAGACACTACCGACCGGATCGGGAACACTCTATCTATAGCTCCCGGGCTGAGTTGGTCTTCCAGACCACTGGTTGAAGGCGTCCTGCCGTGATCCGCGACGTTGGCGGGCGGCCGGGGTAGAGGTCCTCTGTATGCAGGTTTTGGCCGTGGCGACTTTGGCTGCTCCGCCGACTCGGATGTGATTCCTGTTGAATCGCTCGTCTCCTGCGCACACTCGTGTAGCGCGGCCGTATCTGAGTCTGAGGACATGGCCGGTTTTGCAAATATCCGAGCTCAATCTGTGGTGCGGTATGAATCAACGTCTGTGTCCCACGTGATCCCTTCCAACAGCCCCTACGCAGGGATCCTCGCTACCTCATATGATCATCGATGGCAAACGTGCATTGTGTATGCTTCTTCTGTGTCCACGTCCACGTCCACGTCCTCTGCCCTGCTCTGCTTGCTTCTCTGGACCTAAAAGTCCGCTGCACGCCACCACCTTGCCCGTTCCTGCCAGCTTGATCTGCTGCAATGCAATTCCGCACGATCACGAGCGCCGCCCAAGACTTTCGCGAGTACGGTGACTTGGTATGGATACGATAGGCGGAGTCTCAAATCCAGATTAGGCGGCGAAGGGCAATTCGGCGAGTGGACACTATGAGCAAGCAAGTTGCACGCGCAATTGCAAGGCGGCGAACGGAGTCGATCACGCTGCCTCGATACTGACGAAGGTGGCCGTATAGACGCAGAATGCCAAAAGGCCTCTACAGATGTGGATGTCTAGCAGGCAAGAGTGTTCCCGCGTACCAGAGGGGCTAACCTGATTCTTCTGTGTATGGAAGTTAATAATGTTCAGATCTGAGATCGACTCGGGATCCGTGCGAGGAGTATGATGCAAGCTATGTAAGGAGGTGCATCTCGTTTACGCTGCTACAGAGTGGCATGTGACATTGTGTGTACACGATCACGGCGCATCTCAACAAACAGCAACATTGATCCTGCCTACATATCCCATACTGCTTCGTCGGAAGCACTGCGAGTCCGAATTCCAGGAAAGCAACGAGACGAGGAAAGTCGGCAAGCCGCTGCAGCGGAGCCGCAAACGTCGATCATCGACATCATCGCCAGATCGATCGTTGACGTCGACCATATCTGGCGTAGTACCTCGAGCATGCGTGCTTGAACGAATATACTGTACATACTGTTGTGTTTGGTCAGAAGTCCACATGCTGGAAACAATTTTGCCAGTCATGAGAGAGTGCACGGGGCTGAAGACGTCCCAGCTACAGCACAGAAAAAGAGCATTTTGTGACATTGTCGCCCGTCGGAATAATGAAGGGGGTCTGCAGTTTGAACTGGGGTATGGCTCAATCGTCGATGGCTCGAGGCGGATCTTTGCCAGGCGAGTCACGCGTGTCACAACGACGGCATCGAATAATAATAATGCAAACAGACATGAGGCTAATGCAAGTGGAAAACGGAGTCACCCCCGAAGCTGTTCGATCCCATTCGTGCATGAGTTTTGGGTCTTGCGTCTTTGACAAGAGGTCAGCCTGTATTGTTATTGAAGACGCTCTGCAGTCCACACTCATCCATGTCGTCGCATAAACATCCAGTGGAAGCAGCAATCCGAGAGCCATATACAACTGTACAGTATCGCATCGCACATGCGCACTAGTGAACGTGCCCCATCAGCCATCTTGTAATTGGTGCGTCACCACCTACAGTACTATGCGGCAAAGAAGAGGCGAGAAGCACCAGTCCTCCACCACCACACAAAGCGGCTGTCCGTTCTTCACTCTGTATGCGCACCTACTGCGCACCTACTCCACTCCTGTATAACATAATACTACCGGCCAAGTATATGCACGAGCTGCATTCACGCCATCGCATAACCTCCACAGCTGTCGTTGATGGCCTCAGACACTCGGCAAAAGCTGCTAGCGAGAAGAGCAGTTGGCCCACGAAACAGCAGCAGGCCTCTTTGCGTCGCAGTACCCGACTTTGATGGTGAGGGCCGGACGCCAGATCTCAACGTACTATTCGCTTCCACCGGCTGCATTGATGCCAAGATCATCGACGACCTGCTGCCGCGCCTGGCGCGTCTGCCAGATGTCCGCCTCCGCACCATCATAGACGTGGACTTTACGGGTGCGGACCTCATACGCGCCTCGACACACTCTCTGGCCTTACAGAACACCGCTCGCAACGGACCCGTCAATACGCAGAGTGTGGAACAGGAAGCAGCCGATCTGTGCGAATGGGCTAACCTGCTTGTGCTGGGACCTATGGATGCGAATACGCTGGCCAAGATGCTGCACGGCCATACTGACAACCTACTATTGGAGATCATGCGGAGTTGGAATGTTAGCAAGAAAGTACTGCTGGTGCCGGGCATGAGCCATCTGATGTGGGAGAACCCTATGACGAAGAAGCAGATCACGAAGATCAGGCGGAAATGGAATTGGATACAAGTGCTGGAGCCGATCCTGTGGAGTTTCGAGGGTGACAAGAAGAAGCTGGATACCTGGGATGCACCTACTGAGGACCTGGTGGACGCGGTCAGGAATCAAGTTGATCTCATGAACATCGGGCAAGGACTGGACGTCTCCCCAGCATCAAGGATCATGATCACCTCCGCTCGCACGGGCGTGATGGAAACGCCAAACTGTCTACTCCCACCCGAACTCTGGACCATCATCTTCGACTTCACCGGCGACTGGGAGCTAGCGCAGACCCTGCACATCTACACCAACCTCCCCCCACCCGCAGACTGGACCTCGCACACCGCGCGCCAGGGCCCACGAAACTACATGGAAGCCCTCGAGCTCACCATCCTCCGAGGCAATCTAGCCGACGTCAAACACTTCATCGCCACGCATAGTGTGCCCCGCTGGCTCAGCAAACTCTGCATCAAACTCATCATGCGCTTCGCCATGACCCCCTTGCTTGCGCACCTCGAAGCGAACCACAAAGATCTCTTCTGGGCGACCTTCGGCCATACCTTCCTGCCCGACAAAGCGAGCAGTGTGTTTGGCCGGACGGAGATTCTCGAGTTCTGGCGCACGTCGCCGAGTTTCTTGACGAAAGAATACAACCCCGAAGCACTGGACGGAGCGTCTCGGGCCGGGTTCGTGAACGTGTTAGAATGGTGGCAGCATTCCGGCCTCCCGCTCAAATTCACCGAAGCCGCTCTCGAGCAAGCGAGCAGCCAAGGCCACGTCGAAGTCCTGGAGTGGTGGAAATCGCAATCCACGACCGTAGACGACACGACCGCCTCCGTCGTCGACTCGAGCAAGATCCGGCTGAAACCCGGCAAGAGCATCTGCTTCGCCTCCCAAAGCGGACAAACGGCCGTGGTCCGCTGGTGGCTGCACTCCGGCATCTCCTTCCCGCACGAAGACACCGTGGCCAAACTCGCCTCCACGCACGGCCACGTGGAAGTCCTGCAGCTCTGGCACGAACACAAGGGGAGTAAAGTCATCTTCGACAATCAGGTTTTGGTCGGGGCGACCAAGATGGGAAGTGTGGATGTGTTGGAGTGGTGGAAGAAGAGTGGGTTGAAGGTGGAATACAAGACTTGTGATGTTGAGGAGGCGTTGGAGGATGGGCATGAGGGGGAGCGGGGTTTGGCGGTCCGTAGGTGGTGGGCGCGGAATGGGTTGAATCTTGGGGTGGGGACTAGTGAGTGGATGAAGACGAAGTTTCTTAACTCTTAGACTGTTTTTTGGGGGTATGAGATTGTGATGCGTTTGAGCAGGGCGTTTGGGGATTTTTGGCCTGGGAATGGTTGGTTGCCTCCTTGGATGATATTGGGATTGGCATGGCGCTGGCATTGTGTTACGGTCACGATTTTAGGTGATAATCGCAATAAAACCATAGAGTCTCCTACGTCGTCGCTTCTCCGTGGTTTTCGGGAACGTCCTGTCGTATCTCGCCCCGCCACAATTATTGTGCAGCGGGTCAAAGTCCTCTACTACACTACTTTTGGGCTGCTTTTTGGGGCGGCGAGTGCTGGACCTGGATGCATTGGTGATCTAGATTGGTGGTTGCTGGAGTCTGCCGCTGTGGGCTTCCGCCTTGCGTGAGGTTAGTGATGGGCCGGTGGTAGGGTTGGTGAGGGAGAGGCGTACAATCCATGATCGTCTGGGGGTGAGCGGTAGCGAGAGGAGTTATGCGGAAGGAAACGAGGAAACGTGGAAGGTTGTGCCATTGTACATAACAGAGATTCGAACAGTTGGAAACATATTTGCTCGCGGAACGCTGCTGTTTCCGTTTTGACGAGGACGTTAACAGTCAGGTCCAAGATTTCCAACCCACCCACGCTATGCAAAGAACGACAATTCGAAGCCCTGTCCCGCTTTTATCATCATCATTCCACTGTACAACCCCCCCCCCCCCCCTCAACAAAAAAAACCCCCCCTCACGTCCCAAAAACAAAGATAATCTACAACAGCGTCCACCCAACCACCACCCCGGCCAAAGCCGCCACACCCGAAACTCCAACTCTTCCGGCCCCGCTCGACGAAACCTTGACCTCCGTCAATTTCATCTTGGGCACGTACGGCCCGGGCGCCGTAGCATTAACCACGCCATCCCAACAATACTTCTGAAAACAAAAATTACACACCTCCGGCACCGGGGTCCCCGTCCTCTCCAAACTCCTCGACAAAATCGCACAACCCACACAAGCCCCCCACTGACTATCCAACGTCCCATTCCCCTGCGTTGCGCCGTTGTAGCCGTTGAGTACGATGGCGTTGCGTTCCGTGTCGTTGAATTGCAGGTCGAAGGTCGAGACGTTGGAGTTGTAGACGTAAGGGGCGTTGGGGAGGTAGACGATGATGGGACTCGGACCCGTTTGATTGGCAGCGTCGCAGCCGAAGAAGGTGGGGCGGTTGTTCAGGCCGCGGTTCATGAAGGTGTCGATGCCCGGGATCGAGGGGAAGGAGGTCCCGTTTTCCAGGGTGGCGTTGAGACTGCGTTGGTAGGTTGCCACCAAGGAAGCGCCATCCGGCCAGCCGGTCGCGGAGGTCGGGCCCGGGTAGGTGGTATTGGTGTCGGCGCTGGAATCGATGGCGAAGATGACGTCGAGGTGGCGGTAGGGTTGGATTAAGGGGTGCAGGGGGATATTCTGGTTGTCCTCGCCGCCGTCTACCAAGGTGAGTTGTTCGGACACGGCGTAAGGGTTCGTGGCGTTGTGCCAGCCGTAGAAGGGGTTGGGGTAATCTGCTATATCGTCGTCGGCTTTGCCGATGCGGCCGAGCACGGCTTCGATGCCGTCTTGCAGGGCGGTGTTGAAGAGGCCGGTCGTGTTGGTGCCGTTGATTGTTGTCAGGCCGGCGTTGAAGAGGGTGCTGGAGGTGCCCATGACGAAGCCGACGTTGTCGAAGCCCGTGACGCATTGGGCGGTTGTGGGGGAGCCGGCGGTGAAGTTGGTGCCGACGTATTGCATCGGGATGAAGCCGTAGACGGTGGGATCCCAGGAGCCGAATTCGAAGGGGTTGAAGTCGAAGATGGTGGTGTTGGTTGATACGAGGGTTTCGCCGGGTTTCCTGCCGTCCGCGACGATGATGGGGAATGGTGCGGTGCCGCTTGTGAACCAGTCCTGGTTGGCGAGAGAGGACCAGGTGAAGGCTGGTCCGCCATCGGTGGCGTTGACGAGCTGGTAGGAGAGTGCACGTCCCCAGTAGTCGGTGATGGTTGTGTCGAAGTTGGCGTCGGCTTTGTTGCTTACGGCGTTCTGTAGCTCGGAATAATAGCCTATACTATCGAGTAGCTGGACGCCGCCAGTCGCTGGACCCTCGAAGATGGAGTTGCCGAGTTGCCACAACGAGCCTGAGTCAGAAGCTGGCGTGTTGGTGGCGAGGATCTGATCGATTGAGGTGAAGTTGTTTGTGTATAGAGATCCCACCAGCCAGCTGCCGCCAGATAGTCCGGAAATATAGGTGGCAGACTGCAGCAAACCTCCTAATTGGCCAGCACTCGTCGCATTGCTCGTCCGGCTGTCGAATGCCTCTAAAACACCAGCACCATTCAACATCGCCCGGTATCCACCACCCGAAGCCGCGATACCAATATTCGGCAGGGCACTCGCATTATTGCTATGACTGTTGATGTACGCCGTCGTGTCCAGACCAGTAATGTTCATGCGACTCAGTAAATCCTTCATCGGGTCGAGTGTCGCATTCCTCCGTTTCGGTAGCCATGATGTCTCCTCTGTTGATAGTCCATTGGCACTCCTCACCGTCGGCTTGTTCGAAGGACAGTCGTTGACCTGCGGTACGTAGCCATTAGGTGCGTTGGCTGGTAAGGCGCGTGCGATGATGCTTTTGGCGAGACTGCTGGCGAGTTGGGGATCGTATGGGGTGACTACTCGAGCTGCACACATATATATTAGCTAAGCTCAGCATATTTGATGGATCTGCAAGACTTACCATCCACAGCTGCAACCAACCCCGTTGCCGCCATGGCGGTATTGTAAGTATTCAACCTCATATTGCTGCCTGGGGAAACGAATATGTGTGTGTGCGAGATAGATATCAGAGGTGCCCGAGAGACACAGGAGATGTTACATGGCCATACAGGCACCTATATGACCTACATGTGTAAGCACCAAAAGACAGAGCCACCTACCAAGACTCCGCTAGCATCCGAGAGAAGCACAGTAAACAGAGAGGCGGCAAGGGAAGAAGAGGCTCTGGTGACGTTTTTTGCATAAACCTTGATCTTGCGCGTCGCGTTCAATCTTGACTATGCGCCGCGGAGGATGTTCGAGTTGCCACCGTTGACGTCGAAGCATGCGGATAATAATAATGAGGGGTGAGGAGAGAAGTTCCTTGCCTTCAATGTGATAGCCATACCCTGTACCAACATGCGGATAAGCATTACTGCGAAGAAGCACGCAACACTACTGTATACAGTACATACTACTGCATACTGTATAAATCAGGTACGATCACATTGATCGACATCGACGCGGCTGCCGCTGAGCCGTGATGGTGGCGGGCGTCCGGGCCGAGACGAGTCACGTGGCTGCCATCCCATCACGTGCACAGTAGCACTGCTTCGTAATCAGCTTAGCGTTTGCCACGGCTCCACCTTCTTTGCGTCGCAATCTCCTCCACGACACATACTTTGACACATCTCTATTCCATCACATCACCAATCTCAGTGACTGTACTTGTGTCGCGCAACATCCACAAGACACACAGGCTCCAATCGGGTTGGACATCACATCACATATTGCGCACTCCCACATCTCCCAAAGGCAACGGACTAAAATATTTCCCTCCGAGCCATTGTGTGCGAGCGGGATTGCTGGTGTCTGCAACGCGGAAAGCAGCCACCACCACCACCACCACCACCACCACTACCTTAGTACGTCCTGAGGGACACGAAGCGGTAGCGGCGAGCGGCGAGCGGCGAGCGGCGCGCTGTCGGAGACGGTGGCGGAGACGAAGTGTGGGGGGGTTATTGATTGTTAGACTCTGCAAACGTGTTCAAACAGGACGCGTTGTGTGAGCCTCGTCGTATAGCCATAGATCAGTGTGACATCTTGACCGTATATCGTGTCTCGCACCCATCTTAGCACCATCACTGCCACACCCGCGTTGCAGGCAGCAGAGGGCGGAAGCTCGAGCACCACCCGAATCATGTCAGGTAAGCTGATTCCATATATATATCCACAACCCGTCGCCTTCTGTTCCACGTCCCCACCATACACGTGGGAGTGCGGCAGACGTGCGTGTGTGTACTCGGACTCGGACGACATGTGCTAACATACATCACAGAAGAGCCGCGGCGATCGGTGCGTGCGACCAAGGGCCAGCACACCAAAGCCTCCACCTCACCCGCACCCGCACCACGACCCCAGCAGAAACGCCTCAAAGGCGGCGCCAAGTCCAAGGGCAAGAAGAAGCAAGAGCAGGCACCCGACGATGACGACGGCGAGGATGGCGGCGAGGAGGAGGGCGAGGACGACGGCGAAATCCGCTGTATCTGCCGCGACGACAACCCAGAGGACAAGCGGGCATTTATCGGCTGCGAAGCTTGCATGGCCTGGCAGCACAATGTCTGCATGGGGATGCCAGAGGATGAAGACGAAGTCCCGGAGCATTACTTTTGTGAGGAGTGTCGGCCTGTAGAGCATGCCGAGACGCTTGAGGCTTTGGACAGGGGGGAGAAGATATGGGAGACGCGGACGAAGGAGTGGAAGGCGTGGAAGAAGATGAGCGCGAATCGGAGGAAGAGTAAGGGGAAGGGCAATGAGAATGGTCGGCCGCCGTGGCTTAGGAAGGAGGGTGTTGTTCCGCAAGCCGAGGAGGCGAATGGGAGTGCGGAGCAGAGCGCTGCTGAGGAGGGTGGAAACAAGAGGAAGCGTGAGAGTGTGAAGGTGGAGCAGGAGACCGCTGCTCGGTCTGAGCCTTCAACCCCGGTGACTCGCCCAGACAAGCGTCGCAAATCATCTCAGGCTCCGAGTAAAATTGCTCTGGACCCGGACACTGCAGTCATCGAAATCGACGACTTGCCCACGGACCGTAAGAGGATCGCGCAGGCGCTCAGCAAGACCATCTACGAGGACGTCCAAGACCGCGCCAAATCCGGCTTCCGCATCCCAGACGGCCACACGCCGAAATCATTAAGCGAGCGACTTGCCGGCCTGATCGAGTACGAAATGTTCCAAGTCTACGAAGGCACACAAAAGAAAGAGTACGCGCAGCAATTCCGCAGCCTCAACGCCAACCTCAAGCGGAACAAGATGCTGATCGAGCGCCTCCTCGACGGCTCACTTCGGGCTAGCGATCTGGCCACGATGGAGAGCAAAGATATGGCGTCCGAGGAGCTGCAGCGTGAGATGAAACTCATGAAGGAGGAGTCTGATCGGCAGGCTGTGCTGGTCGAGGCCGATGGGCCGCGGTATAGACAGGATCATAAGGGGATCGAGAGGATCGAGGATGATCGGCTGAAGGAGAGTGAGTTGAGTGTTAGTGCGCAACCGGTGCGTGAACGCGCTAGTGTGGATGAAGGTGGGGCGGGGAGTCCGACGGCTGGTGCGAATGTTGATAGGGCGGGCTCGCCTACTCAGGGAGATTTCAGAAGACCTGCTCCTACTACTGCTGCTGCTGTTCCCGCTGGGCTAAGCGCTGATAGGAGAACTTCCAGCCAGCAGCAATTCGACATGAACAACATCTGGCAGAAGACGGCGGGGACCGGTCAATCGCCCACGACCGGCAGCGCGAGTGCAAGACCAATGCAAATGCCCCCCCGTCGCCGCAGCTCCATCCAAGCCAACCCCCCGCAACAACCCGACACCGGCGCCAAAGAAGACGCCGACATCGACCGCCTCCTCCAAGACGACGACGACGATGACGAGGAAGACTCATCCTACGAACCCCAACCCAACCCATCCGACTCCTCCATCGTCTGGCGCGGCACCCTCGCCCACGCCGGCGAAGGCCACCCCACCGTCTCCGCCCGCTGGATCGCAGGTCGCGACATGACCCCCACATCCCCCTGGTCCGCCCTTCTCCCCCCTACCCTCACGATCGACGGCCGCCTCGCCGTAGCCAAAGCGGAGGAATACCTCTGCGGTCTGCAATGGAGTCAGAACTCGGACGTTTCGGTCCTGGCGCTGACGCCTTATGGGGAGGGGGATCTGGAGGGGTTTGGGAGGGTGTGGGAGTATTTTTACGGGAGGGGTCGGTATGCCGTTGTGGGACGGGAGGGGTTGGGGGGGTGGGTCAGGGATTTGTATGTTGTGCCTGTTGAGAAGGGGGGGAAATTGCCGGAGCATGTGGGGTTGTTGGAGTTTTGTTCGTTGAGGGTGCCGGTGGAGGAGAGGTTGTTGTTGGCTTGTTTTGTTGTGGTGAGGGGGGCGGGGACTCCTGTTGCTGGTGGTGGTGGTGGGGTTGCGGGGGTGCAGGTTGATGGGGCGGGGGGTGAGGTTTCGGGACAGCAGGGTCTGGGTGGCGCGAATGGGAATGGCAATGGCAATGGCAATGGCAATGGCAATGGCAATGGCAATGGCAATGGGCAGCAGCAGTATCTGCCGCAGCATATGAGGGCTGGGATGCCGGGACCAGCTGGCTCGCCGCTAAATCAGGGCGCCCCTACTTTCTCCCCTAGCGCTCATCAGCAGCAGCAGCATCAGCAACCACTAGCCGGCTACGGCGTCCCCCGCCAACCCTCCAACGCCTCAGCCCCAGCAGCCTCAGCAGCATTCCCGCCGAACCCCTACGACCAAGCCGCCCAACCACAACATCATCCCCACCCCAACCCAATGATCGCAGAGATCTTAGGTCCGCGCCAATGGGATCCCACGGCCCAGCAGATTTTGGCCGCGCAGCCGGGGATCGATGAGGATAAGTTGAGGAATTTGAGGATTGTGCTTGAGGAGGATGTTGGGGTGCGCACGGATTTGGAGGCGTTGGGGAGGAAGTTGGGGGCGGGGGGTTAAGGGGTGCTTGAGACGGGGGGAATGTGGGTGCGGAGGGAGGGGGAGTGGTTGGAGGGAGGGGGAGGTTGGGGAGAAGATTGGGGTGGGGGAGGGAATAGGGCCAGGGTGGTTTGTTTGATGAGGAGGTGGAGGGAGAGCACGCGGTTGTATCGGCCGGGGACGTGGAGAGGATTGATTGGGCTTATGTTCATGTGGAGAAAGTCGGAAGATGTGAGAGTGGAGAAAGGAGGTTGGAGGCCGGGTGAGGAAGGGGGGCTCAAGGTTTGAGGACAAGGTCTATCCATGAATGAGTGAGCGGTGCGGGCCGGGCTGCGAAGTGTGATTGTGCTTTGAGAGCTTGCATGGCTTTGCGTGTAGGCGGAGCAAGGGTGGGAGGCAACATGTATCGATTGTGTTTGCGCATGGACTGTACATTTCTTTTGATTGTGGTGGTACACCTCGTCTGGGTCTGGCTGTTCTCAGCACGCTTTTCCGCATAAGTAGTCGGGCACGTTACTTTAGCACGGCACAAGGAAGTGCGCAGAGCTTTTCTCCATTCATCGTTGCCATCTGCAATTACTCTCCGCTATCGTCTATCCTCCCAGCTCCGGAGCACTGACGGATGGATTCGATGAGGGCGTGATAGTAACGGTGAACTCGTCCCCAATATCACCCAAGTTTGAATTCCAAATCTCATACCACTTTGCCAGCATCAGGGCCGCTGGGACCACCCTTTCCCAGCTTATACCTTTGCGTTTCGGCTCCCACCACCAGTCCTCCCCATCCCGTTTGACCGTGAAGATTATGTGCGCCAATGGTATTATCGTCGAAGCGAGGAGGACGGGTATATGCCACATCGCCTTGTAGTAGTCCTGTTGCCGGACATTGTAGACACCGGAGACTAGGAATTGTAGGATGGTGATGGTGTAGCTGGCTGTGCGGAGCTTTTGGAGATTGAGATTCAGGGTCTGGTTGTGTTTGCGCCAGAGTGGAAGAGAACAGAGGGGACAGGTGGAGTTGTTCTGATTGTGGAGGAGACCTAGACAGATCGTGCATGCGAAGTGCTGGCATGGTAGGCAGGCGAGGAGAGTGTCGGAATTGTCTTCCCAGCACATGATGCAGCGGTCTGCTTCTATCTCGGTGTCGTCTTGCGGTCGTGTAGCGGGCGGCGTGGTCATGATATTAAGCATGAACGCCTCGTGAGCTGGTAAGTCCTTGCTGTTGGAAGGCGTCGGCAGCATGATCCACGTCAAGACACCCAACGCTGCGTTCGAGGCAAGCAAGACCGGTAGGACCTGGTCTGTCCACAGGAGTCGAAGACATAAGCCGTAGATGACAAGGTCTTGGATGCGGTGCCGTTCTTTCCTCGTGACACGCCGCGCTAGGATCGCACCCAGGAACACTAAAGTGATTGCCGTGATATAAGGCGTCAAGGTCTGAAGAGTCCGACTCTGTGCATCTAGTACTAGTCCCGCGGCCAAGTATTCCATGTCCGTCACGCCGAGGAAAGGATTTTTATTCGTGACTTCTGGTCCTTGAGGGTGGATGCGAATGTACTCCAAGCCGGCGGTAATGTTGAACGGTCGTTTCGGATCCATTGTCAAGGTCGCTGTGGAGCCGGAGTATATGGCCTGTAGGTCTAGCGAACGAGAAGAACGGGGTCCATTCATTAGACGGTACAGTATACTGTCGTCTGGTCCTAAAGGAGCTCGGCGGGACTATAGAACACAATCTATTCGGCATTCGATAACGCTGCTTACAAAAGTTCATCATACGTCTCCTACGCTTGACTAAGCTACTACCGCTCCTCCTGCGACCTCCTTCGAGCGTCTCGGAGGCCTTCTTCGTATATACGTTCCTCTGTCCCTCGAAGGAGCTCGGCGGAACTAAGGAAAAAAAGATATGCGATATGATAAAACCACCGCCCACACAAATTGAGATATGTCCTACCTGGGATTTTGATCATATAACGAATACGCCTCCTGCGACATCCTTTGAGGAGCTCCGAGCACTTGGAGATACAATTTCTTACGTGCCCTTTAGTAGGGGCTCGGCGGACTTGTAGAACTCGCTCTACGTCGGCACCGCCTCTAATACTAATCCAACCCCCTAAACATAAAGACAACCTCGGAGGAAGAACATAATCCCCGGCGAGGTCCAGCGAGAGGCCGTAGATAACTCTAGGTCTATCGTTCTACACAGTGCTTGAGAGGAGCTCAACGGGTCAATCGGATTTGATATGTGTGGTTGCAAGACACACTACCAAGCCAAAACCCCAAATGTCGATTGTTCGATAACACCGCAACCACACCTCTAACAACGTTCCCTAAGCACCTCTGTGCTCTTGGGGATGTGATATCTTTCGCCCCTGTCGAAGAAGCTCAGCGGGTGGGTTGATGCTAATATATGAGGTTGCTAGGTGCTGTACAACACCATGCCTAATAATCAATATCGTGATCTTTCCTGTAGCACCTCAACCACGCCTTTTTAGAGGCTTTTCGACTACTTCTAATCTCTTTCAATGTTTTCAGTCTTCTCTCCTACGGAGGACGTCATAGGGTCACTAGAAGGTAATTAACTGGGCTTCCAAGTTCTACACCCATCTGTACACTTTCACGCCAGAAAGCTGATCGAACAAGGTATAGCCTGCCTCCGACGTTCTCTAATATAACGTAGAGAGCTCTGTATAGTCTTTGATCCGACCCGCTCAAAGGGCCTCGCTAGTCGCCTCTAGCTTAGTCCATGTCGCCGCCGACCTAGCGACTAACATGTAGTTCTGTCTATTTCGACGACCTCTATTCTATTGAGACGCTCTAGGCCACCTCCGACCTCCTTTGACACATAATGGCGAGGTTAGGGTAGATCGTATCTCTGGTTGCTTGAGGTGTCTCGCCGGCGGACTGTAGCTCAGCCTATGTCGTCGCCGCCTTAAACCCCTATCTAGATGCAAAATAAGCCAATGGTTAATAGGTCACGCGCATCGACTCCGCCAGGACCTTTTGAGCACACTCTCGCTTCCTTATACTAGAGAAGATTAGCGAGGCCCTTTGACGATCTGTCGGAGGAGCATATATGAGGGAAGGATCATGGCTTTGTATCAATGGCAGATGTGGGTCGTATATGGGAGCTTTGATTGATTGATCTATCTCACGTCTAAGGGATATCCAGCAAATCATACTGGAGACCTTGAGACGGCCTCCAATGGTCCAGCTTGACTGACACGACGGTCTCCTACCCTTTCAACCTAGCAGCCCTAAATCGACTGACTTTCTTGATCTTACCATCCCTCTCCTCCATCAACTCACCAAATTCCTCCTCCTCGTCTGGATCAACTTTGAACCCTCCCTGCTGCCTCACCATCTCATTACGTCGACGATAATACTCGGCTGCCAGTTGACGACGCTCCGTGATGGGATCCATGTCGTCCTCCGAAGGCGCTTGTGTGGTCTTGCCAGACGTCGGCTGACGCTCAACGAGCGTATCGGCTAGAGTGCGCCCTGCCGGACCCATAGGAGAATCATTGTGGTCGCCCAGATTCGCATCAAGGGCGCTCGAACCTGGTGCTGATTGTGTAGCTGGTAGGTCGCCACTTTGCATGAAGCGAGAGGTATTGGCTGACTTTGCTTCGATCATTTCTATATCAGCGCCACCTTGCTTGCGTTCGGGAACGCCATCTGCTAGAGGAGAGACAGCCTGCCCCTCGACCTGCTTCCGAGCCTTGAGAGGTGGAGAGCCAGGCTGAGCTACATCCAGCTCTTCAGCGAAACTCACCCGCTTCTTGCCCGAGATCTTCTTCTCGTCGTTTTCTGAGCTTGCCGACGATACCGAATTGCGCTTGTCTCGGATCACAAGCTTGCGAACGTCCTTTGGGTTGATCTCGTCGTCCAGATCAGCAATCTCGGGCTCTTCCGGCGCCGGACCTAGGTTGCCAATCAAGCGGTCCTGCATCTCGAGCATCTGTTTGCGATAGTCGTCTGTGACGACTTTACTTTTGCTTCTGCCGTGCTCATCTTCGTCTTCCTCGTCCGAGTGATTGCTCGTGTATGGCGTGTCTTCGTCTTCCATCCGCGTAGAGCCTGTAAAGTGCGAGCTTGTGTCATCCTCTTCGTCGTCATCATCATTGTAGTAGTCGTTGTCGTCAAGGTCCATCTGCGCTACGATGTGCCCGACCTCGTGAAGGTGATAGTCCAGCATTTCACGTCGCAGCTTTGCATCATCTTCAGTCTCGTTCTCCGGCATGACGATTTCCTCTTCGACCACTTCATCATCATCCCCCAGCATCTTGACCCTGTCACCAGGCTTGAATGAAGCCCTCAACTCTTTTTGCTTCTCAGGATCACTTGCACCGGCCTGCGTGGGTGTGACTGCAGATGGGGATGGTGGCCCAAGTGGTTGAACTGGAATCTCCTCTACTTGTGGCGAGAACTGAACAGTACGAGGATCAGGTAGTGGTGCCGCTGGAGCAACGGCGACTTTTTCTGCAAATGATACAGATTTCTTGCCATCATCCGAGTCAAGGCGCACCATTTCGGGCGCCTTCTTCGTGTCCGCTGAGAAGGATACAGACTTTTTGCGAATCGGAGGCCGCTCGTTCTCGTCAGGGTCCATGGTAGAATCTTCCGTGGATGGGATGTCAGGTGTGAATTGTATGCGATTATCGGCTGCTATTACAGCAGGCGTGCTCGGGATTGGCGGAATGGCATTCGTGATAGCAGACTTCAGTGGCGTCTGGATCTTGTATGCCTCGCCCAAGTCGGCGCTCGTGAGACCTGCTTTTCTCAAGCTGTCCACAAGGTTAGACTGCGACTCCTCTGGCTGATGGACTCGACTCGAGATGACATTGTCGTCATCATCCAGTTCCTCCTCAATTTCGGTGAGTGGCAATCCAGTCTCAGCATCTCGAGTGGCGGCAAAGTCGAATGTCTCCAGTTGCGATTCATCTGCAAAAAACCGGCGCTGAAGAGTCTCAATATTCTTCTGTACATACTCCTGTCGACGCTCTATGTCGCGAATGATCTGTGGCGCCGTGCGGACTGGACCCTTGTCAAGCCCAGACAACTCCCGCACAACTTCCTCGTCGACCAGCCGGCCGTCATAAGTCTTGGCAATTTTCGTGAGAGCATCCGCATCGACAGGAGGTTCAGCAGCTTCAAGTTCCTCCTTCAGACCCTCGTACTCTGCCTCGAACGTTTGCCAGTGTTTGAGACTCTGGCGAAGCTTCTGTAAACTCTCCTCCAGTGCTTGGCGTTGCTGTTCGAGGCCAGTAAGATCTGCCATCTTGGCTGTAGCAAAGTCAAACAAGCTCCTTTGGCGATTTGCGTGAATAAGAAAATAAGGTAAATGTGCAGGTTTATGTCAGGACCTGGTTGGGAAGAAGAAGTGTATCCGGCGGCGAAGGTCAGACCTGAGGTGATTGCTGCAGGGCAGGAAGCTTGATGCCTTGACTGCGGTGGACCGAAGTTGAGCAGCCACTGACGGACCTTCCCGTCAGCCGTCGAACGCCCGTTGTGGCTTCTCTTCACCAGAGCAGCCAGTAACAGAATCATTAATCACTTTAGTGAATGCACTTCTATTCCAACACTGTGAGGATGGCTGACAGCTGTTCTACTACTGCTAATCACTGGTGCCAGCAGTAAATTCAGGCTATCATCTGACTGACATAGCGCCAACGTGCCACTTGATGGCTTGGTAACAGGTCATTGATGGCGCTACGTGCCGTTCAGCAAGTGGTCACGTTCCCAGCCTCTTCCATGCAGGCTATTATCAGCGAATCTCGCCGATTGTGACCGATTCGATAATTCAGCCTGCCACGCCTCCGATGGATGAACTAAGTCATCGCTTAGGAATCCCTCCTTGATAGAAAAACGAGGACATGTCCGGTCCCAGCTTCTTACAGTGGCAGGCGTCGATCGACCCTTCGACCTAAGCTTGGAATAGTGCTTCTTACCGAAGGCTTCAGCCATAAGCGTACGACACACTCGCAATCCTCTGCAATTGTCTGAAAGCGATGTAATGGCTCATTCTACGAACTACATAAGTACTTGTATAAACGAACCACCATTAGCAGCCCACTCCACTTGCCGGAACGTCAGCAATATCTACTACGCTACTCCCACCCAAACTCCCAGCATCTTCCGCTATTGCAGCAGGAGACCATAAACGACTACTGCAACAACGGATCCCGGAAATGCTTCTGAGAATTATGCCTCTTCTCATTCCCGGCCTGATACCGATTCTGCTGCCTCTGCGCCCGCTTCAAATCCCTCTTCTCCGCGATTCTAACCTCCCTCTTCTTAATCTCGCTCACGCCCATCATACCCAGACCGCCATTCGCACGACTGACCACTTGTCTGCCGCGACCACCGTCCGTGCCCTCAGTCTCTGTAGCTTGGCTTGCGCTCTCTTCGTCATCGGCGTCCGAATCGTGACGACTCTCCTCGATAAGACGCTGTTCAGCTCGTTCTTCGGCGGAGGGGTAGTTGCGTAGATTCTGGCGGTAGTAGGTTCGTAGACTACGATGGCCGGCTGTTCGACCGCTGGGGAGGTGGAGCTCGTAGTCGTCGTGGTAGACTGCGTGGGGTGTTGTGTGAGCGTGAGAGTGGAAACCATCGGTGTTCTTGTGGGGTCGAGGGTCGTTGTGGGAGTGGTGGCGATGCAAGTCGAGTTTCGCGAACTTGTGGTCGTGTTCGTGGTCGATTGGGACGGAGGTGATTTCGTCGGTAGGGACGGAGGAGAGGGTGCTGTCGCTTTCCCAGCCTTCTTCGTCTTCGTCTAGGATCATTTCTTCGCCGTTCTCGCCTGAGGTGGTTGTCTTCGCGGCACGCTTGATGCCTAGACTTACACCAACGTTGGTCTGTGCCTCGTCCTCGTCTTCTTCGTCGTCTGAATATGTCGATCTGAAGTCGTAGTATTCGCCCACATCCATCTGCTCTTCCTCGGTACTGTACGCGATCATGCAGTGTCCTCTGTCGCGCATGTGGGTCTGTATGCCCCAGGGTGTGTGGAGTTGCTTGTGACAGTATAGGCAAGTGTGCAGGACCTCGATCGTCTCAGACAGGTAGTCAATGAGTCCCGGCAGATCAACAAGGAAATCCTTCTCAGGTATGAAGAAGCCGTGCTGGCGTGACATGTGGTTGAGGTTGAGATCCAAACTTGGCGAGCTGTAATTGCAGAATAGACACTGCTTGGGATCTGCCTTGTGATCTTCCTCTTCTTGTTCGTCGTCCTCCATCTTGGTGTCCTCGACTTCGCCACTCGATTGTGCAGCCCGCGAGGGTGTTGGTCGTGAGGGTCGGGCAGAGACAGGGTCTGGTGGTCCTTCGAGGCCAGTCTGCTTGATACCTTCTGTAACTTCTCGCAGCTCCTCTTCGGCATCCTGGTCGTCTGCATTGACGGTGACTGTGCTGGCCGTCGTACTGGCCGTCTCCACCGGATCACCAAGGGAGAATGTCGAATCTGCCATACTCTCCGTCTCATTCCCCCCTCTCGCCGCCATCCTGACGGTCAACACCCTATGCTTCTGGCTACCGAGATGGTTCACATACGCCCCCTCACTGTAGTACGTCTTCTCGCAAGCGTCACATCTCTGCTCAAAGCTGGCGCGGGCTGCTGTTGCCGCTGCTGAGGCCTTATTCGCAAGTACCTTCTCCGCGAAGATCTCCGAAGTGAGAGGTGGCAATGAAGCTACTCTTCGCTTGAGATTGTATCGGTGCCAGTCGCTGGTCATATGCACTCGTTGTGTGCTGCCCTCACGGAATGCGACTTGGCACGTGTTGCATGTGAACGGGTGGCTGCCACCAGCTACGCCGGCTGAGTTGGGTGGGGACTGTGATAGAGACGCCATCGTGTAGTGGTTATGGTGTAAAGTGTTCGAAAAGATGTTATTCACAGGCAGGTTGCTACTTTGCACTTTGCGGTCGAGTGATCTAGTTATCTTCAGTCGAAGTTTCGCTGAATGCTCATGTCATGTCGAAAATGACGCACATTGACCCGGCGAAGGCGAATCTTATGCCGACGCTTGGCCCGAAGTGGAAGTGGCCATCTTTGCTGACTGTACAGCATGCATTTCACATTCTCCTCCATCGCATGCAACTCTCTTGCATCAAGGAGTGGTTCTTGTGCCATGACAATTGCTCCATGCACTCGGACAAGACATAAGTCTTTGTCTATCAGAGAGTCCACGCCGCTGGCTGCACACACGTTCAAGGGCTCCCTCATGCCACAGCAAGACCATCTCACCGCCACCGACATGAACCATCCTCACTTCGCAACCAAACGAACAACAGGACCTTGAGTGCTAGATCAGCCATGTGGCCTGTAAATGAACCAGCGATCTGGGTAAGGCCTTCAAACTGTTCTGATCTGGAAATGGCTTCACACCTCTCGTCTCGTCCATGTCTAGCACCATCCGTGTCTCAAGCCGCCATGCCCGTCTCACATACTGAAGATGAAGTTCTCCCATGCACCTGAGAGCATATAAGCTAGGTATCACCCTGCTGTATCCTCAAGCTTTCCAACAAGCAACAACGTACAACAGCGATCTCCATCATACCACTCAACACCACAATCTCCGGCAATTCACTTCGAAGGCAGACCCAATACAGTGACTACTAAGTCATCAACATGACAAATGCATACTACTTCTACAATCCCGCCCGCCCACTGACCGAAGCTGAGCAAGATGTCAGGAACAAAGGCTACAACTACGTCTCAACCACAATCCTCGAGCCGTAAGTCTAGCTCGGCCACGGCCACAGCCACCAAACAACGAAGCAACTGACAAAACCCATAGCCATGGCAAACTACAGGAGCACCGCCACAGCAGCCACAACACCCACGAGATCATCCGTGGGAGCCTCAAAGCAGACAAGATGCACAAGGGCAGCCCGACCTTCCGCGCGATCTTCCAGCTCGTGGGCAAGGTGATCAATCTGCCTGCCCATGTCGACTACCAAGGTGAAGCTGGTCTGGATGGCTGTGATTTTGTCGAAGGGCATATGGTTTTGAGTCCGACTACGGCTGAGCGATTTGAGGCAAGAGGGATGATTGTGAAGGCTTCGAAGGGGACGGAGGGGGCGTTTCCTGTGACAGAGTGAAGTCTCGTTGGTATTACGGCGACTTGCAAAGAGTATTGTTCTGCTGTGCGCTCGAGGAATTTTGAGGCGATCATCGCGTCAGGGTCATCAGGTCAAATCTGTCAAGTCGGCGTTAGGGAAAGTATAAGCTATTGGTCCATCGTGTACGCTATGCTATCTCATGTGTATCTGTGCTCATTGTGAGTTCTCGCTTGAAGCTCCCTCTTCCTTTGCATAGTCGTCGTCGGTGCCAATGTAATAACTGTTCGACATATCTTCAATCTTACGTAAGCGAGCTTGCTTGCACCGCCCTTCCACTTCGCAATGCAACCAGCCCTCTTTCTCCGCTCAGCCGTTCAATACATCCTAGCCATGATTGTTCGGACAGCACCCTCATATTACCGCAAAGATGCAAGGCTTCAACATGGGCCGGTATATACCGCCCGACCAAGCCGGCGGACCCTCAGGTAACAAACTCAACAGCCGCCGTGCTCCAGGCACTCTTCGCAAAGATGGAAGTCAGACCGTGCGTTTTGAGCTACCTTATGCTGTGTGGTGCACCACTTGCAAACCGCATGCCATCATCGGCCAGGGGGTGCGCTTCAATGCGATCAAGAAGAAAGTGGGGAGTTATTACAGCACACCCATCTGGAGTTTCACGCTCAAGCATGTTACCTGCGGAGGTGCGATAGAAGTGAGGACCGATCCGAAGAACACGGCTTATGTCGTGGTATCAGGCGGTAAAGCGAGGGATTACGGCGAAGATAAAGTGCGAGAGGGTGAGGGTAAGGAAGGTGGGGTCCCGATCTTGACCGAAGCAGAACGGGAGAGGAGGCGGGAGGATGCTTTCGCGAATTTGGAGGGGAAGGTGGAGGAGAAGCGGGTGGAGAAGGATAATGGGAAGAGGATACGGGAGTTGTATCGGAATAGGGAGAGGGATTGGGATGATCCGTGGAGTGCTAATAAGAGGATGAGGACTGGGTTTAGAAGGGAGAGGAAAGTGCTGGAGAGGGAGGAGAAGGAGGGAGAGGCGTTGAAGAAGAGGTTGGGGACGGACATTGAGTTGTTGCCCGAGAGTGAGGAGGACGGGAGGAGGGCGGGGATGGTCACTTTTGGGGTTGGGGAGGATGGGAGGGGAGACGATGGCAGCGGAGCGGCTGGGAAGGCTCTCTTTCGTCACGAGCTGCCGGTACCAAGTTCGAGGTCTTTAGTCAAGGCGAAGTCGAGGGCTAAGAGGAAGTATCAGAAAGACCTGCTTCGACGTCAGCTCGTGAACAATACACGAGCTGCTATTGATCCATTCGGAAGTGGAGGATCATGAACTGAATGACATATGACATGACATCAGGCACTTCAGGATCCAATCTAGCATGGCGTTGCGGGACACCATCTGCTTTACATGCAGTATACCCAATCTTGTATCATCTTCAGCTCGCATCTGGTTGCGTCGGTACCACTCCAAGTATTACGTCAAGTCGTGCGTGGACTCGGCTATGGTTGTGACGCGCAAGTTCCCATCTCAGGGATCAGGTTCAGATGGGCTGGAAAGGAGTGTGGGTGGAATGTCCTGCTGCAGCAAAGACATGCTCGTGAAGGTAACGTGGTCGTCAAGGGATTAGCATTCGGTGGTACTGCGATCAGACATGTCGCTCCCTCCCTCCCTGCCTCCACCATCACTGGAGCTATTGGTCAAATATTACGCCAATGCAACCCCAACTTGAACAGCATATGCAAGACGCACCCACTGACTCCTGTGAACGTCAGCTCACCGCACCACCCTCATCCTACTCCAGTACCTCATCACCAAAACCTCGATACCCCTTCCTCCCAACCTCCCCCTTCACTCTCCTCACCCTGCCCTCCGCCCACCCAAAATCCGCAAGCCAGCCCTCCCTCTCCTTCTTCCACGCCCGCTGCTCAGCCGAGAACGTCCGAGAACGTCTCTCATCACCGTCTAAAAGATCCAATTCCCGTCGAGCCCGATCCAGTAATCTCGCTGCGTTGTCCCATTCGTACGTCAGACGTTTGAGATCAGCTATATACGCCGCTAGCTTGCCTCGCAAAAGTGAGGCGTGGGCTTCGTAGCCGTAGAGCGGACCATCTTGGTGGGATTTGCGGGGACCGTGTGCGTAGTTCAAGGGCGTTTTAGTGGTGGCTAGGCAGGGGCTTTCTAAGCCGGCGGCGTAGATGGGGAGGGGTTGGTTGTAATACGTGCTGTTGCCGACATTATGCCCGCCTGTACCTGCGGGATTGGGAGGTTGAACGTCACTATTGAAGCTCAGCGGGTCTATCGTCTGTCTTGGTGAGGAATGCGAGGCTGAGGGCCGGCTGCTGGGGGCTGGGTTATTGCTGCTTGAGGTGGGATGGGCGAAGAATTTCATGATGGCGTGGCCTATGTGTGTTAGAGGTCACAGCCTCTACCCATACCACGGAGCCGAGGATCAAGATGAACGTGCAGCAGGCCATCTACTTGTGTGAAGCGCTTGAGGATCTCCTATCTCCCATGTTGTTTGCAGATCTGCATGTATCAGTTTGCTTGAAGATCATTCTCTTGTTAGGCATGAACGACTTGCTAGCCATTGTTCAATGTGAGTCGCCAGTCGCCTACTTTGTCTAAGACAAGGTCACGAGTCATTCGCATTCACCTACGAGGTAAAGAAGCTTAAATGGTCTAGCTCGAAGTATGAGAAATTTGGGCATGAAGCACGCACTTCCAGAGTGCTCCAACACATATCGTTAAGACACTTCGCTGAACCAACCATCCCATCCTTCTCTGTTCCATGCCACCTCAAAATTCCGCATCCTTCATGACTCCATCTCTCATATGCGGATCTGATAATTCAGATCCTGGGAATAACCCACACTCAACTGCGGGATCTGCGCATACCGCCCTGCCAAAATCTGCCTCGTATTCTGCAGAACCTGGGAGTAACTTTGCTTGACCCCGAACTGCTTCATGCACTCCAGAAACGCCCAACTCATGGCTCCCACGTGGCTGCCCGCAATGCTCGCATCCGCCGACGTCTGATCGTCGCGGCACCCGGAGAACATGGTGACCTGTTTGTTGCCATCGCTCTGGAATTCTTCGTAGGTGTCGGATTGAGCGAGACCGTACTGGTTGACTTCCGCTCGTCGATGGGTCAGGCCTTTGAAAAAGTCGGTGGCGCCCGCTAGGAGGCCTTCGGCTTCCTGGATGGATCCCATGTTGAAGCCGCCTTGGACTAGATGCGAGGCCGCTCCAACGAGTCGCATGCCTTGTTTCACGTTGTCGACCATGTTCACGTTTCCATCTTCATCGGCGCGGAAGACGTACGGGAGTTCGAGGGCAGAGCCGGAGTGGCAGCAGTCTAGGATGACGGTAAGACTGCTGTTCGGTGGCAACCCGCTTACGAGGATTTTGTGCAGGATTCCCGAGGGGATTTGGCCATTGCGTTCGAAGTCTTGCGGGACTATCGTGTCATCGAAGCCGGAGGCTCTGTCGTCATCTGCCGCGACCTGGCCGCCATGGCCGGAGTAGTGGAGGAAATTTTCCGTTCCCGGTTCCGAGACTAGCCATTGCATGGCGGCGAGGATGTTGTGACCGGAGGGGAACATGGGGCCTCGGGGATCTGTGCGATTGTCGTCTCGCATTATAACTTGTGAGCGTGGGTCTTCTGGGTAGCCCATTGCGTCGACTGTATCTCGGATTAGCTAATGTGTGTTGTTGACACTATTTTGGCACTTACGAAATTCCCGGACGTTGTTGACATCTTGATGGCAACCCTGAAGCGTGTGTTGGCTGCCAAGGTAATTGATACCGATCAACAGTGACTTCTTGCGTGGACCGCCGCCGCCACCGCCGCCCAACCCGCGTTCCTGATATCGTTGTCGTTCCTCGTAGTAAGCCATGACTCGTGTATGAAGGAAAAGTTTCGTGCTCGGTCCGTATCGTGAAAGATGGGAAGTGTTCTTATAGGGAAAGCAATTGTTGTGGAAGGCACGTGGAAGCTGAAGTGCTGTCTCAATGCGGCTCAACGGCTACGCGCGGCAACTCTGCTTGTGAAGATCGGTCGAGACCGAGGGGAACTCACAAGCTTATGGTATTCTTGGCAAAAGGGTACGAATATTGGCGAAACAGGACAAAATAATGTAAGCCGTGATCGCTTCCAAGCAATTTGACTGAATAATCTTACAATGCGTCCTCGAGCTATGTTTACATAACAGGGCAGGCACTTTTACCTCCCATTCAATAATGACCGTCCCACCGACCAAATGCATGCGAAGTTTGCCCACTTGCCTCCAATTCTTCATAGTATAGTTGCCGGTCTTATCTCCCTGATAAGTACGATGCTTGCAAATGCATATCATCTAACAGGCCTCGTACCATCAAGCAACTCCCCCTTGTCCTTAGCAGCCTCCCGCTGCACAAGCTCTGGATCGTCTCGTCAATGCTGACCGTCGTTATGCGTCCCATGACTCTCATTCCTGCACGCTCCCAAGCTCCCGTGTATATCTTCGAAAGCACGATCTAGCTTGGCAAGGGCCTCGGCTTTTTGTTTCTCGGACACGACACTGTCCGCTATGGGAAGTCCTCTTAGAGCACTCTGCATCTCTTCTGCGATCTTCTCAGCTCAAGATCTTCCTGAAGGATGAGGTGGGGGGGGCACTATGACAAACCTAGATGACTAGAAATAGATGGCATCGGAGACGAGGAGGGCGGAGGCAGCAGCGCCTGTCCCATAGTCGCCTTCGAGCTGCTGCTGGCAACAGCGTTGGGAATAGCAGGAGCAGGCGGAGCGACAGCCGAAGTCGCCGCACCGCCAGCTGAAGCCGTAGTACCCTCCCGTTTCCTCAGACCCACTAGCCCTCTCCCATCAAGAAAAGTCTCGTACCCACCCATCTCAAGCACCTCCCTAACCACTTCCTCCCTCCCATCCCCTCCATCCTCAAACCCCTCATCAAGCGTCACCCTCCCACCCCTAAGCGCCTCCCTCTCCTCCCCACCACTTCTCACCCTCTTCCTGTCCCTCTGCACCTCCGCCCCGGCCAACCCCCTCACAACCTCCCCATTTTCCTCATTCCCCTCCACCGCAAACCGTAAACACATGATGGCGTGCTCACGGATATAAGGATTACTCTCATCGTGTCTGCAACAACTCACTAGAGCTTCCAGACCACCATACCGTCGGACTTGGTTCTGGACTTGCGGGTTTTTCCAGATAAGGGACGAGAGGACCAGGACGGTGAGTTTCTTTAGATTACGCCATTCGAAATCCGAGGGCTCGTCTTGGTCGAGTGGGGGTGGGGGCTGAGGAGGCAATGGCACGCCGCCGAGTTGTGCCGCGTGGGCTTGTGCAGCGGCGACTTGGGCGGCTTGAGCTTGCATGTCTTCCGGATATGCTAGTGGGGTTTCGGGTTCAAAGATCGGTTGGCCGTTTGTTGAGGCTGGTGGTAGCAGTGTACTAGGTAAGGAAGGCAAAGTCGGTGGAAAGCCCGGTGCTGCAGACTGTTCCCCATCGAACACCAAAGCCTCAGCATCCATCGCTCTCTGCAGCTGTTGCTGACCAGCTTGCAAACCAGGCAAAAGCGTCTGCACAGCCGGAATCGCAGCATCAGCGCTCAAACTTCTCTGCTGCATTAATCCCGCCACAGGAGCAGGGACTCCCACACCCGGTAAAGACCCACCGGCCGCCGACTGCGCACCCACACTAGCCTGGCCACTCACCCGTCGTCCATTACTGGCCACACTCGCCACATGCGGCAAAGAAGGAAGAGGTGGCGCACCAATAGCCGCGCCCTTCCCATATCGTAATTGCACAATTCCATCCCTCTTCTCCGTTCCTCCCTCCAATTCCCTCAATAGCGCAACAAGCTCACAACTCGCCTCCCACTCAGACAACACCCCCTTGCCCCAGCCTCCACCCCCCGTGACGCCTCCGGGTCCGTTGACAGCCCCGTTAGTGCTGAGATTATGAACGTTTCCAACGCCCGCGGCGCCGCCTTCCTCGCAAACCACGGCGAAGAACTCAAGGAACTGATAGACGCCTTCGTACATTCGTTCCATGTCCCAGAGATTGAGCGGGAAGTCTTCTGGACTTGCTCGTCCCACATGAATTTGACTTTGGAGAAAGATCAAAGCGCATGTTTGTGGGATGATGTGTTGTCTAAACTCCGTGAAGAGGAAGTTGAGAGTGTGGAGATCCGTTCGTGTTGGGGGAGGATAGACGGTCAACAGGGCCCTGCGTCGAGAGTGCAGCGTGTATGACCGCGCATCAGCTTCCGGTGTGCTTTTAGCTAGACGTAGGCGCGCGGCGTTGAGTTCAGCTTCATCGGCGGTCGATTGGTCCCCTCCGATGCTACCGCGGCCACGATACACGACTGTCATTAACTTCATGATGACTGCTTGGGCTGGAGATATTATATCCTTGCTTCTGCTTCTGTCGCGGAAGGCGTGGTAGGCGTATGGCATTAGTCCTGCGTTTAGGATGGCTTCCATGATCTTGACCATGAATTTGAAGTACAACTCCTCTTCTCTCAGGTCCCAAGCTGCCACAAATATTAGCAGCTCCCGCAGCAGATTACGCCCGGTAGACTGTGATAAGAGGAGATGCGTTCTGGTGGTGTGGAGATTTTGGAGGGATAGTGCGGAAGTCGGAAAGGGCGTGTCGTTCGGATCCGCGTCCTTTGCTGGCGATGGTTGGTCCCGTGGTGGTGTGTTGGGTGGGACAATGCCGGACATGATCAGCATAGGCAGGACTTCGATTTCGCTGGGTCCGAGGATCAGCGGGACATCTGTCAGCAGACCACGCCCGTCTTCCGTCGAGCCGGGATAATCTTCATCGTCGTCCTCCTCCTCTTCTTCCTCGTCGTCTTCCTCCTCTTCCTCGTCCACTTCGCCCTCCTCTCGCGGCTCGCTCCCCTCTGGATCCTCCCCCTCAGCTTCCTCACGGCCTCTCGCAGCACGACTTCCCCTCCTCAACCCTTGCTGCTGCTGCTCGGGCACCGCCACTCCACCACCCATTTGATACTCCGGCCTAGGCAGATTCAACTCCTCCATCCCCTCTTCAGGCAATGGAAGCGCTATCATATCCTCCCTCCTTCTCCCCTCGTTCAACCTAACCCATGCCTCAACCTCGCCCTTGTTCCTCGGTCCGTTCCGGCAATACTGAACGATCACTGGACTCCTGCTCATAGACCTCGTTCTCTCCAGCGGCCGTCCCTGAGGGTCGCGGTGACAAGGTCTGGTAGTCAGGCCATCCGGGTGGCGTGATGGTGGGAGGTTGGGATCCGGAGGCGAGTAGTCCGAAAGCCGTTTCATGAGTTCGATCTTCCCGCTTTCGAGGATGCGGGAGCCGGCGTCGGCGGTGAACATCATCTTCATGTCGTCGGGGAGGGTGGCGCGATGTTGGAGGTCGGAGTGGTCAAGCACACCGGTCAAATGTGGTGGCGAGGAGGGAATCTCCACCTCGATTTCCCTTGCCATTGCTTCGGCTTCACCTCGTCCCATCTGTAGGTGCTCGGCGATCTCTGCCTCGAGCTCCTGCACTCTATTTCGCAGCTCTCGTTCCCGCTCGCTCGCTGCCGCACCCATGCCATCTTGCTCCATCATAGTGCGAGTGGCGATTTGCTTAGCCTCCCACACTGCAGCGTCAGCTCGATACTTGGCTGCTGCATCGGCGTACAGACCCTCCCAGTAGTCTTCCGTCTCTCTTCGCTGCGTGACCTCACCCCATTGTCGCATCAGCTCTTGATGCTCCTCTGCCAGGGTGGGGTCACGCTTGAAGTCGTCTTGGTAGAATTCGAATCGTCTCGCACGCACATGGGGAGTCTTGCCGTAGAAGACATACGCATTCGGTACAAGACCAGAAGCATCACCTTTTCGCGCCGCTTCAACAGCAGCTCGCATGGCAGGTGGCAGCTTGTCCTTATGCTCCACAGTCTGCACTGCCATGTCATGCTCATCTTGTGTTATCCACCTCGACCCATCCGTCCCATATGCTAGCAGAATATCATCTTCTAACACAGGAGGCTGAGGCGGTATGGGGGGATTCGAAGGCACATCAGCCAGACTCGTCCTGCTCGTCTCCGGGATGTCCTCGGCCGCAAAACTAGCCGAGTATGCTTCTGGCGTGGTCTCGTGATCGAATAGAGACAACCATAATAGCAGCTTCCTCTTCTCGTTCTGCGCCACCAGATTGTTCAAGAATTGCAGGCTCGTGATCAGAAGCTTCTTGTAGGCATTAACAATCCACTGCCACTTCTCCTCGTCGCCCGTCCCGGCTTCACCATCGTATCCTCTCGCTGTCACTCGCACACAGCAATTGACTAGGCGGAAGAGATCGTTGTCCACGCCTTCAATGCAGGCCAGATCTTGGGCAGGTGCGCCGATGGTGAGGACGTTGCGACTGATGCTGACCAGATCGTTCAACCTCTCGACATCCTTCCAAAGTCCTGGGTAGTGGCTCGCGATCAGGGCGCCGCTGGTAGACTCGTAATCCACGCTCGTCGGGTCCCAGATCGTGAAGCTGCGTCTCTCCAAGCTCGGGATGGCGGCCTTGAACAGCATCACCAGTTCTGACCAGAATTTGCCATCCGTCCCTATCGCTTCCCTCACCAGCGCATTGTTCGCTGTACTCTTGAGTGTCTCCTTGCATACTTTGCGATCCAGTAAGTCGAGTGTCCCTTCCCGCATATATGTCGAGCTCTTGAAGTGGATGGTGTATGGCGGTAGGACTAGGCGCAGTAAGACGCTATGCGCCTTGATCGCCTTCTCCTCACCGTCTAACCCTCTCGCCATCCTCTTCTACTCTCCCGACAAATGCTGAAGTCGCTTGACGATGAGCCTTCCAACGCATGTGTACCTCGACTTTCTGTTACCATGACATCTGCGGCGGAACGTTTTTCCGAATGGGTAGGTTCATCTGTCAGACTGTCACGCATATGCTCGCGGTGGGAACGCCAATCCCTGTATTTCCTTCGCATATACACGGAATCAAGCCACTCAGTCCTGCGCGTATGGCTCTCTATGGACGGGATCAAATTTCGGTTTGGCTGCTAGCAACCATCACTGCAAATCCTGCAATGTTGACTCGGAAACGAAGGTTGAACTCGACATCTGGATAGAAGGCTGCCCATACTTCACTTCATTGCTTCATGGACAGTCGCCGTCAACCGCTCAAGACGATCCATAGACGTCGCATACTGTATTATACACCTTGTAAATATGCTAGTGTTTGGTAGACCTCACGAGCAGCCATATTTGCAGCTCCATGCAGGGAGATACCTGTGCATGTGCTTACCCAAACCCTAACCCTAATATTGAACAGGGCACAGCTACGGCCCAAAGGAACTATCACTTCACTTGGAGAAGTATGGCAAAATTTGCCTATGTCGACCGACTGGAGAGGACACGGAAAGGTAAGAACGATCAAAAACTAGACGTGAGCCAATAAAAGAGTTTTCACAATGGTGCAGTACTTTGACGCTACCTTCAGCCAACAACCTACCTGATCGCGAGGAGGTACATCTTGATAGCAATTCGCGTGGCCCTGGGTCTTGCTTGTGCTAGACGTCTGTAGCCCCAGCAGCATATTATAAGTCGCGAACTGTTCTGACTAGGTCGCCGAGTATAATCGACGGACAAAGCAAACTCGTATCATTGCTGCATTCCCGAGGCTTGATTACCTCGCATGAGCTTTGCTGCCCAAGGACATCATCCAAAACCTCGAACAACCATCTGCGATTCCACCGTACCGCCTTCCAGTTACTCTCATCCCGTAAATTGTTCATCATACACTCCACATATGCCGGTGGCGGGCTGCGAATGACTCGTACAAGACAGAAATCGCGGTCATGCATGCAAATGAGCGAGAAGCCACGATGGGCACCCCAGACGGCACAGCTGACGGTTGTCGCCATGCCTTGGCAACGTGGTCGACGGCAGTTGAAGGCATCATCATCGCCTAAAGCAGAGACCGAGATTAGAAAGCGGGACGCTGATGTGCGCGAGTTGGGTGGTATAAGCGAGATCAGTAGCAATAGGAACGGCAATAGCGCCTAAGAAACAGGCTGACATATAGGCTGTACAGTACGGCGGGACGCATAATGATCGTTGTGATCAAGCGAAGATGGAGGAAGGATTTTAGTAGGTGAGGTTTCGCGAGGCAGGCGCGTGCGTTTAGAATTCAAGCCGGGATCGCTGCAATGGGATTAGCGTAAGAGATTATTCTGGACCTCATTCCCCTTTCTCGTCTAGACGCCGATGAGCTGTGAGACGAACTGGTGGGTTGACAACGAAGAAGGATGTATCATCGACCGCTATGAACGACATGCGCGCATCAGCTCTTCTGGACGGTGCAGAACGTTCCATTCTTCTTCTCAAGCATGCGCACATCTCAAGTTGACGCTCACAATTAGCAAATGTCAGAGGCGAAGCGGCTCACCTCAGCTTCCCCTTTGCAACCTCCTGTACGCCACACATGTCCACAAACGTCGAGAACCACCCAAAGCAGTCAGGTACGACGGCAGAGGCGTCTAGAAGGAGATTGTCCCTGTCCCGGTTTCGTAAGTGCTCTCCACCTCGCCACGCAGATCTACGAATCCTATCTACTCACGCTTATCACTCTAACCTGTTCCTGTCACCAGACTCTGTCGACGGGCCATACCGCCGGACGTTCCTGGGCATCTGCAGCGTCCCGCGTGGGCACGTTGACTGCATCTGAGTCCGGAGCAACTCTATTGTGTGCTCATCTTGAGACCCACGCAAGCGATGTCTCTCCTACCGTCCGCATGGCCCTTCCTTTCTACCAAGGCTGTCACTTGAACGCCACACCAAGGGCCTACGCCCGCGCCGCCACGCGACGCGATTCTAGCTTCCCGTTGACCGGCATTCACGATGCGGGTGTGTGCGATTCAGCACCGCCTTGTCTGGCGCTGCTGTGAGCACGCCAATACCCGAGACCTCGAACGGTGATCTGTACACTCTTTCCAACGTCTATCTCTTCTATCTATCTTCAGTATCGTTCTTCGCTTTCGGCAGCACGCCACCTTCTGGTTGTCTTACGCTCTGTCTGACCGTCTGAACGACGGAAGCCAGGACCATTAGGTCTTGATATCACTCTTTTGACACAACTTCATCATACTTGTTCGTTATTCACAGTAGTCCCTCTGGGACGCCCACACTCGCTTCTTCCTACTACCTCCAGCCCAGCATCGTGCTGCGGAATCCACATCGCCCATCATGGCTACCTCTAATCTAATTATCACCGGTCTTTCCTTACTCACGCTCGCTGCCGCACAGAGCAGCACCACAACATCCACCGATACATCTTCCTACGCTTCTCCAGCACCAGCAGGAAACTACTCTTCCTGCCCGACCTCCGTCGATGATCTCTGCGCAACAGCGGGCTCGACAATTTTCTGCTACGACGAGAGCTCCGTGCTCTACACGCTTACCTGCAATGCTTCTTTCGTGGGGGAGATCTTGACGGACGTCAACAATGGGGACGATGAGAGCGGATCAGCTTCCTCTACAAGCAAAAAGAGCAAGCGTGACTCTTTCTTCGACTTCCCCTACGTCACCTTGGCGGACTGCACATCGGCTTGTGATAGTCGTCCGAACTGCTTGGCTGTCAACGTTCTGGATGGGTCGAGCTGTATGATGTTGGATTCCATCGTCGGCATGAACAATTCTTCTCCCTCCACAGTGGCTGCATACAAGGGTTACTGGGCTTTAAACGCAACGATCCCGTCCAGGAATGGGACGAACGGGACGGATGCTCCAGGTTTCAACTTCACGTTGCCTGGGAACTTTACTCTCCCACCGAATATCACTGTCCCGGAATTCCCGACCAATATCACCGCCCCTTTAAATGAGACTCTGCTTGCGAATGATACTTCGCCGGCTAATACGACGACTTCGCTTGCTGATCCGGTCACAACCGATTTGCCATTGAGCACTACTGCCCCGGACAACACAACTGTCAATGCCGATCCAACCACAACGAGCGCCGATGTACCAGCTGCTACTTTGAACAGCACGACCCCAGACAACAGCAGATACCCATCCACAAACTACACGGGGCCCTACCCGTCAACAAACTACACAGGTACCCCAAGCTTCAACTCCTCCGCCCCACCAGGCTTCCCAGATGCTTCGGCCTTCCCAACCTGTGACTCGGTCACTTGCTCAATTGCAAACACCGCCAGCACACCCTTCTGCCACGACGATCAGGATCAGCTCTATACCGTCAATTGCGGCGTCACTTTCCTCGGCACTACCATGTCCGAGGTGGCTGATCTGGAGACGCTCTCAGGATGCGCGGATGCCTGTGATGAAGTCGAGGGATGTCAGGCTCTGAACTTCGATATGGTTTTGAGCAACTGCACGCTGGTCTCTGGAGCACTGGGTACAGATTATAGTAATCCTACTGTCATTGGTCTGTGGCGGGGATGCTGGGCGCAGCCGGCTTCGAACAACACTGGGTCTTACGCTCCTACGGGCACCGGTCTTGTAGGCACCGCACCTGTCAGCGCTGGTTTCCCGGCTCCGTCTGGAAACGTAACGTCTCCTGCGAACACGACTATCGCGGACCCAATCACCACCGCGGATCCTTCCTCAGCCGTACCGACACCCGCTGCTAACTTGACGACTGATCCGCTCACAACCTCTGATCTGAGCACGACTGCCTCATCCGGCTTCCCTACACTTTCCGCTAACAGCACGGATGGCGTTGCGGGACCTACGGGTACCGGCGCATACCCTGCTGCGTCTTTCCCAATTGGCTTCCCAGGGCCATCGACCAATTCGTCTGGTGGCAATGTTACTTTCTCTGCTTGCAATGACAACATGTGCGACTCGGGCGAAGGTGTCAATGTCTGCACAGACATCAGCGGCCAGGTTTATACTGTCAACTGCGGTCTTACTTTCTCTGGCGTTACCGGCATCAACACGACCGCTGGTTCTCTCTCCGAGTGTCAGGCCATGTGCGATGACGTTGCAAGGTGTTTGGCCATCAACTACGGCTTCGGACAATGTCAAGCCGTCTTCACAGTGTCTGGCATCAATTACCCAGCTCCTGGCTGGACTGGTGCGTGGCGCGGTACCTGGCAGGGTGGTGCACCGCCTGCTGGAAATTCCACCGGTGGGTATCCTGGCAACTTCACTATTCCGAGTGGAAACTTCTCTGCGCCAAGTGGGACACCGATCAGTAGTGTGAACGCAACTTCCACGGATTCCCCAAGCACTGCCACAAGTAGCTTGCCAATCAATAGCGCTAATCTTACGACGACAAGCTCTGTTGCCGATCCCGTGACCACTTCCGCTCCGGCAAGCATCAGCGATGTCAGCCTGACTACTTACACGACGACCTGCACGGAAAACAACACGGAAGTCATCCACACCCACTCGGCTATCGTAAGCGCCAACACTACTTCCGATCCAGCTGCAAGTACCACTTCCGTGGGCACAGCGGCTACGTCGGGCTTCCCACAGAACTCAGCCAACGGCTCATACGCAGCTGGCCCTACCGCCTTTGTTCCGACTGGCGTCTTCCCTGGTCCGCCACTTTCGACTGGTCTACCTACGAATGTCAGCTCCTGCGCCGTGGCAAGCTGCGAGGCCGGCTCTGTCCCATGCACTGACTCCACTGGTATACTCTACACACTCAACTGCGGGACACAGTTCCTCGGTCCAGCCACCAACACCTCAGCAAACAATCTCGATGCCTGCCAGCAAACGTGCGATGGAAAATCTAGCTGTCTCGCAGTCAACTTCAATGGCGCTCAGTGCCAGATCGTTTCTGCTGTCGTTGGTATCCAGACACCGGCTCCAGGCTGGACTGCAGCATGGAAGGGCTTATGGGCTGGTGGGGCACCCGCAGCGCTATCCGGTGGCTTCCCTGTATCAAGCTACAACGGAACAGGCCCAGCGTCGTCTGGTGCGCCGATCAACAACGTCAATGTAACGACCTCTGCGCCTCTGGTCACGGACCCTGCTCCGACAACGCTGCCCGTGAATAGCACAGGCTCACTGCCTTTGACAACATCCAGCGTTGTGGTCGACCCTATCACAACCTCGGCCACAGACTTGACAACATCTTCTGCCACCATCTCGCTCGGCACAGCTACTTCTGGCTTCCCTGTCAACTCGGCGAACGGAAGCTTCCCAGCGGGTCCTACAGGCTTCCCTGCACCACCGAGCAACGTCACAGACTCTCCTTGCGGCAATGGCACGAGCGCGACGATCGTTGATGCGAACGGGCAGCTTTACACTATCAATTGCGGTCTCAGCTTCCAGGGCAACGTCTCTCTTACAATAGTTGCGGCGGCTGGCCTCGAGGGATGCGCAGAGACTTGTGACTCTCTCCCAATCTGCTTGGGCTTCAACTTCAGAGGCCAGTCCTGTGACTTCATCGCATCCGTTGCTGGAGTATCTTTCGGCTCTCCTATGTCGATTGGCGCTTGGCGAGGAGAGTGGGCTGGTGGTGCTCCTGGTGCTCCAGCTGGCGGCAATGGAAGCTTCCCAATCCCGGGTGGCAACGGGAGCTTCCCGATCCCAGGTGGTAATGCAAGTGACCCAGTCACCAATGTTACACTTCCTGTTGTGAATGCCACATCGAGCTCGGAGTCATCGATCGTTTCTACTACGTCTTCGGCTTCGGCTTCGGCTTCCCTTAGCATTCCTGCTGTATCTGCAAACACTACTTCCAGCGACGTGCCTGTAAGCACAAGCATTAGTCCCGTTAAGACGGGTACTGGCAACTCATCTCCAGCAGTCAACTCCAGCAGCACTTACTCAGTGGGGCCTATCTCGACGGGCTCCCCAACCCCAGCGAACTCCTCATACCCAGTCTGTTCGCCCACCGACTGCTCCGCACAGTTCTGTGTTGACGAGGCTGGTTCGCTGTATTCTATCACCTGCAACAGCGCATGGATCGGTACTACTTTGGATCTTACGGTTGGCCAGGTTGTTCGTCGTGACGGTGTCACAATCTTGGACTGCGAGGCATCTTGCGACTCCTCATCCGCCTGTATCGCGGCCAACTATGACGGCTCTTGCACATACTTCTCTGCTATCAATGGCTTGGTATCTGCGAACGGTACAGTCGCTCTGTGGAAGGGCTACTGGGGCTCGAACTTCGCTATCCCGGGCTTCAACGGTACCACTCCAGGCGGCAATAGCTCGTTCCCAGGCTTCCCGGCTGGTAACAGCAGCTTCCCGGGTGTTCCGTTAAACGAAACGTCGCCTGTCAATGGTTCGGTCCCGGATACGCAGAACATTACGTCTTCCGCCACGATCTCTATCATTGCTTCTACTTCGAGCATCGTGACCGTGACTGATCCGGCATCCACTTCGTCTAGCATATCCAGCGCTTCGAATACATCCCTTTCGATCGTCCACCCATCCACTACTTCCGCCTCGTCAGGCTTCCCAGCCCCGTCGCCCAACAGCACGACGGAGAGCTACACAATCGGGCCCATTAGCACTGGCAGCCCAGCATCGCCAAACTCTACCTTGGCTTCTTGTTCCGCCATCGAGTGCTCGGCACCATATCAGCAGAGCTCCTGCCAGGATGCTAATGGTCAGACATACACGATCACTTGCGGCGTTGCTTTCATCGGTAGCTTCGAGAGCGGCGTGTACAAGAGAAGCGCAAGTAATCTGCTCGACTGCGAGAGCGCTTGCGATGCCGACGCCGCCTGCGTGGCCCTCAACTTTGACGGCTCGAGCTGCGCATATCTGACAGCCGTCAATGGTACCGCGGTCCAGAATGGATCTATCGCAGCATGGAAGGGTGTTTGGCTTGGTGGTGCGCCGCCGACTAACGGTAGTGCTCCTTTCTTGCCCCCGTTCAACAGCACTGGCCCGAGCAGCGGATATTTCCCACTCCCATCGGACAACGCAACGACGCCGGCTGGTCCAACGGCACCAGTTACCGCCAGTGCATCGACTACTTCCCATTCAAGCTCGTCGGATCCCACTTCCTCGCTCTCCACATCTGTGCCCGTCGATACTCCAAGTATCTCGAGCACCGATCCTGTCTCGCCCGTGACGACTTCTGCCACAAGCTCGGAATCGTCGTCTATCCCTGTGTCAACGAATACAACCTCGAGCACTATCTCTGTCCCATTGACTACTGGCTCGCTAATCCCCGTCGTCAATGGCTCCATCCCTACGAACCAGACTGTCGGCCGATGCGATGCTGTCGAATGCTTCGCTCCATTCGAGCAATCTTTCTGCACCAACAACGCTGGACAGGTCTACACCATCACTTGTGGCGTGGCTTTCCAGGGCACGCCAGGTGACCTTACACCCGCTGGTAGCCTTTCAGGCTGCCAAGCTGGATGTGATGCCTCCCCTGCCTGTCTCGCTGCCAATTACGGCAACGGTACTTGCACTCAAGTGTCCGCTGTCACGGGTATTCAGCGAGTCAACGGCTCCGTCGCTGCTTGGAAGGGCATCTGGGCCGGTGGTGCTCCCTCTAATGGAAGCTCGCCATACCCGTCTTTCAACGGCACGGCACCCTTCCCACCTATCAACGGCAGCGCCCCAGCACAGTCCGTCAATGCTTCAGCCACTTCGAGCACACCAGTCGACCCAGCGACAACTAGCCTTGTATCGACCTCAACAATCTCGATATCTACTAGCTCTATTGTGTCTACTAGCAGCCTGAGCACTTCCAGCTCGAGCTCGTCGCCTGTCACAACCTCGACTGTATCCTCATCCAGCAGCTCGTCTTCCAGCATTGTTAGCACTTCAAGTTCCAGCACATCGGTATCCGTCCCTCTTACCACCGGCACGCCAGGCATTCCATCGAGCAATTCGTCGCTTCCAGCAAACGCTACTGTGACCTCCTGCGGTGCCCCAGCATCTGAGCTCTGCGCTGCAGGCTATGGCTTGGGTGCAAGCAGCTTCTGCAAGGACACCAACGGCCAAGTTTATACCACTACTTGTGGTGTGCAATTCCTGGGACCGTCCGTCTCGAACACCACTGCTGCATCTCTTGAGACCTGCACTGAGGTTTGCGATGGATCTGCTGCCTGTGTCGCACTGAACTACGGTATTGATGGTTCGTGCTCGCTTGTCAGCGCTATCTATGGTGTCAATGCCAACGCTACCGGTTCCATTGCTGCATACCGCGGCATTTGGGTAGGTGGTGCGCCCTCGGGCCCAGCTGGAGGCAACAGCACCGTGCCATTCCCTCTGCCAGGCGGCAACTATACCGTACCACCCACCACTGGCTCCGTCATTCCAGATTCCTCCACGGTGCCAGTATCTAGCAGTGCTCCAGTGGACCCGGTCAGTAACAGTGCCTCGCCCATAACCTCCTCAAGCTCCGTGTCTAGTACTCTTCCCAGTACGAGTTCGTCCAGCTCCTCAATACCAGCGTCGACTTCGAGTGCTTCCGTTAGCTCTAGCCCGTCTCCATCGACGTCTTTGCCGATTGTATCTGGCACCACAAGTCCTTCAACCTCAGGCGGACGCGTTAGCAGCACTACAAGCCAGGTCTCAACTTCAAGCGCTCCATCGGCACCCGTGTCGACCGGTAGCAGCGGCTTCCCACTGTGCTCTGTCGGCCTCGGGGGATACTGCTCCTCCAGCAATGCGACTTTCTGCAGCGACACGACCGGCCAGACTTGGACACTCAATTGCAACTCTGCTTTCAATGGAACTGTCCTCTTCAGCCAAGAGATCCTCAAGAGACAAATCGCCGCCGCATCCTCCACGCTCCTGGATTGCGAGGCTGTTTGCGATTCTCAAACTGACTGTGTCGCTCTCAACTTCGCCAACAGCTCCTGCACGCTTCTGAGCTCTATCAATGGTGTCAACCCAGTCACAGGCTCTATTGCCGCCTACAAGGGCTACTGGCCACAAGCTGGATTGAATAATGGCACTGCATCTGTCAGTGGCTTACCTTTCGGCCCCGCCGGCGTGCCATCGTTCCCACCAACCACCGCACCATTGAGCACTGGTATTTCTTCAGCTACCTCGTCGATCGTTACCTACAAAGCAGTAGACCTGATGAAGCCGAAGGACGTGCACGAAGTGTTTCAAGCAGTGGCTGGTCAAGTCGGCAAAATCGACATTCTGGTCTCGAACGCTGCGGCTCTACCAGCTCTCGGTCCACTGACCAGCTACGACTCCTCCGAATCCATGCGCGGATTCGACTTGAACGTCCTCTCAGCCTTCAACGCGGTGCAGGCATTCCTCCCTCACGCCGGACCTAGACCACTAATCATCAACATCTCGACGGCTCTAGCTCACTTCGCGCCCATGCCCGGCGCAAGCGGCTACGGTACTAGCAAAGCCGCGAACCTGAAGATGATGGACTACTTCGCAGCCGAGAACCGTTCCATCCACGTCGTGAACGTGCAACCTGGTACCGTAACGACGGGAATGAGTGCGCAGGTTGGTGTCAAGGCCCCGGATCAAGGTATGCTAGCATCGCTCCCGAGAACCTCGATGGACTTTCTGACAGTTCTCTTCAGCGGATCTACCAGGCCAGTTCTGCGTCTGGCTAGCATCGCCCGAAGCCGCATTTCTGCGGAACGAATTCGTGTGAGCCAACTGGGATGTAGACGAACTGATGGCTAGATCAGAAGAGATTCGGAACTCAGGGCTATTCACTTGGTTGGTAGAGGGTGTGCCGATGTAGTGTACGAGGACAGCCATGCTGTAGATCATTTATGCAAGATCATATGTGCACTACACGCATGCCGAATCGAGAAACATCCACGGTTGCATTATTGTGTCGAAGACGCATCCAGTGCAGCTGAATAATGAGCAGCCATGCGTCGGTTTGCTGGTTTGCCATCCCTGCTCTCTTACTCCATCGACCGCGCAACGAGTACATGGACCTCCGCAAACCGCCTCAAACCCACTCTCTATCTCAAAGCCTTTACAACATGCCCGCCCGGACTCGACCGCCTCAGTTCTCGCTCTCTAGCATTTCGTTCATTCCTTGCCGGGTTCATGCCCGCGGGACAAGCGCTGCAAAGCCAAAATGGATGGTCACTAGCCTGAGCGATGGCCGCGCCGATGAGCATGAGCCTCAAGGGGTATGCGGCGGGGCCTAGTGCGCAAATGACACGGTGCGACGCAAGATGCCGCAAGCTTGATGGAAGGCAAGGTTGAGCGGAAGACGTCGAGAGGATGTCAAGGGTTGACCGCGTGATGATTAGATGTGATAGACAATTTCTTGGCGGCGGCGATTAGGGGAGCTGCCCGGGCCTCACGCTCCTCCCTAATAAGATGATGGGGGCTGTGTGACCAGGGATGCACGTAGCTGTATGTGGAGCGGAGCTTTGGTATCTGCTTTCGATCGCATGACTTCTGTCTCCCTGTCCAGACTCATGGATACCAGCCGCTCAGGTAAAGATCTTTCTTTTCTCTGTCATGCCAATGAACGCGGGATTTGCAAGCTCTTGTTTTACCCCAGGTACGTCTCACACCCCAAAGGTATTGAACACCCTCATCTTCACACCCTCCCAAGTATTCAGCTTAGGCCTTACATCCAAGTAGAAGTTCAACCCTTGGCTGGCCGCACCAGTCTCTCTGCCGGAGTAAAAGTCAATCACATATTCCACCTTCTTGCCACATCGATCGATTACCCAGTCATGTCTGTCGAACGGTGTTTGATAGCCCAAGACCATACTATTCCATCTCGCCCTCGGTGTCAAAGCCTTGCTATCACCAGCAAACGAAACCAGTCGCGGGCCTCCGCATGCTTCACTCCCACGACCTTGCTCCCATTTTTTGATCTCGGTCCACGCTCGTTCGTTCACGGCGTTGTGGATAGGAATGATGGAGTGCATATCTTTGGCATCCGCGTCATGACCCTTGCGCTTCATGGCGTTGAAGAACATTTCTTGGGACGGGTAGATCCAGTTCCCGCTCTCCTTGTCGTGGCCCGTATCCTTCTCGCTATTGGCCGGTGACCCATGGGAGGCTGCGGTGGCGAGTACTCGTTTTGTGGTGTCGGGAAGCTCTTGCGGATGGTCTGGCAGGGCACGTGGAATTGTGGAGATTTCGCGGTCGGTGGACAGGCGGTACATCTTGGGCCGCTTTGCGTCCGAACGGGGAGGCGTAGCCGTCCATGTCTGCCAGCTGAGTGCATCGAGGGAGAAGCGGTTGTCGGCAGCAAGAGGCCGAGTCGTCGCAGGACCGCCAGCTACGTGTGGATTCGCCGGATCCTGCTGTCCTCGGGCTTTGGCAGCCTCCAGCCATTTCTCGCGCGTCTTTTGATCAACGGGACACTTGTCCGCTGCATCTACTACATCAGGCGGCATCGTCAAACATACACCTGGACTCTCGATGGTAGTGATACAAATAGCTTTTGGTACATGTCGTACAGTGCTGTCATGCTCGATCGGGAAGCGCGCCGACGCCTCAACCCGGCCGCCTCTACCGGCCCGCACGAGAGGGCTACCCAGTACAGCCACGTTTGCTACACTGCAACTACCCTACACAGCATTGCATCGTGATTCTACAAGGCCGGCAGACAGACCCTTGCAGCTTCCATCATCCACTCGATGGATGAAGCTGATGACACCGGAGCCCCTCGTACCGTCTGCCTCTGTGGATCCAAGCGAGCTCACCCAGACCTGCACCACGTCCTCCAAGTCTATCGTAGGATCAGTCAGACGACAGCTGGGTATGTTCACATCCTGCAAAGACCATAGCTGCATGCCTGGGCCCTCTCCTCCTCCGTGCTGTTGTCTCTGCACAATTTAATGCGCTGCCTGACGAACAAATGCCCGGAATCCTTCGCGGACCACCTACAACTTTCCTCCACAAATAACTCTCGTTTTCTGGTGGCGCTTCCCATTCTCGGCTTGGGTACTGCTGCACGCTACTGATCTTAGGATCCTTCGCGTCGGCTCAATGGCCTTTACACTAATAACGCCTCTGTATATCACGGGGTAGGCATCGCAACGAATGCCCAAGGAACGACAGCTTGAACGACTGTGGAGAGATTGATGCATCGCCACTGTAGAGCTAGATAGTACTTGCGGGACAAGGCTTTCTCCACGTCGGGTGCTGGAGAGGAGAAGAACGTATCCCACAAAGCGAAGGACATATAAAGGTTATACTGCTTCCCTCCTACATTCCAGCACCAGCATCCTATCGATCAATTCCCACACCAGAACCAGATATCTGAGTGCCAACCCTCCCCTTTTCCCACCTCCACTGCACCACCTAATCGCTTCAACCCAGATCAACCACTCAACACCGCAATCATGAAGTTTGCCACCATCATACTCGCCATCTTCACCGCCGCCGTTGCTGCCGCGCCCGCCGCTGTCAACATCGAGGAGCGCCAGACTTGGTTTGGGAAGTACAGTGGTGGCAAGCAGATCTGCTGTTCTGCACAGGGATGTTACGCACCTACCAACTGTTAGGTGAACCACGACTTGGGGAACGGCGGTAGCAAGAGACGAGATGACGACGATGAAAAAGAGGGCCGCATGATTGGCGTCGAGTTGATGTAGCAAAGGTGTAGTGCACAGCAGACGGTCCGTTTACGAAGGCCCAAACCGCACGAAGTCGGTCATCATACGAGGATGAGCACGCAATTGGATCAGAGTAAAGCATGAGCCGCCTCTACCATGACTCCTTCCACATTCATCATCTCATCAATTGCTCCATCAATGTCCAGATCAAGCTGTCCGTGCGTGCCTATGCATCGATACAATGCTCCGACCAAGCACAAACAGCATGATCAAATTCAAACTCGAAATCTCATATGTTCTCTCAACCTTGGTGTTATTTGATATTCTTCAACCTCAGTCACAACCCTAATGAACCAGACAGTCAGAAACTGCAGCAGTATTGTGGTATCAGACCTTGTGAACCCCACTGATCTCTCTGGGCTGATCCGCGCAGTCAGGAAGCTGAAGCTCAGTATGGCCCTGACCCTCACCATCAAATCGTGATCCACCTGCTCGCTATGGATCTCACATTCCAGCACGATATTCTGATCATCCTAAAGGATGCGGGCACAGATTCACCACGAGTACTGACCTATTGTGACTTACACGTCTTCTGTATATGTACCAATGATAATCGACAGAGCCAGTACGGCTACGCTGTTCAGGCGCTCAAGCAGTGCGCTGAGCTTGCCTAGCCACGGATACGTGGATGAGAAACGACGCAGCCTAAGATCACCTGGATTGCGTCCATGGCCGATAGCACCACTGCATGTCAATTGATATTCGGTGACGGCTCCAGCTAGGCTATGAGAAGAGGTCAAGGTACTTATCTTTTGCGATGGGTATGAGTGTCGTCTCTATGCAATCTTCAACATCCTACGGAGTATTCATGTGGAGACGATAATGTACAGCTTCCGTGCAAGCTTCTCCTAGACCAAAGCTTATCGACTTTGCCCGCGGCACGTGGCAGGCTGACGTCTTGTAAAAGTCAATGCGGTTGGGTAGGCTAATCAACAATTCGACATGCGACTCGAGCCTCGTATCGTCCCAATGATAGATTCCGCTCGTAGCCGTCCAGGACTTTCTACCACAGTTCCTGAAACTCAAGAGCCATGCCAAGGAGCCTCTATTCCGCGGACGCCCTCGCGCCGTAGCATCCTGTATGAGGTCACCTAGCTGAGAGTGCGCTCTTCGAAGGAGTACAATTGCCTGCGATTCTTGACTTCGTGCAGTCGCATTCACTATCAGCTCAAGCACGAAGCAGACCAACGGAAGACGTAGCAGACTTGACCACTTGACACGTCGGCGTGTCACATTCAAGCAACAATGCCTCCAATCGTTCACCTAGTCCGCCACGCGGAAGGTCATCACGTTCGCACAAGCTCGCTATGCAGGAATCAGACAATATACTGACCGGAGGCACAGAATGTCGCCAAAAACGGCGAAGATATTCACGATCCTTTCCTGACCGAGAAAGGCGAGCAGCAGTGCCGAGAGCTGTGCATGCAGTTTCCCTTTCACGATGATGTCAGTCAAGTCGATCGAGTAACAAGACGTTGGCTGACGGTTCATCGTTCAGATTGATCTCCTTATGGCCAGTCCCATGAAACGCACGATCCAAACCTGCCAGATTTCCTTCAAGCCAGTAGTAGATCGTGGCCACAAGATTCTCCTTATGCCGCTCGCCCAAGAGTCTTCCGATGCGCCTATGGACACAGGCTCTAGTACCGAAGAACTCACAAAAACTTTCGGGGATGTCATTGACACTCAACGTCTGGAACTATTCCCTTACTGGTTCTCCAACCACGGCCGCTTTGACGTGGATGGCGAGTCCTTGATAAAGCGAGGCGCGATGCTCCGCAAAGTTCTACGAGACCGACCCGAGAAGAACATAGCGATAGTCTCGCACGGCACATTTGCGCATTTTATCGTTGGCAATGTGACCACAGATGGCGAACAGACGACGAGGATGTGGGCGAATGCTGAGTGCAGAAGCTTCAAGTTCGTCGCCGAAGATGACGAGGACGCGCAGATGACAGAGCTGGAGGAGTCGAGGGACAAGCGGCCGGATTTGGAGATCAAGAACCCGGGACATCTGCTCAGGCCTGGTGCGGGTAGGAAGGGCTCAATGGGCGAGGCTATGACAGTGTAGCGACGCGGTGTATATCAATGCGAGCATGATGTTTTTCGAATGCGCTTAGTCGACCTCACACTATATCGCATTTGCGTGAGAACGATTACAAGGTACGAGGTGTGCGAATGGACTACGTGAGTCAGGCCATTTGTCTTATATGTGCACCGCCTGCAGTTCCGTCTGATTTCTTGCTGAGAGGTTTATCGAGAGTCGAGCCATCAACCGAAGAGCATCGTAGTCCCGCGGGACTAATCAAGGCCTGTGGGATGCAGACGTCGCGAGATTAGTGTGTATGAAACTCCTCATCTCTCGCACAATCGTTCTTGTTCTTTCGCAAGGCCTCGCCATTCACGAACCCGGGCAAGTACGCCGGACCGACAAGCGTATAGTGCCCAGCTGCTGCCCTCTTTCGAAGCACGATAGGCTCGATACAACTGTACAAAATAGCAATCACGTCACCTTGCTCCATGATCTGTGGGCTAAGGCCATGACACCGAGCAGTAGTCATGAGAAAGCGACGGTTGGAAAAGTTGATATCCAAGGCTGCTTGATATCGAGATGCTGTCTCTAGATCATCCTGGACGTGATCCATGCCTGCAAGGTCTCTCAAATTTGCATCTTCGTCCAGCGCACGATAACTGCTGGTCGCCGTTCTGGTGGGGACATCTGTGCTTGAACAGTGTAAGGCCACAGAGCGTGCCCCTCTGCGGTTGCCGATGTCTGTCTTCTTCGTGACAGTAATGATCCTAAGCCCATCTTTCTCCCATGTCCGGGTGCGTTTTATATCAAATGCTCGTAGAATGTGCTGTAGGCAGTCCTACCAGCGGCAGATATTGGCCATGACCCGATATTAGGGTTACACAGACGATTAGTCGATCAGAATGGTAAGCATCGGGTGACCCTCATGCAGAACATGAGAGTAAAGCAGTGTTGGTGAGGTCCAGAAGGGAACAAGAAGGTGCGGTTCTGGGAGTGGCGTGACCAGGTGCATTAGCGTGCCAAGGACGGAAAGGGTTCCATCAATTATGCCTGCGAACCAGCGCACTCACCTTCACCTGCCTTGCCATGCACCCTTCACCAGCACCAGCACGACTCCCCCACCCCTCCATCGCGCCAGTAGTGCTGTGAGCAGCAAAGCAATCACTGCGCATTCACGGAAGCCATTTCCGCGCCAACACGGTGCTCGGCGCGACCACACCGCAACCTCCAACAGCCCCTCAGGCAGCATTTCCAACACACAAACCGAGGAAGAACAGGCTCGATGTGCATGTTGCACGATGTCAAGATACTTGGTCGCGGAGTTGATACCTTTCCTTGAGCCGCCGATTTCCTGAGCTGCTCCGGTAGACCAACAGACAACAAAAACACATCTTACCGTTTCGGCTGCACACTTTTGTCGTGCCGACCTCAGGAAATAGCGGCTCTTGGACTATCCACTCTCCACCTTCACGTGTCTGGAGAGCCACTTTTCCGATCAGAACACAAACCACAGACTCCTGGCATCATGGCCTCGAGCACCACCAACATGCCTGCCCAGAAGCTGTCATTCGCTAAGGTGCGCTCGAACGTGGATTGTGCAGACGCGCGGAGCATGACTGACTGTTCAAAGATCGCTGCTGCGGGCCTCAAACCGAGCAATATCCTGGCGCGCTCCAGCAACCCAGCAACCGTGCACAAGCAGGCAATCACATCGTCACCACGCCCCGGCGCACCACAACGCACAGCTGCAGCAAAGCCGAAGTCTGCCGAACCCACGGTGCAGTCAGACAGAGTGGTGCCATCCTCCGTGTCGCGTTCGAATGAGCCAAGCCAGATGATCTCAGCAAACCCGGCGGTGCAAATCGACAAGGTTGACAACACTCCAGCGAAAGCGGAAGGCACTTCCGATACTACTGGACTTGTCGCACCTGCCGCAGCCGACAATACTACTACTGTACTGTCATCCAGTAGTGGCTCTGCAAGACCTCCAAGTCTAGATGACAAAAGCGTGACTTCTGGCACCACCTTCGCGCTGGACGAAAAGGAGTCTTTACGACCCGATGATAGCGCAAGTCTGGTAGCCGGCGATGATGAAGATGCTCTCATTACGTCTACAATGCCTCTACCCGGTCCGGTTGTGTATAGCGATGATGGCTCGCGCGCCTTCCGAGATCAGCTCCGCGAGATTACGCAGATGAAGCCACCACGCGATATCCTTCCCAACCAAGCTTTAGGCCCTGCAATACAAGCGGCTAAAGCCTTCTTGTACGTCCCTCCTCCGACTCTTGGAATTGGTAGCATTTCACGTGGTGGCGACGTATTCGATCTCTCGGGCACAGTTCCCGGTCCTCCAGATCCAAAGCTCCTGGAGGCACTCGACAGCCCACGCGATCGGCTGATGGTTATGAAGCTGCAAACGGACATCATCGATTTCGTCAACGACGCAAAGGAAGTATCACTCATCTTGCCGCAAACCAATGCATATCACCGTATGCTTGCTCACAAAGCTGCCGACTACTATCTTCTTGGGCATGTAATGGACGACTCGGCTTGTGGCGTTCGCCTTTTCAAGACTGCAAATACCTGCCTCCGGCTACCGCTCATCGGTACTACCACTCCCTCTACCGCAGCCAGCACGCCCCCTCCCAATGCTCCGCAGATGAAGATCTTACGTCGCGGTATGGAGAGTGGCCCAGCTATCGTCAATGGCTCCAACATTACATCCAAGACGACATCCGATAGTGGCGAAGGTGACGATGACGACAAGAAAAAAGCTACCATGACGCGTGAGGAGCGAGAGGAAAGGTATGAAAAAGCGCGCTTGCGAATCATGGGCCCGGCGAAGTCGACAGATGGATTGGAGGAGCAGAAACCCACAGATAGCTCGCGCTCGAGTTCTGCTGCCGGCAAGAAGGGCAAGAAGAAGCCAAGGTCAGACAGCGAGGACGGCTTTGAGGCACGTTCGGCTTACGGTCAATTCTTTCCGACTTCTCATAACCCGAATGGCTTCACGCCTGGCCCCGGCCCATACTCAGGCCTTGGTCACCATTTCACGCCACAACATCAAGCTTATCCTGGGTATGGAAGCATGGGCGGCTTCCAACAGTACCCGACTACCGTACAGCCTGGCATGGTCTGGCCCATACCTGCTTTCCCGACAACGAACTTCCCGCAGCAAAGCTACGATCTCTCCGCGGAGTTCCAGCGCGCCATGTCTTTGCAGCATAACGCGACGTCGTCCAGCTCTGTTACCTCTCCGAATGGTTATCCTCAACAAGGATATGGTGGCTCACCATGGGCGCCAGCAAATCACACCATGGCACAGCAGACATCAGCTACCGGCAACGGCTACCTCAATGCTTATGGTCAGTACTCTACCCCTCAATCTAGCGCACAGGATGCGCAGCCATACCAATTCGGCCAGCTGCCCAGCCAGCATTTTCCCGGCAGACCTGCGAATAAGCTTGAGCATCCACTTCCAGGCAGCTACAAAGGCAAACACTTCGACCCGCAAAGCCAGGCTTTCGTGCCACACCAGCAGACTGCCGCTACAAACCAGCCTAGCGGAACACCTACCACTGGTAGCTCGGTCATCAATGGGGCTACTATCCATGAACTAAATGTCCAGGCTCATCGCCAGCCGTCAGCGTACGGTCAAGGCTCTGTCTACAGCTCCTCACGTCAGCCATACGGCCTGCCTATGCAAGCACCATCGCAGTCTCAGCCCATGCTGCATCCTCTGCCACAGCCCGTCTTTCCTCGTCAGGCGTCACCGAATCTACCACTGCCCGCCAAACCAGGCTCTGCTCTCGCTGGTTATGGCACGACGCAGCAGCAACAAGCGATCACAATGATGAATGGCACGCCTACTTCGACAGGTCCAAGCAGTATCTCGAAATGGGGTGCACCCGCATCTTTGCCCGCCAAGCCGCCACCACCGATTGAAGTCATCGATGCCAACAGCCACGCTCAGCAGCACAATAGGCAAGTATCGTACAGCTCATTCACTGCCGGCAAAAATCCAAGTGGTAGCTTTCAAGGTCTGGGGTCATCACCAGCATTCGCCGCCACCAATGTCAGTGGGGCACAGAGACAGTGAGATCAGTCAGCTTGCAATACTCTACGATGGTATGAAAATTATGCTGGGTACGTAATGCTTAAGTAATATGGATATCAAAGAACGAATGCTTGTTATGCTAGTTGCCAGGTCGAGGAATACCAACCTTCTCCGAACACTCCTTCACAGTCCCCGAATGCTTTCTACTCCGAATCAGAACCCAAATGCACATACCTTAACTGTCTTGCTAAACCAATCGGCTCCCGCGCTTCCCTAAATCCGCGTCTGATTCTCACAAGCGCACGATACGCAGTGGGGTGACCCAAGTGCTCCTCGAGCGATTCCTGGCCAGCAGAAGTCAAGTGCATTGTGGTCCAGCCCTCCATCTCATCGATCCTCGCCTCGTCTTCCTCGGCCTCCTCGCGTTGGATCCGTAGGTCCTCCGACTCATAGACATTGAGGTAGCGGCGCATGTCTTCCGCTGCAGAGGCAACGAGATTACGGTAGGTGACTTCGTTGTAAGCTTCATCTTCCGAGTCGAAGTCGCTCTCGTCGTACTCCTCGTTATTGTAGGTGGGCTCGAAGTCGCCATGAAAACCGTCGTCGTCGCCGGCGCGATACACATCAACACACCCGCCTGTTAGGTGGAATCGGAATTCGTATGGGTGCCCAGCTACAGCCAGGATCGCTTCTTGGAAGGCTAGTACGACATCCTCTGGAAGGCTTAATAGATGTGATGTAGCTCGGTGCGTTCCCTGCCCTCCTGCAACCATGATTGAGTCTCTGGGATCACCGTACTCCGGGCACAACTGTTCAAGTTCCTGCGCAAGCTCCTCGGCTTGTGCGAGTGAGATCGGTCGCTGCATGGTCTCGAAACTAGCAGTCATCACCTGGACTCTATCGACATGCTCAGGGGTTGCTGTGTGGTCGTTACGCCGCGTATAATAGATGTGGATCTGGCCACCAACGAAGGTCCGAGGAACATCTTGAGCTCTTGGACTGGCGAGGGATCCAGCCGCCGACGAGACGGGAGCTGATGCGGTTGACATGGTGGTAATTTTGATATCGATCGAATGGTGCGAAAAGGATGCTGTATTTGTGATCGAGGGAGAACCTTTGGTCTTCCCGACCATCTATATACATGGCTCGCATTGTTCCTCGAACTCGAGATGAGCGTATGTCCTAAACACAACGAACAAGCCATGTAATATGCCAGAACCCTCTCTTTGTTCGTCCACTGACCACGAAGTTCGTAATGAAAATACTTGACAATGGGTGGTGAGAGGCGAGACTGTGGAGGAACCGAGCCTGGATGGAGGGGAACGTATGCTAGTGGGCAGTATGTACAGAAGTCATGTTGCTCGAGCTTGCGACAGTGTTTTGGTCAATGTGGTGGGACTGACTGTCTGTTTCGTGAAGCTATGTTTCCATTAGCCTACGCAATCTAGGAAGCAACTACTCCATTATTACCTCTTCTACAGGTCTATACAGCTGATGAGCCAATCGTCCGTCCAGCGAACCTCTATTGTCACATCAGCCTCTACGCTCAAATATTATAACAACTCAGAATTCCTAGATCCATATGAATTGCACAGCGAAAGGCATCCGCTCCCATCCACCCATTATACAAGCGTCACCGCAAACTTCAACTAACGCCTTTGCAACCTCCAAACTGAGCGTTGTGGGAGGGATGAATTCCAACTCACTTGCTTTAACAAGAAAACGCTGGAGACGGTCGCAGACGAAAAGGGCATCCATCTGGCTCAAACCTCGACCTTCCTCGACCATCTCCAAGACGCTTCTGTAAATCCTCCTGAGTTCGAGAAGTAGATGCACAGAAGCCGTCTGTGGTTTGGCTGACTGACCTGGGCGGGGACGACGGACGTAGATATGGATTAGTGTCTTGCAATCATAGCCAGGATCGCGGACGTCGGAATAAGTATCCCAATCGAAGCTGCCTGGAATATGGAGAGTCATGGTTATGGTTTGTCGTCGGCAAGTAGTAGTTGCTGGTACTGGTGTGTGAGAGTTAATATGGCAAGAAAAGACTTGATCCAATTATTCCTACGCTGTAGGCCTGCATCATGTATATGATAAGACTATTGTTGGAAACGAGGACAAAGAGGTATGCCTTCTTTGTTATAAGGACAAGAGTGGCGGAAATTCGACAATTTGGGAGGATATGAAGTTGGAAGTGGACAGGGCGAGAACAAAGTCGTGGCGAAAATGAGAATGGAATTGGGTCGCTCAGTAGGTTGGTGCATGTCATGTGGGTATACTACTCAGACGGTCAGCTATGCACGGAAGATACGGCTTGCCTGACTTACATCTATGCTACTTCAACTAGCGCCAGGCAGTCAACAAGCAAAGTGAAACTACCGAGTCTGTACTGGGGCGGCTCTCAACGCCTCGGCCATACCATCTCATGCTCAGCACAGATGCTCCTCAGTCTTCCTCGGTCCATCTCCCACACTCGTTGAGATGACCCTACTAATGCCCTTCTTGAGCATCTCCGCCACATGCTCCATCCCCGCCGACACATCCGTCGCCTTCACACCTTCCGTCCACCCAGTCAGATCACCTAACATCGACTTGAAAGCGCCCGCAACCCTTCCCTCGTCTTCCGCAAGGTAGTACACAACAGCATTCGGCCCGGCATCGAACGTATATGCGCAGATTTGTCTCCCGGCGACCTGATTGATAGTCTCGCACATCCTCACTGCGGCACGTGACGTATCGTTCATGTAAAAGATAGGCGGGTCGGTATCGAGACATGTGGCGTGGAAGTTGTTACTGTCCTTTGTTGTCAAAGCGGCGAAAGCCTCGAAGTTGCGGTCCTTGATGGCAGCCTCCATGGCCTCCATCCGTTTGGGCACCACATTCTCCGCTCGATGCTGAAACAGTGCTGAAGAGGCGACGGTCTGTTGCATGCCTGCCGTACTGCTCACATCCTTCTTCTCCGCACTAGCAACCAGAATCAGAGCTCTCATACCTGGCCAATGCGAGGCGGGAGCGACCTCGTAAGCAACAGAGTCGCTACCATCATCCAGCTCGCCCTGGTTCCAGCCGACATAGCCGCCGAAGAGGGATCGACAGGCTGATCCCGAGCCTTGACGTGCGATACGTGAGAGTACGGTTGGGGTGGCAGGAAGTTGGTATAGATTGGCGATGGCTCTCACAAGGGCAGCGAAGCCGGCCGCACTGCTTGCCAACCCAGCAGCGGTAGGGAAGTTGTTCTCGCTCACAATCTTCAGCGCCATCTCGCTCAGCTTCGGCACATGACTATCCTTCGCCTCGATCTCTTTCCGTAGAGCCCGTAGTTCTCGGAGACATGCTTGTGTTCTCGCGCCGGCGATGTCCTGATCCGAGCCGTTGAGTGTAAGTGTGTCGCTCTTGTATGAGGACGAGCAGGTCGCTGTGGTATGTGTTCGCAGGTCGTCTTGCGATAATGTGACGCTGAGGGAGGAATTGGTGGGGAGGTTTAATTTCGTGTCACGCTTGCCCCAATACTTGATGACGGCGATGTTAACGGGTGCGTAGGTGCTTGCTCTTTGCACTTCTTGATCTGCCATCTTGTACGTCTGTGTGAATGACTGTATTCCTTGGCCCAGCCTTCTATTCGACAATCTGTAATCTATTCCGGGGTTGATATTGTACCATTGGTTTTGTTTCGTACAGTGTTCCTGACGCTCGTGCAGTACCTGACGCTAGTGAGCCAAGGTCAACCGTCACATATAGCAGACAGTACCCTGCTTGTCCCTGCAATCGTGCCAAGTAAGGCTTGACAGAGCTGGAAAATTACGTTTTCACCGCACTGAGACGAACCTCGCAGCAGTGTTGTGTACAGTAGAGTTGCAAGTAATGTCTCGTCTCGAGCCCGGGAGGCGATATCGATGCCCCTCGCATCACGATGGCAATACATCCAACGTAAACACTCTCACCAACCCAACAACGACTCGATTCTGCTCAGCCGAGTCCAGAGAGTGTGAATTACATCAAAGCCAGTGGGCAGCTCGAGCAAGTCCCAGTGCAGGTCAGTAAAGACTGTAAGACTCAGGCGAATGTCGGACGTAGAATATCAGAGAGTTCCAGTCAGCTTGAATGCGAATGCTCTGCCAACAGCATGAGTGTAGCTGCTGGTGAAACACATCACAATACCGTGAGTCTACCCAAGCAGCTGAACAGTGACGGCGATGCTGCGATGTCGAGCAATCCTGAGCCGATAGCACGCACACCATAGTGGTAACATCCATAGAAGAATTTTTTGGCCGAGGACTGCCATGCCCGCCAATGACTTCCCGTTGCATGCCCAATAGTGCTAGATCAAAAAACAAGGATCGACAGGCGATGCAGGAGAGTGACCCGAATGCGGTCGTAAAGACAACCTTCGCTGTAAGTATGCAGTCGGCAAGGAGCCAAGCCCATGTAGCCGAGCCGTAAGAATCACGATAGGTGTACGAGGCATATCAGCCTGCAATTGCCTTCACTCCTCACGTTTATCCTGGTAGCAAAGCACAGCTTAGGTGATGCTTACTTGTTGCCAGCGTACATATGCAGCAGCGTGGGAACCATCACACAGGCCACACTCAATGCAATGCGAGAATCGTACAAGCATTGGACGAAACCCGTCCGTGATGTACATGCACAGAAGGACTCCGCTATCACTCGACTCATGCACGACTCGGCGTTAGTGGGAGCGCGAATAGTTAATAGGCTATCTGCTCGGTATCTGCCGATGCGAGTGGACTGAAGGCGATTTCTTCCATCGGATGTCCACCTCCCGCAGGGCATATATTACGGTGCTAAAGTGTTATTAATTCCACCGCAATGCGCGAGCACTGGACGTCCAAGGCTCTACATCCACTCGCATTGCTCGAGCGCAGTCCAATCCACATGCGAGCGGGTAATCATGAGCTGCGGTTGTGCTTCGAGATACATGTACTAAAAGTATCTGTTGAAGTTCTGCTGCTTATGTAGTATCGTTAGCCCGAGGGCGACGCAAAACACCTTGAGCTCATCGGCGGATTTTCAAATAAGATCAAGGCTTCAGTCCAATATAAACATTCCTTGTGATATGAAACCACCTCGCTTGGATCGCTTAAAACAGACTCAAAGCATCCTCTCTCTCCAAGTATTCCCTATATCCACATCCGACCTTACGCTCAGACCCGTTGCACCGCTGCACCATCATCCTTGCCCGGCAGTTGAACTTTAAAGGACAAGGAAGAGGTGGAGTGGGGCAACCGCCAGGGCCATGATTCGCTGCGATGCAGAGGAGAAAGTTCAGACGAAGTTTAGGAGAGTTGAGAGGGATGGTCTTGTGCTTGATTACCGCATGCAGACGGTAGCGCGAATCGATGGTCCCATCGCCAGGGCTTGGGCTGGTAACTTCATATCTGTCGTAGATATGCAATATATTGCCTTGACTCTCCAAAGTCAGCACCGCTTCCCTCTCGCGCCTGTCTTGCTTACCTCGATATTCTACTCCGCTGTGATCCGCGCTTTCCTATATGTTCATCCACGACCGCTGACAGCAGTATAGAAATACTGTTGAGCTCCCAGAGCTAGCGAAATCGAGGCATTCTTCTTACACGATGAAATACGGAGAGACACTTCGGCAGAGGTCGATAGCTGCATGGAGCCATCGTACGTTTGATCCGGCTCCGCGAGACTACATATGCATGCGACTCTATCACTAATTCCTTTACGCGCAGACAACATAGACTATGATGATATCAAGCTATATATCAAGGAGCAAACCACGCCAGGCAAAGGAAAGACTATTTCTGTGCCGGGTCGCAATGATGAGAAGCTTCAGCATTTCGAGCACGCACTCTTCATTACTCTGCAGGATCAGCATCACAGAATTGATCTTTTCGTGAAAAGCAAAGCGGGCGAGATCCAGCGGCGGCTGAGTATGCGCATACTAAAAGCCAGTGGCGAGCGTATACTAATGGCGAAGCAGGACATTCAGAGCGGCAACTACAACAACTGAGCTCACGGGTCACGACCTCGGCAGATCAGCGTATACCCGTGGGTCGCCTGGAGAGGTATGGCAGGCTCGAGAACGATGTGATCAAGGCTGGCGATGAGATCAAGTCACTTGCCAGATTTACCAGCACACAACGAACTGCCTTCCGTAAACTTCTGAAGAAGTACAAGAAATGGACTGGCTCCACATCTCTGGAGGATCGGTTCCGGGAAGAAGTCCTGGATGACCCTAAGAGCTTCACGAAGCTTGATCTTGGACCATTACTTGACGAGTACTCTACTACGTTACAGCAGATCCGGACACTTTACGAGACACGGATACAACAAAAGTCGGCTGCACCCAAGAAGGATGACCAGCCAATGGCAGGGTCCTCGACCATCTCTAGGTTACAGGCGGCTATGAACTCTGGATCGAAGACCGAACTCGATACCGCTATCGCCACTGTCCCGCTAGGCGAAAACGGCACTTTCGCGAGCTACCTTGTACACCCGGAAAATGTCGTAGAACTTCAAGTCCTGCTGCTCCAGCATTCGAGATATTTCCTAGCTCGGAGTCGTTCGAACTCGATCACTTCACCAGTTTCGCTCTCACCAAAGGATGACGTCTTCAATCAGACCACGGATGAGGGCGCCGACTATTTTGCAATCGAGGCTGACGAAGCAGAGCGACTTGCGAAGGAGCAGAATGGCCTGACTGTGGATCAGCGCGAGCACAGCATTGGTTCGACACCCCAGAAAGCGCGGGTGTGTGTCCGGTGGGCGTCAGATGAGGAAGCTCAAGTCGCCTATCGTAAGCCCAATAACCAGTGTCAGTACGCTGAGATGAAGAAGAAAGCTGTGACGGCACTTTTCGACCCATCGTCTGCGTTCTCAGCGATCAAGTCCGCGATGAAGCCAGATTCCGAACAAGCGTTAACAGCGATACGTCGTGAGGTACAGCAAGATAGTGGCCTGAAGCCGCTGCACAAGTACTCATGTTGCCGAACTAGACTCGTCGGGACCGAAAACAGCGACCAGAAACACATGCTTGCCACTCTCGATACGCAGATTGTCATACAGCAGACTGGCGATAGCAGCAGTAAATCTAGCTTTCCTTTCGCAGTCCTGCTCGTCCGACAAGAAGGTGCATATCACGCCGGATTACTGACCGCACTCGATCAGAGCCACCTAGTAGAGCGTGTCCGTGGCTTCTCGCTCGAATACCACGCCATATGGCTCACATCAAAGTCCGCCGAGATCCCAGCACCTCTCTGGCTTCCCATGCTGGAGCGCGATATCCGCAAGCTGCCACCTCCAGCCATGAAACGCACATCCAGTAGCGCCATTCAGACACCTGCATCTAGGGACTCCGCCAACAATATCACTGACAGTACGACTGCTGTAGAGACCACACGTAGTGATTCTATCACTCAACAGTCCGAGCTGGAAGTACCACCACTTCGCTCCTTCCGCAAGAAGCGCCGACGGAATCTCCCGGAAGCAACAGCACATCAAGAGACGAGGTACTGGAGTGAATATGATCACCCTGAAGAGCCGGAAGATGGTGATTCGAGCGGCTACGCCATTTACATTGACCCAAACGAAAAATCGGGCTTCGACGAGTTCTTCGATCGCCTGGGCCGATTGTTCAAGCGTAAACGGCCAGCAGAAGAAGAGCCCATGCTGAGTGGCCAAACTTCGCCCAAAGACGATGAAACTTCAGACGACGATGACGAAGTGGTAACCGTTAAGCCTCGCCAGAAATCGTACGGGACACTTGGTCTTTCCACCAGCCGCAACGCCTCTGGGCGATCACAGCATCGCTCAGACCTCGAAGCTCAGACTCAGACGAACGTGACCAGTATCGCTCATATCCGGAGCGTCTGCTACATCGCTTCATTGGTCATTCTGCTTGTGGCGCTCATGCTGGCCACGACTGGGAGACACAAACTCCGATACGAGGTGAACGTTGGCGTCATCTTCGCCATCAGCAGCAGTCTGTTCTTTGCCATCGCAGGCTTCGCTACTCTACTTCGCCAGCAGGACGTTTCTTACACAGCCTGGGCTGTTGGTATACTGGTGCTTGTTATCGACGCTATAGGCTCGGGTGGCTTGCTTGCTTGGATGCTTGGCTAGGCACCAAGGTAAAGGTGCAGCTTGATGACGGGATTATAAGTGACGTGAATAGCCAAGGCGTTGGTATGCTTATTCTGCATAGTGTTGATAGATGACTTTGAACCTCTCACGAGCCAGAAATCTCATAAGTTGGGGGGTCGGATCTCGGCATCCTTTCTCCCTCCAGACACGAGAGGCTAACATCACTTTCCTAATAAGGTTGTCCACGATGGCGAGTATGTCCCTTGCGTATCAAATAGCGCCAGATAGGTGATCATGGCCGTCATGACATTCAGTATGCCAAAAGCAACGCACACTCGATTCCTGATATTAGCCCTTATCTTTGCTGCTACCCAATTGAAAGCGAAACCGTACATGCTCATGCCAGCAATGACTATTCGCCATATGCCGTAGGATATGAACTTGACCACCGGCCGGACGACTTTATCTTGCCCAGGAAGTTTGAACAGTAGCACGACGGGCTGAATTGCAATCGTCACCAGGAAGGACATCAAGCTCCAAGGCTCTCGTGCATCAGGACTCGCACTCTCGTTGCTAGTTTCGCTTTGCTGCTGACTAGCTTCACCTCGTTCCGCAGCATCATCATCGGCCGAGTCTGATTCCGCTCCATGGAATGTGCCGATGTATGCGGAAACGAAGATGACGAAACCTAGTGGTATGATGGCTACGAAGCATAAGAAGTCTCCGAAGGCTTCGGCAAAGACTGATGGCCTTTTCTTTTCGGCATGCAGTGGTGGCGTGATGGTTGGAGCACCGACAGCTGCGGCTGCCGGCTCAGCAGACTCTTGCACATGGGTCTCTGTGCGAAGAGTTCCGTCCTCGAGGGGAGGATTATCTGACTGCACACTTGTGGAAGTTGGTATCTCGCTACCGGGTGAGGTACCAGAGACGGTCTCCGTAGGTGTGTTGACGTTAATAGTAGTCGAGTCATCAGCGGGAGTCGTTCCCGCACTCGGCTCTGCAGAAAAGCCAGTCAGCTCGCTCATCGGCACGGCGTCGTCGTTACTCTTCTGCTTCGTTGAAGAACGGAGAAGCCATTTTGCAAGGAGCTCCAAGACCAGTGCAACGACATACGAAAGCGCTGCAGCATGAAATAGAAAGCTCAGAATCTGGACCCAGTAATTTATGCGTTCCCCATTCATCTGACGACGGCTGGAGTCCGGATGTTCGAGCAGCTTCGAGAGCATGACGGGAGTGTAAAGGCCGAAGACGAACAGTGGACCAGACCTTGGAAGGTACCATTTCCCTGTTGCTAAGACGCATGCGGTATGCTGCAGAGCATAAGTGGCGCAGGTAATAGACGCCAGAATCGAGGCCCACTGTAATAGGTTGTTGATGTCTGCAGAGGACGAGTGTATGTGCGTGATCTTAAAGATGTGCTCCCAGATGCAGACGAGGACCAACACATGTGGAGTCGTGGCTGCCGAGCAAATTATTTCGCCGAATGAAGGCAAATCGCGGTCATGTGAGCTCATGTCCTCCGGAGCCTTCTTCTTGAGTGCTCGTTCTGCAAGATAGACGATATCGCTCATCGGAGCTGCTGAGCAGGAGGCTCGGATCATGCTTGTCATCGTAGCGAAGACGAACACGGCCGCTACGGCTTGTGTGATCGGTATGCCTGTAGAGCTGAACAGCTTGATAATCTGCGGTAGCACACCAACGACGAAGATAGCCAGTCTCATTGTCAAAGTTGTCGGTTGGATCCTTTCTTCATCCTCGCCGTAGAGCTCGGGCTTGCGCACCTTCTCGATCATGATCCAGATGTCAGCAGCTGCGTCCATTAGGCAGACAAAGGGTGAAGATCTATGTGGCCACAAGGAGTCCTTGAAAGTATCTCCGCTCCAGAGATAACCCGTGAAGGATGGCTGAAGCATGGCATTCAATGCTATACTTGCCATGGCCCAGAAGATAGATCGGCCGGATGCCTGGTGCTGAGATGCGAGCGTAGCCGAGTCGCTAGTAGTGGTGCCGTTCGTGGCCATGCTGGAACGCAAAACCGGAGCAGTCACGAGAGAAGTCTGTGTTCGAGACGGAAGCTTCTACACCATCGTTTTGACATCGCTACATACATATAGAGGTCTGGGTTAAAGACGAAGGTCGGTCGTCTGCTGCGCCGCATACATCGTGGCTGTGCGTCCAGGTCGCGAGGTCGCTTTGGCCCCAGCATTCTCCATCAGCAGTTGATGGACGATGGCCAGCAGATAAATTTACGAGCAGGGATTGCCAGTCTTGCCTGCATACATTGCTAATATACACCTCGCTTGCGGATCACAAAGCATGGCACAGTAGAAAGTTGATGCGTCCTTCTGGCCACCAATATTCTCCACCAAAATCCTTGCCACAACACGAATCACATACACTACACATACGTCAAACCATCCAGAAGCTGAGCAACAGAACTGATGCACTACAGAGCAACAGGATCCAACGCTTCTCCACGCCATTGTCCTAGATTCTACACCGCCGTCATGCATCGGTAAGACCACAAAGTGACTTCTACGAATGGGTCTCGCATCACGCGCTATTACAGAGTAGAAGGTATCAAGCGACTTCGAAGCGTGCACGCAGAACTTACCGACGTTCTAGTATGCCGTATATGCCATTGACAGACTGCGATGCCTCGACGTAGGAGTCGCAAGATGCTATACCAATGCACGTTCCAGACGAATAAACACGCTCGCGATAGACTAACGATGACAAGGAGGCACGATGCCAGTCCATCGCGATCGATCCGTGGCTGGTCGTGGTAACATGGTCAACAGTCACAAAATACCCGTTTATGCTCCGCTCTCACCTGTCCTTGTGTAGGGAACATCAAGCCCTCAAGAGCGAGGGTCCCAATCGCGTGCGTGTGTTGCGATAAAAGGTGGACTGAGTGATGATCAACTTTTGATTGCAAATTACATTTGTTGGACCAGGCATCCGCACCTCTTCCAGTCTTCGTCTCGCATTCTTAGACTGTCCTTTGGCATTCTGCTCTACCAGCCAAGCAAGACTTGGCGTCATTCCGAAAAATCACGGAAGTCTCGATGTGCTCGCGTTAGCTCACATGCCAGGTGGTGGCGGCACCTTCATCGATAAGTCAGTCTCATCCTCAGCACATCTCTCTGACGAACAACCAGACTCACTGAATTGTATCCCCCTGGCGCACCACTACCAGGAGGCGGCGGCGGCGGAGGCGGAACCTGCGAGTCCTGAGGAGGTGGAGGCGGAGGCGCACCACCATCACCATTAGCCTGCGCCATACCCTGCTGACCTTGCTGATAGTATGCTGCCATAACCTGACCGTATCCACCGTACGCAGCGTAAGGATCTGCAGAGGGATTCTGAGCGTAGTAAGCTGCCCAGGCTTGCATCTGGGCCACTTGGTCTGCGCCAGCAGCACCAGCATCAGGGCTCATTGCGCCAGCAGCAGGAGCGAAGCCGGGGGTGCCTTGGGTAGGAGACTGAGCGCTACCGTAGCCAGCAGCTGCTTGCTGAGCGTAGCCACCGCCGTACTGAGAGTTGCCACCTCCATACTGGGAGTTGCCGCCGTACGAGCTGTTACGATCGCGTTCTTGGTAGCCTCCACGATCACCACCCCCACCATAGCCGCCGCCACCACCTCCGCGTTCGAAGCGGTCGCCTCCTCCGCCACGTGGGCCACGTTCCTTGAAAGAGTCGTAGGAGTCTTTGACGGATTTGAGGAGATCGAGGCACATGCCTTTGGCACGCTCGACTTCGGCAGGATCGGGGCCGCTATCAAATGTCAGCTGTGGTCAAAGTATTAGAAGGGTGTGACCTACGCCACATGCAGATACATCGCCTCATCACTCTCAACCCCAGTATCATGCTCCATGAAGCCACTTCCACGGCCTTTGATCTGGACACGACACCTCGTCTCGCCTTGGATATGCTTGACATAGCTGCCACCAGCACCAACTACTTGGGCACGCAAGTTGAAACCAGGAATGGGCTCCAGATCGATCGGAATGCGTTCTTCTGGCCATTTGCGACGACCTAGATGGTCACGCTCGAACTGCGGACGCTCTTCTTGGTCGCGGCGACGGAAGCGGCGCTCGTCAACGAGATTGGGCAGATCTTGTGACATCATCTGGTCGACTTCTTGGACGGCCTTCTCGAGACCGTCTTTGGTCGTGCTCGTGATGTGGAGGTAAAGTGGTGGGTTCTGGAATGGGTTAGTGGTAGATCGTGGTTAAGATGTATGGCCAACACTCACCGCGGCGGTAGCCAGACTCTTGTCCGGATAGTAGCTGCCTCGAGTAGTGACATCTTTACATAAGTGAGCTCGTCAGGTCCTAAAACATGATAAAATCGTCAAATGCGAATGGAAGCGTACCAGCGCCAGTTTTCTCTTTGATCTAGATGGGCATCGGGTCAGCTTATATCAATGGGGTGTGCCGTGGCGGGCTGTGCTCGAGAAACTAAAAGTAAGCCAGATGCTCCATTGCCACAACCAACAAATGTAACAAACCCAACATGCGTGAAAAGCATTGTGTGGATGCCTGGTCAAGCAGGATCTTTTGCGTGGGTGGCTTGATGGTATCAGTGGGTAATGTGTGCAAGAAGTGTGTATTTACCATCTTTTGTGTGCTGCCTTTAGTCAATGTATAGCGGTTGCGCAGGTCGTTGATCTCGACGTCGCGGATATAGTCACCATCTTGCTGGTAGATGTCGGCGTTGAGGGTGCCGCTGGTCTCGGTGGCTCCAGCATCTGCGCTTGGGGACTCGGTCTGCACATGTCAGTAGGCAAAACTGTAACTATCCGGATTGATGCCTTACCGGACGGATCGGCGGCACATCCACGTGCTGAATGCCCTTCTTCGCATTGATCGAGGCGTTGATCTTGGCCGCCGCGGCTGCTGCAGCTGCTGCCGCATTGCCATTCTTGTCCGCTGGGCTCTCGACACTTTTCACAGCTGAGGACTCTTCATCACGCTGAGGGGAGCGCGAGCGGCGGTCGAAGCGCGACTTGCGTGCCGGCTCCTGCTGATCGAAGCGAGATCGCTTTCGCGGTTCGTCGGCCATCTCGGGGTACTGATGCTGGGATAGCGAGATGGTGCAAGGTGGAAGTGGAAGTGGACGCTCGAGTCAGCAAGAACATTGGAAGATCAGCAGCTTTGAGAGCTTGGGCCCCCGAGCTTCGGAGCGGCAGCCGAGAAACAGTCACGACCTGTCAAACAATTCAACCTTGGCTCTATTATACCAATAGCATAACATATAACCACAATGGCGTCGAAACGAGCCGCCAGGGCACTCCAAGCTCGATTGACACAGTGTCAACCCCACACCATCACCCGGAGCAAAATCCTCGCACCAACCACGACCCCCCAACAAACCCGCTCGCAATCCTCCTCCACCAGCGCAATGTCCTACAAAGCCCTCCACCGCCGCATCGCCCCTCTCCCTACCGCGACCCCAAGCTCCGGCCCCATCACCCCCGCCACAGCCGTCTCCAGCATCCTCTACGAGACTCCACTCCCCTCCTCCGCACCCCCCAAACGACACATCCTCAACTGTCTCGTGCAAAACGAACCGGGAGTCTTGAGTCGCGTGTCTGGTATCTTGGCCGCTCGAGGCTTCAACATCGACTCGCTAGTGGTCTGCAGTACGGAAGTCCAAGACCTTTCACGCATGACGATCGTACTACAAGGTCAAGATGGAGTGGTAGAGCAAGCGCGACGACAACTAGAGGACCTCGTGCCCGTATGGGCAGTCCTAGACTATACTGCCGCCCCTCTAGTCCAACGCGAACTCCTCCTGGCCAAGATCAGTATCCTAGGCCCAGAGTACTTCGAGGAACTCCTCGCTCACCACAGAGAAATGACCGACTACCCATCAGAACAAAGCCACGCGATGCCAACAGAAGATCTGACACCAGATCAATTAGCGGATCGACAAGAAGCCGCGGGTGACCACCAGCAACAATCACCACAATATGATTTCCATCCCAGTAATCTCGCGCCTTCGGAGGCGTTGAGACTAAAACATCAGCATCTTGAAACCATCACGTATCTGACTCATCAGTTCAAGGGGAAGGTATTGGACATCAGTACGAACAACTGTATCGTGGAGCTCTCTGCGAAACCATCAAGGATAGATTCGTTCATGAAGTTGATCAGTCCATTCGGGATTCTGGAGAGCGCCAGGACGGGTAAGTCTTGCTTTGCCACTTTATGTAGGTTGATGTGCTTTGATGCTGACTGATGCTCTCAGGTCTGATGGCACTACCTCGCTCGCCGCTCCACGGCACGAATGAGATTGAGGAGAAGGAGCCGGAGGATATTGTGGACACGGCTTCCTTGCCACCCAGCTAGTCGGCTCGTGGCGAAGGTTCTTCTCTGCTTCTGGTCTGCCGGGGACGATGGAATCATGTAAACCGGCCTGCACCTCACTTCGAGCAAGAGCATGGTCCCCTCGCGGGTAAAAAGCTTTCCCATGCCAGTCCAACCATTTGTACGATTTCCGTAGCGCGAACTTGTACAAACACTCCGTCAAACAATCTTCCCTTTATTAACAACAAACCCCTCCAAAACAGCCAAAGCACTCCAAAGCCGATTCTCCGCCTCGGGAAACACGAGCGAAGCAGGCGAATAGAACACCTCATCACTGACCTCCTCCGGTTTCCGCGGCAAGCAATGCATGAATCTCCACCCCTCCTTCGCTCCGCCACGTTGCGCCAGTTCCTTCGTGACCTGAAACCCGGCGAAATCCTTGAGCCGTTTAGCCTTTTCTTGTTCCTGTCCCATCGAGACCCAAGTATCGGTGACGATTATATCGGCGTTCTTGACAGCCTCCTCCGGCACGTTGGTTTCTGTTAGAACCGATGAAATGGAAGCAGAAGTAATAATCTCCCTAAACTCCGCCGGGATCCCATACCCCTTCGGCGTCGCCACAGAAATCTGAACACCGAGCTTCGCGGCTCCGATAGCAAGGTCATAAAGCACGTTATTCGCATCCCCCACCCACGCAATCTTCAGCCCCTCCAACCCCAAACCCCCCTTCCCTCCCTGAGAAGAAGGGAACGCCTCGTGAACAGTCAAGAAATCTGCAATAGTCTGCAGCGGATGAAACCCATCACTCAACGCATTGATAACCGGCACCGACGAATACTTCGCCAAACTCGCCACATCCTCATGAGCGTCTACTCGGGCGACGATGGCGGAGGTCATACTACTTATTACCACACTAGTATCATACAGCGACTCATTGACTCCCAACTGGATATCCTGGGATCCGAGGAACATGGGATGGCCGCCTAGGAGTGTGACGGCGGATTCGGTGGAGACGCGGGTGCGGGTGCTGCGCTTGGTGAACATGAGGGCGATGTTTTGGCCTTTGAGCGCATCTTGGAGTTGGAAAGAGGAATTTGAGATTCCGGCGGCGGATTTTATGCTGGTTTTGTGGGAGGCGGCGTTGAGGATGAGTTTTGTTAGTTCTTGGGGGGTGAGGTCGGCTATGCTTAGTAAATGCCGGGGCGCGAAGGGTGAGGTTGATAATGTGCGTTTGGTGAGGAGATTTGTTGGCCTAAGGTTTGCTGGTCTGAGGAGGCGGGAGGTCGCCATGGTGGTATAGCCTGGGCCGGGTAGTGTTTTGAGAGTGTGAATGAGACCTTTTTGATATACTCGCTTTTGACTCAGATGATCGAGACAAAACGTCCAATGGCTCGTTATCGGCTATGTTTGACTAGCGCCATGTCTTATCGAAAAGCTAGCTCGATTGGGCTGCGGCAGTGGGGTTCTCCACGCGGCTTTAATCCGCCTGATGGGTTGATGGCATCACTTCCAGCTTCAACCAGGCACCATCGACTCATACTCTGAATACGCAACATTGAATCCAAGTCAACCTCCTCGACACCTTCGATATCCAGCGCATGCGCGCGCATCACTTTAACCTCCAACTCGACTGGTTGACGACATCATCATCACCATGGCATCCGCCGAAGCACGACGAGACGATGAGCACGACACGGAAGGCGCGAGCGAACAGACACCACTTCTCTCCAACAACGCACAATCGCAAGACGATCGGAGTCAGCCACAACGGGAAGTGTCGGCACGGGGCTCGCTTCTCAATTCTCTCAGCCTCACCAACAACAAGACAGGCAGGCGAAGATGGCCTTCCTTGATCGCATTGGCTGGACTATGTGGTCTAGTCATGCTGATCATCGTCTTCGCCTTCCTCGCACCATCGACAGTGGAGGAGTATGCGCAACAAGCCATCGTCTTCGATCCAACATCATTATCCATCGATGGCTTCACCTCGACCGGCGTGCGGGCGCGCATCCAGGGTGATTTCATGATGGATGCGACGCGGGTGCAGAGGAAGCCAGTGCGAGATCTTGGCAAGTTCTTTACATACATGGCGCGAGAGGCGGAAAGCGGACAGAGTGAGGTTGAGGTGTCGCTGCCGGAGTATGGCAATGTGGTGTTGGGGACGGCGGCCGTGCCAGGTATTAAAGTGGATCTGCGAAATGGACACCGCACGCATGTGGATGTGTTGAGCGATCTACAGCCCGGTGATGTGGAGGGAATTAGGCGTATCGCCAATGACTGGATTGAAGGTCGGCTTGGCCAGTTGAGGGTGCTGGGCAAGGCTAAGGTGCCGGTCAAGAGTGGCCTCATCAGCTTAGGCAAGCAGGCCATACAGCAGGAGCATCTGTTTGCGAACAAGGACATCCCGACTCTACCAGCCTATGACATCAAGAAGCTCAACTTTCGAGAGATTGAGCTGCCGAAAGGCGGTCGAGGGATGGCGGCAGATGTCAGCATTGCTGTGCAGAACGATTATCCCGTCGACTTCACCATCCCACCACTGGCATTCAATATTCTGGTCGACAACTGCAAGAAGGATGAACCATACATCAAGCTCGCCAACGCAGAGACACACGACCTCCACATCCAACCCAAGCACAAGGTGGAGCTGAACGCCACAGGTGTAGTCCACGAATTACCCGACGTACTTACGCAAGACTGCCCAGGCATGAGCAAGTCACCACTAGACATGCTACTAGGCAACTACCTCCATGGTAAGGACAACACAATCTACGTCCAGGGCTCGTCCGCACCACAACACAACACACCACAATGGATCACCGATCTGATCTCCGACATTACCGTCCCTGTGCCAATCCCAGGCAAGACCTTCGGCCACCTCATCAAGAACTTCTCCCTGACAGACACCCACTTCAGTCTACCAGACCCATTCGCGGATACTTCAGATCCGACAATCAGCGCTAAAGTAAAAGCACTCATCGCCCTCCCAGAGGAGATGAACTTCAATCTTTCTGTCTCCAAAGTCCGCGCCGACGCCGACATTTTCTACCACGGCAAGAAGCTGGGCAAGCTTGACTTGCATAAATGGCAGCCCGCCACCTCCAGACGCTTAGACACCAACGAGTCAAGTCCTGAACTCCTAGTCGAAAGTGCTATACAAGATGCTCCCATCAACATCACCGACGACGACGTCTTCACCCGAGTCGTCCAGGATATGCTCTTCGGCGGCGGCAAAGAGGTGATCATGCACATCAAAGCCGACGTGGATGTCATAGTGGATAGTGCGCTGGGAGAATTGGCTGTGACGAAGATACCGGCCGAGGGCTCGATACCAATAAGACGTAGGTCATGACCTCGCTCGTATGTACGACTACAAAGACTGTAGATAGAATAGATGCTGAAATGACCTTCTCTTTCGTAGCCTTCAAAGACCACAACAAAAGCCCTGGTGATATTGCCAAGGGTTTCCGACCCAAAGTCTTCGACCTGAACATCCTGTCCACTACATCAACCGGTCTAACGCTGGGCGCAAAGGTCAACATCACAAACCCCACCGTCTATTCGGCCACGGTGCCATACGTCGACATCCACATCGTGAAGAATGGCTCTGTGCTCGGCCACGCGACAGCGAAGAACATCGAGATTCAGGCGGGAGAAAACCACAACCTCTACATCGAAGCTGTCTACGATCCCGCCAAAATGGGTGGGGAGAACGGCATCCACATCGGCCGCGAACTCCTAAGCCAGTACATCTCCGGCTACAACACGACTCTGACCCTCCAACTCCACTCAGGAAGTCTCCCCACCCTCCCAAACCTCGGCAAAGCCCTCAGTAAATTCCCCCTCGAGCTCCCAACGCCACAGCTGCATACTCCAAGCCCACCAAAGGAGGACCCCACCCCGCCATCAAACCCTCCCGGTCACGGTGACGATGACGACGACGAAGAAAAAATGCACTTCATCCACGACGCCACCTTCCACCTCCTAACCAGCACCGCCACCTTCCTCCTCACCTCCCCCTTGAAACACGAAACAATCTACATCCACCGCCTGAACGCCACAGCATATTACAAAGGATCCACCGTCGGGGAAATCTACTACGACCTCCCCTTCGCCATCCCCCCCTATGACCCAGAGGAGAACGATGGACGCGGGACGCTAAGTCCAAGGTTACCGGTTGAGTGGAGTTTAGGGAGCGTGGGGTATGAGGCTGTGAGAAGGGCATTGGGGGGACGGTTGAAGTTGGGGGCGTTTGCGGAGGTGGAATTGCAGATTGGGAGGTGGAGGCAGGGGGTTTGGTTTGAGGGAAGGGGGATTGGGGCGGGGGTTAGGATATGATGGGGTAATTGATAGGATGGAAGTGACGGGATGGGATGGGATGGGATGGGATGGGATGGGATTGGTTTGGGGGGAGAGTGTATGGTTTTCGTGATGACCTCAGGAGTTTTTGTTTAGCTGGGCTGAGGGCAAATGCTGGCGTATTGGCGTTGAACACATATGTACATTGAGATGCAGAGACGTGATATCAGGTATACGAGAAGCAAGCTAGAAATCCTACTTCAGTCCTCGAAGCCGGGTCAGTAATGGACGCATGCACGCCCACCGTGCCCATTTTAAACCCATCATGACCAGTCCGAATCCTGTTCATGAATATCATGATCCCAATACCATAAGTCGATAGATGGCTACTGCAATGGTGTGAATAAGACAAAGCAGACGCAAAAACAATCACGGACTTCTCCCGTCCCAATCGCGATGTCTACAAGACGCTGCTGTGATCAAGGCGCCAAAGATCTTGTGGCAGAAACGGACGAGGCTGGGGTGGTGCTCACTGGCGTACTGGTTGTGGAGAGTGCCGTAGAAGAAGATGAGCATGACATTTCTGTTGCACAGACGGATCAGGGAGACGGAGAAGGAGACGATGATGTTAAAGGCAGGTGGTTTGGAGGGTCTGGAGGCAGGTGTGTTAGCGACCTTCTTATCGAGGCCCTCTGTCATTCTGAGACGGTTGTGGTGGTGCTGCATCGTCACCGTGCTCAGCATTCGTGTCTGGCGTGGAGGCGCACGGCTAGCGGTAAGTACTCCATTCTTGTAGCAGCCATAGTAATGTCTGGGAGTTGCTGATGAGTGGACGCGGAACCGTATTGGGCAAGTGGAAAGTCCCATTGGAATCACAGAATGGTCATGTGCTGCCGTCACGCTGACCAGCTCGGAAGCGGAAATGCTACTACTGAGCACAGTGCATGACTTGCACGTCGCTGGTGTACAACATCCACCTCAACCCGCCTCTGGATGATCATCTGATCGCTGCCAAAACTCTGCACACTAGTACTTTTATCATCCCTCCCTTTCGATGCATATGCATGAGCAGAATGCACCGCTGATTCAGCTTGTATCTTGACAAAGTGATCTCGGTGACTTCGATCCTTAGTTCTGCCATGTCCGTCCAGCGATGTCAGAGCGAAGCTTCGTCCACCAGAAGCCGTCTGCGATCCATACCCGTATCTTGCGGTCGTGCTCTGTGAAAGTCGAGAAAGGTCTCCCGTTCCAAAGCGACCGAGGAAGTTTTTCAGGCAAGGTATGCTGGCCGAGCAGAGACTGTATGCAAGCAGGATTTGTTGGAGTACTGCATAGCCGATGATACTGATGTTCTGTTGGCCGTGGTTCAGGAAATGGGAGTAGACTTGTAAGTAGGTGATGAAAAGTGCGGCAACGCTGTCATGATCAGCGAGAGCTCCACATACCAGACATTTCCACTCACCCAAATCTAAACGCGAAGGCAGCAGTGACCGTCACTTTTCTATCGGTCTTCATCTGTAGCCTGCTGAATAGTACTGCTGGTAGAACTACTATGGTAGCTTCCAAGCACGTATCAAGTGCGACCATAATCTTCCAACGAGTCATGCCACTCTTCACATGAGCCTGACAGACGGCTTGGATGGCACCTTGGCCAAGGCATTGATGAGAAGGATCGATACTGACCAGCAGCGTCGAGGCGCAAGTCCATAGACCAAGGACAACTATCAGTGCCGTACATGTTCTCCAAATTCGGGTATTGTTATGCGTGAACAACTGTCGGAGGAAAGTGATTACCGAACACTTGCTGAGGCCTATCGCAATGACACAAAGTATGCGAGCGGCGAACAAGAGCTAAACAGGTCTCAGCGAGACTTGGAATGGGCGCATTGATGCTGGCACTTACTCGGTGGGCAGATTGGTTGTGCTGGAGAGACAGCGTACTCTCGAGTTTCCCAGCACCCAGATTCAAAGCCTGAAAGACGGCCGACCATTGTGCCAGACTAACAAGCTGTGAAAGGGGTATCAGTCTTCTGCGTTGAGGACTCGTAGCAGGTTCGACGTACATAGGCAAGACCAAGGAGAGCATCGTCGGATCCCAGCGACTTGTACTTGGCTGCGAGGCGGGCGAGAAGAAAGATCATAGAATAGATGAGCGATAGAATGGTCACTACCCACAGAGGTGCTTGATGATTCCAGGTTGTGTAAAATGAGAAGCGTGTCTGGTCGGTATCGCTCGCGGCCATGCTGAAGATGTGTCTGTCATCGTAGCCGGTGCGACGAACATGTCTTCTCAGTGCCTGCGGGCCACGCTGCTCACCCTCCCACGGTCTCACCGTAATATGTGGCATAGCTGTGATGGTCATGGCTCATGGCTCGGGACTTCGTTACTGGTGCTCTATGCCATTAGGATCCAATACGTGTCTAATAGCTTGATCTTGACGTCGTTGGCCAATGAAGGCGACGCACTGCCCGGACAGTAGTGCATCTGTCTGATTTGAAGGCTCAAGCCATTATGTTGCCAACCGAAGTTGCGTTCGGGAGATGAGCATGCCAGTCCCCAAGATCTTGCCAAGACGGTAAGTGTTTGTACCAAACCCATGCGTTCCAATCAACATCTCCAGGAACGAAGCTTCCGTGCTCAATTGTCGTTGAGATGCTCATGAGAGGCACAGCAACAACATATGTAGGTCCGACAAGGTTTCCACAAACAATGGCTCGATCGATCCGCTCCCTTCCCCGCTCGGCTAGTCCAGATAAGCACCACAAGTGCCAGGATTGAGATAAGCTTGTCGTTTTATGTGCCGCATCGTAGCTGAGGATAGCAAGCACGCAAGGCTCTCCGACCGGCCCACTGCGCTAAGCTGACCGTGGCGCAGAGCTCCCCGGTCTAGTGTTGAGAGGTGTATACTGCACGCACGCTTTGAGGTTGTATGGCATCTGCCGTGGAGTTACGTCGACGGAGCTAGCATCAAGATCGTCCTTGGCCGCTTTAGTCGTACTGCAAGAGGTGGCCTACAAGCATTGCTATCCTATCCCGAGATGGCCATGCGTTTGTCTTATTTCGCTGAGCAGTAGCACTCACCTTCAGCTTTGTGCGAAAGCAGTCTTGCTCGGCGGAATGGACGAAGCAAAGCACACGGACGGCCTCACATCGTCTGCGATCGACCATGGCACTATCGATCAGTCTGATCTCGAGCTGGAAGAGAAGCGAGGCAACGACTTCGATCAGCGTGGTATGATACGCATGGGAAAGCGGCAAGAGCTACGTCGCGAGTTCCATTTCTTCAGCATATGGGGATTCGCAGTCATCCTGGGCTGTTCGTGGGAATATGTCTTGGTGTATGTTCAAACCTCGTGTAGGGTCGGCGCAGACTCAAGCGGGCTTGTACTGATCGTAGGACGATAGTAATGGTGTCCTGTCTCTTCCGAATGGCGGCACGGCTGGGAGTGTCTGGATGTTCTTGATTGCATGTATTGGCATGTTCTTGGTGGTGCTTTGTGAGTTGTGCTTGTAGACCAGTCCTGCCAGCGAGTTACTATGCTGACAACGTCTAGCGATGGCGGAGATGGCCAGCATTGCTCCCACAGCGTGAGATCATCTGCCTCGGATGCATATACCACATTTCTAACAGATTCTAGCGGCGGTCAATATCATTGGTGCTCTGAATGTAGAATCCAACCGAGAGCCTTGAAAACCGAGCTTGCAGCTGACATCTTCCACAGTCGCTCCTCCACAGCACCAGAAGTTCTTGTCCTACACAGTCGGCTATCTGTGTGTACTCGGTTGGCATGCCTCACTAGCCGGTACATGCTATGCCGCCGGTCAGCAAGTCGAAGCCATCATCGTCCTCGCGAACCCGAATTACACCATCCAGACTTGGCAGACGGCCTTGCTTGCACTGGCAATCGTTCTTGTGGCGATCATGTTCAACACGGTCTTGTACCGCAAGCTCCCGCTCGTGGAAGGTATTGTCATGATAGTGCACGTGTTCGGATTCTTCGCGATCATCGTGGTCCTCTGGTGTGTCCTACCAAGCCAATGGAAAGCGGCAGTAGCTGACGTGTAGTCTAGGGTCATGGCACCTCGAAGTGACGCCTCTGTTTTGACAACCTTCTCATCGAACGGCTGGTCCAGCGCTGGCGTCGCATGCCTGGTCGGAATCAGTGCTCCGATCGGCGACCTCATTGGTGCTGATTCGAGCGTACATCTCTCAGAGGAGTTGAAGAATGCTGCATGGATCTTGCCGCGCTCCATGATCGCCACTGCACTGGCAAATTATGTCCTTGGCTTCGTCACCATCAGTAAGTGGAGCTCACAACTTAGTCCATTAGACATAAAGCTAATATGTGTAGTCACGCTTGTTTTCTGTCTTGGCGATCTCGACACAGCTACGACCTCTTCTATAGGGCAGCCGTATGTCGAAGTAATACTCAATGCCACTGGATCGACAGCAGCAACAATCACCCTGACGATAGTGATGTTCATACTCCTGGTCTCTTGTGCGGTCAACACAGTAACAACGAGCTCCAGACAGCTGTGGTCGTTTGCGCGAGATGGTGGACCTCCTTTCAGTAATTGGCTCAGCAAAGTACGGCCAGGATGGGATGTGTGAGTGGCAAACCGGAGTATGTGAGGCTAATTGGTTCGTCTGATCAAAGTCACAGCCCGATGAATGCGATGACAGTATCCTTCGGCTTCACCGCCATCTTGGCTTGTATTGTGATTGGCAGCGCCACAGCATACGGCGTCTTCGTCACATTGGTCAACTCCGGTCTCTTGAGCAGCTACGCCATCTGCATTGGCTGTGAGTGTGTAACGGTCGTATTGGGCTCATCATTGGCTGACAATACCTCCAGGCATATTGCAGAAACGCCTTCGAGGCGAAACCTTTCCGCCCTCTCGCTTCAGCCTTGGCCAAGCAGGGAATGTGATCAACATTGCAGCCCTGTGCTTCCTGGTGGTAGCATGGGTGTTTCAATTCTTTCCGAGCGCACCAGATCCCACGGCGACTTCCATGAATTGGTGGGTGCGAGATCCATCTCCTTCGTAGCGCTCCAGCTGATGCTAGTCTGCAGGTCCGTCATGATCTTTGGGGCGGTCATTGTTTTCTTCACGATATATTACATCACGAATGCTCGGCACAGATATACTGGGCCGGTGGTCCATGTCAGGAAGGATCTGTAAGATACCCAGTGTCCATGAGCTAACGTCCTAGTAAGTAATACCAGAAGCTCGAGGGCTCTGAGACCTGTCAGTAGCTCTGGCTGAGGATTGTGCTCAACCTCGTGTTGGTATCGTATGGCAGACACCATCACAAACGCGAACATGTTCATATTTGCCGGCCATAGCACGCCTTCACGTCCCTTGTGACATGAATCTTGCACTCAGAATTGACCTTTCAGCGCGGATTTTTCGATACGGCAAAGATGATAATACCATTTGCTGATGAGCAGGTCGTAGTTGAGCGCGAGTGTTGATAATGATATACTGTCGATCTCATCTTAGTTTTGTAAACCAGCCTCGGCGAACATTCGCCCGCGATGTCATCCTCCACCCCACTTGCTACTGTAGGCCACTACAACAATCTAGTTTTCCGAGAGCTAGAGAAGAAGCGCTTCATGTTCCCCATCAGACGAGCAGTAACGAAAGGCATCTCCTCAAACCGAACCTTCTCAACCACAGCAAGAATGTCCACCAAACACGAATGGATGGTCATCCTCCCCGACAAAGCCGGAGCACTAGCCGACAGGATGAAAGTGCGAGCGTAAGCACATATCAATACCGAGGACAATGCCCAAGCTCACCCCATCTGACTCAAGAGAGATAGTGACCACCTCCAAGCCCTGAAACCAGACACAGAGTCCGGCTTCTGGATCCTAGGCGGAGCAACACTCGATGAACCCATACAAGAGGGCCAAGGGCCGAAGATCAACGGGAGCGTGATGATGGCTTTGGCCGAAACGAAAGAGGAGGTCATGAACAAGGTGAAGCAGGATGTTTACTTTACGTCTGGGGTTTGGGATGAAAGTAAGGTGAGTGACGTGTGCTGCGAGGGCAAAGGCTTGCCGGATCGGGCTGACATGACTATGCCGTGTAGATTCAGATATTTCCCTTCAAGAGTGCCATTCGCTCTGCACTATGATCATGTATTGGGATCAAGACACAAGTTAAGTATCATCTACCTGATCTTAATCCTGTCGGAGGGTGTCCACCAACGTTCCAGACGACCCGTGCGGTATACCTGTCCCCGCCTATGCGCCATAGTAGGTTTCCGTGCCGGGAATACTCCTGATGGGAAGTACTAGTGGTGCTAGAAGCCATGCGACTTATGGGAGAGCAGATTCCTGCAAAGAAGAAACGGTTTATGACTTGATTTGCCACAGCGGTCCCAATGAGGTTGGTGTCTCTGCTGCATTTGCATTACCTCCTCACCCTTGTGGGTAGCTATCCTGCTCGCCTCATCTCTAAGCATATCTCCCCGCCTCAAAAGCCCCCTCCTCCCAGAAATTCGCACCCATAATATTGCCAGCAAACTCCGTCCCATCACACGCCCCGACCGCCCTAAGCGCACTCAACTGGCTAACAAACTTGACAAAAACATCGTCCTCGCCACCACTTTCCCTCCTCCAGATAAACACCCTTTCAACCTTTCCATACTGCCCCTCCATCTCCCGTCCAATCTCCCCATAAAGATCCTTATCCTGGATCTCCTCGTCAATATCAAGCCCGGTAAGCATATTGCTCAGCTTGATAACAGCAGACAACGGCCCATAAGGCTCGCCCTCATTCACTTCCGCCGCCCCGTCACCACCATCGCCAACAGCCACTTTCCGACGCTTCCCACCAACAAGCTTTCCCATATTTGCCGGGGCCGCCCAGCCTCCTCCCTGCACATCAGCGAGCTTCTTGCGCTTTTCGGCTTTCGCCACGAGGGCTGTAGTGATGCCTTCGTTGCCTTCGGCGCCCAGACCTTGGCCTTTTTCCCAGCCATATTTCTTTAGTAGACGCTCGGCAAAACCTTTTTGGCCTGGCCGCAATGAGCGCGGAGCGTCTTCCGCTTCGGCATCGTCGACCATGGTGGCGTCGTCTGCATTCACTAAGTCTGGCGATGGGAGCTGGTAGCGCACTGGTGCTCGGGAGATTGTGTTCCCGGGCTCTTCGGGCTCACCTGGAGGTGGTGGCGGGGGTGCCGCGGTATCTGCCGTAACTGCAGGTCCTGGCGGCACTATTGCTGCTGAGGTAGCAGCAGCTTTGGCTGCCTTGTGAGCCTCTACTTTGGCCTTGAACGCGGCAATTTTGGCCGCAGCTTCGGCCTTCTTCGCAGCAATATCGATGGCGGCCTTATCGTTCGCAGGCGATAGTTGCACTTCTGGCGTGATGATGGCAGGGGCAGCCTGTGGAGGCGGATTCGATGGAGCCTGGACGCCACCACCCATCTGCATGCGGCGAGCATATGCGTCCTCGCCAGTTGGGTCATTCGGCAACGACATGCTGGCAAGTGGTTCGTAGCTGTCGCTCTTGCCAGATGGCTGACTTGGAATAGCTAGAGGGTAGTAGTCATCGTCGTCGTCCTCGACGGCTGGCCTAATTGGCGCATTGTCGAAGCTCGGCGGAGCAAAGCTGAGTTTAGTAGGTGGTGCGAACATGTCTGGCAAGCTCGAGTCAGCTATGATCACGGAGTCTATGGGCATCAACCTACTGTTCGCGGCTGGCCTCGACTCGACCTCCTCGCTCCTAGCAGTACTCTCCTTCTTCGCCTCCTTCAACCGATGATAATACAATCTTGCCTTCCAGTCACGAATCTCCATCACCTGCTCATCGCTCCCCTTGTAATCGGCGTAGTTGTTGGGCAGGGTGGGGTCGTATATATCATCCCAGCTCCACGTTCGGGTTTCCTGCTGCACGCCACCCTTTTTCTTCTTCTTGTTCTTGCCGCCCCGTTCGCGCTTCGGTCGATTGTCGACATAATATTCGTCATCGTCATCGCCGCCGACCCAATCCTCGAAGTTGCTGCGCGGGAGATTGGGCTGTTGGGTAGGTGTGCTGGTCACGGGTGGGGTCTGTTTGTCTGGCGAGCTGGTCGAAGTTGGTCCAAGACTAGCAGTGGTGGTGCTGGAGCTGAGTGTATGCGAGGATGGCGCCTTCTTTTGCGCTGGACGACTGATCTTGGGTTGTGTCTGTGGCCGACGCACTGGCTGGAACTGCAGCGAGGCTTTTCCCGAACAAAAAAGTGAGCTTGACCGTCTCGCACTATTTCGCGTGTTCACGTTACGGTACCATCTTTCTTCTTTGCAGCTGCCGCCGCTTCTCCTTCCTCATCGTCCTTGGCGACATTGTACTTGAAAGGAGCGCTGGAGATGGTCGAGCTTGCTGCTTTCTCCTTGTTCGTGTCGAGCAGGTCTGCGTAGAGGGACAAGCCCATCTTCTTCGGTGCCGCCATAGTGTTTTCGCAAAAGTGCGCACCAATACGGTACCAAACAGGTTCAACAATTATATTGCGTTCACACGAACCAAGCTATTCAGCATGCATATTTCTTGGAGCAACTATACACGATCACAAGCTAAGATCGATTGGCACGGCCGCAGCCGCAGCTAGCATATATCCAATGCATTCACCGAAATGGAGACATGTCGGTTAAACCAAGTGAACATCAATCAATAACGCCAAGTCGAGGCTTCCTTGACATGAATAACTGGTATGTCAATCTAACTCACTCATACACCGGAAGTGTGATGGTAGGTCAAGCCCCGTATATAGAGTTTGCGATTCGAGCCATCGATGTAGGCCATCGATATCGTGACGCCATTGGCCAGTGGTCATCGACATTCAACTTCTCTCCATGGTATACCCATATTCCTCCGCCATGATATCGTGAAACCAAACTCACAATGGCTACAGCAGCCGCCACCAGCCTCTCCATCACAAATCCACTAGTCAAATACCGCGCCCTCGTCGCCACCCAACAAGTCGTCCCCGACCAATCTCAATTCCGTCTCGCAATCCATCTCCAGAAACTCTACGATCGCCTCAAGGACTACGAGCCCCAAGTCGAGTACAGTACCCGCCTGGACCAGATCTCACAAGCCGTGCGAGCGCAACAAAGTGCCGGACTACCGGTCAACAGCGAAGATGTCCCCACCCCGTCTGCCCGGACTACCAGGCAGAGCACCTGGCGATCTTTCTGGGCGGCGAAGGAGAAGAGAGATAGTCTTGCCTTGACAAGACGACTCACTAATCATGAGGCCGCGATGCAGCTTTCCTCTCCCAAGGGCCTGATGGTTCATGGTGAGGTGGGTACCGGAAAGTCCATGCTCATCGACCTCTTCGCCGACTGCCTGCCGAACCGCAAGAAGCGGCGATCGCACTTCAACACTTTCATGCTCGAGACTCTAGCGAAACTAGAAGCCTTCCGCCGAGATCGGGAGATCAGTCGTCAGGCGGCGAGTATCGCGATAGAAGACGATTATTCCCTCCTCTGGCTGGCAAAGGACATGGTACAGTCCCACCCCATTCTATTCCTGGATGAGTTCCAGATGCCGGACCGTGCGGCAAGTAAGATCCTGACAAATCTCATGACCTCGTTCTTCCATCTCGGCGGCGTACTAGTAGCAACCTCGAATCGCATGCCCGAAGAACTAGCCAAAGCAGCTGGGATGGACTTACCCGCTCCCGCTCCCTCGAGACTACAGTCACTGGGTCGACAATTCTGGTCAAGAAGGAAATCGAAAAGTGATGCTCTCTTCGGTGGCGAGAACGAATTCTCTGCTTTTCTAGATGTGCTGAAGGCAAGGTGTGAGGTCTGGGAGATGAATGGCGGGAAGGACTACAGACGGATCGAAAATGGGAGCATTGCGCCCGTCAAGCTCGAGGATGTGGAGAGGGTGCTCGAAGAGTGGAGGGAGGATGAGCACAGGGACTTGCAGCACGGTGCTGGTATGGCTGGGTGGCCTGTTGCTGACCTTGAGACCGAGCAGGCTGAGGTAGCTACGATCAAGTCACCACGATTCTACAACACTGTGGCAGAAGAGGATAGCACCATCGCTGTTGCCATCTCTTCTGCGACTGGCGAGACACATCTGGACAACACACCCTGGCAACCAACCACTCTCAAAGTCTACGGCCGCACAATCACAATCCCCTACACCTACAACGGCACTCTTAAATGGACTTTCGACGACCTCTGCAAGGGCTCCTTCGGCCCGGCAGACTACATAACCCTCGCTTCCACATTCCACACCCTCATCCTAACCGACGTCCCTATCCTGACCTTCGTCATGAAAAACGAAGCCCGACGCTTCATCACCCTCCTCGACGCCTTATATGAATGCAGATGCAAACTCTACATCCACGCCGCCGCAGGCCCAGATGACCTGTTCTTCCCTGACAAGGACGGCGCAGAGGAGGAAGGCGATAGTGTATACTCCGAGACAATCTCAGAGGTATACCAAGATGCTACCGCGCCTTTCCGGCCGAATATCCTAGGTACTAATCCGAATTACGCTGAGCCGGATCCCGAGCCAGACTACACGCACGCTCGACTAGCCGGTCTGCTGAACGCACATCAGCTCGAAGACGATCCACCCAATAAGCCGGAGAGGAAAGGCGGTGCCTTCAGCCGATCATTCGGTGGGACAGATGGTGAAATAGAGCGCGGACCTATTGATCCGGATGAGGTGCGGTATTCTGCCCCGAGCACGAGGGGACCGGACTTTGGCAAGACGTCCAAGTTCACCGGCGAGGACGAGATGTTCGCCTATAAGCGGGCGCAAAGCCGGTTGTGGGAGATGTGTGGCGCGAAATGGTGGGCACGGGAGGAAGAAGGGTGGCATCGGCCCTTACCCGTCGAAGTCCGAATGTGGGAGAAAACGGTCCTCGAACAGCAATCCGCAGCCGCCGCCGCCACAGCGGCAGCCATGAGCATGCCCGTTGGCGTCGCAGGCACCATGACACCAACCGACATCGGCATGGGGCCAGCAATAGAAGACTCAAGCCGGGACTCGCGAAGTTTCCGGCGACGCGAAGAAGGTAGTAAGATCGTGGAGGAGGAGAATACTAGTCCCTGGCGGAATTCGAAGGAGCCGCCGCCGAGGTTCAGTCTGAGCCATATTTGGGGGACGACGAGGTGGGGCCCTAAGGCTGGGGCTTGGGGGCAGGGGGTTGAGGGGTTGAAGGCTAGGGAGAAGAAGAGGGGTGGGGAGGGGAAGTAGTGGGGGTTGACTGCGGTTGTGATGATATGCATGTAACGGCATCTCCAGCTCTGTCTCTTGGACAGCCTCGGGCCAGGAACGATGCTGTCGCAAGTAGTCCGCCCACGACCCCTGTGGACGGGTCGAGATCCAACGCTGGGATTGAAGACATACTGACAAGCATTGAAAGACACGATGGCGAGCACCACTACTGTCACGATGCGGTATCTAGACGTGTCAGCAGGCAGAACAGCAAGCCAAGTGCTCTTCATAGGCCCTTCGTGCAAGTACGGAAGACCAGATATGAACGTATGCATGTAGACTTGGATAGACGTAGTGTCAGGATACAACTGTAAAGATCTAGAATCATACCATGTCCCTCTCCGTCTTCTCCTCTTGATCGAGTTCCTCATGGAAGATCCCACCATCGCCGTATCTTGGGGGATGACTAGATGTGCGAGTGTGACCGCCGGGCAACGGAGTATTTGTAGCACTTCTGTCCGGAATATCACGATTCGTATGCATCTCTCTCTCCTCGAGCGGCGAGTGGTATTGGTAAGCGTGGGGCATGATGCTCTGTTTGCCCGCTGCTTGTCGTTGCCGGAGGAAGAAGGATAAGGTTACGACGAGGTGGGTAAGATAGCTAGCAACCACATCAACGATTGTATCCTGGCAGCACAGGCATGAAAGACTGTACTTACAGTACGCCCATCACGAGGACACACCAAGTGACATACCAAGTCACAGCCAACCCACTACTCCAATAGCTCCTCGGATCCCACTGTCTCAGCTCAAAAGCACACCAGCCTGCTTCCGCAGAAGTAGTGTTGAAGCGGCTGGTAGGCAGGATACAGGTTCCCTGTAGCGAGAACTGGATAAGCCATGCAAGTAATCCGAGGCCGCCGCAAACCAGTGATAGGATGGGTCGGAAGGGTTGGCTAGCGCGATGTTGCAGAATCTCGAAGACGCTTACGGCGAGGAAGATGAGAGGAATGGGGCAGTAGAAGAAGACGAGGCCGCTGGCGACCCGTTAGTCCCAAGTACACAACACAGCAGTCTTGTCCAAAGATTGCCACTCACGCTCTGTCCACGACGATAGTCCCTTCCTTGTGCAGTGGTTCCGGCGGCCCGCCAGGCTCCCCATACCATCCATAGTCTATCCTTGCCGCAACGAAAGTGCCCACGATGAAGAAAGCAAAGTTGCAAAATGCGATGACGGCGGTGAGGACGAGCAGGACACGCTGGGGCCCATCCTCCACACTCTCGCTGAGTAGAGTAGCTTGTCTCTTTAATCTCGTCGGGTGAAGTAGCGAGAGCCCGACCATCGTCTCCCTCCGCTTCCAGAGCGCAGACCTGTTGAGGTGAAGGGTGGTGTGAGGAAGGTGAGAAATGCTGAGAAGAAGCAGGACAGCGACGATAGCTTACCGTAGGACGTCAAGTAAAAGGCAAGCTACTGTATGTCCTCGTATCTGTCCGCCAACCTACCGCACGGGAAGGATCGAGGCAGCGAGATTGGTGAAACATGCTTCCCATAAGCCGATCCCATTCAGCTGTTGGTTCTCACACTGCAACACCGATACGGACCGCCACGCCTATCTAGGTTCCCACATGCAAAGATCATGGCGTCGGGCGGTCCCTGTGAACGCGTGAGAGGTCTTGAAACAAGTTGCAGTCAGCATGCAGACTGCAGCACAAGGTTCGAGGTCGGTAGTGGTGAAGGTGCAGCGAAGTGCAGATCCAGTTGGTGGCGCTGGGCCACGGACGAGTCGCAGAGTCAGAGGTGAGGCTGAGGGTCTTGGTACATGCATCAGGCTGTGTTAATCATAGGTGATGTGTATGTATGGGATTACGCGCCGAGCCGTCGCTCGACGGCCAATATACTATAGCGCCATGGAGTCTTGCCTGAAGAAGAACGCGATTGCTATATGGTACTGGAAAGCTCGTGAGCCTTGCAGCCCGAATCACGTATTACCGAGACAGCAAAGAGCACTACCCAAACAAGGACAGTGCTTTCTCGAAGCTCTGTGATGTCGACTCTTGCTGACCCACCGAACGTGTATTGGAAAGGCAACAAAGACGGATCATTGGAAAGGCCGTTCGTTAAGGTATACTAGCTTTTACTACCCATATACAACAAGGTCACTTGTCTCGTCGAGCGCCAACACACCCTTCCACAAGGCTTGTGTCTTTCGTACGCTTGACGATATCCGCTGATAGGGTATCTATGATACAGATTACCGCCCATATGCCACAAAGTAAATTCGTCTCTAGCTGTCAAGCCAATGGTTGGAAAAAGAACTTTCGACCCGTGAGGATCTGACCGAGAAGACCAACTTTTCTATACATGCGCCTTTGCCCACTGGGAGTCTATTGCGGGCGCCGACGCTGGTCCTTGAAGAAGGCTTTTATTGATGGCGTGATAGTCGTGATAGATGTATGCTTGCGTGAGGGCAGAGATGCTCAGATGCGGAACTCTCAATGCTATGCTGCTGGATGTGTTTCGTGATTTCGTATTGATTCGTGATACGCGTAGATCTGATTTCTATGAGGTTGTGCTATCGCTTGAAGCTGAAGGCCGAACGACCTCCGAGCAGCGATGCAGGATCGGTGAAGAGCTTGAGGAGGGCCTGCTTGCGTGTGGGCTGGGGCTGGATCCTGGCGTACTGGACCATCGGTGCCATGATGGCTTGTTCGTCGATGTTGTTAAATTTGAGAGTCTTCTCAAGACTTGGTACCTTGGACAGTGGTTGTGTCTCGCCCAGGGGTTGGTGCCTTGTGGTGTCTGAGCTAACGCCGGCTATGGCATTTGCCTCTTGGTGGAAAGCCCGCCATTGGTCATCAATCTCTGCCCATTTCTGCTCGGTATAGCTGTAGACCTGTGAGGTGGGTCCATGGTGCTCGGCAATCCGAGAAGCTTGGCGCATATACTCCACTCTCGCCGACTCCCAGTCGTCCAAAAGTCGTTTGCAGGTCTGCAGGTCGCAGACATTGGGTAGGTAGGGCTCGGGCGTGATGTGGAAGTTGGCATGCCCGAGCTTAATAGCCCAAGGATCCGACTCTTCGGATATTGCCATGTGTGGGATCTCAGAAGATGGCCGCAGTGCTTGAGCGGCCCGAAGCACTCCAAAGGACGTAATGGATGGTTGTGATGATAGCGGTGGAGTAGGTAAGGCACCATTGAGTGGCGTCATCGCAGGCGTGCCCAGTACCGATACTGTCGAGCCGGGCTCTGCCACAGTTGGGGACTGCAAGGGCGACTGCAGCTGTTCTTGCGAACCACCAAAGAAATTGTCGCTCATAGGTGGTAACAGTGGAGTGCTAGCAAGCTCCTGTGGTTCAGGAGAAGGCTCTATCGATGGCGTCTCGGGGATCATGATTTCAGCAGGCTTTTGTGGCCTGGACATTCCTCGAGGACGACCAAGCACATTCTCCCTGTTCTGCACGTCCACTGGTGTGATCGGTGGTGTCATAGCTTGCATATTGTCGGATGTGTATGGCGCGACAGCTCGTCGAAGCGATGGGCTTCGTACCGAAGTCGCTCTCGAAGCTGGTGCGCTCTGGATAGTAGTATTGGAGACCGACATCGACGGTCTGCGATCTTTCCATTTCACTGATAGCGATGGCCAACGTCTACTGAGTCGTGCGGTCAGGCTGTCTGCGGAGTGCTCACCAGACCGTCGTCGCTTTGGCGATCGAGTCCCAGAGTGCTCGCCAGCCATCAAGTAGTCGTCGCCCGGCGTCCATTCTGGAGTGGCTGTTGTGGGAGATGCCACAATCGCCTGTGATAGTCTTGGCGTCTGCATATGCTCGCAGAATGGTGTATCGCCTGCAACAGTCAGTACTGATCTTTGCCAGTCATATGCCTTCAGACTCACAAATACATAGTGGCTCGTCCGCCATTAAATTCGGGGCATCGAACATGGAGCCATCGCGCTCTACAGGGTCTTCCGCTGGGTCCTCCACAAGATCATGCAGAGCCGACTTGTTGACATTCAGTGGCGAATCTGGCGCAGCGGCCAAAGATGAGCTCGAGCTTGGGCAGCGGTTGTGGCTGCGGTTGGAGAACGTGGATGTGATTGGCGAGGAGGTTGTAGAAGCGCCAGACGAGCTGCGCGAGTGTGTCGGCGACATATGTTTGGGATTCTCTAATGCTGCCATGGTTGATTCTTCATGCCTTGACATCGACAGCTTCGGGAAAGAAAAGGAGCGCACCCTGCTCATGATGTTTATTTTTCATACGCTGGCACCTACTGCCAACTTCCAGACATGTTGTATATCGTATTGATGCATGCACGTTCGGAATCGATCTAAGTGGCTTAGTTCTATCGCTAGAATCGCTCATTCGCCGGGAGATGGTGCGTTGGCACGAGTCGCGTCTCTTTCAGATTCCGGTTCCTGGGTCGGCTTCTTATTTGTCAGGTTTGCGCCTCTGCAGATGGCGTACAGACAGGATGGCACACGAGGAGGGGATGGTGGTGGATAGGGAGCAAGAGACTGACGACGACGATTGTCGCAGACACGATCGACACGCGCAAGCAGCTGCAGAAGGACGAAGCTGTCAAAACTCGCGAGTGCTTGTGGGATTTCCTGGCTAGTAGGTTGGTGAGTTCTTGTGGGTTCACGCTAGAAGAGTCCGGCACGGCAACATTTCCAGGTACCGGATTGGACCGCATCAAAGTGCACGCATGAGAAAAAGCCAAACCATTGCCCGATCGCTTACAGAGTCTTCTGCAGGTCCGACGGCCGGGATCGATGTCCTTGTTTCCGCGGCGCACTTTCGAATTGGTGAGCTTTCAATCCATCACACATTCGTTACACAAATACCCGGCAACCAAGTTTCCAACATTTGGTGACATGTCCGAGAGAGTGCGCCGTAACCGAGACAGCTACTAGACCAGACGGTCGACAGACTAGAGGCGTCACAGAAGCTTCGCGACAGCTGCAAGTCCGTTGCGACTTCGGTGCCGGACAAGCTCTCCCTTGTCAAAAAGCGATCCCGCCGAGGCACCAACAGCTGCAGTAACAATCAAAAAGCATTCCCGCCCGCATAAAATCCTGATGATGCGGTTATGCTGCAGACGTCGGCGTACTGGGCCTGCTGTCCGTAAGGAAATAGCCAACGAGCCACATTTGAGCGACTTATTGCCTAAAAGAAGGCATGGAGTTGCTGGTAATTCATTAGAGGGTCGCTGCCGCGCAAGGTCGATACCTGTCTGTTCCACGTTGCGAATAATGTCTCGTGCGACCTAGCGAGACGATGCGCCGACTACCTGTCATCTATCTTCCCCCACACAAGGGAGACTGCGCTTGCTTGTGTTACTGTCGCAAATAGCAATTATTCGTGTGCCACCAGCCAAACAATTCACTCGATCGAGGTTTGGTCCTGTCTGTATGCAGGGTTGGACTACGCGGGCGGCTGTACAACCCGTGACTGCTCAATGTTCGAGATTGTGCTCTCGACTGCATTCGTCAGTGGACGCTGTGGTTCTGTGGCTCAATCCAGAGCGTCCAACCTTGCTTCTTTCGAGCGGTTGATAGAATGGTCACATGAACGGGTAGAAAGTGATTGAGCTGCTTGAAAACGTCTTGGCATCGTAGAGGCCTCGTCAGCCACCGCACTCCAGCTTGTCTGCAGGTTCGACGCATCTCCACTGCGGATCTCCACAAGCGGCTAAACTGCGCTTGCTGCCCTCATAGTAATCATGTTGATGAGAATGCAACCTCAGTTCTAGCGACACAGTGCGAGCATCGCTTGTCTGCAGTTTGGTACGTGATCTGAGTGAGAGCACACAAAAAAAGTCGCTGCAGATTCGAGAAATGAATGCTGTAAGAAAAACCATCCATCGTCACGTCACCGTGCCCAACCATCGAAGGGATGGGGTGGAGAAACGGTTTTCGCTGCAGCCCCGCCGTTTGCAAACGTGGCCAACTGCCTCTACCCGGAGACCACGCTGCAGCTAGATACCTCGCTTATGCATAATGATCCCTTGATGGCTTTTCTGCCGGCAAAACGTACTGGTCAGTGGGAGGAAACGACCAGGAGGATGGGAGAGTGGCTGGCAATCGTGGTTCACAACCTTGCGCTATGTATCGCGATAGCAGATGTTGATCGCTACGATATTGGAGATGCGTATCAAAGCCGAGATATCGACGACTGCCAGACTGTCGATTGGTTGTGGCTGCGATTATGCGATTCATTGCTACCTCCTGGCAAGATATGCAAAGTCGTCCTGCTACCGAGCATGATCGAAGTTGGGCGCACTTTCTGGCAGAGCATCCGTCCCTCTGCGGTCGGTACTGGCAGCTTGTGTTTCATGTGTGTGAATGCCGTGTTGTTCGATGCGATCGCTCCGGACGCACCTGCAGATGCACCCTTCGCTATTCGTAGATGTGCTTGCATCTTCGACGAGCTCGCGCGGCGGTAGTGGAATGCGTAGAGCTTGGCACCATATGCAATGAATCGCCTACTCAAGAGATCCAATAACGCATCCATTGTGCTTTCTGCTCGTCCGAGCCTTCGAACTGTTGAGGGTCAGCATATCGGCATCGGCAATACCTGCACTTACCTCACCTTGAAATCAACTCTGGTGATGTCTTCAAAGCCTTCCTCAACACGCGGTTCACGATGCCGAGCTGTGAAGCCGGTGAATGCCATCTTTGGCAACATTGTTCTCTTCTCAGGGTTCATCTGCAAGCGGTCAGCAACCGCCAGCGCGGCAACAACCTGCCACGAGGAAGGTAATTTGCACAAGGACTGACCAGGTGGCCGGTAAGAGCTCTCGCTGTATCGTTATGCTCGCACAGCTTTGCCGATGCAGTGAAGTAGACCAATCGGATCGGGACCTTCATCTTCCTGGCCACTCCTATCCAAGCGGCTCGTGTTTCAATATCTGCATTGGTATTATCAACCACAACAGGCTGACGATCCTCGAGGCACTGTGTTGCGACTTTGATACATTTGTCTCGTGACTTGAGTATATCTTGGTTCACCCTCTCATAACCCAAAGGCTGCATATGCTGCCAGTAAAAGGTAGACTTGCCTGCACCTGGACTGCCACAAGATAGCACGAGCTCGACGTCGTGCTTCTTCGTAAACACGATTGGTGACACATCTGTCTGCGCTGTCAACTCAACGTTCACATAAGAAGCTGGGTCGAAAGTCCGAATGAATGACTTCACTGGCTCGCCTAGAAAGTACTCCTCGGGAGTTTGGAAAGAAATCCCAACGTTAGCTGCGAAGTCTCGATCCGAACATGCGTGATCTTTTCGCGTGCCAGAGGCTTTATCTGCTTCACGTCCAGCAGCATCTCCAACGAAAACACAGTTCTCGTGATCGATGTCCCCATCATCGGACAAGCCATAGTCCTTCAGCAGTTGTTGCCACATTCCAGTTCTCGGCTTACGCGACAAGTCTGGTCCAGTGCCAGCATACAGTGTAATCGGAAGCTCCAGTGTATTTAATACTGCTGTGACTTTGCCTTTGAAGTTGTTTAGACTGCGCATGCCATCCTTTGGTGCCTTTGTATCTGCTCGGAGGCTGACTGCACCTTGGTTGCTGACTATGACAACAGCATAGCCATCATGATGCAACTGCTTGAGGCGACCAGGTACAGTCGCATGCCACCATCGCCAGTCGTCAGGAGCCTTGCTGAATCTATTACCAGATTTCGTTGCCACAATCGTGTCGTCAAAGTCGAAGGCGGCAATCTTCAGGGGTCGTGGTCGCTTGGCTGTGACAGCATCTTCGTACCGCGCAACAAGTATTGTTTCCGCGCTGACATGAAAGATCACCTTCTCCGGTGATTTTTGTGATGTAGGCTTAAAGAAGTTGGCAACGACATTGCTGTTTACTGTGCCAGTTACTTTTCGTTTTGCTGGCGGTGGTGATATATCTCTATCGGTTGAGGTGACTCGTTTCAGCGAGGCCGGCGGCATAGCTACAGAGCTGAAGCATTTCTGACGAGATTGCACTTGGATGTTTGGTCCTCTTGATTGCTTGGTGTATATTTTCATGGATCTTGCATACAGGGCTTGTTTGTGTTGGACCAAGACGCGCTACCGCTCGTAGTGGGGGCCTGAACTTCAATCTGCCTCCATTGGCTGTTCTCAAAAGAAGCTGCACTCTGTCACCGAAAACTACAGTTTAATCTTAGGGCATACACACAGTAGTGACCAAAGGCAAGATTTGTCTATCGGCCGTGCTCATGCTCACTGTCCACGCCTACTTCCACACTTACATTACACCCGCTGAGTCGCGATATGAATGGAAGCAACAGCTTTACACAAGATGAAGTTGCCACCAGCGGCAAGAGCAGCAAGACCAGAGCGCGGTGCATCCTGGAAGCGATGATGAATTAAGTCTAATCCACTGTCTTGAACAGTGCCAATATGATGGAGACATTCCTCCCCGACCGCCAGCTACAACTCGAAGCCCACCAAACATTGTTGGCACTACCAACCTCTGTTGACCAAGCTGAACTCCTGCCAGCGTCTTCACATGGGCAGCTACGGACACGTCGCCTGCGCCTCAGCCGTGGACTCTTTCCCATAATGACCTCAAGACCATGCCGTCAATACGAGAAGCTGTGCCATTCAGCGCCCGATTGAGAGGCGATTCTGCCATTGCTGCTACAGCGAACGTTTCCATGCGACGTCTGTCGTCTGGACGCACACGTGCCACGACAGCATCCACAAGACCATTGACTATGGTTCCTCCTGATTCTACGGACGGCGTGGACATGCGCTCGACAAAGCTCCCGCTGTAATGTTTGTCGTGCGCTTTGGAGATCTCCTCAATCGCTTGCTGGATAGATTCACGAGTACCCTGTGACTTCAGGAGGCCTTGGGATTGATGCGCTGCAATGTGCGCAAGTACGATATCCGCTCCAACATCAATATAGTCCTTCAACGCGCCAGGCGACCGCTTGCGTGGGAGGTTAGAGAAGTGCTGCGACAGCTGTTCTCCCACGTCCTGGCGCCGTCGGATGTGTGTGTCGGAGGCAGACCCATCATGCTGTTTAGCTGGATTGTCTGTTCCACCTTCAGTTACTTTCTCGCGGTTGGCGTAGACTTTCGTCATGTTGACTTTCTGATGCAAAGGCGCCGCTCTGAACTTCGGAGGCTGCCAGGACCCTTTCATAAATGAGTCTGCTACCCAGTCTTTGTCGGCGTGCTCGTATTCTTCTACACGCTCCTCCGCGTCCTCCGGGTTCCAGTCTCGGTCCCAGTATTCGCAGTCGCCGGCAGTGGGTGCAGCCCACTTACTGTATTGGACACGTTAACAATCCTCTCGACTTCGACAATCAAGGTGCGCTTACCCTTTTGTGACGGATGTTTTGTCGGGAGACCATATAACTTCGAAATCAGCATCAAGCAAACAAGATCAGCATCAGGCCAAAGGCGAGACTCACCGGCAGTGCCATTCGGCGTGAAGGCGTTCACGTTTGGCCACGGAAGCTTCGCAATGTCGTGAGGCACATTGGTGTTGGTCCAGTCGTAGCAAGTAAGCCAAAGACCCCAGATCGCGCCACAGGCTTTGGGATTGGACTCCCAGCAGACCATCGCCTGACCACTTGGCTGATTGAACATGGTTAGCGATCATCCCTAGTTGCATTCATGCTGGAATCATATACCTGATGCCACCACACTAGTACAAGCCGTTCATCCCTGATGACACGATTGTACTTGTTGTCTTCGGCCTTCAAGATCATCCTGGGTCGGACGCCGGAGTACTGGTTCATGTCAAAGGTATCATTCTTTCCCTTTGAGATCTGTGCGCCAGATCTTTGGACCATAGCTCCGCCAGCAGCAAGATCGCTCACTGCTTGCGCCGATGTCTGCCCCATGTAAGGCACAATCTGGCCTCCAGCCGCGACAACAGGAAGGTCGCCCATTATACTGGATCCAGAGGAGGAGAAATAGGTCGACATAGCATCAGGCAGGTCCTCGAGGGCGAACTCCGGCATTTCGAGGCCCACGTCTGCAATCTGAATGGTTAAGTCCGAGATCATCCCAGACGACAAGCCCGATTGTAAGATCGATTTACTACCAGACGCTGTCGTGATCGAACCCCAACCGGCGATCTCTGCAAGCTGCTCCGCGTCCGTGATCCCCATCGCGATCGCATCCTCAGCACTTATGATGAAGGCATTACTGGCTTCCGCAGTCACCAGCGATGAAGCTTCCGTGCTTACAAACGACACAACATCAGCGCCAGCCTCGAGTCCAAGTGACGAGCCCACTACCTCGCTTGTAAGGCTTATGGCTGATCCCACTGTGCCTACGCCACCAGCTTCAGCCGCCATTGCAGCCGCTTCGGCCGCCACCACGGCCATTTCTGCTGCGAATGCTGGGAACAGTGCGTCGATGGTCATGAAGAAAAACCCTTCCACGGCTATCAATGCGCCGACCGCCGCATATTCCACCAATGGTCCGATGAACGCAAAGACCGCGAGAACGATACCCATGCTGGCGGATTGTTTGTCGATACCGCTGTCGTGGGAGTATGTCGAGCAAGGTCAAACAGAGCGAAAGCCGGCTACTGTCGCATGTTATATATCCCTCGCCTTTGAAACACCAAGCCGCTTTGGAACAGCTCTTTCCAGCATGTGAACGATGTGGCGACAGTACCATTTCTGCAGATCATGCAATATAGTGGCGGAAATCGCCAGCAGCTCGTAAGCAGCAACCTGATCAATAGCTGTCTTTTACACACGAAAGTAACCCCCGACCCTGATTACCAGCCACAATCGAAAGCTTTTACTGCCAAGATCGGGCCCACTGGTAAATTAAAGCCTCCTATGATGCGAGAGCATGAAATACATGGCTCTTTTAGTAGCTCTACACAATGGCCATCGACGCCTTCCGTCGTCTGTAGCAAACAGTAGTGGATATTAGCCGGGGCGTCTGTTTAGAAAATCATTCCTTGATGCTGACCAGCTTGGAGGCCGCTAGCAATTGCACTGCATAAGTATCTTGTCTCTTTCGTGTGTTGCTACTTCCTGGCTGTCATTTCTGATACCCAAACGATCCAGAGGTGAGTGGATCGGATCCGTCATGGAGCGGCCTTGGCTGACTTCCGACAGACATGAAGTTCTCACTTGGCTTGCTAGCCCTTGCCGGTTGTGTTGTCACGGTCACTGCCCGTGGCGATTTCAGCATCCAGTTCACCCGGTTTGCAGGCAAATTCTGCACGGATCCCATCAAGACAGACGAGATTGACAGCAATTACTGTAAGAGCTTAGACTATGACCATGGAGGATTCTCCTCCTTTGTCTACCGTACGTGAATAGTTCGATCCCTGTATGACCGCCATAGGAAGACCACTGACCGTTGGTGACAGATCCTAGGGACGTGCATGAGGATGACAGCGGCGATGGCTGTGAAGTCTTCGTGTTCGGCACAGGCCACTGTGCGGGTGAAGCCTACATGATAGGAGACCCCCTTGATGCTTTTGGCAAATGTGGCACTGTGCCCTTTCCGGCTGGAGGGTGGAGTATCAGTGTGAAGTGTGATGAGACTTCCTACGGCGATACCTACAAGAGGGACAACGAGAATGGTACGATGGTTGAATTCGAGGCTTGAGCGGGTGGACAAGTGTGGAGTCGAGGTCGCTGGAAATCTCATTATGAGTTCAGTCGAGACACTGGAAATTGAGTGGTCGATGCCGTGGCACTTGCCCGTGTGGCAGTAGTCGACCAGTCCATCAGGTAGCGAGACACAGCAATGTTTGACATTTCTGTGAGCAGATTTTGCGGTGGATTGTTGGTGTGCTAAAGTACGTGAGATTCTGTGTTGGACGTTTCCTATGTCCTCGTAAGTCTTGTGACGTGCTATCGGTGGAAGATACAAGTTGACTGTGCAAGGTGCCTGTTCTTTCGAACCCGTCCTTTTTGTCACGATTGTCGTCAAAGTTTGGTGGTGATTGCTCGTGTGTGAAAGTGCTTCCGAACAACACCACTCTATTATCCAATTACACACGCTGTACAACTAGAACAAATCAAGCACGAGTCTGGGCACCATGCCCATTTGTATTGTAGCGGGTGTCACTGAATGCACGATAGCAATCCACTTTTTCCTTGCCCCACGGCCCAGCATTGGGACAAATAAAACCTGCCTCCTATGCCGCAATATCAGATACAAGACCCAGCAGATGCAGGGAGCAGAGAGACGTACCTTAGGAGGATCTGGCATGCGAGAGGTCTCGAAGCGTGCTGGAGCAGAGGCCGTGACGATCTCACGCCGATAAGTCGAGCAGGTTGGGTTAGGTGCATCCATGGCAAGATAGACCGCCGTGTGCTCTGGACCAGGGTGGTCCTTCTTCGCCCAGAAGCCCTGCATGGAGTGCTTAGCTAGTGACCTGTGGTAGAGGCCGTCGGTTAGTACGCATCACGTACATGTGAATCTTGCCAGACATCCTGTGAGTGTGCAAAGTCAGTATGGAATCAGGCGAAGACTCGGACTCAGTGTCACTGACCTTGTAATCATCGACCATCAACCTAAAGACGCAATCGTTCGTATCATCGTTGAGGCCAGGAGCTGGATTAGTGAAGATGAGAAGCATGCTAGACTTAGTATTGCTGAAGGGCGTGATGGTCGCCGTGGTCAACTTTGCTGGATCGAATGGTGGCGAACTCAGGACGGCTGTCGTAGTCGGTGCGGAGCCTGGTGTCATTGTTGTCGGACCAGCAGAACTTGCGAGTGGAGATGTCGTAGAAGCTGAGATCACAGTCACAGTGATTATGGATGGCGATGGAGCTGCCATCGTCGCTCTGGTATCGACCTGGAGACTTATCAGCATGTCGTAGCCTAGCTATAGTAGTACCACAGTCGTTTCAGGGTCATACTTGTTGTGCTGGCGCTGCATCATCTGCACAAAGCAGACAGGCCAAGAGCAGGAACATTCCGAGTGGCGCTAGCATGGTTGCTCTAGACGATGGGACTACCTCGCTGTCGATGAGGTACAAGTGAGGTGTCGACGTGGTTGTGTCGGGCAAATGGATCGTGGTACTACAAGGGAGCAGCGACGACTACCTTGTGTTTTAATGCAGCGAGCTGGACCTGCTAACTAGCTTCCAGGAGGACCAGGGTAATGCCTTATGCTTCCTTGAGAAAGGCAAAGACCATACATGCTCTCCGCGTAATACAAGCTGCTTAGCAGGAGGACGGTCCGTGCCCGATGAAAAATAGCTACAGCTCGTCGCAGTGCATTTACACCTTCTTTTCGCGCGTAGTGACGGCTCGAGCTGGTCATAAAACCGTCTCATCCGACCTATATAGGTCTTATGCAGTGCCTTTTTGGTGGGTCTGGTGTCCTAAGAGCTCGAAACAAGCCTTGGCAGTACAAAAAGCTCCGGCCATCGCACTGCGCACTACTGGGCAACATGCGTCGCCAAAGGAGTTGGCCGAGGAGATCTCCTAGCTAGCACGAGTGTGCATACTGGGACGGGCATGTATCAGCTTTGCAAATTGTCGCATCCAAGGATTGGAACTTGAAGTAACATGAGTGTCCGGCTTATTGATTGTCGGGATGATCATATGCTGATGGTTGTCGACTCAATCTCTGAGTTCTTACGGCTCGCAAGCTTGCGTCCCTGGTCATGGGATTCTGTTGCCATCTTTCGGACCTTGCATGATGTCTATTTTGGCTTCGTATATGCCGAAGAGCTACTTGAAGCTCTCGCCCATGCTTGCAAGGGTGTTCGTGTAATGTCGTTCCGTCCTGGGCGATTGTGTCTCTGGTAAGGGACGTTTTCACCCAAGGCAATAGACCAGGCTCATCTTCCCGCCATCTCGCCAACCAACCCAGCATTGACCCAGCCCCGAGCAAAGTTCCGGCCACTAAACAGTAAAACAGTGACCCACCATGCCCTTCCAATCCAGGGATCATACCACATCTGCAAAGCCCTGCCCTTCTTCTTCCTCATCGACAGAACCACCCATCTAACAACCTCCTCAACAACAACAGCCGCCCCATTCGTGGAGAAGAACACCGCCTCCCCCCTCGCCTTCACCCAATCCCCACCCAACACACTCCTCACAGAAAATGAATGCACAAAAGCACTACTCAAAAACCCCCCAACCACCTTCCCAATATTCGCCCGCTCATTCGCTCCCTTGCCCGTAAGTTTTCGCTCGACGTACTCGCCAGGCCAAACACCATAGACCTCGAACAACCGAGCGAAAAGGCGATGCCAGCCATAGCTCCAGAATTTCCGGACGGAAGTGATCTCCCATATCCGTGTAGTATAGAGCGGTGGGAAGAAAGCGAAAGGTGAGGGGGCTAGAGGCGCGCAGATAATAGCGAAAATACTATGCGCAAGCGAGAAAGCCACCATCAGGAAAGCCCCCAAAGCAGCCGTAAGACCCAACTGCATCGGCAGCGACAACCTCGTATCGAACCTCGAAGGTCCATCAAAAGGCGGTGGGTCGCCAGGAGGACCGAGGTAATTGTCGTAGGTATATCGAATAAACACCAAGCAAACGACAATCACAGGTAGAACATGAACGAAAATCGAATGCAATCGGTTGCTGATCGTAGGCAACCACGTCTTCCGCGTATGTCTCACATCGGCCGTCGACCACGTAAATCCCATGCCCCGCATCGACATCTCCAGTTCCAAAGCCCAGCTCGCGCGATCGAGAAAGGAGTGAGGCCAGCCATCTTCAGGGATCTCATGCTGATACACCGCTTGCTTCGATGGCCCTGATAGAGTCCTCTGCAGGGCGTTGACGGCGTAATTTGCCGCGTCGACGGCGCCGAGGGGGAAATAGCTATCCAGTGGCAGAGAGGGCCTACGATCCCAGGTCGGGGGTGCGGTGGCAGAGCTGTCGACATACCCGACTCGTCTGCGACTGGAATTCGGGGTTTCTTTGCTAGCACCACCGCCGCCGCTGCTGCTGCTGCCAGCCGACAGAGCAGAGGGTTCTTCTCGTGGTTTGTGCTCATACCGTACTCTCCTAGGAATATGGCCGAAGATCAAGGGGCTGATGAAGAAGGCGTCTAGGACTCTGCAGCCACCGTACAATCCGACTAGACTGAGCTGATAGTTCAGCCCGATACTCTGCGGGATATAATAAGCCAATGGCAACCGAAAGAACAATATCCCAGCCATAATGGCAAGACCATTTCGCAAAAGTTTGAAAGCCAGCGTATCCACAGCCTGAGGGGGCGGAGGCGGCAGGAAGAGCAAGGCGATATAGTACATCACGGGCGGCAAGACCAGAGCCTCGATCGTGATCGGTTTCGTGCCTGGGATTGGATGGAGAGCGGGAAGGGGTTGGTCCATGGTCAGGTAGGATAGTGTTTGATGGTATAGTTGTTGGATGTTGTCCATTATGCTGATCGAAGGGAGGGGAGAGGGTTCGAGGACCTCTGGAGATGTTCGTACGATAGAGAGAAAGAGATGAGCGCTTACTTGTCAGTTTTCCTACATCTTTTGTCCTACAGATCTGGCTCGACACGCAATAATAATAAGGCTAGAAGCATGCGATAGATTGATGGCATAGGCAGGCAAGTGTATGACGCACACACATGCTTCCAAAGCCCGAGATCGATCGCCCAAAGCAAATCTCCGCAGATCTGCGAGATCCAGGCACAACAGATCTCTTGCACGTCTCGCATCCGCCTTCACCATCCCCTCACCTCTGATGAAGCTGCTGGTGAAATACAACCTATTGATAGACAGTCTCAAGAGCAGTAGACTTGTCGACGGGCGTGAGAAGGGTAGATAGCGTCTAATCTATAATACATCCCTAGTCCACACAAGCCCTGCCCACTTACCCAGGGCTACGCCAGAGGAACAACCAGAGCTATGCAAAATAACAGGATGTCGAACGGAATATAAAAAATTGATGCTGGTCCGGGTATCATATGTTGCATCCCATCCTCCACCCCACCCCTAACCCCCAGCCTCATACCACAGGTAAAGCTTCTATAGTTTCGCCTTCACCTCCCCAGAACCCTTCCCTCCATTAGCAGCCGTCGCACTCGCCTCAGAATTCAACTCGACTTTCCCATCCACACCCCCACCCTCCCCAAAGAAAATAACCTGCACCGTCAAATCATCCCGATACCTCCTCGAAAAAGGCGCCGGTAAAGTGAGGAGAGCGGAAAGCATATCACTGTCCTTGCCACCAAGGGCATTCCTAACCAAATGCGTCGCAGCGTTTTTATCCTCGACGACGAAACGGGTGTCCTGACCCGTGGGAACGCCCCATTGTTGTTGGCGGATCGGGGCGCGTTGGCCGGAAGACTCCTTGCTGTCGTGATGTTCGATGGGAAGAGCTGAAGCCTTTTGCGTGGAGAACCATGACTGCAACCAACCGCCCGCACTTACAGACGCAGACGTAGCCCTACCACTTTGCGAGGAAGAGGAGAGAAGACTCGAACCCTGCCGATCAAGCCACTGCCCCACCAACCCCACCACCTCCTCATTCGTCAACATCTCCCACAACCCATCCGTAGCCATAACCACAAAATCACCCTTCGTCGGATCAACCCTCGTAGTCGTAACAACCGGCTCAGCAGTAACATAAGGCGGCGTCTTAACATTCCGATTCGGGGTCCGAGCGAAATAATTCCGATGCAGTTTCTGCTGCACCTCCATACTCCACTTATACATCGCATCGCCAAAGGCGCGACTAGGCTCCAACCCACCCAGGATCCGACCATTCTGCGTCACGCCCGGTTCACCGGGGTGTTCGGCTCGGAGGCGCGCAGCTTCGCTTTCCGTCCCGCCGGTTTGGTCGATACTGAGAGCTGTAGCCGTCCATTTCCCGTTCCCCACAGTACTGCGACGGCCGAGGACGGCGCGGGAGTCGCCTGTGCAGGCTACGCGGAGGAGTTTGGAACGGGAGTCGTAGAAGGATAGGAGTGCGCAGGAACCCGATAAAGCTGGTGCGAGGATTTCGGCGGCGACGACTTTAGACTGGGCTTTGAGGACTTTTTGCGCGCTGTTGTGGGTGATTTCGTTGTCGAGTTTGAGGAAGCCCTTTTTGATCGCTGCGTCGACTGCGTCAGGGTGGGGGAAGTTTAGAGCGGGGTCGGCGAGGGCGGATTTGTAGGTTGCGTTTAGTTCGCGGGCGACGTAGGAGACGAGGGTTTGGCGGAGTTTGGCGGAGGTGGTCCAGCCGGCGTGGCCGTCGAAGACGCCCCAGAACATCCAGTCGCTTCTTGCTTTGCCGTCTTCGGAGGCGGCGATGGTGTTGGGGACCTCGACGATTTTCTCCACGTGGTCGTCTTCGATGGGATCGTTGCTGGGGATTTGGACGACGTCGTAGCGGACTACTCCCTCTCCTCGTCCGACAAGATAGCTCTCCTCATTCCGCCGTAACTTGGCTGTGGCTTGGTCTGGTGTGAGCATTTCCAGTACTTTCTTGCCCGAATAGTCGGACGTCTCCTTGCTGATCACCTGATCGGCAGGTATCTGTGCAGTATACAGCTGACCCTGATCAACGATCAAAGCCTTTCTAACAGCCTCTGGCACCTCACCAGGTCCAGGGATATCAACAGGTTGATTCGAAGCCGTAGCCTGTGCCTGTGGACTCGCAGTAGTAGTAGTACTATACGTCCTCCCTTGACTCGAAACTAGCGACTGTCCAGGTAGTGTCGGCGATGCTGCCGCAGCTCCACCGTCAGAACTCCGCTGCTGATAGACATAATACGCCGCTGCACCCACACCGACCAACGCTATCGGGGTGGAGACTCTCCGACTGAAGCGCATGGACGATTGGATCTGCTGTTGGGGTGTCCGATTCGCTATCGAGCGCTGGAAGGAGGCATTGTATGAGCTGTTGTTGATACGGAGTTGTTGCTTGAGTGCTTTCCGGGGGTTAGGTCGGCGGAAGGTGCGCAGGTTCTGGATTATGGCGCGACGCATCGAGGCGGTGGTGTCATTGGTGGATGGTCTTGGGCAGCATATGTGGTGCTGGTGGTGTTGTTGTTGTAATGAGTGCCGTGTGGGTGAGCGATATCTTAGTCGAGATCCAACCTCATCACATGACAGCCAGCATCAATCACAGATTCACAGCTGCTGTAAGATGCAAACACAGCCTAGCGCGCCAAGAATATCGCGGCTCAAAATCCGCTCTGCACACGCTCCAGAATTTGGCAAAGAAAGTCGGATCTCGAAATCACATACGGTTTTTTTGCGACAGCGACGACAATTACCTCAACCACATTACCCACTCTCGCCACCGCCGAACACAACAACCACCATCATGTCCAGCAAAACCCAAAGCAAGAAGCCCGCGGGCGCCAAGGCCCAAGGCCGCAGCGCCATCGAGGACGTGGTGGCCCGCGAATACACCATCCACCTACACAAGCATGTACGTTCAGTTTGATGAAGTCCACCGGATGGTCCTCCTTCCTCACTCCCCCCCCGAATTTCGAAGGGGGAAGGAAGGAAGGAGGGCATCGGACGGAAGACTGAAATAAAAAGAGTTGTGATGGACAATATAATCCTAACACGTGATTTGTGACAAAAAAGGTTCACGGCGTGTCGTTCAAGAAGCGCGCGCCCAAGGCCATCAAGGCGATTAGGGAGTTTGCTGCCAAGGCGATGGTATGTTTCCTATAATACACTCCCAATCTCACATCCTCACTGTCAGACATTACGATCCCGATACTAACATGGTATGATTGTAGGGAACAACCGACGTCCGCCTCGACCCCCAACTGAACAAGAAGGTGTGGGAGCAAGGCATCAAGGGCGTGCCATTCCGTCTTCGGGTCCGGATATCGCGTAAGCGTAACGATGAGGAGGATGCCAAGGAGAAGCTGTACTCGTACGTGCAGGCCGTCAATGTCAAGAACCCCAAGGGTCTGCAGACGGCGGTGGTGGAGGATGCTTAGATGTGCACAATCCAAATGGCGAGCGACTGGCGCTATTGGGATGATCGCCGTGTCGCATGTATACTGTCTTATACTGTCCGCTTCGACGCAGATACATGGTGGTCTTTGCTGCTCAAACACGGTAAAACGATCAATATCGAAAGCAATGACATGACCTACATCAACTATGAGAGCTCCATTTCTGCACCTACATCCTCGACACGGACTCGTGTCCCACCCTCAAGCCCTCCCTTCTCACTCACATTTCACTTTCACAAGTCGTGCGAAGCCAACGGAGACCCTGTTCATACGTGCACATTATCCCTTTTGTCTCGACTTGCTAGTGGGAACGAAGTAAGTATTTGCTGGCCCGCGTCTGCAACCTCACCGCATCCCTTCACCCCTCACGTATCACGCGCAAAGCACACATACGCGAAGGGACCCTCATGACATTGTCTTTCCAAACGACATCTTGGCTATACATTTCTAATATAAGACCGCAGCGTCTATACCAGCCATAAAAGAGATCTATATCCCGGACCCACCAGAGAGAAAACAAGAGGAAGCTGCATCTAACAAAACCCCTACTCCTTCTTACTCTTCTTCGCCTTCTTCGGCACCCGTGCCAACCAATAAAAGAACACGGCCCCACACACATTCACCCCAATAAACGCCCACAGAATGCCGAAATTCCTCCACGCATTCCCATAACTCGCGCTCACCCCCTCCAAAAACACATTCGTGCTCGCATACGTACAGAAGTCGCACTGCCCCGTCGCATTCGGATCCCGCAGATAACCCCCCGCGGCGGAGATGTAGGGTTGCATATATGTCCCACACGACTGGCCGGCGGGGGAGTTGAAGTGGACGTACTCGTTGCTGGCGCAGGTGACGGCCTGGTTCGCGACGCCGACACTCAGCATACCGTCGACGAGGTAGGTGAAGGGGGAGACGCGGTACATGAAGATCCAAAACCCGGGGAGGGCTTGCGGGGTCTGCAGGACACCGCAGAAGATGAGGCAGAGGGAGAACATGAGGTTGGCGAGATTGCCGCCTGTCTCTGCGTCCGCGATTCCGGCGATCATCATGTTGGTGAAGGTGGAGGTGAAGAGGAGGAATTCCAGGACGAAGAGGAAGAATTGGAAGCCCCGGAGCGAGACGGCGTGGGTGGGGATGGCGTTGTTGTAGAGGCCGATGGGGTAGTAGAAGCAGAAGAAGATGATGATGGCCATTAAGGTATTCCAAGGCAATTCCACCATGATATTCGCGAACATGAAAGCCTTCCAACTATACGTCTTACTCGGCCGTTCGCGGACCTCGTACAGCGCGCGCTGGGTGACGAAATGCGGCATTATTTGTTGCACCAGTTGGCCGAAGATGGTGAAGAGCATGAAGATGGAGAACATTTGGTTCTGGAGCCCCTGTTGGGTGAGCGGGGCGTGGAAGAAGGTGAAGCCGATGAAGAGGGAGGAGAAGAGGCAGAGGGCGGCCTTGCTGTAGATGTAAGAGGGGGTGCGCCAGTATTGGGCGAAGACGCGGTGGGTGACTTGGAGGATTTGGACGGGGAAGGGGGCGGCGAATTCGCGGTAGGAGGCTTTGTCGTCGGCGGAGGTTTTGGGTTGGGTTTCTTGTAGACGGTCGGCCGCGAGGCGGTCGAGCTCGGCGTGCGTTTCTTGGTATTGTTTTGAGGAGCGCCAGGTTTCGTGCCAGTCGATGTCGGTTGTTGTGCCGGGTGCTGCACCGATGACTTCCAGCATCCATTCGGCTGGGTTGGCGTCGTCGGGACATTTGTGGGCGCCGTTGGCTTCGAAGTAGCTGGCGAGGACACGAGAGTTCTCGCCGACAGGGCCGAAGTACACCGTGCGACCACCTTTAGCCAGGAACAACAAGCGATCGAAACGTTGGAACAGCATGGCAGAGGGCTGATGGATAGTACACAAGATGGCCTGGCCGGAATTCTTGAGCTTCTCCAGTAGATCCAGGATAGCCCACGAGGTTTGAGAATCAAGACCAGATGTAGGCTCGTCGAGGAAGAGAAGGAGTTCGGGCTTGGCAGCGAGCTCGACACCAATAGTGAGACGCTTCCTCTGCTCGACGTTGAGACCTTCGCCAGGCACACCGACAACAGCATCGGCATATTCGTCCATGTCCAGAAGCTTAATGACCTCGTCCACATACGCCAATTTGTCCTTCTTCGGAACATGAGCTGGCTGACGAAGCAGAGCAGAAAAGTTCAAGGCCTCACGAACAGTCGAAGTCTGCAGATGCAGATCCTGCTGTTGCACGTAAGCCGTCTTACGCTGGAAGGAAGAATCGCGCTGTCGACCATCCACAAGCATGTCGCCGGAGATGACACCCATAGTGACACGAGTAGCCAGGACATCAAGCAGAGTAGTCTTGCCAGCTCCCGAGACACCCATGAGTGCGGTCAAAGTACCAGGTTTCACCCATCCGTCTACGTGATCCAGAATGCGGCGATCCTCCTTCTTAATCTTGATATCATAACAGACATTCCTCCAGCTGAATACGGCAGTCTGCTTTTGGATGATATCACTCGCCTCAACATAGCTCTCCTTCTTAGCGAGAGCAGCACCATTAGCTCCATCGTCTGCGGTCTCCTCATCGTGCGCTCCGTCCTTGAGAGAAGCGGGTGTGTGGCCGCGACGGAAGACAAGCACCTCACCCTTGCTCTTCTTCGCACTGATGAGTTCGGTGGCGCCCAGGTAGAAGACCATGAGGAAGATCATGAAAGCGATGATGATGCCCACGTTCCTCCATTTGTGGCTGTGGTAGTACTGATATGCTGTGTTGATGTAGACATCGCCATTGACATAATCCTGTCCAGCCTGGGAGCCCACAGCCGAGCAAACCTGCTCGCCCAATGCAAGACTGCCGTACGCGGGCACATACATCGAGCAAGCGTAGTTCCTGCCGTGAAACTCGTTGATCATCAGAGATTCAAAGCCATAAGCCACTGGGTCAATCCAATTGATCCATCGACACCAGCCAAGCATGTAGTCGACGGGAATGGCGAAACCGGTGAACATGACAATACCCAGAATGATAATCGCAGCTGGAGCCATGGCTTGCGAGAGAGTTCGGGACACGGAGGCGATGGTTCGGAAAAGCATACTCATGGTCAGGGTTGTCAAGAAACTCATCAAGATGAAGAAGAAGAACGGTCCGGGTTCTCTTCTCAAGTTCGCCATGAAGTAGAGCGTGATGTTGAAAATGATGGCGTTGGCGATCTTGTAAGGCATGTCTGTCAACATGGAAGCGAAAGCTTCAGCTGATGGGTGGTATAGAGCATACTGGGAATGCTTCTCGACGATCGGACGCTGAGCATAAAGTGTCAAAATCTCTAGTGCAGATCCAAAGGCGTTGAGCAGGACGGCGAAGAAAAGTACAGCTCCCCGTTGGAAGAACGACTGCGTAGTCAGTTGCAGGTTGTAGAAGACGGAGCCAAGAATCAGTGCCATGGCGAAATTGCCGAAGAGTTGTGTGAATGTCAGACTAGGATCTCCCGCCAGACGTCGAAAGCCACGCCATAGGCAAAGATTGACTTGCTGCACGTAGCTCAAAGTGTAAGGTGACTTCATGCGCTGACCCCTTGCCTTCTGTGCCTGTCGACTTTGCGCGAACTGCTGGTATTGCTCGCCTTCGTAAGGGTATCGCTGCTCGTAGGCATCGATATCAGACATCAGTCGTTGTCGTTCAGAACTAGCCTTCCATGCTGCGGCGAACTCGTCTGGAGTGCGAGGAACTTTGCCCTCAAATCCGGCTCGCACCACCCGTTCCTGGGGCGAAGTCATGGAAGTCAAGAAATCGGCCGTGGTCTGACGGTCAGGGCAGTCGAAACCCATGTTCTCGAAATATGCTCTCGCGTGCCCACAGTGACCAAAGAAGATCTGGCGGCCTTCATACAGCACTAGTGCCTTGTCGAAGATGTCGTAGGCAGATTGCGGTGCTTGGTAGATAGCGACCATGGCCGATGCACCACCAAGCTCCGTGCTCAAACGGATCGTTTTGCAGAACTCTATAGCGTTCGCGGAATCGAGACCACGAGTACTATTATCCCATGCCTGCAACGGTGCGCCACTCAGAAAGGCCTCTGCTATCGAGACACGCTTCCGCTCGCCGCCGGAGACACCACGAACGAAGTCGTTGCCGACTCGCGTGTTGATGGTGTGGCCGATACCGAAGCTAGCCATTGCCACATCTCGCATGTGCTGTGCATACACCTTGTTGCTCACACCACCAGGCAGTGACTTCGGCGCTCGTGCCTGCGCGGCGAACGTGAGTGTATCACCGACGCTGAGCATTGGGAAATGAACATCGACTTCGGCGGTGTATATGGCCTCGCCACGGAAGTAGCTATGCATATGCTCAGGGGGAATACCCTGGTAGTTAAGGTAAGCCTCTTTGTCGACATTGAAGCCATGCGTCTCGCCTGTGATGGTCTTGAGGAAAGTCGAGCATCCAGAGCCGGGAGGGCCAAGCACAACTAGCATCTCACCCGACTCCACCAGGCCTTCGAAGTTGCGCAGGATGTCGATGCGTCGTGGCTTAGCCATGCCGAAGAGCTTCTTAGCATAGCCAACGGTCTCGAGCCACACATTCCCAACATCCTTTTGGTAGTCCGTCGCGGCGCCGAAGCCGTGAACACTCAAGTTGCGGAAAGCCACACCGCCTGTTCGTCCAGGTACTTTATTCTCGGCATCTCGCAGCTTGATCATAGATTTCACCCATGCTCTCGCTCGGAAATTAGGCGAATGAGGATCTAACGCAGTGTCCTTCTCGGCTTCGAATGGATTGTCGGGTACTTGCGACCAGGTTGATGCTTGAGTTATCGATCTGGCCAGCTGACCAATCTCAAACTCCCTTCGAGCTTGCTCCTTCTCGTCGCGTTCGGAGGAAGACTCTGGAGATTCTGATTGTTCAAGGCCTTGTTTCTCGATGTCGCCGTTGTCAAAGTCCTTTTCGTCCTGCGGGGTGATGCCATCAGGATAGTAGGTATTGCCTTTTATGCCGGTTCCAGGGACATGTTGGGGCTGTACATTATTAGACTGTTGATGCGAAGTTGATCGGCCAGTAGCTGGTCGTTGGTTTTCTGGCCTTTGGGCTGAGGCTACTGAGGAGCGCCGTCTGCTGAATGTCCGCCTCAGGAGACCCGGTTCCTCGGCATGCTGCTCGCCCACTGCATCGTCTCCAGTTACCGAAGCACGTCTCTGAAATGCATTTCCGGCGTTCCCAGCTCCAGCAGTCTCTGCCGTGCGATCGAAATTATTAAAGGCAAAGTTGCCGACGAGCGACATCTTGCCGAAAGCTGTAGATAGTTCACCACAAGCGGATCGGAAGGTGCCACAATTGCTACAGCAGTCCACGCCTATCGAAGGATATATTATGCTATGTATAAGAAGGAAGAATGCTGTATCTACTACAAGTACAAAATGACATTACAAGCGAGGTGGCGCCAACGTCTTTAATGGTACTCGTTCGATAAATAATGCAAGCATCACAACACTGCTCAGGAACTGTCTCTGCCGTTCCGCTTGGACGACGTTCGCCCACAAACAACGTGCACTCTGCTGCATAACTGTACATTAAATTTCGCCTCGGATGCGGCTAGAACGCCACCTTCGGCTGCCTAACCACACATAGAAGTTCGGCTCAGTCTCCCATCCGAGGACGGATGATGAGGTTTATTGCTTTCCGATATCTCTTGCTGACAACCGCGTGAAGACTCCCTGTACTGAGCAGCCGAAGGTGGTATAATTGGCGTGCCGAAGTATCTTAGGAGAAGGAAGTCTCGAAACAATCTACATTGAGGAGTCCTCGATGAAGTGGTCATCCTCCTCAAGAAGATAGTTTGTCTGCCATACAGCCAAGCCTCTTGGACGTATCGCCAGGAGTGACATGCTCACACGAGCCACGCGAGGTCTGTCAACCCGGGAAGTAGCATCGCCGGTGCCATGCGAATGCGATCATGAAGCTGTGTAGATGTAGAGATGCATGACTCGAGTGAAGGCCGGAGCAATGGTCCGGGTGCACAAAGGTTGTCCGGCTCAGTGGACGATTTATGACTGTTTGTCCATGTACATGTTCCAAGATGTAGCTGTCACGGCTGGTCTTATCTGCTTTGACATGTTGATTTGTAGGCATGTAGGTCATGAAATGAGTATGCATTGTTTGTTTATACAGGTGATTCATGTTCATGTGAACCTCGAAGCGCGATATCTCCGTCCAGCCCGCATCATTGGCTGTATACATCGCTCGACTTCCTTTCATGTCGTCCATGCACTAAGAGTCCCTATTATGTGATAATCAATACTGTACTAGTCCAATACGATGAGCAAAGTACAGCCGGCGCAATTGTCCTTTCTAGCGATCTACAATCCTGCCCTTGGTCCGACCGACGAGACCTTTCCAGACCAGCTAGTCTTCTGGTACTCACGTGCTGCTGCCAAGGCGAGGGCAGCTGCAAAGAAGAGCGGGCGCAAAGATGACGAGAAAGTGCTGCGTGAAGAGGAGAATGAGAAGTTGAGGCAGATTGGTTTGGCACAGGGTATGGTGGACTTTGCGAAGTGAGTAGGTGGGTCATATGCACATCATGTTATGGTGTAGTGACTGAGACACCCAGCTAGGAGCTTCTCCAATGGACAACCTGTAGATTCGATAGAGACGGAGAAATCACGCATTGTGTTGCACGAATTGGAAGAAAGCTGGTGGGCATTGGCAGTATGTGCAATGCGCAATGCGCACACTGTACCATGAATGCGTACTGACACACTGCAGTCTGTCGACCTCACGCGGCTTCCTGCCATCCCCCAAGCGCCAGCGGAGTCGGCTACGAAAGGCTCGGCGAGCGTCCAGACAAAGCCATCATTCGAGTACTCCTCACGAGAAGTCAGTCCAGCTCCATTACTAATAGCACAGCTGCAACAAGCTCATCATATCTTCTCCTTGCACCATGGCTCTTCACTAGACGAGCTTTTTGTACGACTGGGCCGGGAGAAGTTGATTCCCGCATTAGAGAGATTCTGGTCACGGTATGCTAGAACGTGGAACGTCCTGCTGCATGCCAATCCTGCAGCAGATGTGTTCAGTGGAATCCAGCTTGCCAGTGGCGGCGAGCTCGGCTTTGGCGTGGGCGAGGAGGAGTGGGGCAGTGGTGAGCGAGACGTGCTCGAGGACCTCGTTAGCCGCACAGAGGGGTTGGTCGATGCAGTGGTCTCTCGATATGGCGAAGCGGCCAAGGCTGTGGCCTCTGACTATGCCTCGATCCCGATCCACGAGGCTCTTCCATGGATGGGCAGTGGCAACCAGCCCGCTGCTACAGATGGGGTTGTATTCGGCGGTGTGGGGCGGCTGAGTCGACCATCACTGCGGAGTGTCGCGATGTGGTCGCGGCAGATATACACCAATGGTGAGTACGCGTATGGTATTCAAGATAACCCGCTGCGTGAACGGAGAAAACGAAGACGACGTAACCAAGATCATGCAGACTATGCCGAGGAGCACAACGATGCGGCAGTAGCAGCAGAGACCGCGCATCAACCAGACGTAGACGCAGATGTAGTGTCGCATCAGAACCAACGAGATGATGTAGAGGTGGCTGACCCTGAGGTCCGTACTGATGCCTTGGACGGACATGGGCACGCCGATGAAATCAAGCTACCATCAGACCAAAGACCACAAACTCATGGACGGACCGCATCACAAGATGATGCTGTAAAACATCCGGAGCAGACACCACAAACGGAGACTTCTGATCGGCCGAAGCCTGCTATCTCGAGGACTGCAGAGGTTGACTCAAGGCGCGAGAGAGCAACGAAACGAGCAGAGCAGGGCGCAGCAACAGAAGACGAAGCTGAAACAGCAGAGGGTGGCACCACCTGGGGTGTACCAGATCAGTACATGAAGTATTTGACCTTGGGCCTCAGTGAGATCGGCAAGCCAGCAAAGCCAAAACGACCTTCTGCGACTAAGCGAATATTAGAATCTAGCTCGACGACGACAAAGCCAGTCAAGAAGATTACGAATGCCAGTTCTACCAAGGAAATTCTCACGGTACCAGAAGAGGATGAAACAGATGTGGCTAGTCTTCTGCATATGGAACCTATCCCAGATGAGGAGCCACTACACGCAAGATTTGCAAAGCTGCGACGGCAGGAGAACAGGGGTTACTTCCTGATTGGTTTCAAAGGCGAACTCGACGAGCTAGACGACAATGGCGACGCCGAGGTCATGGACGACAAGTTGCAGCCAGACGCTGAAAGCTCACGAGTACTGGTTCGAAAGATCCAGGTCGAGATAACTGCAGATCGTGACAAAGCCGCGGCCCAGAATGAGAGCATGGACGAGACTCTCGATCGAAAAGCGAGAGAGTACGAACCAAGCGCATCCTCAGCACAGAACATGCAGCGACTTCGTGTGCTAGTATACGTGCACCGCCCGTTCATCTACTGCTTTCTATTCGAGGATCACACCACAAGTCTGAGCTATCCAAGCTTCTATCAGACACTTCATAAGGATCTCCAACCAATACACAAGCCGTTGCTCTCTTCGACTAGTATATCTAGATCCGCGCGAAGGCTAGAAGAATCGCAGGCAGACCGCCCTGACGAAGCAGCGAGCGTACGGAGTAGTGGCAGTAGTAAGCCCAGCAGGAGCGGCACCGACGCTACCGAGCCAAGACCAGTCTTTGACCTGATCTACGATCCTCAACTGTTGACAGTACGTACGAGCATCCCGAACATCCCCGAGCCAGGCACGCCTGCAGCAGAAGGCTTGAGTATGGGCTCAGATGCGCGGCAGAGTAACATGCCCGCCGACTGGACGCGGCTAGATGCATTGAATGTGCACAACCAGGTGTTGAGCACATTGCAGAGCAGTCGGATCAACGACCTCGAGCGAACAAGCAGGACTAATCGTGGATGGTGGGTAGTATGGATGAGGATCCCGAGCACAGCGACTTCCGACGAGGATGCGGACCCCGCACCTCCAGCACGAGATTACCTAGCACCGGAGATCAGTACTGCACCATCTACACACATGGCGTCGACGATGGCCCGAGAACCGCCGAACAGAGACCGCATCGCTTTCCTCGTACGGAAAGCCGCCAACAATCCTGCTGCAGCTTCGTCCAAAGCTTCGACCAGCAGCAGAGTCGCAAGCGGGATGTGGAATACATTGACATTACGACCAGTGGCAGAAGCTAGCGCCGAGGAGAAGGCGGGCGGTGAAGCAGCAGGCTGGGGACCTGGAGCGCTGGCCAACGGCATCGGTATGGATGCGAGGAAGTATGTGGAAGGACTTCTAAGCCTGAACAGATAAGAGATTCGTGTGTATGATATCAAACATTCCTGTGTGAACGCTCTCGCTGGTAACGACATGCTCGCCTCCCGTCCTCACAACGCCTTGCAATGCGACCCAGTCATGCACATATGACATTGAAGAGGGTACCTACTTCCGCCTCCCAAACCACCCTTTCTTCGCAACCTCCTTCTCATCCTTCGGCGCCATCGCAGACCCCTCGCTCCAAGCCTTCTTGCTCCCCCTCTTCTTCCCCTTCTTCACATCCCTCCGACTCGCACAACAACAAGTCAAGCACAACATAATCAACCACGCCAAAATACTCGCCCCAGCCGCAATCCACATGAACGCGAACATCTTGACCCCGATCGCAGCCCCGATGTTCAGACTCTTCTGCGCCGTGACGGCGTTCTTCATGATGATGAACAGGACGGTGGCGATGACAGAGGCGACGGTCGTGAAGAGTGCGGCGAGGAAGGTGAGGAGCATGATGGGGAGGGTTGCCCAGCGGGAGAAGACGGCGAGGGGCACGAGGAAGATCATGAGGGTGGAGAGGCAGGCGCCGGCGAGGAAGAGGCCGAACATCCAGTGCGAGACTACGCGGATGAGGTTTAGGATGTCGTTGATTTGGGTTGGGAGGGCGACTGTGGAAAGAATGTTAGTCTGGCTTTTGATGAATGTGTAGTGTGGAGATATGAACGTACTTGTGGCGCCAGCTAACAGCTGGCTCTGGATAATCTCAACCGGATTGAACCAGTAAAGTGTTTGCGGCTTTGAGCACTCCGTGAAACCTTGCCCATTCAACCCCTCGCAGTAACCCCATAGTCCGACGGTATAGAAGTCGTGTAGACCCAGCGTCTGAGCTATACTGTTCACTAAGGCGGCATTGGGCACAGAAAGCGGGATGATGTTCGACAGGTCCAGTTTGATAAAGTAGATACTACTCCTGATGCTTTTGGGGCTCGTGGTGCCGACTTCGACCAGGATGATGAAGACGACGGTTATGAGGAGGAGGATGGAGGTGATGAGGGCCCAGCATAGTCGTGTGCGAGTTGCCCGTTTAATCTGGGCTTTGGTCGGGTCGGCGTAGACGGGTTCGTTGGTTAGAGTGCGGCCGCTGTTGCTGTCTCTGATGTAGTCGTCGTCTCGCGGAGCCACGAAACCGTCTTCCGGTTCTCTCTTCTTGCGGCCGAACATCTTCCTGATTGGTTTTTCTGGTCAAGGTAGAGGTAAAGGTCAAAGATCCAGTGGCCAGCAGGTAGATCTGCAACGGGGGAGATGGACGGCGATTGAGACAACAGGCCAGCCTCGATGGTGAGGTTAAGATATGAGGAGCAGTAGTAATACACTGAAAGAAACAGCTTCGCCTACCTGCCTACGACAGCACCGTCGTCAAGAGCCGCGCCTTGTCTACACGCACGAGCTTCGCCATTAACGCCGCCCTCCTACGCGTACAGAATGTTCAGAAGTCAATTTCATGCACAAAACGTCACTGACGTTGGGAAATCGCTGGATGAGCTCCAGGGATGCGCAGTAGCGTCAAATCTTATTCTGCCTGGCGCTCCGCGGACGATCATGTACTCTATGTATTCGACGTCTGCAAACTTCAGTACTTACGTGCTAATACGGGAGTGTAGAGTACGAGCCTGCGCAGGCCGTTACGTGGCTGCGAACAACCTTCGCGGGACTCATAGTACTCGATATATCAGCCCTCCTCCTCCCAAAGACGCTCCAAGAACAGCATAAGAACTCTGGTCAAAGCAAAGAAAATCGCATCCGAAGCATCCGTGGCTCCATTGCGTAGGCCACGCGACAACGGCGCTAGCATTGGCCTTTTTTCACCTCGAGTCTCCGATTTTCAACCTCCTTGGCCGTGCGTCATGCCTATTGTTTGCTTGTGCTTTGGCATGAGTTGGGCGTGTAGGCGGTGGCGCGATTGTGCTTGTGCTGGGGTCGTGAGGACTTGGTGATGGAAGTCTATCGGAGCCGCACGCTTCCTTGTCCGCGATTGTTTGTAGTCTGTATAGTGGGTAAGTATAGCTTGTTCTGTTCTTCTTTCTTTGCTCGGTCTATCAACAGCTTCAGATACTGTACACCCATCTACTTCTACTACCAGAGCCAGCGTTGCGTGTTGCCAAGATGCTGCCATCCTCCCTCTGGCTGCTTTGTCTGGCGGCGATACGAGTACGATCACAGACTACCAACCAGGCGATATCCTTCACAAACACTTTTTCGACGTTATCCAGTATACCGACCTCTGATTTCACTGGTTCGCAATTCACCTACATATCACCAACAGGCCAGAGCACTTTGTCAAGCTCATCAACGTCTATCTCATCATATGGCGAGGCGTCAAACTCAACAGCTACGAGCAATGCTACGGCAACATCAAGTAGTACCTCGCAAACAACGAGGTCGTCGAGCTCGCAATCTCTCTTTGCCATTGGCGGTACGGTATCTGCTACAGGCACTGCAACAGGAAGTAGGACTTCTACCGCAGCCTTGCCTTCCAACACTCTGCCATGCAACAACTACCCGGAGTTCTGCAACCGCAAATACAGCAACATCACAGAAGTTTGCGCCCACAACTCCGCCTTCTCGATCAAGAACAATGCCGCAAGCAACCAGGCACTGAGCATCACAGACCAGCTGAACGATGGCATCCGAATGCGTAAGTCATACCTTAAATTGCTCATACCGAGATCCTCCCACTAACGGTCCGCAGTCCAAGGAGAAACCCACCGAGTAAACGACACAATCTACAACTGCCACACCTCATGCTCCCTCCTCAACGCCGGGACCTGGCAAGCCTCGCTCGAAACCCTCGTCTCCTGGCTCGACCAAAACCCCTACGACGTCGTAACCTGGTTAATCGTCAACAGCGACTACGTCTGGGTGGAAAACTACACGGCCTCGGTGGAAGCCAGCGGCATAATGCCGTACCTTTACATCCCCGAATTTCGCCCGCAACACCGCGACCAATGGCCCACGCTGGGGGAGATGATCCTGAGCGGGAAAAGAGTCGTGATGTTCATGGACTACAACGCCAACCCGGCCTCGGTGCCGTACATCCTGGATGAATTCACACATATGTGGGAAACGCCCTTCTCGCCCACGAACCAGAGTTTCCCTTGCACGCAGCAGAGGCCTCCTGGGCTGAATCAGACGGTTGCGCGGGACCAGTATATGTACCTTGCCAACCATAACCTCAACACCGCGATAGATATCGGGGCGATTACGGGGAGTGGGTCGAGCTCGTTGCTTGTGCCTAATTCGGCCGAGGTGAATGTTACGAATGGACAATATGATCAATTTGGCCAGCTCGAGGCTGCGCGGTCGAATTGCACGGGTATGTCGATTACTATCCCAAAGAAGTCACAATCTTGAGAGCGAGAAGCTGACCTCGTACTTGCACAGCCGAGTGGGATCGACCGCCAAACTTCCTCCTGGTGGACTACTACAACATCGGCGATCCGGGTCCAGGGTCTGTGTTTGAGGTCGCTGCACGAGCAAACGGTGTCACTTATAATCGAAGATGCTGTGGCATCACTTCTCAATCCGGGTCGTCGAGCATGAAGATAAGCTTTGCTGCGCTGGGTGCGGCAATAGTCTTTTCTGCACTTCTGGCATGGTAGATGACTGAATGCTTGTGCGGATATCCGGTTTGGCATTGCATGGTGTTGGTGGCTTGTTTTTAGGAGCCAGGTGTAAAGATTTCATCATTTCCAGCATCATAAGCGTATTTGCTGTTTGCAATGTACTGCAAGCACAATTCCAATTGGCTACTGTCATGCCTCCTATCTGCCCTATGAGTACATCCTTCTTGAGTTCCTCTACTCTATAGCACTGGAGGCCTATTGGAATAGAGGCGATTCAGCGATGCAGGCAGGAATTTGCACAGACAGCAGGACATCGTCGCTCCTCGCAGCAGATCAAATCACCAGATAGATGTGTCATCTCCATGAACGAGACGTATGAGACAAGATACCCGTGAATGAAGCCAAAGCAAGGCAGAAATCCCCCTCAAAGCCGGCCACGAAAAAGCGCTGTTGATGCTCCTCGTGGCTGATCCAGGAAGAAGGAGAAGACTGGCATCTGTGTCGAAGAGCACGAGGCTGATAATTACCATTCCAGGTTTTCTATACACCCCGCAACGCCTATGCCTTCTGCCGGGATCTCGTCAAGTAGGTATTGAGCAACGCTTCGGTCCTCACTGAGCCGGGGGCCGATATTCGTCAGAGGCAGGACGAGTATCTCTCTAGTCTTCGGGCGTGATCAGTACAAGCGGCATACGAGGAGCTGAGGACGGCCTTAGGATGCTGCTACTGGAGTGGCGAAGTCAGCCATCAAACCCGGGAATAAATGGATAGAGTCCCGATGGCGCCGCTCGACTCTTCCGAGCTGCGATGCAATGGGATTGCCGCAAGATTAGGAGGAGATCTAGCCTGAACACGGCTTGGATATACACTATAAGAACGATCTATACAAGCACCTCCTTCCCACCCACCTATCTCATCACAGCCCCTTTTGCCCCTTCACCCCACCCGAACCAATAGCCTCCATCCGTATCTTCTCCCCCTTATTACTCCCCTCCACCACCCTCCCCTCCCTCAGTGTCCACGCCGCCCTCACACCCTCACTCACCAACGCAATCACGCTCGCGCACGCCATAGACCAGAGGTTAATACTCACGCTGCCCAGTGGTGCGCGAGGAAAAGATAGGATCCATTCGGCGGGATAGGGGACCCAGCCTTGGGGGAGCCAGAAGAGGGCTTCTTTGCTGTAGTAGAAGTTGCAGAAGAATTGGAGGCCTTGGGTGCCGGCCCAGCGGAGGGCGGAGATGATGCGGTCGAAGTTTGTGCGGAAGGAGGTGAGGGAGGAGGCTGTGTATGATATTGTTAGGACTGAGGTTATAGGTATGGGAATGCTGGTGGTACGTACATTGCTTCTCATACTTGTCCTTGGCCTTGTCGTGCTCTCGTCGCAGCCGCGCCCATTTGGCAAAATCATCCTGTGCGCTCACGGCGTTCATTTCACGCTGTAGTCGTACCACTTCTGCTCGTAGGCGACCACTGTCCGATGCATCTTTCGATTGTGGTGTGGGTAGTTTGGTGTAGATGGTCCATAACAGCTCGTTGATCGTCTGGGCGCCGAATTTGTTGATCAGGTGGATGGCGAGCTGGAGCACGAAGACAAGGAGGAGGACGTAAGACATGGTGAGGGTACTGTGGTGGTCGTCGAGGCACGATGTGATACACAATATGTATATGAACGTGGCCTCGAAATTGTTGGTGAAGCCTGGGGTGTGACGTCGTGCTTGCCCCACTGGGCCAAACCCCACGCCATGTGATCTGCCAATGCATTGACCATGACTTCTAGGATTCAAGTGAATGCTTTCTTAGAATACAGAATGGAGTGAACCAAGTCTGTCCTTACCGACCTCAGCTCGCTCCCTCCATCGCCGACCATGGCACCCAACATCGACCCAGAAGTCGGCTGCATCATCCCCTCGCCAGGCGACTGGCCCGTCGACCCCCAAGAAGATGTCGAAATAGCAGACGATCGATGTTGGATAGATGGCTGCTTCGACTTCTTCCACCACGGCCACGCAGGCGTAATGCTCCAATCCCGACGACTCGGCTCCGAACTCCTAGTCGGTCTGCACAGCGACGAAGACATCGCCGCCAACAAAGGCCCTACTGTTATGAACCTCGCCGAGCGCGTGGCTGCTGTTGACGCTTGTCGGTTCAGTACGAAAGTTGTCCCTCACGCTCCTTATGTTACGTCTTTGCCGTGGATCAGTCATTATGGGTGCAGGTATGTGACGCATGGGGATGATGTTACGAGTGATGCTAGCGGAGAGGATTGTTATCGGTTTGTTAAGAAGGCGGGGAGGATGAAGATAGTGCCTCGGACGCCGGGGATCAGTACGACGGACTTGGTGGGGAGGATGTTGGGGTGTACGAAGGATCATTTCGTTAAGAGTTTGACGGATTGTCTGGAGGGTAAGGAGGGGTTGCAGGGTGGTAGGGGTGAGGAGGGTTGGAGGAGGGAAGGGGAGAGTATGCGAAGAAGGATGAGGGAGTACGCTGCTGCTGCGAATGGCAGGGATGAGTATGTGCCCGTGTATGCGTACGGCACAGGTACGGGCAAGGTAAATGGCAACAAGACCAGCCACACAGAAGCTGGAACCTTTCAATCATTAGTCTCTGGCCATGGCCCCCGACCCGGTCAACGCATCATCTACATCCCCGGGGCCTTCGATCTCTTCTCCTCAGGCCACATCGCCTTCCTGCAAACCGTCAGCGGTCTCGAGGAACAGCGCGGTCGAGATAATGGCTGGTATACAGAAGAAGCTAAGCAGCAACGCCTGCAAAGTCACGGACAGGATTACGGACCCATGTACGTCATCGTTGGGCTCTACGACGATGAAGTCGTCAACCACCACAAGGGCATCAACTACCCAATAATGAACATATACGAGCGAGGGCTATGCGTGATACAATGCCGCTTTGTGCACGCCGTGGTCTTCAGCGCAGCCTACACCTTCACCGCCACATACCTCACCTCCTTACCCGCCTGCGATAGTGGCAAGCTCCCAGATGCGGTATACCACGGCCCCAACCCCCCGACATCCTCGCTCGCTTCCAATTCAGATCCCTTCGCCGAGGTCAGGAACCAGGGCATCTACGTCGAAACGCCCTCCCACAAGTTTCAGGATGTCAATGCGGCACAGATCGTGTCGCGCATACTGGCTAAGAGGGATGAGTACGAAGAGCGGCAGAGGCGGAAAGGCGCGAAGGGGGTGGGCGAGGGGGCGCTACGGAGGGCGGAGATGGAGAAGGAGGCTGAGGGTCTAAGGGAAAAGATCTCGAGGTAGCTGGCGCGTTGAACTTTCGGTGCTGTCTAGATCTCTTTGTGCGCTGAGATTATGAGATACCCTATTAAGCGAGAGCATGTGTACGTGGCTTTTCCTTTTGCAAAGCAGATAAGACGTTCTGGTTAACCGATATCTACTGTGCACGTAGCGCTGATGCGCTTTGTAATCGAAGAAGTGAATATCGACATCAAGCGCGGACCCTTCCTTACCAAGCAAGCCCGCGACGTCTGTCTATTGCGACCACAGCTTGGCACACCCCATTGCTACAACAGTGAGCCTGACTCCCGGCTCATTTCTCCACAACAAACCCGGCACGATCGGTTCTGACCTCCGTCACAGACGCCGACAGCACAACAGAGAGTTGTCTATGCTTCGAGACAAAGGCAAACACTTCTAACCGCAAGTGGGCAACAGTATCTCGGGGTAGCATCGCCACAGATGCAGGTCTCCCCCCTTGGACTCCAGGCCTGCAGGTCTGGCAGCGCCAAAGCTCAGGCGATCGATACCACCACCATCTATCTGCCGTCGGTGGCATTGTAATGTGCCCGCAAGGCCCATCCCACCTCAAGCCGTGATTCCCGAGCTTGATGGCGTGCCTGGATACGAGATCATCACGGACTGTGACGCTTGGATTACTGAATCGAGTGGCACAGCTGACGGCATGCTGACCAGTGCTCCCGTCACCCTCGCTCTCCGCCCCATACCCCACAGTCGTCGAACACGGCCGCACGCACGATGGCTCGTACCATCGTATCAGGTCGTTTCGCAGTCCGTATCGTATTCTTTCCAAGCCGGGCATGGGTCGCGATGTACTCCATCTCCATATTTGGCGTCGCGAACGAATGTAACCTCGAGCCGTCTCAGATAGCTAGAAGTCGGTCCGTCGGCACGGCGAGGTGGAGGGACGAAGCAGTGCTTCTGCTCCAGCGACGATTCGGGCTACGAGACGGCATCTCGGGGCGATGGCGAAAGTAGCGAGATTGAGGTCGTCGTGAGCGTGGCCAGCAGCGTATTAGCTTCGGGGTGATGGAATCATGTATGGACAGGAACAGCGCCTGTGGCCCGTCTTGGTCAGTCGGCTCGTTAATAACAGCAAGGTGGAAGGACGCCCTGGTTGTTCGTAGATCAAGCACTCGTCAAGTAACGATGAAAGCTACGGTAGCGTGTCGCCATGAACAGATATGTGGTCTCCGTCAGGCCGTCCCCAAGCTCTTCCTTCTTGCTTCAAGCACCATTGTCCGAGTCGAGACAGTGTGCCTACTGATATCAGTCCTGCTACGATGTACCTTCTCGGCATGTAACCTTGGTAAGCGGTGGTGCCTTCGGTGTCGCTCCATTGGCGACCGTCACTTCTGGCGCAGACATTTCATGAGAGTCGTCGTGACATAGGGCATGTACCAAACAACCAAGAAGCGACTAGACATTCTGGACGCTACCACAGCTTCTCACAAGCGAGATCTCGCAGTGCATTCCAGATCGCGTTTGGCTCCGCCGAGACGATGCATGCCGCCATGAGCAACAACCATAAAGAGCTATACCGCCGTTCGCACATCTCGCCTATGTATTGATGTTTCAGTCCCGCCAATGCACAACGACGAGCGTACCTAAGAGGAAGAAAGTCGAAGCTTGCTTTTGTCCACGCCAGTGTGCGGACAATATGTGTAGGGCTGGGATATGGCCTTGGTTGGCTCGTCCTGCAACAAGCTAGTTTGGGGGCAGGTAGATCTGCCTGTGGCGTTGCGAGTCTGCAGCAAGACGATGCTGTCATCATCTGTCAAGCCACCACCGGTGCTGTCCACGAACAGCATACGGATATGCGTAGTGTTGTGAATGCCCTAGATCGCCACTGGAGGCGCTAGTAGGATTAGAGTTCTGACGCTGACCGTGCCGCGTACGCCAGCGTGAGATGGGACGCCACTTGGTCGCCTCACTGTAGGAAGTGATGATGGTAGTCAGCGGTCGCCCATCCGCACAGGCTAGCGCTTGCGTGGTACGATCTGATATGCAGGGGATAGCGAACGCCAGGACTTACTGCAATGGGAGACAGCATGGTTCGATGGAGGAAGCCTACGGGGCCTGTGGCAGGAAAATGCAGATGAAAGCAGCCGCATGAAGTAATATTAACTTGTTGCGGAGAGGAGTCCGCCACCAGAGATGATCGTGAGATACAAGCATGGTTCATGCAGACAATGTGCTTTGATCGTCAGTCTGACTACCTTATACAACCATAGCGCTCGCTATGTATGCATATGCTATGCGCCAATGATGCAGCATGAAGCGCTGAGAGCAATGCTTTTGGGTGGGTAAGAAGATGCGGTACAAATTCATGACATCGTAGCACGTCCGTCTGACCCCCGCTTCGACCGATGCGGGCTTTGGGTATTGTTGTAGCCAGCCGTCTGACAATGTCATCGTAACACAACGACGGAGGTGGACAGACCCTCCGTCGTTAGCTGTCGTGAGGAGTCTCTGTGAGGGTGTCGCGAGGACCTCCGCTCAGGCCCATGGTCGTCACCATAAGCCCGGGAGGAGCCTGAGGTACACGACTGCCAGCAGTGGCAGGACTGACACGCCTTTCAGGAGGGGGCTCGTCTTTCATGCAAGCAGTCTCCAGTAGATTCGTCCATTTCCCGCTAGTGCCAGCATGGCTATGTTTCAGATGCTGGCGAAAGTGATCGGCTCGAAAGAACTTCTTCGCTTGATTGCATTCACCGAACTTGTGAGCGGAGTTGAGATGCTCGGCGCGAATGTCCCATTGCGGTGGATTGGAGAACTCATCACCGCAGTAGCCACACACATCGGAGCTAGTGACACTGGTCTGGTGGAAAGCGGCTTCCGGGCCGGACAAGGCCGCGCATGACCACGAGTGCTTCCGTAGATGTAGCGAGTTCTGGTGGCGCTCAGCTTCGTTCTTGTTTTTGAAGCGGTTAGGACAGTAAGCACAGGTGTACTGCTTCTCGTTCTCATGCGACCTAGTGACACGTCAGCCTTGTGGATAGATGCGGCAACAGCATAGTATAAGATGTGCACGTGTGCCACGGCAGTGATGACAGCATGCAACATGGTGCATAGTACCATAATCGCTTTCGCTGTACGGCGTAGTGATATTGCGACGGCACGCGAGGGGCAGAGCGGTGAAGCGGGGCAACTTACCTCAATTCTTCCACAGTATCGAATTTCTTGGGTTTCTTGGGACAGCACTCGCAAATGTGAGCGCCCTGCAAGTGAGACAAGCTGCCGTGTCGTGAGTGGGTCATACTGTCGGTCGAAGGTTTGCGGGCAGCTTGGGTGGTCTCGGACAAGGTCCTGTGGTGTGCAGCAGGTAATATCCTAGTGCTATCGTAAGGCGTGCCGAGCCGAAGCACGGGATCATGAGCTGCTGGCGAAACTGCACCTGGAGAAAGTCGACCTGAGCCGTAGCTCGTGGCGCTGCTGGGTATACTCGAGACACCCAGTGACGAGCCAAGCGAGCCGTGGCGCGGTCCGAATGAAGATGCAGAAGATGCGGAAGAATGGGTCGGGTGGAATCGAGAGACCGGCGAGCCATGCTGCGGTGGTATCGAGCGTCGATATGAGACCTCGCTCTGGCCAGAAGCACTGCTCACAGAAGCGAGCTCCTCGCGACTGTCTTCTCGACGTGGTGATGAAGCTCGGCGACGTTTGGTACCAACCCGTGATGTGTGATCGTCGGAGCCGGATGGACTCCTGTCGTGCAAATTGAGATTGCTCATCTGCCCGTCATCCATCAAGTCTTCGTTGATGAATACCGATTGGTCGTAGCTGTTCCTGTGGGATACTGCGTTCTCAAAGACAACACTGCCGTGACGTGTGGAAGGGCCTCGACTGGTATCTCCACTACTTTGCTCAGCCCAAAAACCGGTATAGCCAGGTGAGGCAGCACCCGAAGTAGGCCACCGAGAGCTGGCTGGCGAGTCTATGGAGTTTGAGGGTGCATGTCGTCGTTCCGGCATGGTCAGTGGCTTCAGCCGGCTGTGTCGCCTTTCCCCATCTTGCAAGGAGTTCTGGCTAGTTTCGGGAAAGCCAGGACTATGCGAAACCGACAATCGCTTTGGTGTGTTCGGACCTCCAATACGACTGAGCAATTGTTTGTCGTATGTGTTTGACGACGCCTCAAGGGTTCTTTGCTCGAGCTGTCGTTCGCTCTGTAGCCTATAACCCAATATCGTCAGTGACATGGTGATGCAAAGACGCCGACCTCTACGGATTGATTGTTCGCTGTGTCCGTGTCCTTACCTATAGCTCGACTGTCGCCGGGAGCCGTTGACATCCTCGTCACTTAGTGCCATGTGATCGTCTCCTCCGTCTTCTTCGCCAGCCGTGACGGTCGTTATAGAGCTCCCTCTCCGTGCAATAGTACCCACATTTCGTGAATAAAACTCGTGCTCCTTCTCCTGTCTCAAAGCTTGGAAGCTGCCTCCTAACAGACTGGAGCCAGGCTTGACACTCGCAGCTCGGCCAAAATCCGAAGCGCTTGGATCATTGCCCCATTTCCAACCAGGATCGTGACCATACGAGATCTCGGGTATGTGACTTGGCGGTGGCAATGGCGGTGGCACCGGTTCCTGGGCCTTCGGAATTGCCATAGGTGAGGCGGCAGCGAATGAAGGTGAGTAATTGGTAGGGCTGGGGTAGCGCAGGTGCTGGGAGATCCGAATTGATGGCGTGGACGATGACATACTCTCCCAAAACGACAATATCACGAGCTAGCAGCACGAGCTCTGTTGTCCTGTCCTTCCAAACGTAGCCGCCACAAGCGTCAAGAGTGGCGAGCCGTCAATATTCCCGTATACAGCGCTTATGCTCAGCAGCCAGCCCACCAGCAATGGCTCGCGCTGAGCAGCAGGACCGAGTAAGCTGAGCGGGTGACCAGACTAGTCAGACACATGTGAGGTCAGGCTGGCGAGAGGCCTGCTGAGACCAGTTACTCGCCTCCGTCAGCGCTACAGTACTTCCGAGCCTCCTGCAAATGAAATGCCAGTCTGGTGCGATCCCACCTCACCAGACGCACCAGACGACAGATCGGCGAAGGCCTCCTAGGAGTGTGGAGAACGGATGCTTGAGGCTGTGCTGTGTGGACCCTTGTCTTGCCTCGCGTTGCGACGTTCGCCGGGAGCGGGTGCGCCGCGTGCGGGTGGATAAACAATACGGAGGTGAAGGACAGGTGGTTCGTGGTCTGAAGACAACAGCTCACGAGCTGACAGGGAAAGCATGTGCTCCATATCCCAATCAAAGGAGTGCGTGTCGGATACGTATATGGCTTGCAGCGAGCGTTCCAGCGGCCATGTCACGGCTTGCAGCAGCCGATACAGCACCAGATCGGCGTGAAAGCACTATGGTCCACTACTGCGACTGCTTGCAGGGCTGTAAGGAGACCCACCCCGATGCAGCTGACCAGGGGCGTCTTGTCACTAGCTTGCCCGCGAGGCCGGTATTCGTATCTCATACAATACATGGCTGCTAGCGGGCGACGAGAGGGCCAGTGTAGGTTTTCGTTACTGAGCATGCAACGATCTAGGGCTGCAGGATACGGCTAAGTCTACCCGCTAGCTTGCTCATGTCTTGAACACAGTGTCGGCCCTACGCCTTACTGCTGCGTTGCATAGTCGGAGTTGGGTCACCCAGTACGAAATACGCGGCACAGACAGACAGCGTGACAACTTAGCTAACGCAGCACGCCGATGTCTGGCCCTTTTTTACTGCTGCAGCTCCTACGCTAGATCGAGCCTTTGCAATTCTTCTCGAGACAGAGACCGAATCAGCCTTACCACGGCATCAGTGCCACACCTAGCCTTGCGCGGGAAAAATGGAGTACTGTTGCAACGGACTGTGGACCACCACTGTACTCGCAGATCATCCACGTTCTATGCAGTAGTCTGCGTCTTCTCTCCTTCCCCCCTGGGTATGGTGTTCTATGCATACCGTGATTGGGCAATGCAATCGAGCGGCAAAGGGAGTACTCGAACTGAGATGGTCTGTGCCTCTGCTGTCCGAGCATAATCAAAATTCTGGCCCCTCGATCGTAGTGCTGGCTCGACGACGTATCGTACAGAAGCTTCTTGAGGTGCTTGGCATCAATTGCAGATGGCTAGTCACCCAAAAGGTCTGGTAGGCTAGCCTGCACACGAGGCTGTTGCAAAGCAGCGATCTTTAGCCGGTCGAGTCCTCCGGCAAGTCCCGTAACGACTCACGCATCGCCTCGAGCTTTGGAGAGATTATCATTTCTGTCAGTGCGCAGGATTCGCAGTGCCAACGCAATCACCACCAAGACCCTTGCATACTCTATCCTGCTGAGTCGTCTCGTTGGCGAAGGATGTCACTTCTCGACAAGGTATCTGGAGAGCTTGAGTTGTACATTGGCGGGTTTGTCCGACGGCCCCCAAAATTTTGCATATCGGATGCAGGTTCTAGGCTCTAACCGATGGCCAGGCTGTTCACCTTACGCCGTAAAGAGGCACTCCGTGAGTCTGGCGTTACACATGTCTTGTCTGTCCTGGGACTACCACTGGATCAAGCACTATTCGAGGGCTTTGAGCATTACGTGGTTGAGGTTGATGATGTCGACGACGAGAATCTGCTTGAGCACTTCCCGGCCACAAACAAATTCATACAGCAAGGACTCGATGGTGGTGGCGGCGTTCTTGTGCACTGGTAAGCATATCGTGCGATAGCAATACACAACGTCGCGTAACTATATCACGGTGCTGCCGAAGTCGATCAAGGTGATCGTCACTCAACAACCATTTCCCGGAGCTCTCTCCGTCAAGTCCTTGCCACCCCCTTCCTATGTTGCATGCTATCATGAAAGATCAACAAAGACAGAGACAACATGCTGACTGATCAGCGCAATGGGCAAGTCCCGCTCGGCGACCGCGGTGTGTGCCTTCCTGATGCAGAGATATTGCATAACACCCGACCAAGCATTAGCACAAATCCGCGAGACTCGACCGCTATGCGAGCCCAATGATGGCTTCTGGCAGCAGCTTGAGCTATACCATCGAATAGCAACGCCGGAAAGTGTCGAGGACAGTCCTGCGTATCAGCGATGGCTCTATCAGCGAGAAATCGAGCTCAGTCGTGCATGTGGACAAGCGCCCGAGGCGGAGAAGATTCGTTTCGAGGATGAACATGCTCATGAAGGGGCTGCGGACTTTGAGCTGAGATGTAGGAAGTGCAGGTACGTGTGCTATCTTAGTAGCAGCTATAGTCGTCTTTCTTGCTGACTACGAATAGACGGACCCTTGCCACATCTCAATACCTTACCGACCATAAGACGCGCGAAGGTGTTGCACCAGTATCTTGCGCGCACTACTTTCTCGATCCGCTGTCTTGGATGAGAGCGGAGCTAGAGCAAGGCAAGCTGGACGGTCGCCTTGAATGCGCCAAGTGCAAGACGAACGTCGGGAAGTATGCGTGGCAAGGTATGCAGTGCAGCTGTGGGGACTGGGTTGTGCCTGGTATCAGCCTGGCCAAGGGCAAAATCGACGAAGTCAAGTCCCGGCCACAGACTGCTGCGGGTCTGGGTATACGGCAGCCACCACAGGCGGTAGGGCGGAAGACAGGCTCTGGCCACGAGAATTTGTGATGAGTGTATCAACCCTGCAACCCACCAGCTGGTCTATCCTGCCCTCTTCCGTCCTGTACCTCCTCATCTTGCCTCGGTCATGGCCTCCTGGCTGGTCGTAGATCGTCCCACTTCCCGATACCCTCGTACCCGAGTCTCGCAAGATGGTCTCTTTCGGACATGCTGTGTGCGTGAATTTGTTGTGAAGGAGGGAGCTTGTCAGGCAGGGACGGCTATCGTGCCTGCCGCTCACAAGTGCACGATCGAGGACCGGTTGGTTGACAGGCAGCCGACTCAAAGAATGACTCTTCCGCGCCGCAGAAGCAGAGGATGAGCGTTGAATCGACACCGAGTTGCCAAGCCGGTAAACCCTCGTCTAACGACGGATGGACCTGGAACTCTGATGCTGGGTTCACGATACTCTCCCGTGCATGACTGCATCCCTTCCTCACGTTATCTGCTTTGAGCATGCGCACGTGGTTCAATGATACACTTTAGAGTAGGAACATATTGCCAGGGTCTATGGGAGAATGGGCCTAACTTCTGCCACGGAGCGATGGAAAGTCGGGCTGATCAACAGCTTTCCCTGCAACCGTAACGTCAATGGTAGCGCAGTCCACGAATCGCGACGGATGAGTGTAGCATTGGGACGCACGTCTAGTAGTATGAGCTCCCAAGAGCTAGAGATTTGGTGCTGCATACAAACCAGAAGCGACATCTTCAAGCGATCCGAATATCCGCTCGGAAACGCTCACGCCTAAACTATCGGACCATGATGATAGGATGGTCATTCAAAGGCACTATCCATGGTGCTGTAGCGTCGTAGGAAGCGCGCATCCTTCCATCGCTTCCAGATGACAAAGCAAAAGCAAAAGCAAAACCACCAGCGCCAACGCTAATTCAGACGAATTGATTTCCCTCCTCGATCCCTCCAATTGCTCCATAGTGAGGGCTGCCCAACCAACCTGTCCTGCGCCGGAGCTTGCCGATGGAGGTGGCCCTGGTCTGTGCCGTAGAGATGACCGTTGCCTTTGCTACACGCGTATAGCTTTGGTCCCCCGAGTCATGTCCCTCAGCCCTCATATCAATCCCGCCATTTTGGTAGCGATGTTGCAGAAGCGTGTTATTGACTTCCCAACGCCTTGCATTCTGCATCGGGTGGCGGTGTCATGTCCTCGTACGCCAGCTCCACGACACTCGAAGACGGACTGTGGATGTCTGAGTCGCCAGTATCGTGGTCTTCAGACTGCCCACTTACACCCGACAGTGTAGCAATGGAGTCTTGCGAGCTGGTTCTGCTTAACGACGGCCTGCCGTTCTCTAGCAATTCTATCTTGCCACTCCCAGACATTTGCAGGCCATGCTCTGAGCTGCTGGTGCTGTATGCAGACCAGGTCGAGGCTATTGACATCCCGGAGTCCAAAGCGGCATTGCTCGATAATGCCTCAGCCAGGCCATCCACATTTACAATCATCGAGTCCATCCGTTTCATGAACGACTGCTTTTCCAGATATCCATGCGTTTTCGCATAGTCGAAAACCGCCTCAGGATCAAAGGCCTTGATTAGCTCGACATCTCCTGGTCTAGCTTTCGGGTATGCATAAGTGTAGTACTCAAGCAGAATGTCGCACATTGGCCGTCGCTGGATCTTTCGCAAGCACGCAATCAAGCAGCCGGTTCTATGTTTGCCCTGGTTGCAATGGATATGCAGAGGATAGTTCTCCGCATCGAGTACGATGAGCAGCGCCTCGCACAAGGACTCCCCTGAAGTTCCAGGCTTGCCCTCTTTATTGGGAGCAATGTCCACCCGGTGGCGCTTGATGTTGTTGTCCTCGATCCAGCGAGAGTAGAGCACTGATGGCTCTGTGTCAACGAGGCAGCTGGGTACAAATCAGCACAAGCCAGACTTTTGCAGAGCATGGTTGACCTACAGTACGCTCTTGATATCCAGACACTCCAGGAACTCGATGTTACGATCCGCAGGGTAGGCACTGCGGAACAAAGTTCCTCTGGTTGCCGCACCGTAATTAGCGGGTGGGTATCTTGGCCACAGTCTGTCTGGACATGGCAGTCTCCTCAACGTCGGTGTGGCGGCACCTGAACTCGGTGGTGAAGGCGGGCGGGACCCTTGCTCCACTACACTCTGTCAGAATTGCCACTGGCACAGACGAGGACCGCCAGCCATACCTCCTTCCATTGCCTCTAGGACATTCGTGTCCTGCTTCTCATCCACAGCCTGACACTCCCTTGCGATCAAAGCCGTTGCTTCTTGGTTCTCCTGCACTACTTCTGTCGCTGGCCTGTCCTCCATCGTCACATCTACCGCCGATCCACTTTGAGACGTCATTTCTTTAGCCCGAATATGAAGAGTGCTGTCTTCCTCGGTCCTCTGGATCGTGCTGTGTTTCTATATGTTCTCTGTAGTGGTTTGTTCCCTAGTACAGACAAGCGAAAGTGGTCGCGTGACACCGTATCTCCAATAACTCTGGAGTCGCGGGCGCTCGAGCTGATGTGAATGCAGCTGTATGGGAATAGTGGTAGACGATGCTTCGTATCTACGCTCCAGTCAGTATATCTGGTGCCGCTGTCGTCCTCACACGTCGTAACCACTCACTAGATCTCTGTCGCAGTCGGTTTCCAAGGCTACACCAGACAAGCATAGCCAGCCGGTGTAGAGCCCATACAGAGTCGTATATCCATACTGCAATAACCACTTGGCGAAGACAAGAAAGTATGTACCTTTCCAGTGCGTACGAGGACAACAGCCTCAATCATTCAGCTTGAGTACCGTGTCGTGTGCCTGGGTATGTGTAGATATGTACAACAGAATTCAAGCAAATTGGGCGAAGAAGACCTTGCCAGACCAAAGCAAATGACATAGCCCTCTGCGCCGCTTGGGTGTAGTAGAGTAGTAGTGTTATACAAACTTTCGCATCGCGTGCCCCAGCGCCGCAAACTGCACAGGGCCCTTTCCACGAGGGCAAGAAAGGTCAGACACACTCAAGTCTTACTCGCTCGTCCACAGAAAGGAAGGGTCCCGCCTCGGAGATCAACGGTTCTTGTGCGGGCCGCGGCATGACATCGCTTTGTGCAGGAATTTCGCACGTGACAGACTGGCTTTCCGGTCAGCCCGCGTCCGTCAAATGTGTTCTTGTGGTCGGGAGTGTGGTGCCTGCTGATGCGTTTGGGGCCGTTCATTATACATTGGCAATGTATGTTGGCTTATGGTCAGCATTGTGTAAGGCTGACACCTGCTACTGCAGGTGTCACGAGTAGTGTGGCGATGTGGGCTTATATCCGAGAGCTGACCATGCTGGATGGCAAACGTGGGAGGGATATGCTTGGGTCTTGTTTGTGTTGATGACAGACTCAGTGCTGCCTGACCGAACAGTACTGAAAGGGAGACTGCCTTGTCCGCTTTCTCGCTCTTTGCCATTTGCTTGTGCTCTCAACAGACAGCAAACTTGTAACATGCCCACAAGCTTCGGAAGCAGAAGTCAAACGAGCTTGATCAGGGGTCGAGACGATTACGATCAATGAAGTAGTACATTCATGTGCCTGCTAACCCTTCCTCATGATCCGCACGCAAGAAGATAAAAGCATCGGAGACTGCCAACTGAACGCCGAGTATTGCAATGAACGCAAGCGGTTGGGCTCCAAGAGCATGCCAGGGGGCCAGAGAATGGGGACAGCCGGTGCTCTCATCCTCCACTCGCCATGACTGATAGCACTCGCTTGCCAACACCTCAAACAAGTGCTCAATCTGCGCTGCTGCCACCCTTGGCATGTCCGCCTGCCTGCCTGCCTGCTTCGAGTCTGAGATGTGTTTGTGAAAGTCGGGTATTCGCCAGAAGAGTATGCGTGCCTGCTCGATTATGATGTGGAGGTCGTAGTTGGTTTGGTCGATGCTTGGGTTTAATTTACAAGACCACGCACTTCTTCTTCTTCTCCTTCCTCGTCAATAGCGCGGCGCGTGTGGCGTGCTCGAAGACCTCACGGACGCCCTCGTTCGTCTTGGCGGAGCATTCGAGGTATTTTATAGCACCAATCTTCTTGCGGACGTCTTCGGCCTGTATTTGGTCAGTATCAGTAACACCTCTTCGGATTCTTCCTTGGCAGAACATCTACGTACCTGCTCTGGGGTGACCGGCTTCTGCGAAGTCTTATGCAGCTCCTCAATCGTCTTCTGGTCGAACCTCAGATCCTTCTTGCAGCCGACGAGGATGATGGGAAGGCCTTGGCAGAAATGCAGGACCTCGGAAATCCACTGTAATACGCGCGACCGATTAGCATTTCGTTCGTGTATTATACCAGGCACGTGAGCATTTCCATACCTTCTCTTGCACGTTGTCAAGCGAGTCCGGTGAATCTACGGCGAAGCAGATGAGGATGACGTGCGAATCTGGGTAGGAGAGGGGTCGGAGGCGGTCGTAATCTTCCTGGCCAGCCGTATCCCATAGCGCCAGCTCTACGTGCTTGCCGTCCACCTCGACATCGGCGACATAGTTCTCAAAGACGGTGGGGACGTAGACCTGTGGAGGGAGCCGTTAGTATCGGGTGATTCTGAGGTATTGCCGTGCTCTTTTAGGGTGTTTGTTGGCTTATCGCATGTGATGACGCGGTCGGTAGGTAGGAAGATAGTGGTAGAAACGAACCTCTGGGAATGTACCCTTGGAGAAGACGCTGTTCACTGGTCAGCCATGCTTGAGGGTGTATGAGGGATAAGAGTAAGGCCATACATGAGCAAGCAGGTCTTTCCGCAAGCACCGTCACCGACAATCACCAACTTGCGACGGATCTCCGCCATCTGCGCGATGTGTTAATGAGGGACCAAGAAGTGTTGTATGGCGAATGCGTGGGTAGTGGCGTCTGGAGAGCAGCAGGTGTGGTGGGTGGGAAGATGGTTTGAGGCCTGCGGAAGCAGTTGTTGTCACTGTTCAGGAGCGAGTTGCTGAGGGACGCACGCCGCTAGTCTACTTACGGTAAAGGGCTGTGTGGTGATGGTCTGTTTGCTTCGCCTCACAGTCTTTGCTATCGCGCTTGTATGGGTGGCCTGAAGGGAGCTTTCAATAGGGTGAGGATATAATCGATGAAGCAGGCAATCGCTGAGGCCTGATGAGATTCAGGGAATGGACGTTGGAAGTGTCAAACTCGTGCGCACATGCTCTCTCCGGCCATCACACGGAAGCGACCGTTCAGCATGAGCCTTGGCCGAAAGCACGCTAGAGCAAGGTGTTCGCCAGGTGATCAGGTTGGCAGCCTGCAAGGATCTATATTCCGTTTCACTCTGTAGGCAACACAACATCCGACATCATCGCATACGAGATCTCTCCCATCGTGCGCAATCTTCTTGTGATGGCGCCATCACTTAGAACAGTTTTGCCACCCGAGGGCGACGCGAACACTTCTATGGAGCTTCCATCGATGGACCCTGATCCCCCCTGTTCAACGTTCTTCCCAAACGTTGGAAGTAATGGGACGATGACAGCCAAGCTGACACCTTGTCAATATCAGCATCTACCATACATCGAGGGGGACTGTCAACCCCGTACAATCATAATCTTCCAAAGAGCTGCAGTGCGATGTCAAAAAGGCCGACTCGACTTCACCGCGTCGCATGACAAAGTATCCGGTTCATTGCCACCCTGGTCGCAAACATCCCACAGATGGCGAACCTGAATACAAAAGCCTTGTGAACTCCCAAGCAGTGGCAGATCCTTTGCTTGTTACCCTACCTGCGCCCTCCACAGATTAGACCCGATGGTCATGTTTGTAAAATGTCCATGCCGGCAGTATTTTCAGCACCGAAAGGTCACTAACAACAATGACCGGGTCTGTTCCAGCCTCGAAAAGGATCCATCTCATCTTCTACAGCATCATGACGTTCAAAGATGTCTTACGTCGTCCAGATGCATACGTCGACAACGTCTTCATCGAGTCCGAAGCACCCACTTTGGATGGGGAAGTGTGGATGCCTGCTCCATCGCTTCTACTCTTGGCATCATATTTTCTGTTAAGACACAGTACAAAAGCTCCTGATCTAATAGGACGACCGCACAGACAATACCGATCGCCGCATGATGACCAGGTCCTTCTCGCTAGTGAGCAAGTGTACCAACACGCAATCGTGTATCTACCGGCATTGAACAATGTTCGTAGTCGCCATAAGCAGCAATCGAGCGAAGCCTACAAATGTCTCTGAGTTTTTGAGCGAGCCCAGGAAGATCGCGAGTAGAGGTGGTAGTGTTCCCTTCATTCAGCATCTATCGTGCCATCTAAGCAACCCAGATCTTATCCACTTCTACAGGATTCGTCTTTTGTGCTCCACGCCCTGTGCCATGAGGAAGTGGGTATGGATGTTTGGAACACATATAAATGCCTTCAATTGCAAGCCACTTGAGCTATGGACGGGAGGAACGAGATACAGGAATCGCAGATATGATCGCTACATGGGCTTTAGCTCCCAAATTGCTACAACCTCTCGTCATGCATGTCAGTGTAGCTAATCTCTGTCTAGTCTGATCACGCAGCAGGGAATTAGTTATATAGCAACATCTGGACTGCGCTATATGGGATCGAAGCATTCGCTCTAACCCATAGAACTAAAGCGTTCATATTGTGCAAGAGCGCCAAGCAGACCGACCAAAGTACTACTGCTCTCCACCCGTGTCGGCCAGATCGCCTTTCCATCCTGTCGACCTCCAGCATCTCCTACTGTTCATTGAGAAACCCTCTCCAGCCCAAGCTTCACAACTCTGTGACCCCTCATTTGGCACTATCCCGCCCGACCTGCTCGACGCCCCTTCCATCCACAGCTCTGAAGGTCTTATAGTATCTCTTGCCGTACGCAATAAAGCGTATGACCCGCTTCAATGCAGTCAGGGGCCAGCAATTGAGTCGCACAAGTGTCAGATCCTCCAGATTGTCAAATAGTGGTAGGCGGCTCAGAATGACCTCCACATGCTTCTCTGGAACAGTGATGTCGGAGAGAAGTAGGGTCGTTATTCTTGGCATCGCGAACCACGTTAACAGCGTTGCAAGCTGCGCGGAGGTGACGTGCAGTTTGTGTAGCTCAAGACGCTGTAGTTTACTGCAGCGCCCCGCACAGTCGGTACAGTCGTCTACAATGGCGGTCATGATGTCGGCACGGCTTTGCCTCTCTTGTGACGTGTTTGCAGGCCAATTCAGACCTCTCCAGGCTGCATTCTCGATGCCACTCAGGCGAAGTCTCCGCAACTCTGGCAAACTGACAATGAGTGACATCAGCTTCACATCTGTCGCCTCAGCCGCCACTGCTTGATTCATCTCCATAGTAGTGGTTGTGAGATGAGGGACGAACTTCAGGTGAAGCGTGCGAATGTATGCCTTCAAGTCAGGTCCTCTTGAAGATATGCTTTGACGGGCAGGAAGAGTGCCGGGCCAGATGAACCTGCTGACGTTGTGAAAGCTGCACCGGGCGGAATGGTCGGAAGATCTGTGCTCTACCCAGCGATTAACAAGTCCGAAGCTGCAAGCGTCGGCAATGAGAGTGAAACTCATGATAGCAGACAGCTCCTCCGGCTTTGGCTTGTAGATGGCAGCACGTCGAGATGAGGCCATGGTGCCGGCAATGTGCTGTCACCGCTGCGGTGAAACTCGGCCAAGGTTCGTTGAGTCAAATGAGATGTGACTTTACTGTTGTTTGCGAGTGAAGCAGGTCCTTCAATTCGTCGAGCACATGCTAGCGTACCGAGAAGCGGGCCTATGGTGCCTGCTAGAACAGTTGAAGCTGCAGGTATTTCGTCGAGATTCCAGTGGCCAACACTCACTTTTCCGCGTCTGCTGTGCTCACTCCTTCTTGAGATGATCCTCTCCTGGTTGGTGAGCCATACGACTTCCACCTATCAACCACATGACCGCCGCCGCCATGACAACGACTATCCAGAATCTACCGACGGCCATCATTCCAGACGTGATGAGACATCTTACGATGACAGATCTTCGCAGCTTCCGCCTCACCTGCAAGTGGGCAGAGAACGAGCCTTTCGTGCCCTTCGCTCGGTATGGATACAGTTCACCTTGGTCGAGGCAAAGTAAGGCGACGATCCAAGCACTCATGGGTGTCATTGATCGCAGCGAGCCGTTGGCGAAAGCGATCAAATTCGTCGAGCTTCGCTGGTTCACTCAAGGGGCAAGGAGATGCTGGTCTCTCAATGACTCCATCTTCAAGAACGCTGGCGAAGACGGAACAGGTCCTGGTGTTGCAGAGATCTTTTCTCGTCTGCCCGGGCTGACAACTCTACGGCTTCTCAACCTACACGGCTCGAAATTAGTAGCCTCGATCTACAAGGCACGTGTATCGAGGTCACGGAGCTTCGTAATCTCCTCGTGTGTCTCAGTCCCGGTCTCACGAAACTTGAGGTCCAGGGCATCTCTCTGCCATCGGATACTTGGCTTGACCTGTTTCTCCTGTTGCAAGAGGTGTCGCACCGTATGAATCATCTCTATTGCAGCTATGTGGACGATGAGCGAGGGGAGCGCTTCTGGTTCGAGGGCGTCGGGCGTGCTGGGAGGCCGAAGTGCTACAATCTCGGTAATCGGGGAGGCCAGTACCAGACAATGTATTTCAAGGGGTGGGCCGTGACGCTGAATGGTACACTTGGTGTCCAGAAGGGCTTGGGGATGATCGTGGGGAATCTGCAGGCATGAGTGCAGAGGTACCTCACTGCAGGCCAAGCCTCCGATCATGAGCAGACTGGCCTCGATCTGCACAGTGATGGTTGCAGTACGAATGTCATTTTCGACTTGCCAAAATGATACTATAGGGCCATACTCCAGAATTGTTGCGTCAACAAAACCTCCCGTATTGAAGGCTCCATATCCTCGCAAAGTAAATCAGACCATTGAGCTCAAGCTTAGGGTGATTGGCCAATGTAAGGACGTGTGTCTATGTGGTCCAGATGCGCAGATGACGAGATCGTGGGCGAATTTTCTGGGTTGTGGTAGGGTATTGAAGCGCCTTGTGGCTAGCAATGCTCTCGTGTGCATCAATAGCAGCCTCTGGACGTAGTCTATAACCATGAATCTGTGCTACCAATGGTCACACCATTCTTCACCACAGACTACAGCCCACCGTCGCTTTCGTTCATTGTACGACTAGCATTCCTTGACACGAGGATTCTAGGAAAGCAGCAAGCAGATATGCTTGACCGTAAACGTCTGTCGCGTTCTTCAAAGCGTGCTGCTCGTCTCCTTAACATACGGCTGGCCATCATGTGCTTGCAGCGCTTCGGTATGCAATAAGCATAGATCAATGTCAGCATCTAGCCTGGTCGCATGTCTCGTATGTGTGGTCTTAATATCCTCTGATCCTATTGAGGGTGCTCAATGCTTTCTATGGCAGAGTGCTGGAGAAGGAAATCTCAGGTCGGGCAAGTACTTCCGCACAGCACAATCGCCAAAGTACATAGACGTTATTCGTTTCGTCTGTGATGCTCATCCTAGTCCACCCTGCGGCACACTCGGGAAGGCACCAGGTTGCTTCAGCCTCTCTTTCATCCTTCTCGCAGCCTCAGTATCCCTCTTCTTCTGCATACGCATTTGCCAGAATTGCTTCTGTAGCTCAAACACCCTTGGCCCGTCAATCATAGTCTTCTCCATCGCAGCAGGATCCTTCTTGCCTTCCAACTCCTTCAGCTTCTCCTCTTTCTCCTTCTCCTCCTTCTCATCTTCCGTCTTCGCATTAGTATCCGCCTCATCCTTCTTCTTTCCATCTTTGTCTTTTTCATACTCCTTCTGCTTCCGTCTAGCCATCTTCTTGCGCATCTTCTCCTCGAACTCGGCCTTCACCACCTGAATCTCCTTGTCTATTTCTTCTTTACGCTTACGTTCTGCGATGTCATCCGCATCTTTAGCGATCGCGAACTTCGAGTCTATCAGGTGGCCAGCACATATATGAAACCAGTCATCTTGGTTAGGAGTGATTAACACAGTGCTTGAAGGTTTATAGCATATCCAGCAGGCTTTGGCACTTTTCTCCGCTACAAGCCGGCGGTGATAGAGATTCGTCGGCGACGCCATGTTGGCGAAAATGCTCTCTCTCTCCAGCCCCGAGCCTCGAGGATGCCCAATGGTGAATTGTTACATGAGCGATGAATGGATACACAATGGTGTCATGCCGATCAGGGCAGGCACGAGAGGCCGGGGCCGAGACGGACCGCGATAAGAAAGCTTATCAGCAAAAGTGAATGGAGCTCTTGCCATTAGAGTCATCTCTCTCCAGCAACATATGTCTTTTGCGCTGCGCTGTGAACACGTCCACACGAACTAAAATGGCTCCAAAAGAGAGCAGTACCAAGCTATGGGGCGGTCGCTTCACAGGCTCCCTCGACCCGATCATGACTCAATACAATGAATCCATCTACTTCGACCGCATCTTCTACAGCCAGGATATTCGAGGCAGTATTGCCTATGCCCGCGCCAACATCAAGACTGGTATCCTGACGCAACACGAATTCAGCGAGATCGAGCGAGGACTGAAAGCGGTCTACAAGGAATGGGAGAGCAATACTTTCGAGATCAAATCTGGTGTTGACGAAGACATCCATACTGCAAACGAGAGGAGGCTTGGCGAGATTATCGGCAAGGAGATCTCTGGAAAGTTGCATACGGGACGGAGTCGCAATGATCAGGTTGCGACGGATATGCGGTTATGGCTGAAGGAGCAGCTCGACAGGTTGGAAGGCTATCTCGTTGACTTCCTGAAAGTCATCGCTGCGCGAGCCGAGAAGGAGATCGAGGCGCTTATGCCGGGGTATACACATCTGCAGCGTGCACAGCCTATTCGGTGGAGCCACTGGATGCTCATGTATGGGTCTTTCTTCGCTTCAGATCTGCAACGGTTGCGAGAGCTCAAGGTTCGGGTGAATAAGTGTCCGCTTGGATGTGGTGCATTGGCCGGCAACCCGTTCGACATCGACCGTGAAGCCATGGCAGAGGAACTGGGCTTCGACGGACTGATCATGAACTCCTTGGCCGGCGTGGCAGACCGTGACTTCGTGGTCGAGACGATGCAATGGGGTTCAATGCTAATGATGCACATGTCTCGATGGGCCGAAGATCTGATCATCTACTCGAGTGGCGAGTTTCACTTCGTACAGCTTGCGGACGCGTACAGTACTGGCTCAAGTCTAATGCCGCAGAAGAAGAACCCGGACTCGCTGGAACTCCTGCGAGGCAAGAGCGGAAGGGTGTTCGGTCAAATGGCTGGTCTCATGATGAGTGTGAAAGGCATACCGAGCACATACAACAAAGATCTCCAGGAGTCCGTCGAGCCAATGCTAGATCATGTCAAGACTGTTGGCGATAGTCTACAAATCGCCACAGGAGTCCTTTCCACCCTCACAATCGACACAGATGCGATGCTGGCCTCTCTCACACCTGACATGCTGGCCACAGACCTCGCAGACTACCTCGTCCGGAAGGGCGTACCGTTCCGGGAAACACATCACATCTCTGGTCAAGTCGTGGCGCTGGCTGAGCAGAAGAAGAAGCCGATGGATCAATTGAGCTTCGAAGAGCTGCAGGGTGTGGATAGGAGATTTGAAAAGAACATCATAGAGGTCTTTGACTATAGCAAGAGTGTTGAGATGAGGAGTGCGAAGGGCGGGACAAGCAAGAAGGCTGTGCTAGAGCAGATCGAGGCTGTCAAGAAGGCCTTGGAGGGTGGTGTCTGAAGAGCTACAGCAAGCTGAATCGATCCGCACTATGCTATCTGTTCTGCCGTATTGGCCATGCCTTGAGCTGGGCTGAGCTTGCTGTTGTGGTCAGAGAAGGAATTCTGCTGCTCCCTCACCCTCGAAAGGTTCGACGAAGCATCGGGTCCCTACTGTCTTGTTGGGACGAAGACCTGCGAATGGTCAAGCCAGATGGATGACTTGCACAACAGTGCTGTGTCAATGACCAGTCTTGCAGAGCACTCGAGTGGCATAAGCGGCTTCGAGAAGCATAATGTGGTACAAGCAGCTATTGCATGCTTTTAGGCATACTATGCGTATCGCAGCGTCGGCAGAACGACCTCAATCTCGACTATCAGCATCAGAATGTTACAGTCCCTCTCCTAACTTTGTTGATCATTATCATATATTCTGTGTCCATACTGTTACGTAAATCAGCTCTCGCCGGTTTGACTACTCGCGCCTGCTTGTATCAGCTCGAAAACAACACCCCACCTTCCACGAGACGGTGTACTTTCATGCAGGAACAACAATTCTGCTGGTAGCTTGAGAACAACATATTGTGATCGTGCTTCTCATAAAACACAAGGATTAAGGTATAGTCTCTGTCTTTGTTTAGCCGTCCTCGAGAATGTCCTATCTTGGCCTTGAAGGCTATCATGCTTTCGTGACAGGCGCAAGAGGCGGGATAGGGTCAGCGATAGTTCAGGAACTACTAGGTAAAGTGAATATGGATATCTCGCAGGCGATATTGCTAATCCCAACCAGCTGCCGGCTGCAGGGTAACAGCCCACGACCTCAAGCCGCCTCAACCAGAAGACCACAATCTCGTATACCCAGTCACAGGTGACATTTCCGATGAAGTCTCCATCTCGACAAGTATAGGCCAAGCAATCCTCCACAATGGACAGATTAATATCCTCGTCGCCAATGCAGGGATCACTAATGAACAATCTCACCCTACCATCTGGGAAATGGACACCGAGGTCTGGGAGAACGTCTATCGAGTCAACAGCCGTGGGACCTTCCTGACGATCAAGCACTTCCTCCGCGCAGCCAAGGACTTCCAGGACTGCCATGAAGGTCGCGAGATGGAAAATCTAGCGATAGTGGTAATGGGCAGTGAATGTGGGAAGTTTGGGCAGGCGGGACATGTGGAGTATGCTTCTGGCAAAGCTGGTCTCCAGTACGGACTCGTTCCGACCGTCAAGAACGAAATCGTCAAGTTGAACTCGAGGGCGAGAATTAATGCTGTGGCGCCTGGATGGGTCGATACGGAGCTCATTGGTGATCGGCTTGATGATCCGAGGGAGCTGTATTTGGAGAGTCAGGGGACGGTGGCGTTGAAAAAGATTGCGCAGCCGGTGGATGTTGCGAAGGCGGTGGTGTTCTTGGCTAGTCATAGGGCTAGTGGACATATGTCTGGGCAGTGCTTGAGTGTAGATGGTGGGATGGAGGGGAGGATCGTGTGGCGCGAGGAGGAGGTATTGGGTACTGGTGCGTCGAAGTCTGCTGTTGTCCTATCGAAGCCAGGAGAAGTTGGAGCCACCTCTGCTATGTCTAGTACCCTACCACCACGCGTCTCCTCCTTGCAAAAACCAAGGGATAAGCTCAAGATAGCCCTCTCGGTCGACTTCGACGCCCTTTCAACCTGGCTAGGCACAGGCGCACACCCCGACAACAACACAGCCGACTACAGCGCGGGCTACTTCTCCGGCCTCGTAGGAGTCCCCCGTCTCCTCAAAGTCCTCTCCAAACTCCACCTAGCCTCAAAAACAACCTGGTGTATACCCGGCCACAGCCTCGAGACCTTCCCCTCACAAGCCCTTGAAATCGCAGCTTCCGGAGCAGAATTAGCACTCCACGGCTACGCGCACGAAGGCTCCGCCCAGATGACTGCCGAGCAAGAGAAAGACGTGCTAGAGAAAAGCATCCAGCTGATCCAAGAACTGACGGGAAAGAAACCAAGAGGCTATAGAGCACCCCTCTATCAAATCTCGGAGCGCACCATAGCACTGCTCCAACACCACGACTTCGTGTGGGACAGCAGCTGCACTCATTACGACAGCAAACCCTACTTCATGCCCCTCAACCCCGCCCCCATCACTCCCATCGACTTCTCGCAGAACCAAAAAGCAGAATCCTGGATGCATCCATCCCCTCACTTCGACTCCCTGCCCAAATCCCAGCTCGTCGAGATCCCACTGAATTGGTACGCAGAAGATGCCACACCCTTGCAATTCTACCCTCACACCGAGAACTCGCAAGGGTACGTGGACGTCAGGGTGGTGGAGAGGATGTGGAAGGATCGGGTGGAATGGCTGTTGAGCGAGATGGCGGAGGAGGCGGAAGAAGGTGAACAGGAGATGAAGGTTTTTGCGCTCGTGCTGCATCCTGATACGAGTGGGATGGCGCATGTGATTGGTATGATCCAGCGGTTCCTGCAGTGGCTGGTTAGTCTGGGTGACAAGGTGGAGTTCTTGCAATATGGTGAGATTGCCGAGGAGTTCAGGAGACGTCAAAAAGGAGTGTAGCTGCAGGTACTTGACCTGCATTGGAAGGTCATCGAAAGCCATGAATCGAGCCTTGCTTGACAGGTGGAAGAATTGATGATAGAAGTATGTTCATAACATTGATTAGCATACAGTAGAGCAATAGCACACAAATGCTACACCAAACAATGACAAAGAGAAAGATGGGGCAGATTTGCCCGTTGACGCCTGTTCAGTGTCCAGACCCATGTTGCAGGCCGTACGGATGTGGATATCGCGTGGGAAAAAAGCAACGTAGAGAGCACGAAACGCCGCCGCCATGCGCCACCATCACCAGTTTCATATGCAATGTCCCACTCCATCTCCCATCAGATCAACGACCCAGAAGCACCGTGCCGGGTCTAGAAGTTCTGAGCGATTCCGCTATTTCCCTGCTGATAAGTGCCGCCCTGCTGTATCCGCGTGTTGCGCCTAGCAGACACGTCGCGTACAATAGGCATCCCAGCACTATCCTGCCCACCACCATAGCTACCATCTCCATACGGTCCATGCTGTCCATAGCCGTAATTGGCGTTCGGGTTGTTTTCGTATGCTTGTCCGACCGGTAGTGGCGGAACTGGTTCGTCGGAGCCTTCGGAGCGCGCACCGGCCGAGTATGCGGATGAGGCATTACTAGGGCCTCTTCGGATACCGGGGTTTACTACTGCAAGGGGTGCGGCGCCGAGAGCGCCTAGTTCGTCGCTGTTCATTGTGTCGCGCTGGTGCACTAGAGGGTCGCCGCTGTGGCCATCGGAGTATGCTGCTCCTGGTGAGCCTGGGGAGTGTGCGTTGTACGAGTTGCCGTTGTCTGATAGCTGGCCTTGGGTATGGCCACCGCTCAGCGTGGTGGAGGTCTTCCTGTTGGTCGAGGCTGCGGCTGCGCCCCAACCTCTGTACCCGCTGTGATCCTCGGCCATTTGTGGTCCTCCAGCCTCTGAGCCTGCTACTGCCGGTAATGTGGGATCGTTGTTTGGGTTGTAGCCATATTCGTCGATCTCCTTGCGGCGTTGCTCTTGGTTGTCCTTGCTCTGCTTGCGCTTCCGCCAGAACCAAATACCGAGCGCTACCAGCAGAGCTACAAAAGCCACAGGTATCACGACAGCTATTGCCGTCTTACCGGCAGTTGATAGTCCACCCGAGTTGCCACTGTTGCTGCCATTACTACCGTTGTTCGACAGCTGTGCTGGCGAAGATGATGTGGCAGACGCGCTGGCTGCTGTTGACGAGCCGGCTACGGGTATGTAAGTGGTGGATGCCCGGTTGGTGTTGACTGACGTCACGACCACAGTCACGGGGTTCGTGTTTGTAACGCCATTGCTGACAGCCGATTGTGTTACGACGGAAGTGATGACTTGTGTAGTTGGGTCCGCGGCGGAGGCTGAAACGATGGAAGTGATTATATTGGTGCTGCTGGGTTCCACGGTCGTGGTCGAGCCTTGTTGTACGGCGGAAGAAACTTGCGATGCGACGGAAGAAGATATTGCGGATGCGAGAGATGAAGACGCGGCGGCTGAGCTCGATTGCTGAGAGGCGGAAGCTGAAGAGGAGGCGGCGTTAGTTGCTGACGCTGAGTTGCTGCTCATCTTGGCGGCAGAGCGGGTGTGCGCAAGTTGATGGAACAGAGATGATGATGGAAAGAAAGAGTGTTATAGAGATGGTAGTCAGAACGCACCCGTAGAATTGGACATGGCCGCGCTGGCGAAATGCTACTGTCGCAGTTCGACGTCTCAGGGTGCTTTGCTGCCTTCACTGCCGGGAGAACTGTGAGTGGCCAGAGGCTATTTATTGGCCGCGATCGACCATCGAAGTGTGTATGTCGGGTCCAGCGTCTGCCCGTACACTGTGCTGTTTGTGTGTTCAATGATAAAGCAGGAAAAGATGTCGAATGGTATGCAGTAGTAGAGAGCGTGTGGTGTCGGACGAGGTTTGCGTGTTTCGCTCTCGTGTCACCGGCGCCTTCGCTCTCCAGTAATCGCGCTTGGACTGCCTCTCTGCCTGCTCTCCGTGAAACTTCGCTTGGCCCTCCCTATACCCTTGTCCGTATAATAATGGGTATAGTAATCTCGCCAACTGGATCAATAACAGTGACGCTGCACAAGATTGCTGTCAACGATGAGATGGAAGACGGAGAGCTTCGCTTTTCAGCTCCGCGACACGTCGACAAAGAATGGCCGGCCAGCCTCGAGCACTTGCTGAGCTCGTGTCTCACGCAAGGCTGGCCCTATCGTCTGCTCATCTAAAAGGAGCGCCTCTCCACCTCGGACCAGCTGCAAGCCCACCCCGAAAACGAACTCGTCTAAACCCAAAGCAGTATTCATCTCATCGTCTCCTCATCTTTGGTAATCTTTCATAATTTCACGATTCCGCAATGGGATGTCTAGCAATGATCCTGAATTCATGCGAGGCAGGCTGTCATCGGAAGAACGCGATTTTGCTCAAGAACCGTAGATACATTGTAATTTCTCATCTTTCCAAGGAGACTTTGCTTGCTTACCAGATTTCCACGAGCCTAACACGAGTTTCGGGGCGCAGCAATCGACCCACCCCATGTAGTCCGATGGGTTGGCAAGACGTCGGTTCACTGTGGTGGTGTGCTGTAACGGTACAACGTCGTAAGAAGAAACGTCGTAAGAAGAAACGTCGTCGCTCCTCATCAGCTTCCCAACATTGTCTCACACGAGTACAAGACAATCAAAATGTAAACAAGACGAAGAGTGCTGCTGCTGTATGTGTTCTTCCAAATATCTACCAAGAAGGTCATGTAATAACATGAAACTCTCACGCCTCAGTGCCATCAAGACATGCAACGCGCGAAACGAACTTCATTCAATCTATCATTTGCATCGCCACCTGTGCATGCCATATCGTCCGTGGGATTCGGCCCGTAGAATTTTTGTTTATCCCGTCATGATTCTCATAATTTGACCAAGAAGCTCTGCTCAGCAGAAGACTGATTGTCTGTCAACTGTACAGTAGTGGTGGGCATAGGCAAGCTACACACGCTTAGTTAAGGAAGCTCCAGTTCATGTTGTGCACACGACCATCACCATTGTTGGTGACAGTGTTGAAGAAGCCCTGGCTCAAGTCCAAGTCCTGGACCTTGCAGCCCGTGCAGCGGTCGACGATAGTGGCCGTGTAGGCCTGGCCGTTGGCGCCGGTAATGCTGACTTGCTTGCCGCAGAGAGGGTTCAGGTTGGGATTGCCCGCAATGGTGAATTGGTCGAAGAGGGACTCGGACACAGCGACAATGTTATCAGATTGGCCGGAAGTGCAGCCGCAGGCACCCATGCCGGTCTGGTAGTAGGTCAGGTCACCGCTGTAGGAGGTTCCGACTGCGGCTTGGCCGCTCAAGGTGTTTCCAGTGTTGGCGTTCGTGCAGGATGCAGCAGCTGGGGCGGCGGCTGCGACGCTGCTTGAGGCCTGAGCTGTGGTTGGCGAAGCGCTGGAAGATGGAGCAACATATTGCGAGGTAGAGCTCGTGGTCGGCGCGACGTAAGTGGAAGTGGTAGGCGCAACGTAGACGGATGTGGAGGTCGTGGGAGCGACATAGACCGAGCTACTGGAGGATGGCGCGACATAGACCGAGCTGGAAGAGGGTGCAACGTATACCGAGCTGGACGACGGTGCAACATAGGCGGAGCTGCTCGAGCTGGGCGCTGCGCTGGAAGCTGGGCCAGAAGGAGCCGGAGCAGAAGGAGCTGGAGCGCTGGAAGACGTAGAGTGGGTGTGGTGACCGTAATGGGAGACCGTATGGGCATCAGCCTGAACGGTGGAGACGGCCGTAGGAGCAGTCTCGCCTGGGTTGACCCAGATAGTGGTAGTTACTGGAACAGTGACAACAGCCTCGTCGGTCTCGGTGACCCAAACGAGGTCGCGCTTGTTGGCGGCCAATGGCACAGCAGCGACAACGCTGAGGAGCGCGCCAGCGGCGAAGATGTTCTTGGAGTACATTTTCTTTGTGGCCTGAAAGTGACTTGGAGGTCGGGAAGGAGTGTGTATTCGTCCGGTGATTGAATCTGGTGGTAAAAGGGAGTGGTAAGAACGAATCGGCTGGCGACTCAGTTCAGAGCAATTGATCCTTTGTGGAAAAAGAATGTGATGGAGATGCGGATCTCAAAGAGAGTGAATGACGGGATTGAATAGAGAATGTCGGTGGACGAAATGGACCTCAAGTCTGACGTTTGTGAGAAGGAGAAAGAAAATGGAAACGGATGCCAGGTCGATCCTCTTTGTACTCCCGCGTGGGCATGTGCTTTTCATCTGCCAGACAGGCGAGTGAGAGCTATGGGCGCAACAAAGCGTTTTCCCAATTGACAACGGGGCCTTGCGGGTGGAGCGAGAGTGCTAACTGCCAACCGGACGGCGTGGTCGACCACGTCTGCTAACCCCTGCGCCCTTCCCGTGTCGCAGGCTACCCGGCAGGCCGCCAATCGTCTGTCTCGCATGCAAGTACCTGAGAAGCTAGAATCTGTGGACCTGCAGTAGCACCCAAGAAACGTTGTGCCGCGCGGCATGTCAAGTGAACTCTGTAGACGACCGCGGACATGGCTTTGACACAATGCCATTACCATCGCGACAAACATGAATGCCGACCACACGAATGCGACGAGATCGGACGAACATCCGCGTTAGAAAGTCGTCCCCAGACCACGAGTTGAGCCGCAGTTTCGCAGGGCTCAACCTGGCTAGACGCCGTTCAGACGTATCGCCATGAAGTTTGATTGGCTTGCGACATCCAGGTCCCACATCCTAGCGTACCGTCGTGGCCTCACGGCTGGGACAGAAAGAAGTCAACGACACCTTCCGCGATTTTCAGCACTCGTCATTCATGCATGCAAGTCGGCGAAGGGCGCATACATAGTCGACCAGTCGCGCGAGCAAACCGAACGTCGTGACCGAGGAGCTGGGTCTCGCCGTCGCGGAATCTTGGTACAGTATGCCGCGGACTGACACAAAGCAATGTACGCAGGGTTTTAGAACAGAAACTCAGTTGGGTTCGAGACAGTAAAATTTTCGCAGGAAAGTGAGACAATGGCAAAAGCAACGAAAGACGGCAGTTCTTGTCGAGAGAGTGATGTTGGTTATGTGCTCCGCTGACTTGCATGTCCCTCATGCGCCCTTGCGAAAAACTCTTCTTCGATGACCAGACGAAATCGGAAAAACAAAATTACCCTGTGGACCTCGCAGCTACTTGGTACCTAGTGCTCATGTGGACGCCGTTCCTCACCTCATGTCGTGCCTGAGGTGCCTACATTTTTGCAGATCTCGACCGACCCTCAGAAGTTGGCGGCACATTATCCCCTCGGTCTCTTGGACTCTTGGTTCAGATGGGAAGTTACGCCTGCATGCATTGGTGTCTTCTTTTGGAATTCTCGCCGGGATATCTTGAGCAACTCCTCCCGAGCTGCCGAGCTCGAAGTAAGTCATTTGCCAGTAACAAGGTGCTGAATGCAGCTTCTCGCCGCGGACCTTACAGACTAACTCGCTATCTTGACATGTCTCGGATCATGCAGCAGGCGATGCTATGGCAGACAGTATCGACGCATTGCGTGGTCCAGAACAAGGTGGGTGACTCTAGACCATCTGCTGGTTTCAACTGTTCTCACAGAGAAGGAGAACAAGTCTTAGACATGATGTACGCAGGGAAGTCCAGAGTACTTGGTCATCGAGTGTCATTCTCATGAACATGGAGTGCGGGAAATCCTGTGTAGCGGTGCGAAGGTTAGCAGCTGCCTTCAAGGTCGATTGAATATATGCCTTTGCCATGAAATGGCAATCCTCGATGTAGCGTGACGATCATCGATCTGTGTGTCAGATAGTGCGAGAATGGCACATGTGGCTATGGTGACCACGGGAAATGAGCCTGCACAAGAAGAGAGCGTAGGACTTACAAGGTGCCTTGCAAGTTCGTATATGGGTATATTAAAGCAGACAAAAGTCGACAACGCTTCAAGCAGCTTCCGCACTCCTGACCCGAAGTTCCTGCTCCTCCTTCTCTGCAAGCTTTCTCATGTCCAGCAATGCATGCACCTTACTCATGATGGCATCGAATTGCTCAATCACGGCAGGTGTGGGCAAGGCGATCAGATCCGGCACTCCGGCATGAGTCAAGATCGCAGCAATCTTGTCCGTCTGCAGTGTAGACTTTGCTATCCGAGGTTTGGACAATCGATCCGAAGCAAAAGTGATGCCACTTGAGATCTTGTCCTGCGCTACTACTACACCAAAGCGCGCTAGATCTGCTTTGGACATATCGACAGGTAGAGTGCTGCCTGGTGTGGTCGCCGACGGTAATGAGTCGCGTGTCGGCCGGCGTCCTGAGGCGGCGCCTGAATCTGAGATCCCAGCAATAGAGTCTCGTGGTCGTGCTGATGTGGGTGTCGTGCCTGGTAGACCATCGAATGTCTGGTTGCCTGTACTAAAGTTAGAAGGAAGACCCTATACACATATGCATTTAAGCTTACCTGTAGCTCTCAGTCGCTGGTTCTTCTTCATCCTATCGGTCTGCAGTAATTGCTGCCACAATTGTGTGAGTGCCTGAGATGTGTTGTACTGGTAGCCATTCGTGTTTGCCAGGGGATGGTCGAGCCGCCGCCGTAAGTCTTCGCGCTCACTGTCGAGGTTTGCCTGATTCAGCATAATGCGCTGAAGCTCGCCAAGAAGCACAGTCTCCTCGTCGACTTCGGTCTGCCGACGCTGGAGATGGCCTTCCGCGAGCTTCTTTCGTGATGCTTCCTTCGCCGGATCGAAGTTGCGAAGTGTGTCGTACAGCGTATATTGTGGACCGGTCATGGAAGAAATAGGGGTGTTCAGGGACAACACAGTCGCGGATACGCCATAGAATCGAGCCTTCAGATCCTCCATACTCCGAGGGCGTCCGGTGTCGTATCTGTCAGTAATTACTGGCCACTTGCCGTAATTGTCGCCATAAGCTTCCATGAGCCCATCAGTCTCATCCTTGGTCCACTCCGGATGGGTCAGATGGGCTTCGTAGATCTCCGCATCATACTGAGGGAGCTCAGCGTGGACATCATATTTGGCGAATCGAGCGAAGGGTTCTTCATCATCTCTCGCTCGTCGCCATCGTATGAGTCGTAGTTGATCGCGTCTAGATGATACTCCTGTTGAGTCACGAGACCAGTGAACCGCTTTTCCACCTCGGCGTAATAGGCTCCGTTTGTGCCTTCGTGGCTGTGATGAGTTCTTGGTTGCCGCTTGCGAGACTTGTGTGGAGGCTGTGCGCGGGAGTGATGGCAGCGCATTTGTCGCAAAGTCTGATCCCAATGCCGCGCGAATATCTGCTCCGGTCGCCATGATGAGTCCGTGGTTTGTTTGATCGATCTGATTTCGTGCTTGTCGAATAGGCGCGCTGGCAAACCAAGTGAAGCCGCGACAATGACTCAGCAAGTTTGATCTTCGTTTCCCCGAAGTTTCCACGTTGGGCAGGTCAAGATCCGTCAAAGGATCCACTTCCACCTCCACCACAGCAATTGCGATCGGTTCTGAATCGTATAGTCTGCGCTACCGGAGTGGGAGGGGTAAGTGTATAGGCCCAAAAGCCATAGCAACCCAAACACGTCAGCCGGCATGAGGCAAAGGAAAGGCGCACTTATGCATATAGGTAGAAACGCTCATTCTCAGATGGTCACCGTCATCCGTCATACCTGAGGTAGGATTCCCTACGATCATGCGTTCTCAATCCATTGCTATCTCTTCCCTACTATGCAGGCTGGCATTCGCTGTGCAGCCGCTGGTGCACCTAGACTACTCAACCTACGAAGGCCTTGACCAAGGCAATGGCGTTACACAGTGGCTAGGAGTACGATACGCTGCATCGCCTGTTGGAGACCTTCGATTCCGCGCTCCTCAAGCTCCATCAAACACTACTGGCACGCAATCTGCCAAGGACTTTGGACCTATTTGCCTTGGTACTGGCAGCGGAGCCCCAACAAACAAGAGCAACGAAGACTGTCTCCTGCTCAACATCTACGCACCAACTGGAGCCACGAGCGACTCGAAATTACCTGTGTATTTCTTCATCCAAGGAGGAGGCTTCAACACCAACAGCAACCCAAACATCAATGGTTCCGAGCTGATCCACGCAAGTGATCTCAATATCGTAACGGTTGCCGTCAATTACCGTGTGGGCCCGTACGGGTTCCTGGCTAGCCAAGAGATCCAGGAGGATGGCAGTATCAACAATGGCCTGAAGGACCAGCGCCAGGCTTTGTACTGGGTCCAAAAATACATTACTGAGTTTGGTGGCGACCCATGCCACGTAACCATGGGAGGCGACAGCGCTGGAGCTCAATCCGTCAATCTACAGGTCACTGCATATGGAGGGCGCAATGACAATCTCTTCCACGCTACAGCAGCAGAATCCCAGTCCTTCTCCGCGCTTCGTACAGTACCAGAGAACCAGTACATGTACGACAATCTCGTCATTCGCACCGGGTGTGCCTCCGCTGCGGACACCCTGTCATGCCTCCGCGACGTTTCAGCCACAGATCTACAGAAGCAGAACTTCAACACACCATTCCCAGGTGCCCAGATAGCACCTCTGTGTAGGTACAATCGTGTCCTATATTGATGATATGAAAAGATGCTAATTCTTGACAGACATGTACGGCCCGACTCTAGACTTCGACTTCATCACCGACTACACATACAACGCATACGCCAATGGAGCTTTCGTCCGAGTACCTGCGCTCGCCGGTGATGATACAAACGAGGGCACAATCTTTGCTCCCCGCAACGCCGGCAACATCAGCGACAGCGATGTCTTCATGCAAGCGAACTTCCCGTCTTTCACACTTGCACAGCTACGCATGTGGAATGAACTGTACCCCGTGAACGAGACGGTACAGTACCCGAATTCTGGTCGGTACTGGAGACAGGTGTCGAACGGATATGGTGAGGTTCGGTACATCTGCCCCGGTATCTTCATAAGTGGCGTCTTTGCGAATATGAGTCTGAATGACAACTGGAACTATCGTTGGAATGTGATTGATCCTACTGCGGATGCTCAAGGTATGTCAGATCGGTTTTAGAATCGGAGGGTCGACTAACAGCATTCAGGTCTGGGTGTTACGCATACAGTTGAGGTCAACGCTATCTGGGGTCCGAACAACACGGGGGGCGGCGCTCCTTCCTCCTACTACTCTGGAGGCGTTAATTATCCCATCGTGTCGGTTGTCCAGGGCTACTGGACCAGCTTCATTCGCTCCTACAATCCCAATACTCACCGTGTGTCTGGGTCGCCCGAGTGGGAAGCGTGGACCACGGACAACGAGTATCAGCGACTGATGTTCCAGACCAACAACACGCAGATGGAAGCAGTGCCAGAAGACCAGGCTGCGAGATGCGCCTACTTCGCTAGCATCGGTGTCAGTTTGAAGCAGTGAGCCCGGAACGTCGAGTTCACGAATGACCTTACGTCGCGATCGGAAGTGATGAAGGAACGGTAATGATGGGAGCATGAACGTCATGAGAGGTACCTCGGAAAAGCTTGGTTATATCTTCAACATTGACGTACCGCTCGCATCTGCCATGTTCTTCGTTCTCGCTCTACCGACGTTTCTTCGGCCCGTATACAAACTCTACTACGTACGTCATGCTTCGACAATAGATATATGCATCTCGTAGCTGCAAAGGGCAAGATACCGGTCAATATAAAATACTCCTGATTCTATTCTGCGCTCCCCATCCGGAAACAATAGGTGGTAGTAGTCTGCGACCATGTCAACCTCTATAGAAGCAGGCTCAGTTGAGCGACCACCATCGATACAAGATCTAAACAATACCAAATGGACGAAACCAGAGTACAAACTCCCAATACCATCCCTCCAATTCCTTTTCCACTTAGAATGCGACATGGAAACCTTCCGGCATATCGGCGAAGGACCCTACGGCGACCGATCGACGGTCATATTCAAAGGTGGGCGGTTCGAAGGCCCAAAGCTCAGAGGCGAGATTCTACCTGGTGGCGGTGGTGAGTACAGACTCCACCCAGCAGACCCCTTGTCCATGCAACCCAACGACTGACCACAATCAATCCAGACTGGGAGATCGTGCGCAACCACGGGGACCAACAGACCGCCCACCTCAATACTCGTTACAACCTCGTCACGCACGACGGCGCAACAATCTACCTGCAGACGACGGGAACACGTACGGGATCTCGCTCGGTCCTGGAGAAGCTAGGCAACGACACCAGTATCGACCCCGATCAGTTCAAAATGCGATTGCATCTCACGATGGAGACCGGTGATGAACGCTACAATTGGATCAACAGTGGCGTATTCATAGCCAGTTCAGGCCGGAATGGCGATCAAGTGATATATGATGCTTACGAGCTCCTATAAACAGTTCATCCACATCCAAATCATCTCATCATATATCACAATCCCGAAATTGTCCTCGCTCACATCATATCCCCACTACTCTTCCCCGCCTCAAAATCCTTCCTCCAAATCCTCCTCTCCTCAGTACTATTGACGCCCGGCCCAGCATACGTACTCCCATACTCATTCCCCTGCGCCCAATCCTTGCCCACCCCCTCCTTCGAATGCTTTGTCGCGCGACGGCCATACCAGCGTCCATAAAGGAGGAGATAATAGAGCCTAAAGGCCAAGAAAGCAAACTTGTCACGTTCGAGATCATCCGGGTACTCTGCGCCGAGATCCACCGCAGCGGCGATACCAGCGATACAAGCGACTTCGTGCGCGTTGACCATGGTCCAGGAGGAGGCGAAGCGGGTATGGCGTTTGCCTTGTAGGAGCCACATCCAGGGGACGACGAAGAGGTAGTGCGTCCAGGAGTGACAGAGCTGATGCCACCAATCCTTGCGGACGATCTTGCTTTCGTCAATCTCGTCGATAGTCCAGAGATGGCCATCACGGTCTTTATTCAAGAAGATGGTCTGGAAGACGTGCTTCTCGAAGGGAACGTTGGGCGGAAATTGAGCCTGGTAGTTGGTGCAGTCGAAGCACATTTCCAGCTTCGTGAGGTCTTGCGGATACATGCGGATGAGGTACATGGCCTTGAAATGGTCGCGGGCGAACTCGCAGCGCTGGGTTTGGTCTACACCGTTGATGTTCTGGACGGCGAACTCGTCGCTGTAGAAGTTCTCGTAGTGTTTTTTCATATAATCAATGTCTTGATGTGTGACTGTGATATCGTTGGCGAATTTGGCGGAGCCGAGGATCTTGGATTCGAGCGAGGTGATGGTGGGTTTGAGGAGACGTTTGGCGGTATCGGTCAGGACGCAGAGCACGATCTCGTCATACTCTTCTGTTGTCTCGACTGCGTCCGCATCGGCGTTCGAACCTTCGACTGTGTTTGGCACCCAGGCGGAGTCTTGGTTGTGGTTGTCCTTGGCTGGCGTACGGCTGACGATCTTGACTTGCACGCCATTCTTATCGCGCTTGGTTACCCTTGTGACCTCTGTAGATAGGCGGATTTTGACGCCCATCTTCTGCAAGTTCTTCTGCCAGGTCGTGTAAAAGTCGCTGAAGTTCGGGAAGACGACCATGGGAGGCAGATTGCTGGCAACACTGGCCTTGTCTGGCGGATACCACATGCCGTATGTCGGGCTGGTGCACAGCCTCTCAAGAATCATGGATGGCACCTCCGGCGCATAGTTGCCAGTCCCCAAGAACAATGCGACCATGGGCAGAGCCACGACATTTGCAAACTCTTCTGTGAAACCCCAGAGCTTGACCAAATACTTGATCGGTAGTAGCGCAAACAGTACCTCAAACATGCGCGTAACCTTCAGCATGGTAAAGAATCGCTTGACCTCCTTCTCATGCTTCTGCAGCATCTTCGTCGGGTATACGTTCGACCAAAACTGCTCGCCTTTGCCGAAAGAGACCTGGAGCTTGACCGGATCCGCCCAGTAGCCATTGCGGGCAAACATGGTCATGGTGTGGTGGAAGATGTAGGAGCCTCCCTGCACGCCCTGGTTCAGCCATGATGCACCCGTCTTCCCCTTGTCCAGCGGTATACTGTAGGCTTGGCCACCGCAGTAGTTGACTGCATCGACGACCGTTACGTCGAATTTGTCTTTGTGCTGGGCGAGGTGGTGTGCGCAGGTCATGCCTGGAAGCTGTCAGCCATGTATCATGTCGTCTCGTCTTACTTCAGATCGTACCGGCAGCTCCAGCTCCCACGACCAACACACGCTTCCGCTTCTGATTCTCCACCCCCTTAGCCATATTGAACCGTTCTGATGATCCTTGCGACTGAAGGAGAGGTTTCGTCCCGTCTGGCATGGCAAAGTCAGTACTGCCTTTTGCTTCTTGAAGACAGTCTAATGCCTTGCCTCGCCTCGCCTCGCCTCTTCAGTACCACAAGCCAGAACGTCACGCTGACGACTCGAGGCAGCAATAAGAGGATAAATAGCAGAGCGCCTCCTACCTCACGCCAATCAACAAGAACTACCGTATAGTCTCGGCATCATCCAAGTCTCGCAACGTGCTGGAGCGATGCAGAGCTAGCACATCCCACCCAGCATCATGCTGTCATCCTGATCTATCAAAATCGGCCTATATCACTTAGCGCGATCGAATCGCGAACTCTAAATCTCACGCGCGATCGGTCGGCCCATGACCTTGTACATCGCCGAGGCGTAAATAAGCATTTCGGCGACGCGTCTGTGATATCTGTACGAACACGAAGCCGAATCAGAGAACCCATAGCAGATCAGCGCAAATACACCCAAATCAAATCATGGCGACGTCCCGCCTCCGCAAGACCTTCGCCTACCCCGACTCGGACTCCGAGCCCTCAGACCTCGACGAAGAGCACCAAGAACAGCTAATCAACACCCTGCAAGCCGAAGACCTCACCCGCACGACCCTCTACCGCAACCTCTTCTCCGCGATCCCCGCCATCGGCGCCCTCTTCTTCCTCTACACCCTGCTCTTCAGCTCCAGAAATGCCCAAGAACGCTTGCTAGCTCTGTTGAGCGCGAGCAGTCTGTGCTGCACAGCATATATCCTCCTTTACATGCCGCTGGAAGCTTCACGGCGTAAGGGCAAGGTGGCGATGTACAAAGTCGAAGCAGCGAGGGGACCGGTGGAAGCTTATCTGGTGTACTTGAATGCTGCCTTGGCTGGTCTGCTGTCGTTGGCCTGTGTGGTGAGCTTGAGGAAGGTGGATTATGAGGGCGCTTGGAGGCAGGCTTTACCTGCCGTCATTCTGGGCTTGACATTGTTTGTCAGGCAACAGCTTGCGCCTCTGGATCTGGAGGAATTGCAGAAGGCCAAGTATGACTACAAGGGAGCATGAGTAGTCTGCATCACAACGGATGCCGAAGTTTACTGGCATGGTATCATGTCTCAAATGCGCTACGAGCAACGCGCAAACATCACAAGCTGGCCTCCCACAGCCTGACTTTGAACATCTCCTTGTGGGAGAGACTTGAACCAACTCCACAAACGCCAAACGCCTCGCTCTCTACAACAAAGCCAATCCAATCATCATACCCAGTCTACTGATCAATAGCGTCCTTGAAGCGAAGCACAGCATTATCCACCAGCAGCCCGTCAACGCCCTGTGGAAGTTCATGCAGGCTTGGCCTCCTCGACTTGCCGTTGTGACTGAAGTCCGAGATAAGAACGAGACCAGCTTCCTTGACCGAGTTGACGAGAGCGGGCACGAGCTCAAGTAGGCGGGAAGTGCATACCAATCCCATGAAGTTGTTCGACTGTGCGATGCGGACAGCTTCTTTGATGGAGGCCGAGGAGCGACCACAGCTTGATACCATGGAGGAATTGCTACCTTGCTGGGCGCTTGGTGCTGTCACTCCAAGCTCGTTACATAGTAAGATTGGGTCTGCGCGGTTGTCAGCACGCTTTCTCGTAGCCAGGGTAAGACTGCAACTTACAATTCGGCTGCTTCCAGTTCAATGCAGTACAAACATCGGCATTGTAGCTGGAGAACACAAAGCTCCTGAGCGCCGCATCCTTCGACTCTCTGAGTTGTCTCGCATGGTCAAAGACGACGGTGAGCACGGCATCGGCCACCGCATTTATGTTCTGCGTCGGCCCTAGTTGTAGAGCCTCCTCCTCTGTCCGACTCGGGTAGCAAATATGGATTTCGAGGTTCAGATCCGCCGGTAAGACAGCGAGTGCATCGGCTAGAGAAGCGTAGGACCTCGCAACCTGTCGTTGTGCGGCGGATAAGTTGTTGGGATTAATGCCCGAGCCGACGAGACCTTGCACGACACCTTTGCCACGACCAACATCAAGGCCAGCCTGCTTGAATTCGGAATAATTCAGACGGCTGACGAGGTCGTTTCGGCTACTCGGTAACGCCCAGTCGTTGTATAGCACTGGTACACCATCTCTTGTGTACTGCACAAACAGTCGCATGAAGTCGCCAGATAAGCTGCTGCCCGTGATGAGGTTGCTAGGATGATTCTCGTACTGACTCGTGGCTTTCCAGTACGTGGCGAAGTGGGTGATCTCAAGAGGTATGCCATGAAAAGGTGTGACGACCTGGTAACGGAAGCTGATGCGGCCGATCGCGCGGAGTCGAGGATCGAAGAGCTCAAGATGCCAGATACCGGAGCTGCTAGCTTTGCCAGTGAAGACACGGCTCGATGCCGCTGCCCGCGCGATGACTTTACTGCCGAAGGTAGGATAGATGTCGAAATCGATGCTGAAGGTGTCGAGATTTTCAATCTGAAAGGAGATGTGCTTGAAGTCGTCCTGTACAGGTAGTGGCACATTGCGAGGTATGAGGTCGGATGACTTTGACGATATGGTGAGGCGAGCCGCAGGGTACTTGCTGTCGCCGTAAAACTCGATGGCATCGGCTCCAAGGTCGTCGAAGGATAAGAGGATGAATGTCTTCGTGGTGTCGAGGAAGTTGTGGCCATATCGTCGTAGCGGGATGATGGGTGGCGGCAAGCTTAGTGATGGTATGAGCTCAGCTTCAGGCTGTGTCATCGCCGGCGTGCCTGCTGAAAGGGGTGGAGGCTCGATAGGTACCATCTGCACGTCGACAGTATCTCGGATGGTGACTTGAGATGTCGTGATCTGTGCAAGCAGCTGCATGCAGTCTAGATGACCTTCCCATGCTGCATAGTATACTGCCGACAGTCCTTTCTCGTCGAGCACGCTTGCCTCGACGTTGAACTGTAGAAGCTGCTGAAGACAATGCAGATGGCCTTCACTTGCAGCATGGAAAATTGGCGTCCATGAGTATAGCTTGTCAGCTTGGTCCATATCGATGCCGTGCGATTTCAGTAGGACTAAAATCTGCTTATTACCACCGAAGCGTGCCACAAGATGCTGTGGAAACAGGCCTTCTGCGTCCGGCAGTATTCGAGGGTTATATCGAAGAAGCTGATCCACGATTGCAACAGTGCCGTACTGGCAAGCCAGATTGAGAGGGATATGGTCGTTCTCGCCCAGAGGATCCACCACAGCGCCATGTTGTAGCATTGCCTCGACACTCGCTGTTTGTGCATGCACGATGCCATGGATGAGTGGTGTGAAATTGTCGAGATCTTTGGCATCGATTGTGTCCGGCGCAGCAGCTCTGAGCATGTGTATCATTTCGACTCGTCCGTGCATGCAAGCATAATGCAATGGTATACGGCCATACACATCCGGTGCCCGAATATCCGACCCAGCACTTATCGCGACTCGAAGCACATCTGGTTTGTTACTCACCGCGGCCTCATGCATACTATTCCGTTCATTGATCTCATCGGCATAATTGAAGTTGATTACCTTGGTCGCATACAGAACTTCCTGGGCTTCCGGATTGCCAGTGCTGACACTGTTGAGGAATACTCGGCTGATTCGTTCCTGGGCATCGCCAGCTTGCATCACGCGGGCGGCCCACTCGCGGATCAATCCAGTGTTGCCGACGTTCATGGCTTGCAACACCTGTATCTCAACCTCCTCATCCTGACTACCCACTGGCACTCTGTTCTCCAGTTCGACAGCGGGTGTGTATGAGATCTTCTCGCCTTCCGCCCAAGCTTGCAGCTCCAACGACCCAGTCGTAGCCTGGTCGGACAGGTCGCTGATAACGTCGCGATTGAAGCATGGTCGCACTTCCACGGCGCGTGAGAGGTAGAGCTCCTTTGTTCGTGACTACTTGGTCGTCAGCATATTCCCACGGAGGCGAGCTGTATGCAAGTCACAAGCTGGCGAACCTTTGATGTTTTGTCCCACTACCCAAAAGTCAGCGATGAAGCAGGAATAAGTCGTTGAGTTTCATAAAGACCTTCTTCAGAATCTTGGAGAACGCAGTCTGGTTGACTTCGACGAACTGCTGCAATTTGTCCAAATCATTGCTGAATAGCCGAAATCCTTCGTCCAGGAGTACATAGCCAGAGGACAGCTTTGAAGCTGGCGTTGCTCGAGATTCTAGTGCGCGCTTCTTGTCGAGCAATGTTCGAAGCCGTATTCTGAGCTGAGAGAAGTCAGCCTGCGCACGCGTGACGGGAGCGTATTGCCTCGACTGACCTCCGCCTCTTTCTGTAGGTAGAAAGTGTCGACTTTGTCGATCTCGCGGTCAAGTCGGAAGAAGAACGTTGCCTTGTTCGCCTGTAAAGCAGCCTGCGAGTCCCGCAGCTGCTCACCCTCGGTGGTGACCTGAGATGCAGGAGGGAGTATCGGCGTGGCGCTCAGCTTTTTGATAAGCTACATAAAATAGTAAGTAGTGTCCTGGGATCGTGCGCTGGCTATCATTACCTTCTTGAGCGCCTTGTAATCCACAAAACTCGATGCATACTCGGGAATATCGAGCTGGCGCTTCTGTATGTGCTTGCCGAATTTCCTGAAGCGCGAGGCCTGTCAGCCTTATGTCCAGGTGGCCTACTCACAGCCTGCTCCAGTCGTCGTAGTGTAGACGTACATGATGAAGTAGAAGGAGGTCTAAGAATCCCGCAACAGGCTCCTTACCTCACGTACGTCAGGCGCACAGTATCGAGTACTACCTGCTACCTTGCACGCGGATAGTGGATATGGAAGCGACTGGAGGCAGGATTCGGCATGCTTGAAGTCGGACGTTGTCAGCTAGTCAGTCAGACTGAGTATCTGGGCGCATCATATTGCAGGCGCAACATCAAATGATTTTACTATGTTGATGTTGAGAGCTCTGAAATCTTTTGGAGCTTCGAACTGAGTTGCCGAGTCAATGCATGTCCACGTGACATGGTGAGATAATATCGGTGCTTAGTGGGGCAAACTACAAGCCGCATGACAAGATTCATTCTCAACAGTGTTCTTCTACACCTTGTCATCACTACTGTCGCAGCAAAGAAACTCTGTCCTGAATTGTGCCGTACAACGAATGGCATGTACGTGAGAGGAAACGTGCGAATCAAAGCTACACTACCGCCCGAAGTGCAGCGGCGACTACTACATAGTGGGAGGGCTAACCCATGCATGCACTCCGGGCTATTCCCGAGGAATACAGAGAGAGGCTCACGAGTATATTCTGATTCAGTACGATGATACAGACTTTTGGTGTTCAGACTTAGTACTATTACAAGAACGCAGGCCCACTTGCATTGGACCTCTGCGTGCCCGACTTGCCGTACCCATCTGCCACCAGGAGTAGTACACTGGCTTCAAGATCCGTGGCATGCTCGACTTCAGCTTCTGTCACGTCAACAGCTTGCGCTCCTGCTCCTGTGTCCGTTTCAGCCTTGAAGCTGCTTAACCTCTTCACCTGTTCAACGCTGACCGGTCGACTCGATGTGGTATGGACGAGCTTTGGTCTTGCTAGCTTCGCTCGGCTGAGGCTGTCATTACTGACGAGACTGACCGGCTCGCTCAGTGTATTTTTACGATCTTTCTGGGATGTCTTTCGCTCCCTCCGCACAGGTTTTGCTGCCGGCGCTGCTGCCACAGCTGAGAGCGGCGAGGATGATCGTTCTTTTATGCGGTCCTTCCATTTCTGCCTCATCAGTCCACTCCCAGCGGAAGAGACACTCCTGCAGCCGCTCGATACCTGACGCGAGGTTGGCGGTGCCGGTGGTGGTGTGGGCGAGGCCTCGCCTGGCAGTACCCAGCTACGCTGATGCCTTGGCCGGGCCAGCTGTGAGGCAAGGTCTTCTTCGCTGTCTGGTGATGACACAGTCTCGAAGCCGGAGCTCGAGTCTCGATCGTTAAGTACATCTTCATCGTCCGCGCCCAGACTTGACTGAGTAACAGCTCTCGGAAAGTCCGGTGCAAAAGCAGACCTTACTCGTGCGCTCAATCTTTTCGACTCCCTGTGTGGCTCGAGAGACGACGATGCAGAGTAGTCGGTGAGCATATTCTTGCCACGCCTCGACTTATGAGTACTACCAACCGAAGAAGTAGCTTTCGAGCCGTTGCCATCTCCACGAACATTGGACGATGCACGAGATCCATGAGCGAACAGTGGACTCTGGATACTCGTGCTAGCCCGATTGCGGATGAATGATCGTCGCTTTTCGTTGACACTTCTGTTATCCGCTGTGCTATCGCTGCGGCACACGAGCCGTATGCTTCTGTGTCTGTCAGCTTCATTGACTGCCAACCTCGGATACGACCTAGATAAAGTGTACGTCGATCGTGACGGCGGGTGTGGGAAGTCAGAAGGCACTGTCGACAAAAGGCTAGTGCCGCGAGTGCTGAAAGACGCTTGACTGCTGCGATCCATGGCCGCGGAGAGTCCTAAGCTGCTTGCACCTCTACGGTGCCGGCTCCTTCTAGAGCTGTGCCGCGGCAACGTGGCCTCGTCTCCGATATCGATACCAAGGCCTACACTCATTCTGGATTGCCTTCGCTCCTGGATTCGCCTCAAAGCACACTTCGTAGGCGAAGATTGCGATAGGTGTCTTGAATGTCTCGCCATTTCTGCGGGGACAGAGAAGCTATCGTGCGGCGTGTGCAAAGCCCTCGAGTCCTCGCCCCATTCGGGTATGTTATGATCAGCTCTGATAGCATCCTCTCCGTTGCCGAGGGAAGACACCTGGCTTAGATGTGAGAAGCGTATGAGCCACATCGACCTTTTGCTCATTGTGCGAGATGGGAGGTCGAGGGCAATCTGTGGAGGCACGTCTGCCTCTTGCGGTGGCCCGCTCTGCTCTCCCTCCTGCTTCTCAACGTCTCGCTGTACTGATGTCGTAACATTGATGTACGCAGCGCCAGGTATTGAAAGCGGCCTTGATATCGTCCTCTTCTTCGATGGGCTCCGAGAGTGCCGTTCATACCCTCCTCTCCGCCTCCGTCTCCGCCGCATGCATAGCATCAGCAGCGCAATCAAGATGGCGAGAGCCAAAAGACTGAGCACCACTACGGCCGCTAACTTACCGGCTGATAAGGGGTGACCGTCCTCCATAGTCGCGTGTGCTGACGGGCTGAAGCTCATTGAGGTCGGATATGGCGTAGTTCGCGAGCTGGACGCCACCATACTACTCGCGCTGCTGCTTGCTGCCTCGACGGAAATTGTGAAGCCTTGGGTCTGCACCGCCGCGAGAGCCGATGTCTTAGCCACTAGCATTGCAGCAATACCGGTCGCCGCCGTTTGACTTGGCACGGTTCCTGTAAGATCTGACGAGGCCGCGTCGAACTGTAACCATTTTCCTGCCACCGGCAGGACGACCGACAACGTGAGGTTGCGTCCGTTGAAAAGCGAATCGTCGAAATGATAGAAGAATGGCTGTCCCGCATGCGCTATGAGAGTACCGATGCTGCCTGAGAAGAGAGAAGTGTTGCCAGTAAGAAGGTGGACTACGCTCGTAGCGCTACCACCAAGCGTGTCCGTCACGGACACGGAAAATGACTGGTCCATAACATTATCAGGCACATTGCCAGTGATGACCAGAGTTCTGTTGTTTAAGCTGGCCCACGGAGGGAATGACGATGTTGTGACAGAAGCCAGCTGTATCCCTGGGTCGCCCGCAGCAGTCTGGTGTAGCTGACTGAATAGCGTCGTAAAGTTGAGCAACGTCCCACCTGTCATATTCACGTACTGTTCCATGGGCACAAAGCTCAAGCTGTGGCTTCCAATAACAAGATTGAAAGCTGCTGCCGCTCCAGCAAACCCTGCAACATCCGATGCTATGAGCTCGATACTCCATGACTGTGGCATAGCACTGAGCAGTGGAGCTTGGCCAGAGAACGTCAGAGTTGCTGGGTCGAATAGTAGCCACGATGGTAGTGGTGTGTGGTCGCCAAGGGTCGCATAGTAGTACAATTGCCGGTGCACGATATCGATGAAGGAATTCTGCTGGAAATGGAACTCGAACGCCATGTTTGGTAGAAGTGTCACCTCTAGAGGGCTACTGCCAGATAAGTTGGCCGTCGATGCCAGTTGTGCTGTAATATCACCCTGCAACTGTGGTGCTGGATCTGCAGAGACTACCAATATACATTTCATCTCGGCTTTGCCTGTGTCGTCTGCGGCTGTGATCATAAAGCTGCTGGCGCCCACATCGCTTTGCGCTGGGCGGCCCATAAGCGTTCGTGTGTCGCTGTCGATGTCGAGCCATGCTGGTTGACCAGAGATGCTGTATGTGAAATTGCTCGTATCTGGCGCAAATGTTGATGCTGACAGCCGGAATACGTACTGCTCATCTGCGCGCGCTACTGCCGGTACTTGTGAGTTGAAGGAGAAGGCGACGGAGGGCGTAGCAGTAGTTGTTAAGATAAGTATGCCTATGATGAAAAGTGTCGCAACAGATCCCGTTCCTCCGCCTCTTGCCATCGGTCTTGACTACACTGTTTCTCATGTACCAACGCTGAGCTTTAAGAATATCTGACGTGCAAGACATGAAGAGACACAAAACGAGATACCGCAAAGTAGACGCGAGGAACGCGTAGAGTGCCTTGCGGTCCGAAAGAATGGATGAAAAGTGCAACTTGCCGAAGGGAGGGATAGCCCTGCTTCGACACAGATCCATAATTCAGCAGCACGTACAGAGAGCAGTGTCAAGGAGCGAACAAGAGATGAGACGTAAGATGTCCTGGGAACGTGCAAGCAGACTGTATAACTCTACCAAACCGTGGACCATGACGAACTCCAAAGTCGAAAATTGGAGTAGACGAGTCAATCGCATTTCGCTCCGGCGACTCTGGCGCAATGCTATCAGATCGTTCCAATATCTGTTGTCTTGCGAAGATATGGTCCTAAGATGTTCGACGAGAAGACAGGCAGATATTCGTACTCCGCGATGGTTCGTGGCAATTCCGTTGACTGACTGAAGGGAGGTCCAGGCATTCGTCTTTCTCATGTCTTGATGATTGCGAATCTGAATTCGCGCGAGCTGCATTCACAAGGGCCATGACCTCCATTGAGTGGAGGAATCTTCAAGAAGTGTGCGATTCTGAAAGGAAGTTGAAGGCGCAAGGTAGAGGACCAGCGTACGGACTTTGAATGCGATGGCCCGTGCTGAGGACGACTGCACTTCGATCGGCTTAACAACAGACACGATTTACACCATATTTCGTCTAGACACAAAAGCAAGCAGCACAAAGCTTCCGCCCACGCATGTGCTGTACATGCACATGCACATTACTGCGTGGAGTGCGTATTCACTATGCAGGTACTCTGTGGGGCCTGCAGTATGAGAAATTTGGTGGCTGATTTGTGTAGTGACATCTCCGCAACTGGACCACTCGACACACCTGCAAGTGTAATAGCAGTCTGCGTTGCTGCTGCCCCGAGAGCCTGAACGGAGCGACTATATGCGCCTTGACCGCCATGTCGGACGATGAAGGTAACCCTCTGGGTGCCTTTGCCATCAGCGAGGATTTCGTGCAATCTCCAACACATCGACAAGCTGGCACAAACAAGGTCGACTTCGACGGACTACTGCAAGAAAAGCCACTCCAGCTCCATGAGGATCTAGCAAAAGGGAACGGAGGCCAAGCCTGGCCGGCTGGTCATGTTCTGGCCAAGTATCTGCTACGGATGAAGAGGGATGAGCTGAAGAAATGCAATTCGATGTTTGTAGGACGAAGTCACCTCCATGAAGCGGTCAGTCTTGACGCACAGAAACTGATATTTGACCTGCAGCGTTGAGCTTGGTTCAGGAGGTGGTTTGGTCGGGTATGTTGTGCAGGCACGCGACCAATATGTTGTCTTTCATGGCTGACCGCCGATAGGCTAGCCGTTGCCGTGGGGTGCAGACCGGCCCATACCATGTGCATTACAGATCAGGAGTCGATGTTGGCTCTTATGCAAAGAAATATCCAATTAAACAGCCTTCAAACTGCTGTCCGCGCTGCAGTCTACGAGTGGGGTGGTGCGCGACCAGCCGATGTTCCTGCGCATCCGGATATCGTTCTTGCAGCTGGTCAGTCCAAGATGAAAGTCAAAAGGTCGAAAGTTCTTGTCATTACTGACGCAAATGGCCATTTACAGACTGCGTGTATTTCGAACCAGCTTTCCCGCTGCTGCAGAAAACCCTCGAGGACCTCATCGGTGCAAACAGCATATGCTATTTCTGTTTCAAGAAGAGGCGGCGAGCAGACATGCAATTCATGAAGGCCGCCCGAAAGACCTTCATCATCGAGGACGTGCTTGACGATCCAGATCGAGAGGTTTACGCCCGTGAGAACATTTCTCTGTAGGTATCCCGCTCAGCTGAGCATTGCAGCCCTCGCTAACGAGCTGCAGATGCACAATCAGGCGAAGACCATACCCGTGACGGCCTTGACATGAGGTACCAGAGCTGAAGTACTCCTCTGCACGGGAGACACCTCTGGGATTCTCCAAGCGAGCATAGGAGCAGTGCCGCAGAACTGCATGTCTGACAGCGGCTTTCCTAAACGCAGCTCCCTCTGCAGCTATTCGCAGCCCTTATTTAGCTATTCGTAGCCCGTTTGCCTTAAGGCTACTTTCGAACTTCGTAGCTCCGTAGGAATTAGGAGTACTCTACCTTACTATTTCGAACGTATTTTAGACGTACGTATAGTCATTACGTTTACTCTTTACGAAATCGTAACGCGCGTAGGTCTCCTCCGAAGGTTATTACGAGCGCGAGGGACGAGCCTTTTATAATTACCGTAGGAAGGAGGCGCGCTAGTAGGGGGTAGGGAAGTCGGCGTTAAAATTACTTAAGGACAAGCTAATTACTTTGATTAAAGTAATAGCCTTAGGCCGAAACGGGCTGCGAATAGCTAAAGAGGGGCTGCGAATAGCTGCAGAGGGAGCTCTATTTAGTAAAGCCGGTCTAACAGTGTTACTATCACAATTTATACAAACCATTGCTAAACACGAGGCATCGGGCGGGCACCCGGCGCTTAGAGCTTCGAGCCTACTAGAGCTCTGCGCGATTACTATCGACTGGTAACCACGGGAAATTGACATGCCACAACGACTGGTCAACTCTTGTGAAGCAATATCAGTACCAATCAATCGTCTGCTCGACATGAAATGCCGCATGAATATTGTGCCCTGGAGTCTAATTATGTTGGTGAGATTCAGCCGTGAACCGAGAGCTCGTGGCATGATAGCCCCCACGCTTCTACATGCATGATTGCGTGCGCCGTCGCAGCCATAGCACGAGCGTCTTGCATACGCTAAGTGAAGTGCGGTTACGATCACCCGTACTTGCCCGATCAGACGTGCTAATGTGCCAGAACTCCGGGCCTACGACCGTCCAAGGAACGTGAATTATTAGTTGAAGCATTGGCGACGAAGATAATCACTTCGGACAAGCAGACGGTGAATTCATTCTGCGGATGCCCGACGCTTACGCAGCAAGAATGCCGACGATCCGCACTGCACAAAGGCGATCATCGGAAGCGCAAGGGACGGAAACAAAAGGTGACGATGCAGGTGCTGATTTAGCGCTGGTCTTCTTTGTAAGAGGTTTGCCTGGATAAATGGGCAATAGTGGAGCTGCGAATCACGATCGCGCACAGCTCGGATAAGGGCACAGAGCGTCAAGCGCGCCAACCCTTCGTCTCTTCAATAATACCGACCCGGGCCCAGTCTTTACGATCGAGGTCCTTCCTACACATTCAACTCTTTCTCTTCTACCACAACCAGTATGGATTACCAAACCAAACGAATGTGTGGCCGCGCGCCTAACACGCACAAGATGCTGAGCCATTTATTGTGAGCGCTTGCATATTCGAACGCACGGGGCCGTCATCAGTCTCACAGCCCTGCCTTTGACGCCAAGGCTGTGCTCTGGAAGGCCAGCGATCACCACATTCAACAACACCAACACCACACGCTCGCCGCAGCAGCAACCACAACTGTACAATTTCACAACACGCCATTTGTCACGTCCACGATTAATTTACTTCACAATGCCTTTGAGCTGTTTCCGTCCGAGGACGGCAGATCTCGCCTACGATTCTACCGAAGCATGTCGGCCAAAGCCGCGCCCAAAGCCCACCAATGACAGGCCGAAGAGCTCCTCCAAGTTTCACCTCCATCGCCATAGCTCTGCAGATTCGCGCTCGAGTAAGTCGAGCTCGATCAGCAACGACAGCATATCACGATTGCCACCATGTAGTCGACTGTCGGATCCCAGTGTCGACGCGATGATGATGCCACTACCACCAGACCCTCGACCAAGCAGATGTCTAAGACTGAGCAATCCGAAGACCTATGGCGACATCGTCTCGAGTATGAAATGTGAGAAGGGATGCAGAGACTGGAGGAACTTTGCAGTGTTCCATGACGACGATGTGGACATGACCAAGTCTGCCGATGATATTGCGAGGAAAGTCGCGGCTGCATATGAGAGAAAGTGTAAGCTACTCGACAGCTTCTCATCAGAAGCACATGCGAAAGACTTGCTGGAGGACACCTTGCTTGCATAAGTCGACGATGTGATTGCTGGGATGGCGCACGTAGTAGTCATGTGTGCGGGTTGTTGTCCTCACAGCGAGCCTCGCAAATGGGGCGATTAAGCTAAGGAGAAAAACATTCAACCTCACTACAGACCCTATGAATTCACATCACTCGGTGTGATTGAGAGATTCGATGTCTCAAACTACGACTACGACTCGTCGTCCAACACCAACAGCGAACGCATCACAATCCACCAATATGGCACTCACCAACCTCACTTCGTCCAACTCGATGCAAGACAAGCAACGTCGAAGGAAGCCAAGCTCTTCATTCCCCGAAACGCCACCGCGGTCATCTGAGAGCTCAGGCGAAGAAATGCAGATCAGCCCATTGACAGAAATTTCTTCCCCAGCCTCATCCAGTTCCACTACCCGTCTCCAGCAACCATATCTCCACTTCCTGATGCCGGAGCCGCCTGATCACATGGACGACGACATGATCGACCAAATATGCTTGTGGCGCCGCATACTGCTAGCCAGACGGCGCAACAAGGACTGGCGCAACACTCCTGTCTTCGACGAGGTGGACGATGAGAGCGATGAGCCTCCCAGACGTATTCGTTGCTTGTCCGGATCGTAACATCGACGATCGAGGGATGACCCTGGTGACTTGATATATCCGCCATAACGGCTTGAGTGGATGAAGGCGGTGAGCTTCCCAACGGACATATATGCCACCTACCGTACATCGCGATAGTGCTCGGCTGCGACGATCAGATTTTGATTTCGAATATTGAAGCGTTCAAGCGTGGCGCTATGGGCGAAACCAACGTAATGCGAAGCATACGTTTTATGTATTGGGTTGAATTAAATGTACTTTGAAAGCCATGCGCGTTCCAACCTGTCCCGTTATCTTACCAACTACGTGCTATACCATACTTGCGATTACCAGTGGTGTATGCAGTGACATTGCCATTCATGTCGGCGGCGATCAGCAGTCTTGGCAAACCAGCATGAATCCCGCTTCACATGTCAAAGTCGCATCCATCACTCTCATCCCTCTCACTTTCACATACATAGCAACCATGCTCCCACGACCACGAATCCAGCCTTCGCGGCTTCACAACCTCCTGAAACAGCATGTCCCACCCCGCCGCACCATCGTCGCCGCTCCCCGCCCCGGCTCCGGTCCTTTGATGGAACGCCGCGGCGACCGCGCCCTCCCCACCCTCTCAACAGGAATCCCCCGCTGGCTCAAAACCCTCCCCCTCTTCGCCTTCATCATGGTCGGCTCAGCGTTGGCGATCTTTAATTACCAGAAACAGAGTTCATCCGTCGTGAGCAGTACGCTCTACGCCTTGCGCACGAATGCGGAAGCGAGGGAGATCTTGGGGGATGAGATCTACTTTAATAGTAAAGTGCCGATTATTTGGGGGGAGCTGAATCAGTTGCATGGGAGAATTGACATTCAGTTTTGGGTCAAGGGGACGAGGGGGAAGGGGTTGATGACTTTTAAGAGTGAGAGGAGGACGAGGATGGGGTTTGTGAGTACACCCGCTGCGATGGCCGAGCTAAAGCGATGAGCTCGCGGATACCGGGGAATTTACGTGCTGATTTCCTGGTTGTAGTTCGAGACGACGGAGTGGACCCTACATCCAGCAGGCGGACGGGTGATATCGTTGTTAGAGGCGGAGAAGAAAGATCCTTTCATCCAGGAGACAGCAGACAAGATTACAGTCGCCACATGAGACGTCGTCCGCGAAACCAGCGAAGGCCTTGCCCTGGCCTCAATCATCGATGGCCTAGCCAGTAGCAGCATATGCACATGGCTTGTCCAAAGCCATCGAAAATATCGACAACATCGTGGCACCTGGTAGCAGGCTAACAAGACACTTCAGTCACTACGCCCAGAGTGGAGGTAGCAAAGTAACGCGAGGGCGCGACAGCATGTTGCCACAAACAGTACATGCAACGCTATCCTTTGACGCCGTGCTCATCCACATCTGGCCGGGCATCTCAGTCATGAGCCTTCTAGAGCTGGTGGCGGATTGCAGTAGACGTCTGTGAGGTCACGGGAACTTTAATACATATATACCCATTGCTAGGTAGCTTGTCTCGGTCACAGTAGCTTTGTACGACCAGTCTTGTAAGAACCCATCAGGACCAAAATTTTCCCGCAACAGTAACTCTGTTCTATGGCGATTCTGGTATCGTGCGTACGCATCGGCTGGAAGGGAGAGACCTCGATTTTCCAGCCCTGACTTTATAATCTCATCCTCTTTGCTCACTCGTCGTTGGTCTTCGTTACATTACGAAAGCACAGACCACAAGCGTCGGCGCACATGTGAATGGGCGTTGGGGATGCACTTTAAATCCTTTAAGGATACTAATGCACAAAGCCACTCCATGGCGAAAGGCAAGAAGCGCAAGCTTCATGCGGCAGACGACAGCAGCAAGAGCAACGTGAAGGCAAAGAATAAATCTGCGACCACATCTACCAAAGCACGGGAGCCGACGATACCTTTCCACGCTGAGGACCGCATACTATTGATAGGCGAAGGCGACTTCTCATTCGCCAAGTCGATCGTCGAGCACCATGGCTGTTACGAAGTCACCGCAACATGTTTTGACTCCCCGGAAGTGCTCTTCTCGAAATACGATCCGCAAGCCAAACAGCATGTGCAGTATCTCGAGGACGAGAGCCAGACCGTGCTGTACAACGTCGATGCTACGAAGCTCGATCAGAACAAACAGCTGCGTAATGGATCGCAGTACGATGCCATCCTCTTCAACTTCCCACATGTAGGTGGAAAAAGCAAGGATGTCAATAGGCAAGTACGCTTTAACCAGGAATTACTTGTCAAATTCTTCAAATCAACTTCCTCGCTATTGGCCGAGGGTGGGAAGATCGTGGTGACATTGTTTGAAGGCGAGCCATATTCGCTTTGGAATGTGAGAGATCTGGCGAGGCATGCTGAGCTGGAGGTGCAGCGGACGTTCAAGTTTGTGGCTGAGGCGTATCCGGGCTATAGTCATGCGAGGACGCTGGGCAATATTGATGGAGGTGGTGGCTGGAAGGGCGAGGATAGGGAGGCGAAGAGCTTTGTGTTTCAGAGGAAGGGCGCGGATGCTACGAAGAACAAGAAGCCTAATTCGAAGAATGCGAAGAGGAAGAGGCCACGAGAAGAGGACAGCTCGGACGATGAGGGCTGAAGGATATCGCGCCCCATTGTCGTCGAGGTTATTGCAGATAATCTAGCAATCGGCAAGCACACCGATCAGCGCTCAGCGTGTACAGATTTCTGGCTATATCCCAAAACGCGATCGTTCCACGCCAGGAAGCAAGATCACCAGTCATCGCGCGGGAGGGCGAAATATCTTGAGCGTGCGTTTGGCCTGCAAGAAGTTTTGGTTTGTCAGAGACAAGACCTTTCATATCAAAGAACGCAGAAACCTCAACAAGTCCGTCGACCAAATGGCTAAGATCGACAAAGGCACTTGAGCGAAGAAGGGCTCTGACTCTAGCGAAGCCAGTAATGCTGTTGGGAACTTGGAAAGTGATGGCAAGCTCAGTCACTTAACCTCTACTCTCGAAATGCTGCGAAGCACTATTATCAGCTATATCTATAAGGACTATCCGTCTAGAAGCAGAAAATGATGATGAGCGCAGCCGCTCAGCACGTTGCTTCATCTCAGGGAGCGCAAGATAGGCATAATGCTCTCGAGGTCTGTGTCACGCCTTGGGTGCGAGATTCTTTTTCAATACTCTAGTCGCTAATTGCGATGCTCAATGCGCTGTGGCAGCCTACCAGATCTTCCAGTCTCTCCATCCCCAAAGGCTGAGTTGTGCAGGTCCAGGACAGATTGATCGACAAAAACTTTTCTGGAAAGCTCGGGCTCGGGTATTTGAGATGTGCTCATCTTTCTCAAACACCAAACCTGTCGTCCTGCGGATTGGTAGCATGTAGCCATCTTGAGAAGGGTCATGAAGGGGAGTACACAAAGAATCCTGAGGATCAGAAGCTGCGGCAAGAACAGGAGCGGTACCGTGTCATTTCTGCGAATCTCCTGGGAAACCTGAATAGGTGGTTCATTGGCCGACCCGATGCTTCCATATCGTGGCAAAGGAGATAGCTGCGTTGTGTTTCAAAGCACCTATCTCGGTTGACCTAAATAGCTGTAATGCCAGGATACCACGCTTTGCCAATCCGTTCCACTTCCTTGATATAGCGTGGGCTTGTGATCTCCATAGATCCTCGATTGCGATTAGTTCGGGGATCGTGGTCGTCTGGTACATAGAATGGATTGCGAAGGAGGCGAATGTATGCTGTCTGCAGAGCCTGGAATGCCTACTTGACGCGTCAGCTCCAGATATCAATTGTGATATACACACCGTAGGCGGGTCGACTTACGGGTGTCAAGTCGCTGTTCCTCAACCCCAGGATGGCGATCTTCGCCGCCTCCGGGCTAGGCGCCGTCCTACCCTCCATGTCCACCACAACGACCAGCTTGACTCCAGTGTTCGTGAGCCAGCCGTAGAGGGCGATCCGTTCGTCTAGGGCATGTAGCAAGCCGAAGTCGTGGCCGATTGTCTTTGATGGCATTCGAGCTTCGAAAATATCGAGGCTGGAGTTGAGCATGAAAGAGTATTCGAGTCTGTTGCGTTCCTGTGTTTGGCCTTCTGGTCCTGTAGCTGGGAAGAGAGCAATGTGGAGTGGGTTGTTCTGCAATGCGTTGTTAGTGTACTGTTTGGTAGTGGTAAGAAGAGGCATGATTTGTGGCGTACGTGTCGGCCTATCACGCCTATACAGGCGATGGATGGACTTCGACTGTCCATCTTGACGAAGTTGGGTTCCAGTCTTGGGTTTCAGCATTTCATACCATCGTCACATCGTTTGAGTCCCTCAGTCGCCGTACTGTCAACGCGAGGCATCACGGTCGTGCTCAGGCATTAAATGCGGCTCGGAGATCTGGAATGAATGTCGGCTGTGTCCGCCTCTCAAGATCTAGCTTGACCAATCATGTCACAGTAAATACTCTCGTCATGACCGGCCATATCGCCACGCATTGAATGTTCACTACAACACCACACACTCTCCTCTCTCTACGTCTTCTTCTCCGCCATTGATACCACACTACAGTCGGCACCATGTTCTCCACCACACGACAAGCGACGGCTCTGGCGCTGCGCGGTACGGGCTCACCTACACATTCGCGAGACGCTTCGTGGAGACTAATGAATGTACAGCCAAACCAATGACCGCCGTACAGCCCTTCCGTGTCGCCAATGTTGCCTTCATATCCTCGACCCCGAAGAACCCAGCAGAGCCAGCAATGCAGAGACCAGGTCTTGTGCGAGGGGCACCAGGCACACCCCCTCCAATGAAGCAGGGAATGCCAGAATCAGTACCATTACCGAGTCAAGAAGGCACAAAGGGTGTGATGCAATACGCGCTGTACGTTCAAGATATGGAGTGGGATGGGTCGGACTAGAGTATTGACGGCGTTGCAGCACCACCATGGACTCAATCGCGAACTGGGCCCGCCAAGGCTCCCTCTGGCCCATGACTTTCGGCCTTGCCTGCTGCGCCGTGGAGATGATGCACCTGTCGACACCACGATACGATCAAGATCGCATGGGGATCATCTTCCGTGCCTCGCCTCGCCAATCCGATGTCATGATCGTTGCTGGAACACTCACAAACAAGATGGCTCCTGCACTACGTCAAGTCTACGACCAGATGCCTGATCCGCGATGGGTGATAAGCATGGGTAGCTGTGCCAATGGCGGTGGCTACTACCACTACAGTTACTCAGTCACAAGAGGTTGTGACAGGATCGTGCCGGTTGATATCTACGTTCCTGGATGCCCGCCCACGAGCGAGGCGCTCATGTTTGGGTAAGTCTTATATATTCTCTGATTGGATCATGGCTAACATACCGGGGGATAGTATCTTCCAGCTTCAGAAGAAAATGAGGCATACGAAGATCTCGAGGATGTGGTATCGGAAGTAGGTAGTTCGAGGTCGAAAAATGTTCACTTTCACGGCATATAGCGGCGTTGTGGACCAGAGCGAATCAGTAAGGGCTTCCTGTATATATTCATGCAAAAACCTTGAGCATACTATATTCGAGGCTATGCTCGTTTGATCTCTCCTGTTTAAACCCATGTTCATCGACCTTTCATCTTTGCGAAGCTCGGATAAAACTCTTCCACGTGACCGTGCCTTCATAGCTCGTTCCCGAATCTCCCGAAGCTCAACGACAACCTTTCCTCCACACTCCGCTTTCTCCTCTCCAACGTTACATCTTCCTGCAGTACCGTTTGTACGATGATGTCGCCGCTGCAGCGTGCCTGGCAGATGGCTCACGTCACTGCATGATGTTCCTCCGGCGGAACATGACTAGTCTGCGTGCCTGAGCTCGTGTTCCTGGCGATGATCGAGGGCGGGGCTGGTGGTATACGAGGAGTGTTAGGTAAGGTGAGGTATGTATTCTTGTATCGTTTCCCCTGTTCTGCTAGACAACTCGTGGGAGACTACACCCCAGGCCCTTACTCGCAGACATGGAAAGAGCACTTTTGTTATCAGGCTTGTTCGTGAGCGCTGTCTTTGCAAAGAGTGGAAGCAGTATCCTTGATTTCGTCGATCCATTGATTGGGACGGTCAACGGCGGCCATGTCTTCCCTGGTGCTACACTGCCGTTTGCGATGGCGAAAGCAGTCGCAGACGTGAATGGCGAGGATCAAGGTGGTTTCGCATCGGATGGGTCCAACATTACTGGGTAATTCATACAACCATAGTCATGAGATGAGTGCTAACGTTTGGTAGCTTCTCTCATATGCACGACTCTGGCACTGGTGGGGTAAGTGACTACATTAGTATGAGATTTGGTAATATTTGACGCAGGACTCTGACCTCCATTCTCTGCAGTCACCAAGTCTAGGCAATTTCCCAATCTTCCCACAAGCAGGTTGCCCGGATGATCTCGTCGACAATTGCATCTTTCCAAAGGACGACCGTGCAGTTCCTCGCATCAATGGTACCGCCCAGGCTTCACCGGGCTACTTCAGCATCGAGCTGGCAACCAACATCAAGGCCGAGATGACCACAACGAACCATACGGCCCTGTACCGCTTCACGTTTCCCTCGACGCCAACAGAGGTCAATGCCACTCTCAGCCCACTGATCCTAGCAGATCTCTCGGACCTGCCAAACTCGAGGATCAACGGCTCGATCAATGTCACCGATACCACTGGCCGTATCACAGGATCTGGCACTTTTAGCCCTAGCTTCGGCATAGGCAGTTACACCCTCCACTTCTGCGCCGACTTCTCGGGCGCCCAGGTCAGAGACACGGGGGTCTTCATGAACAACCGCGCCGGCACCGAGCCGAAGAACTTGACCGTGGTACAGGACGGTGTCAACAACTCCCCAGACATCTTGCCAGCAGGAGCCTGGACCCGTTTCCACGCCCCATCGAACGGCAGTATCCTAGCCCGAGTAGGCGTAAGCTTCATCTCCCCGAGCCAAGCCTGCCACAACGCGGAGACAGAAATCCCGAACTTCGACTTCGAAGCCGTACACCAAGCTGCGGGGGATACCTGGACCAACACTCTCGGCGTCATCGAAGTGACCCCCGGCGCCGGCGTGAATACAAGTCTCCAAACCGTCTTCTGGTCCGGCGTCTACCGCGCCTCTATCAGTCCACAAGACTACACGAACGAGAATCCACTCTGGAATAGCACCGAGCCGTACTACGACTCGTACTACTGTATCTGGGACAGTTTCCGCAGTATCCACACCCTCATCACCATCCTCGATCCCGTCTCCCAAGTTAGGATGATGAGGAGTCTCGTCGATATCTACCGGCACGAAGGCTGGCTGCCAGACTGCCGGATGAGTTTGTGCAAGGGCTTCACACAGGGAGGCTCGAATGCGGATATTTTGCTCGCTGACACTTATCTCAAGATTCGATCTATTGCTGATGGAATGGATTGGCAGACGGCTTATGCGGCTGTGCGGAATGACGCTGAGAACGAACCTAAGGATTGGAGTGTAGAGGGTAGAGGTGGGTTGAAGAGTTGGAAGGAGTTGGGGTACATTCCTACTGATGACTATGATCCTTATGGCGTCGGACCATTCACAAGGAGTATCTCGAGGACAGTGGAGTACGCATACGACGATTTCTGTATCGCCGAGTTGGCCAGTGCATTGGGGTATGGGAGCGATGCGCAGAAGTACTACCAGAGTGCTGGGAACTGGCGGTAAGCTACTGCGAACTCCTCCCCTCTCTACGATCAAATTACTGACACCCAAGCACAGAAACATGTTCCTCTCCACGCAGAACTCGTATATCAACGGCACCTCAACAACCTTCACCGGCTTCCTGCAACCCAAATTCCTCAACCAAACCTGGGGCTACCAAGACCCAATCTTTTGCTCCCCGCTCCTAAACTTCACCTCCTGCTACCTCAACCCCACCGGCCACGAAACCTACGAAGGCTCCGCCTGGCTGTACACCTGGTTCGTGCCGCAAGACCAAGCCTCTCTCATCAACCTCCTAGGCGGCGCCGACGAATTCGTGCGTCGACTCGACTTCTTCCACGAGAGCGGACTCCTCTATATCGGCGACGAGCAAGGTTTCCTCCCGGTCTACCAGTACCATTATGCTGGACGGCCGGGGAAGAGTGCGGCGAGGAGTAGGTTTTATATTCCGAGTCAGTTTAACGATACGCTCGTCGGGATCCCCGGGAATGACGATAGTGGTGCTATGGGATCTTTCGCGGCGTTGGCTATGTTGGGCTTGTTTCCGAATCCGGGCCAGGATGTCTATCTTATCACGCCGCCGTTCTTCGAGGAGTGGAGTATTACGAATCCCGTTACGGGGAAGAAAGCTACGGTGCGGAATGTGAATTTTGATGGGACGGGGTGTATATATATTCAGAACGCTACTCTGAATGGTGTCCCTTACACGAAGAACTGGATTCAGCATTCTTTCTTTTTGGAGGGAGGGGTGCTGGAATTGACCTTGGGGAGCAGTGAGAGTGCTTGGGGGACGAGGGAGGAGGATTTGCCGCCGAGTTTGTCCACGTCTAATAAGACGATGGGGATGTATGGGTGGTAGAAGGATGTAAGCAGTGGTCTTCGGGTGTGAAAGTGGCCGGTATCACTCTATGAAAGTAACAGCAGACCGCATGAAGCTTCACGGTATAGTGCATCTCCAGTCCCTGTAGCGCGCTGGCCTTCTGTAGTCAGACTTTTGAAGCAAGGAACGCCCGGATACCTGCACGCAAGAACACCATGATATACCTTTCCTATCTATCCACGAAACTCCTCAAGACCGAACCTCAAACCCCTCTACAAAGCAAGCATAGCCCCAAACGCACCCAAAGCCGCTAGACCAACCAAATCCATACCTAGACGCGCCGCAGCACCGGTATAAGGCTTAGCAGACGCGCTCGCGGAGCTGCCGCTCGAGGTTCCACTTGCGCCGTTGGAGCCTGATCCGGAGCCGCTGGTGCCTGATCCCGAACCGCCGCTGCTGGATTGAGTGGCGGTGGGTGCGCTGTGGGCGGAGGAGACGGTGCCGTTGGCTGTGGCTGTTGCGAAGCCCGAGGAGGCACCGCCTGTGAGGATTGCGCCGGAAGAGCCGGTTGCGAGGATAGCGCCGGAGGAGGTCATGGAGGCTGTGCCTGAGCTGGAAGAAGAGGAGGAGGTGGCGGAGCAGGAGGTGGTGTTTTCTGCAGAATCACATGTTAGTGGGTAGTTCTCATTCTTTCCTTCGAGACTATTCGAGATGTTATGTGTAGACTTACTAATCGTGACGCCAGCGCCAGCACACACACTCGCGAACCCGCTCATGGCCAGCTGGACAGTATCGGCCGTGCAGTTCTTGCAGATGTAGGACTCGACCGCCGTGGCATTGTTGCCGCTGCAGACGGCGGAGAGAGTGGCGGGGTTGGGCTGGGTGTTGACGGCTGCGATGAGGCAGGCGGGTGGGGTGGCCAGGACGCGGGTCGCGACGGCGAGGAGGGCGAAGAGGGTGGTGGGTTTGGCGAACATGGTGAACGTACTACTGATTGGTTGTTTTGTGGTGGTGTTCGTTTGTGAGTTTGGTTAGTGGTGGTTGTTGATGTCCCGTGATGGTTGAAAGGTGGGTAATGAGTGACTGTGAAGAAGCTGGCTGTCTGTAAAGAGTGACTAGGTGAGTAGATGATTAATGTGTTGGGTGAGACGAGTATGAAAGGCTGCTATACAGGAGATGCGACTGCGACGCTCTTCTCCAACACCGCGCTGGCGTGTCAGGGGTCAGTACTAGTAGTCTCGAAACAATCTAGCGCCTGTTTCAGCAGTCGCCAGATCACGTGCGGATAGTTTGACATGGGATGGTGACGTATATGGAGAGACGATAGATTGTCTACAGCCATTGTATGCTTTCACGTCTGCCAGATGCGCTACCCCAAGGCATGCTCGCGCGCTCATGTCTGTCGCAGCGGGTGACGCCTTTAACCATCGTCCAGGCGACGACGAGACGATCATTTCATGCATCCTTTCGCTGCCATGATGGATTGCCAAATTACTACGAGGCATTGGACTTGCCGACCAGTGCTACACCCAGCGAGATAAAGAAGTGCATCGCCCACCTGAAACTCGCAAGGACATGACTAATACAAAATAGACAATTCTACAAACTCTCCAAAGCCAACCACCCAGACCTCCACCCCAACGACTCCCACGCCGCGGAACGCTTCGTCAAAATCTCCGAAGCCCACGCCACCCTCGGCTCGCCGCAAAAGAAGACTCGCTATGACAGGGACTTCCTCCGCGCATCCCCGAGTAGTACTGCCGGACCATCAGGAGGACCATCAGGCTCCTACTCCTCCGCCCACGCCGGCAGTCGTCCAGCCAGCGGCCTGAGTAGACGCCGAACGCAGTTCCGTGGACCACCGCCGAGTTTCTACCGTAGTGGAGGCTGGGGCGATCAGGGTGAGAAGAGAGGCGAAGCCGCTAGTCAAGCAGGCCATGCACATGAGGCGCAGAGCCAGCAGCAGCAACAGCAGTCACAAGCAGGTCCAGCAGGCACAGGCCCCGGCGGCTTTACCTCAGGCTTCGACAATGACGTCCGGCATTTCGACCACGACGGGCATTACAAGACGCATAGTGGGATAGAACGCACACGGCATAAGGCGAGGCGGAAAAATCGGGTGTATGCGGAGGATCTTGAAGGGGCGGTGGGAGGGAGTTCGGCGTTGTTCAACTTTGTGATGATTAGTGGGGTGCTTTGTATTATTTTTGGGGTGTCGGGGGGGTTGATGAGTTTTTCCTCTGCGGGGAAGGAGAAGGGGAAGAAGGAGGAGAGATGAGGGTAGAGAGTGAGAAGGATGGTGAGGTGGGATGATGTGGTAAACGTGTCACTTGGAGAATGAGCAAGTGGTCTGGATGTGTATCGTACACTCATCATCTGTAGGACGTGAAAGCAATCACAGCAGCCGTTCGCAGGGCGGATGAAAAGCAGGAGAGGTCCTTCACGGCTGCTACATGTATCAGCTGACCCCTCCTGCATCTCATCCACGATCGCAGCCCACCTAACACCAAACAAGAACATCCTCCAGAATAATAGCCTGGCGCAACAAAGCACTAACTCTGACACTAACAGCAGCAGTGTTCCCAGCCCGAAACCCACCACGACTCAATGGCGCCTGACCACAGACCACCGCATGCTGATCCAAGAAATGCGATCCCCATCCAAACCTCACCATAGCCTTGAACACCTGACCCCAACTCAACATCCGCAGCTCATCCGGAAGCTTCAAATCGAAACCACACTGGGAGCACTTTCCACCACCATCAACCCGTCTCGCTCTCACCATGCTACCAGACCCAACAAGCATACGAGGAGTCTCCTCTCCCCGACCGAAAAGTCTCAGCACCCGGACCCGTCTGACCAGCTGCATAGCTTGCGCTCTGTCGAGTTCGCCTGTTCCCGTTGGATCGGTGAAAGCGGACTGGAGTAGCTGTACCATCTTCTCCTCCCTTTCCAACTCCTTCAAGAGTGATCGACCAGCATGCAACAGCGACGACGATGTCGAGGGCGATAACCGCTGCAGCTCGAAAAGCGCGAAAATCAAATCCACCAATTTCCTCTCCTGCCTGACCGCCGAGGCCAGAACAGGCGATGAACCCATCGTCCTCGTCGTCGTGGCGGTGGCAGCAAAAGACGAACTCCCACCCCTAACAAACACCCTCCCAAACCCTTTCGCCTTATCCTCCAGCTCCCTCCGCTGCGCCAACATCTGATCCGAACCCGTCATGAATTGCGTCCAATCGTAGTACAACTCACAATACCCCTCCCATCTCGCCAACGCTCCCAGGAACTCTATCCCGCTCAACTGACGCAGCATAGCGATCGCGTCGCGGAGACGTTTCTGCTCCCGCGCGATGCGTTTACGGGCTATTACCGGTCCGTGGAGGCGGAGGTGGGAGGTGAAAGAGCGGGAGATTTTGCGGCAGAGGAGGAGGGTGAGGGTGGGGAGGTGGGTGAGAATCAGGGTGAGGAGTTCGGGGGGGAGGTTCGCGAGGGGGCCGGGCTGGGTTGGTGAGGTTGGTTTCGTGGACTGAGATAGGGTATGAGCGTGAGAAGGGACGGGATCGGGGAAAAGTGATTTCCCAGGCGCTTGTGTGGTGGTGTTGGGTGGCGTGTCGGACGTCGTTATCTCATTACTACTGGTTTCAGAGACGGGAGAGGGAATGAGTGGTCTCCCAGGCGCCGATGCGGTGTTTTGAGCTGGCGTAGCGGACTTCAGTACCTTCTCCTCCTCACGTCCCGGTGAGAGGCTGGCAGAAGTGACAGAGCGCTTGAGATCCGACATCTCTGGGATTCCCGAATCGTGAGTGGTGGGCGAGGTGCGGCGCATCGTGGTGAGGTGTGGTGGAGGCATTCAGTAGTATCAAGTATCCGACTGACGTTAGGGATAGCAGAAGGAAAAAAAGGGTAAAAGAGTGCCACCTTCGCCGTCACGGATAGAGAGAGAGAGAGAGAGAGAGAGAAAGCAGCTACATCATAACAAGACTCCACCAAACTATGCTCCAAAGAGAAGGAAGCCAGGCCACGCTAGTGGGACATCCACCTACCATCTTATCGGGAAGCATCTCGTTGGACAAGCAAATGTTTCCCATCCCAACTGAGCGAGCTACCTCTCTACCTAAGTCTCGTGACTCTTGCCCCTGAGATGAAGACAACTCGAACTTCCAGCCATTCCCCACCCTACCACCATCACGAATCACGAATCACGAGATCCTGTACCCTGTCGAGAGAAGGGACGGCAGGCGTCTACGTCGATTCACACACGAAAAAGGAACAAGGAAGTGAGAGGGAAGAGAACTTTCCCTTCCACGCTGGTGAAGGCAAGATTCATGGGGGTTCTGGTGGTGAACGTTACATGCCAAGCGCGGAGGGATCTAGCTTCCTTCACGCAGCTTCTACTTCTCAGCGAGGAAGCAGCACTAGAGTCGGATGGACTCGAGGGGAAGGATGAGAAGCCCATCCCGCGGCCTACGGTGATAGTGCAGTGTCAGAAGTGCGTAGGACGAGATCCACACTACTCGGACTCCCTCCACAAGCAGAGATGATCAGACGGGTCCGCCCGATCACGACTGAACTGATCTGATCTGATGCTAACCCCCGACCTCAAGCAGCTCCCAAACAACACAACGGTGCATGCTCGCCTCTTGTGACAAACACACCAAGCGTAAAAGCGACATAAACCCCGCCCCTTATGAGCCATCCGAACCCCCCTTCCCCGAACCCAACCAACCATGAATCTTCGCCCTTCCTCCCTCCCTCCCCGAACCCTACGGCTTCCCGAGCAGACAACCTCTCACAACAAGCGCTTCCTCGTTCCCTCCGCCCCATAGATGCCAACGTCCTTTGAACCTCGAACCCAGACGGAAAGTCGACCAGGGCAGCTTAACGCGTGTACCGGTCCTTCTCGTTTTTCTTACCAAGTAGAACCACGTGCTGTTGGCCCAGCCATGGAGAAATCGGGAAGCGAGCACGAAGTTGAAGACTGACGCAGGTACGCGCGATGAAGCAGTCCCAGCAAGCATCCATGGACTCCTCGGAGCAGGGGTAATGCTGCGTTACTGCACACAGTACCAGCAGGGCCTGCTAACCTCTCGCTCTCGGAGAGGAATCGGTAACATGCGGCAATCTGGCGCATCCAACCCATCCGCTTTAATGCGTGCGTGCGCTTCATAGGCGCAGAACACCAAGGCCCTCTCCTGGTAGATTCATCCTTTTTCCACACCCACCTCACTCGTGCTCAAGCCCAACCCCCTCACATCTCCACCGCCTTCCTCGCCATCTGCAACGCCCCCTCGAACGTCTGGTTGCCACCAATAAACCCACTAGCATGCACAAAAACACACCCCTCCACCCCACAAACCCTACTAAGTTCCAAATCCCTCACCCCCCTCCACTGTTCCGGCAACCCCTTGCGATTCTCAAAACTCCCCGCATCCAAACTGACAGCGCGAATCCTCCACTTCGAATCCTTCTCCCCGCTCTCGGCGAAAAGCGCATACAGCACTTCCCCCTTGGCCCCCTGCTCTTCTTCAAGCGTATACAAATGATCTGACCACGGCACACCCTCGGGTTTATACGGAATCACAATAATACGACCCTGGTCATCATACTGTTTCCGCGCGGCGAAAGCCTCCTTCACGACCGCGCGAGCAGGGAGCCAAGAAGCGAAACGGTCGTTGAGTTCGAGGACGAATTGCTGGCCGACGAAGCTGCTGGCGCCGAGGAATCGCGCATCCTCTTCATCTTGGCTTTTACCTGCTTTAGCTGGGTTCGGGGCACCACTAGTAGTTGTCCCGTTTGCTGTGGCTCCTTCCCCACCTTCACGCGCGGAGGGGGCGTAGTTGTAGCGGTTCACTACGCCAGCGATACTGAAGCCTTTATTGGAGAATTTGGGCTCGATGTTTGCTTTCCTCAATGCCGAGGGGTCGTAGAGGGGGATACCGTTATCATTTGCGTCAAAGGCTTCGATGAAGTCTTCATAGATTTTTTGGAAGAGGAGCTCCGTATCGGCGTCTTGGATGGAGAGGTTCGTGACGGTGGAGATGATTTCTTTGCCGTAGTGCATCCACACTAATCCCGCGCTGGAGAGTTTCGTGCTCTTGCCGGGGAAGGTGGCGGTGAAGTCGCGTTGGTGGTGGTCGTACCTCAGAGCTTGATGATGGTGGATACCGCCGACATCGACGACGATGGTGCAGGTTTGGAGGACTTCGGGGTCGCGGGTGCGGGTGATGGTGGCGTGGCGGTAGACGGGGAGGAGTTTGAGGAGGAAGGTGGCGAGGGCTTCGTCGGCGTGGAAGTGGCCGTTATGGGTGCCGATGATGGGGGTGTCGGAGGTGGACGAGGTGGACATTTTGGCGCGTTTGGCGAGGGGTTCGGAGGACATGTACTGGGTTGGTCTGGCAGGTGGTTGCAAGCGGTGGGGGTTGATTTTAAGTCGTGTGGGTTGCGGTGTGATGCTCGATGTTTGTCTAATGCAGTGCGGTATGAGAGTGTAATGGGAGTGAGGTCGAAGAGGAGAGGCAGCAGCAATTATTGTCCTTTGCATTGAGCTTCTCCAACAACGTCACACAGAAATGCTCCCGAACAACATTTTGATAATGGACCCCCTCTTCAGCCAATCGAGACGCTAGCTCGGATCTTCCGCACAGCCACGCGCCAATCGAAAAGCTTCCTGAATGTCAAACATGTGAAAGAGCCAGCTTACGTTGCCAAGAGATTGTTTCAGCGTCTTCAGAAGCGCGTAGTGAAAACCAAGACGTATAAGCATCATCGCGTAGACGACTCAGCTGGCGACATAATTGGCAAAGTCGTCATGATGCTGTAGAGAGTAAGCAGGAGGGCGCAGAACGAGCACGTTCCTGCCAACATGCACCACGCGCGGGACGAGTCGAGGTGAAATCCTGCTGCTGCTGCTGCTGCTGCACCTTGTCATCGCCTATCGATCATCGCGCCTGCCCAGTCCGAGGTCAAGATAGCACGCGACACACCTGCCATCTGCCAGCTTCTGCTCTAGCTGCTTTACTCATCCATCCAACGCACCTGCCCTTTCTACAATATCGAACAGCACACCGCCAGCTGCGAGACTTCCACACCAGCAGAACTACGGCAAGACCAAGTGGGGCAGTCACTCAACATAGCAGGAGCGGTCAAAATCCTGTACCTGTGCCTGCCAAAGACCCAGATATACAAGCGAGGAGCATACTCTACACTCTCTGCTGGACTGGACTGGGTGCCACCACACATGAGTGGGCGCTGGAGCGTCTCCGATCCAATACACACCACCACCACCACCACCACCACCACCTGCCTCCTACACTCCAACAATGATCCTGCGATTCCTCAGCAGCGCCCTCTTCCTCTTCTCCATCGTCTTCACCGTCCCCCTCGCCTTTGACGTCGGCGGAAGGACATGTGGTCTCGCCTTCAGCTTGTCGCTGGCAACATACTACTTCATCCTCAGCTGTCTGCGTCTCGCCACCCCCACCGACTCCCGATGGCGCAAAGCATTGGTCCAATTCTATGCCGGCGTCCAGCCTCTCGTCATCCCAGCACTCCTGATCTGGACGTTGAATAAGTTTAGTGTGGATAGCACAGATGAGACGAATTGGGTCACGCGCGCCTTCTACAATGCTACGAAGCCTCTGCAAGCGAGTCCGAACATGAAGGAGTGGGTGTTTGGGAGAGAAGGACTGCTACAGAATTTCACAATAGGTGCTTGGGATAAAATGCTCCGCTACTCGACCCCCGTCTTCCAACTTTCCGAAGGTTTCTGCACTCTCCTCGTCATCCAAGCCGCAGGGCAAGTGACACGCTACCTCGTCAACAACGGCGACGGCGGCGACGCCTGGATGATCGGCCTCCTGCTCTTCAGCAGCGGCACCATCTCGACTTCCGTCTACTTCCTCTGGCGCATCACCACCTTCCCTGCCCTGGACAGCCAAGACGCCATCTTGATCGGCATAGCCATCACCTGCGCCTTCTTCCTCTGCGCCTGGGGGACCGGGAGCGGCCGCGGCAACGTCGTCGAGTCCTCTTTACTATTCGCCTACATCACACTCTGCATCTACCAAATCTTCACCGACTACCAACCCAGTCATGGACGCCACAACAACAACAACAGCACAAACCCCCTGGACGCCTCATCAGCAGCCGCACCCCAAGCGACAGACTTCCCACCTCTCCCGCCCATCCTAATGGCGAGCTACACCACCCTCCTCCAAGCCTTATCAACCCTCCCAACCACCCTCCACCAAGCCTTCGGCTTCATGCTCGCCGCCCTCGCCACCGTCACCCCTTCGGTAATAACCTCCCTAATCTACCGCCTCATCGTCCTCTACGCCTCGGCCCGCATAATCCCCGCCGTACGAGAATCCGGCGCCCGCGCCCTTACCACCTCCCCCGACGACCACCTCACCCCGGACTCCGACTCTGCCGAAAATGTCCACAGCCTCATGGGTGTCTTAGGAACCTTCAGCCCGAGTATTCTAATTGCGGTCTATACGTCTTTACTGATGCAGCACTTTGCGTCGGCCTCCACGGATCATCCGCGGGAATGGTGGACGAGTCAGGGGGGCGAGGGTGGGGGGAATGTGTGGCGGTGGGCGAATTTGGGGTGGACGATGGTGTTGTATGCGGTGGAGTTGTATTTGGGTGGGGGGGAAGGGGGGGATGGGCTGGTGGGGCATTGGAAGGTTGATTGAGGGGTGTTTTCCCCATGCTGTGATTGGGGGAAGAAAGGAAGGGGAGGAAGGAAGGGAGGGATGGAGATTTTTACCCCGTTCCATGGCAGAAGGAGCTTGGGGGTTACTCCCCCGCCCAGAGCGAGCTATTGGTAGGGCGCAGAGGCCTTGTTACGGCGACCTTACTCACAGACACGCAGCGGGGGGTTTGAAATATGGCACGACTGCGAAGCCAAGGAGACCCCGGTGCGTCATTGACAGCATAGCGACAGTGGCGGCACGAGAGGAGACGGATCAGAGCGGAGTTTGAGCAGACCCGGTCAGGTCAGGTCAGGTCAGGTCCGGGACCACGGAAGCTCACCGAGTCCAGACAGACACGTCAGAAGTTGTCATCCTGGCCCAGCCACAAGAGGTCTGTAGATCGGGTCCCGGGCGGACGCGGGGGGGGGGGGGGGGGGGTAGAGAAAGCATGGCCAACCCAGAGCGTAACATACGGGGGGGTTTGGTTGATGTTGCGGGATAAAAAGAATATAACCCCAAAA